AAGGAGCAACTCTATCCCGCCATTGTTGATCAGATTCATCTTAAGGTTCGTGTTACTGATATATTGGGACAAGAAGATGGAAAGTGCATAGATATAAGGCGTGATAGATGTATCAACCGTGGAACTGAACGATGTTGGCTCTTCATTTTCCACTTGCTGCGCGCTTGCATCAGCCATTTCGACATCAGCGTCATCCACAGTAGTGACAGCCTTGTCTTTGCCTTTATTTAATAGGGCCTCTCCAGATTCGCGCGATAGACCTTCATTCGCGATTACTTCTCGACCTTTCGAATCTTTCACGAGAAGCTTGGCTCCCCATTGAGAATCCCTAGCCTTCACCTTAGCAAGATGAGCGACTCGAGCGACCATATCTAAGACGGCGTTTGCTATAGCCGGTCTAAGCGAAGGGTGATGACGAGCAAGCTCGTCGAACCCACTACCAACATTAGACGCCACGCTCTCATCGGCCGCCATTACTCGGACGTGTTCGGGGCTCTCGAATATCTCGAAGTAGCTGTCAAACGCGCGAGACGCGACAACCATTTTCATACCAACATTGTTGAGAGAAATGGCATTCAAAACACCTGGCACATTCGTGATGGGTTCGGAGTTTGGTAATATACCACGAGCCAAACCATCCCGAGGGGCTTCCAGCTCATCCAACGATGGAGGGTGAGAGCGATTGTCGGGTTCAAGGAGATCAGGTGTCGAGTCATCCGAAGGCGACTCGGGGCTCTCATCCCGAGTTTCAGATGGGCCGGAATCCGTTCCGCTAGTCTGTACCGCCTGTACCGGACGACCTGTCAGAGCTTGTAGATAGCTCTGGATCAAGCCCGCTTCGGATATAGCGGCGAAGCTCGTGGGATCGTTGTTCAGGAAGTCGCTCAAAATAATAACGGCATTAGTCCACACTATAGAACCGAACTTCGCCATGTTCTCAATGATCTCGCGCATACTGTGAAGCAGTGCAGATTTATCGACGAGGTTCCTCAGTAGTCGATCAGTGTTTCCACCGAATGAGAAGGCATTCGACATCACATGATGGATGAACTTCAGGATAAATTTTAGGTTCTGTTGTTGATAGAAGGGTATCTCATAATCAACAACCTGGGAACGATGAGTAGCGGGTGTTCCCTTGTCCTCCGTAATGAGCTTCCCTGCGAGTTCAACTTCATGAGTAACTAAATTGGTGATAGCATCAAGGCCACCGGCATGTATCAAAGTCTGGAATGAGGTCTGGACGTTATAGACCAGACTATCCAAGAATCCTACCAGAGTGCCGTATGTGCGTTCTGCTATATTAGACCTAATATTGAGGACCTCGACCATAATGTCCAGCAATCCAGCCGAGATAATCTCAGGCGTGTTACGATTGGTATTGTTAGCCATGGCCATTGTGATATGAAGTGTAAGAGAGAACAGATTGTCACGCCATTCGTCTTCCTCACTATACCGCTCTCCAGAATCGTCATTCTTCATCTCGTCGACGGCCTTCCTGATGACATAGAGCAATACGCCGTGGTTTACAGTCGCGTTCAACGCCGAGAATATATCTGGTAGCTTGTTATGGAAGCCGGAAATAGCTTCCAGTAGCGATAACGCGATCGATTGTAAATCGATAGGTACTACCGCAGCGCCATCGGCGGCGGGGTGGATGAGTTCTGCGAGTTGGTACACAAGCTGAAACCGTCGCGGCTCATCGTTATCCTGCCTAAGGACTTTCTCGATAAACGTAGGCTCTATGTGAATATACGCCAGGTTTTGGATAGCCAACAGACGCGCTTTTAGTGCCTGTCGTCGAGATTCGACGGACCCCGTGAGAGCCTTAGCAACCCTAAGACGGTTCAAAAACTCGTACTTGGTCTCTTTCGGAAGATCTGCTGGAGCCCTAGCGAGAAGTTGATAGATCGGTGTCGAGCACACTGAGGCATGAGATATCTCCAAAGACTTCTGTCCAGGAGGAGAATTCTCATCCCGACCTACGGCTGGAGGCCGAGAGGCGGAGGATGGGCTGTCCTCCGATGCTCCCTGACGGCTTGTGCGGGGGGTAGACTGCGTTAAACCAGTCGTGCTACTTCGCCTTAGAGGCGTCGGGGTTGAAGGCACATTCGAGGTTGTAGCTCGATCAGGTAAGGTCTGCTGCGTCGGCGCCTGAGAACCGTCTGAAATAGGATAGTACGTGAGCTTAACGTCGCCCCAGCCATTCCAACGTGCTTGAGAACCCGGGGATTCAGTGGAATCTGCCTTCGCAAGAGCGCACAGGTCATTGGCATACATGGTAGCTACATTCTTAGGGCTTCCACTGTGGGTCTTATCCTTATTCTTGCTAGACGAACCCGGAGTGGAGAGGAGCGAAGGCTCTAGGGATTTAGAGAGGGGCGTCTTGACAAAGGGTTGTGCAAGTTGTAGCACACGGTCGAGATCTATATTGTAATGGTTTGAGAGGAGAGATGGGTGTACTTGTCTGGCTGAAATCCCATGGATGCGTTTCACCGACGCCTGATAGCGCTGGGCCAGTTCCACGCCCACACGCAGAGTGGCACAGATGATGGCGAAGTCAGTACTGTTCAGAAGGTCGTTCAAGTGAGGACTGCTGCCGTAGATGCTGCGGTTTCCACAGTGATCCAGGAGCATCTGAGTGAACTTTAGGATAGCCACGATAAGGTCGACATCGCCATCCTTGCCATACCCTAATTCCGTTAGCTTGTCTGGGTCGCTCGACTGTTCCTCGCCGTCAACGGAGCTGGATCCCAATAGAACTTCACAGCCAAAGTCTCTACTCTGAGGGCCCTCGTTCAACTTGTAAATCGAGCAGAACGATTCCAGAAGCTCGTCGAAGCGATTCAGTAACGGGATCCAGTGATACAAATCACCTCTCGGGAAAGGCCATCGCGAAGGAAATGTCGCAAGGACTTTAGGTAGGAGAGGTAAGGGTGTGGAGGTCGCATTATTAACGAACTCCTGCAACCAAGGAGACTAGAGAAAAATTAGCTGACCGCATGGGATAACAGATAATATGCAAGAGTACTTACCATAGTCTCCTTGTGCTTGGCTTGCATGGTCTTCGATATCTTTCCCATAGTGAAGGCCGGGGCGGCAGAGCCGCAAAGAATATGTCAGCTCCCCCTCCACTACTAAAGTTTAGGTGATCGGTGACGACAATTTGACTCGCGACGCGGGAGCGTCCAAAATAGCTTGGACGGCTCCTCCAGTATGGTGTCTCGAACTACTCGTCGGTGCACAAGGCGGGGTGACGGAGTGCAGGGCCTTGTGGGGTGTGTAAGTTGCAAGGTTAAGCCTCGTCTCGAATATCAGCCTTGCGGGTATAAAAAAAAAGAGATTCGGTTGCAGAGGCGCTCCGATGAATTCACGGCTGACTCGGGAGATGGAGGAATCGATGAAAGATAGGCTCCGAGCGTCGCAGAGATGCAAATTAAATAATTGGGTCGCAGGTGGACGATGCGCGGATGAGGGGCGACTGATGATGGATGATGTGAGGTGTAGAGATATGATGTCCGGCACAGTTCTCAGGAAGCTGAATTTTAGATAGGTCCAAGCGGGTGCAGGCCGCTGTACCACAGTTTTCCAGGATCAAGAAGAACGTGCTAAGTCGTGTTAGCTCTGGGATGAAGTAATATGATTCGCACCGAGGGCCTGGATATCTACTTGACTTGGTCGACGATGAGATGCAACTTTGGCGGAGTCGAGTTGATAAAAAAGAAAAATAGAACTAGTTTAAGAGGTGTTTGAAAGTTCGCGGCTGATCGGCCACTGCCCTTTGCGTAATGATTGCACTTTGTGGGGGGTGGTGCTTGCCATAGCAGCAAGTGTAAGAGTGGGGTCGCAGCCGGCGGTACGATTATTGTACTGTACAATCCATACCTTAGGTGTAGGTAGCTACCTACCTCTTACCTCATCAGGTGTTTACATACGAAATAAGCTCGAGTACCTATGGGCATTGCAAAATGCACGCACTCTCAATCTCCAAGATGTATACATAACGTACCTAAGTATTATATTTACACGTGTTGGTACATGCTACTGTATTTACCGATACTTGCTGACAATTGAGAACCTTCCATAGCTCCATCTCACTACTCTGTTTTTCTCCTCTCTTTGTCACGGACCGCGTTCAGCGACAATTCAAACGAGCATCCCCTCATAATCGATATGAGCCTATCAGAAAATGCATTGTCCCTACTATTGAGTAGTATTATAGAGTCTAAAACAAAACCATTGAATCATCCTCAGCAGAATTTTCCAAAGGTCGCAGCCCAACGTCTAACAAGTCATAAGTCAATACTGCGTGCATTCTGCTCGTATGTATGTGTTATACCGATGGGGACCATTGCTGCCCAGTGCACTCGTGGAGACCTTATATATTGATTCCTGGTCGAATCGCCGGGGTAGTTTTTCTGGGTAAGGTATTTACTGCCCCATGTTACATGCAGATTGCTTGGAAGAGTTTCTACTTGGAAATCTTCAATTGAAATATTGGTTTACAAGAGTCTCTAGGTCGAAACCCCCTACCCTTAGAGCATATTCCTTCCCGTCAGTTTTTATCAATGACCGGAATACCTCGAACCCGATTATGAAACAATGCTAGACGATAGCTATTAACAGTTAAAGTAACCTGTGTTATCACGTAGCAATAAGTGAGTGACACTCACCTCTCGCACACGTAACCTACCCGGTAGCAATATTAATGCTACATCAGCGCAAAGTTACCCTTTCTCCTATCTTTAAGGTAGTTACGAGCACATGTCCCGGTGGATATTATATGATCTAGACATGACTATCGCTCTCGCCATAGTCGTATATGGGGAAGCGGTCTATGTAGCATTGGTGTAGAGCTGCTATTAGTATCTGCATGTAAGTAAGATGTCTACACGTTGGCAGCGCCATGGTACAGCGTAGGGCGTCAAACTAGATCTTGCATTGTCTTTTGAAATATAAATCCTAAAAGTTCGCTGCCAATCACAATTCGATATTCGGTATTCGGGCTTGTGGTTTAGTGGTATAATACTCCCTTAGCATGTGCGTGATTTCACGATCATTTGTACAACTTGGGAGTGGTCCGGGGTTCGATTCCCCGCGAGTCCATCTCTGAGAGGTTAGATTCCTCTTGTGCCACTCTTTTTGATACTTTTTTGTTCTATTCATCCCACTTTTTTTCTTTTTCGATTCCTACCTTGTGAGGTATCTAACAATTCTTTATGAACTTCATTCCGTCCACAACGTCGAGATAAGTTACTTCTTCGTAAAATACACACGTAGTCAATAACGACCTCAATTATTAAAACATGCGATGATTACAGACATCCGAAATATCGGATGCTGTAATGAACTTCACCGTGGTAGTCAACGATATTGATTGAACTACTTAATACGTAATTCGCTTTAGATTACATAGAGCAATGTTTGACCAGGAGAACCGCCAAACTACTGCTTCTCATATTCTTCATACTGCTCATAGACCGACAGCTCAAACTGCGTCATCAACTCGATAATCTTCGCGTCTCCTATCGGTATCAGGTTTGTGAACAACGCGCCACACAAGCCGCCTTTTCTATCAATCCACCAGATCAAATTCGGCAGGCCACCCCAAGACATAGTCCCGGCCTGTCTTCTGCCAACTTCGTCTTCAAGGCCGATCTCTCCGCCGAGTCCGTAATCCATCACCTGGTGGTCTATATCAAACGTGTTACCAATAACCCGTCGGGACTCCTCGTCGGAATGGAGTATATGGTTCAAAGTCTCCTTGCCTTCGGGTCCCAACTGCGGTCGGAACATTTCGTCGACGAGTTCCTTGCTCAGGACCCGGCCGTCGTTTGCGCATAGGCTCTGTAGTATGTTCAGATAGCTCTCTGCGGATCCCCAAGCTGCCGCTCCGCCGTACGCATCCTCCCTATCCCCGTATTGGAACAGGTAGCCCTCTGTCGTCGGATGTAACTTTCCGTCCTTGTCCCTGAGAGTCATCCCCACCTTACGCGACTTCGTCTCCGGCCTTGAATTAGGAGCAAAGGTTATGTGATGCATGTTAAGCGGGTCCCAGATGTTAGCCTTCATGTATTCCTCAAGGGACAGTCCAGAAAACCGCTCGACGAGTTTACCCGCCCAGTCTATGCTTGTGCCGTACTGCCAGCCTTTTCCAGGCTGGAAAACGAGCGGTCGTGAGAACTCGGACACGAGATCCTTGGGAGGACTCGTAGGAGGACCTGTGAATTTTTCTAGCTGCTGGAGCTTAGGGGAGAACATTTCCATGGTGAGTCCACTGGAATGGGAAAGTAGGGTTCTTCGTCCAGGAATTAGTAACCCTCAACTGAAATGAGATCATGAAATACTCACCTCAAAGTGACTGGCTCTTTTCGGTCTTCAAAAATAGGCTTCCCTTCCGCATCAAAATCCTTCAATACCTTCAACGCGGCGACTTCCGGGAGCACTTTTCCAACATCCTCGTCTAAGCCAATATGTCCTCGTTGGACTTGTTGCAAAGCCGCTACGGATGTTATAAGTTTCGTACAGGACGCCATCCACACAACACTGTCTGTCTTGAATGGCTCCCCGTGAGCCGTCTTGCCAAACGATTTCTCATATCTAAACTTCCCCGTGGCATCAGCGGCCACAAGGGCCACGCCCGGGATTTCGCCAGCCTGGTAGGCGGCCTCGAAGACGGCTTCGTGGGGGAACTTGGCCATTGTATAATCGATATAGAGTAAGGGGCTTTATGAGTAGAGCGTATATGTTAAGCTATCCTTGTGAATTGTTGAGCACAGTCGTGATTGATCAACTGATTCCATTTTGGTTTCCATTGTAGCCTTATATATACAGAAAAGCCAGCGTCTTCATCTAGCTACTATGTATATCATTGCCGAGGATCCTTCAGCCATGAAGTTACAGAGTGTGGTTAAGATCCCTTGTTCAAACCATCCGCCCACCTAAATTAGCAGATATACCCCCTCGTCCCATAGATGCGGCGCAGAGAGATCCATGCGGACTTGCCCAATCTAGCATTTTACGACCATCCCGCAAACCTAGATTTCTGCACAGCTACAGCTTGAGCATTGCATCAAATAGTAAGAGTTTATTAATAATTACGAAGCAAGCGATACCGTCACATCTCCAAAGTACGACTGCGCCACAACCGTACCTATGTGCATGTTTGGTGATGATTCATCTGGCGTAGAATTATAGTCCCGATACCCGGTGGGATTAGTCGTGAACGGACGAACTGGAGACCGCGTCTATACTCGAATAGTATAATGGTCCAGCGCGAAAATCGGACTTTCACCGATTCCCCGAGAATAATTCACTCCGCAGCTATTATATCCGATTCGGATATATGTAGTAATAGATATAGTTTTTTTAATTTAAGCATAAAGTCTTCTTATTTAGAAAGTGCCTTAGGTTCCTTTAATTAAGACGTAGATATAGCCAACGTAACACCCCGGAATATATTGAAGTTGAAACGAGTATCCATTCCCCTGTCCAGTTATATCGACTTTTCCCCAATACTTAACTTGAAGGTTCTGTTGCTCCATATCCTTGAATCGTCAAAATCTCTAGTACAATCTTCTTTTGATCTTGATCAGTAGGTGTAGTGTATGCTATAAGCTTATAAATTCTTTCTCTAGATAGGTTGCTTCCTCACCTCGGTGTCAACCCTGATGGCCGTCTGACACCACGTACTATTCAGACTGATCTCACTCATTGCTGAGCTAATGTTATGCAAGATACGAAGAACGACGAGGAAAGCAACTACATTGTCACCCGAATAATTACAAATACAAGTACGGGGCGGCTGGCGCACATTCATGATTCACCAACCCCTTTGTTCTACCGTCTCGGTAATCGCAGGGATAACTTTCTAATACTTTACGAAACGCCCTTCCTGCTCATCTTTTGGTCTAGTGACCTAGCCTAGGGATATCCCGAGAGTCCATTGGAAGTTTTGATAGCAGACTGCTTTATCCCAACGTGTCCTTCCATTCCGGATTGCCTAGATTTCTCTGCAAGTGTTCTCGAAGGACATCATGCTGGTTTTCTGTCAATGGCCACTCTGCAGCTCTATCTAACTGTGAACTGAATGGAGACGCGCAACTTTGGATACGTCTTTTGAGAAAGCACCTCACAAAAGAGCCGGCCACGGGACAGATCTTTAAGAGATATCTAATTCATACTGGTGGCAGTTGAAAATGTGTTCATATATAATTCAGACTTGACAAGATGGAGAAATTTCTGCCTCTAGACTCTACTGTGGCATATACTTACCTATCAAGCCTATATAAAAAGGAAATGCCTTCAATAAAGCTCGACTACGTGAAATATATTTTTTAACTTAATAATAAGCAAGGATCCACATGAGATAGGGTTACCATATGGATATGTATATATAAGTAGTTCGGTTCTTAGCAATAGCTTGCCTAGAATATTTCTAGCTGGGGTTTCAATGGGCTTCATTATACGTATAGGTAATGTCATATCACTTGTGATTTATGACACAACAAGTTACTATTAAGGTAATGACATATCACGTACAATACGAGGGCAATGTATGAGGCCGCACTCGCTTAAAAGAGGAGGCTACTAAGCTTTGACTACTTCCACGAACAATAATATCTTACGGGAAATGCATGTGTACTTGGTTTTGGTTAGCGGCGATGCATAATACCTTACCTCGGATCTATTAAAGTCTTATTGAAGGTTGTCTGAAAGCTACATGTACGCATGCAAGGTAAGGTGCCTGTATGCAAGTCATATTGAATCCAAAACAATCCAGAACGCCACACAAAGAAACATTGTTAACTGCATATAATTGTCTCTAAAGAAAACCTAATTGTTGGACGAGCTGATGAACCATGGCTTCAAGAGTATAAGTGGATAGAGGCACGTAATACGATATTCTATATGCAGTGTTATCCTAATTTTTATAAGTCTTAGAAATCTGCAATGTTTTATGATGTTATAATCTCCTCGTAAGACAACGGTTACCAGTCTCCCTCGTTTGCCTTCCAGAATATTACACGCAATTTAATAGCAATTTAATAAACAATTAGCCATGCATGAAACGCCATCGTACATAACGGCCCATTACTTTGATGCCAGGATGCATGTGGAAAGGGGCCGGCATACGGCGTTTACGTATGCGGGCATCCTGTTGGTGTTGAGAGCTTCCCGATAACGTACCTAAGATATCGATAACGCAAACGTGGCGGCTGTTCGAGGCGTTGGCGCTAAATGGTTCTTTCACATGGATGAATGGTTAATGGGATTCTTTGAGCTTAATTTAGAAACGTTGATACTTATGTACATACATAGGCGTACGTTGCATCAATCAATGGATCGTCTGATGAGAAGACCCAGCGTTGATATGAAGAAGCATAATACGTCTTATGCTAATAGTCCTGGTGATGTCATAGTACCAACTTACGGTAAAAGATGATAGATGATAGATGATGCAGTGTTGAGTTGAAATTGTGATCATAGATGTTCAATTTCGTCTTGCTGCTTGGTGACATCTTGTCCTACCAGACTTGACGCACATTGCTTTTGTTAGGTGTTACCTACAAATGTAACTGACGGGAGTACCTACGCGGATTATTGTACATTAGGTATGTACAATACCACGCAGGCGGTGCTACCTACATGTATGGATTTATGTGCAAGGACTAAAATATGGACGCCCTAAGGAACCCCTGAACTAGCCCGGAATAGTGGGCACCAGGGCTGTTAGTTAACGCTTCTAGCGGCAAACTACGCGACACGCTACTGGCTAAAGCTCATCCATAGCCCATCATAAACCCATCCATACACTAAAGGGCGGGAAGCTTGGCGCTGAAGCGACGGTTGGTATAGGGCCGTGCGTCGCAATTGGATTTTCGAGATCCATTCCTACAGTTCAGAACTCCACAGATCAATCCTAGTCACGTTTAGTCAGTTCGTACGAAGGGGGAAGGGGAAACAATTACAAACGAACGGTGTATCTAAAGTGCATCTTTTCGAATTTCACCTTCTTTCATTTCTCCCATGCACTTCTTTTTACGGTCTGTGATCATTGTTTAGTACCAAATAATAATTCCCTTTCGACGAAGAACAAGACGTCCCTCCGAGTTGATCGCGTCGCGTTTCCATTGTCCGTTCGTCTGGTCACCTCCTGAAAGATTAGGTACCTTGCATTGTTGCCGAGGCCCTGCCCACATAGACTCGATAGATGCTAGACCAACTCACACGACAACCTCATTTCCAACCTAAACTCGACACACCCTCTGCGTAGAACTATTACCGGTAGCTATCATGTCTGGCCCAGAGGAGCCGCATACGTCTGAAGCTGCTCCCCAGGTCATTGGGTCGCCGACCCCTTCGGACAAGGACACGGTACGTCGATTATCTTATCTTCACATGTGTGACCCCTTTGTTTAAAGCGTGACTACATACCTACCTAGGTAGCTTTGGTTACATTCCAGCACGTCATAAAACTTAGGAAAGCTAATTAGCAATTATGTAAAGGACACCTTTGAAGATGCTATTGACACAGGATCTATAAGGTCCCTAACAAATCGCAAACTTTCACCTCGACCAAATAGCGGTGCTGCAGATAGTATTCCAGAATCGCCAGAGAACGAAGAGGACGAAGAGAGTGAAGAGAGCGAAGCCAAGCCAAATGGAGATGCAGTAGAGGAGAAAGACGAGGAAAAAGAAGTGGAAAAGGAAGATGAAAAGGAAAAGGAGGACGTAAAGGATATCGTAAAAGAGAACCTCAAAGAGATTGACCTTAAGGATGAGAAGGACGAAAAAGACGAGAAAGGCGAAGAGGCTACCAAACCTTCACCTACAACCAGATCCGCGCGCAATTCGAACGCATCCTTAGACAATGTTGACCTCAGTGATGGGGTCACAGAACAACAACAACAACCAAAGGGTTTGTTAACCATCCCATTGTACATTCTATTGTAATCAACAAGTGCACTCGCTAATATATTAATCTAGAGGCACCAGCTATTGTAGCAGCCAAACAGCCCGCCAAAAAACTCTCTCTTGGCAATATTGGAATAACAATGCCTTGGTCTCCGTCTCCTCCCGCTACAGAATCACCGCCAAAAACAAGCCCGAACCCTACTACTGCCGCACCGGCTGCGGCTTCTGCAGCCCCAACCCGAAAAACAGGACCGTTTTCTTGGTTATCACGGAATTCTACGCATAAGGAGAAGGAAAAGGACGCCGTCACGTCGCCGCCCATTACAGCGGCTACATCACGAAGGAACACAGCAAGTTCGGTTGCTACGTTAACTAGTAATCCTGAAATGATGCTTAGCAAGCTCGACGAGGAAAACGAAGGCGACGGAGGACCTCGTTTGTCGAGAAATAGTTTGAAAGACAGGTTTAAGTACGTACGAATGCGGGAAGAGGCTGGTATTTCCCTCAACCCCGAGGAAGATGATAAGGCGTCGACTTTGGGAGTTCTGAGCCCGACTGGCGAGAGCTATCCAGATGCGAACTTTCCCCCGCCATCCCCTTTACCGCCAAACCCAGACACAAACCTGGCCCCTGGAACGGTCTCGGGCGTGTCTGCTGGCCCTTCCACCATTGCGGATGCTCAGGTTGATTGGGATCTTTGGCAATCCGTAGTTTATGAAGGTCCAGCTGCTGTCGCGAGAACAAACCCAGAGGAGCTCAACAAGGCGATTGTTACGGGCATCCCTAATGTGATCCGGGGGGTAGTATGGCAAGTACTTGCCCAGAGTAAGAGTGAGGACCTTGAAAGGGTGTACAGGGAGTTGCTGGCTCGAGGCTCTGAGAAGAACAAAGACCGTAACAGCAATGCTACCTCTGTCAGTATTTCGAGCAATGGCAACTTGAGCTCCGAAAGAGAGGCGGTGGCCTCTTCAGCGTCTTCTATCCAGTCAGAAGTATCTGGCGGTAGTGGTAAGAAGGCATCACCGACATCTTCAGAGCCGTCAGAAGCAGCCCTGAAGGCCCAAGCCTTAGCTGCAGCTGAGCGGAAACGCAAAGAAAAGGAAGACGCAGCATCGCTTCAAAGACTAGAGAGGGCTATTAAAAGGGATATCGGCGCCCGAACAAGTTTCTCAAAGTATGCAGCGGCTGCTGGCCTGCAAGACGGTCTATTTGGCGTCTGCAAGGCCTATGCGCTCTTCGATGAAGCCGTTGGGTATGCTCAAGGAATGAACTTCTTGATTATGCCCCTCCTTTTTAATATGTCGGAGGACGAGGCGTTTAGTATACTCGTCCGGCTGATGAATCAATATAAGCTACGCGACCTGTTTATTCAGGACATGCCAGGTTTGCACATGCACCTATATCAGTTCGAGAGGTTACTTGAGGATTTCGAGCCCGCTCTTTATTGCCATTTGCACCGTCGTGGGATATCGCCCCATTTGTACGCGACGCAATGGTTCCTTACTCTTTTTGCCTACAGATTCCCTCTGCAGCTCGTGCTAAGAATCTACGATCTTATCTTCTCCGAAGGCTTATCTGCGATTTTGAAATTTGGTATTGTCCTTATGCAAAAGAATTCAGCGGCGCTGCTCAAGATGACAGACATGGGCCAATTGACGAACTTCCTAAGAGACAAACTTTTTGATGTGTACATCGATCAGTCACCGAGCGCTGGCAGCATCCTCGAGAATGGCTTTTTCGGTAGCAGTTCTTCAAGCGCTGACAAGGAGGTCTACCGGGCAGATCAATTAGTTCAGGACGCATGTGAAGTGAAGATTACACCTGAGATGCTCAAGGCTTACACGGCCGAATGGGAAGAAAAGACGAAGGTTGAAAAAGAGAAAGAGAAGGAACTTGAAAATCTGAAGACCACGAACTTGAGTCAGGCTATCAAGATTCGGAAGCTCGAAGAACGACTGGAAGCGAGCGATCGTGAACAGGCAACCGTGACAACGGACCTAGTTCATACCAAGATCGAAAATGAAGAGCTTAAAGATCAGAACGAAAGCTTGACCGGCCAGGTCAAGGAACTTCGCCACGTCATCGAGCAGCAACCTGCAGAGTTAGAAGGAGCCTGGAAGCTCGAGCGTGAGGACCTAATGAAGAGAAACGAGAAGGTGCACGAAGAGAATAGAAGACTCGAAAAGGAGCTCCAAGAGCTTGAAGAGGAATTGGTTCAGACCAAGATGCGATATGCCGAGGTATGCAATCTCCTATTTCCATTTGATACCTGAGCGGTCTTAACTAACCACTTGTAACAGATTAACTCCCAGCACGAGACCTTGCAAAAGAGATGGGCCGAACTCAAGCGGCAGTTTGCCTGAGCTGGTCCTCTCCCTTGATCATGCTCCCGCCAACGACCTCCCGGTTCACCCCCATTCCCATTCTTGTACAAAGTAGCTTCTACGGTTGTTGTAAGTCAGACAATCCACCAGGGGGAAAAGGGAGCAGGAGCAAGCAAGCACATTACATACATACATAGTTTCGGACTATCCGCACCTTGCCATGCTACGTCTGGGTATCTACGAAGTCAGGTTTTATCATTTTGTCAAGCGTGTCCCTTTTCTATCGAGAGTAGTAGTTAAAGCCGCTACTAGCATAGGCGTCTGTCTAGGCTGAGCTCAACAAGTCAGCCACCAGGCGATGAAAATTTTCCTCTTCTTGTTCCTTTCTTCTCTCCGTCTTGTCCATTCATCGGTGCCATCATCATCTTCGGTAATTGGGAGGGGGTTTTCCTACCACGTCGCAGGGGGTAGGTGGGTAGGCACATCACATCACGCATTAGAGGGGAAGAACGAGATTAGCCGCTTTGTGCCCCTGAGGGGAGCACCACGTCACGTCACATCACTTTCGCATCATATCATATCATATCTGTCGTATCACTTCGTCGGTGGATAGGGGGACGACGGCATTGCATGCTTGCGTGCACGTAACGTAGGGGGAGTCAGCTTACCAGGGAGAAAGAGAGGATGAAGAACATGTTTTCGGACAGGTGGACAGGCTGAGGTCCTGTGGAAGAACAGAACAGATGAGAAGGGGAGGGAGAGGAACATTGTATAGAATCAGAGCTAAGCAGCAGTTCGATGAATACCACATTCTGTCGTAATGACTACCTATTCAGTTGCTATCCCTGGTGTTGTGTGTTGCGAATATGCTATAATATGTGTATCTTGAGTTTAGCTAAAGTATGTAGACGAGTTCCAGGCGCCGTAGATGGGGACGCAAGGAGTTATAGATACTACTAGTTAAGACTAGACAACTAGCATAGTCTGAAGCTCCTATTTTAGGGTCTCTATGGCCTATGTTAGGAATCTAAGAGGGTTGATCATTATGTATAAGACATTTAAGTACAAGGCTACTTACTACAATCTTCATGTCACTTTAGGATATGATACCATGGCCTAAGAGGTTAGCATCATGGTATTCCGGATAGCTAACTCGAATCAAGCCTCTCTAGGAACGAGGTTCAAATGACACGCTGAAAACCCAGTACGTATAGCAGAGAGAATATGTCTCAACCAGGGCAATTACGATTATTATCGAAGCAAAGCAAGATCACATTGTAACAGTAAAGAGTATAACATTTCACATAATCGTGACTATCGTGGCAATTGACACTGCAAGCCTCTCTGGTGATCTTTTATTGATCAGAACCTAGCAAACGCGATCCCTTTCCGTTGCCGAAGATGAATAGAATCCATGAACACCGGTGCCATCGTGCGTGGTATTTTGCAGTGCCCTCATAACCTGACCCTCCGCCATCCTTCATCCGCTCACCGTCTACTTGTGTAGCTTACGCTGGTAGAAAGCCAGCTCCTCGCCCTCGAGGATGTATCCGTCCGCACGACCGCTCTGGCCGGGTCGGCTGGCAATGACGGCGTATAGACGACCAGCCTCGAATTGCTTCTCTAGAGCAGGCTCAACCTTGCCGGTGGCGGCGTATCGTTCAGCCTGCTTGCGCTCGACGGCGCCGCTCTTCTTCACGGCTTCCTCCTCCTTGCCAGACTTCTGCTGGCGTCTACGGCCGAGGGGCTGGCCGTAGTGGCTCTCATACCATTGACGGAAGGGAGCGGCATCGATCTGGACAACGGCGGACTTGGTAAGGGTGTTGGTTCGGACCAACTCGTTGTTGGAAGGGTGGTAGGCGACGACGATGACACGGGTCTTGCGGGTGCAACCCTCGGAAGCCCAGGCAAAGTTACCGGTGTCGAGACGCAGGGCACGGTGCTTGTGGTTGCCGCCGCGAGTGCGGACGGTGTGGATTCGCTTGGGGCCGATACGGGTGTTGGCCTCCTGTCGGCCGGCCTCGAAAGCGCGCTTCTTCCCTGGTGGAGAGGTCAGAACGTATGATCATTGTACAAAAACATGATGCATACGGGCTTTCGATATATGGGGCGTATCTCGAAAACACGGTCATGCGATGGTATACTACGTACGGTAAAAAGCGCGCTTGGCACCAGTGGCGGAGCGCTTGTGGCGGGAGTCGCGAGAAATACCCATGATTGCGGTTTCTGGTCAGGAAATTGGGTGGTTAGCCTCGGAGGGAGTTGAAGAGTTGAAGGTTGATTGATGAAAATTTGGTGATGATCAGTGAGAAATCTTGCAGCAGCAAATTCAACAGAGGCAAGACCGTTGAATGCTTTGCAAGATCAAACAACTGATCATATTAGCAATGGGAGACATACCTGACTAAAGCAGTTGGCAATCGAGAAGGGAATTGAGGGTGGTGATGAAGCGCTCGGAGTTTGAATTTCGCGGGAATGAAAAGTTGAAGGAGGCTCACGAAATTCAGTCAAAGTAAATTTGGAAAGTTTAGTGTGGGCTCGCCAAAATTTCGGAGGGGAGGTACTTTGATACCTAGGGCTTTCTTACTTGGTCTGTGCACATCTACCTAGGTACCTAAGGTTAGGTAATCACGCGTAAATTGGATGTGGTCAATGCGATTTAAGGGGAAACTGCAAGTGCAAGGCAGCATGCAACATGCAGACCCATTATTCACGTGCATTTCAAGACGTCCAACATTCTCCTTTCAGTACAATTTATTCATCGATTGGTCCATTCTGTCTGTTCTGCGCAATGCTAAGAAATAAATGTCAAGGTAGTCCCTTTAACATCAAGCAGGTAGCAAAGGCTTACCCTGCAAAGTACATAATGAAAAAAATCCAGTGCCTAATTCATAAAAGTCATACCACCTACTAACCATCTTTGCGTCTGCTTCGTGTACTAATAAAATCTCAAATGCATCGCAAGGTGCAGCCCTATTCCGCCCTATTCCGCCCTATTCCGCCGCATAAACTCATTTCAGTGCCCTAATATCAATCTTCCCTGCCTGGGTATGGCGAACCTTAACAAACCAACAAAAGAAACGAAAAACAATACCAATGAAACTACCATCATCCGGAACATTTTAGATCACGGGCTTGTCCTCGTCGATATCTTGTAGGAGCTGCTGTGTGAAACCAGTGAGCTCCTCCGTCTTGAATTCTGGGACTTCCTTGTCTCCCTCCCAGATTATGTCCCAATACTCTGGTCTAGTCATACCATCGAGGGTAGGCTCAAGTGCCCGGGTGGCAATTCTGCGGAACTGGCGAGGGACCAAACGGCCGTAGGCAGGGAAGAGCTTGTATCGGTCAACCATATCCTCGAACTGGTAGTCAACCTCTTGAGTTCGAGGCAAAGGCATCTGTCCCTGATAATACTCATATTCCCATCGAAGTGGCCAGTCGATAGGCACAAACAGGTTGCGATTCTCATGCCACATGGAAACGCGAGAGTTGACCAGGCTAAGGTTATCCGTGTTGTGAATCTCAAGCAACTTCGGAGACATCTGAACACGGGGTTGGGTTTGTTTATGGCGAATGGAGTTGCTGGGGTCTTCCATCACCTTGATGATCGCAAGCTGCTTGGCTTTCAGGGTGTCATTCTTGAACTTGAGATATTCATCGAATGTTGAAGGCACGAACGGCGATTCGATGGACTCGTGGCGCCAGTAAGCTTGGATCTTTTCCCATCGCTTTCGCTCAATGGCTAGTAGGTTTTTGGATGCCTTGACCGAAGACTCGCCAGCATGCTTATTGGCCAGACCAGAATGAGGAAGCTTTCCGCTAGCGGCGGGGAGAGCAGTTGCGAACTCTTTGGGATTATAGCAATTGTATGCACCTCCGGTCCATTTACCAGGACCACTGAATCCTGGGCCAAACTCGTGAGGGCAGATGCAGCCTTCATCGTGGAAGAAGCGGTGGTAATAGTACATCGCGTAGTCAATTGGGCTTCCATCCCATTCAGCCTCGCTCTAGTCACCGGTCGCGTTAATTATTAACCAAACATAGCAAGTGTTTACAACTACTGACCTGCATACCCTGCTGCTCAAGCTCTGCCTTATGCTTGTAGTAGAGGGCGATGTCTGCCTTGGCAGTGTTGCGGCTCACATCATCAAAGATGACGCGTCCAATCTCTCCGAGGTATCCCTTGGTGATGGGCGACGGGATCTCTGGGTTGACCTTCTTAGACGCGGAAGAGTCCATGGTCATCGGCGAGGTCGAATAATGAGACATTGTGTAGATCTTAAGGGAAGTTCTTAATGAATACTAGGAAAAGAATGATGGAAAGCGTGGTATTTGTCGGCGAAAACTACAATGCTAAATGTGCTAAGGTGTTGAGAGAAAAGAATATTGATGAGGTTAGCAGGTCGGCAACAAGGCAAGAAGTTATGTGAAGACCTCAGTCAAAAGTTAACAGGTGCGGGGACCACAATGTCGTTACTGCAGTCTGTAGAGGGGTTGACAGTCTCATCTCCCTAACAACCACTGGCAAACTTCCAGTACCTCCTAGTAACCACTCACTATGGAACCCACAGGCAGTTGTTAAGAGAAATTATCCAGCTAGGACAATGCGGTACACGGCAACGGCGAGCCTGCGATTATTTCTTGTTGTGTCTACTGGGGATATGGCCCTGACGTCTAATAATTTATTCTGACCGCGTCTGCTTATGTTTATTCATTACCTTAAAAAGGAATATACATGCAATATACAACCTCCTGGCGCTATTGTAAGTACCTCATTACCTGTTTGCCTAAGTTGTAGGCATATATCTCTATCTTCGTATCTACCTAGGTGTCTAATCGCGCTCTATTTAAACTAGGATACCTCTGCCATATCCAATCACCAAAGAGAAATAGGTAGCCCCTATCTGTAGATAAAGATAATATTTAGTCTATCATGAACAAGTATCTTCTAGTTTACTGTATGGTCAACTTAGAAGGCCCTTTCACATCATATCAAGACAACATAATGTCATACATTCACTACGAGAGAGGACACACTATATTAAGTAGAGAAGATTGAGGAAGCCTGCTGTTAAAAGATATGCCCCAGGGGTAGTAAAAGATTACAAGGGCGCTATCATATTATGAAGCCACAGGGAATTAGTATAAAAATAAATGATTCCTCACTGGATATATCTCTATGCATCAACAGTCCTATGATATTTAAGATTGAGCTCTTCATGAAATAACTCGGTGTCTAGCCGATTTCCTACTTCCTGCATATATCGCTGTACTTATACAAGCCAGAGGTTTGACTATCTAATATATTTGTCTGTCAGTGGTATATGAAGGCTCTTTCTACGGTTATATTTCAATATAGTATCTAAAATTAAGGGGCCAGACTCCATTTTAGTATTTGGCCTCATATAGATAGGCAAATTAAGCGGACTATGCTTAAGGCTTGATTTAAGTAGTTAACTAAGTAGGTCTATGTCAACAAATAAGACGAGATACAAGTTGTACAGAGTGCTAATACCTTGTACTAACGAGACAGTGACATGCGCATTGGAGGTCCAAATTCAGAGGTAAACTGCCACCTGAGCTATAGGACTTTGTTGATCCTGTCTATTTGCTATATAAATTTTGAGCATATATAATATACTGCTTGTATTAATTACGGAAGCCTATATAAAGTTTTGGATATATATATCAAAGGAGTAACTATCACGAGACCAAAAGGTCAGTAAGGAAGAAGATGATGTTCTGGGGAAGCTGCAAGGCCTGAATATATACACATCTAAGATACCTGACTCAGGTACTGAGTCATGTAGGTGTCTGGCGGAGCTAGACGACTACGTGACTCCTGACCGTGACAGTAGCCTAATGTAGAACGTAATATTTCCTCGTCTAATGCCCTACGATGGTTGCTGTTGAAGCTCAGTAGCTGCATATCACGATATATGTACTTATGCATAATATGTAGTACGTTCGATAGCACGTGCGACCTGTATGTATGTACCTATGTACTGCCCATCCTGGAGTATTAATCCCTGCACGTGTTACATAATGCCCGATCTGCCGGCTGCTAAAGCCTAACAGGGCACACGCATTCGGTGGTACATACCTCATGTAGGTACCCCGATTTGTACATCATCATCTGAGCTCATAGGCTTATGACCGATAAGATAGGGCTGCCTTATTGTATCCGGTAACGGTAAGCACGTCACATCGAATCTCCCATTCCTTATTCTCCCATCCTCCCAATACATACAGGAGATGGGAACTTTCATCTTCAAGTCATTCCTTTAAACCAAATCATCTTATAGAGCTACCTAGGTCTTCATCATCTAGGGCTCACTGGCAGTTCGTTGGACTGCCACCCCCCCTTGTCGTGAACATGGCGACGCCATCGACCTTAGATCAGTCGCCTCTCCTACGATCGCGTTCATCCTCGACATTAGGGTCGCTTAGCTCAAACACGACCATCAGCGATGCTTCCCGAAACCTGAAGCTCCGGCATAAGACGCGTGCCTTACGCGCCGTCGCCTTCGTCGTATCTATCCTCACAGCTCTCTGCGCCGGGTCCATCACTGTCTTCTCGCTCTACGGGCACCTCTTCCAATCGCGACTACACTACACCCAATTCCAAATCAACGGCATCGCTAGTACCATGAGCCTCTCTATGTACCTCCCGGTCCCCGTGATAGGATTTCTATGCGACCGAGTAGGACCTGGTCCGCTCTCCCTGTTGGCCTCGATCCTGCTAGGAGGCGGGTACGGTTTGGCGGCCGGGTTATATCATAAGGGTCTTGGAGAAGTTGAGGATGGAGTGAAGGGCGTGAAAACTACGTTCCCTCCTATGCTCATTGCTTTTGTGGCTATTGGTGTAGGCACGTCCTGTATGTACCTGGGTGCTATTACTACATGCGCCAAGAACTTTGGGCAAGGCAAATACCGAGGCTTGATGCTGGTTGCTCCCATTGCGTCGTTTGGTCTTGGTGGGATGGTCCTTAGTCAGATCGGGAGCCGTATTCTCTACGAAACACAGCCGGATGGAGCCAGAGATGTAAACGTATTCCATTTCTTCCTGTTCCTCAGCGTCGTTCTCGCTGTCCTTGGACTTATCGGTACCGTTTCGCTGCGAATTGTAGACGAGGAGGACCTCATCGACGGTGCGGTAGAAGAACTAGAGAGGAGCGGGCTCCTCGAGGGAAGCGAGGTCTTTCACCGTCGAGCGCATCGGGACTACGGTGCTATTGATGCCATCGATGACGATGCTAGAGCCATAGACCCGGCTAGGGATGAGGATGACGAGGATGATAATGCTAGGCTGAAAAAGGCCTGGCTTCTCAATGCTGAGACTAGGAGATTTTTGTCGGATCATACGATGTGGTGGTTTGGTATCGGTTTTTGGCTCATCATTGGACCGGGCGAAGCGTTTATCAACAATCTTGGCACCGTGGTTGGAACTTTATATTCTCCGAGCACAAGGTCAGATGAAACGTCCGTGGCGACACACGTTTCTATTATGGCTGCGGTGAGCACGGTTGCTCGTTTACTTGCGGCGTCGCTGAGCGATCTGCTATCGCCAAGTCCTCATAGCCAGCACGTTCAGACGGGATTTCCAACCTCCCTTCCAGAGCTAAGACAAAAGATATCAGTCTCACGCATAGTTATATTCATTGCTGCTGGTATTATTTTATCCATCGGAACGCTAGTACTGGCCTCCGGTGCAGTTCAGGAGCACGGGGAACGTTTCTGGATTGTATCTGGCGCGATTGGAGCAGGGTACGGCGCAGTATTCAGCCTAACGCCGATTATCGTGACGATGATCTGGGGTGTTGAGAACTTCGGCACCAACTTCGGCATCCTCGCACTCACACCCGCTCTGGGTTCCACGATGTGGGGTCTTATTTACTCGGCAGAATATCAGGCCGGTGCTCACGATTCACCTTCGCTGGCTAAAGGGGCTGATGAAGATGTGTTCTGTTATGGCACAAAGTGTTATTCGTCCACGTTTTGGGCCATGACGATCTCCGTGTGGATCGGGGTGGTCATGGTTTTCTGGGCTTGGAAAGGCCGAAATGGTTGGTCTAAGAGGGGGATTGTTATCTAGAGGCATAGACCTACATAGATACCTACCTATAGAGCACATGTGCGGATAAGGGTTGTATTTACACGTATTACTTTTACTTGGAAGCGATTTTAAATTTTGGGGCAGGGTTTTTTCATTTGTACAGACTGGGTCTCGATCTTCTGTATTGGAGTCATTGGTTGGGGTTTATTAAGGGTATTGAAGGTTAGAAGGGCTATCGTTCAAGGATGGAATCAACAAAGTCCAGATTGTGTTTTTGATTCATTACTGTCTGAGCTCACGCTCGGGAGATGATTACCTAGGAGTTCGGCCTTCGCAATATTAATCAGCGTTGTCCAGTTGTAGATACGCTATGTAATATCTAAATGTGTATCAATCTTGTCGTATGGTATTTACCGCCTTCACCTAGTGATTCTTGGTGGCTTCTCTAATAGTCACAAGAGACGCTAGTATTAAGTCCGGAAGTAGAAGCTTTAAAAGCCACCCAATTTCGCTTCTTATCCCCGTATGGGGATACGAGAAACTTGGAGTCTTTACTGAGACTCAAGTCATAAGGTCACTTTCGTATAGGTTCTGCCATGTCTTACTTCGCTACATACACACTCAAGATTTGAAGGAGTACCCAATATAATTGTTTTTCTCAGAGCCACCGCCATTGGTTGACGTTAGTCATAGTATTTAACTAGCTCTACCTAATATGAACATTCCAGTCACCAACAAATATCTATCTACTATTCTACGCTAATAATAGACCGCCAGTTGGTAAGAGAATCAGGCCCAACTTCTTCTAGAAAATGGCAGGGGGTAAGGTGCATCTTGGCTCGCATGGCCAACGCATCGAATGACTTCTAACAATCTCAGGGGCGCAATCCAAGTATCCAGTAACCGACATGTTGATGCAGGACTCCCGAAGCTAACCATCAATGCTAGCATTAAGCCGCATGTTGTCTCTTACAAAGAGATATTTGGCAAGGGTTTGATTAGGCTTCTATGTAGAATAAAGAATAGTAGTTAAGTCTGAGAAACGCTTAAACTATTTTCGAATAGGTTATTGCTCCGAAGCTATAAGGGTTAAAACCTAACGCTGGTCCCGTATTTCTAGACTCTAGAACAACAAAGAATACACATACACGGCTGGCTTGAAACAGGGTAGTTTAAGACATTAAAGCATTAAAAATAGAGAATTCTTTAGCCCCGATCCTGGTATCAGTTGATTCTCTTAACATGCATAGCATTCCATAGAGCTAAACTCGCTACCGGCTTTTATCGACAAGACTTGTCCGTTTACAGCATGATTTAAAAGACAATAACTAGCTAGGTTTTGAGACTTGAAGTTTAGCTAATAAGAAGTAATTAAGCCAGCCTTGTCTTTGAATAGGCTATTGCTGTGGAGTTGTATAGTTGTCAATGCCGGCCCCAGCCTGCCTGGGAACTAACTAGGGAAAACAAACGAGAGTGTAAGACGGGAGGATTGAACATAGGTACCATCTTGAAGTTGTTGACATCAGCATGATGCCCTCATAGTGGAGGTGGCAATAAACACGGCCGTCGAATCTGAGTAAGAACTGAAAGAGTGTCTGTTAATCAGGCCCGATTCGGTTCGTTACTCTCGAACACGAAGAGTGAAATGTGTAACCTCTAACCCTACAGCCCGGATAATTTCCAACTGCGGCGCACATATTATTACGTGACACGATGTCATCATGTTCCCTCTCCACGCAGATACTGATACATATTGCATAGATGAGCGGTTACGCATGTAGCACAGCACAGAAGCAGTCAGCAGCCAGCAGCCAGCAGCAGGCGAATAGCCTAATCCCGATCGAAAAGAAAGCAGTCAACGGATCGGAGCACGCGGCTCTGGCTCTGTACTACCCACTCGTACCGTCCTCTGCAAGGGGCGCGGGGCGGCACGCCCCTGTTGGAATACGAGCTTGGCGCTTGCTGATCTTTCCCTGTCTGCCGTCTGCCGGCTTCTAACGCGATCACAGATCTCAGAACACGGTCGATCCTCCACAATTGGGCGTGTTCGCAAGCATGGGGTCTTATGTATTCTGCGGGCTGGAGCCAGGCTGCATATGTATGTTACCTACACTGCGCCGGATCGAATGGAACCCGACCTTCGACCGCCGGCCAGACGCTACATACATACATACATACCGGTACCTAACATACATATCGAGTTGGTCGTGAATCATGCACTAATACCCGTCCCCCTCTCAATGCTCCATAATCTCGGGATACGAGGCCGGGGAGGTACCTGACTGGACCTGCGCGATGGGCACCCGTTAGGCATGTAGGGAGCCAGGAAGCCAGGTACTCCGATTTGCAAGTCGCGCCGGGTCTAGGGGCTGCAGAGTGTGAATGGATGCAACGGAATTCCAGATGGGTACCGGTAGTAACATATAACGTGAGCAGCCGGGGGGTACCCTACCCTACCCTTCAAGCAGACCGGGAATAGTCTCAAGCTACCTACCCTACTTACCTACCTCTATTACACGACACTACTACACGCCTCATCATCGACCGGCCAGGGATACATATCTACCTACATACCTGTACACATATCGTATTCGATCGAGTATATATAAGACCTCGACATCGCCCAAGACATCGATCTTATTTATCCTCACCACTCTACTTAATTCCTCCTAACTACCTAGTAAGCAATCGACTTATACGCCCTCTATCTAATACCTAGTATAATATATAATACCTATCTATCCCTTATACCAACCAACCAACCATCCATCCGTCCATCCTCACCATATTCAAAATGCAGATCTCCGCCCTCCTCTCCATCGTCGCCTTCTCAGCCGCCGCCCTCGCCCACCCGCTCTCCATGGCCGCCAACGCCACCCAGTGGACCATCACCAGCCTATCGCGCAGCTGCGACGCCGCCGACCAGTCCTGCGACTGGACCTTCGGCATCGACAACGGCGCCGGCGCCACCCCCGTCAAGTACACCGTCAAGGCGGCCGGCTCGACCCCGGCTAGCCGATCCAGCGGCGGCCCCGTCACCGTCGGTGATTTCACCATTACCAGCGGCTGGAGCGGCCAGTTCGGCGACGACAAGGGCTTTACCACCTTCTCCGTTGTCGACAATGCGAAGCGCCAGATCGTGTATCCTTCCGTGAGTAGCCCAGCCAGCCAGCCAGCCTACCTTTTACTTTTCCTATCTGTACCTAAGACATCGGGGTTGTTAACTAACATGCCGCAGTACACCGACGCTCAGGTCAAGGACGGCCAGGTCGTCAAGCCTGACCAGAGCTACCCCGTTCAGAACCTCCCTTAAGCGGCGAACTCGCCGGTTAGCGATGGGATTCCACCTGAGAATGAAGTGAATGGAAACGATGGGCAACGAGGCAAGGTTAGTGGGGCAAAGCAGAGTCCGGGATTCCTTTTTGGTTGTGGTATGTACATATGGCGACGATGGAGATTCAGTCTATAGATATATAAGTGTTAATACGAAGCTGTATATCGTCGTAATTGCTTTATAATATTGCATACTTGATTTGACTTTTGATGTGATACTCGCCGGTGTGACAGTTCATGGGCATATGTTATATAGTTGCTGGGTAGAATCTTGGTTGATGTTGCATATAAAATAGATCTTAACGAGCAACACTCGTTGCTCTTGATAGTACGTAGGTAGATGTTATAACTAAGCTGTGATTCTCATCGTCAGTTGATATAAGTTTCAAGGATATCAATTCATATAAAGCAACCCACGTATCGTGAGCAGCTATGCAAGCGAGTGAGCCCAATGCAAGTATCTAGAATGCCACAATGCAGAAATCAAATTTAATTCCAAACGCCGCCCCTATGCCTGACCCTTTAATTCTTCCTCCACTTGCTTCTTTACAATCTCCCTGACCTTCTGCCAGTCGTTCTCTACTTCCGTGACTCTCTTCTCTTTTGCCTCTAGGCCCACAAACTCTGGCGGCAGAACATTCTCCTCGAAGTTAAAGCCGGGCTCATCTTTCAACGCAAGGTCAACCGCGCCGGCAAACTTGGCCGGGTGGGCGGTTGAAAGCGAGATGTGAGGAACCCTGGAACGCCCTAATGACCGCAATGATGCGGCTACACCTACCGCGGTATGAGGATCCAGGACGTATTCGATCTTCTTAAAGTAATTTTTAATTGTATCGATCGTTTGCGAATCGCTCACCCGTTCGCTTTCAAAGTCGCGCTTAGCACTGGAGTGTACGTCCCGATAGACTGGGCCAAAACCACCGCTCGTCTTTAGTTGTTTCATCCATGCGGCCACCTCCTGACCAGCTTGCTTCCTGTTCCACTCAGCATCCATACCGGCAACGGCAGCAAACTCGTAAGCTAGGAACCAAAGCAATCGTTCGAAATTACTCGAGACGAGGATGTCCATCGCGGGGCTCAGCGTTTCCTTGACCCCATCTTCGTGAGCTTTGACGCCATCGACCGCCAGACCGCCTTGCGCTTCCGGACCACGGGCGGGCTTTTTCTCATATTTTCCGGTCTTCCAGAATCGGTCAAGGATATCGTTCTCGTTTGTCGCAATTACCAATTTTTCCACGGGAAGACCCATCCTGTGTGCAAAATAGCCGGCCAAGATATCACCGAAATTACCGCTGGGTACAACATAGCGGACTTTTTCGCCAATAGTCAGACCAGACGACTTTACAAGCGAAAAGTAAGAGTAGAAATAATAAACGATCTGGGCGAGAATTCTTGCCCAGTTTATCGAGTTTACTGCGCCGAGATTAAGCGTCGAGTTAATGTCGGGGTCGGCAAATAAAGCCTTCACTATGTCCTGGCAATCGTCGAATGTACCCTTCACTGCCAAATTGTGCACGTTTGCATCCAACACCGTGGTCATTTGTGCTTCTTGAATAGGGCTAACCCTGCCTTTGGGATGAAGGATGAAGACCGATACGTCCTTCTTTCCTCGTAGTCCGTAGATGGCTGCCGAGCCAGTGTCACCGCTTGTGGCGCCTACTACAGAGAGGTGGTGTCGGTCGGCGCCCGTCTTTCCCTCGTTCTTTCGTACTAGGAAGTACTCGAAGAGGTTACCTAGAAATTGGAGAGCGACATCCTTGAAGGCGAACGTAGGGCCGTGAAAAAGTTCTAGTAGGTATAGGTTATCGTGAAGATGTCGTAGCGGTGTGGTTTCAGGGGCACGAAAGGTCGAATAACTCCTGTCAATGATTCCCTTTAGGTCATCGCGTGGAATTTCAGACGGCGCTATGTATAAAGATAGGATCTCGAGGGCAAGGTCTGGAAAGGATAAGTCTTTCCAGCTCTGCCAATCGCTCGCCGAAGGGATCTCCTCCGGAATGTAAAGCCCGCCATCGTTGGCTAGACCTTTTAGAACAACCTCTTCAAAGGAAAACTAAAGAAACATGTTAGTGCAAAGTTGCTATAGAGAATCGCACCGCTATAGCTCCTACATCATAGTCCTCGCCCCTAGTACTCAAATACCTTTGAGAGGCATTGCGATCGTCCGAGCTGGCATCTGTCGTCTCGCCATTGGTTCCGTTCGACATGGTGGAAATCTAAGACTAAGGACAATGGTTAGGTGTCTTACGATCTCCAAGTTCCCTCGAAGGCTAGGTATGTTTCTCCTGGAGATGACGAAGGAAAAAATATAAAAATTGGAAGACCGAATTCGGCTGATAATCGATTACTACCCCGCACTAGCCTGATCTAGATAAATCTGGGTTGGAAAGAGGGGACGTGGTCCCTTAGTCCCCTATTCCCCTATTCCCTATCCTCTGTGCTTGCCGACGATCAAATAGAAGGAGGCCAACCGAACAAGGCTCAGTATTGTTGTTGTCCCTGAACACTTGATTGGTTTAAACCCTGCATCTTCTTTTTCTTCCAACCCTATTTTATGCATATTTCATGTTGCTTTACGAACTGCATATGTGTTGTTTCTCTTAAATGATTTGCATAGTTACCTAATTATCCCCTTGACTGATATTTAACTAGGTACATCTCCATTATTTCAGTATTAGTACATAAGACTTGACGCCGTTCATTAACATAATAGGAAAAGGTTCGATAGTTAGTATAAGCCGTAAATATTATTGGTCTATTTAGCCATTTTCTCTTTCCTGGCCAATCCCTATGTATCAATACTGAAAATAGTGGAGGTGTAGTTGAATGCCAGTTAAGGGGATGAATATACTTGCATAAAAACGCTATTAAGAATTTGTTTCTTTTTTGTTTGTAGAATGGTTAAATGCATGTTGAAGTTGTTATATGGACTTACCTAATACAGCAGGTCTGCTGTGAGGTCTTGGCGTTGATTCGTGGGAATGTTACGGGATAGCGCTTTCTTTGATATCCCCGGCTTGGTCAGCAGCAGTCATTATCGGTATCAGTCCTCCCGTTGTCCCATGCTTTCTGTTTATTATTTCATCCACTCAACTTAATTTCATCATTACATCAAGTGTAAATCATCCATCTTAATACGGACTGACTACATAATTATAGATTATCATTCTTAGGCAGTAGTATTTTCTTAAAACTCTATAATTGGTCACTACTATCTAAAGTTACGTCATCATTCCGCTACCATGTCTCCCGATAGAGGGAGTATCGAGGTTATGGCTCCTCCGTACCCGCCCCGGACCGAAGAAGAGCTTAAGCGCCTTCCGGAGGGCCGGCATTTTACTCTTCGAGGCGTCGCCGTCGGTCTACTCGTCGGGCTAATGTGAGTAACACGTGTATTTCTTTATTTCCCTTACATAGCAAAACGTAGACGCGTCTCCCTTTCTTATATAAAACCATCACTTTTAGAACATGATGTAAACCCCCCCGTTAAGCAGTAGATAAAATGTATCAAAAAGGTAGTCATTACTGACTTCATATTGTAGAATATGTTTCAGTAATATGTACTTCGGGCTACAGACTGGCTGGATTTCTATGATGACAATGCCTGCTAGTTTATTGGGCTTTGGTATCTTCAAGACTCTGTCACGTCACCTAACATTTCCATTCTCCCCAGTGGAAAATGTGCTTGTGCAATCGGTGGCAGGCGGAATGGCAATTATGCCTCTTGGTTGTGGATTCGTAGGCGTGGTAAGTGGCGATGGGCCTAATAAGAAAATAGTAGCTATACTAACCAGATCCATTCCAATATTAGATACCAGCTATGGAGTACATGATGGACTCATCAGAACAAGGTCCGATTAAACTGAGCATGTGGAAACTCATAATATGGTCTCTAGGCCTTTGCTACTTTGGTGTTGTATTTGCTGTTCCGTTGTAAGTCGACGACACTTTCGGATCTATGCGATGTTGGTACCTAACCTCACCTAGGCGCCGTCAAGTGATCATCAGAGAGCAATTGAAATTCCCAAGTGGATTTAGTACCGCAGTTCTCATTGGGGTACTTCATAGCAAAGGACAGATTCAGAACAACGGCGCATTGAATACATCGAAAGCCGCGACTTTTGGTAGTCTAGCACTGGAGAATCAACCACTTCTCCAAACTGAAGGCGTTGATAGTGAGAGTGACGTAGCTAATTCGACTGATGGACTACCGCCCGCTGAGACGACAAAGCCTTACAGCTGGGGTTCTAATATCCGGTTACTTCTGATTACGTTTGGAATATCTGGCTTATACACCCTCTGCACTTATTTCTTTCCCATGCTTAGGAACCTCCCTATCTTCGGAACGGTGGCAGCCGACACTTGGCTCTGGACTCTAAACCCAAGCCTCGCGTACGTCGGTCAAGGCATTATAATGGGTCCTTCTACAACTATACATATGCTTCTCGGAGCGGTAGTTGGCTGGGGTATTCTATCTCCCCTTGCTAAATTTCGGGGCTGGGCCCCAGGGCCGGTCGATGATTGGGAAGAAGGTAGTAGAGGCTGGATTGTCTGGATTTCCCTTGCTATTATGCTAGCAGATGCCATTGTCAGCTTAGGATACGTTGCCTTCGCCCCAGTTCTAAAGAATTACCCGATCATCTCTGCCAGTATAATACGGCAATTTCAGTATGAGGAGCTCAAGAACTTATTCTTTAGTCGACCCAGAGGGTACACAGCTATTCAAAGCAGCGAAGACGACCCGAGAACTTCGGTAGCCACGAGTAACTTGGAGGATGTAGACGGCCTATCAAGCCCGTTGGTTGAGCGTAGGAATCCATTCGACACGCAATCGGTTAACACCCAAAGAGCCTGGGTTCAACATGATGCACCCCCCGAGCAACTAGTCGGAACTAGAACAGTTGGTGTCGGCCTCTTTGCATCGGTCCTCTTTTGCATCGCTAGCATTCATATCACGTTTGGCGATCTAGTTCCCCTATATGCCACTATCATAGCCGTTCTAATGGCAATGGTTTTGAGCATTATGGGAGTTCGAGCGTTAGGTGAAACGGACCTAAATCCCGTTTCCGGAATCAGCAAGCTAGCACAGCTTTTCTTCGCATTAATTATCCCGCAGTCTCACAAATCAAATGTCCTCATTAACTTGGTGGCTGGCGCTGTATCGGAAGCTGGTGCATTACAAGCGGGTGATCTGATGCAAGATCTGAAAACCGGCCACTTACTGGGTGCGGCGCCCAAAGCGCAGTTCTGGGGCCAGATCATTGGCGCGACTGTGGGTGCTGTTGTCAGCGCGTTCATCTATCGGTTATACACCGCTGTATATGAGGTTCCCGGGGAACTATTCCAAGTACCAACCGGCCGCGTATGGATCGCGACTGCGAGGTTGGTTACTGGGAAGGGGTTGCCGGAGATGGCCAGGAGTTATGCTATCGGTGGAGCGGTTATTTTCGCCATCTTCACTGCCCTTCGTGCAAAGGCGATTGGGAAGAGTTGGCATGCATATATACCTGGCGGGATCGCCGTGGCAGTTGGTAAGAATAAGAAAATATGATGAATCAGGTCTATTGCTAATAACATACTCTATAGGCATGTACAACGTCCCATCTTTCACATTAGCAAGAACTATCGGTGGTTTGATAAACTGGTACTGGAGGATATATCTGCGGAAGGATGATACACCGCTTATTATCCTTGCGTCGGTGAGTGCCCTATTATTATGAATAGATTTTTGAATAGCATCACTGACAACAATTATAGGGTTTCGTCCTAGGAGAAGGGTTTTTGAGTATCGTCAATTTGCTGTTACAGAGCTCTCGGGTTCCTCACCTCTGAAAGCAATAACACTAGCCAATCGGGGGATGTACGTAGTTCAGCCTGAAATAATCATACGATGTTTGGTCTATCTAGGTAGGTAGTATATATTTGTCCTATCTCTTAGTTTATATTACCACTTACCAAGCGATCTCGGTATGTTTACCACATCATACATGGTATAACTGGGGAATATGAGAAGATGCTGAGAACAACATCAAGTCCCACAGTAGCATAGCATAATACTTGGATATACACAAATCTATCTTCGTATGGGGTAGCCTGGTCCCGACGATCGGATATATCATCTGATGCACCAGGAAATATCCGGCCTTGTGATCGCCGATCTCAGTCGGAGCCGTGGTTTTGTGGGCTGATTTTGCCCCCCGCATTTCAAGTCCCACAGCCGGCGCGGGGTCTTAATATAATTATATCGGTGGTATCCCTCTCGAAACGCGCGGGCCAGCAAAGTCTTGCATCTCACATCGTAGTTGGTTCGATCAGTGTTATAAGGTCAAGATGCTGCTGAACGAAAGTCATACCGACGTGCAAACGACCGTGGATGGGAAGGAGACGTCGATGAGTGAGGAAGGCCCCCGCGACAGTAGAGGCTCCCGACTAGAGACGCTAACGTTGGGCAGGAATTTTCACATTCCATCCCACCATCCCGCAATATCCTGATGCGTAAGGCCTTTATTTTCTTTCCACTTAGGGACTCGGACATAAGTTTGCTGATGAGTTGGCAGTCGATTTCCTGGCGTCGTGCTATTCAGCGAGATCTATCAAGGTATCATCATCATCGTCGAGCATCCAGCACGACAAGTCGTCGACTATTATGCAGCTCGCTAACTAGCGCGTGGACAGTCACGGGCCCAGTAGCGCGATTCGCGCGTCAAATCGCAGGTCAGGGCTATATTGTTGCCGCTCCATCGTCGTATCACGACTTCACTGGTCCCGAAGCCCTAGCCTACGATGGCCCGGGAACGGACCAGGGGAACGAATGGAAGGTGAAGAAGGTAAGATCGTGGCTCCATGTAATTAATAACATATCGACTAAGTGCCGGCTGACCGCGAGCATGTTATAGACTCTTCAATCATATGACGAGGACTCTCACAAGGCGGTTGATTACCTCCTCAGTCTTCCTACGTGTACGGGCAGGATAGGCAGTACTGGAATGTGTCTGGGTGGCCATCTTTCTCTACGAGCTAGTGTACGATTCTTGCCTTCGAATAAACTCCCTTGCGCTGACGTGCCCCTAGCTTGATCCGCGGATAAGCGCAACCGTCGCGTACTTTGCTACCGATGTGCACTCCCGTACGTTGGGACCTCATTCGGGGGCCAACTTGTCAGTCGAGGGCCCAGCGAACAGTAACCACACAATCGACAGGCTCGGCGAAATCAAGGGCGAGGTAGCCATGATTTTCGGCATCAAGGACACCCACGTTCCGGACGAGGGCCGCGACTTGATTCGACACAAGCTGAGGAGCTCTGGAACAGTCTTTAGTTTCTACGAGTTCGCGTGGGCGCAGCACGCCTTCATCCGCGATGAACTGAGCAAGGGTCGCTATGATCCAGCCATCACGAAGATATGCTTCGAGGTGTTGCTGGAACTGTTCGGCCGAGTGCTAAAGTCGGACCTGGGACAGAGGGATAACAAGCCCGAGAAGATTGAGCACGTTTGTTGATGAGTCTCTGACGTCGGCAGTCTATATCAGGAAAACCGAAAACAACCTCCGGGGGTATTAATTAGTTATATATTCGCTCATTATCTTAGGTATCAAAACTGCATATTATGTATACCGACTCAATCCCTGAAAAAATGGAGGCAAGGCAGGCATACGTAGATCAAAATATGTAACCCTACTTGGAGGCTACTTGATATTTCAACAGGCCAGAAACGGCCTCTAGGAATGCCTTACCAAATATAATGGACGTTGGACTCGTCCGCATTTTGTTGGTTGAAAATGAGGCATGTAGACATTCGAAACGTTTTCGGAATATGTAGTCGTCGGTTGGGGGCCGTTGTGGCTGATTTAGGCCATTTTCATTCAATTATATTACACTTGTAGGTACGCGTCTCGAAGATAATATGAATATTTTCTCCTATAAAGCTGGCTGCCGAATTATTAAATTCCTAAATAGGTAAATGGAATATCGAAGAAACCAGACATTGATCAGCTGAGTTTTTAATACCACGAAGCCTTATATAGGTATGTATATTGGTCTATAAGGCGGGCTTGCGAACTAAAAAGGCTGCTTTTGACGATGGTTCACGTTGGTATAAAATGGTACGAAGTTACTTCTAGAGGGGTCGTTATGTACAATTTTTGACGATACCTGCCGCTTCTGAATGCGATTCTATATATGAATGCCATTGGATTTGAACTCAAAACACGTACATGTACATATGTAGATCCCTCCCGAGAGACTTGAATCTTCTAGATTAATATAATGACGTTCTTCTTGCGGCTTTGTACACAAATCAGACAAGGCAGGCAGGATGTATGTACATAGAAGGCAGAAGGCAGTAAACGAAACAATTGGAAGTTGCCTTATCAACGGTTCCGTTCCTGCCTGACAGCAAAAAGAAGAGAAGAGAAGAAAAAAAGGTACATCGGGGTAGGTACTTTGTATTTCGTGCATTTTTTAGTGGGCCGTAAGGCAGGCTGATTAGCCCGGGCAACCAAGCAGTGATGTCAATACCATGATGGCGGGGTAAGTACCCAGAGCTAGGTACATCTCAGAGTACGTGATGTGCATAGAGAATAGAGACGATACCTAGATACTTGGTGGTCTGTATGTATTGTACTGTAGGCCTGTTAGCCCCTAAAGACCTCTAGAATTAACAGTGTAGAATTAACAGTGTATTATTACAAAAATCACTTATATTCTTAGGTAGGTACACTTCCGTGCAATACAGAAAGTACGGTACATGCAGTACAAGAGTGTGTATTGAAAATTCTATTCTTGTCTATTCCTATCTGGGTGATTCCACTGAATTCAGGAAGCTTGGAGGGTTTTTAGTTAGCAAGTTAGGCGGAAAGTACATACCAGAAGCGGGTACCAACTTCCAGCAATTCGAGAAGATTCCCTGGCCCCACCATAGCTTCCACTTCTGATTGTATAAACTCCTGCTCAAGTCCCAAGCAACATTTCTCTTCTCATCATCAATCTCAGACATCAACAACAACAATTCTCTCACGAACAACGCAAAATACATTAATTTAGATACCCGCCCCATTTGGGTACAAAATTCTGTTGCGTTTTGACACAACTACAACGCTATTACACTACTACACATCGCACATTCTTCTCTCTATTACCCCGCCATACCTACTGTTTGACCTAACAAGTCGTCACATCTTTCACAATGGTTCCCGCAGTCGGAATTGACTTGGGCACGACCTACTCGTGTGTAGGCGTCTTCCGAGATGACCGAATTGAAATCATTGCCAATGACCAGGGTAACCGAACCACACCCTCCTTCGTGGCCTTCACGGACACGGAGCGTCTAATCGGTGATGCCGCCAAGAATCAAGTCGCCATGAACCCTCAGAACACCGTCTTCGACGCCAAGCGTCTGATCGGTCGCAAGTTCTCGGACCCTGAGGTTCAGGCTGACATGAAGCACTTCCCCTTCAAGATCGTTGACAAGAATGGCAAGCCTGTCATCGAGGTTGAGTACAAGGGTGAGACGAAGCAGTTCACCCCCGAAGAAATCTCCTCTATGGTCCTTACCAAGATGAAGGAAACCGCTGAGGCCTACCTTGGTGGCACTGTCAACAACGCTGTTGTTACCGTACCTGCCTACTTCAACGACTCTCAGCGACAAGCTACCAAGGATGCCGGTTTAATTGCTGGCCTGAACGTCCTCCGAATCATCAACGAACCCACAGCTGCCGCCATCGCTTATGGTCTCGACAAGAAGACCGAGGGTGAGCGCAACGTTCTCATCTTCGATCTCGGTGGTGGTACCTTCGATGTCTCTCTCCTAACCATTGAGGAGGGTATCTTTGAGGTCAAGTCTACCGCTGGTGACACTCACTTGGGTGGTGAGGACTTTGACAACCGACTCGTCAACCACTTTGTCAACGAGTTCAAGCGCAAGCACAAGAAGGATCTCTCTACCAACCCCCGTGCTCTGCGACGTCTCCGAACCGCTTGCGAGCGTGCCAAGCGTACTCTTTCTTCTTCCGCTCAGACCTCTATTGAGATCGACTCTCTATACGAGGGTATCGACTTCTACACGTCTATCACCCGTGCCAGATTCGAGGAGCTTTGCCAGGATCTCTTCCGATCCACCATCCAGCCTGTCGACCGTGTCCTTGCCGACGCTAAGATCGACAAGTCTCAAGTCCACGAGATCGTCCTCGTCGGTGGCTCCACCCGTATCCCCCGTGTGCAGAAGCTCATCACCGACTACTTCAACGGAAAGGAGCCCAACAAGTCCATCAACCCTGATGAGGCCGTCGCCTACGGTGCTGCCGTGCAGGCTGCTATCCTCTCTGGTGACACCAGCTCCAAGTCGACCAATGAGATCCTGCTTCTCGACGTCGCCCCGCTTTCCATCGGTATCGAGACTGCTGGTGGTATGATGACCAAGCTCATCCCCCGCAACACCACCATTCCTACCAAGAAGTCCGAGGTCTTCTCCACCTTCTCGGATAACCAGCCTGGTGTCTTGATCCAGGTCTACGAGGGTGAGCGTCAACGCACTAAGGACAACAACCTGCTCGGCAAGTTCGAGTTGACTGGTATCCCACCCGCGCCTCGTGGTGTCCCTCAAATTGAGGTCACCTTCGATGTCGATGCCAACGGTATCATCAACGTCTCCGCCGTCGAGAAGGGCACTGGCAAGTCCAACAAGATTGTCATCACCAACGACAAGGGTCGTCTATCCAAGGAGGAGATCGAGCGCATGCTTTCCGAAGCTGAGAAGTACAAGGAGGAGGATGAGGCTGAAGGTCGCCGTATCGGTGCCAAGAACGGCCTTGAGTCGTACGCATACTCTCTCCGAAACACCCTCTCCGACTCCAAGGTCGACGAGAAGCTCGACGCTGGTGACAAGGAGAAGCTCAAGGCCGAGATCGACAAGGTTGTCTCTTGGCTCGACGAGAACCAGCAGGCCACTCGCGAGGAGTACGAGGAGAAGCAGAAGGAGCTCGAGGGTATTGCCAACCCCATCATGATGAAGTTCTACGGAGCTGGTGGCGCCGGTGGTGTTCCCGGTGCCGGCGGCCCTGGCGGCTTCCCCGGTGCTCCCGGCGGTGCTCCTGGCGCTGGCCAGGATGAAGGCCCTACTGTTGAGGAGGTTGACTAAACGGTTTCGCATTCATGATATCTCTTTTCTTTTTTATTGTTCCGGCGTTTTCCTCAGGTGTTTAATGACACACTGTGTGGCGGTCTCGGATTTTACGGGTTTGCACTAGATCTTACTGGTAATGAATGATACAGGGCAAAAGTTGCGGTTTATGACTTGCATGGGATGTATTCTAGGCAGGAATAATCCTTCTACGAAGCAATGAAGTTAATTCATAAATAAACACTGCGGTCTTGATGAATGTGAAACATGTGACATGATTATAAGCTTTGCTATATAATTGATGATTCTTCATAGTTGAATTATTATCATTGGACGTAGGACTTTGAGGTAGGCTTTAAGAAAACTTTGTAAAATTCGTAAGTGCCCTCCAATTTCCACAATGGCATGATGCTATATCTTGGTGCACTACCGACTTAACCCTACCCATTCAACCAAAACTACCTAGATATCCGACTGAAGCCTTCTATATTTTACATAAATGAACACATTACTACACTAGCCTAGGCTACGACTCGCGGGACTGTAGCTGCTCTTGGACCCTTCGTCTTCGCTCAATCTCGAGCCGACGCCACTCCTCGTCGCTGATACTCGGCATGTCGAGGTGTTGGCGGAAGGCGGTATCATGCTGGACCTTGTCGTCCCTGGGCTGCCAGACGTCGGCGCTGCTGGGACGGCCGGGAGCGTGGTACTTGAGGTACTCCTTGCGGCGGTAGTGGGCGCGGATGGCCTCTTCCTTCTGGGGGCCCGAGTAGGTGCGGGTGCGCATGCAGAACCAGAAGTCGTCCCAGTGCTCGGAGCAGGAGCGCATGGTGCCGGAGCGGTAGACGGATATCCACTGGCCGCCGAGGGAGTTGCAGTAGTAGGCGGCGTCGAAGGCTTGGCGGCAGGACATGCTGGTTGGGAGGAGGGATTCGGTTATTGGGTCTAGGTGGGAGGGGATGGGGGGTTCGGGTGTGGTGGTGGGGGAGGAGGAGGACCAGAAGAGATTGGAGGTGGAGGATGAGGAGGGCTGAGATGGTGTTGTTGATGATGGTGATGATGATGGAGGAGTTGATGATGTGTCTTTGGTCGTGGGTTCGGGGGGAGGAGGTTGTGTGGTGGCGGGTTTGCTGGTGCTGCCGAACTCTGCTTGCAGCTGGGCCATGAACTTGGCGATTTCGGGATCGCCATAGTCGGATTCGGGCTGCTTTGGCGGAGGGGGAGGCGAAGGCGCTGCGGGCTTGTTGTTGTTAGATTGGTCGGTGGGAGGATTTGAGCCCTTCGGAGCGGAGGAGGGGGATTGAGAGGACCACATCCAACCCATGGTTTTGGTTTCGACGTGCTTTGCTGCGTTACAGCTTCGTATATGTGGATTTGTCGATTGGGATTTGCGCTTTACTTTGCGCTTTGGATGAATTGGAACTCTTGGGAGTGAAGATGGCAATGCTTCGTAATAATGAAGGTCTCGGGTTGAAGGGAGAACAAGAATAAAGGAAGGTCCCAGTGTGTGTGTTCGGTCGAGTATATGAGTATGTGAGTATGTGCGGGGGATTGGCGCGGGGTGCAGTATTGGAGTATGGTAGTATTCGCTCTCGTGATCGATTCCTTGGAAGGTGATGCGCTTTTCCTTTTTTTTTCTCGACCAATGATAAAGGCGCTAATTGCAGCTTAAATCTGTGGTACGATTGATCGCGTGTGGAAGTAGAGATGGTCTGATATCTATACGGAATAGTGACCTCAGCTATGCAGGTAGATTTTGGGTATCACTGCATAAATTGGATGTATTTCTCTATATTTACTATAACGAGTCTCATCTATAACTTCGTTCCGACGGTTTCTCAATTACTTCGCGCTACCTTAAGTTTTAGAAGCTTTCATCCCACTAAGACTGTGGCTTTTGCTAGTAGTGGCTTGACTATACTATCTTGACAAGCGGGGGAGATACGATTACCTAAGATTAACTAAGTACATTTGATCTTAGCAAGAGCTAACAATGACCTCATCGGCCTTCACGAAACTTGTTGGATGAGCTGCATTAACTAGTTACATGCAGTTACCTGTTAATGAAACCCTAACTATCTGTTAACACCAATAAATTCCAGTACTTTTGGCACAATCACTACGGGCCTCATATATCTTTATCCAGCTCATCGCAAGCTGCTATAAAGCATGGGGATGAGCTTCAAATCTTGTAGACGATGATGCCAAGATACCCATGTCTCGGCCCTAGGAGCTTGCCTGGGTTGAGGGGGTTAAGAACCCCGGGCTCATTTGCAAGACCTATTCTCACACAACGTTACCAGCCACGATGGACATCGGTGCCGAGAGCTTGGGAGAGCACTACCAACGGAGAGGCGAGAAGCGGTCATATAGATGCTGCCCCGAATGAATCCATTCTTTGGATAGACAGTATGGCCAATCTCTCTTTTTTTTCTTTTTCTTTTTTTTTTCTTTTCTTTTTTATACAATACCATACACTCAAAATACCAAGATGAAGTGAGATAACTAACCAAACCTGTTAGCCTTATTCCCCCTCAAACTCTCCGGTTTACTACGAGCGCCATGGAAGAGTCCCGACCTGGACGTGGACGAGCTCATGAAGCGATTTCAGAACTCAACCCTAGGCGCCCTTAACCCTATAAACAATGTGAAGCGAGCCATTCCAAAGACAGCCCCAGTTAATATCACTGAAATCATACCTCGTTTCAAGGACGGTGGAGCTTTTGTCAAGTTCACATATCCTGCCGATGTACCCGCCAAGGATATCGAGGCAGCCATCTCTAAATACCTCCAGGAGAACCCCGTAAGGCCAATTTTCAATCCCTTCAGGAGAGTCCGGGTCGGACTCGTTCATGGTATTCCCTGGCTAGAAGACTTGCACAGGTTCCCTAAGGATAGACTAAGGGTTGAATTCGTCCCCAAGAATCCGGGTGAGGAGGCGGTCGAGTTGCCCCCGGAAACCTTGTATAGCTTGTTCCGCCGGTACGGAAAGATTGCCGAGATCCTCTCACAACCATGGGATTCTAAAGTCTTCCCGAAATACGCCTATGTTGATTTTGCAACCGTTAGAGATGCCATCATGGCTAGGAACTGCCTGCATGGTTTCGTCGTGCCCCAAGATCTTGGCGGCGGCAAATCGGGTACCAGGCTACGCATATCTTATGAACAGCGAGAGCAACCACACCGGTTTTGGGAGTGGATATCGAATCATCCGAGAATTGTCATTCCTGTCTTGGTCGCCTTACTAACCGGTCTCACTGTTATTGTATTCGATCCCATTCGATCATTTTTCGTCAAAGCTCACGTCACAGGCCGGTTCCGGCTCAGCAACAGTAAGCTTTATAGATGGCTTCGAAGGCGGACTGTTTCTATCTTAAATCTCAAGAAAGAAAAAGCGGACCAAGCAGGACTGAGTGCAGTTTGGACTCACAGGAGGGACCTAATCGACCAGATTCGGAAATGGCTACTAGAAACTACTGAAACTTTCATCGTCGTCCAGGGACCTCGCGGCTCCGGTAAGAAAGAACTGGTCTTGGACCAAGCCCTAAATGGTAGGAACAATGTTCTAGTCATCGACTGCAAACCGATAGTAGAAGCTAGTGGAGAATCTGGAACGATCAAGCAGATGGCGGCGTCCGTTGGTTACCGTCCTATATTCTCGTGGGCGAACAGTGTGAGCAGTATGGTCGATCTTGCTGTCCAGAGTACAACCGGTGTCAAAGCAGGCTTCTCCGAGACTTTGGAATCACAGCTTCAGAAGATCCTGCAGACAACAGCCGTCGCCCTCACGGAAATTGGTATCTCGGACCGTAAAAAGACCGATTCTGACGCTTCACTCCCCGTCGATGCCTACCTGGAAGCACACCCTGAGAAGCGACCCGTTGTAGTTATCGACAACTTCCTGCATAAGGGCGATAGGAACGCTATTGTTTATGATAAGATTTCCGAATGGGCTGCTGCTTTAGTCCAATCTAATATTGCCCACGTCATCTTCCTAACTACCGACTCTTCCTACTCGAAATACCTATCCAAAGCTCTTCCCGACCGTATTTTCCACGAGACCGCCCTCGGAGATCTCTCACCCGATGTAGCCAAGCGCTTCGTCCTAAGCCATATTACCAACGGAGAGGAGCAGCTCGAAGTGAAAGAAGACTCGAGCGACTCGAGCGAGAAGCAGCCAGCATGGGCCAAAGTCCTCCCCGACTTAGGAGAACTTGACGAATGTATCGGCACTCTAGGCGGTCGTCTCACAGACCTGGAATTTCTAGCCCGTCGTCTGAAAGCTGGTCAGAGCCCCAAGCAAGCGGTGGAGGAAATCACGGAGCAATCCGCTTCCGAAATCCTCAAGTTCTACCTCCTCCCCGGCAAGACGACCAGCGACGGCGAGCACAAGTGGTCCGTGGAACAGGCCTGGTACCTCGTCAAAGAACTCGCCCGCAACGATTCCCTACGCTACAACGAAGTCCTCCTGCACAACACCTTCGCGTCCTCGACCACCGCACCCGACGGAGAGGCCGCGCTCGAAGGCCTCTCCAACGCCGAGCTCATCACGCTGAAATCGCGCAACGGCCGCCCGGCTCTAATCGCTCCCGGAAAACCGGTCTACGCCGCGGCGTTCCGCCTGCTGGCGCGCGACCCCGCCCTCTCCGCGAAGATGGATCTCGCGGTGCTGACGGAGCTCGTCAAAGCCGAGGCCAAGAACATCGATAAGGCGGAGGCGGAACTCGCGCTGCTGGGCGGCTTGCCTATGCAGCCGGCGCAGACGGCGGGACGGACGTATTATTTGCTGGGCAAGATCGACGCTGCGCAGAGGAAGGTCGAGGGTTATGAGCGGGAGATGGGGGCGTTGAAGAAGGTGCTTTGTACTGAGGCTTGAATTGGTCTTGGTGGTGGTGGGTGGGTGGATGGATAGGTACATAGGTGGTTAGGGGGGCGAGGGTGTTGAATATACATAGGGGTAGTGGCATGGCATGGCATGGCATGATTCCAGTCGATACCCAACTCATTTACTCGGTTAGAAAAATCGGTATATAAAAGTAAAAGCAGTATTATATTTCGCATCCTATACTGATTTCAGCACCTAGCTTAGCTCTCTTCCATGTACTTATTTTTTAGAAACAAGTAAATACAGATCCTTCCTTTAGTCTACGAGAAGGGAAATCTAACTGGCTGATGACTATAGCAAGCTATATGTAGCAAGGTATACTGATCAAGGGACAATAGTTGGTTAGTTAGATGGAAAAAGAAACTTTTGATTTGGTATCACAGACGCAGCAGCAGGACCCGAGTCTATAACGACCCGGGCTCTTCTAATAACTAGGTACGTAGCTAGGTAGCTAGGTTAGGGAACCTAACTAACTAAGAAGCTCCATTGCCAAAAACCTCGCCTCTCACCATTGCGGGAAAACGCCTCTGGCGTAAGAAATGCAATGCACACGCACGGGACTAACAACGCTGTAATGCTGCGGAGGGAAAGTAGGTAGGTATGCAACGAGTATGTGATGGGGGGAAGCAGAGTATGTAGTAGTAATGACGACAGTAACAACAATGCAGTGCCATCCCCCCGAGGTTGAAGCTAAGTTCTCTTCGGCCAGTCCGTCCTTTCTATCTCCTGATTCGTAATAAACCTACATACCCGACCTGAAAGAGAATTAAATATTACGAGAGGCTAGATCAGCCCACCTGCGTCTCCTCGGCATCTCCCGCCTCGCCCTGGACCAAGACTTCGCAGCCCTGAGCGAAGAAGATGCGCGCGGGCCTGTCGGTGTTATTCGCGATGCTGTAGTGATTTCCTATAGACGGGGGTTGTTAGCTTCAACTTGAAAAGTTCCTGTGGGAGTAGGTGGCTTTACCTCTGGGCACAAACCACATCCCTCCCATGCCAATCCTAAACTCCGTCTGCGCCACTGTAACATCAACATTCCCCTTATGCACGAAAAACACCATCTGCATTTTCCTTGAATTCTTAGTACGCTTCTCTGAGCCGGGCGGCATATCCACGATTCCTGACCCGAAGAACGGGAGCGTAAGCGTCTTGGCGAACCGGAACGTCGCGTCCTTGATATCTTTCAGCTGGATGGCCGCTTCGGAGATGGCTAGCTCTTCTTCCGCGACTTCGAGCTGGTCCTCGTCCGCGGGCTCCGTCTCGTACTCGGGCCTCCAGTAAAGGCACTCGCCCGCGATGCGGCCCGGGTCGTATTCCCAGTCGTCACGCTCCACCTCTTCTTCCTCGGGGATTGCGGATACGCGGCGCCCGGGCCTGCCACGCTGTTTCGAGGGGCGGCCGCGGCGCTTCTTCGTTGGTAAGTCTTCGGTTTCCTCGGTCCGCACGACGCCCTGGACGACGGGCATTACGAACTTTTGACCTTTGTCTTCGAACACATCTACGCCCTCTCGCACGACATGCTCCCCCTTCCACCATTGTAGGGGCTGGTATGAGAGCCGGCCCGACCGTGTAGTCCGCATATTGTCTTCGTCTTCCCGACGTAGAGCAACTAGGCCGCGACCTTTAGGGAGGGGAGGACCGCGCTGCACGACAGGCTCCTCGACACCAATTCCAGAAGATTTTCGCTTTCGACCGGGTTTCCCTTTTTCCTTTGTCGCAGTTGGTTTCGACGGGGGGGGCTTGCTCTCTTTTTCCACAACCCGTTGGCGCTTTGCCTTTCTTTCGTTGGCATTGTCCTCCACCTCGTGCTCTTGTTCCTCCTCAACACTACTTCCAGACTGCCTTCCTGGTCTTCGCTTCTGGGTCTTCTTTGGAGGCTCATGTTCTTCGACAGGTGATGAAGCCTTTGCTGGCCGTCCTCGTTGCTTCTTTTTAGCGGGTACATCATCGACTTCTTCCGTTCGTGCAGGTGCTGCTTTTGGGACCGACGGCCCTCCTTCTTCTTCTTGGGCAACGGGTGATTTTGGCTTACGACCTCTGCGCTTTTTAGGTTGTTCGGGTGATTTTGGTTGCGGGATAGGTTCTTCCTCTTCTTCCTCAATTTCTGGTTCAGGCTCTATAGGGGGTTCGTCTTGCTCCTCAGCCACGTATTCTACCTCGTCAATACCAGCATCAAGAACGTCCATTGGTTCCTCTGGTTCCTCTGGCTCCTCTTCTTCTTGGATCTCTTCTTCACGTGGTTGTTTTCGTCTGCCTTGCGGAATAACTTCTTCGTCATCGTCGCCGGAATCGTTGGAATGAGCATGACCGTTAGTGAGCTTCCCATTCCTGGGTTTCGGCCCGTTCACTCTCGGTTGCGGAAGGCTTGTCTTATTTGAAGAGCGTTTAGAAAAATCCAGCTTGCGATTTACAGATTTAGGGGGGTTAGGTTCGCGCGCGGGTATAATGGAACCGCGAGCAGGTGATGAAGTAATACCGAGATGCGGATTTTGGCGCGCTGGAGACTGTAGATGCGTCTTGATAGGGGATCGAGCGCGCGGCAGCGATGGACGAGACTGTCGCTGTTTCATGATAGTAGCTGGTCCCATTTGAGATTCTACAAAGCGTGAATCAGCATACAGTGACGATAATTACGTAGAGCGCGGCATACCGTCGTCTATTTCCATTTCTTGCTCCTCGTCCGATTCAGCATTATGCCTTCCACTGGCGCCATTAACGCTGACATTGTTAACATCCTTTTCAGGCGAAGAGAAAAGGGAGTCAACAGCTTCGAAGCCATGTGCATCGCGCTCGCGCTCCGCTAGTGTGAGGCCCGTTTTTCTACTCTACATCAGTCTCAATTTCGCTCGGCTAGGGCGCAGTATGGCGAATACCTTCCAACAACACCAACATCAAAGACCTGTTCATTTTGCGACTGTGTCATGCGCCGCTGCGACTGTGCTTTCGCAGGCATAGTAACGGGGGGTGCCGTCTACGGCAGTGCGACTTGGGGAAAACTATCAATCGCTCGAGTTTTAAAAAATTAATGATATATGAGACTTTTAGTGGCCAGCAATGAAAATCGCATTTAAGGTTGAAAACGCGTAAAAAGTATAAAATGGCGATTCCTTGCGGGGAAGGCGGTGATGTTTACTTTCTTTGTTTGAGGTGCGCTTTCCCGTGGCTGCTAGGTGACCCAATTGATTTAGGTACTGCACGTCCCTGAAGATAATTATGGGCCAGACCTTCTAAGAGGTATCCACTTTAATTGGCAGCACGGACGCGCTTTCAAGTAAAGACGCGACTACGGATTATCAGAGGCAGGTTCCACTCTTCCACTTACATAGTAGTCTTCGGATTACTACCTACCTAGGTACCATTATCTATTACATACAATCTTTCTAATTGTATATCTGGTTGATGTACATAATATAATATAACATAATATGCTACTCTTTCACTCGAACAACCACACTATCTAATACCTACCTACCATAACGAAAGCTCGCCATGGAAGACACCCCAATGGACGACGGCACCGTCGCCCTCGAAACCCCAGCCGACAATGTCTTCGTCCCGCCTTCCATCCACCACGCCGCCACCCTCTCCGGCGAAACCTACACACACTTCTCCGCCGTACCCCCAAGTCTCCTCCCGGAACCCAACACCACCACCACCTCCTCCTCCTCCTCCCCTTCTAACCCATCCTCCAACAACCCCCCCTGCGTCCTCGGCGTCGACGAAGCCGGCCGCGGCCCCGTCCTCGGCCCCATGGTCTACGGCGTCTTCTACCTGCCCCTCTCGCTCTCCGACGCCCTCCTAAAGCAAACTTACCACTTCGACGACTCCAAAGTCCTGACCCCCACCGTGCGCTCCCAGCTCATGCAAGCCCTCTGCACGCCCTCCACCGACCTATTCGACTCCTGCGGCTGGGCCGTATCCTGCCTCTCCGCGCGCGACATCGGCGCCAACATGCTGCAGCCCGCGAGCAGCGCAGCCTACAACCTCAACGCCCAAGCCTTCGACGCCACCGTCGAGCTGATAAAGGGCGTCTTCGCCCGCGGCGTCAACGTCGCCGAGATCTACGTCGACACCGTCGGGCCCCCGGCCACCTACCAAGCGAAGCTCGCCCGCGTGTTTCCCACCACCAAGATCACCGTCGCCAAGAAGGCCGATAGCTTGTATCCGTGCGTCAGCGCGGCGAGCGTGTGCGCCAAGGTCACGCGCGATGCTGCGCTAGAGGTCTTGTACGAGGCCAGGGCGGCAGGTGATGCGGCAAGAGAGGGAGAGGGGGAGGAAACCGAGCAGGAGAGTTGGGGTTCTGGATACCCGTCCGACGCGCGGTGCGTCTCTTGGCTGAGGAGAAACATGCATCCGGTATTCGGCTGGGGGCCCGAGTGCAGATTTAGCTGGGGCACGGCGAAGGACATGCTGGAGACGAAGGGTGGCGTGAAGGTTGAGTGGCCGGTAGAAGAAGACGATGAGAACAGTCGACTTACTGATTACTTCGCCGACAGCAGTAAGGGGAAAGATGCCGACGAGTTAGGGTCCTGGTTTGGTACTCCGGCTGGTTTAGAGGCGTTTTAACCTCAAGAAGATTTCGTTATTGCATATCCAACTACCTTAAGCATAGGATCACGGCGTTCTGGGAAGGATAAATATTGGATTATCAAAAACTTGTTTGTTCGGATTGGGAATTTGTCCATGACGAGAAATGTATCTTTACTATATCCTGGCCGACCTAGCCGTCTATACATAATCGACTGAACCTATTACATATCGTCGTCGTCATCAACTGCCACACGCGACTTCTTCTTTCCCCGGCTATCTAACGTGTCCATGCTGATCGAGTCGCTATCCCGGCCCGCCATGCCAATTGCCTGTCTCGCGGCCTCATTGTTCTCGACAAACTCTCGAAGACGTTGCTTGCCAATTTCTGAGGCCTGGTTCCAGGCAGCGTTGCTCATCTGCATCATAGGGCCCAGAAGATTAAGGCTGTACGAGACGTATAACCCACCGGCAATGATGACCAAGAGTACAAAAAGGACGGGGTTGCGCAGAACTGATGAGGGTTAGTATAGTAACGGTAACATCGTGTAAAAGTAACTCACCTGTCAGGATCTCGTTCCACCCCAGTGCCAATAGCAACCCGTAGAAATACAAGGGGACCTGCGTAATCCCACCAATGGCACTTCGCTTAGCTTCCACGTACACACCATCGGCAGTCTTCTTGAACCTGACCACCAGATCTTGACGCTTGCTTTCGCTCAAGACAGTCATCTCTTCCTCGAGACTCTTCCCTTCTTCCTCATCAATACCACCGATGGGTGCCAAGTCGTCCTCATCTTCAGGCTCTGCCGCAGAAGGCTGGTTGCCAATGAACTCTGGCAGGTCCGGAGGTGCATATGTTGTGGACAGCCTGAACCTCGACAACAGAGGGATGAGGGTAAGAGTCGACTCTCGCGCACGCGTGTAGATACCCTCGATGTCATCGGCTGGCCGCCATATGCGCGGGACGCCCGCTTCATCGTATCGGAATTTATCCTCGAAGTTTTCGCGAAGCTTTAGCAAAATATTCCCTTCCATCACTTCTTCCTCGATCTTCCCTCGGAGGGCTACCCAACTCTTCCGTCGTAGACGCCATAGTCCGACCTCAACCTCGTCTTCACTCGCCTCAAAGCTCTTGGCCCTGTCTGTAAAGCGGCCCTCGGCTTCCTTGACAATAGAAGTAAAAAGGTTCCAAATACGGTCCCAGAGGTCTTTCTCAGTAGGAGGCTTCTCGCCCTCTTCAGGGGCTCCAGATCCTCCCCTCCCCGATCCAAGCTTGTTGAATTCAAGACCAACCGAATCGCCTAGACGAGATTTGACCCACCGTTCAACCCGATTCGCCAGTCTTCGCATTTCTTCTTTTCGCAAGCGAGCACTGACTTCATCAAGTTCTTTCTCGAAGAGAACATACTGAGGCTTGAAGTTAGTCCACGCCACATCCAGGATAAACAAGGCTTGTGCCTCCTTCTTGAATGTGTCCAAAGTTCTAGTCTTCTCCGCATCCACGATCTCAGCAAATTCGTAGGCTCCTCCAGACTTTTGACCCTGCTTAACAGCACCGGACACGGCGTCGCTAAAGCTAGTAACGCAGGACTTGTGGGCAGCAGACAGTTGGCCGTGGTATAGCGTCTTCAGACGCTGATCGATCTTCCCCTCCAAATCCGTACGTTTATCCGAGTAAACTTTCTTGTGATATCGGCTAGCCTGCGTCTCGAAAGACTTGAGGCACTTCTCCCTAGTCGAGCTGCCAATCTTACCGAGGTCCGGTAAAACGATAGGCCTTCCGCTGCGAGCAGACTCCGCCTGTTGCTCCTCTAGCGGAGTAATAGCTTCATCGAATGCTACGAGGACCTCTCGCGAAATCTCATCGCAGCGGAACTGGGCAAGGAGCTCTTGCTGTGTAGGCAGATCGAGGTCCTTGTTATGAACGATCTGGTCCCAAATGCCATTTGCATAATGGGAGAATCCATCGGCCGGAATTCTTCGGTGATATTCGGGCAGGAAGACGCCACCCTCAAGTTCTTGTTCACCGTGCTCGAGCTGGTTCTTCGAGTTTCGGTTTCCAGTCACAAACCTGCCTCCTAGGTTCTTGACTTCGGCTTCGAACTTATCTGGTTGTAAGATCTTATGAGGGAGCGCAGCAAAGGCGAAGTCGAAGTAGTCTTCAATATTCGACCCTTCCAGACCCGCTGGCTTCGAAATCGAGGACCAAATCTTAGTAAGATCTTGGATTAAGGTGTTTCGAAGGTTTGATAAGGGGGTGTGTCCAATATGATCACGGATGACGAAGAATAGGAGAGACCTGGGGGTAGATCTAAGTGTACCGCATATTAGCCTTCCGCCCGACATATCCATTAGGTTTCTCATGACACTTACTGTTTATCCTTCAAGAACAGTTGGAGGTTAACTTCGAAGACGGTTTTCAACAATCCCATATTGGCACCTTGATATAAACCAACTTGGTGCTCCCATATGTTGACTATAAGCACTTCGCTAGTTGCAAGCGCAAATAGTGCACTCTTCCTTTCGAAATCTTGGTCTTCTCCTCTCTCTCGGCCGTCGGTGCCCTCTACATCCATAACCAAGATATTGTCGGCCATAGAGCCCCTTTTATTTTTGGACATCCATATTCCCTTAGTAGTTTGGCGTCGTTCCACCTCGGACATTACATTGAACTCGGTACCAAATAGGTAGTTGAGCAAGGTCGATTTACCGGTGGACTGAGACCCGAACACGGATATCAGATGATAGTTGAATCCAGCATCGGCGACATCGGTTGCATGTAAATAGGCATTTATATTCTCGCTAGAATGTCGTATGTTAGTAGAGTACGAGGAGGATGGGGCAGTAATACATAGTAGTAAGGAAAAGGACAGCTTACTTGAACTCCTTGTCCTCGTCAATAACTTGGATGCCATGCTCGTAATGAGCTTGTGTTGGCTTCTCGCCAACGGAAGAGAAATGACCATTCATATCGACGCTATCGGAACAGTAATCGGAATTATTTACAAGTTTATGGGGCAAGAAGAAGAGTTGCCATCCCCCAGGCCTTGAATCAAGTTGTAGTTCGAAGTAGAGCAATAGGGAGGATCAGTTATGTAGAAATGACAATTTCGGGACACAGCAGGGACATCCTTGTTTAAACCGACCGACCGACCTGAGCTGTGTGGTAATTGTGATTCGCTGGCTTGATTCGACAGCTGTTATCAAAAATAACGGGCGCCACTCTGCCACTGTCACATGCACCAATGGAGGGTGATGTGACAGATAAATGATGTCAGCTGGCAACCGAACATGTACAAATGCAACTACCCAGCAAAACTAATGCACACTACCTGTACTCGAGTTGTTCAAATACTTTTTCATTCGCAGTTTCCATGCTTTCAACGTTCGATTTTAACATGTCATGTTAGTAATACCAAACCATAAAATGGAAGTCACTCGGTGCAAACATTAACCTAGTTTAGATGTTTTCTAAAAAGACAGCCTCATTGTGGGGATATCCCCCAACATACAATGCTTACAAGGAGGGGGTTCATTCTCCCAGAAACACATCCCACGCAGTTTTCACATTATTAGGGCTAAAACACTGCGTTGTCCTTTAAACATGATGCAAAAGGCCAGTTGGAAGCATACCGCTCTAATTCCGCCAATACGATACAGTTATTGGTATAAACGTTAGTGTCTCTTCCCACCCGGCCACGTAGGTGGTTTTTTTTATTAGAACCAAACTTTCAACCTCTTGAGAGCCAACAAATAAGTCATTATAAGACAGCAAGCCGAAGCAGGATTGGATGCCCCTGGGTTTGTATTAAATTCTGGTTAGTCTTTTCTAGCAAATCTTGCCAGAGCCGGGCCGAGCTCAACCTCTTTTTCCTTCTGCTTGTTCTCCCGCTGCTGTAACTGTTCCTTCCAGAGTTCTTCAACTTTAAGTCTCTTCTCATCAATAATATTCTTGCCTCTTTGCTTTCGTAAATATCTGCGGAGCGCGCTATTCTTTCCGCGGGCCCTATTCCTGATTTCTGTCTCGATATCAACTGGTTTCGCATCAAGGTCCTTCTCAGCTTGACGTTGCTGTTCAGAACGTAGATCAAGGTTTCCAATGAAATTAGGGTCCAGTGCGATCATCTCAGGTTGCAACTTGTTCAATAACGACTTGACTTCAGTCTCTTGTCGTTGCTTAGCCGTCTCGAATGGATTGACTTCCAGGGCATCAAAGTTAGGTTCACCAGCGCCGGGGACAATGATCGACGAAAACCCTTCGTCATGACCCAGTCCCAGAATATCTTCGAATGGACACCAGCGCACGCGCTCGATGCGCTTGCCCTCGCCACCCCATGCCATATATGGACTCTGGACTTTCTCCTGCTCGGCAGCATGCTTAGAGTAAAGACCTTTCCAAATTGTCGTCTTCGTACCCCATCCTACCGCAGTGAGGCCTCGGTCTGATATTGCGATCGACGATGCTGGCTGTCGCGTGAAATAACTATTGACTTCTTTGAACATCCTTATATCCCAAACCGCCATCTTGCAATCTTGCCCTCCTGATACCATGTATCGACCTTCCCTATCCACGGCCAGTGATCGGACGGGGCCTTTATGCGCCAATAGCTTCACTAGTGGTTCGGGTGAGTTTGGAGACCATAATGTAACAGTCCCATTCTGGTGGCCAGCATGTAATACGGCGTTATAGGGGTTTTGTGTAAGAGAAACTGGTGCTCCGAGCTTCGTCGGTATTTCCGTCACTAGTTGACCGGTTGATACGTCCTGATACTTGAGAAAACCCGACATCCCCTAGCCTCGTAGTTAGTAACAATAAAACCACGGTACGTCGAGCCTACTAACCAGAGTTGCCAATAAAAAGTGATACGGTAGAAACTCCATATGCGTCACTTCTTGGTGTTTCCTCAGGCAATGTACTTCAACTCCCTGGCGATCGTATATGTAGACATGTTTCTTTTGCGCCACGGCGAAAAATTGGTTATTGTGAAGCCACCGCGCATCACGGACTGTTTCTCCAAGTTGTAGCTCGCATCCCAACTTCCCTTCGCGCCAATCCATCGTAGCGACATGGCCTCGGCGCCCTGCCAGTAGTAATTCTCGACCAGTTCGGGAATACTCGAAAACGTAGGGTCCAAGTTGGTCAAGTTTCAACTCGAATCGCTTTTTCGCCGACTCGGTGGATACTTCGTTTAATATATCTTCTTGTCGCACTCTATACGTCCTCTCTAATTCGTGCTCCGGTTCTAGGAAACCGCTAGTATTTTCGAGAAGTATTTCTGCATCTTTTGCCTTCACTGTAGCCTCCTTATACTTATGCTCCAGGGACTTCAGGTTACTCCGTAGCTTCTTGTCCTTAACGGCTTTGACATTGACTTTGCTCCCTCGGCCATAGTCTCTTTGCGCTTCCTTTAAACGTCGTCGCCTCTCGCGCTCTTCTTTTGGAACAAGTTCCGTTCTGGTTCGTTTTATGACGCGCGCGCCATTGTCGTAATCTCTCTTAGATGGCCCGGCCACGGCTTTCGTTTCGACCTCCATTTTAGTCTATAGAGTGATTGTTTCGAAAGGGGAGAAGTACGACTGGCAAAGAGTCGATACTTGGAGAGTTGATAGGTCGGCAATTAATGCCAAGCCAAACTTCAAGGCGCAAACCCAAAAATTTCTGAGCAACAGAGACGATAAACAGATAAGAAATGCAGTCCCATAAAAAAGTTGTTATCGGTGGATAAGCTCTGTTCGATAAACGACGATAACTAAACCGCACAGAAAAAAAAATATTATGATAAGACCCATTCCGGCTGCCGATATCCTCAATTGCCCCTCCGCCCCTCCAATAGTTAAGCCAATATTGGCCCAGTGAGGTTCTTGACGTAAATTTTAGGATTTAAAGGGTATTTCTACGGTATAAATCTTTCCAACCTGGCGTCGCTACCATTTCGATTCAAAGCTGGAGGCGACGGGAAAATGCCTTCCGTAGTAGCCACTCATTCTCACCGGCCGACTACAAAAGTCGCGCCCAAGACTTTCAAGTCCAAAAAAGCTACCAAAGGCGCTCTACGAGACCAGGCTAAAGGTGAGATCGCAATGGCTTCTGAATATGCTAAGCGACTTTTCTCTTTATTAACATCTTGATTCTAAAGGCAAAGTACCCAACGACAAGGGCCAGCGCAAAACTCCTCATCAACAAGTCATGTCTAAGTTCGATCGTCGCAACCAAGCAAAGCAGCGCCAGCTTGCGAAACACAAGGAACACCTAAAAGAAACCTCGGTCTTCTCTGGACGGGATGGTGCGCCAAGAATAGTTGCCGTAGTACCGCTCTGCGCCGATATTGACGTCTCCGCGGCCATCAAAAGTCTTAACAACAGCCTCGATATCGAGTCCGACACCTCCGAGTCCAGTTTCCGAGTATCCGTCGACAGATTCAAACAAAAGCTTCAATATGTACCAGTCACGAGAGACCTCACCGCGTGTATCGATGCAACAAGAGTTGCGGACTTCGTTCTATTCATATTATCACCAGAGACAGAGGTGGATGCTTTGGGGGAGCTTATTATCCGAAGTATCGAGAACCAGGGCATGTCCACATTATTCACAGCTGTCCAGAATCTAGATAAGATCCAACCCGCAAAGGCCCGTCCAGACGTTGTCAAGTCCCTGGTCTCGTTTATGACACATTTCCACCCAGGACAGGAAAAGATATATAACCTCGACTCGAGACAAGAATCCTCGAACCTCATGAGGTCGCTCTGTACAGCGACGCCGAAAGGAATTAACTGGAGAGACCAGCGATCGTGGATGCTTGTTGACGATGTTCGGTGGCCGTCGACTGAAAATGAGCTGACGGTATTAACGGGCGTCGTTCGTGGAAAGGGTCTCAAGGCCGACCGATTGGTTCATGTGGGAGATTGGGGAACCTTCCAAATTGAGAAGATCACTGCCGCACCGCTTGCTACTAAGAGACGGAAAGATGACGGAATGGCCGTAGAGGAAATAGAAACCGAGAACATCCTGGAGACCCCGGGCTCGGACCAAGATGATCTTGTTGAGTTGGCCCCAGAAGAAGCGATGATGGATGACGCAGATATGGAGGAAGAAATAAAAGAGCCGACAAGCAAAAAGGGTGTATTGTTGGACGACCATCACTATTTCTCCGAGGAGGAGCGGGAGGAGTATGCACAGCCGAAGAAACTGCCTAAAGGGACGTCATCCTACCAAGCAGCCTGGTACCTAGATGACGTGTCAGATTCCGAGTCGGAGATGGATGATCAAGAAATGGAGGATGTCCAAGATGATGTTATGTCTGCGGCTCCAGAGGACGGCATGGAGGGTTTGGCCAACGCCGAACCTACAGAGGCTGCTATGTCGGAGTATCCTCAATCGGAGATGTTTATCGAACCAGACGAGGAGGAGGATGCTGCACAATTAGAAGCATATCGTTCCAGGAAACGTGACGAGGTAGAGGAAGACAAAGAATTTCCGGATGAGATCGAGTTACACCCGAACGTCCTCGCGAGAGAAAGGTTAGCAAAATACAGAGGATTAAAAAGCTTACGGACGAGTCCTTGGAATACGGAGGAAGATCGACCATTTCAGCCTGAGGAATGGTCAAGGTTATTACAAATATCAGACTACCAGTCTTCCCGAAACCGTTCAATAAGAGAAGCTCTGGTCGGTGGAGTGGCCCCCGGAACGAGGGTCCACGTTCACCTCAGAAATGTCCCTAGGGACCTGGAGAAGTCATATAACCCTTCGCGGCCGGTCTCGCTCTTCTCACTTCTACGACACGAAAACAAGAAGACGTCATTAAATTTCGACATTACGCACAAGGAGGACTACGAAAAGTCTATCAAAGCCAAGGAGGAGCTCATCGTTCAGTGCGGCCCCCGACGATTTATCGTCAATCCCCTATTCTCGCTTCCCGGTAACACGGAGAATGACGTGCACAAGTACTGCCGGTACCTGCACCCAGGACAATCTGCTATCGCGACGTTCATGGGACCTATTACTTGGGGATCTGTGCCGACGTTATTCTTTAAGCGAACAATTTCCGAGGGAGGAGACGGCGAAACAAGTGTTCCTCTACAGCTAGTAGCTACAGGAACGGCTCGTGCGCCTTCCACCTCGAGAGTCGTCGCCAAACGTGTCATATTAACTGGTCACCCCTATCACATCCACAAAAAGGTCGTCACCATCCGATATATGTTCTTCAACCGAGAAGATGTGGAGTGGTTCAAGGCGTTGCCCCTATGGACGAGGAGGGGGAGAAGCGGATATATCAAAGAGACTCTTGGTACCCACGGATACTTCAAGGCTAACTTTGACGGAAGGATTAACCCGCTGGACGCGGTCGGTGTCAGTCTATATAAGCGTGTGTGGCCAAGGAGTGCTATTCCCTTCACGGGGCCTCTCCTGGAAGAGGGAGCGTCGGAAGCACGGAACGAGGAGGCCATGGATGAGGATGTTCTATAGATACCAGGGTATATGGGTTACAGTCAGTGTATGCAAATGTGTCGTCTTCCAGGCGCATCGAGGGCATACTATAGAGTCTTTAGATCTCGATCGTTCGGACTATCATGAGAGAAATGAGAAACGGTTCCAAATCCAGTACCATTTTGGTTACACATTTATCTTCTCCTGTTCAAGCTCAACCCGTCTCAGTACCACACTTGAAATAGCACAATATGGCTGGCAGTGAATTTTTTTATTACCTTATATTCGACATAAACTACCTATCTACCTAGGTACCTAGACCAACGTCTCTAACCCAGCCGTCGGCCTCGGCCCCCCTTTCGCCTTACACGCCTCCTCAGCACCACTAGCCTTCCACGCGCTAACAATCAAATTAACAATATGATCCACGCCCACCCCCTTCTTCACCTGCGCGAACACCGTCGGTCCCCCCTCCCTCATCTTCCTAGCATCGCGCTCCATAACAGCCAGATCGGCGCCCACGGCCTCGGCCAAGTCCGTCTTGTTGACGACGAGCAGGTCGCTCTGGGTGATGCCGGGCCCGCCCTTGCGCGGGATCTTGTCGCCGCCGCTGACGTCGATAACATAGATAATAAAGTCGGCCAGCTCGCGGCTGTAGTTGGCGGCGAGGTTGTCGCCGCCGGACTCGATGAGCAGGATGTCGGTCGTAAAAGCGCGGTGCAGGTCCTCGAGGGCGGCGAGGTTCGCGGATACGTCCTCGCGGACGGCGGCGTGGGGGCAGCCGCCGGTTTCGATGGCGCGGATGCGGGGCGCGGGCAGGGCGGAGTGCCGCGTTAGGAACTCGGCGTCTTCGCGGGTGAAGATGTCGTTTGTTACGGCTGCGATGGAGTATTGCTCGCGCAGGGCGAGGCAGAGGGCTAGCATTAGGGCGGTTTTGCCGGAGCCGACGGGGCTGGGGGGTGTTAGTAAGGTTCTGATCGTATAATAGGGCTGAGGTATATGCAGGTGTATAACAGATTACTCCTATGGAAATCGAGTATCTCTACTTTATACTCCTTTAAGGGGGCGGATATGTATATGAGAATTAGGTCCTTAGACCAGACTCACCCTCCGATGCCAACGGTAAAGGCTCTCTCGTGCCAGTTACGGCCCTCGATGATGGGCATCTCTCGCCCGAGGAAACTCCCAGGCCCGTCGAGGATCTCGTGCGAGTGCCCGTGCTCGGCGGCCGAGAAACCATCGTGGGAATGGTTGGTGGCGCCTCCGTCGTGGGAATGCAGGTGAGCCGTCGCCATTGCGGGGTTATAAGAGGTTAGAAGGTACGTTATATTAGCAAGTACGATAAGAAATTAAATTTCAAATCACACAAAGATAACGTGTGTACGATAGCTGTAATACGTTTGTTTATAAGAAGTTTGCAAAAAAATGAAATATCTTCTTGACAGTATTTTTTGAAATTTTTCTTTCAGCTTCTATCAAATCTACCTAGGTTAGGTACCTAAGATTTTGCTTATTACTTACACATACGTATTACCTAGTATTATCCAACAAGTTGCTCACCGAGAAGGGGCAGATGGCGTCTTCTCTATCCCGCTTTCCCTCTCTATCTCTATCTCTATCTCCATCGTGATTATCTTATCTCTGGTGAGGGGCAGAAGATCTACCCCACATTCGGCGAGCTAGGGGCGTTGGAGCTGGTTTGTACTTTAGGTGCTTGTTCTGGTCGTCTTAGTCCATCGTTCTCGAATTCGTTTGAATCTGACAGGGCGAATATTCGTCGCAGAAGGTTTCTATATACCTTAAAAATGAAGTTCGAAATTGAGGCTCCCGCGATGGTCAACGAGCAAATCCCATTGCTAACTTTTGTTACGTAAATTGATAAATGCTGGCCTGTAATGAGGGCTTGCCAATACTTGCCAAGTAAGAAATCGATGCCCTATGTCTGTGTACAAGCTTGGCTGCTAGCTTGGCTTTCTTAGCATGCATTGTTCCGCAAGCGCCTACTAGTTTGCGGTATATATGCGCTTTTTACTCGTTGCCCTTCAACAACAACCCAATCACCATTCTCCAAAGAATGGAATTCATTCTCGATTGGTCTAGTGGTCAGGATACCTGCTTGTCATCGAACAAGTACGCAGGTGGCCGGGGTTCGATTCCCCGATCGAGAGCATCTTTTTTCTCAGTTGAGCGTAAAGTCGTGTTTTTGTCTTTTTGTTTTGTTTTGTTTTGTTTCGAGGCCTCTCGTTTTAAATTTGCCTCTGCTGTTAACCTCGATGGCTCCATGTGGCATAATTATATGACAGCTTGTTCAATTATTTTATTCACCATCGTATACGAATTTATACGAATTATCATCATGATCCATAATCCAATGCGTAGTTCGACTGTTTTATCATTGAACAATACGCGAGCACATCTTTACCACGTTAAGAAAAGATCGGGTCTCAATATCGCAATAGTTTCAATCTTAACTCTACACCATATATTAAATTAATTAGGGTAGTTAATTTATCTTGTCTAACCTTTTACCTATCATTCGGTACCATCCGAAACCCTAGGGTTCTAGGTTCTACCGCTGTCGATCAAAGAGCTGTTGGTCGACGGTTCTGCGCTTGTCAAAATCTCCGAGCCGCCATTGTACAGCAGTACGGCAGGGAACACCACATATTGTCTCGAGCCCACCCGAGATCGTGTATCATTTATCGTGTATCATTCCTGGACCAGCGCCTCACGACTGCTTCTAACCTATCGCAGGTACTGTATCCAGACATAGGTGCTGGCCCGAAAAAATACGCAATATCCTTGCTGCTTTATCCGTCATCCTCGTATTGGGCCGAAGCATAGGCTGTAAGGTATTAAGCAATACGTGCGTCAGCCATGACTGCAATTATCACGCTACTCGGGGCTGCGAGTATATACCTACATAGTAGGTAGCCGTTGTCCGCTAAAGACTACGTTCGGAATGCAAATAGAATGTCGATATTATCACAAGTAGGTAGTCGTTCCTGGCAGGATCTACTACATACATAGCTCCAGGGAATACGACAAGGATGTCGGATTTACCACAGTGTGATTGTCAATTTGCCTCGATCCCTCGTGATAATTACCTTACCTTACCTACCTTGGGTACTTGGATATTGGTTGATTAAGGGGATTAATCAGTTAATCAGGGTGTAATCTGGTATAGCTTTAATTCCTATTTAGGTACAATACATACATACACACTTAACTGTCTCCTCGGAGCTTGCAACTTTGATTTGAATATTATTATTTTGATGATACCCAAGATCGTCATCTACTATTTCACACCTCGGCTATCTCTGCAATATCAAAGCATCCAAGTGGAAATGGAAGCGCCCAAAAGTCTTCCAGAACGATGATTCGCCTACGATGGATTAGCTCAACGATAGCACGTAAGCGCATTTACAGGAGCTACGTTGGTCGAACCAGGTCCTTCAACCGTCTCCATCACTCTCCATCCCTCTCCAGACTTGTATACCTGGCAACGGGCAAGTGGTTTAAAGAATCGATAGCAATAACATAGGACATAAGCATGGGTTACCGATTGGTATCCTTTCTACAGGGTTACATGGCTTTCCCTCGTCAGCTAGTCTACAAGAGGATTGATGCATCCCGGCCTGCAGGTTTGTTGGTACATAGTATGGTTTTCTATGTATGTAGCAACCTAAGGTGCCGCCCGGCGAGATTCGACGGCGAGCGAGGACATTGGCGAGGTTCGAGCGTATGGATATCTGAGTAGGTAATGTATGTATGTATTTGTATTCATACATACATAGTCTCATCGCCTTAGCGGTCGTACCACCAAATCCCGTGTCTAATCGGCCTAGATCCCGCAAGGGACGCCGGTGTTCGGGACCACAACTCTCAGTACGACAGGAACAAACGCAGGTAACAAAACACCGAAGCCACCGCGGGAAGATACCGCTGAGAGAAATGCCGTGCAACAGCATTAGGGAGTATCCGTCATCCTTCGCCTAGCAGAATTTGGAATGAGGACGTTTTCCTACGTACATATCTCGATACTGGTTCCCATCCCATTCCGCTCTCTTCTTCCCCTTGGGGAAAACACTGCTAGGATGTGATGCTAGGGTAGGTATGCTAGGGTGGTGTACGTGCATGCGAGCTTCGTAGCACGAGCCAACGTGAAGTCACAGCGTATTGCTTGGAACTGGGGTCGATATGTACGACAAGGGTTGTAGACAAGGATTCAACCGCCGTTGTCCTCCCAAGGTTCGAAATTCAAATTCATACATACATACATATTCCATGCCTTTAGCAGACCGCCTCTCCTCTCCTTTGGCTCCCACAAGAGAGCCTGAGGTCGCAGTGCAGTTATAGATCCAGAGCCGGGTAAATTATGACACCAGAAGTGCGTCTCGGCTCTAGAGCTAACATGATTTCCCAACGCGCGCAGATGAGAATCAGGGCAAACAAAGGGAGATCGAGGTCACGCATCGACCGGAAACTGTTTAGTGTTTGCTTGGTCTTTTTTTCTTTTTCTTTTTTCTCTCTCTATATATGTGCATATCTATGTACAATACATATCTATTACGTTTGTATGTAGATGTAGAGAGGTAGCTACTAATGTAATAACTGACGATACCCGATACAATACATAGTCAAGTGATGGACCACTGCCGTTCGGTACCGCTCACGCGCCCCTGTACACTATCCATGCTGTTACCTTAAAATACCTATTGTACTGTACCTAAGAGGCTTCATTCCCTCTTAGCCAAGCCGGCCACATTCTGCACGCCTCTGCCCCAGATTTTATTAATAAGAGTCGACCTCCCTATTGTGGTAAACGATGGATCGCCTTATCCGTCGTCCCTAGGAACTAATGTAACCTACATATATACCTATGTATGCACATGTGTATGCAGCTATATATTCTTATACTTTCACTCTTCTACTATTATAACCTTCATGTTAGACGAGAAAAGGTTTATCTATCCCCTCGTTCGCTGAAGCTGAGCTGACTTGAGCTTCCAATCCTTAGCTCGTATAAGATATTATACCTAATTATTAGGTCCGCCTTTCAAAGTCTATCGCTATTATTGTCTTACTTCTAACTCCGGGAGATCAAAGCTCGTGTCTTATGAGACGAGTCATGCATGTCGTGTGAGACATATGCAGCTGCTGAACTAGCAACTTAAGAAAGAATCAAGAATAATAGTTTCTCCCAATTACCTATTTGTTCGCTTCCCGGAAACATAATACCAACTTCCCGCTCCAAGTTTCTGGCTTATACTTTTGTCCTCCGATAGTACGAAATTTGATACCCTCATTTGTCGGTCTATGGAATATTTTTACAACTATATTCCGTCGAATTCAGTTGGACAGAAACAGACGGATATAATGCAGCTTACCATGGGTCGTTCCGCGAGCGATCACCGGGCGTCGATGCCGGCTAGGCAAGCCGTCCCTAAGTCAGATCCGTTTAGACCTAACAACACGAGGCAACACCGGCATTCTAAGTCGCAACCTTTCGATGCTGATGATTTGCGACGGCGACTGTATATAGTAATTGCAGAACAAGAAGAGCAGAAGAAGAGACAAAAGCGAAGACCGGACGAGATTTACCAGAGTCAAGAGCAGAGTAGATCCACAAGCAGATCAGAAGTGAGACAGGCGGATACCACGAAGCCAGGAGCTAGCGAAAGGAGCTTCGCGTCACGCATGGCGAAAAGCAAAGTCTCGGTAGCAGATCCGACAAGAGAGAGCGATACCCAGCCACCACTAAAAATAAAAACCGGCCGGTCGATGTCAAAATCCATCCAGGACAGGCTACGGCGCCGACCGTCAGAGGTAGTAGACCCGACAGCGACCGAGAGCGCGGTCAAAGCAGCAGCAGCAACATCATACCAGCACGTGCCCCAAGAAGCCGCCGCGCAATTCGAACGTACGGCAACGGCCAACAGCATGCGGGAGAGGAATCTCGGCCACAGCCTATCCCAATCAACGCTCAAATACCGCATCGAACGCCGACCATCAGCAGATCAACAGCATGAACTCGATTCCCCTCCTCCACACACATTAGAACGAGTCCGAAGCAAACGGGAGCTCTTCCACGAGCGGAACCCCTTCCAAACCCCGCAGTGGCACCCAGTAGCAGCAGCCACCACCGCCGCCGCCGCCGCCGACACGGAAGACCTCTGCTGCCCTCACCACCAACCCCCACCCCACCTCCACCCCCAACAACACCACCATCAACTCCGCCGCCACAGCGCCCCGCTAGTCATCCCCCCGCGCCCCTGGCGCAAGAACAGCATCGGCACCGTCCTCGAGGACAAAGCCATGGACGAGATCTCCTCCGAGGAGACCCTCGTCGTAGACCCCCTATTACTAACCACCACGACGGCGGCGGTGATAAACGACCACCACCGCGTCGACTGGACGCAGAGCGACGAGAAAAAACCGCCTGCGAAATCTACTAGTGGTGGCGGTGGTGGTGGTGGGGGTAGGATCCCGCTGTTGAGAAAGGCGGATTCCCTCTGGACGCTGAAGAAGCTGGGCGGGTTTAATAAGGGTAGTGTTGCTCGCGAGAAACAGCAGCAGCAGCAGCAGCAGCAGAAGCATTTACAGGACGATGGGAGCCCGATAGGTTCGTCATCGTCGCCGTCGGCGTTGAAGTTTCCGCGGTTCGGGTTTTTGATGAAGTTGAGACGATAGTTGGTGGTGGTGGTGGCGGCGACGGCTTTAATGAGTATTAATTTAATTCATTTGTTTATCTTGGGGGTATGATGTGATTGCTATCTAATGAATGTATTGGAGATTGCGTGAGATGTATGTATGTAACTATATACCCCGGCCGAAGATGCGTGGATACCTATGATGTCGTGATACCGTGGTGTATAGGTAGGCAAAAGTATTTATGAGATAAGGGGACGAATTGTAGTGGACTTATATTATGAAGAAATATCTCCTCTCTCTAGCTTTGGTCTATGTGACAATTCTAACCTAGGTACATATAGAGTTTTGACCTCATCCGCGGCGGTTGTTGTAGACCCGATGGGTTTTGGTCTGCCGTCTTACTATGTACTTAACGATGAGATATAAGAGGTAGTAATACGCAACACACTTATCACATACGACTATAAGATCTAGAAAACTCGGGGTTTTCTCCCTTTTTTCCTTAGATAACCCTGGATATCAGACGTTTGTCAAAGGTAAATCGGATATAGCACGCCCCCTTTTATGACCCAATACTGACAACTAGCTGGCTATCGCTTGAAGAATGCCGAACAACAACCAATGCGCTACGCCGTCGCCGTCGCCGTCGTCAAGGACCCGAGACTGGGGCCGGCCTACCTTCTTCCGTTCCTGTGTTCTAACAGTTTTATCGGGAAGGCTTCGGGTCGGCGCCTCCATGAGCTACTTAGTAACAGGGTGTAGCAGGTGAAAGTCTCACAGGTACTTCGCGCAGCTAAGCAAGGTCTCTGCTCCTAAACCTGGGTTGCCGCTGGGGTCGGGTTGAGGACGCCGGGGCCAGGGCCATACCGTTAAAACAACATTATTCGTCTGAAAAATCAGAAACATTAGAAATATTAGAAACATTAGAAAAATCAGAAAAGTCAGAAAAATCATCGCCTAGAAGCTCTGATTCTGGCTCTGAGTCCTCCTCAATAGTCTTGCCATCTTCGTCCCAAGCCATATCATCGTCCAGCAGCATAGTCTTGCCAGTCAGGACGTCCAATGACCGCATGTCAAACTGCGGGAGTGAATGGGTCAGGATCCTCACGGTTTTCGGGGACGCCATTCGGGTTGCGAGAATTCCTGCCTGTTCTCGCATGTCGGCTTTCAGCTGAAGCACCCCTCCGGCTTGGGAACCGCATCGTTTAGAGTGAGAGGCGGACGTTATGCTCGGTGTGTTCAGACTTAGGTTGACGACCACCGCACTCAAGTGTAGACTATCGTTGGGATTTCGGGGTTTCAAACAATCAGGACAGATGCTATGCATGCGTAGGTGAAGGGTTCGAAGAGTACGAAGAAGAGAGCCGATAGCCGGACAGACATGACAGCCTCTCCCTTGCTCTCCTGGTGGATATTGAAAGCCGAGGGTCATATCCAGCACCAGAACGCTCAGATTCTCTAACGAGAGTAAACTTTGCATCATGGGTAGCGATAGATAATCCTTGGGACCGTCGGTGGTCTTAGGAGGCGGATAGTTCCAGGCTCGTATGCGTAAGGTACGTAGCCTGCGGGATTGTTGGGCTATAGTGGCAAGTTGGGCTATAGTGGCAAGTTGGGCGAGGTCGTCATTTACGAATTTTATCCAGGTTTTATAATGATTGCCCCAGGGGTCATCATCTCGAGGATAGGACGTGTGGCGGCAGGCTCGGTATCCCTTCAGTTTAAGGTCTAAGATTGCCAAGCTGTCTTTCAATGGAGATAATCTTTTCATTACCCCAGAGGCAATCAGTTCCCGTAGGTCGTCCTGGTAAAATTCGATGGACCTGAAGCACGCAGGAAGGGCAAATTCGAACCAGTGTTTGCAGACTGTAAGACGGCCTAAATCCTGGCGAAAAAAGGATGGGTCGATTTGATCAAAGATTTGTGTTAGAGTCTCCGGAGGTAATCGTAGAAGCGACATTGTGAAAGCTGGGCAATGCGGGTTGTAAAAGCTATTGCAGTAGCGACACGTAATTCGGATTTATATTTTGCTCATTACTATCAATCGACAACATAGACCAATGACAGCGACTTGAACCGATTCGTGGAGGCGGGCGCAGCTAGCTTGGGCCACGCAACGCATAGGTACCTATTCAGGGATATCGGAAATCATCTAGAAAAGCGGCATGGTGCCGTATACCTCCCTCAGCTGTTCCCAAGTGACATTATTTCCCTAGATAAGCTTTGCAATCATCTGGCCAGCCCAAAGACTTCCTCTTGGCGAAGCCATATACTGACGGTAGGTGATCTCTGCACTCTTAGAAGTCATATAGGTGGAAAGGGATGTAAGTATACATTGTCTGAAAATGCAAGTTCCATGACCACGTTATTGAAACCAGACGTGAAATGCGTCAGATTGATGCTACACTCAACATCGGGAGCCAAGTCAGGTTAATGCCTCCTCCGCGACTCTATTCCGCGTATCTTCAGATATTCGAAGTTTGCCGAGGAGAGGAGGAGCTGGATTCGCTTATATTTGTCTGAATCTGAACTTAGGCTGGCAAAACCCTGCCAGTGATCGCTTGGTCTTTCCATCTTGCTAGGCGTCTTCAGTATCCAGTTAGAGACAACGGTGCGGCGAAGAGCTCTCAGTTACCTATTCCTTTATTGACGATATCGAGAGCAACCCTAAATTTGCAATTGAATTGCCCGTTAAACCCATGTCTAAGTCCGAGGTACAGAAACGGCAAGGCAGAATGAGACGACGATTGGATACACGAAGCAAAGGACTACTAGAGTTCGTGCCCGGTACTTCTCACGCGGACCTCGCGCCCGATAGTTCAAACACTCGTTTGGTATACATTACCCAACGTGTTGGCTTTCTTCACCGTACCGTCCTATCTCGAGGCAAAACTTAACGGTAGCCTGCCGCGTGTTGTTATCCGTGGGTCATATCGCCCGTTACTATACCAGGCTTTAATAGGAGTAGGTGACCATGATATTTATCCGGAAACCATCAAAATTCTTCTGGATTACGGAGCTGATCCGAACGAGACTCACCATTCTGAAACTATTTGGGTAAGATTTATCGGTTTGCTAGTCAGGGTACCCTCCGGAAATAATGACATTATAAGAAGAGGCCATTGAGCTTCTCATCAATCGTGGAGCAGACCTTGTTCACCGAAGAGGAATATGCTGCGCTATTGATGAGATCGAAATCTCGCAAGTCTAAGAGGCGCAAGTTGAAATCTACCTTTCGCACTCTACTACTAAAAATAAGGGCATATGTACCTAGGGATCACAGGGGAAAAGAGACGCGAACTGAAGGCAGCTAGGCTTATCGTTGCATTTTAAACGTATAAGTGCATCGTAGGATCCCTCTCTATAGTACTAGGGGAGTCCGGTACTTTACCAATTTTGAGAGGGAAACGTACTTCGTTCTGGGAATGGGGGATACCCATGGCCTATGGTGCCATATGAATGAGTGACTATGCCTAGCCGAGGACACTTTTATTTGAAAATCGCTGGTGTAAGCAAGGCGTTGGGGGAAAAGAGGGAAACCTGCCTAGGTAGTTAGATAGCGCATAAGCGATTCGCGTGAAGCCTGCTAATTATCTCATATTATCACGTATATGATTTTATTTTCAGTATCTTATGTTCAGTTTCTATAGCCATCTGAGTGATAAGTGTAGGTAGCTATGTATTTCTCCTGCTATAATTCTAGTCCTCAGGTGGCCGTCTTTCTTACGCTACACCGCCCTCTTCCACTCAACATAGCGCTCAACACCGGTATAAGACGACGCAAGAGCATCGTCGAATTCCTCCTGGGCCCCCTCCTGTCCCGGGCGTAGCTTCAAAGCCGTAGGCCACGCGTCGCCAATCGTATTCTGCTCCTTCATCGTGACGTGCAAGTCTCTCTCGATGTCTTCGAAATGTTGCACAGCCATGTACCTAGAGGTAGGTTAGTTAAGTAACCAACAGCCAGCCAGCCAGAAACTTCTTCAAGCGGTTATTTTCCTCGGAGCAACGACGTACTTGCTAAAGAGCTTATCCACATCATATGTGAAGCCCCGCGCGTCCCAGACCCGGTACATCTCGGCACCCTGCGGGTTTCTTATAATGTTGATGTCCTGGATATTGGTCATATATTCCAGGGTGCGCGCGACATCGAGTTCCTCACCCTCCGCGTCGCTGCTCTTAGCGGTTTCCATCACCGCGTTGAGATACACGGTTATAAGCGTAGCGTGGGGGTTGTCCGCTGGCGTCTTGAGAAGGGGCGATAGGCAGCGCAAAGTCTCGCGGGTGCCTAGCCAGCATGTATCTGAGATGTTTGAAGCCTGTCCGGTCAGTTTCGCAGATGCTGGTTTCTATGGAGTAACATAAGGGATTAGACGAGCTCACCTCGATTCGGTCGTATACTCCCTCCTCCACCACCAAGTGTTGGATCAGCTCTTTCGCGTCGAGGTTAAAGAGCTCAAAGTGTATTTTTCTCGTCGCAATACGGCGGAGAAAGGCGCTGAAGACGCCGCGGAGATAGGAGAATAGCTTTCCATATATGTCTTGGGGAATACGGCTTGACGTTGCTCTGACCTCGTCGAGAGGCCAGCCACCGAGGGGATCTGCTTTATCGTCCAGAGGCCAGGAGGAAATTGTTTGGAACACTGTCTGGAATAAGGTCCTGGGACGTATTAGACTTACGATGCTAGAGTTTGATATAGCTACCTAGGTACCTAATGTAGGTAATAACTTACGGGTTAGGATAGTCAAACCCGATGCGTGGGTGGCCAAAAGGCAGGAGTAAGCCGTCCTCTCGATATCGCTGTTTAGCTACACGCATAGAGGGCGATGCGTCTTTAAAGTACCACCGATCTCGATAGTCTTCCCGCTCGGGTGCGAGAGTAATAGCGTGACGTAGCTGGCGGGATTTCTCTAGGGTTAGGTCTTCGGGTATGTCGAAAAACTCCATTACTCGAGCCCAATCTTCCTTCTTTAAAACCAGGAGGAGACTACTGCCCGACTTGAAGGTCCATGTTTTTCTTATTAAGATATTTGGTTGTTTGTCGACGGCTCGCTCACACACGTCGCTGATAAGTGGCTTGACTCTCGACTGCAGCTCGGATAATGTGTCTTTTGTGATGGTGGCCGAGTACCAAACGTGAATAAGCGTTTCTGCCAATATCTCAAAGTCGGTCTGATTATATCCCTCCTCTAATGAGCTCAATGCCAGAAGCAAAATCACAGCGTTCTTTGCCGTGATATCAAAATCCTTGTCGTTAATCGTCATCTTGACCTGGTGCTCAAAATCAGGGGGCAGGTTCCGAATCGTTTGTACAGCGTTCCTCACGTCTCCGGATGCTGCTACTCGTTAATGTCTCACTCGGAACCAAATGAGACTACCAGTCAACACACGTACCCGCGAACAGGACCGTGATATCCTTATCGTAGGCTGGCCCCTCATTCCGCAGTAACTGGAGCACGTCCATCGCCGGCGTGTTGCCCCAGAAGTGTTTATTTGGTCCAAAGGGGTTATGTAAGTTAGTAGCGGCCTCCCCGTGAGACCAGGCTGGTGCTCGTCGTTCTCGATCCCAAGCCGGGAGCCAAGTGGTTTTTCCAAGTGGAGATTTGCACTCTTTCTTGTGCTCTCTCCAGTGCTTTATTTGACAATGACGACTGCAGTACTAGAGCACTATTATTATCTGTCTGTAGTGTCCAAGAAACTATTTCCACTTACCAAGACTAACTTACAGCCCTTACAAACAAGCGTGCCCTCACGAAAGCAGACGCTACCCCCATCCTTCCAGTTGGCACATGGCATTGGCATTACTGTGGTGGTTACCATTATGTCCTATAGTTGTGTCCTTGTGGCTAGAAGGTTCCTACTTGGTGTGATCTCGCTTCCTCAAGTAATCGTAGTTGACAGAAGATTTCGTGAGTGTAAAATCCACGTCCTATTTGAGAATGTACCTAAGGCATGGCGATTGATTCTCCAATGCGATGTGCTGCGCCGTAGTAGCTTCTGTACGACGTCGGAGACTTGCATAAACAACTCAACAATTCCTCGGTACAACTCAGGGGTAGGTAGCTACTACATAAGGTACGGAGATTTTATGATAACTGACAGCTCGATTATCGACTACTTAAGTCAGCCCGGAATGCGTGGTTTACTGTCAGCATCTTATGTGGTGGTTATGCGCATGTAAACGGGCGCTTTTGTGCCGTGGCCGTTTCGTCCGATAGGCGAGGGCGCGTGTGACGCTCAACGACATCCGGATAATGACATCTGTCACTTTTGGCCAATCAGACGTGCTGATAAGAGTTGGATCAAAAAATATAGAAAAAAAGCAAACATTCCAAACTCGATGGATGAGCTAGGTACTTTCGTTTGAGTTAAGATTTGGTAGTAACGAGGCTGGTAATCTAATTAGCCCCCTGAAACTTGCACCGGAATAGCGCCTGTGCTGAACGTAGGCATACCATTCACACGGAATAAAAACACACATATAGAAATCTTTAGACTGTATCTGAATTAAGCCACGGGTATGTTAGACTATGAAGAAACTTATGTTCCTGAAGCTTCCATTGGTGGCATCCCAAAACTACCACCATAATCGGATCTCAAAATAGGGGCCCTAGAACGATCCCTGAATGCTGAACCTAACTACAGCGAGTATTTCACTAGTTTTGCCTAGGTAAATGACTTGGAATGGCTTGCCTCTTTGCGGGATTGAATATATAGGATAGTCGTATGTTATCTCATGTAGTGGCGAATATCGCGTCCGTTAATGGTGGAACGCAGTATCGGCCTTTTAAAGAGTAGGTCTAGCCTTGGTTAGATGTAGCTCAGACGGGTTGATCAGATATGGCGAAGAAAAACTTACATAATTCCAGGTTCATTTTAGTACGAAATACGTATGTTGAAGGGTGAAAGAATGTGCTAGCATCGAGGCAACAAATTGCCAGTTGCCAAGACGTGTCGATTCGGTCGACCCGCAGGAAAACCCGTTAGATGTCGGCCTTTTCAGTGCGCAAAAGTTCTCCGATGGCTCTGGCATTATCTCGAGCGAGCTGCTGTCGAAGATCGGCATCCATATCGGCGGATTCTCGTCTGAAATTCCAGAGTCGGACCAGCTCGCAGTACTCCTTAAGGGCGTCTCTATCGCTTCCAGGGGTATCTCGAGTCTGGCGGAGCACCTCTATGCCATTCTCGTAGCCCGTTTCCTTTGTCCAGGGTTGAGCCGCCTTGCGGTTACCTTTATTAGAACTAGGGAATGTACTAGGCTTCCCGTTGCTATCACCGCCGGTGGCTGGAGGATCTGTGGCTGCGGCAATATTCCAAAGCAGACGCTCCAAGTTAGGGTATTTCTTGGTCAAGTCTCTGTACTCTGGCATGTCGGCGATTTCTAAGCCCTTGGAGGTGAATTGATGCGTCGCTTTTTCACCGGTAAATGTGTAGTTAGGTTGAGACTTGACGTCGTCTCCTGATGAGCTATCTTTTGATTGCGGCGTAAGGGGCTCCACAGGTGGATGATTGTCCCGATGCTCACGGAAACATGGAAGCGAGCACCTATGTAACGAAAGTTAGAATAGCTTACCGGCGTCGAATATGAAGCTATACTTACGTGTATAGGTTGCAGCGGGCGCATTTGTATTTGCTTTCGGTGTTATTGCAAACCAGACACGGCGGTCTAGCGTTTGCCATGGTTGGGATGAATACCTGAGGTTCAAGTAGGACAGGCGGCTCGATGCAGACACCTGAATAATATGTATTGAGAACCTATTGAGGTCTTCCTTGTTATTATCTTATTACGGAATATTATATGAAGGTGAAGAGTTTGCGCTTCAGTTGATATGTGACGAAACTATATCATAGTTAATACCGAAAAAGGATCCCCCAATGCGAATATATCACTCACTGAAGCAGATGATAGATTATTCCCCTGAGTAGGAGTATTGTATGGTAAAACTTAATTAGTATTAGTTATTTGTATCTTAGTATTTGCATGAGCTTTTGAATGGTTCTTTACGAGGTGTTCGACGTAAACATACCTTTTTCGAAAGGTAACGCGTCACCGAAATTTTTTTTGAGACCGCTCTCAAGTGCACCGTGCTACCTGTTGCTTATGACAACCGAGGCGGTAAGTTGTATTCTACCGTCGTTATATCGCGAATATCTTTAAGAGCAACTGGAGATTCTGGTTGCGCCTAGAAATCTGTGATTTAGGCTGCCTTATAAGACGCCGAATGATTGGCCCTGATAATTCCAATTGATGTAGTCGAGGGTAAACTATAACAACTAAGGGTCTAGTGATGTTGACTCTTTCCTTCAAGAACACATTCAATGCCTTTGATTATCACCGAACGGCAAAAGCATTGGTCACGTCCCTCTTCACAAGCAGACAAGTTTCTTCAGACTGTGGCCTCTATGCAATTAGGCTTGAGAGATGGTTGTACTAGCATGGCTGACTGATCAACGCGGTATAGGAGTTGTCTTGTCACTCAAATCAGTGTCAGTGAATCAAATCGCAGAGCTTTAACGCGGCTGAATATAATATAACCTGTTATGAGGCTGAAAGTCAAGGCGGGTAGTCGAAGTGTGGCTTGCGATCTACGAAAATGTCCAATGAGTAAGGATGAATTTGGATGCAGCAATTACTAGACGGCTCGGTATATCTCCGGTAGATAGTCCTGCAAACCAATCAAAACTTGTGCAACAGTCGGTTTGTCATCCGTACATTTGTCATCCGTACAATGATAACCCACCTAAAAGTTCGAACAATGCGCTAGTTGCGTCATTGCCATCGGCGTAATTCGGCAAACGTCTACTTACAATAATCGCGCCTCCGATTTCACCTAATATTTAGTTTCTCATCTTATACTAAAATATATCAGACGAAAATATTCCCAGTCGCAAATAATTAGGTATCTACGTGTTTTAAAGCTAGTTAATTGATTCCAAAAGCGATCGGCATATCCAAGAGGGCGACTATGCCTCCCAATCGACTCGTCCGGCCGGCAGCGGCTCTGCTGTCCGCGGGGACAAGAAAAGTCCGGCCCGCTACTTGCGGCCGACTCTACGAAGCCGCGCGACGACATGCGCATACGAGTTCACAGGCGTTGGGGGTGTCGGCAAGGCTACGGCCAACGCTACAGGCGGCCTCGAGGTTACCAGCAATAGCGCCGCGGGGCGTGCGAAGTATTTTCATCCAGACCGAGACCACGCCAAACCCGGATGCGCTCAAGTTTTTGCCGAATCACAGGGTAGTGCCCGCGGACGTGCCCACGCCGTTCATCGAGTACCTAAATCCGCGGAGTACGATCGCGCCGCCGTACCCGTCGCCGCTTGCCGCGCAGCTGATGAATATCGACGGGGTGACGTCCGTGTTCTACGGGCCCGACTTCATCACGGTGACAAAGTCTCCCGACGCCAACTGGGTACACATCCGGCCGGAAATTTTCAGCTTGATCACCGAGGCTATAACTTCGGGGCAGGAAATAGTCGCTGTGAGCAACAACAAAGAGGGTGGAGATGAGGGTCAAGAAGCGGGAGAGGAGGACAGTTTGAGCTATAATGAAAACGATAGCGAAGTCGTGGGTATGATCAAAGAGCTGCTCGAGACTCGAATAAGACCTGCGATCCAGGAAGATGGTGGAGATATCGAGTTTCGAGGTTTTGAGAATGGGTATGTGAACTTGAAGCTCAGGGGAGCATGCAGGACTTGCGATTCAAGTACGGTCACTTTAAAGAATGGTATTGAGGGAATGTTGATGCATTATGTGAGTACAGCCTCTCCTCGGAGCATCTTGCAACTCTGGCGTAGCCTAGCTACTTTGCTTTTTTTCCCTTTCACTTTTTTTTTCTTTCAACATAAAGCAAGGAATATTCAACTCGAGCAAGTTGCCAGAGTTGCTGAATAATCCAAAGCCCAATGATCTACGAGCTCCCTTTTCAACCTCACCAGAATTCAGACGTATAATGCAAACAATGCTAACAAGACGATAGATCGAGGAGGTCAAAGGTGTACATCAAGTAATGGACCAAGAGGAAGAGATCGCGATTCAGGAATTTGCAAAGTTCGAGGAGAAGCTTCGTGCACAAAAGGGGCCAGATGCAGCACCGACTACACCTGGCAAGGACTCATTAGATTCGGTCCCTGGATAAAGCTTGAGAGACATGCTTTCATCTGATGTATGATTAGAACGTCATCCGAAGTACGTCATCTAGAAGAAATGAGAATACCCTAGTGTTGTTTTTTTTAGGATGCAACTTCGGTCACCAACTTAGCTAAGTTTCGCGATAATCTCGTATCTTCAGCAGAGTTTACACCTGCCCTTGGCCCTAGGCACCGCCAGCATCGTCGTCATCAGTGTTTCTAAGTGAAATTCAATGCAGTCGCCGGCCTATCCACCTTTTTTATTTTTTGCCATGTCTTCGTTGCGAATTAGGCTTTCGCTTTCCTTCGGCAACCCTATCCGGTATACATCGCTGGGCAATATTGACTTTCGCGATTAGGAGGTAGTTGGCGATAGGGCGCGTGGTATCGCTTGGTGCATACACGGGCCAAGACAGCTCCAGGATAGATCTCTACGCTACTCTACCTTTCCAGCCGCATCCCCGTCGTCCAAATCCCGGCGCTAGTAGTTAGGGCAGTTTCGTCGGTCGCTCGTAAGTTTTCTCCCATGAGGCAAAAAAGGGGTGGTGACACTACCACTACCGCAAGGCAGCGGACGCACACATATTAGGCCGTGGCGAGCAGCGATTCGCGCCGGTGTGGCAATGGGAGGCGAGGTATGGCTGGGGTCGCGTGCAGCTCCAAGTGCGGCCGTGCAGGAAATCTCCCCGCGAGCCATGGGCCGTAGGATGTATGTATGCACGATGGGGGCCGGTCTTCTTGTTAATTAGCTTGGTAGACTATGGATTGCATCACGCCTTACCCCGCAAAAGCTCTACCAGAAGGTACGTCAAGATGCATGGAATACCATGGGTCGTCCCTGAGAACGTACGGGACGTACGGGTCTGATCTAGTAGGGCCTCCTATCCTGAGCGTTATGATCACCACCTATGTACCTTACCTAATGTGTTACTTTGGGTCTAACAGTCTAAAGTTAGCGAGTATTTCGGGGATCTGGATCACCTTAGATTCTTTTCATTTACATAGATTATCCACTATGCGCGTATGTCATGTTTACACCTCACTTACGACATCAAGGCTTAATGCGCCGAGATACGCACGTGGTAACGAGGATACCCTCTTGAAGATAGTAGTAGTCGAGAGCATCGAACGATGCTTTTTTTATCTCCATGGCATGGTGTACCCGTTGGAGTCACGGGGTCGTATGTGAGACAAAAAGGGTATGTAGTGTCTTGGTGTCCAAGATACCCGGGCATATGTATTACGCATAAGTGCTAAGTCCAAATGTTGTGTGAGGCCGGCAAGGAATTTCTCTCCGCGTAAAGTAAGATGCCATTTCCTCTCTCCTATAGTCCGGCGGGCTAGCGAATTCAACATAGTGTGTAATAGAGCCATCATAATTGGTGCTGTGGGATTATCTCAGGTGGTGTCGTTTTGCTGATTAGGGAATGATGACACATCATATGTAACAAAGTTGAAGTTATTCTATAACTAGCATAGAATAACTAGCATTAGAGAAAAGGCAGCTTTTCGCTAGTTTAAACCCGTCTAGCGTCTGGCTCTCTTAGTTGAACGTAGCAATCGGCCGAGAATATGCGTTGACATGACCACTGGCCATCGAACAAACACCCCGTTAGGAACATGTTATGGATCCTAGCAAACAAATGTAAGTTTATGCCAATTAATTGCAATAATCTGATGCTGCTTTTCCGGTAAGCTTGGTGAATGATGCGGACTCCAGGCCCCATGCAGTCTCTTGGTTCTCGATTTGCTTATCTCTATAGCCGTACGGACCTTGTAACCAACAACTGCCCGTTCATGGATAGGGTTAGTAAACATGAACTGAAAATCTGGGGTAAAGCCCCTGGGGGTATATGTGCGACGCCTTTGGGTACGGGTTTTTACGAAACTCGCGCCACCTCCAAGGTTCGTGCAAACTAATCGTGTGACGACATCGTATATAGCTAGGTCGCTGAGGCCGAATAGTGGTATGTGCTGAACACGATGCTGAGCTTAATGTTGAGCTCGAATATCAGGTATGTAATAAAACTCATAGAGGCTTGAGGATTGTATCAAATAATCCAGCACGCGTAAATTCTTGGAAGGGCCAACTTCTGATTTAGGCTGAGGCTTGCAGGAAGAAATTGTCAAGAAATATGTATAAAGGTCACGACCCCTCCACCATCCCCTGGTTCAGGTCGCTTAAAACATGCAGGAAACTGTGATATCCGCTATGCGTAAGAGGCTGGGAATACAGATAGTCAGTTGAAAAAATTCAAGTTTCCTTGTGTTCGGGTTATGCAGAGGGAGTAATAAACTTGATCTGTAGGTAATTAGGGTTGAAGTATGTAATGCGACTCGTAATAAGACTTTGAATTTATTTGCTCGATGTTGACCTAGTCTATCGAAGTTTCTATAAGTCGGATCGCCGAAAGAGGGTGCGGGAATCGTTCGTTGCATCTGTTGCATCTGCTGGGCGTTGCGAGGAATGGTCCGTTACCCCTCCCCTGTCGTCTCACGATCGGCTAGCTTCAGGAGATGTTCTACTCACACCTCCACAATGCTTCCAATATCTTACCCAACTATGTATCCTGTCCCTACCTAATGCTGGTTTTGTTGCTATATTCGTACCAAGACCCCGAACGATGAGAAGCCCATATTTCACTCGCTTCTGAATCCAATGGAGTCTCAGTGGGCTTTCTGATCGTCGAAGAGTTAGGCCAGGTAGTATTAACCCCGGAGTCTAATGCTATGTAAGGTAACAACAGTTTTGACGTGCAGTGCATGCATCAATCAGATATGCAGGAGGGCTGGCGCAACTTTCGTCGGGGTGTCATTCCCCAGATACGTGTGGTAAATGTGGTGAAAATCGAAGCTGGCCAAGTCCGGTTAAGACGGCTGTGTCTAACTTGGAATAAAGGACAGACTCGCAAGCATGGAGCTTTCGCGTCCATGCACGGTTTTTGGTACATGTACTCGGTCAGGAGAGGGGATTGAGCGTTGCACTGAACGAGAAGGCCCTATTCGCCGCACCGGGCGAGTTTCTGTCGAGAGATCTTCAACGGTGGGCTAAGTCGTTAAGAAATGACGTTCCAATCCTCGACTCTTGATTGGTGTGGCTTATGCACACCTCTACGGAACAAGACCTTCGGTGTGTATATAGCCTATCGATAATTTTGGAAGAAATTCTAGAGAAATCCTAACTAAGCTGAGTTGCCGTACGTACGGTCTCAATTCCTCGTACGAAGACTGTCCTTGTCATCCGAAGTGACCGTCTAAAAAAGAAGGCATGTTTCGAAAGGCGGAAGCCAAAAGTCTTTTGGAGAGCAGCATTTATGTATGTATGCTCTCGCGGCAGCTAAGCGCCACCATATGTTCTGAGTGTACTCTTTGATCTCTCACCCACGGAGTAAATGTAATTGTAAATGACAACTCGTCTTATTCTGAATAAGTATATATGTCAGTCTGCAGTATAAAGAGCTCAACGGAAATATGGATGTGCATCTCACTGAATTTGATATTGGAGAAGATTTCTGTGAAGGACTACGAACATATCAGACTGACATGTTATTGGCTGTCTTCTCGACTCCCCGGAATAACAAGGATCATTAGCAAACCAAAGCTTGGGTATTGCAGGACTCAGGCCAATAGAGAAGTCTCTTGCTTGACCTCTCTCTCGCACGCTCGATAGCTCAAGATCAATCTTCCCCACACTCTTCGTATGTCCCAAGTGAGAAGTTAGAACCAAGATGATTGAATCATCGGTATCCTCGACCGGACAAGCTTCTCGGACGGGTCAAGTTACGATTGCATTGTACATAATAAAAGCGTATCATGGGAAAATGTCGACTCCTAGAAAGATACTGTGTACGAGGTACGGTGTATGTATAAGCGGCTCGGGCCAAGTTTGATGATCATCCTTTGTGCACTAAATTAATAAAGTCCATCAGTAGGACCCGCTCGTCCCCAGACGTGCACCAAATTCCTACGCCCGCCTTTCCTCAATTTGGGAAGGTCAAGTGGGTCCTTCGCTTTGTTATTTTAGCGTCTTGGCAGCCTCTGGATTCTTCTTGGGAGCATTGAACCATCTTACAAAAAGGCAGTTGCATAGGTACCTAGATACATGTAAGTACCGACCTAGAAAATTTTAAATTTTTTTTTTACGTCTATGTACATAATGTAAAGTCGCACAGCCTAGTAAAATACAAGGAATTCTTTTTTCGAGACCTTTTTTTTACACATGAACCATACACGGGACAAGCTCATAGACAAGCAAGCTTGCATCGCCAACCTCCATACCTAGACCATCCATCATATCCCTATCCGCTCATCCACCCTCGAGAAAAACATCCACTCTCTTACTGCACATACACCTCCTTCGTGCTAAGTTACTACCTTACCAGCTACCTACGTGCATACATACTTACATGTATCTCCCTGCGCACAGCATCGTCAGTTCATGATCGATGTAGCCACCTTTTTCCTACCTGATCATACCTGACCACGTCTGTCCCCTTCTCACTATCTACCTACACCTATTGGGTCGATAAATTCCCCTCGCACACAACTGACACTCATATTTTGTTTGCGGTTTAATTCTCTCCTCTCATCTTGTTTTATGACTTCAGGTTTATCTCCTCTTTCGGCCTATCCTCGCATAGCGCTGAGTTAGGCATAGGCACTACGAAGTGTACCCTTTTATGATTTGCAGGGAGCTCAGTTACTGCTAAGACACCCCCAAAAGCCTCTAAAGACTGGTTGTCTCTCCCGGGATATAGTGGGGGGGATTACCGCTACCGTATGTACATACATATGTATCATCCCTGCCCGCTGTTACCAGCCTAACTTTAAAACCCAGCTTCCGTTCCCCACTAGCCACTTTCCTTCATACTTTCCCTCACGCGAGGGTCTCGTGTCGCAACGTTCAACTGCTGGCACGGGTCCTGAATTTGTACTGCTAAACCAATCAGTTACTCCTACGAATTACTTACCTAGGTACCATACCTAAAGACCTACCTAAACTACTTCCCTTCCCCGCTCTTCAATTTCAATACCCTCCAACACCCTCCTACGCCTTCGTCCGTCCATCTGCAATTGCCGGCCTTCGACAATTACGGCGACAAATCCACATCTCTACGGACCATTTGCGTGTCTTCGCTCAGCAACGGCCTTTGTGCAAACTACTCGTCACCACAGATTTTCCCGAGCCGACGATGCGCTCTTCCGAATAGCTTCGTCGCAAAGCATTCGAGGTCGTACTCATACACCTACGAACTGACAAATTCGCACATACAAAATCTTGTTTTAGGTTGCCCCCAACACGGCGCCTCTACCTGCTGCGAAGGCAAACAACTTGACAAGAAATCAGTTTGGACTGCATCTGCGACGAAAACTTCTCTGTCTTGTCCATCTTGACAACTCAAATTAGAATTCGAGAAGGGTCTTTCTGGTGGCGTTTTTGGATTTGGGACTGGCGATCAACACCGTTACTTTACTTCGGTCGACCATTCTTTTTTTCCCTTAAAATTGCGTTGCCTGTTGGCCTTTCATTTTCTCAATAGACACGGATTCTTCGATACCCTATGAATAGATCTAATATTTTTCGTTGACACCAGTAAGTATAAAATCTCCTTTTTTTTAACGCTATGTCCACTCTTGACTAGATCAGCTATCTCTGAGGACGTAATTTGGTCTGCGCCGGCGTTGCGTGGTTCATTATATATAAGGGGCGTGTGGAGATGGATTCGCCGCTGGCGCTCAAGATAGGAAATGCCAATCATACCTCCTTCATCCAGATTTAAATCATTTGCAGCATTTGCTTTTGGCGGGGTGACCTTGTCATTTCGTTTTCGTTTTCATTTTTATTTTCATCTCAGTTTTAGTTCTGGTGCTGTAGCATGACTAACACATCGTGTAGGTTTACACTATTTACTGTTGTCATAGACGCTCGAACATCTCCGCGGAAACCACCTGTAAATTCTGGGTGTAACTTTTTATTACTGTTTTGAGGTCTTGGTCGGTTATTGTCATTGCGTTTCAGTGTGCTTTTTCCTTTCGGCAATTATTAAGCCGAAATCGATCATCTGCAGACCATGAGCTCCAGCAACATCAAGCCCAGTACCGCAACCAAGGCCGGCCAGAGCGTATACCCAGGGGTTGCGCCAAACAACCAGTCCATTCTGCTTGAAAAGCTAAATGTTCGAAGATCTACACCAGACTCTGAAGCCCTGGCAAGTTCGGACGACGAACCCGACCCTCATCGACAAGACGCGCATCGACCACAAGTACAGCCTCAGAACCCTGTACGTCGTGCTTCTTGGCTGAATGATACATCACAAACTACGTTACCCCATCCGAGGAAAGGTTCATTTGCGAGCAGTTCTATGTCACCAACAGCCTCGCATCCTAGTACCCCATCAGCCGAGCCGGGTGTAACCGCTTGGGGGACTCATACTACATCTTCGGCGGCGATGGGAAGGGGACATCAAGGACCGCCGTCTTTCCCATGGGGAACAGGCATTTGGAACACAGAGCGTAAGGAGCCGCCTTCTCGATTGACCGAAGTCCTCCCTTCGCCGACATCTACCGTCCCCAGTAATGCTGGTTTCTTTGGTGAAGATAGTTCGTTGGCGCAGACCTCGCCCACTCCGCGAGAGCAGAATCCTAACCCACAAATTCCGTTCGCCATTCCCTTGCACCCAACCCCCAAAACATATCGCTCTCAGTCATACTCGGTGGGTCAGTTAGACCCGGATGCAACGACGCCGACGATGCCTACGTCCTCGATGCTATCAGGAAGACCGCGTGCTCCCCTTGGACATCCTGGATTACAGCACAGACCCTCGCGCCCGAGTATGTTGAGTGAGATGTCCAGTGAAGGTGCGATGCTAGGTAAAGTAAAGGAAGTTGAGGATGACGATGATGAGAGTGCTAGTGACACGGCTCAGGCATCTCATCAGCAGCAAAGTGCCGAGGCGAAGACAATAGAGATGCTCACTCGAGAGAATGCTATGCTGAGACAGCAGCAGCAGCAACAGCAGTATCACAACTCTCGGCTCAGACCCCGTGCGTCAACCGCTGCTACTTACGGATTAGGTAACGGATACGGCGTCCGCGGACCCGTTCCCGAAGAGTCCGACTTCGCGATTGACGAATTAGATGAAGCTGGAGAGGGCCCGGACAGTGCCTCGAAACGAGGAGTAGGAAGGCGCATGAGCGAATACGCGTCTGCGTCTTCGGCTTTCCGTTCCCCTTATCCCCTAGAGAACAGGAAGCTCGAGAATGTTAAGAAAGCATATTGGCAGAGTTCTCTAGGTTTTGGTGGCTTGACTGAGATTTCGCAGAGTCGTAGACATTCCTTTGCCGACGTGCCTACGCGACAAGGATCAATCGGTTCTATTGGCGAGGGTGTTTCTCTTCATGATGCAACTTCCGCAGAGGCAGCACAGTCTCATTCTCAAGACTTTGGCGGATTCCCCGAGAGCGCGGGCTTTCAAACTGCTAGTCCTGGTAAGTGAATTCCAGCTGTCTAGTTTACGTTTAGGACTAACTTTATCAACAGTATCCTATTACTCAGGTGGAGGCAATGCTCCTAATGCACACCAAGCCATCGCGTCCTCTGCTTACGGTCATCCGTACCAGTCGCCCTACGGACTTCCTCCAACCTTTGGTAACCGTGCGCCATCACCTCACAGGAGTATGTACGGAATGAGCCAGCCCAGACACAATCAACTGCTGCATATTGTTCTTTTCAAGTGTTCTAGGGCAGATGTGTTCTACATCCAGGAAGGAACTGGCCTTACGGTTAAACCTGGAGATCTTGTCATCGTAGAGGCAGATCGGGGAACGGATCTTGGAACCGTGGCTCGCGATAATGTGGACTGGCAAACAGCTAAAGAATTGAAGGAGCACTACGCTGAAGAGCACTACAAATGGTTGATGATGTATTCCCAAAATGCCGCGGCCGCTCAGGAAGGGACCGGGGCTGGTTTGATGGCTGCATCTAACGGTCTTCAAGGCAGCGCAATCGGCGGAATGGGACCACCAAGCCAGCATCACATGCAAGAACCAAACGCGGGCGAGCTCAAACCGAAGCTCATCAAACGCCTGGCACAGAGTCACGAGATTCACAACCTTCGAGATAAAGAAGGAAACGAAGCCAAGGCGAAGCGTATGTGTATGCAGAAGGTAAAGGAGCATGGCCTTAACATGGAGATTCTCGATGCCGAGTTCCAGATGTGAGTAACTATTTCTATCTTTGATCTATCACGTCGCTAACAGATTTCAGGGACTGGAAGAAATTAACCTTTTACTACTTCGCCGATTCGTATATCAACTTCAACTCGCTAGTCACCGATCTTTTCAAGATCTACAAGACGCGAATTTGGATGTCCGCTATCAACCCCGCCTCATTTGCCAGCCCGACCTTGGGGTTGCAGGCGCCCAGCGGCATCGGCCCAGGTGCTGTCGGCCTTGGAAGAGGAAGTGGATCCGCCAACACAGAACGAAGATCCAATCCACCCCAGGACTCACAGGTTGCCTTTACCAGTCCGGGTGCTGCAGGCCGACCGTTTCAGCCACCCTTCAACCAGCCATTTGGCGGGCCAGATCGTCCTTCAGTGGCCAGCTCTGCATATCCCCCGTCCGGTTTTCCATACTCCGCCTATGGTGCGTTTAGCAGTGCTCCGAGGTCCGGCGCAGTGCCATATGTCCCGAGCGTGATGCAAGGGATGGATACATACCCCGGCGGCTTCTCCCAACCTGGGGAATTCCCCCCAAGCATGCGAACGCGTTATCCGAGTCCCCACACGGCTCCTTCCCCTCATGATCAGTCAGTGCCTAACATGACAGGACAGAACGAATGGGTTGGAGCGTTCCAGGGGCTCTCTCTGAACTCCCGCTGAACCCGAGGAGTTTTTGGATTGAATTCGTTCCATTACGGCTTTCGATAACTCCCTCTCGTTACTAATGAACCTGGAGATATTTTCAATTCGCCAGGATATTGCGATACCCCTTACCCCCTATTATGGTTCAACCTCAGTCTAAAATTCGTTGACGCAAACATTCATTACTACCATACGGCATCTATCTTTGTTACTCACCTTCTAAAGGCATTTTTTGGAACCTCAACCATCCAGTAAAGACTAATGTCGTACTGAGTAACCTCGAATTTTCATTACACTAAAATTCCATTCTCGTATTATACTTCCCTCGTACCATACCATCACTATTATACGATCCGAGACTAAAGAGACGTATTACGATCAACGGGTTGGCAGAAATCCATTTCCGTTCTTTTTCTTTTCTTTTTTTTTTCTTTTTCTTTTCTCAATTTTACAGTTTAATCCTCTCCTTTTTTAGGTGGCCTTGCGGCCCGTTCAAGTTGTTTACATACAGCCAATTATTCCTAGAGGCGCTTGTGGTACATATAAGTCACAGTACGCCTAGGCGAAAACTCCAGAGAACCGACGCAATTATCAGACTTTGGCGTTGGTTGGCACCGGCATCTATCAATTCCTTGGTATTCCTTGATTTCTCAACCTTTTAAAGACTTCGGAACGAGGCCAGAGACGAGTTCGAGTTCGAGTTCGAGTTCGGGTTTGAGGCGAGGCAGAAGACAGACCGAAGGCAGAGGGCCATCAATCATTTTACGTCATGACGACACGGTATAAGAGAAACCATAAGACAAAAAGTAGTTTTGCGCTCGGAAGGAGATCAACATAGACGTGCTGCACAAGCATATGTGTAATTTGATATTCAAAAGGGACGGTTTGTTTGCACGAGTTGTTGGGTATGGACGGATTTTGTACGACCAGAAAAGACTTTGCCACGCATGAAAGATTACACCCATTTGCCTTGCAAGATGCATTCAGGGGGGGTTCCTCTGTTCGGTTTGTCCACTTTCACTGTTAGTTTAATGGCAGATTCGTTCTAGATAGGGTTCTAGTTACCTCCGATGGCTAAAATTGCTATAATTAAGCTCCTAATAGCTATACGTCGCTGAGTTGCATGTGTCAAATTCGAGTAATGTTTAATACGGGTTTTCATAAAACACCATGGATCCGAACTACATGAGCCCCTTATAAGTATCAAGTACTCGAAGGATATTGACGTAGAAGGAACATTCTATCTTAACGTTATTCGGCACATGACCTCCTGTTATAGAAGGAGTAAATCATATGTGGATACCCACGTAGATGCCCTATGTAAGTTAAGTAAGAACCCTTCCATTAAGGGGGGAAAGAACTGCCCACGTAGATGCCCCTATGTCTTATTTATGTCACCAAGCAAGAGGTAGAATAACAAACCAAGAATTTCTTTTCCCTGATTCTTACACACAATTCCGCGCCTCCTCAATTTATAGTGCTATTTGTAGCCTTGATGATAACAATAGGTTGTTTGAATCGCATCATAGTCTCTAGTTCGACTTTCATCTGATTCCCACTTTATTTCCATAGCGATTTACCGAAGCCAGCATATTCAATCATCATATATTTATAGCCACCATGTTGAAGAGATTAGCCAAGAGAAAAGCTGACCATGAGCGTAAGTACGCTTCCGAGAGAGCGAATGGGTATGGCTCGTAGTGCTAGGCATATTCATATTCTATAGAACTGTCGGACGATCCTGGGGCGTTAACCAAGGAAAACAATACCAAGAAGAAGAGGACTAGTACGAATAGACGCCTTTCACGACTTGAAGAGTACAACGAAGATGAGGGCCGAGAAAGTAGCCGGTAAGTGCTAAATTAGAAAATAATTCGTATGTCTGCCTACTGATGGTGTCGGCGATATACAGAAATTTTCAACGATGGGCCGAGATTTTCGAGGGCAATACCAAAGGCGAAGTTACGAAGTCGAAGGCTTTCATCAAGAACTTTGGAGCGAAAGTTAAGAAGCAGACAGATAAGGTGCGAGAGTATATTCAAGAACAGGAGAAACAACTGTGAGAAGACCAGACTTCGCAAACCAGCAATTTAAGAGATTTAATCTGACCATTTGTATACAGCGCTCAGACCAATGGTAAACTCGTAGAAACCTTTGGACAGCTTTACTCAAATACCGTTCTCTCTCATGAATCACACGGCGAGGCACGTAACCCAACCAAGGAGGGCCATATCTTATTCCAAGATGCGCGGTCCATCATCTCAGGAAGCTATGCATTGCTCAGAAAGTTCAAGGAGACGGACGAGCAACTTAAGAGTTATAAGTTGGAGCTTCCCACCGCGAAATGGAAACAGGATAAGCAGGATATGAAAGACCTTCTCTCTTGCGGCCGCGAGTACGGAGAGAAACTCGTCGAGGATAAGCTTAGGCCAGAAGCTCACATACTTGGCCAGCCCGATAGATACAAGGACAATGAAAAGGAGAGCATGGCTTCAGATCTCTTTAAAGAGAGCCGCATGGCGCTAGACGGGGATACTTGGGGTACGGTTGCGGCGGAGCAAGTCAAGAAATTCACGGCTATCGCGAAGTCTGTTCCCTTGAGAGAACAGGAAAGAGTAAGGCGTCTATCGCGGGGACAATAGAAGAGCATATTGAGAATTTGTGATGATAGAATGTAACTGGCTGTATTAGCTTGTATCATGGAGCATTAGACTGCCTAGGTAAATGTTGCTATAACTATCAACCTCGAGTTTCTTGATACGCAATTAGTGTACGAAGTACCTCCTAGGTAACTTACCTGCTTACATAGCTCTGTATTGTGGGGCAGGAAGTAGGTTAAGTACTAACCTAATGTATATGTGGTCAATGCGTTTATGGAAGTCACACTATCCTATTCCTGGGCTAGCCCCGGGTCGCTTAATTTTCCCCCCAAACGCACTCCCACAACTTTAGCAAATTTCTTCACTCAATTGAAGATTTCCGCATTCCTTAATTCCTCACACCACACATAACGACACACGACCATCCATTGTTGCAGGATTCTATTCCCAACCTGGTTTGTAGCTCTCTACCCCGAATAAACTGCTTTCATACTGTTGCTAACCTTTTAATTTTCCACCGCACAGTCAAGATGGGTGCCCTCAAGTATGTCGAAGAGCTTCAGAAGAAGAAGCAGTCCGATGTTCTGCGATTCCTCCTCCGAGTCCGCTGCTGGGAAGTATGTTGAAACCTCCACGATTGCTTTAAAACCTCGACACGAAAAGCGTATTATACACACGAAAATCTACAACAGTCCAATATATTGGCGTGGATGATTATGTGGACGCTGTCTTCCCTCCTGTTGCCTTTTCCCCGGCAGGGAGGGAACGTGTCTCTGCTATACACTCGTTGAACATTAGCTGAGAGTGCATCAATATAGCTTCGTCAATTGAACGTCATCCACCGCGCCTCGCGTCCCTCGCGCCCCGACAAGGCCCGCCGCCTCGGATACAAGGCCAAGCAGGGCTATGTCATCTATCGTGTGCGTGTCCGCCGCGGTGGTCGCAAGCGGCCCGTGCCTAAGGGTGCCACCTACGGTAAGTCTACGAAGAGACCGAGATAATATTTAATATTCTTGACGCAGACGACTAATCAGGTCGAAATTACAGGCAAGCCCACCAACCAGGGTGTGAACCAGCTCAAGTACCAGCGATCCCTCAAGGCCACCGCCGAGGAGCGTGTCGGCCGCCGCTGCTCCAACTTGCGAGTCCTCAACTCGTACTGGATCAACCAGGACTCTACCTACAAGTACTACGAGGTTATCCTCGTCGACCCCGAGCACAAGGCTATCCGCCAGGACCCCCGTATCAACTGGATCGTCAACCCCGTGCACAAGCACCGCGAGGCCCGTGGTCTCACCGCTACCGGCAAGAAGTCGCGTGGTCTCAACAAGGGCCACCGCTACAACAAGACCAGGGCTGGTCGCAGAAAGACCTGGAAGAGACACAACACCCTCTCCCTATGGCGTTACCGATAAGCGCGTGCGCCTAACGGAGGTAGAGGTGGAAACTAGGGGATGTGTGACGACGGCTTGGTCGTGGATGTCGTGGTTACGGCAGGGAATGACGTCTTTCTTCACGGTCAATAGGGCATGCGTCGGGCTCATGAGTTATGCCTGGAGTTACTGCACGTAGTCTACATAGGAACAAGATTCTTCCTGGGACGAAAAAATTATTTGCTTTCGGCTGTTTACGTTAATACTTTGTGCCCAATGACACTATTTTGCCAAATGTGACTTTGTATTTCTCTCGCCGAACGAGGGTTTCTTGCGGCGGCTATCAGCTTAAAGCAATCGAAATTTCGGGGCTGCTGTTGCCTTCCTGAGCTACATAATCCGCTATTTGGGCTTATCATAAGCAGCTTGAACGTGATAGAAGCCACCACGGCTACAACATATGGTCCGTTTTTATGACTGGTAAGCTATATGCCCTATTCGCATTACAATTATAGCTAACTACTACAGTAGCTGTGATAGTTTTACTAGTTTTGATAACTTCAGTAACTTTAGTTGGTTAAGTACCTACCTAGATTTGCTAGCTCCGATGAGCTTTGGTGGTATACATAGCTGTTATACGTTAGGTATATAAAGTACCTAAGATAGGTTATTGTACTATTACGTACCTCTTAATCCGTCAAAGGCATCGACCTTTCTACTATGTTATAGTTTTATGATAATTAAATGGCAACTTAGGTAGGAAATAGCAGTTCCTGAAAAACCATGTCACAGAAAATGGACTTGAAAAATATGTTGTATGCCTCTATTAGGCTATCTGCAAAGTACAGGCGAAGAGGTTCTTCCACGGGGGGAAGGCATCTAGGACAGAAAATCGTTGCCCAATACCGCCAAATCAGCGAGATCGGCAAAATCCGTCGAAAGACATCGCAGAACAGATCCCGATAAATGAGCCTCCGTGTAAAACACAAGCCAAGATCATCTGGAACTGGTATCCAGTAGCCTCCCATCTGTATTTAATGACGAGAGCTGTTACATCTTCTGGGTTCCCTGAGCTTATCACGCTTTATCGTAGCCGCAAGTAGTTGATCTAGGTTTCCCGTGTGAGAAACATGTAGGTGTACAAGAAACCCATTGATGCCAGCGTCCCATAGCCTGCTGTCGTGTGTTATGATACGTTCGTACGAGACCAGCATGTATAGAAAGACCCTTCCGTAAGGCTGGTCTCTATAGAAGCTGGTCAAGGAGATTAGGTACGAGCGTATGTATGTCTATCGCAGAGCATGCGTGGTTAGGACTGTGGTAGACATCACGAGAAGCTATGACATCAAAATACCGGCCTGATGCGTGTAAAATAGAAGTAATGCATGTGTCTGCCGAAAAGTATCCCGCAAACCGAGAAAACAAAAAGAAAATCTATGCCGAGATGTTTGAGTACACAGGCGCGGGCCACGATTAAATTCGATATGCTGGTGTGAGAGCTGGCCTTGACTAGGGTATCGAGAATCATGGTATCGAGTGCGTAATATACAGAGCAACCCTAGGAACAATGGGCGATAATGGTGGCGCTCGATGACGCAAATGAGGTTGTGTAATATCCTGCGTAGAAAGGAAGTAAGGGTGACATGTTGATGGCGCGAGAAAAGGAAAGCAGTGTCATCAAGCTCGTATGAAGCATCTCATTCATTCTTTGCGAAATGGCCACGAAGACCACGTAACCGACCATTAGGGAAAATTCCACCGAAAATGGTTTTTCGTCCGAGTTCATTATCGTACCGTTACAAGTATCATGACCGCCGTAGGCATGAGAAACATCTAGAAGAAATCGCCTTCGCCAGGTCCGGGGTTAACACCAGCACCAGGGTATGTAGGGTACTGGGCCAGTCGTGGCGGTTGCGGAGGAGCATTGCCGGGCACGCCCATGCCATTGGGGGGAGGGTATGCCATTCTACCTCGAGTACCGTTGATACCGCTGGGGCTGTGACCATTCGTATAGGGACCAGGTGGCGATACAATAGACTGGCTCGTCATGGCGCGAGTGTGGGGGGGACGAATCGCAATCTGACCCTGGGTTGGGTCGGCGGGAGTGGCCTGTCCGCTGGTATTGGCACTTCGAGTGTCATGCTGCTGGATCTTGGCCTGAAGGCGGCGACCGTACGGAGTGTTTCTGACAGTGGGGACAATCGGACGGATGGCTTCGACCAGCGGAATCTTCATGGGGTAGGTGCAATGGTCCAAGGCGGTCTGAACAACGTAATTACCAAACGAATCACGTAGAAGGCGCTCCATCTCGCCCGGGGCCAGGAGTTCGTTGACCATCATGTCTTTGGAGTCGTCATTGCCGCAACGGATGCACTTCTCCATAACGTTGGAGCTGAACTTGTGACGGGACAGCTGGCTGATCTTGCCACGGAATTGCTGTATCAACGGCTCGGTGAAGACACTCTCGTTCAGGTCAATGATGTATTGAACCACATAATTGCCAAAGGGGTCTTGTACAAGTCGAGTGGCATTCTCGGTAATTTTAGTAACAAGCCACATCTTTTGTTCTCCCGAGGCATGGTCAATGCATCGTTGGAGCACGCAGCAGCCATGACGGTGGGTGCCCACTTCAATACAATTGTTGCCGACCGCACTGAAAATGAACTGGGCGTCTTCCGGGCTGAGCTTGTTAAGACACTTCTGGATCACATGGTTTCCATTGAGATCTTGGATGAGTTCGACGACTCGATATCGCAAGGCCTCGATGATGAGCTGGACATGTGTAGGAGTCGAGACAAACTCGATCATCTTCTGCAATGCTCGCGTGCCATGCTGGTTGAGCGCAATACGGACCATCTCTGCAGACGCGTTCTGAATCAGTACAGTACGCTCGTCGTCGGTGCAATATTCCAGAAGCTTTTGGCACAAGTAATTTCCAAAGGGGTCCGTCATAAGCTCGACGACATGCTGATTCGTCTCCAGCCAGATCATATGAACCTGTTCGGGGTTTCGGTTCTCGAGTTGCTTCTGCAAGTATCGGCAGCCGTGCTGGTCCTTGCAAAGATCGTAGATTGTACCTCCTACCTGCTCCAAGGATAGGTTGGCATAACGGGTCATGGCCTCATTATCCTGAGCACGACGCTGCTGCATTACACGCTGCTGAGAGTCTCGAGGCTGAGCATGAGGCTGGTATATGGGACCGTAGCCGACATAGTTCTGGGGAGGGTAATTGTTCATTCCCATGTTCTGCATGCCCATTGTGATCATGTTCATGTTGTATCCAGGACCGGGACCGGGGCCGTTAGGGTTCGGCTGGCTGTATCCACCATAGAATTGCTGGTAAGGCCCAAGAGATGAGGGCGAACCAGCAGCTGCTGCCCCTGTTCCGGCAGAGACAGGCGACTGAACGGCGGCCTGGCTGGATGCAATCGGGCCAAATGCAGGAGCGCCACCCTGCAACTGCGATGAAATTGAAGGGTATGGTGCACCAGCTTGAGCGGCGGCAGCATGGTTGTCATTGGAAAGCTCACGGCTGTGACGTTTCATGGCGCCAGGGGGGATTCGGCCAATGCTCGCATTGTGGTTGTGGAAGTGCTGTTGGGCATGGGCATTTGCATTGCTCGAGGGAGTCAAGGTGGCGCTAGGGACGTTCTTGACGGCAGCTATCTCGCCTGCAGAGAAGGATGTCTGTAGCTTGGGAGGTGTAGAGAGCACCTGAGTAGATGAGGGGGTCATGGTTGAGGTAGTTGCGGTGTCCGTACTAGTCTCCCTGTACTGGCTCACATCAAGTGAGTGACGGAAAGGGCGACTACCAACAGAGGTAGTATCAGCCGATGAGCCAGCTTGGCTAGTAGACATGCTTTCGGGGGTATTCATTTGGGACGTTCCCAGGGTAGATAGACTCTGCTGTTGTCGATGGCGGGGAATGTTTGCCCAGCCGTTGGTAGGGGTAGCTTCACCACTTGCACGGTGAGATGCGAGGTCAACTGCAGCAGAAGAAGCAGATAACTGTGGAAAGATTAGTGTCCCGATAACTAGCAACACTAGATATCTCACGGAAGGTAAAAGTGAAGATGCAATAGCGGTTACCAATTGAGAATAATGTGAGGAGTGAATGATTCTCGTAAAAAAGAAATACAATCTCCAAAGTAAGGTGGAAAGTGATATGTGCGCTAGATCAAAACATTTACAAGCACAGTTCGCCTTAAAAGGTACTCAAATATTGTTCGAGAAACCGGGAGCACAGACCATAAACAGGACAAACAAGCAAACATACAGTAGGGAACAACGCGTGACTCAGGTAAAGTGAGGTAAAAGTGAAGGAGTGATGAAGGCAGGTGTCAACTTACCACATTGGGATTTCCTTTCTGCGCGTAGAGCTGAGGGAAACCGTCCTCACTGGCGTCAATGTTGGAAAAGTTGTTCAAATCCATCGAGGATTCGTCGTCTCTAAAGAGAAAACCAGTTGTGTTGGTCTGATCGATGTTATCGTAGAGATTGCCGCGACGTGTAACGGGCATAGAATACCGATTAAGACTGGCAAGGTTTCTACGTTAGTAGCTGCTAAATACCTGCAGACCGGCTGACGAAGTACACAAAAGGCACAAGAATAGAAATATGTTAACCCCCCAAGCGTACAGTGGTCAACAGCGCGACGTTGGAGTGTTAAGTAGAAATGGTTAGAAGGGAAGGAGATAAGGAGATGTTTGTTGGTGGAGATGGGATGTATTAGTAGCCGGGAAATGTGTTGAGGGGGAGGAATTTATTTTTCCAAGAGAGGGATATTTTTTTTTCTACTTAGGTAGAAGTGGACGAAGTGGTGTATCTCGAATTCAATAGGGCTTGTCAATCCAGGGCTTGCCATAATGCAATGGTATAATGACAGAGAATTGCATGAAAAGAGAGGTTGGGCCAAGTCAAGCACCTCGCTGACAATGTCTGCGAACCCAAATTGACGAACTCGCGCCCAATAAACTACCAAAGTAAAACAAGATGCCCGTACAATCTTTGATCAAGGAAATCCCTCGCCTTATCTACCTTCCTCGCGTCAAACGCAAAGGTTTTTTGCTGCCATAAATACAAAATTTTCTTGACCACCATGCATGGAGGTCCAGACGTGACAACAATCGGTGTTGCTGACGAACATTTCGGCAAGATTGCGCGTGGAGAAAAAAAAATAATGGATAAAAGGAGAAAACCGAATGCCAGGAAGTATCACTTACGCATTAGTTGATCGATGACTTGTAGGATCCTGGCGAAGAGCCTCCTCCTTCTCGTCTTCGTCGCTGTTCCTACGAGATCCCGGCACGGAACGGGATGGTATAGCGTCGTCGAAAAAGCGAGACTGAAGAATGCCCGACTGGGGAGAGGTGAGCTGAGATCCGGATCTCCCCGGTCGATTGAAAAGCCCCGGCGGAGATACAAGACCAAGGCTAGGAGTCGAATATCGGTTAGGACGAGAGAACATGGTAGGGAATCCCGAGCCTGTCTCTCGATACTCGGGGGGCGTCGTCGGCTCGGACTGGTGACCTGTCAACCCGTTTCCTCGGCCTAGATCCTCCTGCATCTGGGCAATATCGAATTCATCCCGACGCTGCTGCTGGTCCAATTTATGCATCTCGGCCTCGAAGCGCCGCTTCTGCTCTCGAAGCTTTTCATACTCGATTTTCTTTTTCTCTAACTATACAAATTGTGAGCACTAACTCAACTATGCTAAAACGACGATAATCGCAAATAGGAATCTAGGTACTGAGCGCATGCGCGGAGGTGCGACTCGGGAATGGACAGAGACGACAAGCGGTAAAGAGACAGCCTTACCAGTTGTACTTTATACTGCGTCTAGGGTAACCAAGGTCAGCTATGTGTTTCACAAGGACAAGACATGCAATTAGGAGCATTGAGACATGCTCGGGGCAGTTTCTAGTAAGGCCGAAGGCCTATCCCGACCACAATATTTTGCGGGATGCCCAAATTCGGGGAGACTCACGGCAGAATATTCTTGTGGTTCCGGCATTCGCTGGGTAGATATAGTGGACAATGTTGGTACACGCCCCGAATCGGTGGTGAACCGTCGAGGCAAAGTCGTTCGAGGGTCTTGCGAGACTGGCTGAGGAGGCATGGGCCTGCCATTTCTCTGCGGTGAGACAAGAGAATTCATCGGCGCCTCGTTTCTCGGAGACTGCTGAGTGCGAAATCGATAATCATCCATGCTATTCTGTTGTTACAACACCAAAAGCTTTCGTACAGGCCAAATTGGCAATCACCGGAATTTTCTATAAACTGGAGTTCCAGAAGACGATGGTCAGCATGCTAGGGATACACAATGAAACCAATCGCAAGAAGCCGACACCGAAAATTTTGCTCTCTCCAAAGTGCAGTCAAGGGAATTCAGGGGAATTGGGCAATCAGCAAGATCCGCGCCGCGCTTCTGTTGTATCGCGGGCGACATATCCCTCGTTCGGCACTCAACTTGCGCTGGGTAGGGCAGGGTAGGTTGACGATGTTTGAATGTTGAATGGGGGGTTGGAGAGGGTTGTTTTCGGCTATTGACGATATAGGTTAGACTCACTCACCTTTGATGAGAACAACAACTATAGCACACAACGCAAAATGCAGCCCTGGAGAGCCAGGAGCGGCAGCGCAGCACGGAAAGAAAAGAAAGGGTTGCAAGTCGCAAAAATGCAAATAATAATAAAAGAGTGTGGAGTTGTGCGAAGAGAAGGAGGAGATTCAAATGTTTCAATTGCTGCAAGTCTCCAAGTCTGCAAGTCTGCAAGTGGACGAGGCACAGGGAGCTTAGATGTTAGATGGAATTAGGACAAAGACGCAACCAACCCTCTTTCCTTCTTTAGTCGGGCTTGTTCCCCAGTGTGAAGTCCTGCGTCTTGTCTCCTTCCCACCCCCCTGGTCGAGGTCTGTTTGGTGGTATTGTACAACCTACACTACCTATATACAGCCTAGAATACATCACGTAAGGTGGTAGGTATGTGGTATACCTTATTGTACACTTCTGTACACTACGGTCCCAGGTCCCTAAGCGACTGGTCCCTCAGGGCTACATCTCGAAGGAAGTACAAGGCAAATACATGCGAGATGGTGGATTACGGTGGGCAAGAGTGGGCGTCTCCATGTCTTGTGTAGTACAGATTGGCCCCTCCTGCCCTCGCAAACCCCTGGTCCCTGTCCGTCTTTCTATGTACATATATACATAGAGCTAAGAGTCTGATGCTTTAACGCTACGTGTAGGTACTAGCGGAAACGCAGACTGGCAGACTAGGTAGTCGTGGCGTATTGTTACCATTCTTCGTGCTTACCTCTACATACTTTTACATACCTCAATGCTTGCGTTTCATCGAAAGCATCTGTCGCTGGCGAGCTCTTATGCTTATTTTCCTCTAGAGGTATGTGTGTGTGTGTGCTACCTAACTACCTACTTACTTACTTACTTGCGCCTATATCGACTAATAAATGGCAAGCCGCAAGCCGCAATTAGGTGCATACGCAAAATGATCATTCCAAAGAAACGTTGTATATTCCAAGAGCACCAATCGATACGCTAGAAGAGAGCAACCAAGCTTTTGTTGTATAAAAAAAGGTGGGATTGGATGAGTACGTCGGAATATATTGATCTATAGCTACGGATTATATAGCTACGGACTACCCAAGTAGGCAATTACCTACTTGATAGGTAAAAGCGGTTTCTTAGATCGTTCGATGGGTTGACTACATCCATTCATCCTCAGGGTCTTCCCTCCTTTGTTTCCCTCTAACCTAGGTAGAGAACTCGATCGCGACGGCCGGTTGCGAACCCTAACCAAAGACTTGGGAACCAGAAGGGTGGAGTTGGAGCCCGGCCCAGCTACTCAAATCGAGACGGCTGGAGACGGCATTGGTACTAATAATTTCATTCAACCTCCTGCATAGGTTCAATTGTCTACGATTGTTCATATTTACGACGCTAGGTAAGTCAGATTTCCAATAAAGATAATCATACTAGATACAGGTAGGGAGGTAAAACCTTATAGCCCTTCTTATTAAGTAGGTGTGTACGTGACCGTTTTATTGTGACGGTATTTAATACTGATAAACCCTTTTGAGTAGCTATCCTAGCTACCTGGTTACCCCTGGCGTCGCTAGCGGCCGAGATTGGTATGCATGTACATAGCTGGGAGCTGCTTGTTCAAACCAGAGGGGAGCGGTGAGCGGAACCTTACCTGACACCAAGAGCTATTGAACAAACCAGTGCCGCCCAAGTTTCTGGCTTCAAACGCCAGCTTAAGCCATGGCCGATATGCGGACCGTTCATACTTCGTCGATCTTCAGTTTGGTGCGGGGAATATTCGAGCTACAAACATCACGAATCCGAACCTATATACAACGATAAGACTTTGTCTATCGTGTGTAGGACCGTAGGGATACATCTAGATGTGTTTGGACTCGAGAAGTCAATTCAGCCCAACTCCATGTGTGAGATGATTCACCCATCCGTCTTTTGCTTCCGTCCGGTTATCCAATGCCGTCCTGCAGTCAAAGGTACATAAGCATACGCCTACATCTACATTAGTATCACCAGACGGTATATGTATGCTCTGTCTCCCGGTTTAACAAGCTCCACAGGGGCGGTATACATGCAAGTATAAATTGGGGACGTACATCAATAAGCCCTGGTTGGATGGACGCCTTACCCACGTTTGATATCAGTTTGCTCACAGGCGGCTCCTCATAGGTCTCTCAGCAGAGAATCTCTAAGGGTCTCGAATTTTACGAGCATTGTCCCTATACCTTTCTATGTACCTTATACTGATCCGATAGGAGTGGGTGCATTTATCCGGTTGGGGGTGCAGGACGAAGAGTACATAAGTGATCGAATACTCTCGAAGCACCCGCGTCCAATGCAGATGTGGGCTAACAGCGCCATCTGGTGAATTCTGAGACATTGCTCGACATTTATTAGATTTTTTTTGTTGCAGAGGCCATTTCTTCCGAGCCAAGCTCGTCCCGGCTCTTGCTCCGGGGATAGGAGCGGCGTCGATTCTTAGCTATTTACGAGCACCTCACCCTGAAGCGCCACTTTCACATATTGCCGGAGCGTAGTCTGCCAACCGTCTCATACGTCCGCTACTTGCTTTATTAGGGTCCTTCCTCCTTAAGGTTTCGGGTCGAGCCTAGACTTTCTTGATCTTAATGAGCTCTTAGCGCGGCTCAATACTGATAGACACCTGTTGAGATGAACGTTGCCTTCTCGAACCCATTTCCCACTTAGGTACTCCGTGTACGTCTTCTGCCCTATTTCCTTTTGTAGCCGTCAGGATTACCACTGGCATTTATTGCATTTCCAACCCGATTTGGGGTCGTAAGCAGAGCTAAAGAGTAGCTTTTTAAACTACATAGCGCGATGATCACCAACCCCGAGTTGCTCTCCAAGCACCAGTAGTTCTCAACTATGACCGCCCTAGTGGCGACAATGAGATCGTCTGAAATAGACTATTGCTCGCATGGTTACATACGATGGGATAGTGAGCTTTTTGGATATGTTTTCTTATTTACCTAATGTACAAACATAACAGGTACCCTCGATAAAGGTTTGGGCGGCTACGCAAAGTAAACCTATCCTTGTTCAGCTCACCGACTTTTGCCCACACGCGGAGCATCTATACATAAACCTGCCCCAGCGAGCCTGCACGTCACCCAACCTGCCCCGGGAGAGAAATAGCCTTTTCCCCCGGATACTCTAGATCACGATGTGCGTTCTGTGGCTTGCATATGCTGGACCCAAGTGAGCCAACGTAAACTTTCCTATAAACACTAATATGTATCAGCATCTTGTGAGATATCTCTCATTAAGTTTTACTTCTTTGTCTTCCGGGTGCGGTTCTATAATCAACACGCAAATTTGTGGACATGGTTAAGAGATTTAGCAATACGAAGGGTCTAGATGCGAACTTGGGGTGATCTTCGCTACGGATCGAGGTCTGGAACTAGCTCGAGGGAGTCGATGGGATTACTAACAACGACGTATCAGGTAGGCACATCGACAATCCAAAACAAGCCCAGCGACATTCTGCAACTTTTTCTAGGCATAAGTATACATACTCACCAAATATCCCCGCCTACAAGCCCCTCTTCTATACATGCTTCTTATTAGACGGTCACTCGGGATATGACGAAATAGATGCACAACCGTGCTATTGCTCTTGTTGTAGTTACATACTTTACATATAGAATTCAACAAAATCTTCCCTATGTCCATATCCAACCTGAGAGGATGAGGCGGCTTCACAGACCAATGCATGACGGATCGATCTGCCAGCACAGCGTACTATCTCCTGCAGTGAATATGCAAGGCGAGCTGCAGAAGTGGTTAAGACGAGGGGCAGCAACTCTACGGACGAAGTTGATGGAGGGGTAAAGAGGGGTTCAAATGGCTCATTATATGGGTGAGCTTGGTTCTTGGCGTTCGGCCAAACCCCGTCTACCCGCTCATTGGATTCTTTACTCATGCATGTCCCTGGTAGCTCTCGAAAGGGAGGACAGCCTTTGGGTAAAAATAGAGATGATTTCCAAATAGGAAGCTTGTACATATGGCAGCATGGACGTCCGGGCGGAGAGAAAGGTCCCATCATGGTGACTCAAATGAGTACCGAGATAGACCTTGATAAGCGTGACGACATTTGGTACGCGTATATAGATAGGTACCTAGGTAGGTATGCTTACGTAGAGAAATAATATTCCCCGGGTTTCTTAAAATGGCTTCCGGTATTATTTCAAATTACATATATCAAGCCCATTGGAACATGGAGATACCATAGTATGTGGATTTTCGGATTGTCATCATTAGGTGAGACGTTAAAAAAGTCTCCGGGTCGTATCTGTTTGTCTCGTCAGCTATTTCCCCGTGGAGTCATCCATCGATTTATTTAGCTACATGTAGTTCCATAATTTCGATAGCTTCGATTTGTTTAACAAGGGCTGTAATTTAGAGATGAGATCCTATTCGCGGTACTTAGGTACGTACCCTAAATACATGTGCAGGTAGACATGTGCACTTAATAGGTACAAATCTTAAGTAATCATTTACTTATATAAGACTTTGAAGTCTTGGGGTACCTAGCTTGTGTACCTAGGTACTTCCGGTGGCCCCTCCATTTTTTTTTCTTTGGTGGGGTACAGGCCGCCACACGCGACGAGCTCTTCGTCAAGGAGGCTGAATTTTTACAGAGTCATCTCACAATCACTTATCTCTCAGCCGCCAATATATGAAAATGCTTGGCCGTCAAAATGCCTTATATCGATGACGGGTTTGAGGCTCTATTAGAGCCTTTTTACAATGGAAAGAAGTTGACGGACCCTATTTCGACTGTTGATGATAAGAATCAACTACTCCCAGCTTTTTTGAAGGTCAAAGGTATGTCTACGATCTACATGATGACCATCCAAGCATTTACAGTACGCTAATATCATTATTTTATTAGGTTTGGTAAAACAGTATGTATTGTCCGATGGTTATGATATACGACTGGTTGATACTAATTAATGGGCTTAGACATATCGACTCCTACAATTTCTTCGTGGATCATGAAATTAAAGAAATCGTCAAGGCCAACCGCACGCTTAGAAGCGATGTTGATAGTAGCTTTTGGATCGAATTTATAGACATCCGGGTTGCACCTCCGGATCGTTCCGACTTTACTGAATATAGGGTCGAAAATGATATCACCCCTATGGAATGCCGTCTACGAGATATCACCTACTCTGCTAAGATCCTCGTGGATATCGCATACACGCGAGAAAAGCAAAAGATTATCCGTCGCAATGTCGAGCTCGCTCGCATGCCCGTTATGTTGCGGAGCAACAAATGCCGGTTGTACGGTGCAAACAATGCCCAAATGGAGCTCATGAACGAATGCCCCCTTGATCCTGGCGGGTATTTCATCATTAACGGGACGGAAAAAGTTATTCTTGTCCAAGAGCAGCTGAGCAAGAACCGAGTAATTGTCGAGGCAGACGAGAAGAATAGCATAATCACAGCTTCAGTGACGAGTTCTACACACGAGAGAAAGTCCAAAACATACGTTACCCTAAAGAAGGACCGCATTGTTCTTCAGCATAACGTTCTCGTCGAAGCTATACCCATAGTTATCATCCTCAAAGCTCTTGGTGGTCTTACGGATTACGAGATCATGGAGCTCGTCACCGGTTCTGACGGGAGGTTCCAGGATGATTTTGCTGTTAATTTTGAGGAAGCAACCAGAGTCGGTGTCTTTACTCAGCAACAGGCTTTAGATTACATCGGAGCGAGAGTAAAGATGGGCGGTCGAGCAAAACAGCCTGGAGGACCGCCACAAGCTCGGCGTAGTACTATCGAAGAAGGTCTCGATGCCTTAGCTAACCTCATTATTGCTCACATACCGGTCGAGGGTCTAGACTTTTACCCCAAAGCTATCTATATCGCCCTCATGGTTCGCCGAGTACTCATGGCCCATTACAACCCTAAGCTTGTCGACGATCGAGATTTCGTGGGTAACAAGCGACTAGAGTTGGCAGGGCAACTTCTGTCTTTGCTTTTCGAGGATTTATTCAAGAATTTTATGACTCAGCTCAAGTTCAACGTCGAGCACTCCCTGAGGAAACAAAATCGAGCAATCGCCGTAGATCCTCTGGTGCAGGTTGGTGCTCAAGGAAAGCACATCACTGAGGGTATGAACCGTGCTATTCAAACTGGAAATTGGAGCGTGAAGCGATTTAAGATGGACCGTGCTGGTGTAACACACGTTCTGAGCCGTCTCAGTTACATCAGCGCCCTCGGAATGATGACTCGTATAAGCAGTCAATTCGAAAAGACGAGGAAAGTCAGTGGTCCTCGTGCTCTACAGCCATCACAGTGGGGTATGCTTTGTACGTCTGATACGCCCGAAGGCGAGGCCTGTGGTTTGATTAAAAACTTGGCCCTCATGACGCATATCACGACGAACGTGGATGAGGATCCTGTTAAGAAGATGGTGTTTACATTGGATTCTGGGGTTGAACCGCTTCGATGCTTCTCCGGTGCTCAGATGCATAGGAAGGGTACGTATATCGTCTATATTAACGGTACTCCGTTTGCTCTCTCCCGATACCCGAAGCGGTTTGCAGCTAAATTCCGCACTATGAGACGAAGAGGGTGGATATCCCCATTCGTCGGCATTAATGTCAACCCCCATCTCTCAGCTGTGCATATCGCAACCGACGAAGGACGTATCTGTCGACCGTACATTATAGTGAAGAACGGCCAGGCGAGAATAAAGGATAGTCATCTTAGATTGCTACAGGCTGGAAAGGTCACGTTTGATGATTTTCTGAAGCAAGGCATTGTCGAGTACCTCGACGTCAACGAAGAGAATGACACGCTAGTAGCACTCTATGAAAAAGATATCACGAAGGCGACAACGCATTTGGAAATCGAGCCATTCACGATACTTGGCGCTGTGGCCGGCTTAATTCCATTCCCTCATCACAACCAATCTCCCAGAAATACCTATCAATGCGCTATGGGTAAACAAGCCATCGGAGCTATTGCTTACAACCAATTCAACCGCATCGACACACTGTTATATACTATGGTCTATCCTCAGCGTCCAATGGTTATCAGTAAAACCATAGAGCTTATTCACTATGACAAGTTGCCTGCCGGGCAAAATGCGACCGTTGTCGTCATGTCATATTCGGGTTACGATATTGAAGACGCCCTTGTTCTGAACAAGGCATCCTGTGATCGTGGATTTGGACGAGTCCAAGTGTTCCGCAAATACACGGCGGATCTTCAAAAATATGCTAATGGAAGCCGAGAAAGGATCGGTGACAAGGATGAAACTCAATCCAAGTATAATGCGCTCTCTAATGACGGTTTGGCCGATGTAGGATACCCCGTTCAGAATGGTGATATCCTTATTAAAAAGGAGAGCCCGGTGGACATAGCACCAGTAGTCGGAGTAGGCGTGAGGACCCAAGAGTACCGCGAAACACCATTGTCGTATCGACTCTCAGATCCAGCTTACATTGACAAAGTTATGGTTACGCAGACTGAGAGGGAGACACAGCTCATCAAGGTCCAAACAAGGCAGACCAGAAGACCTGAATTAGGTGACAAATTTTCATCTAGGCACGGACAGAAAGGTGTTGTTGGAATCATTGTGGACCAGGAAGATCTGCCGTTTTCGGATTCAGGCCTCGTACCTGATATTATCATGAACCCTCACGGTTTCCCGTCTCGTATGACAGTCGGCAAGTTATTGGAATGCTTAACAGGAAAGGCCTCGGTAGTCAAGGGGCGCAAGGACTACGGATATGGTGATGCATTCAGGTCTCATCCTCTCGAAGCCATGAGCAGAGAACTAGTTAATGCCGGATTCTCTTGGGAAGGCAAAGATTACTTTACCTCGGGAATAACAGGCGAGCCGCTCCAGGCCTACATCTTCAACGGGCCCATCTTCTACCAGCGACTAAAGCACATGGTCCAAGACAAGATGCACTCCCGCTCGCGCGGACCCCGCGCTATCCTTACCCGCCAACCCACCGAAGGTCGTTCCCGAGACGGTGGTCTGCGTCTCGGTGAAATGGAACGCGATTGTCTCATCGCGTACGGCGCCTCGCAGCTCCTTCTCGAACGCCTGATGATCAGCTCCGACGCGACCGAGATCGACATCTGCGAGCGGTGCGGCTTGTTCGGGTACAAGGGTTATTGTAGCACGTGCCATAGCAGCCGCGAGGTCGCGCGCATGACTATGCCGTATGCTGCGAAGTTACTCATACAGGAACTTATCAGTATGAATGTTGGCGTGCGGTTACAATTAGAAGATGAGTTCCCTCACCCGAGGTAGTGGTATACATATATGTACCTACCTAACCTAGTATGGAATGGAAAATTACAGTTGCGATTGCAAGATATCACTTATATGCATTGGGCGGCGTCCTTTTTTGCTGGCGTGGCATTGGCTAGCTTGGAATCATGTATATACCTACGTATTAAATCAAGCTTGTATGATGAAGGGGTAGTCGAGACACCAAAATAATTGCGGTTGATTGATTTAATTTCTTATAAGAGAGTTCCTCTAGTGAATTTGTACGATGTTCGCTCGTAAGAGTCGAGCCGAAGATTCTGGGGGGAAACTTGCAATAGGAACGTAATTGAGGATATAGTTATATGGCTCTTATTATTCGAAATGGTATGCTTTTTGCTTATTTACAGTAGTAGTAGTAGGGTTTATATATGCCAAGAGTCTCTGAATTCATCCATATGATATACATAAACCTAGGCTATATATCCATTCTCACGCCTCTATTCTCTCGTCTTCGTCGTCTTCCTCCCCATCCGCCTGCTTCCCCTTCCCCTTCCCCTTCCCTTTCTTCTTTTTCCTATCTACAGCCCGTAGTCCCCCCATCGTAACCTCAAACTCCACCGCTCCATCTAACCCCGGCCCCGTCCCCGGCACATGCGGTGCGAAGACAACTTTCATCCACCTGCGCCAATTCCGCAACACGGTCGTGCTCTCCCCCTCGTCGTCGTCGAGGACTTCCTTCCGCCCGTAAACAGGCCTCTTGAACAGCGCCAGCCGCACGGCGATCTGCGTCGACCAGATCAGGCCTAGACTGGGCGTCTTTAGGTTACGATCGCCGCTGCTGCCGAACGGGTACGGGTACTCGTCGCCCCAGCCGGTGAACCACCGTTGCTGGTGGTCGAGGAGTAGGGCGGGGGGAGCGGGGGGAGCGGGGGTCTCCTCGGGAGGCGGTTCCGGCATGCTGGAGCGCAGGAGCTCGGCGGTGCCGCTGCTAGGGGGCTCCAGGCCGGACAGCTGCAGCGGCAGCGGCGTTGCGGGCCATCCTTTGGTTCGGCTTGCGAGCGGGCTCTCCTGCGACACGCGGGGCAGCGAAAATGGTAGCGGAGCGCTGCTCTTAGCAGACCCTGCGAAGCGGTCTGCGACCTGGTTCGCTACCACGACGGCGAGATCGTGTTTCCGCGCTAGATCATGCAGCTGCTGGCCCAAGCGCACGAGCTCGTGGCTGCGGGCGGCGAGATTAGCGCCGCCTTTGGCGCCGCCGCCTGCTCCGCGCTCGAATTCCGCGCGGTAGTTGGCCGCGACGGAGTCCAGGACCAGGAGGCCGACGTTGCGCCGGGATACTTCGACCGGGACCTGGAAGCTCAGGATGTGGTCTTGCGATTCGAGGTCCGGAGTCATGGTGCCTACGATGCCGTCGAGAGTCGGGCGCTGGGCTGGGGAGAGGGTGCGCAGATACGGGTGGTTGGTTAGCATTTGGGACAGGCGCTGGGTGGAGAGCGGTGCTTCGGTGGAGATGTATAATGCGGGACGGCCGAGACCGCGGGGCGGTGGGAGCTGGCAGGCGAGGAGGAGGGTTAGGAGGAATTGCGTCTTGCCGGCGCCGCTTTCGCCCGTGATTTCCGTGATGTACCCGGTAGGGATGCCGCCTCCAAGAGCGCGGTCTAGATCGTCGTCTAGAGTGCTGATGGAATTCCAGGGTTTAGCCAGCAGCTCGGAGCCGGTCTGTCTCAAGACGCTGGTAGGGCTCCCTTTCGCGCCGTCATTATTATTAGCACCATCCCCCGGCTTCTGCTGCTGCTGCTGCTGCTTCTCGGAAACACCGAGGTCGACATGTAGAGCCTCTAGTACAGCAGCACATAGACGCTTGATATCGAGGAGCGGCAGCTGGGTACGCTTGCCGATGTCGGGGACCTGAAGAGTGAGCAGGTCGGCGGTGGTCAGGCCGTGCTTCTCGATGGCGGGCAACAGGTTCGCGTACCGGCCGATTGGGAAGTCCGGCAGGATCCGCGACAGATCTGTCATGGGGCTCGGGGTCCGGGCATTTGTATTTGTACTCGCATTTCACTACGTAGTGTAGTCCCCCTTTAACCGATCCGGCCTAACCGCGGTCTGCCCTCGGAAAATCGTCCGCCGCCGAATTATCTGGGTTGGTGCACTGCCCGTGGTCTCACGATATCAGGTGACCTTCGGTGTGTATATGTATAGGAAAGGAAAGGTTTAAGATAAGGGAGATATTAGGGTTGTTTTAGGCGGGGTTTAGGGCCGTTAGCAGGTGTAGTAGCTACTTCCCAGATGCATGGATTGGGTTGTTAAGGTTGGGGCAGGTAGCATCCCGATTTCAAATCACACCTTTCCTATTGTACTGTACCTAAGGTTTAAACTGACCGCTAATCAGTGCAAGTGGGTTATCGCCTAAGTATGCCTCATTAGTGTTAGTTAACATCGTTTAGGTGATATCCCCTCTATCCCGCCTTAATCTTATAGGTACAATACAATTCATCGGGGTCTTTTGAGACTTCGCGATCTCCAAAATTCAACAACGATACGCGATTTCATTTCATGCTTGTTTATTGATACTTACAACATAAAGTGCCTAAGCTAGCATTTATAAAAACTAGCACCTGCAGACCTTCCTTTATTTGAGACTCAGCCATGCTTGACAAGGGTCTTTAGGCCCACAAACAGTTTGAAGATTATACTAATGTTTGCTTCGTATGTACGTGGTAGCGTGAATACTCGTCCACGCTACTCGATGGCGTGTTTAAACCATAGTGTAATTATGGTTGGCCCTCTAAGTCAAGGATGGTTATGAGATAAAGAGTCCGTCGGTAAACAATGTCTACCTACTATATAGACATAAGGATCAGTATCCACAAGCGGCCTCCAACATCCTATCTTCTGCCCAACGAAATGGCGAAGATGAGAGGAACGGGGGCTGAGAATTGCAAATATTTGCAGTGGCCATCCGCTTTCAGCCGCAGTGTAACATTAGACTGCACGACAGACACACGACAGACACACGACACATACAAACCGGGCACCTAAATGCATGGGTCTCTCATGGATCTCCCATGTGGTCGGAACGCTCAGGCTCCTCCCGAAGATCATCTCGGCTTTGTTTGCGAGGGAGCGAAGCATGCCTATCGATGCCTATCGAGTTCTGTCACATCTCTGGTAAACATTAAGGAATTCAGCCCGCTCCGCTTTACATAGTACTAAGCCGGTACGGGAAGAAAATCAAGTCTGTCAGAAGTCTCGCGGGGAGCTATCGAGTATAGCTTCTTGGCGTGACCACCGAAAGACCCTCGAGGCTTTCAGCTTCTGCAGCTTCTGCAAGCCATCTCTGACGGTGTTACGCTACCATTGGCTATGACTACCTTCATCCTTGCCAGTTAATCTCCCCCATGCGAGAATAGGTATGGCTCAAGGCTGAATGGGACTCTCCATCTCAAGCCAGTGAGAAAACTACTATGTACGAGTGCGGGATGTCGCTTGCCTAGACTGGGACGATGGACCCTCTGATTGCCACTGTTGTTCGGGGTATGCTGGATAGGGCGGGTGATTATACTGTACCAATCCCGCCCGAGGTCCTCGCTCCTAATAAGAGGGCGTGGATGCCCTACACCCGCGCTCGCGTTGTGCCTTTCTCTCTTTTCGTAGATGACCGTCGTTCTCTGTAATATTCTGTGGTCGAGTAGAATTCCGATACATTCGACCTAGGAGCCCTAGACGTCCAGTTCCTATAGTCAGGTCGCCTCCAGTATACCGAAATGGCGAGTCTCCTATCCATTGCGGCATTAGTCACCGCCGTTCAGGCCTTGGCTCTCGATGGAAACAACCCTGAGCCAACTCAGGCATCCGAGCCGAATCCAACCTTCCAGTCTCCCAAGATCACCCTGCCCCCTAGTATTCAGGAATTAGCCAAGAGACAGAACGGACAAACCGTCCTTATAGGACCTGACAACACGTGCGGATACGTTGATGGACGGCCGGGTAATGAACCTTGCACCTATCTAAAAATGACTACCTAACTAATAATTATCATAGGCGCTGCATATACTTGTAACGGCAAAGATGTAACCTGTGCCCTAGTTACTACGTCTACGTACGGCGCTGTCGCCTGTTGTGATGGTGATGGTTGTGGTCTTCGAGTTGCGTGTATCGATTATAGGGATTTCTTGTACTCGAGCGCGTGTGATAATGGCTGTATCCAAGATACCTACACTGTCAAGTGGTAAGTTGCACACTCCTAATAACTACCTAGTATAGAATACTGATGATCTGGCAGCACGAGAAGCACCGCTCCGTATTGTGGCACCGTCACGTTCTCTAGCGGCATCATCGACTATTACTGTGACACCCTGTCAGACTCGATACCGCAACAACTCTACACTACGTGGCACGGTGAAACAGATGGCCGGACTTTCACTCCCGTTGTCGTCACATTAGACGAGTCGGTCGCAACATCCCCCTTACCCTCCGCGACTCAGACCAGCGGTGACGACGATAATGATAACGATAGTAGCACGTCAAGTGCCGGCTCTGCAGATGCGACTGCATCAGCGGATAGCGACGGGGATTCTTCAAGCTCAAACTCAAACTCTTCGAATTCTTCAACAAACGTAGGAGCTATTGCCGGTGGTGTCGTAGGAGGAGTTGCCGGGCTTGCCTTGATCGGGCTCGGAATCTTCTTTCTCATCCGTCACAATAATAAGAAGAAGCGCGATATTACCGCCCAGCCGCCCGCCGCCCAAATGCAACAAGGCGGCGGACCCGGTATGCCACCAACACAACCGGTACCAGGCGCCGCTGGCTACCAACAACCTTACAGCCCGCACTACAGCCAGCAGTACCCACCTCCGCCTCCCGGGTACCCTCAACAGCCATACTACGCCGACCAGAACAAGCCCGCTGGATTTACCTCCGTCGCACCCGGCCAACTTCCCGACCGGAACGGCTCGACCAGCCCGACTAACTCCCAGTTCACGGACAACAGGCAAAGCAGCCTGCAACAACAGCCTACGAGCCCGACTTCGACCGTCAACTCGGGCTGGCAGCCGAACCAGCAGCCCTACCCGGGCCAGCAACAACCCTCTCCCGTCCCCAACGTCCCGCCTACCGTGCACGAGGCCGGCGGAAACGTCGTCGGCGAACGGAATTATAACGATAATCACCACGGTCAACTGCATGAGTTAGGCAACTAAGGGGGTTGTGTTGTGTTGTATGAAGGGGGATGGGGAAGATGGTTTGGTTTAAGTTAAACTAGGAGGTACATATATATTTTACTAGTTCATAGTTCATAGTTTATAATGGGATCGCACGGCATTTGCATTCTGGAGTTTTTTAAGCTTCGTACTCGGTCGGACATAGGTTAGGTACCTAGGTATATATTGAGATATAAAACAGAATGTGCAAACGTATGTGGTCTGTGAGATGAGAGATGCTTGATAATGGTTTTTGGCTTTCCATGACATTTGGTGGTATTTAGTGATCGGAGGGTATATATTTCATTCCAATGTTTATTCCATCCCTGTGTACTTATGTCACGATATCTGAAAGCATAATACGTGCTTAAGAGATAACTACCTCAGATACAAACAAACAAGTAAATAGTATTCAACGGGTAACTTGTCTTTATAGATAGGTACTTTTATGGTATATATAAAATTACACTACTATTCAAGTACCTAAAAATATCTCCGGTTCCGAACGTACGTATAATAAAATAAAACACAGTATTATATACACGAATAATATGTACCTAGGTATGTAATAAAAAGCGAATAATAAGTACACCCAGTAACACTACCTACAGCCCCTCTAAGCTCTTAACCCAGAGGGGTTACCGCACCAGTCAATACTCAACCAGCCGCAGCTTCTTCCCTATTTCCCTCCTGCGTGCGTTTGCCGCCGCCCGATCTGAGGCCTTGGGGTCGTTCTGCTGGTCGAGCGCCTCGCCGCGTGCTTTGAGCGCTTGTAAAAGCATGCCTGCGTCGAAGAAGCCGTCTATACGTGTTATATTAGCTCCAATCATCCAAAACCCTAGTAGAAGAAAAGGGGGAAAAAAAGAAAGAAAAAACTTACAACCGCCCAATTCATCATCCTCGCTCATCATCAAACTCTCTTCCGTCGGACTCCTCGTCCCAGTCGATGACCTCGCCGCCAGCGCGCGCAAGTTATCCGCCCCGGTAATCATGCGGCCACGGGCTTTGTTCGGACGGTGGTGGTGTCCCGTACGCGGCTTATCCGGGTCGATTTCCCTAGCGCGCGTCTGTCGTGAGGTCGTGCCACGTCTATTCGTGATGCGCAGTATTCGCCTGATCTCCAGTAGATAGCTTTCAAGCGTATCTACGAACCGCTTCGTCTGACGGTGCTTACTAGCCACGCAGATATTAATGCCCTCTTCTTTGATGATGTATCCGATGCCGAAGCCACCACCTGACGTTGGGCCGAACCCGAATTGTCGTAGCGACGGGTTCCCGCAGTTGGAGGTTGATAATATCGTGTTATTTAGTTTGTCCCACCCCTGGTCCGCGAAGATAGCTGGCACTTGGTGGTCTCCAAACCGTGAGTTTATACTATCGCCGCGCTGCCGCATTCGTGAATCTTCGTTGGATAGTACGGATTCCTTGCCAGGGCTGCCAACTACAGACTCGGTGCCTTGCTCCGAGCCGGCTTCCATTGGGCTCGAGTATCCCAAGCTACTCCCCGAATAATTGTCCCCGTCCAGAAACCTTTGCCACACAGAGAATAAGGCGTATAGATGCCGATCGCAACCCCGTCCTTTTGAACATTCCTTGGTGGCGTTAACATGCTGCTGACATGCTTTGCGTAGCGCGTCTACTTTCGCCTCCGCGGGGTTATCCGCCCAGAACGTCTGAACAAAATTCACCGCCTCCTCCGATACCGTCCTAACAGCCTCAGTCCTACCGTGGAGATAGGCCTTGGTCATGGCTGGTTCGTAGGTACATTCAACTCTCCCGTATAGCCCATAGTAGGCCGCCTGGAAGGCCATCTGGACGAAAGCATCCGGCGAAAAGCCCGCCGAGGTGATATAGTTCTTACCATAACCGCTGAAGTCCAGGCATTCGAACTCGTTCTGGCTGATGAGATCTGCAAGTCGAGTCTCGGCAAACCGTATAGCGATGTTAAGCTCTGGTGATATGTCCCATTCTAACTTATGAGGAGTCGTCGTAACGTCCCCAAAACTCTCCGGATCACGCTTCGACGGGTCCGGACTTACCGTTTTCCAAAGGCTGGGGGCTTGGCCATTGATAGTCCTTGCGAAGCGTAATATGGTGTCTGTGTAAAGGTCACTAGCAAATCGAAGTACGGTGTGACCATCGACGCCAGTGTGCTCAAAATTGATACCTGCACTTCCGTTTTTGCACACAATGATCTGAAGTTTATCGTACCATCGATTTATGCAAGTGCCAATTTGTACGCCCTTAACTACGTCGTTGGTACCGCAAAGCATATTCTGGCACAGTGCAGCTGCTGTAGAGGGCTCTGTATAGTCGAGGCATAACACAAATAAAGCCGAGTCAACAATACCGAGACAGTCCGCATTATTGGACCCCTCTTCCTTAGTGAGAACATCTCTTAGCCCAGACCAGATCTTTCGATTTTCTGTGCTTAGAATTCCAAGAGCCCCTTTAGCGGCTTCCTGGATAGGCGTTTGAGCTGCATCGTCTATTATTGTTTGGAGGTTGATCGAAATATCTCTTTCGCTCATAATAAGATCTGAGTTGTCATCAAGCACGTCAAACCAGTAGAATTGACCGTGGCATAATACAACAATGTGTTTAGATTCAGGGTCCTGTTCGATTTGGCAACCGTTTTCAGTTGGTACACGCGCAGTACCAAAGAGCCGCGAATATTGATACATATCTAGCGGTACGCCTTTAACTGTATCTGGTGGCAATTCTTCTCGGCGTACTGCTCGCACGAATTCTAACGCTGATGCGACAAGGGACGCCGCACGGGTTAACTGGTTATTCCTCGCAGGCGTGGGGTCATCCTCTAATAAGAAAAAAGGATTCAGGTTTAGGACGACAGGATTATCGAAATTTAGGTACGAATCATACCCTTATGTATAGTAACCGTTAGTAAAGGTGATAGTCATACAAGAAGAGTCAACTTACAGAATTGTTCTATATAACTTGTTTTTCCAACGGCATACTCTTGTAATTTCCTCTGAAGCTCAGGGCCGTCTTTCTTCAAGAACTCTTGAACAGCGAGCTTCGTTTCAGAATGCTCTCTGGGTCCTTGAAGCGGCTTTAGAGCGGCTAGGTACTTCTTGCACGTTTGTTCCAGGTCCGGTATAGGCAGCTTGGGTAAACTGTCTTGGTGAGAAAACGTGATTCCGCCTTCCTTAGGCTTCTCTGGTATCGTCTCCATTATTGGAACTCGGCCCCTGAGTTCAGGACTCGCCGGCCTCTCGTTTTTGTGTTCTTGGGTAGAAGGAGGCGTAGGTGTTGATGAGCTGCCACTAAGAGTCTCGCCAAGAGACTTTGGCATAGCAAAAATACGAACTTGAGTAGGCATACTGTCAGTTGACTTCTGGTAGATTAGGTGTATAAAGGCGAGACACAGGTATTGATATTCAGGCCGCGCAAGGCTGTGCGGTAAAAGTAATGGCAGTCTTGAAGGCAATAGGATGGCATCACACTTGAGCTGCGCCCTGGTAAGGGAAAGGGTTAAGTGGTATCAAATAATAACGAGAGGAAAGGTATCGAAGGGGGATAGAAGCTATAAATCAACTCGGAAGCCGAGTATGGGATAGGAGTCTCAAGTGAATAAGCTAGGGGGTGGGTGGATGATCGGAGACCCAAGTCCTAGGATGTCAACCCAATTGCATATAGTTCGCTATCACATGTGTGAATGGGGATGGCACATTGTTTGCGTAAAGAAAGGGAGAAAGGGATATGATTGGTCGTGGTGCAATAAACTGAACTAGATACTCATCCGCAGGACCGACGAGATATAATATGAATGGAGAAATAGGATAAACTGCCGAGAGTTCTGGGTAAAGGTACCAGAAGCGAAACAGGATCTCACATACCTCCAACCAGGATAACGGGTCCAGCGAACCGCCCGGACGGGTTGTATATGCGACCTTAAGGCGTTATTGTAAAGTAGATTTGTACTAATCAAATAACTTAATAACAAGAAATATTGTAATATGTCACTGGCTGCTTTCTCTAGAATTTGTATTAGTACTTGTATCTACTAGAACGTCACGCAGAGACTACAGTGAATAGTAACGGTGATGCCAAAAATGGCTAGGCATAAGACAAGCAAAGAGATGAGGTCAGAGCTCGGAGACGATGGAGAAGGGCACATAGTTAATTCGAGAACCCACCAAAGATACCTTCCTAGCCTGTCGCAATGACGACTGACAAGTAACCATCCCCACGGGGTCAGCCTGGCGTGAGTCGTAAGTGTAGTGTAAAGAGCTCAAAGGACGAGTCTAGGTCGTGGGGTAGACTTCGGACAAGTGGATGGATTCTGGTTGGGTAATCGGGGGAAAGGCGGCCTTAAAGCCCTCGTGCTCGTGGATTCGGGATCGGGAATGGGGTCGCGCTAAAGCAATCCACCTCGACAAGAGAAAGTGTCTTACTATGTTATGTACCGTAGTCTGAAGGATTTTGGTAACGTTCTAGCGAAGGAAAAGGCGTGCTGCTCTTTTCGTTAATCTCGATTCGCGATTCGAATAAAAACTGAAGATGACGGATCTAATTTATCTCTCGGCTAAGCGACTAAGGTCGTCTCGTTTATAGTAGTGAGATATATTGATATATAAACGGGCATAGACCTTTAGGAACGTGACCAATGTGACCTCAGCTGACGATGCAAAGCTGCACCTAGACAAGCCCAGGGGTCCTAAAAGGAGAAAAAGCGGAGTTAATAGCTGCGCACTCTGCAGTGTTAAGTGCTTGTAACGCTTGCAACCCCGGAATCTTTAAAGTAACAACCTGTTTCCGCCCTTCCTTACGGTTGGTTATTCGAGAATGCTCCCTGCTAATGTGTATAATAGCCAAGCTATTATTGGTGCGCACGAGGGTAAATGACGATGTGCAAGGCTGCGACGCGTGCTAGGAGAAATGCATGTGAATATGGCTTAGATAGAATAGGCGAGATGTTGTAATGTTGGCAATATTGCAGAGTCGACAACCTTAAGCACAACCTCGTCAAAGAGGAAAAACAACAGCCCATATCTTATACCCGAGGACAAGCAACCCTATAAGTTCGATCTCTACCTGCGCCTCGATCCGAATGCTTGATCACCTTTCGGTCGGACGAGTGCTTCTTCAAGAAGTAAACCGATGTGTTGGTGTTGGTGTTCAAATTCGGATAGGATGGGATAGGCTAGTTAGGTTAGGTTAGGTTTACACTAGTCGAATCCCGGGCAAATGGACCACGGGCTGCACGGGGAACCCCCGCACCTGACGATCTTGACGATAGCTTTCGGACGTTAGAAAGGTCCCGCCCCGATCTACAATTATTAGGTTGCTTATCATTGCTTCGGCATCTTACAGATAGATAAAGGGCTGTAAGTTTGGAGACGGCGCGGCAATCGCTTGTGGAACAGAGATGTTAGCCGTTCCGGGAGCCGATGCTATTCATCGAATGATATAATGCGTATCGCGGGGTACTGGATGCAGGCCTCGTATGTAGTAGCATATATCATCCAACGGGAAGGTTGATGTAGCCCCAGATTACTAAATGTAACATTATAGTTGAGTGCATCTGAATATTACTTGAATTTTTCTAATGAGACGACTAGCTTGGATTTGAAGCGACTTTGGAAGTATAAAATTAATAATACTGCACTTTAAAAGAACACCTAGTTATAGGCTTACTTCAAGAAGGGAATTGAATGAATGAGGATGAGATATGACAAGATTATATGTCACCACTTAAAACGAACCCAATTACCAAGGTCTCATAATAATATTTATTGATCGGCAATGTAGGCACTACCTAGAAATAGCATTACTGGTCGTAATTCGACATTTGCACTTGCCTTTGGTTGAGAGAAGCTGAGACGCAGGCACAGGTAGTATTATTGGAAGATACATGCATAGAAGCGAATCCGAAGTGGACCCAGTTTAGTATAACACCTACCTATGTAAGGTTAGGTAAGCGGGGAGCCGATCGACCATACAACTCCGATATTTTCAGCACCGTTCCATACATTAGTAAGGATCAATTATATCTGTTAGTTATTCGCAATTTTAGAGACTAATCGCAGGGTCTTTTCCTGTTATACTAAACAACGACGTTAGGTAAGTACCTCTATACATAATTGTAAAGGGAATAGTGTATATTTCGCAATTTCGTGCCAGTCACGGAGCTAATTACACAGCCGCAACCAGAAAATCAAGCATTAAGTACCTAAATTTGGATAACTCTGGGTGAGGCTCAAGTTTCTAATTTCTGCTCACATCTCCACGTCCTCGGACTCGCTTAAGGCTGATGGACGCTTCTTTTAGGTAAGCAACCCGACTATATGACGTGTTGACCACTCACCGCACTCAAACCCGACAATGCTACCTAAGGCGGATTATCCACCTTTGCCCTATGAATAGTCGCATCTTTTTTTTCGCCAACAGCCTGCGAATGTTTGCGAATGCGAACTTTGTATTTGAAATACTGAAGATAGGATCGCGGATAACTATACTATGTAACTAGGTTACGACAGCCGTCTTCTACCAAGAGGCTGTGCCGCTGCTGGTTTGCGTTGTTGGGAGTATATATGGCAATGAGGTCGCTTTACTTAGTTTTCCTTCTTTGATGTTAGATAATTGTTAAATTTAAGTCGCTTTTTGGACATCTTGCCTCGCATAAGGATATCTGATCATTATGTTGATTACTCTACTAACCCGAGCCTTCAAGTCGAAGAAGGATAACAAACAACAGAGCCAACCGAAAACACCATGCATACACCAGAGAAATATCGAGCAAGACGAACTAAACACCCAACCCGAGAGCTGCCTCATGTGTAAGCTTGAGGAGCGAGAGGCTTCCAAGTATCGATGGAAACTTGTACTATGCCTACTCATGCCCTATGCTCTTCAAGCACTCGACGTAACTATGTACGGCAAATCATATCAAATCATCTGAATATAATGAGACTGACCTGTATAACAGCGTCGCCAGTGCGTTGCCATGGATTGCTGCTGATTTCGGTACGATACTATTCACACGACCGCATGAGGTATTCAAATGCTCACACTAACATAACTTCAGGCGAAATCGCCCAGCTCAACTGGATCATCTCAGCCTTCAACCTGACTTCGGCCGCATTCATCCCCTTCTGGGCACAGATGGCCGACATATTCGGACGGCACTGGTCTCTCCAGATGTGCTCCTTTATCATGTTAGTCGGCAGTGCCCTATGCACCGGTGCCCCCACGACTGCCTTCGGCGCTTTTCTCCTCGGTCGAGCTCTCCAAGGTGTTGCTTGTGCGGGACTCAACACGATCATTCGTGCTATATTGGCAGATAAGGTGTCGTTGGAAGAGAATGCGAAGAATTGGAGTCTCTTCTCGCTGGTAGGGGGCTTGTGTTATGGTCTCGGCCCCGTTATCGGTGGGTATCTTACTGCTGCTAACTGGAGGTGGTGCTTCGGGATCAATTTGCCTATTGCCTTCGTCGGCATCTTGATTGTTTTTTTCTTTCTTCGGAATGATCTCCTAGGCCCTCAGCCGATTCCTGAAATAGATGAGAACGAGATCGGTCATCGAGAGAGATTTGCCAGGCGTATTATGACCCTTGATATCGGAGGGCAGCTTTTATTCCTCTTCGGATTCGGTCTTATAATTCTGGCCTTGACGTGGGGTGGTGCAACCTACGATTGGAACCATCCTGCGGTACTTGTTTCTCTTATTGCTGGTATCCTGCTAGCGTGCGCTTGGCTTTACTACGAATACTCGATGACTCCAGGCGGTGCATTGTCGTTGAAGCTGTCTTCCCAACGGCCAATGTTGCCCTGGAACGTGATGAAGGACCGAAATATTAGCCTCTTGTCATACATCAACTTCGCTACGGGGATGGCTATGTATAGTGTAAGCAAATTGCTATATCTAGGGGAAAAGCCAACCTACTAAACTGTATAGGTTCTTTACTTTGTCGATATTTACTTCACCATTGTCAAGGTAAGATTTTATTTGAGCTTGAGTGGCTCAACCTTCCATCTGCTTATACGCGTATGATTGCTAACATCGTTTATAGGGTTTCCTTTCCGATAAGGCTGGTGTTCAGTTGTTGTACTATACGCCAGGACTTGGAGGTTAGTCATAGTAGCTCCCAATTCCAAACTATTTATATCATTAACTTTTGTAGTCGGTGTATACCTTTCGATGTTCATCTGTAATGTCTGGCCTCGTAAAACATTCCTACCCCTATTCCTCGGCTCCTTGATAGAAGCTATCGGCGTCGGTATGATGGCGTACGCTCTATATTTCGAGCACTCGGCTACTATATACGGCATGATGGCACTGACCGGTGCGGGTACGGGTCTGCGATTCATGCCTTGTGAGTCGATACTCCTTTATACCAATGCAACCACCTCCTAACTTATAACAGGCAGTCTACATGCCATCGGTTTCTTCCCGAACCACGTCGCAACCGTTATTTCCGTAATGGCTGTTGCCACGACATTCGGAGGCACATTGGCTCTTACTATCATGTCCGCCGTCTTCAACAATACATCAGGCATCTCGAAGGATTCCCCTTTCCAGAACGACTACGACGCTTTGCATAAACTTCCAGATGAGATTAAAGCTCACGTTATCGAGGGCGCCAAGGTAAGTCCTTATATCACCCTTCTCTAGTTGAATTGACTAATCCTTTTGTAGAACGGTATTACCTGGGCGTTCGTCGCATTGACGCCCTTCATGGTTCTTGTAAGTTCTAATATGGTTATCTGTATTCTTATCACAGTACTAACACATCAAACAGTGCGTACTCGTGTCAGCGTGCTTAGGCAACGTAACTATTATTAAGAAAACCGACGGTGCTGAGGCTGCCAAGGCTGAAGCCTCGGGTGATCATCTGGTGCACGGAAGCTACTTACTGTCTCTAATATACGGAAAAGGTGATCCGGAGAAGAGTATAGAGCTTGGAGAGGGGAGAAGGTCGGACCAGCAGCCTACGATAGAGCAGATGAGCTAAGGTTGGGATGGAGAATTGTTTACTATATTATGATACCCCTTAATCGGAATGGTTTAATTTTTATAAAATGAAGAGACGATTGGACATATCAGGTGGTTAGATATATAGATTTGGTAAAATATAACCAAGGTAGAATTTCAAGACATATAAATGAAGTATCTACTTTGTAGATACGTAGTACTAGTACACTTAACGGATGCTGTCGCTACGTCCTTGATGATCTTATAATTGATAAGATGGAATAGATGGGTTTTTAGAACCAATTTAATAGCGAAGTTGTAATTGTATATAATCGTATAAAAATATAAATGACGAGTGTAAAAATTTAACACCAGGGAGTAAGGAGCTAGACATGCAAAGCTCGGGATGTACTTGCACTTACATTTACCATGTACTACCTATTGCAAAACTCCCCGCTCCGAAATATTTATTCTCACGTCTTACAACTTTATTAGACTCAAAACTCGCCAAGCAATGCTAACTACATTGTTTGCCTCGAATTATAAGACGCTTAGAATACGGACACTGGGAGCAAACGTGTATCTCAACCACTAGTATCGCAGCTATCGACATAGTAGAAGGGAAGCTCCTCGCGACTAAGCACCGAGCAAAGCCAGCACTCACTCACCTATCTCACAACCCCCCAACCCGCCGCAATGGCACCCGCATTCTCATCCACCCCCCCACCACGCTCCCGCTTCCGCCTCGAATTCCGCATCATAAGCGACGGCCAGGACACCGCGCGCGCCCAAGCCCTCACCCACGCCGGGCACCACAGCACATTCCCCAAGTTCCCCCTGCTGCCGCCCGAGCTACGCCTCAAGGTCTGGGAGTACCTATTAGCGCCGCGCATCGTAGCAGTAGCCTGCATCGACGACGCCTCCTCGCCGTCCGACGAGGACAACAACGAGCCCCCGTCTCCGTGGCCCTCGTTCCCCGACCTGCAGGTCCCGCCTCCGCGCGCCGTGCCAGCGCTCCTGCTCGTCAACCACGAGACGCGGGCGCTGGCGCTGTCGCGCTACGAGCCCGCCTTCGCGTGGAAAGTCCCGTACGTCTTCGTCGTGAACTCCCCGTCGCATGCGACCGCAGGCGCAGCGGCGTGGTCGCGGCCGCGCGTCTGGTTCGACTACGAGCGGGACGCGCTGTACTTGGTCGGGGAGCTGGAGCCGTGCGATAGCTACGGGTTCAACAGCGCGATGGCGTATTTCCTGCGGCGCGAAGAGGCGCGGCGCGTGCGACGGCTGGTCGTTGCGTTCGGCGCGCTGGGGTTCGGGGAAGCTGGGTGGCAGCACATTTTCGGGGCGCTGTTCCATGTTGTGGATCGGTTCTCGAGGATAGATGGGGGGAGGGTGTTGGTTGCTGTTGTGCCGAGGGACGAGTTTACGCATTTGCTGATAGGAGGGGAAGAGCCGTTGGTGCGTCCGGAGGCGGAGGTAGGGGGTAGCTCTAAGAATAGGCCGGGGGATGAGGGGAATATTGTGCAGAGAATTTGGAGTGATTGGTATAGAGGCACGTCGGCGCTGGCGAATGCGCGGTTCGAGCTGGTCCGGGAGGCGGATCTGCCAGAGTATATCGCGAAGCCGACCAGGTCTGTTATGACTAGACCGTAGTAGTATCCTTATTGGACAACATTGAATATTCATAGAACATGGCCATATGATACAATACGACTACATAATTTATATACATATACACTGCCCTCTTAGGTTGAGTGGTGACTGGCTATTACCAGAACGACACGTATGGTACATAATTACATTATACAATCCCTCCAAACTGCGTAGTTTTGATCGTCGAACTAGAATCTATGGCCGTTTCCACTTTACCGTTCGTCTTTTTCTCGTTTGCTCATAACTCTGCATAGTGCGGGGGCACCTTCATCTGCGCGGCCTTTGATGCCTCCTAGTAGCCAATCTGTTAGACCAACGACTTTAGCGCCCAGGCCCCTTTCCCATTCTCCGTGTTCGTCTACGTGCTCGATCGTGTGGCTTATAATTCGGCCCTCTTTGTCAAACTCGAAGATGAATAATCCGGTGAACGCCTTCTTCTCGCCTATGGCCTGCGTGCCTCTGAGGGTATCGTCGAGCCTTTGCTCGCCCTCTTCCGTTACGGTTGGGTTGGGGCTTTTTGGTTTGCCATCCGCCGTTCTCCATTTAACCACCAACTGTTCGCCGTATGCTTCGGATCGTTTTGGGGAGGAGTAAAATGGTTGGCTGACCATCCGTTCCGAGAGTATCTCTAGCTTGACGTTACCGATTATGGGAACTCGATTCCATGCTAACGGGGATGTCCATAATGCTGCTATGTATGCAACTCGACCGGATACGGCAGGGAGGTATGGATGTGTCGAGGGAAAGAGGTGGAGAGAGATATGAGGCGATAAGATCTCCTGCGGCAATGGGGATTGAAGTAAAGTAGGAAGTCGTTCTTGAAGAATGCGCAGTGCTGGAGACGAAGTTAGCCTAGCTCGCATAGGCTACATATGGGAGACAAAGTCTTACTTTTTCCAAGCTTGACTTTCCGCTCGTCTTCCGGTCCGCGCGAATCACCGGGTCCGAAGCGTGGAAACGAGGAATTGAACCATATCGGCGGTAGGCTCTGATGTGGTGAGAGGTGGGCCGTGGCAGGAGGAAGTTTCGACGCTATAGTCGGCGTGGTAGGACATGGTGTAGGCGAGGAGGTGGTGTAAATAGCGGGTGTGAGGGCGCGCAAAGCAGTTTTTGAGCTTGCGGCGTTGGACTGCGCTCGAATAGCGGCGCTCGCTGGGAGGGACATGTATCCGAGGTCTCGATGGCAGCTTTCAATAAGCTTACATACGAATCAATTCGCTTTATGAGTACTACTTGTCTGAGTCGAGAAGAGGTATCTAACCAACTCTAAGTTCGTAAAGGCTCACATGTGGGCAGAAAAGAATGTAGAAATACATAGCCGTAAGTTTATTATTGGTTTTTAGGAATTTCAGTATGATGTAAGTGAAGCTTCGGCTTCCAAGTCGAATTTTAAGTTTTAAGTATGGTAGTACCCGGTACCGGTACGCCGAAGAATAGCGGGGTTCCACTAAAAGTATACCGAAGATGTGGGAGTACAGGGCTGCAGGGGTTGGCGTTGGCTTTTAGAGCTGTTTCTCAGCCCGGAACCCACCGAACCCTTCTTTAATTCAGCTGACGTTTCTGGTCATTGCTTTTCTTTTTCTTTTCTAAGATCGGGTTCTCAGCTGATCACCTGCACCAAATGGTTATGTGTCGCTGGTATCCGTGCGGACGTTCTAGAAGATCTTCGCAGAAGAATCGATGATGATATGGAAAAGTTATGGAAAAGGTATAGAAAAGTTGGTTGGTGGTACTCAACCGGATCTTACCGTATCGAAGTCTTGCAGATTCCTTCTTTCTTATTAACCCCAATATAATGCATAATATTGCATATGTGTATATACCTAGGTAGGTATGCATGTGTTGTTTGCAATAATATTTTCATAATATTTTGCACAAGTGTTTGTGGGTGAATGGTTGAAACATTCTTTGTCGTAGAAAGCCAAACGAAACATTAAAGGATATTAAAGTTGAATGCAATACAGTCGAGTGGGTAGATTAACACTTGCCAATCACCAGCCCGCAGGTGTCAGGTGTAATGTCCTTTTCACGGGAAGAAGAATGGTGATACCGGCAATGTACATTAGTACCGTACATATACGTAGCATATACATTATGTGCATGTAATGTATTATTATGTACTTTTCATAGTGAAAGGGGGCTTGCGCCTGCCTCGTGATTAGATCCGGTGGTTAGACCCGACTTACCGACTTACCGACTTGACTCACGGACGTTAGCAGCTGGCAATTGTAGCACGCCAACAGTCCGTCAGCCTATCTGAGTCCCCGGTCCTGTTCTATCTCTGAGTCTGTGCACAGGGCAGTTGATTGACGGTGAAATGCAGGTGGCCCTTGACGTTCCCTGACGCATCAGCCTACAACTTGTCTCATTAATTCTCTTTCTACATCATCAACGCTAACGGCCATCCTCTTCTTTTACATCGTCCCAAGAACCCTTTTCCTTTGCACATCGCACCCATCTACATTAAATCTATCCTAAGATTGTCCATCGATTCCAACCTGCTTATCGGCGCCTATTTAATCCTTTAGTCCATCTTGTTGTCTCGTTTAAGGCAGCTCGCTCATCCCCGTCAAGATGAATCCTGAGTAGTACGTACGCCCCTTATACCAAGTCGCCCAGCGACAACAATATCGACGATGATGCTGACCTGGTACACAATAGTGCATACCCCACGATTTTTCCTGTATTTTCCTATCTTCCTTCTTCAGCATGAACCAACCAGGCCCCCAACCAAAATACCCGATGTTGCATTAAGAGCAGAGCATCGCAACCTCGTCAACCATGGAGCCCTACCACACTCCCCAGATTTCTGGTCTCCAGCCACAAAACCAAGCCAAGCTACGCGAGGTTTTAAGTTCCCAAGGTTACCCGCTAACTCGCCCTCTCGATAGATACGATTACCTCTTCAAGCTCCTCCTCATCGGAGATTCCGGTGTCGGAAAGTCTTGCCTTCTGTTGCGATTCGCCGATGATACCTACACCGAGTCGTACATCTCAACCATCGGTGTTGACTTCGTATGTGGAGTTAACTGCGAACACCCTTTCGTGGTCTAGGTGCTAACTACGTACAGAAAATCCGAACTATCGAGCTTGACCAAAAGACAGTGAAGCTGCAGATTGTAAGGAGAATACCCCGACTCGTGCACGCCTTTCCGGGCCCTTTTGCTTACTAGAAAATAGTGGGATACTGCTGGCCAAGAACGATTCCGGACTATCACTTCCTCCTACTACCGAGGTGCTCACGGCATCTGCGTTGTCTACGATGTCACCGACATGGACAGCTTCAACAACGTCAAGCAATGGCTGCAGGAGATTGACCGATACGCTACCGAAGGTGTCAACAAGCTGCTTGTAGGCAACAAGAGCGATATGACGGACAAGAAGGTTGTCGAGTACACAGTTGCCAAGGTATGGGGATCTGCATCACGCTACTCGTAGTCTTGCTTGCTATGACAACATGATAGCTAACTGAACCTATAGGAGTTTGCTGACAGCCTTGGCATCCCGTTCCTCGAGACCTCGGCCAAGAACGCTTCCAACGTCGAGCAATCTTTCTTGACCATGGCCCGACAAATCAAGGAGCGCATGGGAACCCAGTCTACCACGAACACCAAGCCTGGCGTTCAAGTCGGTCCCGGACACAGCGTTTCCAACTCGTCCAGCGGCGGCTGCTGTTAAATCAGCAAACTATGATACCCTCGTACAGCAACATCCTCGCATCCATTTTGATTTCCTGGGACGGACTGGCAGGAAAGGCATGCATTGTGTAATCAGGATGGCAAGGGGGTAGGATGTGTTTACTTTTCGCTTTTGATTGCGGATAGATGAAATGATCACTTCACTTGGATCCTACCTAATGGCCAGATGGTCCACCGAATCGTTCTACGGAGACGCAATGCGTCACTTCTGGCATGTGAGAGCGGGTTCATATAATGGTCGAGGAAAGGCTGTCAGCCTAATTCTCCTCAGATGTTACGTACTAATGCGATTTTTCTCATGACTCGGGCGAAGCCTTCTTTGTACTAGATTTTGTCCGGCTGCTTTCTAGAAACCTGGCATTTCTGCGGTTTGGGAGATGATGATTCTACGTTCGTGTGTATTTTCCAATGGTCTCAGAGGGGGGAATCGAGAGAAACGACAGGGGAAAAACAGTCGACGTTTCCCGTTCTTTGTGACCTTACTCTCGTTTCTTTCCTCCGGTGTAACGTATTCTTTGCAAATCAGGGGGCTACTTAATCAGACAGACTTGCGCATAGGAATTTGACTCTGCTTGTGATGCTGAATTTGTGCTATTTTGATGTGCCCTAAGTTTAACTTAGGGCACATACGAGTAACGAAAGTGGCCATGAAGAGACGGTGCCTAGCTGACTTTGACTAACTACTCCTATATATGTCCTAGGCGGAAGCACATACATATATAAAAGAACAGGCTACCCGCCAAGAAAGCATATAATCGTAATTCTTCCCACATCGTCATCGTCCCGAGTTGTCGAGTTGAAACCCCCTCGTATAACGCTGGGAAATACCGCCATCCCTCTTCCTCCTCAGATACAGTCCTCAGATACAGAAACGGTGGTCCTAGTATAGATATAGTACAACAAAACCAAGAGTTAGGAAATACAACCGCATACATAGGTAGATACCTACCGCAGTACCATCTACCCAGCCAACCCTTCCCGGCGTATAAAAATCCAGACCCAAGAAATATAGATGTATAGAACCGAACGAAGGAAACTATCCCAGCACCAAGCCAAGAGGGAACAAAGAAGGGAAAAACCCCTTATGTAGCTAATCCGAGCCACTTCAACGCCTTCCGACTACTTCCCTTGCGCGGCCCGCCCCGCCGCCCATACAGCGGCATGTACTTGCGCGCCTCGGCGGCCAGTCGCGCGTCCTCGTCGTCCCAGCAGGATTCCCATTCTCGTATCTCATCCTTATCGTTATCCTTATCCTCGTGTACGCCGCCGTTACTGTCCGGCTCCCCCCGCCCCAGGATACTCCGGAGCTTGTTCCGCTGGCTGCGGGTGGTCCAGGTTGTGCGGATCGAAGATACGGAGCCTTTGGTGGATTTGACGGGTTTGGGTTGGGGAGATTTGGTTGAGGAGGGGGGAGGTGGTGGTGGTGGAGGGGGCTGTGGGAGGGGTGCTTGGAGGGTTGATTGAGGGGTTGGGCCTGCGGAGGATAGGGATGAGGTTGGAGTTGATGGAGATGAGCGGTGTTTGGGTGGTGGAGGGGGCGGGCTGGTGTCGGCGTATACGATGCCTGAGTTGTATTCCGCCGGAGTATCATCTTCGCCAACGCACTGCCGCCGGAATCCCATGATAGCCGAGGCGTTAGTTAACGAAGCGGGCTGTTGCGATATATTTATCAACGGCTTCCCCTGGCTACGAGAATGCGAACCCGAATGTGACTCCCTTCTAGCATCTAGCTCAACATGCATCGAAGCCCGGGACGCCATGCCCTCCGGGATATAAAACGCCGAGATGTCGATCAGGATCTTCCAAATCGTCGAGATCAGCGTCGCAATCTCAGACTCGTTCGCCGAGGACGTAAGCAGGAAATTGGCTTTAGCAAACGACGGCGTCTCGCGGTGCTTGGAGCGCGGCGGGGCGAGAAGCGTGGCCCCGGACCGCGTGGTGCTGCTGCGCAGGAACGTAGGCCTAGAGTCGGTGCGCTTGTGCGCGGCTGTTCGGGGCTGGACTTTGAAGCCGGGGTACGGCTGGGGCGAGGCGTCTTCGGAGTATAGGATTCCGGCTACCTTGAGCAGGTCGACGCCGACTAGGCGCTGGAGGGCTAGGACGGTGGCCAAGTGCTCGGGGGGGTACTCGAGGAGGAGGAAGCGCGTTGCGGAGTGCGCGGCCATGTATGTCTCGAGGTGAGGGATGATCAGCGTGGCTAGGAGGAGAGGGTTGGAAAAGGGGTTGTCTTGAGTTTGGTTGGCTAGGGGTTGTGCGGTGAAGGCTTGCATGGCGCTTGCGATGAGGAACCTACATCGACGACGTATTAACTTATGTACTAGTTTGACAGAATAGGTAAGACACTCACCTCAAATCCAACCTCCCGGTCCGACTAACGCCGTTCGGCTTCGTACCAAGCTTCTCCAAAGAACCGCTAATCGCCCCGAGGAACTCCCTATCGACACCCTTCTGCGCCCCGATACCAAGGATCAGATCGACTTTCCGCTTCCGCTTCTGCTGCACGGCCGCCGTGCCCGAGTCTGCTGCTGCTTCCCGGAAGACGGGCTTCCAGAGGCTGCTGAGCTCGGGGAGCAGCGGGAAGTTGAACTGGTGGTAGCCGGCGTCGTCCTCGGCGGGCGGGAAGTAGATGTTGAGGATGGAGCGGAGCGAGTTCTGCACGCACACTGCTGTCCGGCAGCCTGTTGTTGCGAAGTCGTGGAAACGTTTCTCTGGTTTTGATACGGCTGGGGGAGGGGTCTGGGCGGGTGTCGGTGGGGTGGAGGAAGGTCTGTGATTGTTCGAGTCTGGCTTGAAATGCCAGGCACGGGATGGCTTGGGGTATTTCCCGTATGCGAAGGGGTCGTAGTCGTCGGAGTCCATGCGATAAGCCGCTGCTACTTCTGCATGTTGGGCACGGCTATGTCTCTCGTCGTCAGGGGACGTAGGTTCCGGATCTCGTTGGCTCGAAGGGCTTGATTGAAGACTAGTCCTTTCTGCTTCAGGTTCTGGCGGCGACCTAGATATAGGGTATCTGCCCTCTCGGAAAGATTGGATCGTTGCCTCCAGCCGAGGATCGTTCTTCTCGGATTTGAAGAATATCACTAGGTTTTCGACCATGGGCAAAATTGGCTCGTAAGTCTCATGGGGGTCGGCTTCGGCAGGAGTTTCGATATCGAGAAATATAGAACCCCTCGTATCGGACTTAGAAATCCCACTAGCTGGTTCTGGGTCCGTAGCCGTACCCCTATCCACATAGCTATTATTCCTTGGATTTGTACCGCGATCGACGTAAGTCGCCGGCCGCAGCGGTACTTTCTGAATCCTGAGAGGAGAGGGAGGGTTACGTCTGACTATAGACCTATTCGGTGTGCTGAAAGTAGGCCTAGGGATTTCGGTCGTGAACTTGGATCGGAGCGCTAACTTGTCCTGGCGGACCCCCGGGCTTACATCCAGGCTTTGCGGCCTCGACCGGGGCGGCTCCGGAAAACTGCGTAGTATGTCTTGGTTGCGTATGGCGCTGGAGCAGATCCGATCAACAGGCTTAATCTTCTTACAGGAAGTGGTCGTGGCAGAAGGCCGAACTTGGACGGCAAATGCTTCACATATTGATGGTGTGTTGGGGATCGACTCAAGCTTGAAAGATTGCGGACTACCTGGAGATCTTGATTGGTTGTTTAGCTCATCAGTCTGCGGCCCGGCCGGCTCCAGGGCTCGCTGCGTAGTCCTTCGTGAGTCCGTGGCAGTATGACTGCGATGAGGAGTCTGAGGGGGATCCGAGTTTCGCGTATTCCTCCCCTGCCATTTGCGAGCCCCGAAGACGTAGAAAGGGGTTGCGTTCTGGAAGTCGTCGACCACCCGATAGGTTGGTACGCTCGTACTTCGGGACCGAGTCGCATTCGTAAGATCAATCTCATTATTGGGTTGCAAGGAGGCAGTCTGGAGGTCAAGGGCATCAGCAGCTCTCATAGCCTCGGATGCCGGATCGCTGGCTATCTCTCCATCTTGGTCTGTCGGCTGTGGCCTGGCAGGGATGATTTGTGACGTCTCCAAATCTACGTTGGTTGTATAACGACTCTGTAATCCTGAAGCCCCGTTTCTAACAAGCCTGTTGAAGATACGTTCAGCTTTAGCAAAATCCCCGCCTGTCAAGTGCTTGCTGATGTCGGAAACACATTCCATCTGGGCACTCGCCGTACCCCCGTTCATGAATACTAGTCGCTTATTCCTTGGTGTAGAGTTTTGTAAGAACGACCGTGCTACTTCGGCTCTGTCACTACATGCGTTGTGTACCGCTAGAATATGCGACTGGGCATGGAAGGGTGTATCCGGGTCCTTTTCCTTCATGAACTGTTGGAGTGGTGGTATGATCAAGATATTAGGTGAGCTCGGAAGCAGTCGGAGCTGGGTTGATATGGCATCTTGAGGCCCTTCGAAAGCTATCAAGCTCCCATGGTATTGAGATATAACATCCATAATGTCGCCTTAGACCTCCCCATTAGTTTATGCGGTCTATACTACGGCTCTAATTTATTTATAAGAACTGGGAGACTTGCGCGCGCCAATTAGTATACAAGACTTGTTAGGTATAGAACGGCAACGTCTAGTTACCTTAGTAGGATACCACGCCGCATTCCAAAATTTGACGAAGGCGTAAAAGCCCAATCCTGATTCCCGAATAGGAACTCTTAGGAGAGACCGGCGAATGTGGGATATGGACTGGGGTTGACTACCTGAACCGAATAACAGCTCGTGCTAAGCGAAGCCACTATAAGATTAGGGGTTCAGCATAAATGGATAGATGGGTGGTTGTTTTGGGGCGAAGAGTCCCCGACGAGGAGGAACTATACTAATCAGATAGACAGGATCGTGGAAGATGCTGATTATAGTACAGCCGAGAAGGAACTTTAAGGCCCAATAGGAAACTCTTAGAGAAGCAAGTAGCAGAAGAGGTTCAGTCAAGAGTCGAAGAAGTGTAGAAAGAAGTTACCTGCATGCTTGGCATGCATTCCTGGAGAGAATACTACAAACGAGTGGTCTTGAACTCTGTACCTACATGGTACATGGCGATACACGGTGTTTGAAGTTATAAGTGCAGCAGCGAGAACGCCTGCCAGACAGTTATCTTTTGCATACTGCTTAGACGAGGGGCATCACGGATAGCAGCATTGGGAGTAATGTTAGCATGGCGTGGCCTGCAAGGTTAGAGTCTTAAAAAAGTCACATGGGGTGTGTCTAAAATCCCAAGACCCGAAATCAAACTTGAAGTTTTCCGAGTACGGTAATTCGAAGGGCGGCTACTTCGGACATATAGATCTGATATGTGACTACCGAAGAAGAGTCCAGGCATATGCACTTGAGATGCTAGTTTGGCGAATATAGATGCATGTAGTAGGCCAAGCCATCTTTCGGCAGTACTATTAAGGAAAAAAAAGTAAATATAGGTCGGGAACTAGCAAGGCAAGGAGTCCATGTTGGTTCAAGTAAGGTACAGTATAAAGCAGGTTACCATTTCTATAAATGTAAACGATCCCACGAGGACGAGCAAACGCAAGTCATGTGTTTGTCGATGAGAATAAGGATCTACATACTTGGGTGAATCAGAATGCTGGGTTTTGGTGCGAAACACTCTATCTTACCCCGTAGGAATGAATGCTTATTTCAAGTTCGACGTGCACTTTCTACCTATCTCTTTAGGTAGTGTTTGAGATACTTATATAGTAGTACTGCTTGTGCTATTCGTTGATTAGTTTGTATATTAAACTATGAAGTCGTGCTTAGATACCCCCATGATTTTCACCGCATATTTCCTCCACCTAGAACAGCAAGATCCATTCATCTAGATTGAGCTTATAATGCCCGTTACATGATACTTTCGGTATGAGACGAGGTAGAGGTTTATTGAGCAAGGTTCAGATGAACTATAAAGTACCTAACCTTGTTGCCTACCCCCGGGTTTTAGGCAAATTTGGCGATCCGTGGGGATTGTGGCTGCATGGAAAAAGCAAAAGGTAATTAATTATATCTTGTACGTTATGATTTTCCACGGCATCGTAGAGTTTGACGTCTTTAGATCCCGAAAGTAGGTTGTTCGCTGGCCCTCCAACTCTAAAAATGATCTGTATTCTAACTACGAAGTAAGGGGTAATAGCAATATCGAGAATAGGTAGTTAAACGCGAGAGTTAACTTTGCCGACTGAGGTATTCGCGTCAAAGTCGGATTTTTAGATGAGCGGCCTTCCGCATAACTACTAATGTGGCTTTCCAGTTTGAGAGATAGCCGGGGACGCGTTCTTCATCGACGCCGCGTCGGAGATCGCGACAAGCGAGGTAGATCACTCCCTTGTACCTTATTAGACCTGTGGCGTGCATCAGATTTATGAGGTTTCTTAAAGGGTGTTTTTGCTTATTATGTGGCCATCTTTCCCGCATACCATGGCCAACATATTTTACGATTCTGGATTAACTTGATCGCTAACAGGATTACCCCTGACCTATTGCTTCTGTCGATCGAGTTACTGGACATGTATGTATTCTGCACGGCCAGCATGGATTTTCACGCCACTCAGCATCGTGCATTGATCACAGACACCCCAAAAACGCAAACGGCGGAGTTCGCTTACAAGAACGAATCGTTTGCATGTTGGCGTACATTTCCTACCTAGTAGCCGGGTTTGAATAATCCTATAGGAAAATAGATGGATGAGGTAAGGGTTGATCCTTTTCCTTTGCAACTCGCGTAGAAGATCATCTAAGGATATAAGAGGGTTAGATCTAGAGACATACATAATACTCCTTGCACGTTTCTACGAGACAGTCTAAGCGAAAAGATGTAAGTTGCCCATTTAGGCTTTCGTATTCTGGTACCTTCGTGTGAATATTTCTATATTCTGTAGGTAATTTTTAAATTCAGCTTGGCAACTTTCTATTAAACCTGGCTATTAGGATGAATTGGTTGACGATATATGATGTATTTCATTTTATTTTATTTTATATAGAATATCAACTATTGCCGCAGGGGACCGTCAGGCTGTTGCCAGCCGTGTGGTATGACTTAGGTGAAATGGAGTAGTACATGATATATCCTCAAACTCAGCCGCCTCTTTTAATTCGAGTCAGACAAACGACGCCAATGAAACTCGAGTGGGAGTACGAGATTAAGGTTTCAGGGGACACTGGCCTATGATCTATCGGCCGCATGGCCGCATGGCCGCCTCATACACGTGAACTTTTTCATCTAATTGGGGTGAAACAAAGACTCCCGTTCATCGGCCGACAGCCGCGATCATAACCGCTTTTCCCTAAAGAGGTCTCAAGCAGATTTATACCTGTCTATTTCCGTACCTAATCTACCTAAGTGAAAGGTACTCATGTCTTCGAGTAATTCGTCGCTTGCCTCGAAACGTCTCAGGGGTATTATTCATCGTCTTCCATCAACGCAAGAAGTTCAGCTTCTTCCTCTGCTGTCATAAGCCCCTTTTTGGGCTCTTCTGGCGTTTCGTTCTTAAGCCCCTTATCCTCTCTCTCCTTATTAATCTTATCAAGTTCGGCCTGGCCAAGTGGCCATGTCCTTACCGTCGCGTCGATAGACACCGAAACAATTCGCTTGCCTGCGTTGAGAAGGACCAGGTCGGTAATCTCGTAGTAGTGACCCTCGAGTATACTGTATAGTGTCCCGGATGAACGATTCCAAACTTTGATATCCTCATCCCTTCCAGCGGTGATTACCCATTGATCCGTCATGGCAACGGCCCGCACGTGGTCACCGTGGCGGAAGGAATCGACAGTAGTAAACCCCTTGAGCCGTGATAGACACTTTGCTGTGCCGTCGCCACTTGATGTCCATAGGTCGACCTCTTCGCCTTCGGAATCAAATACCACTTTGTATACCGTAGTATCATGTTCTAAGATTGTGTGACGAACCGCCCCAGGTTCATCCGGCGAGGCTTCCTTGATCTGTTCAAAGCCATCAAGCCGAATGCGCCATCGACGGATGTGAGGGTCGCTACTGGCACTGACAAGTATGACTTCGTCAGGTCCCGATTGCACTGGGTCAACGACAAGGTATTGAATGGCCATCATTGACACAGCTTGGTCTTGCAACACATGGAGTCGAGATCCGGTTTCGAGGTCCCATACAATGATCTTCTTGTCTGCACCGCCGCTGATCAGAATGTCCTTTCCTCCAATCTTGGCGGTCACGACGGCCTTAACAAAGTCCGAATGTCCATCGTATTTGCGACCAGGTGTCTTAGAAGCTAGGTCCCAGGACCATATGTTCTTATCCCAAGAGCCGGCAAATAGTGTACTGTTGCTGGACCCGCCAACAGCAACGCAAGTTACTGGGGCTGATGGACCTCGGAACACCTGCTTGGTATCCCCCGTCTGAAGTAGTTGAATTAACACATTTACTCTTATTCAGGTGTCTTTATGTTAACTCACATCGACATTCACCCTACGGACTGATCCGGCAGACTCGGCAATGAGAACTGAGGATGGGTCGGTGGGGTCCGATATAGCAGCTAACAGCTTTGATTTCAAGGCGATGGGGTTGCCATTCTTGTTACCAGATTTCACCGCACGCCTTTCTCTGTTGGCCTGCTCGGCACTATTTAAACACGGTTAAAACAGATGGACAGATAGTATATTCTAGGATATAGCCTACTCGGTCTGGAAGAATTGGTCTGGAGATGTTCCTTTGTTCATGGTGACGACTATTGGGGTCAATAGATATGGTATTCAGGGGTTGTTGGATAATATATTTTTTATAAAAAAAAGGTGATGATACTGAAGGCGAGTCTTCCGTGTTGGCACTAACGACTACTTCTTCGTAGTGTAGCTATCTACGATTTTATAATCCTTCTTAAATCGTTGCCTACGTAGGCAGCTACATTCATAGTTATACTATACTAGTGCTGCCATTAGAGCTGCCATTAGAATTTGCCCTCTTATGTAAAATCGGGTTGAAATGTGACGGAGTACTATGTATTACCTACCTAGGTTAGGTACCTAAGGTATATAAGCAGATAAGTTAGAAGAAATGGTGCCTGTTATTGCATTATCGCTTTATCGCGTTACGAATAGAGCTGATATTGGAGATTTGGAGAAAGGTGGGGTTATAAGCCGCACTGGCCACGCGGGAGAGGGGCATCCCTGTTCGCTCTAACGCGCTTTCGTTAATTGAATTGAATTGTCGACGCGCGACGCGTTTTCCACCATACATTTTCCACTATCCTAAGTTATACCTACCTAGGTATCTAATTCAACTTTTTATTCCCACTCTCACTTTTTCACTGTTGATGTCGTCTAATTAAAGTGAGAGACAAACACAAAAATGACATCGACAGCACCTCTTCGTCCTCGAGCAAGGCCGGCCCATACTCAGGGTTCAACTCACTGTGCCTATACCCCTGATGGTTCCAAGCTGGTAACTGTCGGTTCGAATAATACGATCCGACTATACAAGACAGGTTTCGATGGCGAGCCTATCAACATTGACGACTGCCAAGAACAGAACGTTAGCGTAGACGCTTCTGACGAATTCTTCGTTGTCGGCTCTGAAGATGGTACCGTTAGCCTCTATTCGATACCCGATGCTACCTTCGACAAGTTCCTACTTCGATGTTCTCTCCCAATCCGAGACGTTGCACTTTCGCCAGACTCGAAGTGGTGCGCCGTAGCTAGCGACGAACTAACTGTGAAGCTTGTCCGAACCGATGACAATAGCCAAATCCGCCACCTCAAAGAACACAACAAGCCTACGAAGCATCTCGCTTTTGATATTAAAGGGTCAACTGTCACACTAGCTTGTACCGACGGAATCGTATATGTGTATTCGATCTCATCCAACGAGCCAGAACTTATAAAGAAAGTTGACGGCGTCATTGGCGCATTGGATACCGAGTCAGATGTTAGTTCAAAGATCGTATGGCACCCTGACGGGCGTGCCTTCGCAGTCCCAACTCCGACAAGAGACATCCAGGTTATCTCCAAGAATGACTGGGAGAAGCAACGAATATTTTCCAATGGCCACAATGGAGAAGTTACCGCTTTGGCCTGGTCGCCGAACGGTGCCATACTAGCTTCCGCCGGCAAGGACAAGAGGATATTGTTATGGGAGACCAAGACCCAGAGTGTTATTGCCAGGCTCGACTATGCCAACGTTATAGACATAGCATGGCATCCTAGAGAGAATCTAGTATCCTTCACCAACTCGGATGGTGAGGTCTACATTCATCCAGACTTTGTACCGGAGCAGTTTGCGCCTCTATTAAAGCTTGGAAAGCAACCTGCCCCTTTCATTCACGATCCCTTATCAGAAGTTGGAGCAAATATCAGAAGGCCTACAGAAACGGTCGTACCCGTACTTAACCGAAGAAACAGAGAAGGAAGTTATGACTCTCTTATGGATGGGCCAATGCAAGACGACGATGATTTCGTAATAGATGACGACGGAGCTGGATACGTGATCAATGGAAATGGGAAACGCATGCATGATGATGTTGATGTTTTTGGCGAGCCGATAAGCAAACGCCCTCATCTCGAACCGGAATACCACGAGGCTTTCCAACCTGGGTCGACGCCGTGGCGAGGTAACCGAAAATACCTTTGCCTGAATCTTATCGGATTTGTTTGGACAGTAGATCAAGATGGACATAACACAGTTACTGTGGAATTCTACGACCACGAATTTCACAGAGACTTCCATTTTACTGACACATTCCTTTATGATAAGGCTTGCCTAACAGAGAACGGTACTTTGTTTTCTTGTCCGCCTAAAGATGACACACCAGCGACGATCTTCTATAGACCTCATGAGACATGGACAAACCGTACCGATTGGAGGACGCAATTGCCAAAAGGAGAGGCAGTCCTCGCTATGTCATTGAGCGACTCTTTCATAACCGTCACGACCACCGCGAACTACGTTCGAGTGTACACACTCTTCGGCATCCCCTATAAGGTGTACCGACCGAAGAGTACCCCGATGGTTACCTGTACAAGCTGGAGAGACTACGTAATGACGATCGGCAATGGCCCTGTTGGTGCGGATGGACATACCAGACTTTTATATACTATCGAGAACGTGAAGAGGGACGAAATTTGTCAAAATGAAGACACCGTAGCGCTACCTGAGGGCGCAATGTTAAAGAGCGTCTTCTTCTCTGACAATGGCGTAAGTAAAATGTCTTCAATTTCTACGAATAATGCTAAGTTAGTAATAGGATCCGTGTATTTATGATTCTACTGGAACACTCTTGACCCTGCTACATTGGCGCCAACCGTCAAGAGCGTCTTGGATACCGCTCCTGGATACGAAGCTTCTCCCACGTCTCGCATCCGGTCGAAAGACGGAGACTTACTTTCCTATCGCCGTTGCGGACAACAAATTCCACTGCATCATCCTCAAGGGCGGCGACCAATACCCATACTTCCCGCGCCCCCTCCTCTCCGAATTCGACTTTTCTATCCCGCTCACCTCCGAACCACCTAAGCAGAAGAATCCCGACGCCATGGACCAGGACGGTACACCGGAGCCCGAAGACGACGACTCGGAGTCGCGCAAGTTGGAGCAGCAATTCCTACTTAAGGGCATCGCGGCGGCACAACTGCAGGACCTGGCGGACTCCACAAGCGGTAGTCACACGCAACGGTCGAACCTCGCGCGTCTCGAGCTTGAGATTGACAAGACGCTCCTGCAGCTCCTGGCCATCGAGTGCCGCGAGAGCGAGGATCGCGGCATGCGAGCGCTCGAGATTGTCGAGCTCATGCGCGACCGTACGGGACGCATGATCGAGGCCGCGAATAAGGTTGCAGAACGTTACGAAAGATCCATCTTGGGAGAGAAGATACGCGAAGTTGGCGAGCGTAGGGTTAATGCCATGGATGATGATTATTGAGAACTTGTGCGAAGACGTGGAAGTACGAAGATTTGATTTGCGCTTTGATTACGCCGGCGTTACGAGGGTTGCTCTGCTATAGGAGCGGCGTAGGGGGGTGTATAATATTTAAGTTACGATTATATACGTTGGTTACTACATAATGCCTGGTTCTAACGGTCAGGAGAGTGGAATATGTTGAATACGGGTACCTAATTCTCGAAGCATGCATATTAGAAGTTGGAGAATGACGCTTTAATAAAAAAGCGTTCTGATATTGGTGATATCTTGCGAGACGATCCTACAGGTATTCTGTTCGACTTATATTCATGTAGTTGCGACATATATCCAATCCACTTTCGATCAACCACGATATCGCTATTAAGCATATTATTCCTATACTATATATCTCAAAAGCATAATCTCCTTAAAAAGTAAATATCATTTTTACATTTTCCGTATAAGTCGCAGTCGAGGGTTTGTAGTCTATGAAACCCTACAAAGTCTCTTTTCCCCAATTCGGCAGCGCCCATGATTTTACTGTACATTACCTGTATTGACGATAACTTCAGATGCGGCCCATGATACCTTTTCATCCAAAAGGGCATTAAAACCCGAGTAGTACGAACTAGGCCCGAATCCCTCCCAACAAATGGTGACGGTACCTAGGTAGGTATGTATGTATACGAGTCGTTATTTATTCCCCCACGTGGGCGTCGGTCAGACAGGGGTCAATGACAAGAAATGGCCCCCGCCTTGGGGTTCTCGCCTCGGGGGAGTACCTCCAACCTCACCGTGGGATGAGACACAGCGACGTAAAGGCCCGATGGAGAAGTATATAGATGGCCGGTAGTGCGGTGGGTGGTGATGTGCTCTATTCGACCATTCGTCATGTTTTAAACTCAGCCGAACCAGAGCGATGGTAGCCCGTCTGCATACCGGCGTTACATACCTAGTCCTACATGATGCGGAAGCGTCGTACGCAGAATACCGATATCTCCAAATGGTACAGATCTGCTGCAGATATGTCGTGTAGGACGATGTGGTGGTTCGGCTTGTCCGACTAGGGGGGGGGGCTGAATTAACTTGATGTCGAGTTTGAGATAACTTGGAAGCCGTGTGCTTGTTTCGATACGTTAGGTAGTCTATCATGCGTAGCCTGCTGATACTTGGACCCTTGGATCGCGATGCTTCTCGAATGCTGCGCCGCTTCCAAGTGCGTACGCCGTACTACCGCACCGCATAGGTACATAGGTAGGTAGGTATGTATGTATCAAGCCTCCGGAACGATGTCGGTGGACATGACGGCCAGAAATACGCTATGTGTGGTATCTACACCCTTTGTCTTGTCTTTTATAGTACGTAGGAATTAGCTGTTCGAGATGCGGCTAGATGCAAAAGGGACTTCGCCGGGGAGAGGATCAGCTATACGTATGTATGTGAGTGCATATATATAGACAGGTAAGTAAGTAGGTAGTAATGTGGGCGAGTGAGTGAATGTGTGCAAACACGGCGCAGCAGCGATCCTTCGGCTTAAAACAAGCGGGTGGCCGGCCCAAAATCACCTTTTTTGACAGTTCCCAACTCGTACGCAGTCACGACGCCGACGACGACGAAGAAGAAGATGATAATGAGGTGGCGAGAGTAATAGCGACGCGGAGCATTAATGATCGCTGCTTTTGGTATATGGAGAGCTCGTCGCCGGCTCGAATATGTCGACCGACGATGCCGCGGAGCTCGTCCGCCTCATGACGGCGTACGATAACTCTCGCGAACCGAGACCGCTGTTCAATCACCGCGCTACCGTCTATGGCTTGGTAATTCCTTTCATGGTGAGGATTACCTACATATCGAAGCAATACTAGGCTAGTTGTTTGCTAACCGTGTTGACGCATGCAGGTTGTCTCCTATATCTGCGTGGTACTCAGGATATACACCCGGGTCAAGTTACGGTGTTTGGGCTGGGACGATCTATTCGTGGTGCTCTGCAGGGTAAACCGCCTACCTGCCTGGACGACCGTCTAAAAGGACGTCGAACTAACTAACTGTCGAGTATAGATATCGGCTACGGTTGGCTCGATATTCTTGTGTCTTTGTATGATATTTATTGCCTTTCACTTATTCCCAGGAAGAACTAGTTACCGGCTAACTAGAACCCCAGCGCTGAATAATGGGTTCGGCGAGCATATCTTAACGATCGGATACGACAATATAGTCGCGTTCCAAAAGGCAAGCACTTATTCTTTAACCATACAGCTCCCCCTTCCTCCTCCCCCCTAATATACTACGTCAACTACATACTAACACCCCCTTCCAGAAATTCTACGTCTGCCTAGCAACATACACCATCTCCACAACCCTAGTAAAGCTCTGTCTCCTATCGCAATACCTCCGGATCTTCGAACCCGGGTCCCGCGCGCGAACCGTCTGCTGGACCGGACTCGCCATCGCCGGGCTCTGGGGCACCGGCTTCTCCTTCTGCGCGCTGTTCCCCTGCTTCCCCGTCTCCGGGTTCTGGAACTGGACCTCGCCCGCCCGCTGCTACGGCTTCGGCTCCAAGGTCCCCGAGGAGATAGCCGGCACCTTTGCCGGGCACACGGCGTCGAACGCGGTCCTGGACGCCTTGGTCCTGGCTATTCCCGTCCCGCTGTACTTCCGGAAGTCGACGGCGTGGAAGCAGCGGTTGGGCATTGGGATCCTCTTGATTCTAGGTCTTGTGTATGTCCATTGTCCCCATCGCCCCCCTCGACGCCCAACACCCAAAGCTCACCTTTACTTACTAACACGCGAGGTTTCCCCAACAGCGTAAACCTCCTCAGCATATGGCGCCTGCAAACCATCGTCGCCAGCAAAGCCGGCACCCACCCCGTCCTAGACCCAACCTGGTACGGGCCCAAAAGCATAATCCTCGCCGCCCTCGAAGTCGACCTAGCGAGCATATGCGCCTCCATCCCAACCTTCTGGCCCACCCTCACCCACGCATTCCTCAACAAGATCTTCGTGACGCAAGAAGTCCACATAACGCACCAACACCGACGGCTCTCCTCCTCGCATTTCGACCCGCAGCCATCGTTCCTAGAGCACGGACGCGGCGGGGACGGCACTTTACTCCAAAGCAAGCCCTACGGCCGCCGTTACCGCGACGACTTCATGCTGCATAGAGTCATCCCGGCGAATATGATCGAAGACGATAAAGATAGGGACAGGGACGCGGAGGCCTGTGGCGGGTCCCAGGTCCGGTCCGAGGGGCACCGCGGGTTTAAACGCGAATGTGAGCGGTTAAGGCTGGTGGCTGTGGAGAGTAATAATAGCGGTGGGAAAAGTGACAATACTAAGACAAAGAAAAATAATGTCTTAGGAGGGGAAGCAATAGCTTGAGGGAGGTTTGGGTTCTTGGATGGAGATAAGTATTAGGCGCATTGCTGTTTTAATGATACCCCTGAATTTATTTTTTAATAAGCGTGATTTTGCTGATAGCATTTCGATTCGGCCTTGAAATTCTCTATCTGTTCTGGACACGTCGTACTCGGACTCTCCAAAATATACCTACAGTTGAGGCTATGGTGGTATTCATAGCGAACATCTCATCACTAGCACTCAACTATCAGATTCTACACTTTCTGAGTTATTTCGTAACATTGTTCAGCTACATTAAATAATATACTTCAAAATGCACAGCGCAATTACCACAACATAGGTAGAGGTACGTATACACAATAATTAATACATCTATGTCTATTACCTTATTCATAGTCTTTATGTCAGCCATTCCCAACCCCATGTAACATCCCTCTCCTTTTAAACCAGGCCCAGGCCCTATTACTCAATTAATACAAACACGCGGGTACAACACCGAAGTCTAGCCCGACCATAGAAAACCGTATCATGACCATTACACCACGCTTCTTTTACTCTTACGCTTTCCTCTGCTTCCTCTTCGCCAAGAAACCGTTAAAGGGATTCTTGCCCCTGAATCTCAGGTACGTAGCGAAATAAACCACAGCGTAATTGAACACGATATAAGCCCAGACGATGCCAAAGTCGCGCCAGATATTGCTGTAGTAGACGCTGAACTGTGCTCCAAACTCGTCCCCGTTCTTGTATTGGCAGTATTCGCAGAGGCCATCAGCCGAAACGCTCTGCAATCTTCCACTCGCGCGCGCAGAATAACCTTCGGTGTACGATTCACAGCTCATGTCGGGAGGAGGGCGGAAGCGCGCGAGCTCATTCGGTTTACACGTGACAGGTTGCCCGTGGATAGCGATACCAACGAAGGCTTCCATTAGGTAGTGGAAAGGGGTGAGCGGATACATCCACTTCTGCCAGAAGTATGGGAGCGAGGCCGGGGGCACATTCACGCCACAGAAAGCCACGACGAAAAGGAAGAAGAGGGGAACGAACAAACTTGCTAGCAGTTGGTTAGGGCTGAATGCCGCAATGGCCTGACCAAAGCTGACGTAGTATAGCTCGAAAATCATCATGCATAGGAAGGTAAATCCGGATGGGAAGCCAGTCATTTTATAGCCCATTAATCCCCACCACCAGCAGTTGAAGTAGATGGCACCTGCCACGATAGCATAAGGTATTTCCGCCAGCACTGCAGCCGTGGTCCATGCAACCCACGAGTAAATCTTTGCGTTGTTCTCGCGAGACTGGAAGATATTTCGTGAGTTGAGAAAAACGGGTTGAAGCTGCTGAATCAGCGGGGGTGAGATCGTAAGGTTCATGAATATTGAGAATAAGCGGGATTGCATATCGATGCTGGCATCACCCAGACGCCAAAATGTGAAGGTATTGAAAAGACCAGTGAATATATGCAGAATCATCTTGCCCATAATGTAGTTTGGCGATCTCCAATAAGCAACGAAGGAACGCTTGACGACTGCTGTCGTCTGCGTCCATAGAGGCATGGCATATTCGCGATCATCTTGGATGTTCTTCGAATGTTGAACGTTCCGCCGCTTCTCATTCATCTGTGCTATTTCCTTCGACTGATCCTCGAAGTTTTTAGATTGTAACCAGGTGTCGCCCCAGTCTTGGCCTGCGTAATCCGGATTTCCAGCTCCGATAGCCTCCAGCATCCACTCAGCCGGGTTTGCATCGGGAGGGCATTTCGGGCCACCGTTAGACTCGAAATATTCGATCAGCTTCTGGCTGTCTTTTCCGAGCTCGCCTGCGTACGCCACACGACCCCCGGACTTGAGCAAGATCAATTCGTCAAAATTTTCGAAAAGCACGGCAGAAGGCTGATGAATGGTACACAAGATGGCCTGGCCGGCATCAGCCAACTTGCGCAAAAATCTAACGATATTGAATGCTGCCCCTGAATCGAGACCGGAAGTGGGCTCGTCTAAGAACATCAGCAACTCTGGTTTTGATGCAAGTTCAACACCAATGGTAAGTCTCTTGCGCTGTTCTGCGTTAAGACCCTCTCCGACCACTCCTATCGTTGCTCCGGCAATATCTTGCATCTCAAGCAATTCGATAATTGTTTCACAGTAAGCATACTTCTCCTTTGTCGATACTTCCCTCGGTTGACGAAGAAGCGCAGAAAACTGCAGGGCCTCGCGTACGGTTGCAGTTGGCTCGTGGATGTCAAGCTGTTCCGCAAACCCCGTGGCCCTCTGGAATGATTTTGGAAGGGGTCTTCCGTCTACCAAGAAGTCGCCTGTTACGACACCAAACGTAATCCTAGAATAGTAATTTAGTACACATTTCCTCTGAAAGTCAATAGTATTCTTACCTCTGAGCCAAAGTATTCAGTAACGTCGTTTTTCCAGCTCCAGACGCTCCCATAAGGGCTGTCAATTTCCCGGGCCTGACAAAACCCTGGACATTTTGCAGTAGTTTCCTCTCGCCACCCTGGAAAGGAATCGTATAGTTGACGTTTTGGAACGTGAATATTGTCTCGTTCTTGGCGACTGTCTGCATGTTCTCTTCATCTCGTCTTTCTTGCGCTGCAGAGGCCTCTTCGGGGATGGTAACTTTCTCCATAGAATTTGCGGTTTCCTCGTCACCTTTATTACCTTTACGACCTCCGGTCTGGATAGATTTCTCGAGACTCTTTGGGACCTGTCCACGCTTGAAAACCGTCACGGCAGCGCCTCCAGCGTTAGGTTTCATCCTCTCCATGCCTATCATTGCTACAGCAAGGAAGAATCCGAAGAAAGCCCACAAGAAGCCGAAGTTCCGCCAAAGATGGGCGCGCGAGTAATTAAACGACGCCTGGATATAATCTCCTCCGTTAACAATTACCTCGCCGGGTCTTGAGCCTGCTAATGTGCATGATTGATATTGTGGTTCAACACCTTCGACACCATTAGGGACGAGGTATGGGGCTACACAATCCAGTTGTAGGTTGTAGAACTCATTGGACATGAGACATTCGAACCCATACTGGAGCCAATTAATCCAGCGTAGCCAACTAAACCACGGGTGCATTGACGAAGGCGGAATTAGGTACCCGGTATAAACAATGATAATCTGAATTGCGACACCGGTCAACTTGGTGGCATCGTCCAAGGTCTTGAAAATTGCGGAGATCGCGCGGAAGAAGGCGTAAGTCGTCATTGTAATCGTCCACAGGATCAGGAACGAGATGAAGAATTGAGATGGGGTGGCAGAGAGGCCTGCCATCCAGTAGATAATGATATCGAATAGAAACACCTGGATGAAGACTAGGGGTATATCTACGATAGTTTGTGCCAAGGCGTAGGCAGAAGGTCGATAGAAGGAAAAATTTTTGTGCTTGAGTAAAATAGGTTTAGATTCGAATGCCGCAGACTGCTCAGCAAGAGCCAGTAATGCGTTGAACAGCAAAATGAAGAACAAGACACCGCCTCGCGTGAATGCACCCGCCGCTGTCTGTGGGAGATGGTAGAATAAACTTCCCACTATAAGGCTCTGGAAGATGATGCCGCCCCATTTTCCTATAAGGGACGCTTTATCACCAAGCATAATTAGGACTTGACGTTTAGTGAGAGCGATCACTTGTTGGTGGAATGATATAGTGTAATTCTTTCTCTGGTTCTTTTTAGAGGTATTCTCGGCCCGAGCACGCCGCTGCTCTTCGAGATGAGCTTCGTAATCCTGGATATCATCAAGGTTACGTTGATAGGCTTCACTTTTCCTGAAAATCTCGGCGAATTCTTGGGCTGATCGTGGGATTCGATTCTCCCATCCCGACCTGACACTGCGCTCGTGGGGATCGGTAACAGACGTAAGAAAATCGGCCGTAGTCCACCGATCAGGACAGTCAAATCCGAGATCCAGGAAATACTGTTTGGCGCTGTCGGAGGGTCCATAGTACAAGCATTGGCCGTTGTCGATTAATAAAACCTTGTCGACAAGGTTGTATAAAGATTCACCAGCTTGATACAGCGAAACAGCAGTGGAAACCTGGGCCATGTTCGTAAGTGCTCTCAATGACTGGACATACTCGACAGCGGTCGATGCATCCAGCCCCTTACTCGAGTTGTCCCAACCTTGAACACTGGCCCGAGTAATGAGTGCCTCGGCAATACTGACTCGCTTCCGCTCTCCGCCAGAAACTCCCCTAATATACTCATTCCCGACCTTGGTGTCCAATGTATGCTCAATCCAAAGCAGCTTCGCGGCTACCCTAAGGAATTCCCTTACGTAATCTTCTCTACTTTCGCCCTCCATTCGCGATTCTTTCCCAGGGGTACGAGTCCGGAGAGCGAAGGTGAGGGTATGCCTAACTGTCAAGGTAGCATAATGTAAGTCATCTTCTGGATTGTAAATAATCTCGCCCCTGAAATCCTTAGCCATGCGCTTCGCATCTGTGCCGCCGTAAGTTACGTCGCCTAAAACGTCTTCAAACCCTGCTCGCTGGTTACAGAAGGTTTTCAAGAACGTCGTACAGCCGGATCCTGGCCTACCAAGGACAAGCAGCATTTCTCCAGGTCGTACACAGCCATTGAAGTTACTGATCAGCTCCCTTACGGGCGGTTTTCCGGCGGCAGCTTTGGGCCCTTTGGTCACCAGATTCCATAAGAATCGTGGTAGGTCAAGGAAAAGATCGCCAACTGTAGGCTGTAAGCTAGCCCCAAGGCCAGCACCCTTAACTGTAAGATTTCGGAAGATGACACCAGCATGCCTTGTCTTTTCTTCTTCGCTATGCTGCTGTCGAGCTTGGCCAAACATACGGGACATCAGTCGCTCTATTTCGTCATTCTCTCCTTGAGACTCGGCATTTGAAGTGTGGCTACGACGCCGTGAGAGGGCACGGAATAGATCATCTTCGGTTTTGGCTTCACTCTCATTACGCTCGAGTTTCGGTTGATCCGCCGTCGACTTGATAGGTTCGAAGCGAGGTTCCACCTCGGTTTGCTCAGACTCATCAGACGATATTTCGCCAGGGGCTGGCTGAGCTTGAGGTGCTATAATAGTATGCTTAGAAGAGGAAGGACTAGCATCACTCGGTCTAGCATTCTCGCCAGAAAATATGGCGGCGGTGCCATCGACATTGGCATAATTCACCCCATCGCGTTGTGTCGATGTTAACGCGTCGGTACTGATATTCAACGACCTAGCAGCTGGTATAGAGCCTTCTCGGTTAGCAGCAAGTGAAAACTCTCGGCTAATAGTCGACAGACGTTTGGCTGGGATGGAGGATGGCGTCTCAGGGTACCCGCCAGGTACATCTGTATCTGCCGGAGTAGGTGTGTCGCCTTCCATTATGACTTAGACGAAGGGTTCTACACGCCCAAAAAGAAGGGAAAGACGTGGCTTAGACACGTATGGTTTTTAATTAAGTATGAAATAAAATTCTAAAATAACCACATCATAGGTGTTGGTGATGTCTAAGATCTCTAGCTTCTAAAGGGAAACAAGGGAGACGTAAAACAATACATCATCATAGAAGTCAGAGCTGGTAGGAACAATAAAGATGATAACCACATGTCGGAACCCGGGGACCCTGAGAATGCGGTCGGAGTTCGGACTCTAGAAATGAACGATATGGATTTGTAAGACTAAAAAGAAAAAATACATATACATATACTATTGTCATTGACCGCATACACTAGGAGTCGGGCAAGTGCGATTTGTAGACCTGATAAGTCTTCTTTTGGTGTGAAAAATCGAAGGCGTCCAAAGCGTCAAGCCTCCTGTGGGTCCTCGGTGGGGTGGTGATGACATAGAAGTCCTAGGCCTTACGCTAGCTAGCTTAAGCATCTACTAGTCTGCTAGGCTAGGTCAACCGTAGTTAGTATAATAGGTACATCCATAGGCAAGTCCATCCGATCGGGTCTTACAAACGAAGCATCACCTTTATCAGATGCAGATCGATGAATACATACAGTCTAGCCAATCAGACAATGCTGATCCAACCAATACACAACTTATCGTGGACGTAACTACTTCGCCAACATTTTCACTCAGCGATCTAAGTGAGTGTAAATCTTTAATATATTTATTCATAGTGAGTTCCGAATGATTGGTCAGAACCATCGGCTCTCCCGCAGGGCAGTCTGGTTACACAATACATGTATCTTACATACCTAATAATGGGTCGAAAATTCTGTACCGCGCTATACCCCGTAATGGTGTAAATTTCAAGGGGACATTGCATGTTGAAAATAGCAGGTGTATCCTAACTCATTAGGGCAACATGCTAGCTTACAGTCTCTATGTATAGAGTTGCTAACTGGCCAAGATAAAATATTAACTAAATAACTTTATTGATGGGCAGTTATTATTTAAGCAACACATGTACCATTAATTCTGCTAAGTTTATTTGTGTCTTTAAACTCAGCCATTTATACTCTTAAGCAAACCCCAATGATGGTCTTTCGAACCGAATTTCCTATCAACTTTTGTCTGCCTATCGTTGTCTACGTTAATGAACCATTTTTGAAGTAGAACATTAGCTACAATTAAACGGTCTTCACTGCAGACGACCGAGAGGACCGTTCTCCTGGAACTTGCTCCCCCTTTAGAAACCCCATTGTGTGATTTCGTCTCCAATTAACTGATACGTTTCCGGAACTAAACAATCCTCCTTGGTAATGTAACTAAGCAGCACGTACACTTACCTAAACATACCATGTCTCCGAAAATCGCTCACTTCATAAAAGATGATTTGAGTAATGCAATATGAGTAATTTGGATGCTCTCATATTATATGCATCGTTATTGCGGTATATATAAAGGTATGAGTTGTTGAACCTGTTGAGCTATCGTGCAGTTGAATCATTTGTTTAAGGGCGGGTTTCCAGGGGCCCGAAAATGGCGACTTTGAAATAACCTAGGTACCTAATGTTTGCGGTTAAGTTATAGTTATCACGCGTCTTATCGTCAGACAGATCTGGCGCCATCCGGGTCCCAACTTGAGTATAACAGCATGAAGGATAGCAAAATCTTAAAGTTACCTGTTAAGGCATTTAACTTAGTGTGTAAGGAGCTTAGTTTAAGACCTGAAAGATCAACTTGTTGCAGGACTCACTTATAATACTGCTATCAATTTGAGTCTTAAAAATATAGATGCAAGCCTTCACATACTTCAAAATATCGAGTTCATCAAATTAGCGACGAGCCCGTGAGAAGCTTTACGAGAAGTTTATATTCATTAACGGACCCGCTTAACCGTAAGGGTCTTTGGTCATTATAACTTGAGCTGTTTGAAATGTACATTTGAAGCCAGCATCTACTCTGGTGCCATAACCCGTCTGACCATAGAAAATCATCGACTGATGTGAGTTTTAAATCGCTATGCACAAGATTAAATAAAAAGAATACCCAGAGTCTCATCAGCCTCTCCTATCTGGGCTGCTGGCCGGTATCTCCGCAGGAAGCTCAGCGTAAGCTCCCGTGCCTAGTTCGTGTATGCCGGAAGCGTTGGCCACGACGCTCATTTTCGCCGCTGGAGTGCCCGGATGAGTTTGGTATTGTCCAGGCGCTACTTTGTTTCTGTATCTTCGCCATGCCAGCCAGCCAAGTACCAAGAACAATATTAAACCACCAAGACCAACACCAATTCCTATGCCGACCTTAGCTCCCGCCGATATTCCTTCGGAATCTGAGTCGTCGGAATTACTAGGCGAAGTTGACGTAGGAATGGGCGATGAGGCCGAAGACGATGTGGGAGTGGGAGTAGCTGTAGCGAAGACGTCAGAGGAGTGAAATGCGACTCTGATGGAATGCGCGTTTACGCCGCTGTCCGTCACAAGCTGTGATGTGAGGGTGTTTTCGGCGCGATCGGTATAGGTCACAATATATGTCTTGCTTGTCCGACCGCCCGAAAGGCAAGAGTAGAAGCCCCCGTCACAGGTAAATCCTCTGTGGGCAATTAGTCGCGTGAACTAGCGGGTGCATCATTGGTATAATGCGTATAAGTGTAACTTACGTTGGACAGCACGCCCATACCGTCTCGCTGTCATCATTTGATGGGGAAGCATTGCATGCGCTGCTATATCCGACCGGACAGAATGCAGGCGAGATCGTCGTCGCTAAGTCCCTCTTGCCGGGCCAGCAGCTCGAGTCAAACGGGTTGCCGAGAAAAACCCCCGTACGAGTCCCAGTTGAAGTTACCCATACATCCGTCACGCATGACGTCGGGATCGCTAGAGAAGTCAACATCGCGAAGCTGCTCTAGATTATATGACATACATATCGTAGGCAGAGAGGTAAAAGGAAGAGAATTCACATTAAATTCTACGCCGGCGAAAATGCAAAACGAAGGAATGCCCTGGGATTCATCCGTATCCACCCTGTCATACGTCGTATATATAGCCAGCCGGACAGCTCAAAATATCACCCGTGTTTGATTGTATGTGGGCCTACCGGTAAGGATTATCGACATACACTTAATGCCTTCGATGCTTGAGAGTCTTATACCCAATATTCTTATATCTTTAATTCATCGTAGCAGGACAATAATGCTTTCATAAAAAAAACCCTAGTTAAACATACGATTTTCCATTGTGAATTGTTCAACTCTTGAGCGTAAATGGCACCGTGTTGTGTGCTACTCATCGTCCGACTCCTACGTGCGTGGCTGAAACTTTTCGCTATGAATAGACCAATCATAAAGCCAAATATTCCTTCCGGTAGGTTGCGTGCCGATTGTCGCTTTATCAGCTTACTTTAGGTACTCATCTTGGCTCAGGTCGACGCAGTACTACGTAGTATGTACTATCAAATGCTGGTCCTTGGCAATGTTAATAGGAAGGATCTTGGCTCTCACGTGCTCATGGTAAGTTACCGCGGAACTATTAAAAGTCAATTAAGGTAGGTAGCTATGAACTCTTTCGATTCTTGAGTGCCTATGAGTTAGAATAAGTTGGCGAGTTTATATATTTTGCTGTTGCATTGTATATAGGGGGGCGATCCTGTCTTTTGTTCTTACAACTCTAAGAGATGGAGAATCACTTACGGGGTAATAATTCATTAACTACTAATTAGCTCGCTATATTCGCTGGCCCTTCTTCTGAGCTATATAATCCGGGCTTATCGTGCTCAGCCGCGTAGCCAGGAATACGAAGTTCAGGTTGCGAGTAACTCTAGTTTGATGGCCTTACGATAAACCTTACATACCTGTAGATGCTAGTTATTCAATCACCTATTATATCGGTTTGTTGTCTTTAGGTAACTTAAGTTATATTTTACGAAAGCCTAAGTTTTATATATATTAATAAAAAAGATATAAAAAAATAAAAACCAGGAAGAAAGAGAGAAAGTGGCCCTTCCTCCAAGGCTTCAGTGGCCCTTCAAGGGCGACCAACCAGATCAATTTGAGACGAAAGCGCGGGCGCGAGCGGATCGGAACTGAAGTTCTAGGGTAATCGGATAGAGTGATACTAATTACAGATTACAAAATATTTCTTCCATACAGATTACACCACAGAACAAGTGTATGCACCTGCCCACCAAAAATACCAGTAAAATAACATGGCCACTTTCTGTCTCATTGATTTTACATGCATGGAATTGCTTAATTGAATCTAATCGATCTATCCTTTTTTTATAATGCGACAGTATCTCATTAAGTTATTATAAAAGTAATCTGTAAATAGTGGCATGTAATCTGTATATAAGGCCAACTAATCTGTAAATAGCAATACGTATACTACATTTCCCAGCCAATACACCGTATTTTATAACTGTTACTTATACCATCATAATCCTTATGATGAGGCGCATCCAATGGTGTTAAAATTGTATAAAGATGGGGTATTTTAAAAAAAGATATTGTTGAGTGACAAGTCTTATACTAATATGTAAAAGGCCTTGGGGCCTCATATTACGTAAGAAGCCTTGAATGGCCTTCAATAGTGGCCTCGAATATTGGCCTCGAATTAGGGACCAGGCAGCGCCTGTAGCGCCTGGCATGCTGGGTGTTTTGAGAAAGTTACGGGGCAGAATGGGGCCATGTCATTTTACTAGTGATTTTGGTGGGCAGGTGCATGCACTTGTTCTGTGGGGTAATCTGTATGGAAGGGCTGTCATGGTAATCTGTACCTAAATTAGTATCACTCATCGGATAAGTCTCGATGATGTTGTGATTATACCGTATTGCTATAGAGGTTTTGGCGAGGTAGTGAGGTAGACGCCAGCCTGCTTCTCTCTGTATGCAGAACAGGGGTTGACTGTAACAACGGAATGATACCCCATTCACGTACGAAGTTCGAAAGCTTGCTACCAGACCTGGAGCCGTAATCAGCGGAAGTGTTAGAACGGAAAGGTGAATTTCGATTGGACATGGTACTACCGAAGCAAGCCTCGCGGTTTAAGGGAGGCATTGCAGAGTCCCAATCACAGAGGCATTCACTATCAATGCCAGGAAGATTACTTTCCAGATTCTGAGAAGACAGCTTGTCAATAATTCTCCACCAAGGCAGGTATCAGCCAATAGACAAGAAGTGTGCCGGGAAAGCCAGTTGATTTGGAGGCATGATACTTGTTAGTATGCAGTAGTTGCAATTATGGTTTTCAGCTCTCAACAGGTAGCGCTGTGTCCACGTATGTGAAAATGCTACTTGATGCTGATACTATGCAGTAAGGTTGCAGTTGTAATAACCAATACTCTTTAGGCGCGTTCCACCGTGCCTTTTAACCCCTCCGCGTCTTAGAAACTCCAACTTAGTCTTTCGCCTTGTGTAGTGCCATTTTACAGCAAATTACCTACCTGAGGTAGGCATTACTACAGCTCGGCGGCCTTGACGCCAAAGAGCCAAGGGCATTATCTGATCCAAGCAATATCTCTTAACTAATTCAAGTATGGCAACGTACCTATCCATCATTTGGCTTGAACTAAGAATTGGGATCCTAGTTTGAGTACAGTCTCCCAGAGACTGCGACGCGATACAACGTACTTTCAACAATACTCTACATGTTGGAAAGAGGCGGTCAAACTACTTTCGCATTTCAGTGAGCCGTAAAGACCGGTAATAAGTAATATCGTTACAAATTAGGTCAACCGCTGTCACGATGGACAAACATGATCTCTCTACTCGAGTAAGGTTTGGGAGTTCCCTCGAGCAGTTGAGACAGAGATTTGAGGATGTTGACGATAAAAACGAGTATGTTACCGCAAGAGACTCTTGGGGTAGGACTGCCCTCCATGGCGCAGCCCTTTTTAATTACTTTGACATTGCTTGTCTACTCATCGAGAATGCCACAAGTAAATCCACATATGTTAGGATGAAAGACGACGAGAATCAAACCGCCCTCCATTTAGCGGCGGGTAAGAGAGGATCTCTTCCGCTCGTGAAAGAACTCATCAGACACCTAACCGATGATACCGTGAGCAGCTATGTGAATGAGGTTTCGAAAGATGGTAGCACTGCCCTCAATTCAGCAGTCGCTGCTGGCGATGGCTATACTACTTTCTTCCTCTTGGAAAAAGGCGCAAGCGTGGCAAAAAAAGATTGGCGTGGAAATAATGCATGGGATATCGCATTGAATTATGGGGAACCAAAATGGGGAGTCATTGCTGCCTTAATTCTTCATGAAGGAAAATGCGATCCTAACGGCCTATTGGTCTGGCTTGGCTGGGAGGTGATAAAAATCAACAGTGTAAGTTAGACGGTACTAAACGCAATATGAGGCTCCAGCTTGCTGATCTAGTCATTGTGTAGATGAGCCTAGTATATGTATTCAGCTACGTACACTGATACCTAATTGTGAAACTATTAACACCGGTTCTAGGTAGGACTAGGTCATTTCGTTCGCTACTCACGGGAAACCCTCATAAACGACCCTCAAATAACCGATCAATCCATAGAATGCCTCGCACGCATCCTCGTCCAAGTTCGTCAAGCATTCAATGAAAGCCAGGAGGCACCCCAGCACCTGAGATCTAGAGAACCCTCGTGTATTTTCCATACCTTAGATTACCCTATTTTCGGTTCGAAAGATTTCATTTCACTCGTGGTTAGTTTAGTTTACACCTAATACCTATGAGAAGCCGGATTTTAACAACCTCAGATGCCTTTTATTTCTGTCGACGAATTGTTAACCATGGCAAAGCGGAAGGCTAAGTCTAGTAAGGCGACCGAATCACTAAGATATTGCATTAGCAAAGACGGCGAATGGCTCGAGAATCATATGGCGCTCACTTTGGACGAGTATTGTAGTCCAGCATTGCCTCAAGAAGTTCTCAAGTTCCGTAACAGGGACCAGGTACTAGTTCGCCACGAGAGAAAAAGGCAAGAAAGGGGTAATGCTACGGCAACATTGACCAGCGATATCGGCGGAGAGAGTGCCCCAGGGCTACTGAAGGAGCTATGGATACTTGTGCGGCCGTACGTTAATGAGCTTAGGCGTCTAATAGATCCACGAACGTGGAAATTTTCCAAGCGTCGACCGCCCAAGGAAACGGTAGTGAAGAAGAATTCATCATCAACAGATGCGGTTTTTATTCGCCAAGTTTGGATTTGGAAAGTCGGCAGCTTCGCTATCTCAACCCTACCACGGGAAATTGCCAACGATTTATACTGGAATGGGGCATTCACGTATACTGACAAACGCATAGGTATCGCATTTATCCTTAAACATGTCATAGAACTCATTGATAAACCCTCAAGCGAAACACCCAGGTCGCTCCTTAAAATATACGAAAATGAGTTGTCCGTTATTTCGGAGGAAGTGAATCAGTACATGAAGAGCGTGCTCGTTGAGGACATTGATATCGACCAGGAAAAGGCCTTTTTCCATCAGATAAGCGACTTTCGCGAGGAGCTTTCAATGATAAAGTCGGTACTCGCTGAGCAGGAGGAAGTGTGGAAGGAATTTATGGGCAAGATGTGGCCGAGACAAGAACTTGGTCAACAACAAGATCGTACACTAAATAGCGAAGAAACCGAACCTAGCTTGCCCCAATTTCCAACTGGTTTTAGGAATGAAGAAGATTGGAACGCGGTTTGGCGACCTCGAGTCTTATTTAACAAGTACCGACGGCGAATCACGAAGCTTGAAGGAGATGCTGAGAGGGTTGAGCGAAATATCTCGACTCAGCTAGACCTGAAGCAAAAGCACGCAGCCTTGAAAGAAGCCCACTCTACAGCTATCGTGGGCGCAATGGTCTTTGGCTTCACGATCGTCACAGTTGTATTTGCTCCCTTGTCGTTCGTTGCCGCACTCTTTGCACTTCCAATAGACAAATTCAATGAAGGGAAAGACGGGCATCAGAAGGATGGCGTTTACTCATCTAATTACATTGGAAAATGGAGTGGTAAGCTGACTAGCCGCGTATACCTTAACTGTTGACACAACTCTGACCGTATTAGCGGCTACCGTACTCGTTTCAATTGCTGTGACTTTGCTGGCAATGTGGGTTGGGTTGCAGTTTGCAGGTCTCCACATCTGGGGAAAGAAAGGGTTGAGAGCATACATCAGACAAAAAGCAAGTAATATCCACGCAGAAGAAAAGAGCCTAGGAGGGGAGGACACGGAAGAGGAGGACATAGAAGAGGAGGAAGCGGAAGAGAGGAATACGGCGGAGAGGAATACGGAAGAGGGGGGCACGGAAGAAGGAGGGCGAGAGCAAACTGCTGGCAATTGGACTAGGCTAAAGAGGACTATAGGAAAATGGCCTACCAACCGTGGTGGCAATAGCACCACTGACGTTGAGCTAGGGCCGTTAGGGTCTCGACGTTGATTGCTAGGTACCTGGGTATGGATGTAACACACCGATTATGAGGTTATATCTCATCCAACCTCTCTCCTCTAATCGCGGATGGTTTCTTTCTAAATGATAGTATACAAGCCTGAGGAGCACTCCGCGGTAGTCACCAAGACGATTTTCTGATAATATAAGTATTGCGGTCTTAATATTCAGTTAGCACATGGGCTTACTCCTAGCGTCTATCCGGCATAGTACTACCACAGCTGACAGTAACAAAGGTAGTCTAATCGTTAAAATGGGTATCGCCAGAGGCCCTTCTCAAGTTATCCATGTCTCACAGCGATAGTTTCATCGTGAAAAGCGCCTTTTCCCGTTCGTTAAACCACGTACACGAAATAAGAAGCCGCGTTTTTAGACACGTACGAACTAGCACTTAACCACTAACCTGCCGCCTAATTAGACGCCAATATGACCACGGGTTCTAGGGCCCCAACGAAGAAATAGCTCCCCCAGTCCGTGCCAGAGCTCCAGCTCGTGACAAGGTTGTGCAATCTCGTATGGCTAACGACAAGTTGGCCGTTGTAGTTCTGGTAGGCGTTGCCGTTGTTGATGTACGGGATATTACGGACATAGGCGGACTTCCTGAAACATAAATTAGGCCATTCACCGCTGTCTTTGCTTGCGATGGTCAGCACCGTCTCGCCGTAAATGTCGATTATGTCTGAGCGGTCGGCCGCGTTGACGCCCTACGAGAAAAACGGACGTCAAGCAATGCTTGATATATCGGTGCAGACACTCCAAAAATCACTAGATTAAAAAACTGCCAATAAAAATATGATATCCTTTCATAAACACCAGGCAAAAGTCAAGCATACACCTTAAATATTTGAGGTATTTTAAGGTTAAGGGGTAAAGATGCTATACCGATTAAGAGGACGTGTCAAATATTGTACCCTTGATTGATGTTATACATAGAATAATGTTAGAATAAATATGATTGAACTATTAATGCGTGCCTTCTGGCCTCTTATGAGGGCTCTGCGTATTTCTTACCTAGTAGATCTACCCCTGGTTTTACCCCTAACCCACTTATACCCTAACAGGACGTCAAACCCGGAAATTTAAACAGCATGTTCTCTTTCACAGTAGTTAGAAGCTAAGTTCTAGCCGTGTCATGAATCCATTCCAATGAGCATAGCTAACAACAGAAATATGGCCTAATAGTAAGGCATACGATTTTAGTTACCACGTCAACCTCCGTAAGTTTTGAGTTTCATCCCCGCTGTGTTGAATTATCCTTTTTCCACATTATTCTAGAGTATATTTGGCGTAAGAATCCTTTACACAATTGCTCTTCTATTGTAGTTCATATTGGGCATTGATAGCTACGATACACAGGTTGTAGTCGAGAAACTCAAGCCTCGCCCTATATAGGTGGGATCACTACAATATACTCGCTGTATCACTATCACCTGTATATCAGACACTGATATCCTATAAGTATAGAAATAGTAGTGTCTGATTAATTAAAAGAGTAAATTCCGCAGTTATCCCCAACAAGCTCCTTTTTGTTAATAGTATTAACTCAGTAGCAGATTATGAAGCAATGAGAACTTTTTACCCTATTAACTAGATACCTATTCCCCATTAAGAGTACTTAGGTAATTAAGAGTTAAGATGTCGTAATCAGGTAGAGCATTGCTATACTATAGTTCCTAGCTTGATTGAGGCCCAAGCCTCTTGTCGCCGTAAGGGCTCCGCAGTCACTCGACCGGCGGTTAATATCTAGAAACCCGTCAAAGTTCTAGTTAAGATACCTAGGATAAATGGTATCTTCAATAACTAATGTATACCTATCACCAGCTTCCTTATTATAGGCTCAGAGTTCCTCATGAAATAACGAAGTCATTTCCACGCCTTCGAGGTGTACATTGTGATACGTATTATCTTCCAACCCTATTATACCATAAGAAAGGGTTGGGGTCTCTAAAGCCTCTATAATAATATGTGCATGCTCTTTATTTAGTATTGTTACAGAGCGATATCACACTCTACTTCAATAAAATACCTAACATGTTAATAGGCAAGCTGGCCAGTTAGGCATTATCTAAGCTTCCGAGTATTCTACCTAGGACCTCACGAAGCTTAGGCATAAAACTAACAAACCCATCGAACAGCAGAGACTTACCTGACCCACCCCCCCGAGAAGCCAAGCTCCATCATCTACCTTAAGTGCCCCTTAATATAAACCTTGCCCCTTATTAATTCGGCAAGCGTGCATAGGTATATATATTATAGACCCCAAAAGAGAGGATCCAGTTTTGATTCCCTATAGTATTGAAAAGCGTAATCATATCTAGGAAGGATCTATATGTATTCAAGTATGAAAAGGTTTCTAACCGCTTGTGCTATAAATCATTTACTCTGCGTGTTATTATCACTACGGGGCGTAGCATTGGGGCTAGATATATCTCATACCACTAATATTCATAATTCTTTCTCGAGTAAACGCGCCTGCTCTGTCCGGGGGAGCGGAGATTATGTATGGCTTTCCGAATAGCTATACCCGTTCGACTCCGGTCACGGACGTCTTGTACATGAGCATATAAGACATTTAGGTAGTAAAGTCAATCAAGTGGGTAGAGCACATGTGCCATGGTGGACTATATTCGAAACCTGCATCTAATTCCAAGATATCCTGCTAACATCCCCCCCGTTCATTATAATAAGCACATGTGCTTCCATACGGGTAAGAAACCGACCCCCCTTTATAAGTTTCAAGTTCCATAGGGTTGTGGGTACATTGTTAGAGGGTATAACAGCATACGCGCTATAGATATTAGCTAGTCTTATACGTTAGATAGGTCCCATTCTTGTTTAAAATTCCGACGTATAGACGTGCATGAATATGAATGGATACCACCTACGACGTCCCTGACACAAAGACAAGTAACCACAGATCCAGATCGTTGGGGGCTTCTCTCTATAGATGTTTTAGGAGTAGGTAAAAGTAGCCAGAAATAAAGCTAATTTTATTCCCAACTGCTAAACATTTCTGCAGCGCAGCCAATTATCAAAACACCGAAATAACTCTATCATCGGCGATACCACTACGGAAACCCGATAGATGTCGGAGGGTAACTCTGCAGGCTTAAGATGCGACCATGCAGTCCACCGAGGGATCCAGGAACGGGGATATGCTGGCTCGGTGAGGAGGACTGCCGATGCGTCTGAAAAAGGCAGTTCCTGAGTATAACTTGGTTTTAGGTGGGCTTGAAACATTCAAGCCCCTGCGTTACTTCTGGGAAAACATCTAATTATATTAACCTTCTGCGTAGCATTCGACAGGTTCAAGACACCACTAACTATTCTAGAACTAAAGAAAAAGACTGTAACAATCGAGGCTTAGCGCGTAGCCGCGGAGAAGGAACCGTGAAGAGAATCCCCCATGATTTTTATGGGGACGTGCCGGCTATGCTGGGACGGAAGCATAGTAATCGCCTAGTTGCAAGTTTCTTAACACCGAATTAAATACTATCTGGACGTAGGAGGTAGCTTAGCTTGTAGTTAGTTGGCTTAGAATTCCTGCATGACAGCTCATAGCCCTAATTTCTGGTCTCATCGTCACGTTTGTATGGCAATATCTTACTACACGTAGACCCCCGTAATAGGCCCAATTTATAAGTATACAACTAGCCTGCTATACATACCTTAAGCAGGTTGAAGATAACCGCGCCGGGCCGTGCCGTAGCTTGTGCGACTAGGACTCCGCAACAAGAACTGAAGCCGAGGCCGAAGGAAGCGCGCAGATGACCGCGCTAGTTTGCCGAATGATCAGTTAGTCGACAAGATCTTCGCGCATACTGAAACAGTAGGCGGACTGCGACATCACGCGGCCGGGTATGTTGCCGAAGAAGCGCCCCCGCGTCTCAATTGCACATTTTTGCCGTCCGTTGTACCCGCCCAAATCGCGTGCATGGCCCCAGAAGCCAGCAGATCTGGGAAACGTAGCGTCGGCCAATCATGAATATACCTATGTTGAAAAGGCTCGATGGAAGTTCTTATTTGTTGGCCAGCCGCAAAACGTGGGGCTGGACGACGACTTGGCAGCTAGGTATATTAACCGTCTGTTTGAACTTACGGTTCAGCATCGCTATCAGGTTTTCGTGACCTCCATCAACGTAATCAGATGGAGGCCTGCTGTAACACTATTTTGGATCCGAATTTGGATGATACTTTCAGTCTACCTAGTGATCATCGGAGGGAAACGTAATGTCATGTAAGTGGCAATGCAAGCTGAATGCCAACTCTGATAACCGGTGCAAGACGTTTGGTATATACAACATACATTAGTGCCATACTCTAGATATGCGAAGAAGCAAAATTGGCTAGTGAGAAAACTAAATTTACCATAATTAGCATAATGTCTGCCCGAGTGCCAACGTGTTTGTCCGGTAGCCACTCTAGAGTCAAATAGGTATACATAGGTTGAATACCTCTTTAAAAGCTCTTGCGCTTCCGGGAATAATTATACTGCCATAGCACAGCCAGCCTTATGCAAGGCGCCTCCTGGGATACTACGTAGAAGAGAGCAGGCTTTGGCGCAGCAAATCGGACTCGAAGCTATACAGTAGCTGCAGAGAAAACAAGGATGGATTACCCCACCGCGAGGCATCCAATCCACGACGTTAAGTATTGTATTGTATCTCTGTGACCCCCAACGAAGATACTTGGTCACATGGTATTTCCGCCAGATAAGTAGGTCGTGAAACGAGGACACTTACATCAAAACCCCTCGAAGTTGTGGTAGTAGACGTAAAAGATGCAGACAGACTTCTCGGTCGTCTATATCGGTAATCCTTCTTATGTTACTTGTTCCGCGCAAACGACTCAAGGTAGAATCAAGCCGCGCATCAGTATAGGCTCGGTAGACAGTGGCGGGATAATTATAGTAGCTGTCGACGGCGAGCTGAAGCAGGGTGGATTATTGTCGTCCGTCAGAGTATGGGGTTGTATAGTGATGAGCACCTAAGCGATCAAATAGCCCCTTTCCGTAGTAAAATTAAATGATCCAAGAATCATCGATGCGTGCACTAACGCAGGCACATAGCCTCCTGCAGACCAGACGCCTCGCTACTCTCGTTACAGAGTATTACTTGCAGGTTGACTACAGAATATGTATGCAGGTTAGCGGCAACGCACGTGAACACGCAAGCTCACTTCGTTCTAGGATGCATTTGGGTAGCATAGACGGGATCAGGATTTAAGCCTCCGTACGTTTTCTGCAGCGGTAATAATTGATCCATTGTCCGTAGAACAGGGTCTATAATGAGCAGCATACTGAGTCGATTTGTTCGGAAACCTTCCATGCCGCTGTGAATTGTTAACTGTTACGTGTTACCCACGCCCAGCTCCGACATCGTATATACCTAATGTGTAAGTGTCGTTAAAACTAAGCCAGCCAATGAGATGTATAGACTGGATATTGAAAATAGGGCATGGGTGCTATAAATAAGTAACCTACCACGCAGTGGCACAGAATTACCTTAGGCAGTTAACCGAGACACACCAGTAATGTGGAGATGACCCTAGCTAGTAATCGAGTAATTCGTCTTTCTGGGGGCCATTTGGGGTTGATGATAGGTATGGAGGCTAGCATGGGATTGAAGAGTTACAAAATATATTGTTCCTATATCCGCTGATCCGTAGGTATGGGAACTAGTACGGATAGGAATGAACTTGGTGCGGAAGCATTAGACCTACCTACATAGATACTCACGGATCTGTTATTACATATGAATGCGTCGGGTAGAATTTATGCCGTACCAAAGTTCAATAACTTCACCGGTTCATGGTTATAGATAAGGTAAAACTTTTGGACGAGTTTCAGCCGTTAGATCGACAAGTTCCCGCCAACGACACTAGTCAGCTGGTATTATTCAATAAACAGTTTATCGACTGACGCTGAGCTATTCGCGGACCGTATAACCCATGCAGAATCGAAGTTGAACTATCAGGACAGTCAGCCACAGGGTTGCCGAAAACGGGTTCATGAAACATGGGGTCCGGTTCTCATAGCTAGACTGGGCTGGTAAGATGACATGGGCTTAGTATTTGTTGGATCTAAATATGTCAGGAGGCTTGCCATATGTACTCATCGACAAGGCCCAGCGAGACTTTTGTAGTATGCTCAGGTTCTCGGAATGGTGCTCTATTGCGCGTGGGGCCGTTCTGCTGATTGGGAGTGATATCTTATTGATATCATAGTAATAAATCCTTGACAGCCCTCTTGCCAAATACGAAGATATGTGTAGCTGAAGGAATGCAAGAAACTACCAATGAAAACGACGAATTGGCCGTATGTTCTTCAATGGTGGGCTGAAGGAGCTGACATCTCCAAGTGGTTGATGGTGTAATGCCCCTGAATTGCATCGCCCGGGCCATGCTGAAAAACGTGAGATCGTAGGTAGCCGTGCAATCGGTATAATTGGGCGAGGCGTATACATACCTACCTACATATCGAGTACCGATGTAGTATACTATGCAAGCAGGATATATATGTATGCACTGCGAGGTTAAGAGTCGTAGAAAGGAAAAATCCAGGGGTATCCAGAATTACATGATTCATGAAAGAGGTAGTGTATGTATATCATAAAATAAGTCCGGTTGTGATCCATTATTAGCATTGCTATTAATATTGGCTGCTTGGATGAAATGTAGATAGGGTATGCGCAGATCATCGTCGCTCAAACATCGTAGATAGGTACCTATTGGACCTCCTAAGTTATCTTCTAGAGTTAGGTACTTGATATAATTGACGAGATGGCGCTATTGAACGGGAACCCATGCCGAGTATTAAAAGGCCGTGAAGATATTCCACCATGCTATAATCACCAAATATCACTGTAGATATTTCTATATGATGGAATATTAGCGTGGAAGGATCAATTGAATTGAATTGGCCGTTTTTTCGAGGTTGCCGGGGCCAAGTTGCCTAGGCTCTATTCCGTAATCTGATCTGATCTGAGATCTAAAGGCGGACTGGCGCGCGTATGTACACGTACAGGAGGTATGTAGTAATATAGCGTATGGTGCGGTAAGTAATAATTGATTTACACAGGTATGTATGAGTGCCGTATGTGAGTAATAATACAGACGTGGTCCCTCCTGGTTCCTTCCATGTGTTCCGTCGAACTACTGCTAGTGGACTGCACTCGGACCACTTGGACCGCCTTGCGCAACCTACCTAATCTGCTAGGTGATGTATGTACTTCCCTAGTGGATAGGTACAAACCCATACAAACAAGATACCTTACCCGGTACCTCTTCTCACCCCTCCTGTCTCTCTCAAAGATAGTACCTCTTTAGGCATTTTATGTAGCACAGTTAGTGCTGCTAGCTTCGGAGGACGCCAGGTTCTCGAGTGGGCTCTAGCTCGGCCATACAATAGTGCAGTTCTGCTCAAGTGAAAGCATATTTCTCTTTCTATCTATGTAGGTAGGTATTAGCAACTCCCTGCCTCGATAAGATATTCGACTGTGAGGACATGAATTTTGAAAAAAAGGAGGGCTTTTTTCTACGGTACTTCCTTTTATTCGAAAGACTCGGAATAACCTTCTAGGTTAGCATTTGGCATCATGCATGACCTCGTTTTGTTTTATTTGGCTATCTCTGGTGCGACTCTCATCCTCCCCGCTTATACACTACCTAAACTCTTCTAGAAGTCCAAAACTGATGCAGAAAGGCAAAATATCATGTACACTAGCAATTTGGCCGATCGTTACGTTGGGGCGTGTTTCCTCGTTGATATGCAACTGGCTAGTACGGATTAGCTCGCTACACATTAGTTTCATTATACTAATTATCAACAAACTTCTTCTGATGCTTCAGATCAACGACCCGAAGTTCCGAGTGGAGGTTATGCCATTGAACATACAATTTTTCTGGGCTAGGATCCCCCCTTAGATATTCATGCGGTGTCTAGGTACAATACCTACCTAAGCTAGTCGAACTAAGCCAAGACATGGTAATTGAAGGATCCTGGATCCAGCAATACCCCTAAAGCGGAACTACACTAGGGCACAATATGGTCCTCTTTTTCTAGAGGAATCGTCCAACTGTGTCTGCCTGTCTGCTATGTACCTAATGTATGCATTGCTCAGTTCATACATATACTGTATCCATATGAGGGGAGAGACATGCCGTTGTTCCCCATCATATCCCGCAATCAATTCATCTCTTACGGTTCTTTTCTTCTATTATTACACGAACAGAAGATCAAAAGCTGCGGAATGCACATCTTCACGTCAGCATCTTAGCACCTCTCCATTGGTGAGTTACATTTTACATTGTACATTGTACTACATTATTTCCTTGGCAAAATACACAGAGCTCACTTTAGGTAATCCCACAGTTGTTCCGTTGAAACTCCCGATCCTTCCTTGTCTGATTTCCTTGTCTGATTAGTGCGTGTGGTGAGGCGCTGTATGTACATGAGTTATGTACTTAAGATAAGTATCGAAGTACACATGTATATCTCCCCTTCCCCGAAGCAAGCACCTCACGGACCATGCTTCTAGGGTGATCCACCGCCGGGTCTGGGCTGAACCATGTAAGATTTATACATATGTACATCAGTCCCTGCTCCCGAGGTTGCCAAAGGGCCATACACTATACTACGGGGGCCACACCTACCTTCCATTTGCAACTGCGTACATACAACCCGAGCCACCCTACAGATTGTTATAATACGTCCATTCTACTACCTACCGTGCTGTATGTAAGTACCTATCTACATGGCGACCTTCGTACAATACATACATCTGCCTCCATACATACACTACATCACCTGCTCGCACATTGCGAACTTGAATATCTTACTTCTCTTTTGAGATCCACATATCCTGTATCCTGTACCATATCCTGTACCGCTGGTTGTCTAACGATGGGAGCATAGAACAGCTTTTTTTTCGTTCTTTTGCCGACCCCAATAATTCCCTTCAAGTCTTGGCCAGAAGCACCAAGTTAAACCAAGCTACATCGACTTTCCCGTATTGCTCTTTTTTCTCCCCCACCATCGACAGGAATAACGGCAGCGAGGAGCAGCTAAGCTAAACCATCAATCTGCAAGGCTGACTTCCGCGACAATTAGGTCGAAAGGACCCCATGTCAGATAATTGGGAGCTAGCAGCAATACCTCGCCCAGAAACAAAAACTAGAAACGAAAACACTCAGGAGGCCCCTTAAACCGTGCACGATTATGAAATACTAGAAGCAATGCGGTTCGTGGTTCCGTACTTTCTAGAAATCCGGCCCAGTCCCAGTTCCAGTTCCCCGCCGTAGTCTCGTGTCCCTCTTTGTCAATTTGTCTCGACTGTCTCTAATTTCCAGTTTTATAGTCTTGCTAACTAGTGCATCCTTTTTTCCCCTACTTAGGCCAGATGGACGTTGCGACTGAGAGTGCGCCGCGAAACATACCTATCAACAAGGCTGACGAAAGCATGGGTGCACGTACGGTTCCAATCATCACCACTCCTACGCCGATGCCAACCATAAAGATGTCGGCTCCTTCGCCGTCGGGCGACCCTATGGATATCACGCCAACTAACTCGTCAGCCCCGCAGAGTGCTAGGAAGAGCTCCGAGGGGGAAGGTAGCGATTCTAATGATCGCCAAGGTTCCGCGCTATCAGGAGAACAGAGCTCGAGTTTCGCTTCAACTACAATGCCTGCGCCCGCCGCCGCGGCTGTTCACCAGCCGAAGATAGTGCAGACTGCGTTTATCCATAAACTCTACAAGTGCGTATAGTTCCTACAACGGATGATTGCGTAGGTAGCCACTAACCGTTTCGTAGTATGTTAGAAGATCCCAACATACAACACTTAATTAGCTGGTCTAGCTCCGCTGAGAGCTTCGTCATGTCGCCTTCACATGATTTTTCTAAAGTTCTTGCGTACGTCTCCAGTCCTGTGCGGCCAACCAATGAGACTAATTTGAGTCACAGCCAATATTTCAAGCACACGAATATATCCTCTTTCGTCCGACAACTTAATATGTACGGCTTTCATAAAGGTATGCACAGGAATATGAGCCCTTGTTGGAAAACCTTAGACGATTAACGAAATGGACAATTCAGTAAGCGACGTATTTCACACCGGATCTCCAGAAACTGCGCTGTGGGAATTTAAACATGGCAATGGGAACTTCAAGAAGGGCGACTTGGTTGGACTGCGTGAGATCAAGCGACGAGCGTCTCGTCACACGCTAATCCACCGGGACCACCGAGACTACAATAACCAGAAGCCAACCCCGTCGCAGCCCGGTACTCCAGCAGAACCCATGCCACCAATTCATGACGGCTCAGACCCGAGGCTTGCGAGCATCGAGCACTCCTTGTACGAAGTCACGACTAGGCTGCAACGCAGCGAGGAGAATGCTCATTACATGAACGTGAAGCAGCAAGCAATGTCGGACGCGATGAATCGCTTGTTGCAACTAAATCAAGAATTATCTAGAACAGTTCTGAGCCTCGTCCCGCCAGAAAATCCTGTCCATAGAGATGGTAAGTTTCATTTTATACTGACAATAAAGACATTTGACGGTCTAATAAGGTTATAGTTCTAGCGCTGCAAGGCGAAATTCAACGCCAGACCGAATTCGTCCGATCCATCGACGAGCCACATGAGCCAACCTTCCCGAATAGCCGCCAGCTCTTTGCGAATCTTGAAAATCCCCCTGTATCTCCCCGGCAGTTAGCTCAGGACGATCAAAGGAGAATAGGGGGATACCCTCAATCTCGAACGAATTTTTACCGACCTCCAGTATCTTCTAATCTCGCAATTAGCTCTTCCAATGTTGCGATAAGCTCACGTCGATCACATGGGTCGATTAGCGGGAGCACAACCCAGTCATCGCCTTCTCCCCTCCGATCTCAAGCACCGCCACCTCCTCCTGGGCCTCATCCGCTTGCTACCGTTGAACCCCCACCGAGCAGCTTGTCCAGGCGGCACACCTCGGCCGATATCCGAGCTGCTGGGTGGCAAGTCAACCCGCCGCCGTACATCTCTTCTGGCCCGCCTTCGTCTCACTGGCCCTCTTCCCCTAACCGAGGCGCCCAAGACGAGCAACGTATCCGCGACCCGCCGCCTCATTACTCACTATCCCGACCTGCTACCCCACCAGCTCCTTTTTCAAACGGTAGTATCGGGAATGGATTAGAAAGTCTCAATAACTGGTCCTGGAATGGAGCCAACCGAGAAAACAAGAACCTCTCAATCAAAGACATGTCTGCTCCCCCAACCAGGAGGGGAAGTATGGCACATATTCTTAACCCAACCGATACAGTAGAACGAGACGACGAGGACGACCCTCGAGGAGACGACGATCGGAAGCGAAAGCGCATATAATAATTGGCATCATAGGTCTTCGAACATCCCATATCTTACGTCATGGAAAGCGTTGTCGCACATTATACCACACACGGCGGGGTTTTGTTTTTGTATAGAGCGATTGATGCGGAATACGAATCTCTAAAGGATTCGGGACGAAGCGCTACTGCCATGTTATATGACATTGACTATGCACCTTACGAATTTCTTTTCGTTTTTCATAAATTTTCTTTTCTTTCACTGCATTGCTATACTCATTTCTTGGACATTTAAGTTTCCCGCTGAAATACCAAAAAAGTGTTGGCTACGTTGGAAATTGCTCGGAACGGTTTGGCGATGGCATGGCGATGGGTGAGAAGATACCTACTCACTATATTCCATTCACATAGGAGGTTTTGAAATTTGGAGGCTGGGGGGTCGGATGTCTGAACCAACTTGCCCACTGGGTTTTGTACAACACGGAACACGGGCTTGCTTCTTGCTTCGGAGGGGGGTGCTGTCGTAATCGGTTGGATAGGAACCGAAGGGGAATAGTCTTCTCCTAATTGCTTCACGCGCAACTACGCTCGCGGAGTCACTAATCATGTACTCTTAAGAAAGTAGTTAGGTAATGGAGGAGTAGGGGCTTCTTTGCATGCATACTATGTAACCGGCCAGGGAGCCGCAGTGGTTCCTTAGCAACTTGATTGATTGTATGATCTATCACATTTTAAAGACTCCCTAGTAAGTCTAGGTATTCGGAGTAAAATGGTTGGCTCAGAAGATCCAATTGCAAACTCTGTCAATTTAAGGGACAGCCACAGGGACGATCCAATCTTATTACCCTACTCCCCACCAGTTCCAGTTCCATCCCTTGCCTTCTTTTTCTTTTTCCTCTTCCGCTTTTTCTTCGGGCTTTCTTCCGACGGGGGCTGATTGGGCTCAATTTCGGGCGCTGCTGAGGGCTCGGCAACCAGGGTCTCCGTTCCGTCCTTGGGACTGTTGGTATGGCTAACCTGCGCTTTGGTACCGTTCATATCAGCCCCTTGCTCTGAGGGTATAGCTGACTCGACATGGTCACTACTCTGCTGCTGCGTCTCCATCTCCGCCCGTGACCTCTTGCCGCTCCTCTTGGCTCGCCCAAGCCCGCTCCGCCCCGCCTCCTCGTCGCTGCTGTCTTCCTTGCGCACCCATTTCTGCTGCCCATCAGTACCCGCGCCGTTTCTCCCCCGCTTTCCTAACAGTCGTCCGCGCAGCCTGGCTGTGTCCCGATCTGTTCCGCTGGTGTTCTCGTTCCCGGTCGCGGGGCCGCGAGTTAGCCCTATCCCCGCGTTCGGATCGAGACCGCGTTCCTCGGCGAACTCGGCTTCTTCGGCGGCGCGTCTGGCTGCCGCATCGCGAGATTGGGTTTGGGGGTTGGAGGTACTGGAGCTACCGCCGAGCGCAGAGAAGGAACCGCTGCCGGAGGAGGAGGAGGAGGAGGAGGAGGAGGCGTTGTTGAGGTCGGAACGCGAGGGGAGGAATGCGCGGGCGGCTTTCATGCGCGCTTCGAGCTGTGTCTGGATGCGGTTCATGGTGACGGTGAAGTCGGGCGCTGGGTTACCGGTGGGCGCGGCCTTCGAGGTCGAAGTAGAAGTTGGCGCCATGGTGGTGGAATGGAACGGCAGTTAGGTATTCAGTTTATATAAGAGAGAGTATTAGAGGTTTTAGCTAGCGGGCTATACTATCGCCAGATCATGGTGCTCATATTGTACGCTGCTGCCGTCCGGTTTGGCAGCGGGCTGTCGCATCGGTATTCAGATCCATCGGTAAGGAAAGAAAAAGGTAAGGATGAATTGAAGATAGGTAGATAAGATAGCGATACAGTGTGAAACAACAGATTATGCGTAAATTTCACTATGTACCTAGGTACCTAGCACATGGCAAAGTTACATGAAAAAACCTTCTTACGTAACGTCCACTGTCCCCTTAATCAAAGAAAAAAATGCGACGGAAGATACTTGATCCAGTCCCCGTGGCACATGCTCGCTGAAGTCATGCAGGAGCATCAGCTGCAAGTTTAAGCTTCACCGGGCAGAGTGGATCTTGCCAGATGAATTGACCGGATTTTCCCGTTTTCTGCCGGAAAAGAGCTCTCCCTAACGACCGGGGCCTGTTGTTCTTGTTTGACGATAGCATCGCAACATCAGTTTAAAAAAATAAAAAAAACAAACTCCCTTTCATCCGTTATAACCGAGCAACTAGTGGCGCTTCGATTTCCCTGAGCCATTTTAAAGTCAATTGACGCTCAGACCCAGCTCGTTATAATGTACGGTTTCGCTCGCAGCCGTGCAGCGGCTTCTGCCCTGCGGGCCTCTAAGGTGAGATGATCTGAACGACTTTATTCCAAGCCCAAGCTGTCTACTCAAACATATATTACGTTTGAGTGAGATACTAACTTATCCGTCTCTGATTTAGACCGCCTTCTCCCCCGCTACCAGATTCAACGGCATCGCCCAACAACAGCGAAGAAATCTGAGCATTCACGAATATCTCTCAGCCGACCTATTGCGACAGGTAGAAATTAGCGCTCAACTTTTGTATTCGAATATATCCTAACACGTTGTTCTAGTATGGCGTTGGCGTTCCGAAAGGTTACAATGCGAAGTCCGCCGCCGAGGCCGAGAAGGTAGCGAAGGAGATCGGTGGTGAGGATATGGTTATCAAGGCCCAGGTCTTGGCCGGTGGCCGTGGAAAGGGCAGCTTCGACAACGGCCTGAAGGGAGGTGTCCGTGTCATCTACTCTCCTACAGAGGCCAAGATGTTCGCCGAGCAGATGATCGGCCACAAGCTCATTACCAAGCAGACTGGTGCGGCTGGCCGCCTCTGCAACTCGGTTTATATCTGCGAGCGCAAGTTCGCTCGCCGAGAATTCTACCTGGCCATTCTCATGGACCGAGCTTCGCAAGGCCCCGTCATCGTCTCCTCTTCTCAGGGTGGTATGGATATCGAGACCGTCGCCAAGGAGAACCCCGAAGCTATCAACACCGCTTACATCGACATCAACACTGGTGTCACCGACGAGATTGCGCGGGATATTGCGACCAAGCTAGGCTTCAGCGAGCAGTGCATCGAGGAGGCTAAGGACACCATCCAGAAGCTATACAAGATTTTCCTCGAGAAGGATGCCACGCAGATCGAGATCAACCCCCTGTCCGAGACCTCTGACCACCAGGTTATGTGCATGGACGCCAAATTCGGTTTCGACGACAACGCCTCGTACCGACAAAAGGAGATCTTCTCGTGGCGCGATACCACTCAAGAAGACCCCGATGAAGTTCGCGCCGCTGAGTCCGGCCTGAACTTTATCAAGCTCGACGGTGACATTGGCTGTCTCGTCAACGGTGCCGGTCTAGCTATGGCCACCATGGACATCATCAAGCTGAACGGTGGCCAGCCCGCCAACTTCCTCGACGTCGGTGGCGGTGCTACCCCCGCTGCTATCAAGGAGGCTTTCGAGCTCATCACCAGCGACGCTAAGGTTACTGCTGTCTTCGTCAACATCTTCGGCGGTATCGTGCGATGCGACGCCATCGCCCACGGTCTCATCAACACCGTCAAGACCCTGAACCTTAAGGTCCCTATCATTGCTCGACTACAAGGCACCAACGTGGAGCAAGCCCACCAACTAATCAACGACTCGGGAATGAAGATCTTCTCCATCGACGACCTCCAAAGCGCCGCGGAGAAGTCTGTACAACTGTCCAAGGTTGTGAAGTTGGGTAAGTTTTTTTTGTTTTTTTTATAGGCTACTATTCCAAAGTGAAGTAGATAATGCTGACACTCACTTAGCTCGGGACATTGACGTGGGCGTCGAATTCAGCTTGGGTATCTAAGGACGATATGTATAGAACCGGTCCGATAGACTGTACTAACTTTTCCAGGGTTGGACGCGTGAGAATAACGGGGAAGGTGTTGCGAAATAGAGCTAGGGCGGGTTTGTCACTATTGCATGCATTTCGATATTTTGCCTCGCCCTCTTGATTCTCAATGGAATTGCTTTTCCTAATCTAGATCCTGGAGTCTTTGCCCCTATTCGAATTCGTGAACGCCAAACTGCCAACTTTGCAAAACCACTATGCTAATTCGATCTAATCTAGCTTAGGTGCTTAAGCCTTGAGCTTTACATGTGCAATACCCAGTAATGACGCGCTGATATTGAGACAGGATTGGGTTACTCCAGATACCCTTGAATTCCCCTAACCACCTAAAAACCTATCCTACTCCTATGCATTCTATCCCCCTTCCCCCCCTTTTTTTTTGTGTGTGTTTTCTTTTCTAAGATCCTCATTTCATCCCAAGACCCAAACTCCAACTCCTCTCAGTTCATTCACTCCAACCAGACTAGGCATTTAGCCTTATTTATCGCAGTGCAATTGCATCGCGGCTGCTGAGTGACAGAATACACCATGTACTCCGGAATGGGACGTAGGTAGGCCGGCCTCTCGCTTCGCTCCTCCATCACCGCGAGGATCTTCAACCAAGCAACCCACGCCACGAGCATAAGCCCCAGCAGCATCAGCAGCAGATACCACAGCTGGCGCAGGGTGTTGGGCCAGGGACTCTTGCGGTACTCGGTCATGGCCAGCCAGTACTTCCTCTCGGCGGCAAACGCCACGCGCGCGTAGTCCTGCTTGACCTGCTCGTGAGTGCGCACGGCCCAGTCCCGCCAGGCGCGCACGCGGTCCGCGCACCGGGTCAGGCCGCGGCCGACGCTGAGGACGAAGCGGCCTAGAAGAGGTATCTGCGGCTCGGGGAAGGGGCGGCGGCGGGGAGGCGGCAAGGGGCCGGGCGGGGATCGCACCATCCGGAAGTACCACTCGTCGAAGGCGGCCTCTTTCTTGAGGCGCGCGATCTCCTCGGGGTGAGGGCCGAAGGAGGGGGGCGCCTTGCCGCGGCCGCGCGAGAAGGTGCCGAAGGGCCGGTGGGTGGAGTTGGAGCTTAGCTGGTACCAGGGCGTGGTCTGGCAGTAGGCGCCGGGGGCGGTGTAGATGCCGGTGGGAGACATGGTGGTTGTTGCTGCTGCTGCTTTGGGGCTGGGGGGTTGGGTTAGTAATGTGATTGCGCTTGGGGATGATATCTTGGTGATGTATATCATGGGTGTCTTTACTTACATTGTGGTTGTTGGTAGTTAGTTAGTTTCGAGAACCTAAGGTGTGGGGTGTGGGGTGTTGCTGTCGCTGTCGCTGTTGCAGTCGATGTTCTTCGGACAGGTGTATGTCTTGCAGACCGGATTGAAGGTCGGCGGTTAGGGTTGCGATATGAAGTTGAAGCTGCGCTTCTGAAGAATGGGAATAGAAATTCCCAAGAGTAATTGGGAGGGAATTGTGTGGGTGGCTGGTGGTTGGGTGTTAGGTGTTAGGTGTAGGTGCCACCTGGCTTGCGTGTAATTGCAGCTGTGGAAGTCGTGGGATTTAATACAAAAGTTTCCTCTCAATGTAAAGAGAAAGAAGAGGGGAAATAATTTGTGGTGCGTTGACTCTCTTTAGAAATAGTAGAGTTAAGGGAAATCACCAAGTCAAGATGGCTGGATGGTTGGTTGATTGTCTTTGGATACCTGAGGTGAAGATGTGCGAATTTAGAAGACAGAAGGGTAGTGGTAAAAGTTAGGGTTCCAATGCATCATTTGTAGGATCAGTTGTATTGTAAAATCAGTTGTTGATGCACGGGCAGGCAGTTGATTAAATTTCTAAACTCTTTTGCTCAACCACAATCAGGGCCTCACTTCCTATTTCCCCCCTAGAATCACTCCCAAAATGGTCCATGCACGATTTGGAAATACACCATTTATTGTAGAATCAGCCAGCCTCATTGTTCCTGCCCTGCTGCCTAGGTATTTTTTTTTTAAATGAGTTGTTAATGATAATCAAATGTAGGCTTAACAGCGCAATATTTGTCTTGATTGTCATTATCCTACCTTCCAACTCAACATTTCTAAAATCGTCACCGGTGTCTCACTACCTACAGATCCTACACATGAGACAACTATAGAAGTTTTAAAGCCTACAACAACGATATGGTATAATTGCAAGTCAGATCTTCTAGGAAACTTCCAGCCCAGATCTGTTTCGGGAACTCAAAAATCCTTATTGTAAACCCCATGGAATCGGACAGAGTATGATCTCGTGTTTTTAATAGACAAGACATAAGAAGATGTTTACTCAGACGGTCACTAGTCTTGTAACTTTACCAGGTCCTATAGATTTATTTTAGATATATATGCATGGGAGTGATCTAAATATTGTCCCCTCTAAAGTATCTTTTTTACTGGGAGGAAACCTTGCGCAGAATCATCATCTTCCAGTGCTAAAGTAAATCACATCTTCATTGGAAAAAAAAAATTTGATTTTCTTGATTTTCTAACAGACAAATCATTCCAATTAATTAATCGATTAATGGAGGCACTTGGTAAATTTGTACACCACGTATGGCAGTCGGCAGCACATGCGAGCAGAGCAAGTACCTACCGTAACTACCACGACCCACTTTAAGAATAAAATAAAATAAAAATAGGCGATTGATCTCGAGGCTTCAATTAATAGTGGAAAAGATGCGAAATTTTATTTAGAAATGGTCTATCTTCAACTTCTTTCCTCCGCGTCGAATCATAATGTTAGTGACCCTGGTTATGAAGTTCTATAAATCACGTGCATCCCTGGTAATGTTGAGTAAGAGGCCCAGAATAAGGTTTCCGAATTAAGCCCGCAGAATCGCCGACTTTGTAAGTAAACTTTTTTCTCCCTTCCTACTTTTTCCTTACCCTGCATTTCTTATCCTGGGTCGCAAACAAGTTTGTTGTAGACGAAGCACCCCAATGTTAACCTTGCGGTCGATCTGATACAAATTGGACGAGTGGTGATCTTGTATGCAGAAAGGTAGCATCGACTATGAATAAGGCGCCCCCAATGCAACACGTTGGACACCGCCGCACTGGAACCTACGCATATCATACGTGGGGTCCACTCAGGAACAATTCGCGTAACCCACGACACTCATCGTGTGCAACGAATTACGACCTCGATGGTGGTAGCATACAACGTCTTCGAGGCACAAGATTCCTCCATTCAAAAAACGGTGAAGAAAGTTATTAATATCTGGCTGGCCCCCTAAATACATACATAGGTACATACATACATACGTGTAAACGAGAGGTAATGACTTGTCACCTACCTTGGACAATCCCTTGCGAGTTACCCGCATGTTTTAATTTATAAACTAGGAGCAATCGCGTGTGTCAGTCAGCCTGATGCACATGTCGAGCAGACTAATTCAGGACTAAAAAGATCTTGGCATCCCGAAGTGACGATACGCGGGATAATTCGGGAATGTCATGTCACGGCACAGAGCCTCATAGGGCAGCAAATACATTAGGTATATAACGAGTTTTAATTTTTGCCTACTTCTGCTAGTGTCCGCTGGGCAGGGCCGAATGCAAGGAGTGTTTGATTCTTAAGTACTTAAATAGCTTCGGATCTCTAGACAATCGTAGCTGGGTTTTACCTTTTGTTCTTGTTCTCAACTAAGCTCCCGGCTCGATACACATACCATCTTCACACATTACGAAGGCATTGCAAACAGAAATACATAGAGGACTACCTAGTGTACCTGCCTCAAGCACATCACACCACAATGAAGGCCGAATTCCAAAACTGGTGGCGGAGTCAGACCGTCCATCCATCTCGTCTCCAGCCCACAGTAGCTATCTGCACATGCGCAGCTTGCTTCAATGGTACGGGACACGGTCAAGAAGTCTTTAGGGATCCTATAGATCCCGGCGAGGTTCTCCCACCGAGAAGTAAAACGAGCGCTGCCGTCGTTGAGAAGTCGAAGGAGGAAGGGTCCAAATCGAAACCCACGAAGAAGCCGTGGTATAAGCAGGCAAGCAGTCTAACCCGTAAGCCAAGCATGGCAAGCGTGGCTTCAGACTTGGTTCCCTTATGCTCAGCACCAACGACTTCGACTCAGCAAGTCGGTTAGGAGATACACGGCCTGAGATTCAATTTTGAGTTCATCAGCAAGGATGCTGAATACCTAATTACCTACGAAGGCGGAAGAATCCCGAGCACCCTTGCAACAACACCTCGTAAGGCGACGAAGGAATGAAGAATTAGGTACCGGCGTGTGAACTTTTCGGCGCAAAGGAGTGTTTAGCGTTTTATTTTGTTAGCGTTCAGCTGTGGCTGCGGCAACTAGGTGAAAAATCTAGCCGCTACTTAATAGCTTGGCCTTAAGGCTTCTGTTAGGTCCATACCTATTAATGTGTGGCGTTACGGTTTACTAGAAAGAGGAAAGACATGGGTATGGGTAGACAGATCCCTGAATGGGTTGCCGAGCTTTGCGCGGGCTTACCCGTTCTGTCGGAGAGTTTCTTAGGGCGCTTGGTGGGCTTATCGATACCCTAAAAGATGGATTCGTTAGGTGAGGTGATAGGGCGGCGTGCGGCATGCGACTGATCGGATTCAATTATTCGCTCATCGCGTTTGTACGGGGAGTTCCGAGGACGACGATACCCCCGATTTAGCGTTGGATTTACACCACTCTACATAGATATCTAATTTTTCTTTGTTGATAGATACGAAGCTTTACCGTGTGTCTCCGGTCCTTACTTCGACTAATTGTTTAGAAGTGATAGTTGCGCCAATCGGGAAAAGTGACGTCATTCATATAAACTATCTATCAGACGATCAGCGGCTTCATCTTCGTCTCTAAGGCTTCACTTAGTGGTAATATTACATGAAAGTCCTAACAGGCTTGGCATGCATACCGATTAATCTACGCAAATCTCTAAACATCAGAAACGCAACCACCATGGCCTCCAAGGTCGACCCGGCGATTCTAGAAGCGCTAGGCCTAGACGCGCAAGCCACCAAGATAACTTCACATGGCGGCTCGGGGTTTGCCTCGACTTTCAAACTGAGCTCAACGGTAGGCGGGAAGGAGAAGAATTACTTCGTAAAGACCGGAACAGGGGCCGATTCTGAACTCATGTTTAAAGGTTAGGGTGGGATGCCTTTATGTCATCATGATACCTAATATACCTAATACGCACTTGATACGAAGCTAATACGACACAGGAGAACACGTCTCTCTCAACGCCATCCACGCTGTCGTTCCTAACCTGTGCCCCCAATCCCACGCCAACGGCGTCTGCCAAGAGAACCCCAACCGGTTCTTCCTAGTAACAGATTTCCTCGAGCTAGGCTCATCGCGCCCGAACGGCTCGGGGGACTCCCTCGCCAAGAAACTGGCAAAGCTGCATACGACGCCCGCGCCGATCCCAGACGGCTTCGATAAGCCCATGTTCGGGTTCCCGGTGACGACGTGCTGCGGGTCCTCGCCGCAGGACAACTCGTGGAAGAGCTCCTGGGCGGATTTCTACGCGAACAATCGACTGCGCGCGATCCTGAAGCAGGGCGTCAAAGCTAACGGCTCGGACCTGGAATTGGCGAAGGCGGTGGAGAGGACGGCTGGTACGGTGGTGCCGAGGCTGATTGGGGATGATCATGTCAAGGGTGTTTATCCGGTTGTTGTGCATGGGGATTTGTGGAGCGGGAATCACGGGCGAGGAAGGATCGCGGGCGAGGGGGGTGTTGAAGAGGTCTTGTTCGATCCGTCGGCTGTGTATGGGCATTCGGAGTACGAGTTGGGGATTATGCGTATGTTTGGAGGGTTTGGGACGAGTTTCTGGAGGGAGTATGAGGGTTTGGTGCCGAAGGCCGAACCGAAGGAGGAGTGGGAGGATAGGGTGGCGCTGTATGAGTTGTAAGTTGTGCTGTTTCCGTATTGGCGTATTATTGTTCGGATTTTGCGAAGCTAACTAGTATATATAGATATCATCACCTGAACCATTGGGCGTTGTTTGGTGGTGGGTACAGGAGTGGAGCGATGTCGATTATGAAGAAGCTTAACACGAAGTACGGGTGAAAGTCGAATTAACTTCCCATCTTCTGGATCGCCGTATTGTTATAATTATGGTCATCCCCTTCGGATCCATAGTTGGGAGTTGACTTGATGTTAGAATAGTTCACATAATAATATTTCTAATGAGACGGACGGCAATGGATATATTAGAATAGATTAACCATGACTATATAAATCCCGCAGTCCAAGCTTAGTATTTACAAAATGAAGCAATACAGCAGAATAATATAAAACTACATTATATCATATACTCGTACTCCTCGGCGGAACTTCATAATATTCGGAGAAAAGGGGAGTCGGGGAGCCGGCTGACTCATCCTGGGCGGCTCCGAATTTTGCTCTTAGAGGAATTACCTTAAGCAGTTCTTCGGTCCGCTAACGACGTAATCGCACCATTTTAATCCTTTACTTGCAAGCCAGCCGAGAGCAAGACCTCCTACCCTCCATTCACTTCATCCCATGATAATTTTAAAAAAAAAATATTAATATAAGCATTACGGGAATATACACAGGAGAAGAGGGTCGGCATGGACGATAGAAAGGCTTTCATAGTCGGTATTAGCGGGGCTTCGTCCAGCGGTAAGACGACGCTTGCCCGGCTGCTGCGCGATGTCTTCCCGAATACGTTTGTCCTGCACGAGGATGATTTTTATAGGCCTGAGACTGAGTATTTTGACATATCTTTATTTCTCTCTATTCAAACAGATTTTATGAAAAAAAAAAAAGCTCAATGCTAACTACTTGCCGTTTAGACTCCCTTACAAAGAAGGCCTCCTGGATTGGGACTGCGCCGAGGCCATTAACATCCCAGACATGAAGCGCGCGCTGGAACATATCCGCGCTCATGGCACTTTTCCCGTAAGCCCTTGTTGAAGAGATATGATATTAGGCACATCGTTGCTTTAGCTGTATTCTTTACAAGAATGAAATACGAGCTACATACATATATATCCACGCAAGCAACGCACAACCATCCATCCAACTCCCCCAAACTACCTAACTCCTCAGCACACCAAACCCCCAAACTAACCCTCCATCCTAGCCCTTCGTAGACTCCAAAGAAGACCAAAACTCCATCGGCGCTTGTCCCGTCTCCGACGCCGCCATATCAGCCGCCAAAGTCAAAGTATCCTCGTGGCTACAGCCCGGCCAACCCGGCCACGCCATCCTGCACGCCTCCAACCTCCGCATCTGCCTCCTAGACGGGTTCCTGCTGTACTCGCCGCAGCTCGAATCCGGGCGCATCCCCTTGCTCCTCGACGCCAAGCTCTTCCTGCTCGTGAGCAAAGCGCGCGCGACCCAGCGGCGCCAGCGGCGCGACGGGTACGTCACGCTCGAAGGGTTCTGGGCCGATCCCCCGGGGTACGTGGAGAAGGTCGTGTGGCCGAACTACGCGGCGGCGCACGCGGGGTTGTTTGTGGACGGGGATGTGGAGGGGCGGTTGGATGGGGGGGTGTTGCGGGAGAAGGGGATTTTGGCGCAGGTCGATGCTGGGTTGGATGTTGATATGGAGGTTACGTTTAAGTGGGCGGTGGATATTTTGATGAGGGAGTTGGAGGGGGTGTTGGGGAAGAAGGAAGGGGAGGGAAAGGGAGAGGGAGAGAGGGAGAGGTGATGGATGGATGGATGGATGGACGGAGAGGGGAGGGCGTTAGATCTCATCTATACTGGTATCTGGGTTGTTTGCAGACAGAAGCGACGAACGTTACTATTATATCAAAACGTATCACTCAAGGATAAATCAAGATACGATCAAAATTGGTAGATTTCAATAATTTATTTCTATTCCACATTCCTCCCTTCATCATCTCACCCTCAGGAGAAGCGGCCTATCAGCATCATCATAACTCCTCTAGGTTAGGGCATTAATCAATATAATATAACTAAGGTATTCTAGCCTAGTACATAGCGCAATTTCCCTATTACTCTAATAACCCATCGGGGTCTCTAACATAACATTCATTCTTGAGATGCGACTCGGATAAATAGTTAGATTCTTAGATTACCTCCACGTATCCGTCGTAGACGACGAGGTCGCGCAGGTCTTGGGGACGGTGTAAGCGCGGTTCGGATCGGTTTCCCATGATATGGAGCCGTCGGTGTTGACCACGATGTACTTGTACTGAATGGCCTGTCCGGCGGGGAGAGTGATAGTTGCTGCCCAGAGGGGGTTGCTGGAGGTGTACTGCGAAGCGCTGAGAGTGACCGCCTTGCTGGTGTCCCAGTTACCGAGGGCGGCAACGTTACCCACTACCTTGACAGTCTGGCCATAGTCCGTAGACTTGAGCTCGTTGAACGTGACTGCGACGGCGGTAGCAGTAGCGCAGCTACCGGTGGTGGTGGCGGTGGTGGCGGTAACTGTGGGACGGGTGAAGGTGGCAGTCGGGACGGTGCTGGTGATGGGAGTCTGGCTGGCTGGGAAAGACGAAACCGAGGCCGTAGAGTATGATCCGCCCTGAGATGTCGCCTTGCAAACCCCGGGAACCGAAGTGGCAGTAGAGTCTGCGCCTGCCCAGCTAGGGGGGATTACACCAGCTCGCCGTGCAGCGGCCGTCAGAAAGGAGGCGTACGACCAAGTAAGGTCCTTAGCAGATAGTGGTGTGCCACTGTTGCGATCGTATTGCTCGGCAAGGCCGCCGCTGGAGTCTGCGTATTGGGAGACGATGTTAAAGAAGCCATCGGCATAGAGGAATACGGCATTGTAGATCGAGGTGTAAGTATCTGTACCGGACTCGTACGTGCCAGCCGAGACACCCGAGACGAGGTCCTGGAAGAATGCCAGCGAAGTAGAAGTGACCGTGATGGATCCAGTAGTCTGCCACACGTAGAGGGCATCATAAAGCTGCTCTGCGGCTGCGAGTGTAAGGAGATACCATCTGGTATGAATGTTAGCGACGAGTGTACTTAGTAAACTAATCAAGCAAGGTACTTACGGGTTACCGTTGTAGTAGACGTCTTCGGGGTATCGTCCCACAGCAACAGCTGATCCGCTGGGAATTCCCGAGTTAAGGCTGTAAATGTCACGGAACGAGTCTACAACAACCTTGTGGCTGGAAAGAGCCTTGTCACTGCAGGGTTGGAAAGTCGCAGCATCGCAACCCAGGGCCGCGTCGAAGTTGTGAATCGAAGCTAGGATTGTGTTGCCGTCCTTGGCAGATCGACCGTTGTTGACGTTGATATTGGCTAAAGCATAGCCACTTGATGGTGACCAGAACGTCTGCAAAAAGCAGAGAATGTGAGGCGCAATAGCATCGTAAGAGTCATGGCTCTCGCCAAGGGTCTCCGCTAAAGCGCTTCCTTCGACCAGGGATCGGTGCTGGGCAGCAACAGTGAAGAAAGAGCTTCCGTTAACTTCCTCCCAGAGATCGAAGCCGGTCTGGTTCCAGTACTGGGCGACGTAGGCAAGATCGTTGCGGATTATGGGCCAAACGCTGCTGGTAACCGTTGAATTGTACCCGTTTGCAATAAGCCACTTGGAATAGCTAATAAGAGCAATGGCCCTCAGAGCGGGACCGTCACGCTGCGGACGACCCCAGCTATCAGTAAAAGCGCTAAGGTCGACATTGAACTTGGGTTCTCCCAAACCCGTCCCGTCAGATAGAGAACCTGATGGGTTGGATACAGTTTGCAGCTTGGCTTGGGCGATGATGTAGTTCTGTATCTGAGTTTGTAGACTCGCGTCGTAGCTGTTAGTGAATCTCTCGATGATAGCCTTGAAGACAAGAGCGGCATCTCTGCTCCAGGTGTAGAAATCTAAATAATTAGCATATTGTGAAGATTCGGGAGAGAAGCTTGCATACAATCAGGGTCGGACTTGGATGGAGAGGCTACAACGATGCCGTCGCTGGCACCTTGAGCACTGCTCCCAGTCGATCCGATGTTACTAAGGAGCTTTTCTAGGGCAATGGGCTCTTCAGTGGCTATGAAGCTGTCCACCGCTCTCTTAAGGATTACGCCCTCTCGTCGTGCCCGAGAAGAACCGGGCAGGCCGAGGATGGTTTGGAAGGCAAACGTGCCCAAGAGGAATAGAGAAGTGAGGCCCTGCATGATGGGTTCAATCAACGAGGTGCTGTTGCTTGCGAGAAGCCCTTGACTTGAGCTCTGTAAGACGTCCATCTTTTACTACTCTTATATACGAAGCTTTTCAGGAGCATCGTGAAGAGGCCCCTTGCCTCTTTTGGACACCTGACCGGATGCTACTCTGGGACAGCTGTAGGACCGAATTCCAGGGTACCTCCGGCGGTACTTTCCGGGCAATACCTAGGACGTGAGCAAGTAAATCGGCCTGGCGGTGTATAATGGGGTAAATGTAACGCCGTAAAAGAAAACTCCGCCTTGAAATTGGATGACGTTAGTACAAAAATCTATGCTTAATTCTATAATTCGGTGGTAAACAACAGCCAACCAAGCTTCAACCTGGGGCAACCTGGGGAATCTGGAATCGGGCCGCTCTAGGGGGGGGGGATGTCTCCAAGAATCGTCAGTACCGTGCATATGGGATGGGGATGGGCGGATTCGACGGATTTGGCAATAGACCCCTGGATGCCTAGGTAGTCTAGAGCGTTAACAGGGACGGACTATGAGGCTGGATTAGAGGTAAATATAAAAGTACACAGCTCCATGCTAACCCCATAGATTTAAATGTCTTCCCATGCGGGGAGCATCGGTCCCCGCATTATTAGAAGTTGGAGTAGATGCGATGAATAAGAGGAAAGGAGTTGCAAGGGGAGAGTCCACAACCCATACCTCGGACGTCTTCCGGTTGATGCTAAGACTTTTTAGATACGTGTGCGATTCCGACTTGAGCCAGTGTAACTGCTGACCTTTTTTGCGGTACCGACACTTCACAACTGAAAACTAATAAGATATGTAATTGGACAAGACTATGAGAGAGTGATATGAGGTTTAATAATTCATTCGATCTACATAAATTGTTTTAAGTATTAAGTACCTTAGGTAACCAAACACATCAGAGTACATATTCGAGTACCTATTTAGTAAGGTATCACAACAACTAAACCAATAATATGTAAAATAGTCTTGCTCAGTATCACATGCGCGACCATACCCCTAAACCTACCTTGTACATGGACGGATCAGGTACGCATTATACTTTTCTATATATGTATATTGGCCCGTGATATACCTCGTCACTCGTCACACCACCTGTTCCTATCAAATAACTTCTCATCCAAGCGTGACCACGCGTGACCACGGCACATGCCGTTCTGAATCCAGGCGTTATTACCTAATGTATAACTTCACTCGACTTGCCAGTTAGAATCGTCATATAAGACCGTAATGGAGCCTGAAAACCTGGAAACAAGCTAAGAGCCCTACGTACATCTAATATCCGCTTAACCAACTTGCCAACTACAGTAAACAACTCATTATACGGTCTTATTATATGACGATCGGTCTAACCTTAACTCGTCCTAGTAATCGCATTACAACTACATACGGATCACAACATCGACTCTGACCCAGGGACTAGTCTGCCCGCGATGAGGCCGAAGAATATTCTAACCTCTCCTCACCACGGACGATATGTCCTCGAACTAGCATAGCGCATCGTCGCAGCTTCACTAGAGCAATAGGCGCATAAATACGCGTTACACGTCCGAGGTAGAGCCGGTCATGTTATCGGCATTTTATTCTACAAAACTTAGCACGCGGCATGAATACTAATAAGTATCATCATTTCCAGACCAAGGCGATTCCGTCCATCAGCACTAGAAAGCGCAGGATTGTACGAATGGCCAGGGTTTAGATCGGAAATGGTATGTAAGATAAATTATGGTTTTCCTCAACCTCATAGATCAATGATCTCGGAAAAAAGGGGTGGAATATAACTCTTGGAACAAGACCAGTCCACCGAGTTACAGCCTTGACGGCGAACTCAGGCTTTCCAGAAATGCCCCTTACTCTAGGACCTGTCGATTGGATTGACATCATAAAAAGAAGGATGATTCCATATGTGATTCGAGCTGCCTCGACCATCAACTCTGGATTCGCGAGCGAACAGAGGACGATCGGGCACAGATCCGTGATTGTGTAAAAGGAAAGAAGAAGAAATTTCAGAAAGAAAATTCTGAAATTTATTGTGCAGAGGCTGATGCGAAAGTGGGGCAGACTAAGACATGTGCACTGACCACCTGCATTAGTGTATGTGCCGGCTTTGTGTTGCGACAAAGAGCCTTCCATTAGCAATGATTTTGTAGCTCTGTACCTCTTATCCAGCAATCCTTATCACTATTTCCCAATTTCAAGTAAGCAATCGCAATAATCGCAATAATCGCAATAGCCGCAGACAACCTCGTCCCATTTAAAACCCTGGCCTCACGTATTTCTTCATTGTCGACAATCGAAAAGAGGTAGTCATCCACGTGTGCTCAAGTCACCACGATTCATCATGGATGCTGCAGCGATAGAGGAAACGAATCGCCTTCGCGTTTCTCTGGGCATGAAACCCTTGCCCGTTCCTGGCGCAAGCGGTCCTCAGTTCAAAGAAAAGACATCCACTCCCGAGGAAGACGTCGGAAGTACCCTTGAGACCCGAGAAGCAGCCGCGTACGATAACTACAAAAAGAGCAGAGAGGCCGAAGAGGCCAAGAAGAAGCGTGAAGAGAAAACTGCTGCCATCAAAAGAGCCCGCGACGCCGCGAAACGTTTCGAGAGCCTACAAGGCAAGGGGCTAGGCGAGGCTGATGACGGCGATGATATTGATACCAAATCGTGGCTGATCAGTCAAAAGAAGCGCCAAAAGCAAATCGAAAAGGCGCGAAAGCTGGAGGAGGAACTAGCAGCCGCCGAAGCTGAGGCTGCAGCAGCGATTAAGTACACGTCCAAAGATCTTGCTGGTGTCAAGGTTGGACACGAGATCGGATCCTTCGAGGAGGGTGAAGAGCAAATCTTAACGCTCAAGGATACAGATGTTTTGGGAGAGGAGGAGGAAGGTGACGAACTCGAAAACATTAATCTTAGAGAGCGAGAGAAGCTCGACAAGAAGCTCGAATTGAAAAAGAAGAAGCCCGTGTACGATCCCAATGCAATCGACGAAAGTGGCGAGCGTAGCCTCCTAGCCCAGTACGATGAGGAAATCGATGGCAAACGAAGCAAGAAGTTTACACTAGATGGACTAGGGAATACTGTGTTGAGTGATGATCTGGATAATCAAACACACGGTGGACAACGACAAAAGATCAACCTTGATCTTTTTGCAGAGGACAAGCCGAATTCCGATTACTTAGACATCTCAGAAATAAAAATCAAGAAGCCCAAAAAGAAGAAGTCGAAGTCGACAAGACAGCGCCCAGTAGACGAAGATGATATCTTTCCGTTACCACCAGCAGAGCCAGATCAGTCGATGGACATAGATTCGGGTGCCGGTTTCGTCAACAAGAAGCGTAAAACAGATGACACAACATTCGCCGATGACGAAGATCTCCAGGCTACTTTGGCTGCTCAAAGAAGAGACGCTCTAAAGAAGCGCAAGAGGACGCGCCCTGAAGATATAGCGCGGCAACTACGAGAGGAAGCACAGACGCCAGAAGTTGATGACGCCAACGGTGCTCAGGAGGGTGGCCTCGTTCTAGATGAGATCTCCGAATTTGTTTCGGGGCTGAAGAAGGAAGATATTGAGGATCGCAAACCTCGTAAACCGAAGTCGCCTAAAGAAGCTCCGGTCACAGCTATGGAGGATGACTCCGACGAAGACGAGCCGATGAAGGATGGGTACGACGAACATGATAGAGTTAAGCGCGAGACGTCAACCCCAGCAGAGACGGCCATCATCGGCGTTGATGAAGAGAAGACCATAGGGTCTGGTATTGGCGCAACCCTACAACTTCTAAGAGAACGACAGCTCTTGAAGGACTCCGGTGCTGCTGAACTGAATGAAACGCAGCGTCAGCATCAACTATTCGTCGCTGAGAAGAAACGAAAGTTGGCAGAGATTGAGCAAGAGGCCCGCAACCAACGCGAGCGTGACCGCAACAGCGGCAGACTCGACAGAATGTCAGTACGAGAGAGAGAAGAGTGGGCCCGGCAGCAGAACAATATGCGCGACCAGCAAACATCACGACAGCTAGTCGACCTCTTTAATAAAGGATACAAACCCAATGTGGAGCTCAAGTATCACGACGAATACGGGCGTTCGCTCGACCAGAAGGAGGCGTTCAAGCATCTCAGCCACCAGTTCCACGGCAAGGGAAGCGGCAAGGGCAAGACGGACAAGCGACTCAAGAAAATCGAGGACGAGAAGCGACGAGAGTCCCAGAGCATGCTGGATGCCAGCCAGAACGTCGGCATGAGCTCGGCCATGACACAGCAGACGAAGAAGCGGAAGGAGGCTGGTGTTCGACTTGCGTGATGGCGCTATATACAGACAGACTGGATTTAAAGGTGCTTATTCCCTTACTTGTACACTTATTAGTTAGTAATTCAGAGCTGACACTGGTCTTTTCAAGTCTGCTGTTCCGTAATGTGCTACAATGATGTCCGCACTCAAGCGATGCGGCGCCGTGACTGATGATCGTAAAGCCATAACCTTTTCTCCCCGTGACTTGATTTAACATAGCATACGCCATTACTGCCATACCTTATTACTTTGCACCTACTATATTACTATACTAATATGGCAGATGTCTCTATTATCCATAAGTACTCTAGATCAGAACCGCATTTGAATCCTGTAGACTCTATGCTGCAAGCTGGATACTCGTATTGCCTTAATGGCTAGGACACAGTCCGGCCCCTCAAAATACGGGTGCAAGGTAGGTCCAAGTATATCAACATAGCAGATATAAAGCAGCACGTTGAGAACTATGGAATGCTAGATACTTCATACATACCTACCTAGATACTCGAACATACAAATGAAAAGGCTAGATTCAATAGTACTTGATGAAATACGAATGCATATGCGAACATGAACATCCCAAGCTTAAGTGAAATGGTATAACCTCAAGAAAAATATAAAAAGTGCTGGCCAAGTTAGACATAGTGGTTGTGAGCAAAAACGGCTTACAAGCATAGTGCACCTATCTTATCGCCACATATTCTTCCACCGCAGCCATTGTCGCTTCCAACAAGACGACAAGAAAAAAATCTAGGCAGCGGCAACCCACAGACAGGAAATGCTAAAAACTGTACAATGTAAAAAATCTGCAAAAAGAAAGGATCCCTCGGGCCGGAATCGAACCAGCGACATTTCGGTAACAATTTGTGACAATTACAGCCGAACGCCATAACCAACTAGACCACCAAGGGGGTGGGGGTTTCAATGCTTGCTCTGAGAGGAAGTGGACTTCCTCCCGAGGGACAGCTGTTGAAGAATTGGCGCGCTGTTGGGATTTATAAAGCTTCTGCGTAGCGTATGTATGTGGTTTTTTTGTGGCCGGAGTTTGGCCGATTGCTTTAGTGTACTTTGACGGTTGGCGGGCATTGGTGCAAAAAAAAAAAAAAAAAAAAAAACGTTGTGAGTGGGGGTGTGTGCACTTGGTAGGTACGTGGGTACAAGATTCCGTGCACGGTGCACGGTGCACGGTTGCCGAACTGTGAGGAAGGTGCGCACGGTTCGGGTACGGCGGTACAACGACACAAGTAGGTAAGTACCTCCTAGTCGCGACTGCCTCAAAATACCTACTGTGTGATCTTGTGATTCTAAGGCCATGTGAATCAGGTACGTTGATTTAAAATCGACATGATTTCGATTTAATTATTCTGATCCGGAGACGTACCATGTACCTACGTACTGTTGCCGATTAAACAATTCACTGCTTGATCTTGATTAAAGAGCGTATGTACCTAAGTACCTACCGCATTGAAATCAACTTAGGTTAGACACATGAAAGCAGAAAAAGCCACTTAGAGTCACGTAGTATTTGCGCCATATGTTTTTTAAGGAAACAAATTTTTTTTTTTGGTATTTATCATCTATACTAAAAATACTTGCTAACTTGATTTGCTTATGTATGTGCATGTAAGGAAGAAACTGTGTAGGGGGTACGTAGAAAAGCAAGAGGTAAGGGGTAAGGGGCAAGGGGCAAGACGTTATAGGGAGATAGATCTAAGGGTTCATGAGGGTATACGTTTTAGGACGAACATCGCTTCAGGGAAGCCAGATCAACGGTGGCTCCAATCCTACTTGACTTTGTACGTGCCGTTCAACGCATGAGACCTCAAGAAACCTAGGTAGGTATATATCCCCCGTGTTTACCTAGCATGTTTAAGCTCAATGCTTAAGTCTGCGTCTGGCCGTCTTTTCTGGGCTTATGATCATCATCCCTCTTGTCGTGTTTCTTGTCTTTGCCGTCATGCTTCTTCTTATCATCGTGCTTCTTCTTGCCGTCGTCCTTCTTTTTCCCGTCACTCTTCTTCGGGGTCTTCCCACACATCTCGTCAAGGATGGCGATTAAGCCCTCCGCCATCTCAGCGGAGATGGACACAGCCATCCTTCGTCCCGGAGGGGCTGCTGGCTGACTACTACGCCTATGCTCTCTCTCCTCCTCGGTCGTGTTGGCAGGCTTCTTCTTAGGCGCGGCCTCCTCTTTCTCGTGTGCCCGACGATCAGAGGTGTGGTCGTCCTTTTTCCTATTGATCTCGAACCCGGCCAGGGACAGCCGTAGGTTGCGAAGGCTTTCTTCGGTTTCTGCGACCTGAGTAGAGTTAGCTAGCGTAGAAAGTACCGGAGGAGAATGGGAGACAGGAGGTCTCGGCTCTCTCGGGTCCACCGTCGATGGCACTGAAGCAACGCTACCGTCCGGTCCAACCTCCTCCCCATGTCCGTCTGGTGATCGACGCATAGATCGAACACGCTCGTTATAGGGGACACGATGGTCGCCTGTGTAAACTGTCGTATGAGAAACAGAGGTGAGGGCCGTGGGGGGATATATATTATCACTCGATCCCGGCTTAAAACTAGATGAGCGACGTTTACTGTTGTGAGACATGATGGGCAGATGTCCTCGAGGATTTTTGATAGGCTATTCTACGGGATTAGCTGTAACGAATTACGAAGATGGCCTTACTGTGTTTAAGTCTCAATAGGGATGATACTAGAGAAAGCTCGGTTGGAGATGAGTTGATATCCAGAGAAGAGTTGGGCTTGGTCGGGCTTATATACACCAGTATTACCTCTCGTAAACAATGCAGAGGATCTATTACAAGTATTTCAGGTTCCTTTACATTGCATTGTATGTCTTGTTCCTGGTCAACCGCTTTGTTCGCCGAGACACAATTCAGTCGATTAATAACCTGCAAGCCACGCATTCTTTCACTAGAATAACATGAAAGGCGCTCTTTGTCTAGGACATTTGGGACTCGGATCAGATGTTCTTCCGTGGTTACATCCATATCATCAATATCAAATATCCTTGATTTAGAAGGCCATTGTTTCGTACTTACGTCCCACTACTGATTTTAAGATATACGCCACAAGAGCTCCCATTTTTAATTAGCGATTTCCTTTCTTTGTCTACCCTCGTAAATTAGTCGATAATTAATATTTAATTTACAAAGCACAGTAGGAAATTAGTTTAAGCCTGCAATTAGTGTTTAATAATACTCGAGTATACATGAATGTTTTATTTTTTTTCATCTATCATTTAGCCACTGTACAATCCTAGCCAATGATAAATTTCTTGAATGTTGTTTGTTATTGAATCAGCAACCAGGTTGCCCAAAAAGGGTTTAGTAGAGTAGATTTTCAAAGTTTGATTCTAAAAATCAGAGCCCTCCGGAGCCTTCCGGAGCAGTCCAACCTCCTCCGGGGCCGGCCCCGGGGGGCAACAGTACTAAATCCCGTATCACAGGCTCCGATATTTTGATTTTTTTCGGCATAGGCCCGTTTACTATTACCTAATTTGGTAAAATCAACCATAATAATACCTGATTCCCTCTATGATTGTTTACATACTGTGATCTTTCACTATTTTACACTCCCTAGCAATCTTCCTGCGTTTGACCACATGATGCGTACCTACCCAGTGAATCTCATGAGATGCACTTTAGGTTTGCACCTTTACTGATTGTGTTCACGAATGTTATTCTATATAAACATCCCGTCCCCCAGACATTTCTTCCCATCTTCCCCCAACACACATCATCATCACACATCAGTCTCTTGACCATACAACTTTCCCAACCATCCATCCTTCTTGACCATACAGTCTTCTCAGTCATACATTTCAATTCTTCTTCTTCTTCTTGATCACACTTTTCGATCATACATTTCAATTCTTCTTCTTCTTCTTGATCATACTTCGTGATCACACATCTTTAATCAAGTCTTCACGACATATTCTTTCAGTTTCGTTTCGGATACACGTCTTCACTATCGAAGACCTTTATTTCTCGTACAGTTTCTCGTACAGTTTTACCTGTGAGTAGCCTTGCGCACTATATTCCTAGCCCTCTCCTCTCTATTGCTGTCGCTCTTGATACCACATCCTTACCTTGATCGACCCTAACCTGCCCTGACCTACCTTGGCACACCTTAACCTACCCTCACCTACCCTTATCATCATGGATACCTCGCTCTACTATATAGTTAGCACGATTGCACCCTATCACAGAATCACTTCCATTACCACTTCATCATATACTATTGTTGCCATCACCATCGCTACTACCGCCCACTGCTGCGCCATCTCTTATCTGCATTCATCAAAACGGATGCCTTCTTCCACCCGTGTTACCTATTTCCTTGACACCTTCATTCACTATCTTGCAAAGGCGCTCGACTTCTTACTACATTTTATTATTCTTTTTTACTAAACCCTACTCCTAGGCTCGTTTTACTCTATCTCCTATCAACGGTCCAACAGCATACAAGATGTCGGCCACTCAGAAGTTCCAGTCTTCCCTATCCGGTAAGCTATTCTCTCCTCCAGTACTCACATTCATCATCTGCCCTTCCATAAACTGAAAAATGTCATGACTCATCATGGTTCTGATAACCTTCCATTCGGACTAACTCTTACAATTGTTGTCTCTATTGTTATGCTTACCTTGGATGGAACAATGCTGATCATTTGTTAGTTTTCGCCTTGGTTTACTCTCCCAATGGCAAAGAAAACCGAACCAGCCCCTTCCACCGCCTGCCCGTCGAGGTTGTATCCATGATTTTCGCCAACATGGACACCTGGAAAGATTTCAAGGCAGCAGCGCATTCGTGCAAACGAGCATTGGCGATAACCAGACAGAACGAATCGTTTATTGCGAGCACGTGGATCTCCAACATGCTGCCCCCTTCCGTCGAAAAGTTCGGAATCATGGCCGTCGCCTCTCGACAATTCGGCCGCTATGAGGTGAAGGAGTTCGTTGAGAAGTACATCTCACACGAGGGTGACTATCCATCCACCTACAAAAGTATGGCGATTGCTTCTGAATTGCCGGAACTCGTGAAAGCGGCTCAATTGATCATCAATACACCGCTTGTGAGAACTCCTTATCCAAACCGCTCTCCCGATGGAATTGAAAAGACGCCAACGGAATACGCGCGAGAGCTACGGGCGTGTTTCATGATAGAAACGGCAGCAAATCTGCTCAGGGGCTTGGAGCACGAAGCAGACGAGAACTTAGCTGAGGGCAAGTTCGGGGAGATGAAGCGCGCATACTGGACGGCTTTCTCCAAAGTCGAAGTGCAAGCGGCAAGACTCATGTTTGACAATTATGAGCAGAACCTGTTCAACGGTATGTCATAATGTACAGCTTCATGAGTTAATGTGTACTAATTGGAATTGGCAGCTCTCAATTGCAACAGGGGTCGTAACTGTTATCTTGACGATAAGGAACTCGAAAGGTCCCGTTTTTCCAGCACAAATCGTTCCTTCGCTCGGGTCTTTTCACTAGAAGCTGGGCTGCTCCAGATGCACGACTGGAACAACCGACCCATCATCCTCCTACATTGGGCATTCCGCGATTTCAAGCAGGGGCGAGGGAGTGGGCGGCGTGACGCATATCAGTATTTCGATCAGTTTCTAGAGAACGAGGACATGGTATTTGCCGAATCCCCATTCCAGCCGGACCCGAAAGCGATCGACCTAGCTGCTCGTGACGAATTCTTCAAAGCGAACAAGGACGACATTTCTTCCTACTACACCTGCGACGATCTGCAAAAGGGTCTCTCATGCCAAATCTTCTGGGACCAGGACACCTTCACAGCCTGGCAACAGCAGTTAGGAGAGAAGAAGCTTCTCCAATGGGATGACCCGGCTATGCATGAGTCTGAGTCCGAACCTGAGCCTGAGCCTGAGCCGGAGTCTGAGCCCGAAGAAGAAGAGCAGGCACCCTCTGTGTTCGACTCAGATGACTATGAATTCGAAACCCCGAGCGATCGGGAGCTTGGCCCGGAGTTATATGGTAGATGGAAGAATTCTAACTCATACATGAGCTTTCAGGAATACATGAGTCAGTGGCGAATGGGTAGGGAGGAGGACGAGGGTCAGTACGACGATGAGGACGAGACGGATCCCATTATTGAGAACATGGTCGAGAGTTGGGCCTATGGTGAAAATGGGGATGAAAATGAGGATGAAACCGAAGGTGATGATGCTGATGATGAGGATGAGGGTGAGGGCGGGGATGAGAGTGAGGACGAGTTCTAACTAATGATAACTGAAAAAGGCTCCGAATCAGGGATGATGTTCATGACAAGAGGCCTGGCATGGCAGGTCGTGCTCTATTCATAGAGAGATGAGTGATGAGTGATGAGTGCGTTGACGATGAGATTGAAACCTATGGCCTTGCGTTGTATTGAGACAGACTTGCATTGACTTGCATCGGCAAACTTGCATGTAACATTGATCGCTTATATTTCGCTAGCTGCTTACTGATGTGGCATCGCATGGCACCTTTGCAGATGAACTTGTACTGTTGTGTATTGTAGCAAATTGTTGTAGTTGATGCCCTTAAGCTTGTGCTTCTGATAGATATTCAAGTTTCCAATTCACCACCATTCATTACATATAATTGACAATCCCACTACGAGAAAAAAAAAACTACAGTGCCGAACTAAAGTGAAACTTACCTCCAAATGATTAGTAGGTACCTATATAAAAATAAAATAAATGCAAAAGAAATATCTCCGGTACGGGGAATCGAACCCCGAGCTCCTCGGTGAAAACGAGGTATGTTAGCCGTTACACTATACCGGATTATGGTCATCATTGTTTCCAATGTCACATGTTTTTCTGGTGTGTCATTACACTATATATTATATTAGTACCTATGCGTAGACGATTATTGGTCGCTAATTAGCATAGTGGTCCGCCTGTGCTATTTTAGCTTGTAAAAAGTATCTGTGGACATTCCTTTGCGATTCGAGAAGTCTTGCATGTGAAAATTCGCAGCTGGTTGGATCATTGAAGCTATCGCATGTTCTATCCCAATACTTTCTCAATATCTTCAATCATGGAGCAGCTAATCCCTCAAGTTATCTTGACATTATTAATTATTTTATCCCTCGTCTTCTTTTCCTCCTTAATAATTTTCCTATCTGAGCGAACCCGATGCTGTTAGGTTCTTCTGCCACTGAGCACAGCTCAAAATTCATACCCAAAATCTTTTATACCTAGCTCTCCCATTGAAGCATATCCCAATCCCAAACCCCCCTTATAAACATCTTAACTTACACAATAGAAAGAAAACACCACCAGAGATTTAACACGCCCAGCCCATGCCCCAATCACGGCACCACCTTCGCCCACCTCCGTCCCCTAATCCCATCCTTCTCCTTACCCACCTCATCCGCCAGCCTCATACCCGCATAAGACGAAGAAGCCGTCGCCCCGCGCTCCCGACTCGTAAGGTAAAACGTCACGATCAGCGCAAACACCAGGATCGCCATCCAGATAGCGATGAGCTGGGCTGAGCGCTTCGGCCGCGGGCCGTAGGGCGAGTAGAGCTTGGGCATCTTAGGCATTATGTACGTCTGTGCGTATTGTGTGTAGGTGTAAGGTATATGCGGATGCGAGTATGAATATGAGTAATAAGTATACTTAGGTGAGTGGCTAAGCTGAGGTGCCGGGGGTAGCTAGGACCTTAAGCTTGAGCACTTAGGTCTTGAAAGTAATATAGAGGAACAAAATTACACATTTATTATTCAGAGCCCTGGATGTAAATTACGTCGGTTTAATCCATTTGCCCTCAGTTCTAGACTTGTGTTTGATATTGTTGAAGTTCAAGTTAACTGAGTTGAAGCTCCTGGGGCCGATCGATATATTAAATTATGTCATACCTTCTTAGTCAGCAAGTACCATCTCTCTCCTATGTACTGTCTTCGAAGTTTTGAGTGATACTCTAACTGCATATCAGCATATTAGGCAATGTTGTTAGAGAAACTAAAGCCGTATAAGCTTATTATACCTCGTTTATTGATATCATGTTGGTTATTCCGAACCTCAAGCCAGACAGCAAATTACCAACACAGTAACATAATATGTATCTAGTCTATCATTCTCATCTTGTATCTTGATAGTCAAGTAACCGATTCGCCGTCCCTGTTTGAGTGTATCTCTAAACCTCCCTAACTCCTCAATAACGCCAAACCGCAATCTGTCAAAGCATCAAATCTGTACACTCGCACCAATCCCCTTGCCTTGGTACCACAATGATTCCTTCCAGTTCCCCAGTCGCACATCTACGTTGGCATGTGCATCCAGCTTGAGCTTTCCGCCTATCGCTTTCTTCACAGCATCGTAGCCAACCGAGTCTAGGGACCACGTTACTGGTAGTTTTGGCGTTTCCGACTTTCCAGGTGGTGCTGAGAACGGCAAGTCGTAGACGATCTGTCCTACCGGCTCGGTATGATTGTATAACGCGGTAGCGTTGACGAAATCTATATATAATGTGTTGTAATGCAATGGTGATACAAGAGTAAATGTGGCAGTGGACGAAAATACGTGGAAAGTAGCATCTCTAATGAAGTGAGTCTTCTCTTCAGGAGTATCTCCGGGCAAACTCAGCTTGGGAGCGGCGAGGGTCATATTAAATTTCGATAAGGCTTCGCAGATGATGGGTTGGCCTGGAATGCTATTTCGATGTGGCTTTACGGTGATGCTCGTGTTCCAGCCCGACAGGTACTGTGATATTAGTTCCCGCCCAACTTTTCGACCGTGGGCGCCGCCCATTGGTGGATTCCATTTTGCGGTGACAAGTATGTTGGAGTTTGGACCTTTGGCGATATTAAGGTCCTCTACTGTAGCACTCCCGATGATCGAACCATTGCTCAAGACGTGGATGTTCGCATATGGTATATAAGCCGTATAGAGTGTCGGGTTAGTTACATTGACTAAGGCTTGAAGCGTTATCGAGTCCGATGTTGTGTCCAAAACCCTAAGAGATCCGACCTTTGGTTCGATACTGCCAACAGCACCCCTGGGAAGGGCTGAGCATAAGTTTAAGTTAGCACATGCTACTATGTACGGGCTTGGCGGAAGGGCAAGGAATTGCACCTCTAAGAACAAGCCGCCCTACTGGACGGACTATCTGAGAGCGACTAACAGATTAGGATAACGAAGACGGACGTTTTACTGGAATTTTGCCCTCCGCAGGAACCTCCTTCACAGTAAGGTTTCCTAATGTGGTTTGCACTTTGATGTCGACTAGGGCGTCAACATGTAGAAGGACAGGTTTGATGCCAAACAACAAGGCACTGACAACTTCGGCGAAGACGGCACCGTCGGTGATATTGAGGGGCGCGTCGATAACGCGGGACTGAATTTTGAGCATAGGCCCCTCGTCTCCCTCGCCTTCAACTCTAGTAGAATTAGCGTGTTGCCATTCTCGGAGGTTTAGTTCTCCCATTTTATTCGACTTGTAAAGCACGTCCGCAGTAGCGCGGACGTTTGTCACGTCTATACCAAAGTTCATTTCGGAAGGAATGCTTGCTGTAACTAAAATAGTTCCCGAAACTGTTGGGTTGGAGTCTGGGGCGTCGGGAGCAGGTAGAGCAAAATCGACGTCAGTCAAGGAGAAGTTCCTAAGTAGACCGTCTAACGTACGTCCGGGAAATGGTACAGGTACTGTTACGCTAGATAGTATGTCTGCAACCCACTTCGGCGTGTCGCCATCAGGATGACGACTCCCACGGACGAAAAGTGTAGCGGGATCGCCATGCATATATTGTCGAAGGATATTATCTAAAGGTGAAGAAGTAGAATCCGGGCAAACGTGAGTCAAAGAGTCAGGTAATTCGCGAATAACCCCTTTAACATCGACCCCGACATCAGAGCGTGGTTCGACGTGAACCTCGCTCGTAGCCGCTTCCGCTACTATGATGAAGGGATCTGAACTAACGCAGCCGGGTACTAAAATATCAAACGCAAGCTCGGGAATATTAAGTTCGACTGGATACTCGTTGAACGCCGTCAGTGCTACGTCCGCTAGCATCGTCCCTTTCATCGGGCCGTCATCGACTTGAAAACGAGTAATGTTATATTTTGGTATCGCAGGGACCTTGTTGGCTGTTCAGAACATTAGTATATTGTTTAAGTAATTATATGCCTAGCTTTATCTGGATATGCTAGAATAAGGACTTCTTCCCAAAGTAGAGGGAAGCAAAGGAGCGGTAGAGTGATTGACCTTCAAATACAATCGATTCCGAGATGGCGTGCGTCCCTAGAGGGACGATCCCAGATTTGAGACTGAGATCAGCCTGTCCATTTAGACGCAGTTCGTCCAATCTGCCTTCGAACCATTCGTTCGCAATTATGCGAATGCCTTCTGGATCGCCCGGCAGTATATCCGCAACGATGTCAAACTGTGTTACGTCGCCATCCCGCAAATTGATCAATAGAGGCGGGACGATTGCGCTTCCGAGTAATACGTTGTCATATTTAGGAATGCGCACATCGACCTTCGTCTGCTCACTTTCAAGCTGAGCCGCCACCCATGTAACTGCTCTTCCTACTCTTCGTACATGATTGCTACTAACTCTCGACCCATCTAGATGGAAGTTGGCTTGTATCCGAGCTCGAACGCCGTCCGTCGTAATGGATTCGAGGGAGAGGTTGGTAGGCTCAATAACGGCGGCTTGTTGAGCATACTCTTGAATAGCTTGGGGAACGAGGAAGGCGAGGACAATGATGACGACAATGAGCGCTGCCAGTATGAACATGGCGATAAATGACGCCCATCTCCTAGACTTCTTAGTCGAACTGGAAGCGGAGGACGCATCGGTGGGGTGAGCTGGACTCGAATCATCACTATCTACATGATGCTCGTCTTCTTCTCCATCGTAACGGGGCGTTGTCGACGAATTCGAGAGCAGCGGCGTCGACTCGCCGGAATCTTCCCGTTCGCGGGACTTGGATTTTCCTTTCGCCGCTGCCGAGAGCAAAGGCGATGATTCTTCTTCCGACATGATGACGGCTGGGATGAGATTGACGGATCACTATTTTAAAACTAGATCAATGGCGGGTAGTTAATGAATAAGTGTTAACTGGCAGAACGGTATAGGCATCATCGAGTCTAGAAATGTGGTATATGGGACTGGTGATGTATTGTAAGACAGTTAAATTGATGTCAATGAAGAGGTTAGGTACCTAATCCCTAACGTTTGTAGGATAAGGTTATGGGTATAAATTGGAAGGCGTGGAGTAGTCGTCATCAACGAACAACCTGACAACTCGATGGTCCACACTGGCTGAAACGAGGCCCTTCGGCTGGGCAGGTGCTGGGCTGCTGGGGCGAAGCCAACTCAACCTTCCGGCCGTTAAAACCAATCAAGCAAATGGAAATAGCAGAGCGGTTATTTCCACTTAACGGTCCAGCATAAAGCGTACATGTCTGGGGAAAGTCTGCAGGGTAGCAGCCCTGCTAGGGTACCTGCAGGTAATATGTAAACAGGTACCTAACCTACTGTACAACCTCCCGAAATCGGCCAGCTGACAGACACCTGTTTGCCCTGAACCTGGCTATCGTATCTCGATATCTCCACAAAGTTGCGCTGGTGTCACGACGAAGAGCGGATTCAATGGTGACTCTTATCTCGTCCGTGATTCTTATTCTTAGATGAAGCAATTGGAAATACCTCACTTCGAATCTTGAATTGAATCTTTTACCAGTTTCACGGTCATTAGCCGGATATCTCACTCTTTTATAGTAAATAAACGGCACCTCATCAATACCGAATTTCTTAAGAGCTAAGAGCTAAGCCAGTAGCTATCTTCACTTACACTAGAAGCCTACGCCTTGGCAACTTCATACTTCTCCAATCTCCATAGTTGGTGATAACGATATACTCGACCCGAGTACATATCTCCAACCTAAATCAGGAAATCACATTTCACTACTGCAAAGATGCGGTCGTCGGCTCTTCGATCAGCCAAAAGCGCACTTCCCTATGCAACGAGGAATTACTCCACCCGGGTTCCCGTTCGACATCTTATGTCAATCAGCGATTTGACGGGTGCTGAATTTTCACAACTGGTGTTAAATGCCGCGGCTCGCAAAAATGCTGTTAAGTCTGTAGGCATTCCGGCACGCCTAAACAAAAAGTTAAAGGGGCAGACGGTGGCCATGATGTTCAGCAAGTTAAGCACCCGTACCAGAGTCTCAACGGAAGCCGCCGTGGCTATGATGGGAGGCCATCCTATGTTCCTTGGAAAAAACGACATTCAACTAGGAGTGAGCATATTCAAGGTATCTCGAGTCAGTGAGAGCTAGCTAATCAACCAATTTTCTAGGTAAACGAGTCGTTGAGGGACACGTCCAAGGTTATCTCATCCATGACATCCTGCATGGTGGCTCGAGTCGGGCCTCACAGCGATGTCGCGGACTTAGCCAAGTACTCGAGCGTTCCGGTTATCAACGCGCTGTCTAATGATTTCCATCCCCTTCAAATAATTGCTGATTTCCTTACGATCCATGAGTCTATTCCCAGGTCTTCTACGGAGAGTGTCGTACCAAAGGGGTTGAAGGTGGCTTGGGTTGGAGACGCAAACAACGTATTATTCGACTTCGCCATCGCTTGTCTGAAATTAGGTGTCGAGATATCAGTTGCTACGCCTCGGGGCTACAGCATCCCACAGGACAAAGTAGAATTGATTACAAGTCAAGCCGAGTCCACATCTACACCAGGTGTTCTGAACCAAACTTATGTTCCGGAGGAGGCTGTGAAGGATGCTGATATTATAGTAACTGATACCTGGATTTCCATGGGCCAAGAAGAGGAGTCTAAGAAACGACTAAAGGATTTCGCTGGTTTCCAGGTCACCAAGGAGCTTGCTAAGCGAGGTGGAGCAAAGCCGGACTGGAAGTTTATGCACTGTTTACCTCGTCACCCTGAGGAGGTCGCCGATGAAGTTTTCTACTCTCGCCGGTCCCTCGTCTTCCCCGAAGCAGAAAATAGGCTCTGGGCTGCTGTTGGTAAGTGACGTCTCCTTCCGAACTTGTCTATTCCAATTCTGATTCCTATATAGCGGCACTCGAAGGGTTCGTGGTAAATCGTGGAGAAATATGCCCAACTTCTCATGCGTAATTCTGGAGAAGGTGATATTGTTTACTATGGAATAGCATATACTGGGTTATGTGAGATTGGTATGGCAGCTTCGAGGTAAACGAGGTGGTGTTCAAAATGCTTTCTACTCCGATACGTGTATCAATTTTGGTCGGCATAGTCAAAAAAGGGGATCACAATGAGAGAAAATTTCAAGCTCTGCATGGAATGATGCAAGTAGTTCGCATTTGTATAACCTCGTGTACAAAGTAATGATATCAAAGTAAGCCAGTGGATTTTTCTCTGACCACCAACGCCTAATCTCCGCCAGACAACCAGTTTATCCAGGAGGTAACTGGCTAGCATCTACGATCTCATCCGCCTCTTTAATAATGCTCTCCTCGTCTGGGCCATATAAAGGCGATCGAGGTAATGCCATGAGACCCGTCCGGGACGATTCTAGAATTCCGAAGGGTGCAATTAGTTTTAGGAATGAATCAATCCTGACTGGCTTGGCGGACCTATGAATCATTAGTATTAATTCGAGTGGTTCGATGAAACCACTTACACTTCAACAATGCAGCTGCTTGTGCTGATATCTAACACCTTGCCTCCAAACTGGTGGGCGAAGTAAGTTATAGATCTGAGATGCTCATGCTTAAGTCGCAGAGCCTGACTAGCCACCATTTTGCTAGGATGGAAGTCTTGAGCAACATCTTCCAGGGACTTGTCGCCCGCGTCTGCTTCTTCAGACTCGGCTGTTATTTCGCGGTGATGCGCTAACAACTCCTCGAAGTATTCCGGCCCCAAGATATTAATCTTGGCAAGGAGCAATTCTCTTTGGACCAGAGCGGCATTTGTGTAGTCTAAGACAGCCCAAACGGGTACTAGATCCTCTAATTGCCGTCGCGCCTGCTCAACCACGCCGTCTTGTCCGGTGAGAACAATTGTCATGCGGGAGAGGTCTTCGACCTCCGTACTACACACGACTAGAGAGTCGATGTTGAAACCGCGCGCTGCTAGAATACCAGAAACTCGGGACAAGACACCAGGCTCGTTCTGCACTAAGCAGTTGAGAACATGACGTTTCGGTGGGGCCATCGAGGGCGTCGGGGTTTCGTAGAGAATATTAGAGACGGCTGCTTGCGCAGACCATGATGACGGTGTGTCGTTGGTAGGGAGAGGAGCTTGACGGCGGCGGAGAGCTTTATAGGCAATGGCCGAAGTAGAACTTCTACCACTAGAACTCCATCTTGAAGATGTCTGGGGGATGGCTCGTACGCTTGCGGCGATAGCCTTGAAGCAATTGGCTTGAACAAGTGTACGGGACGCCATGGTTTTCTGACCGTACACGAGAACTCAAGAAGCTCTCTGATCAGAAATGGCAGTCCACGAAGCCTGACAGAAGTCTGGCGGGGCTCAATTGGTAAAAGTTTCTACCAACTTGACTCACCACTTAGTGGAAAATTGTGGCCATTTTAATAAAAAAGCCATGAAAATGTTGGCTGGTGAAGGTGACCGAAAATGAATCTAGGGTAGCTCCGAATCCCGGAGTTACTAGGTACATACTGTATGTACTTAAATGCCCCATATTTCTATGCAACTAGACCCCACCTTCACCTGGTTACAACGGGCGGGATCCACGGCCCAGACTTCTGGGTTCGGATTATGTATGTTCCCCTTTCCGTCGCGTGTTGCTCTTCCTTTCTTACGGTTCCGTCTAATTCAAACATTGAACTAGGCGGAATTCTCGACAATTCCATATATACTGCCTATACCTTATTCAACCTTGATTTTTTAGACCAACCATTTCTTTATCCAAATCGGCAATTCCTGCATTGCGCAGCTTTTTAGCTTCTGCGCATACTTCCATTGCAGGCTCCCATAAGCTCTGATCCTTTACTTGATTAAATAAATCCAACCTTCCTCAACCGTCGCGACATTTCTCAAAATGGACGACACGGAACGACGCACCGCAAAACGATCTCGGTTCGACCAGACCGAACCCGAGCCGCGCCGTTCTCGATTCGATCGCAGGTCGCGTTCCCCACCAGCGAAGAGGGTTGAGCATGGTCGAGATAGTCGAGATGGTCGCGAACGTAGTCCATTAGGTAAAGATAAAAATAAAGATAAAGAAAACAACTCGCATGAGCCCAAGAAGAGTCCTGTCGACCCAGCAGCAGCAGCAGGTATATATATTTATTCCCGGGATGGAGCTTAGCAACTTCGTCAAGCTAACTATTCGTCTTTAGCTGCCGCCGCCGCTAAGATCAATGCGCAGATCCAGGCGAAGAAGGGTATCCAGCACGTAGACGTACCCCCGATTAAGTCGGCGTCGTCAGCATCTCCCGGTCCGAATGCTGCGAGCACCCCGGGTGCCATTAACCTCAACAATATTAATGGCGAAATGTACATTGCCGACGGTGATTATATCAAGGATATCGAAGTGAACGACCTGCGAAATCGATACTTGCTCACGAAGAGTTCCACACAGAAGATGGTAAATAATACCCTTGGTTAATTCCTACTGATTTGCACCAGAGTTTCAGCACTAGCTTGGTGGTTCTTTTCCAGTGTATTATTATCGTGTGCGAAGAGTTCTGCTTACATGGAAGCGTGCTAGCTCGCACACGAATCCCCTCTGTGGCATCTGCTGACCTCCGCTGCTTGATTTAGATTAAAGAAGAAACCGGAGCTGGTACGATACCTCCTAGCTGTTTATTGATTTATTGTTAGAACCATAGTTGACTTTGAAAGATGTCACGACTCGAGGCAATTATTACCCGGATAAAAGCATGGCCACGCCATCGGTAAGAGAACCTCCTCGACCAGCTTAGGAAAGCTCATAGGACTAACCATGGCTTAGAACCCCCCCTTGTTCCTCCACATAACCAGCACCTCCAAGACCGGGTTGGAAGCTGCTGTTGCCAAGATCGAAGAATTGATGAAGCAAGAACTCCCAAATTTGGTTGACGAGCGACGGTTTCGACGCAGAGACCAGGAACAAGTCGAACGTGATGAGTTTGGAAGGGTCAGCTAATTATACTTGTTTTCTATAGTAGACGTTTACTAATGTTGAGCAGCGTAAATGGCCGGAGGCGAAAATCCCGATTGGTCTCGAAGAAATTCGAGGTTTTAACCTTAGAGCGCAGATTGTCGGACACGGTGGCTCTTACGTGAAGCATATTCAACAAGAGACCGGATGTCGTGTCCAGATCAAAGGACGCGGGTCAGGCTACCTCGAAGCCTCGACTAACCGTGAAAGCGATGACGACATGTACCTTCATGTTGCGTAAGTATATGGTGCACGTTCTCCTGCCCTAGCCACCTGTCTAACAAGATACATAGTGGTCCCGATCCTAAGATGGTCGAGAAAGCCAAGGAGCTATGTGAAGACCTCATCACCAACGTCAAGGAGCAATACGAAGAATTTAAGAGCCGGCCACCGCGCCAGCACTATGGTGGTCATGGTGGCCATAATGGTAATGGTGGTGGTTACGGCGGCGAGAGGTCTTATGGCGATCGATCTTATGGCGGTGACAGATATGGGGATAGGCAAGGGAGTGGCTCGGGCTCTTATGGTGGATACGGTGGTTACAATAATTCGCCCAATCCCGCTGCAAGCTCGGCCTCTCCTGCACCTCCTGGTCAAGGCAGCCCACAGAATGCCAACAGCGACTACGCTGCCCAATACGCTCAGTACTACGGTGGTCAAGACCCCTATGCAGCATACGGCGGTTACGCAGCGTAAGTAATGTACCCACGAAGAAATGCAAGATCGCTAACGCCATTCCAGATACGTGCAGTATTATCAGCACTACTATGCTGCTGCGCAAGCCGCTCAGCAAGGCTCACCAACACCACCAGTTCCTGGTGCTGCCGTCTCTCCTCCACCTCCTCCACCTAGCGAAGCCCCTCCGCCACCGCCTCCTGGAGGATCTGCACCACCTCCCCCTCCTCCGCCTGGAGCTGGAAGCTATGGCGCTGTAAGTCATATTACCGAGAGATGTTAGTGTATGCAAGCTAATTGGTCGTGTCTAGGTCCCCCCTCCTCCTGGGCTATGATCAAGACTTAGGCTTGGAGACCCATAGGACGTGTTTTCTGTGTCCTAAAAGAGGGGTTTATGGTATTTAAGGAACTAATGAGTTATTCAAGAACGCGGTCAAAAAGGGTCATCATAAGGGGGTCTGAGGCTCTGTCAGAGGTACATAGCTCACCCTTTACAGCAGTCTAGATAGTATTATTTGACATTGATTCTTCTAAATAGCACATTATTTATTATTTTTGAGCGGGCATGTACCTAAATGCCTAACCTACATGTACGTAGATAAACCATGGCTCTACATGTATGTGTTGTCTCTTGCTTATGTAAATAAATTAACTCTCAGCTCATTCATCAACATGATACGGCTATGCTTCAGTGGAGCATAGGTACCTGAATGAGCTTAATATATACGTCTTATCGATAAGGCTACGTCAGTTTATCTGGAGTCGCACGCAACATTCCATTAACTCTACCAGCTTGATTCCATGGCCATGTGAATGATTCATGCTCAAGCTCAGGGGCATATCCGGGTTCGCTTAGGGGCCATTTACGAGTCTCTTCCCTTGATACTTCTTACACAATGAGTCACCAACGCTATCCGTCGATAGATCCTAAGGAACCTCATTCCGTCTCCTTGAAGGTCCTCAGGTAACCAACGCTACACACTTGTCCTTACTTTGTTGGCGATAGGTTCTAATATCATATTACTGTAACCAGACTATCTAGGCCCTCCCTCGTAGTCCAACACCCCCTACCAACACCTATCTCCCTACCCGCATCAGCCCAGCAGGAACCACCGATCCCCGCCTCCCTCGCCTACAGCACAAACGGCGACACGAATCCAGACCCCTTCCTCCTCGCCCCAATCTTACAACTACCGCCCTCCTTCGGCTCCGCATACGTCGGCGAGACATTCAGCTGCACCCTCTGCGCCAACCACGATGTCCCGCTCCCAGGCGAACTCCCCGCAGCCGCCGCGGCACCAGCCGGACCAAACTTAGCCCCGATGATGAGCCCGATGAACCCGCCCAAGCGCAAATTCACCCGCGACGTGCGCATCGAGGCCGAGATGAAAACGCCCGGGTCCAGCGCCGCGCTGAAATTACCTCTGCTAGGCGCCGACGGCGTCGTCGAGAGCAACGCCGACACGGACGACGGCAAGAGCCATAGTCATAGTCATCATCATTACCATGGTGGTAGTAAAGGCATAGACCTCGAGCCCGGCGACACGCTCCAGCGCATCGTCAACTTCGACCTCAAGGAAGAAGGCAACCACGTGCTCGCCGTGACGGTCAGCTACTACGAAGCGACGGAGACGTCGGGGCGCACGCGCACCTTTAGGAAGCTGTACCAGTTCATATGTAAGGGGTCGCTGATCGTGCGCACCAAAGTCGGGGCTTTGGTGCCGCCGCCGCCGCTGCCGTCGCAGTCGGATGATATACGCGAAAAGAAGAAGAAGAAGGGAGGGGATAGGCGGAAATGGGTGATGGAAGCGCAGCTCGAGAACTGCAGCGAGGACGTCATGCAGCTGTCCCGCGTAGGTCTAGATCTCGAGCCGGGGCTGCGATATCGAGATTGCAATTGGGAAGTCGCGGGTAGTGGGGGTGGGAAGCCGGTGCTACATCCGGGAGAGGTGGAGCAGTGCTGCTTTGTGGTGGAGGAGGAGGAGGAGGAGGAGCCGGGAGCGGATGGGACGAAGTTGGTTGTTGATGAGGACGGGAGGATAGTGTTTGGGGTGTTGGGGATAGGCTGGCGGAGCGAGATGGGGAATAAGGGGTTCTTGTCTACGGGGAAGTTGAGCACGAGGATTGTCAAGTGAGCGGGTTGGCTGGTTGGCTGGCTGGCTGGTTGTTGTCGATGAAGTGACGATGGCGACGAAATGTGAGTGAATCTATTGTAGGTGTGACGTTTGATGGTCACGACGAAGAGGGACTACGATATCTGGCCGTAGCGACCCGTGGGCTCTAGTATTCGTATCACTACATATATAGTATAGGTCACGACCGGTTATCAGGGCGATGTCTACGCGGTTTACGAGGTATGAAACTTATGGGTTGAACTACATCGGGGATCACGACATATCTGTGGTAGGGTGGTGTAGGATAGGTGTGTCATCGCCATTCTATCAGCACGCACCCGAAAGATTTATTGTCGTTGATAACCGATCATAGCATAATTCGGGTCTTTGGGGTTGAGGTGATCTCGGAAACTAATAGTCTCTCCTATATTACCTATCTGAGCATCTTTACCCAATTAACGAACAAGTATTCCCAATCGGTCCCTTCTATATAGGTAGAATTACCGCCCCCAAGAGCCGTATAACAGGGCATAATATACTACGATGCCATAAATATCGTAGCGTATTCGCGACGACACGCAAGCTTCTCCAGTTACACCTATCCGGATATTTGGGAAAATGAGCTGTCAGATAGAAATTCTCCTACGTAGCACCATTATTTTGCCTACATACGTACCATACACCACGTCCATGTCCATGTACGCCACTAAAAACGGCCGCATGTTCGCGTCCTTAGATCGACTCATGGATTAGCTAGCTGGCGTAATGGCGGCGGCGCTCAGACAGACTTGGAGGACCCCAGAGAATTCTAATCCTAGTATCCAACCCCATTGGCTAACTGGAAACGTACCGAGTGCCTAGGGCTAACTAAGCTCTCGACGCATACACGAGTCCAAGTACGCATGCAGATGCATCATGCACACCCGGGATTTTTTTTCCTGGCGAGGACGTGGGCGGGTGTAGATAGTGTCTTGCGTCCTACGTAGTTCATGAGCGGTGAAGAAGAAAGCCGATCTTCTGGTTGCACCAAACCGGTTCCAACAATAATAACGCCATCATAATAATCGTTCGAAAATCTCGGACGAGAGAGAGAAAATCGAGCTGGCAAGGATTTACGAGGCCAAAGCGCAACGGATGAGCCGCTCTCATCCTCCACGCACGATATTGAAGAATGAATTCCATGATTCCATTCCTGATAGTTACGACATACCTCGCAAGTTTTGGGGATTCCCGGAAAACTCCTGCGATGCTACCTTTTGCGGGGGGAGCTCGTTGCTATTATTAAGTGTGCGGCTGCTAAATATCCTTTCCGGTCCGGAAGGTTTCATCGGACACCAGGACACCAGGACAATATTGAATCCTTTTATATCCCAGCATTGTCCATCGTCAGACTTGAAAGTGGGCGGCGACCAGATAACCGAATCTCCGGAACAGGTGAGAGACCAGAGGATCTCGATAATTTCATATAAGCTTGGCCGACGATCAGTCGCTAGTTACGTAGACGGTAGGATGACCAGTTTAGGGTGTGTGGCCTATTCTGGAAGTCGTGAATTGCAACCCCGTTTGAACCCCGTTTGAATACCGGCGATCAACTTCAAACGTAACCATAGCTTTAAGTGATACACGATCAGCTCAACAACGCGGTTAACGGCCCGTATTGCTGACAGGCTCTCGTAATAACGAAATTGCCATGGTACATAGTTACTCGACTGTTATGGCGTGACAATGTTACTTGGTCTCAACTGAAGGTCAGTATGTAAGTGACCAAGTCAGCTAAGTTACGAATCCGCTCTGACGAGCGTTTGTTCCAGCTACGTCACTTGTGCGGCACGGCAATGCTGTACCTGATGCTAGGTTACTAGGACGTGAGCATGGATCCATGGATCAGGTGGATTGGTGCTTCCATGGCCTCCATGGACTCCATGAACGGCTGCAAGGATTCCACGAGCTTGTCAATCACGAATACAAATCCTGTGAGAAGATGACAGGTACAAGGTCAGGCACAAGGATCGGGACCTTTTAACGAGAACATGGCAAGCTTCAGATTTGCATGTCCTCGGCTTTCCCACCCCAGAATTTCATGTTTTTGTATATATGAAACCCACTTGGATTTCCGGGATAAGACTTTTTTGGAAGCTTAGCTTCAGAGTTGAATATCTCCAAACAGGTTCTAAGAATTCGGTATGCGGAACGCCTAGGATCGGCGCAGACTACCTAGGAACCGTGAAGAGCGGTCACCTCACCGTTGTTTGTAAGGTTGGATTGATGGGCACGGCTCTCGGGGTCGACCGCCCTCTTTCTTCAACTTCTGAAAAAAGCAATAGCTGAGCTGCTGAGTGCTACTGAGCTTGATAGACTTGATAGATTTCCCATCTTCCCATGTTTTCGGTTGTCTACTGTGTAGCCTGGTCGCTCAGATCCATGACAAAACCCCACACGCCTGAAACAAATATTGGCCGATTTCCGTCTGGATATCTGCAGCGGCGTCAAATAGTCATCGGCTTTAGCTGATAGGATGTTGTTCACTCGGGGCAGAGGTCATATACTAGTATGTGCCTGCCTGACTGTAACCCGAATAAATTATGCCATATGAATCAGTGCTGCCGCCGCCTTATTATTATTGTTGTTGATCTGACACGTTGACTCTCTACCCGAGAATCGCGTATCTATTGGGTTAGATTGGACGACAAGATCGGGCGAGGTGCATCGTTGATAATATATCGTGCTTAAGCTGGCCTGGGTATTTGGTTATGTATGTAGATAAGTAGCCTCGAAAAAAGATAAAAAGGAACGAATACCACAGACAATTGTAACCGTGCGCTAATCCCGGCTAAGACCGTGAGCTTTTTTACTTACATAGTACTATGTAATGATCTCGATATGAACCCCTGGATAGGAAGCTCTGGTTCCTACATATGTATGTACCATAATGGGGGCATGTCTTAGCCACTAGTTTCTAGCAAGCCTAGAAAAGCAGCAGACCATCGCTGGCCTACGGGCTCACAGACAGGGTCTAGTGGAGTATGTCTGCATCTGAAAGACCACATAACAGGCCGGGCCATACTCGAAATAGATAGTGGCCTTCTGTGGTTTTCGATGTAAAAGTTTCTGCTGATGTTCCAATACGAGCTGTATCTTTCAATCTGGGACTAATAGGGGTAAAGGAGATTTTCATTTCTCGACTCGTCAAGACGGGTTGAAAAGGGTGTAATGCCCCTGGATGGTAGGCTATGCAGGAACCATTAGATACCTACTATGTGCATGCGAATATTCCTCCAATTCCTCCGACGGCCCTTATTAGTCGAGCCTTATTAGTTGAGTACGTCTCCCCTCCATTTAGAAAGGAAAGGAAATATTATGTAAAAATAGGGGAAAAGAAAGACATTGAGATGCAATGGTCCGGATACTGTAGACACAGGTAATAGGTAGCCATGGCCTATGTATCTGCAAGGTACGCAAGACCAAATATCCGGACCAGTTAGTTGCGAGTATTTCTTTGGCGCCGGATACTGGCTAAAGAATTGGTTGCGTCTCTAATAACAACTCCTATTGCCCTAAGCTTATGGGTATGTATTCGACCTTGTCCTTGTATTGAACGGCGTAGCATAGTGCCATAAAGATGCACTAACGATTTCGCTAATAGTTGCATGCTCATCATAATGTGGTTTCAAGATGCGCGCTAGAGAAAGCTATATTTTTCAATAGCCAGATATTACGCAGCTGCGCAGATAGGATAACGGATGATGAAAGGGCTGGATGTATGTTCGAATGCACAGCTTGTTGAAGATGTGTTGTTCAAGATACTGTTTCACCGCATGAGGCAAGCATCCATGCTATTCTGTCTGTCGTTGGTGAATTGTCCAGTCAAGCAGTCAAGGGGGTCTTTTCTTTTCGAGGACCTGACTTCTGATGTTATATGTAGGGCGCCATTTGAGGTCCAGACGTTCAACGTTGATAAAAGCAAAAAAAGAAAAAGAAAAGAAAAACACTGTAGACCCTAAAGATAAAAATAAAAGTTTACGGAGTAGACGCGCGCCTTCCACAACTTCACAAAGTTCAATGGGAAGTAAATAATATGTACCTGTTAACATGTTACAATGACCTTTCTGGATCGGAAACTGCTACAGGTCTATCTATGCATGCAGCTGCCTACAAAATATATCTCGCAGGCGATTCGGATAACCCCCTATGTAAAATGTGGCTTTCCCAACTGCCAGACTAACTAAAGCGGTACACCCATAATTCCCCTGTCGGGTCGACTCAGTGCTCTTTTACCCCTGTAAGAGGGGGCGGGACAGGGATTTAAGGTCTGGGCACTGGAGCTATGTTGTGCGATACGTGATACGTTAAAAATCCCACTATGTACAACTAGACCCGGATTGGAAAAGATGGTGGGGTTAGTTAGCGGGTACGTAGCCCCCGACTGTCCAACTGCATCTTTTCCTTCATTTCGTTCATCAATCATCAACCATCTTCACTGCTCGCGCATCCAAGTGCCACATCCAATGCCACGCAGGCCCCTCTGCCCCTTCCTACCTACCTAAACCTCTCTATGTAAGGGTTTATTCAAGGTAGTTCTGGGTTTGATTTTCTCTTTCCACGACCACTCATTCAACTACCTAGTCCGTCATTGGATGTTCTCAAGTTTCTCCAGAGTACTCCGCGAACCTGGGGATCGATCTTTTGCATTGCCAAAAACACTTGTTTCTTGAAGACATCCTTTTGGAGCCTATCCAGTCTACCAGCCTGCCAGCTTGGGAAGCTGTTTTCTCTCCTGGTCCAGTCAAATTCTCATTACATCCGCCCATCCTATTCCATCCCATCCAATCCAACAAATTCATACACACCCCTCGAACTGCCCGCCTGCATCCCGTCGTCCACCCACCCGAACGATAACGCCGCATAGGGGCATGCAGCTGCATTAAAGCACTGCATAATTGTCTAAGGCTGTTTTGGAAGCATTGCATACCAATAAATCGTGCGTGTCTACCCGGCGCCAAAATAGATCCAAGAAAAAAAAAAAAAAAGAGGGCAGATAAACAGTACATCCATCGGCTGCTTCTGCCCGAAAAATAAGACAACCACCGAAAAAATTACAACCGGGGACATAGACGACAACTGAAAAGTGTCTTGCGGCTGCCAAGCTCCTTTCGGAGAACGGGCCAACTAACTGACAGGTCGTTAAGTGAAAACCAACATTTGATCTGTCAACACCCATCTCATGTCAATGGCCGTTTTGGCTTTGGTCTAGTACGGTGGTTTGCCTTGGTAAAGACGATATATCGATATCCCCTCGAGCACGCTCTGCAGAGTACCTAGATCCTGCTGCTCAACACTACCTTGTCATATCTGACCAGTCATTCAATCGCAACCTCTCTCTCGTTACCTTGCTTGTACGACGGAATATATGCGTCGGACACTGGTATCCAAGCCACCGATACCCACAAACCGGGTCTGAGAAACAAAAAGGAACAAACTAACGCAGTTCAACCTGTTGATTGATATCTAGGGGGCCCCTGGCAAGCTTGCTTTTAAAAATTAGTCTGACTTTTCTAACCTTATTACGATTTCCACCTAACATTGTTCAATTTGGACTAAGAAAAAAAAGGGGGAAAGTTATAGACCTGAGATGTCATGGAGAGCCCTTCGGCACCGCTCGCGGACTACTTCTGGATTGCGGGTGTCGCATCCGTGTCCTACCATGATCTCCCACCTCCAGCTTCTGCCACTCAAGTAGAAGCCACCATTACCGAGGATCGCGAGCCCGACGAGGACCTGCCCGACCCGGCGGCTTCTCCCGCCAACAAGACTAATGCCCGACACTCCCGCCAAAACTCTAACAACAGACTCTCCAAGATATCTACTAGTTCGATCCACACCCTCGAGGAGGTAGATGGGAATACGAGGAGTAATAGAAGCAGTGCTACCATCAGGCCCATCCCTCTTCCTGCGGCTGCCGGCGGCCATGAAAACCTTCTTGGCGATTTCGACTTCGACAAGGCCCTCGTTAAGTTCGCAGCCGAAAGGGAAAACTTCTTGGAGGATCTAAGCTTCTCGGCCGGTGCCAAAACGCAGTCGCGGCCGCCGATGGTGAACCCGCGGGCAGAGAGGATAAAAGCTGATGAGTCGAGTGGAAGGATGAGTCCTATGAAAAGCATCAGGGGAAGCATCCGTGGTAGCATAAGACGGAAAATCAGCTTCAAAGACATGAACAGCGTGCGAAAGCAGCCATCAACTCCGAGACCTGGTATGGCCCCTTTTCGCAACCTAGACCGAAGGACTTTCTTAAATGAGCTGGCAGAAGGACTGCCTGCGGAAATTTTCGATCATAACTGCAACAAAAATTCGACGTTCTGTACTGACTTCTGCAAATTAGCTTCAATTCGGACTACAAGGAGAATGAGTAGCTATAACTCCGTCATCCCTCCACCCGAGCCCCTTAACCTCGACCCGGATATGCACCCTCTGAAGCGACGCTTTGAACCCGAGCTCCTAGACCGGTACCCTCCCCGAGATGATATGGAAGGTTTAAGTAAGAGGGGGAGATTTCCAGACTATGTGCCTATGTTCGCATTCCCCAATGATATTCATATCGTGTCGTCGGATGACAGGCCGAGGTCGACTTGGCATGGGTTCACGATGACATCGGATGACAACTCTAAGATCTACGGTGTAACCGTTATTGTATGGACGGCACTCACGATGGACGTGGCGGAGGATATCGAGAGACGTTGCGAGCGTTGGAGGCAAAGACATATGTCTGAGGAGGAGAGGGAGCTTGCAGGTAGCCTTGGGGCACGTCTCGCTGCAGAACGTGCGCATCTATCGCAATTACTTGCCAAGCTCCCGACCATACCGTCTGGGTCCCACGCTCGTGAGACACTTGATGATCAGATCAGTGCGGTAGAGGAGAAAATCAGTCTGATGACAGAAATGTTGCGACCCCTGAGACATGGTGCCGCGTCGAAGATAGATGGGTTGACAGCTGGTGAGAGTGGTCTCTGGACACCTCGAGCGTACGGCATTCTTGGCAGAGATGTTACGAGAGTGGGCTTCTGGAAGGATTGGCTCCGGGCTGTCATTGTGCCAATGTCGGATGGTGGGCTTCTACGCATACCTCCAAGCTCTCCGCGAGTTGGCCGCTGGCAACCACTGGAACGATACGTGGTTAACCTTTGCACGGAAGCGTTCAGCCCTCTTGGCTCCAAGACCCAAGTTGAGATCGGTGTACGCGAGCTGCGCTTGTACGCGCGGAAGGAGGCCATCAATGAGCTTCCGGGCTCTCGCAACACTGATCTTTATGCCTTATTCAGGTCTCTCTCCCTTGAGAATATTGTCGCCCTTTTCGAGTATGCCATGTCGGAATCGCGGATTATCCTGCTCTCTTCGCATACCGCGATGCTACACCTAGCCTCCCATGCTCTGGTTAGCTTATTATATCCGTTGACCTGGGCGAGTATTTTCATACCTATCCTACCGGCACGACTCATATCTGCTCTTGACGCACCTTGCCCTTATATCGTCGGTATTGAGCGAAGATATGACAATATTGTGCTTCCAGATGACGATTACGTCCTGGTTGATCTCGACAAGGACACAATTGATGCAACGGCATTGCCAATCCGCCTCCCAAAGCAACATCGTCGGAAGCTTCTTTCACTCTTGCAATTTGCGGCGCCGCATAGCTTGCGTTACGGCGTCATGACGGGGCCGCCTCCCTATGCAATTGAGTCCTTCCCCTATGACTCTTTCTCCGTCGAGAATAGTGCTCTTGTCAACGAGAAAGCCTCACCAAGTATGCTGTACAAATGGGTCGCACAGAACTCGTCTTCCTTTGGGGAGGCAGAGCCCGCAGATACCCTTAAGCCTCCTGTGTTTAATGCGTTTTTGCATGCAAAGCCTGGGGCGGACCGGCCTACCACCAGCAAATCAAACAAGACCAGCCCTCCATCATCAGTGTCGCCCGTCTCTGTGAATTTCCCGCCTATGCCTGCTACGCCGGTTTCCAGAAGCGACTCTGGATACGCACTATCGTCCACGCTGAGAGAAAAGAGATCAGGTCATTTCGAGAAGGAAGGCCGGCGCAGTTCGTCATTTGGCCATGCCCCTGTCCACCGACCTCACGCGCCATTCTTCAACGGCCATCAGTCAAACCTATCCATCTCAGCCATTTCGATCGATTCGCAGTCATCTTATGGTGGTTACGCCCCATCAACTTACGCCCAGTCAACCTTAGCAGCATCTACGGTGATGCCTAACATGCTCGTTCAGCCCGTGGAGAACACTGACTCTACTATGTGGGTCGAAGGGCATTGCTTCAACTATAGTGGTAACGATACAACCTCAACCTGTACGATTTGCGATGAGCGTTGTGAAGGTGACGGATGGTACAAGTGCTCTGGTTGTGGAGCAATTTCGCACGGACGATGTCTTGGATGTGTTTGTCTCGTGTGTCCAGTTGCTTTCAATGCCGATAAGGTCCGGGCTTCTTTCGTTCGTTGCCTTGCGAGTATTCTTTATACGTACCGCAAATATCTCGGTCGGCCAACAAAGGAGCAAAAGAACAACGGCCAACTCTATGGATTCGACATGAATGGTTTCATCAAGAGCTTGCCACACGATCAGCAAGAGTATGTAATGATGATGAAGGAGACGCAAGGTATGTTACTATTTATTCTTAGCGCGTATATCATAGTATTTACTAATCACGCATTAGCATTTAACGAATTCATCCATGAGCGTGAGACGAAGCCTCCTACCAATCCGGAGATTCGGCTTTTCGATGACATAATTCTCGCCAAAAAAGCTCGCGGCAAAACCAGTCTGTCTTCGGGATTGTCACGCCTCTCGACAATAAGAGCCTCACATGGCGTCTCGGCATCCCTACCCGGTCTACAGATACCATCCAGACACATGAAACCAACCTCTTTTCTAACTGACACATCTGATCACATATGGAGAACTGCCAGCGTTCCCGTACCGAGCTCGAAGTTTCAGGGCGATTATCATTCAGTGACAACGAGAATGCCGGCTCGGTTAGACCCTTCGCTAATGAAGGAACCTCGTGCTATTCAAGGCGTACCGCATCCTGAACAACGCAGAAGAGGCGTCATGAGGAAGCAGGTCCCCAGCATGCTGATCCCCAACTCTCCCTAAATATTTCCATCGCTCGAGTTGGCTGTGCCGACTACGTGCCCACAACCACAAGTTGAATCCAGCAACTTGATAGAATGTAATATTAACCTGGTCTAGGGTTTTTAGCCCAGCCCAGTCATGTACCATAGCTCTGCGAGGGGACACAGGGGGTGAGCGAAAGGTCCCCAGAGTCATATTCATCCGAGAAAGAAGAGATCTCAAAATTGCCGTCTATATTCCGTTCCCGTTCTCGTTCCCGTTTCCGTTCCGAACTAGCATCTGATGGCGGCTTTTTACAGCATTAGACGAATGAAAGGATTAGGAGGAATAATGTCTAGCTAAAATGTGCTTATTAGACGAACTAGCTGAGATGGCTTAGCCTAGTTGAGGAGAGAGATGAAGGAGGAGATGAAAATGGAGAGAGTGTGTGTGAGTGAGAGGTTGATGATGATGAGAGAGGAGTGGAGAGAAGCACTGTGTAAAAGACCAGACCAGCTTGAATATGTCGTTGGACTTATTGCAGAGATAGGCAGGCAGATCGCGTTCAATTTACAGAAAGAACCTCTGAAAGGCAGACACGCAACTCTGAGATGAGTAGATGTTGATGTGAGTTATGCATAACATGGCACGGGGATGCACGTAATATTTAATGGGACTATGATTTGCATGTAACCTTTTTTTTTTCTTCGACTAACTATCTTGAACTGTCGTTGTGTTCGCTGTTGCGGCGCCAAGCCTCACCCCCCCCCCCCCCTTTTCTACGATCCGGGTATACTTTTGATTTCAACACTCACTATCTTGCCCACTCTCTATGTATTCCTGACTCCCCTAGCAAGCAGAACCAGTAGTTCTCTCAAGTGTGTATTTGCTCTCCGTCCTTCGCATTAGGTCGACCGGACTGACGATTGGCTGATTACCCGAATGTGAACGTCGTATTTGTCTCCTCTCCTCTCCTTTCCCCCCCTTTCGGAATGCAGATCCGGGATTCTTATAGGTTACTTCCTTCGCCCGGCGGTTGGGGTCGGCGCCTTTCTACATAGCTGCTGTAATCTCCTTGCTTTTACGGTGTTTGTCCTAGCTTTTATATCGGAGCACTTGTTTGTTGTATTCAATATGCGGCCTGTTAAATGTCGTCTTGAGCGAAAGCCTTGGTAGGCTGGCTGGACTTTGGGTTAGGCTCTTCTTCATCGAGTCCCGCCCCCAGCACCGGGGTTTCCTCGATTGCCTGAATTCCGCCCGTCGCCTCCTGGGTTAGATCTGGGCTTTGGTTTCGGTTGCCGTTCGTAGGCGTTAGGACTTGGCCTGCGCCTGCGCTGGGCTCCTCCGCCTCCGTTTCCATGGTTATGGTCGTGGTCGTGGTCGTGATCATGATTGTGATTGTGGGCGTGTTGTTGACGCCGTCGCGCTGCTAGTGCCCTCTCCCGAGGGTCTGAGTCTGGCATGCCGCGGTCTGAGTCTGAGTCAGACGACGACGACGAGTCATCGTCTGATGACGACTCGTCGGAGGACTCGCCTGCCTGCCTGGGTGGGTGATATATGCAGCATACTATTATCAACATCCGTTAGACAATTTGCACATTTAGGGGTTGAAGGCTTAAGGGAAGAGTAAAGATGAGGAATATAAAATTACCTTTGGACCGCTTCCGTCCCAGTCCCTCATTATCAACTACGGACTCGGCCCATTGGACGCGGTGATCGGAAGCCGGGTGCGCGCCGCGCAGTCGCAGGATGGCGGGGGCTGCCGACGCCGGGGCTTGGGTGCCGGTCTGGGTTGCGGAGCCGGTGGGCGCTTCCGTATGGACCTGGGTCTGGGTGCCCTGGGAGCGATCGCGCTGGCGCTGGGGATTTTGCGCAGACATTGTTTACGCGTGTATTCTGTATGTACGTACAAGTGGAGTGAGGTGGAAAACCGTTGATAAGTAATAATAAGAGGCGAGTAGAGATGAGGTGTGTATGTACGTAGGTCGAGCAAGAAACTTCTACGACTTGTTTCCTGGTATTTACTGCTCTCCCTACGACCGAGAATGGGGAATGTGTCGAATGAAGACGGTATACTGGATCCGTATTCCCGTTACGTTACCTGCGGCGCGTTGCTGCTTTGTTGCTGCTTTTGCTGCTGCTGCTGCTTCTGCTTGTGCTTGTGCTTGTGCTTCTGCTGCTCCTACGTGCAGATTTTCTGCGGAGCAGGGAGGAGTAACGATCGTCTATGTATGCATACGTGTAGGCCTTGGAACGGTCGAGGGTTATCGAAGGATCAACAACTGCCTGCTTCCTCGGATTCACTCGCGGTCTATATGATTCTAGAGCTTCTAGTTGTTCGGCAGTATTATTTTTTGATTTTTGGTTTGTATGCTTGTATGCTTGTTCCTTGTCTGTAACGTTCCGGACGCCCCGAGGGGTGCGCGTTTTTGTATGCGGGCGGGTTGGATTTTCTGGAATGAGCGATTATAATGTGATATCAGAGATCAGAGAATCTCCAAAAAGTTTCGTGTTAATTTGTTTTCGCCCCCCCAGTCACATCAAACTCTCCCCCGCTTCTTTTTGTCTCGCAACTTCTGTCCTCTCCCTAGCTCAGGAAGTCGCGCACGAGGTACACACTCGTGTGTATGTGTGTGTGTGTGTACACTATGTAATATGCAATAAGAAAAGCTTGGGGTAATACTGGAATACTGGAATAAGAAAGCTGAGTGGGCACTTCCACTTTTGCAAGCACGAGACGGAAAAACGGGTAACCCGACAAGAGAGTTAACCAGTAATAGTAAAGAGAGAATTTAGATTATTGGCTTCTTCCGCCTTAAGCTTCATAGTGAATGTATATATAGATCCAATTTATAATAAACATATTAACCCATGTAACTAAGGAATGTTGCATTTCAGTCCTGAAGTTTCTAGACAATGGGAGTGATGCATGTCGTGGGGAAAAGGGAAAATGGAGTAGATGGACCGAGAAGAAGACAATCAGGTTGTTATCGTTCAAAGCATGGCCCCACCACTGCCCCGCGTTGTAGTATGCTTACTCATACTGATCCGTACTGTACACACCTAACCCAGGACCCCGGTTCAGGGTCCGACCCATCTTAATTGATTTACTCTTAATTGATTCACATAGAGTTCACAAGTCAATTTACACACAACTAATACACCAATGGTACAAATTTCAAACACTTCTATTTTATATGGTACATGTTTATTCCCCTTACGCGTATAACAGGCGTATAACAGCTAGAGGCGAGATATAATAGTATTAAAACGAAGAAGTACCAGCAGCAGCAGCTTCTTTCTCCCGCCGACGCTTCTTCTCGAGTTTCTTCCTACCCTTCATACTCCTTCGGGGACGATTCCTTTTTGATGCCGCACTCTTCTTTGGCTTGTTTAACATCCAGCCGTTTAAGGGCCTACGAGAAGAGACGAACTTGCCCTCGGGAGTATACACGTCCACGATAGGCCAGTTAGGTTCATCATTCTCGTCATACTCTTCAACAGGGGGAGAAGGGGGAGGAGGGGGTGGCTTCTTTTTGGGACCCTCTGCAATAGCTTCTAGCCTTTCTAATGCTGAAAGTTCCCTTTTCTTTTCAACGGGGGGAGGAGGAGGTGGCCTCTTTTTAGGACCCTCGGCAAGAGCTTCCAACTTTTCTAACGCTGAAAGTTCCTTTTTCTCTTCAGGTTTCTCTTCAGGTTCCTCAACAGCCGGCGTGTCCGATACTGGTTTCTCCTTGAAAAGATCCCTTGTGCGCACTTGAGCAGTGATTTCTACCCATCCGACACCTTCGATAAGGATGTCAGTAGACAGAACTCGGTATGGTAGCCGGTCTATACTTAAATTGACGGCATCCTTTCTCATTAAAGGCCCAGTTCGCTGCTTTGTTACATCCCATTTGAGCTCAAAAGAGCCGGCTAGTTTTGTCTTCTCTCCGGTCCCTGGTACTGCTATATTCTCAACGTTGACCTCGCCTGTCTGGTTCTGGATTCCAATCGCCTTCTCCGTCCTCGATACATGCGCCTCGATTGGCGTGAATGCATATGCCAACATGATGGGTGCCGGCTCTCTCGGCGTAATGCGGATGAAGCCACCAAGAAGTAAGGACCGACTTGGTGTAAGCGTCATTTGTTCTGGTACGATTCGAGAGCGCATAACCAAAGATAAGCGGTGTTCCTTCCTGACATACTTCTCAAGGCCAGTGCGTTCTAAACCAGGAAGGTCGATTAGCTCTCCTCGACCGTTGCCAAATGGAATCCGGATCGGCGATGCTGTCGTCCCTGGTAGATCGGAAACTAGCGGCATTTCTGGGTAATTAGTCTCCTTGATTGCGGGCGGCAAAAGGGCGTATTCGTCAAGCTCCTCTTCCTCCATATCTTCAATCTCCTGAGCTGCCAAGTCTTCCTGGGCTAATCCTGGCTGGGTTCCAGTCTTCTCCACTGAAGTCGCGTCCCTGCCCGATGCCCTTGCCTGCATTCCAACCGTGATTTGATGTCTTGAAGGGGTCAGATTCATTCTGCCCTTGGGAAAGATAGCTTCGAACAGTTGACTTTTGCCAACGTTTGCCTTGCCGACCATCCAGCCAGCGCCACCCCGTCTCCATACATCTTCTTTCAGCTCCTTGGTCCACCAACTCCGTTTTGCGCTGAGGGCGATTAGATTACCCAGACGTACATTACGTCCCGTCCGCCCAAGAGCATCCCGAAGTACTTCTTGCAACCATGGAAACATCCTGTCTACTTGAGCTTTCGTCGGCGCGAGTAAATCGCATCTAGTTATCACGAAGCTTAGCTCCATCTTCTGATTACCATAAAATTTCCCTGTCATGGAACGACGGTTCTTGGTCCTCAGAGGCATGGTATCGAGCAGGTACGAAAGTTGCGGTAGTAGGGACATGGGAAAATCGGCAGCGTCGAGAACATGATAGACGTGGTTATATTTATACGGGGATTCGAGGATCGTATCCCTAATGGATTCTATCGAAGGGTGATATATCGATTCTCCGGCATGATTATGTAGTAATGAATGGCACCTATCGCACAAGGGTACCTTTGGAGGCGGTCGTTGGTATGCCTCTGGAGGAACTATGCTTAGCGCAAGCGCCTCCACGTCGACACCCTTCCTTCTCAGCTCCTCGTGGTCGAAGTGTTTAAGCGCATCTTCGTAGACTTGATCCTCGCGGCGAGAACGGTTCACCAATTGAGGTCGGATCCAATTTTGAACAGCTTTGCGACTTAAATCAAAGTATCCAGGTTGATCGGAAAAAGTAGTTTGCGACAAGGCACCGCAACCCCGGCATTGTTTTGGTAGCCTCTGGGTAGGAACACTCTTCTGGGGGCCGCTTTCAGGAAGTGGTGAGCCCTCTGGAGACGCATCAGCTTGCATGTGCAAACAACGATGCTGTACCCTCCATCGTGAAGGTCGTACTCGAGAAGACGATGCGGCAGCACCAAGTCTCTGGTGATACGACGCAGGATTTAGAGACGGACATAAAAACAGAGGCAACTCGATTCTTCTTGGGTGTTCCGCAAGGTTAAGTGCGGTATTGAGCCATCTTGACGACAAGGCGCGGTGCATCTTATCGTGCAATGGATGGAGAAGAAGAATACAATGGCATGTGAGGGTACGTAGTAGTAAAAATGTTCAACCAAAATCTTTTTAGAAATTTCTGGTCGCGGCGAGCCAGTGACGTTAGAGCTAAAAAGAACCCCTGTAATCTGTACCCGTACCCCTGTTACCACGAGCGATAAGGTTATCGATATATGTCAAAGTCCCGAGCTACATAATCTGCACGTATATGTAGGTACGAAGTACATTATGTACTTTGTACAGGTGTCAGCTGCTACGTCAATTATTGGATCCAGCTGTCCTTCTTTCTGTCCTTTATGTACAACTCAGCTCATCCCTGCATATTTCTTCTACTTCTACATCTTTTCATCGCACAGCAGCTATCTAACTTGACATTACATATTCACACCAAACACTCAAGTCAAGTCTAGCCTTAACAATGACGGAGGGTCTCCAGGTTACAGACGACCCAGCGGCAGCGCGAGCCGCAGAGCAAGCACGCCTGCGCAAGGAACGCCGAGAAGCTAAGATCAAAGCTGGAGGAGCCGCACGCCTGAACAAGATCACAGGACTAGGAGGAGGCGTACAACGAGGTAAAAATAAATTCCTTGGTCTTCCACTGAAGTCCTTAATGATCTAACTTGTGTACGTAGATCCAGTACCACAGCCGTCGTCAGAAACGGACACGCCACAAGAAACCTCAACTACATCGACGCCAACCACGAAACCCACCCAAGCCTCAGAACAGCATGGAGACCCGGATGAAGTCGACATATCGCAGCACTACTACGAGCCGAACACAACCGCCCGCCCGCCCCCAAGCGCCACTCCACCCAACGACATATCCGAAGCTCAACTACGGCAGATGATTCTCGGCCTCGATCGCCAATCCTCCGCCACCCCACCACAACCGGGCCGGAACCCGCTCGACGGCCCCTTACCGCGGGTCCCCGGCGCGGAGGGCCCAGATGAAGACCCCATGATGAAGATGCTCTCTCAAATGATGGGCGGCAGCATGCCCGGCGGCGCAGGCGGTAACCCCTTCGCCGGGACACCTATGGAGAGCCTCCTCGGCAGCCTAGGCGGGCAAATCCCCGGCGCCGGCGGCCCCGGTACCCCCACGCAAGCCGCACAGCAACAACCCCCCGCCGACAAGAGCGCCAACATCTGGCGCATCCTGCACGCCGTCTTTGCGCTCGGCCTCGGCCTCTACGTCGCGCTATCCACCACCTTCTCCGGCACGCTCGCGGAGCGCGAGCGCTCGGCCGTCAACAACAACAACAACGGCGCGGGCGCGGAGAAGACAACAACAGACAGCGTAGAGCGCGCGCGCGCGTACTTCTTCGCCGTGTTCGCGTCGGTCGAGGCCCTGCTGCTGACGACGCGGTATTTCCTGGACAAGGGCCGCGATGCGCCCAACAAGGGCTGGATGTGGACTGCGAGCGGGTTTTTGCCGGGGCGCGCGAGGGCGTATGCGCAGCATGCGCTGCGCTACGGGCAGATGTTGAGCACGGTGAGGAGTGATGCGTTGGTTTGTGTTTTTGTGTTGGGGGTTTGTTCGTGGTTGAGATCGCGAGGGTGAGGTTTGTTGGTTGTCTGGTCGCTGGATGGTGATGGTGATTATGATTATGGGATAGATGATGAGAACTGGGCATTATGCGCGGTGGATAATAATAATATGACATGATGTTATATGCGGAAGGACGCGGAAGCAGTATCAACTGGCTCCTTTAAATGGTGACGCTGGGTTGTTATCATGGTAAAGTAAAGCCTATTTGTTTCCTCCGTCGAGGTTACGGTGTTTGATCCTACTTTAGATATTGTATCGAACAATGCACACAGTGATTTCTACATCTATATAATACTGCTTCGTTGGTTACCGGATGGTCAGTATATTATTTCAGCTTTGTACGCCTCGCGAGACTGGGTTGTTTAGAGAAGTTAGGTCATCCACTGTGTAGAATATCCCCTTGAAGGAGAAGTAGATGGGGATGGGATGGTAAATTCAAAGTTGCTAGGTTAGGTGCCGTAGTCTTCTTTCGTTAATATGACTTGAATCTCAAGATGAACTTCAACGAACTAGGTGGCTAAGTGGTACAATGGTGATTCAGAGGTATTTTCGGTATCCTTCATCCCGACTTTGAACTTCTTGCCAAGTAAAGTGTTTTTTGTCCTCGCCTTTCTATTCATCTATCTCTACTAAGATCGCACTCTAGTGTCTGATAGATATATATTGCTTGGTAGGAAGAAGCCAACTCAGGCGAACTAGGGGGCCAAGTGTGGAAGTGGTAGATCTGAGATCACTCCCGAGTTCTTTCATTGACTATTAAAATCATCCCCAAGTCCAGTTTAATTCTTTGTCTCGTGACCATTCCCTCCGATGGATCTTGTCCCCCCCTTGGATAGATTAAATACGATTGTCGTACTTGGAGTAGTTGTACAATATGCTAATGCTCCCCCTTTTAAGCTCTATGTATTCCATTTGATGCTTTTCCCCTACCCGATGCAATGCTGCCTTAGAAGTACACCACTCCCTTAGCCGGGTAATATTACAACATTTAAGCAAATAAAAACGGTAGAACCTCCAAAGCTAGATGTATGGTCTAGACGGGCGCCAAATAATCCGTCATGGCTCTAAAACTCCCACAAGGAATTTCCCAAACATACCGCGCACGCTCTCCCGTTTTTCTTTTACGCACGTGAACACCACCGCTGTACTAAAAGCGAAGACGAACGTCTCCCTCCACTGCTTGTCAAGGGAATATCGTCTTGGTAAAAGCGTTGCCATAGCTCTGGGCGCGACGAAGAGTGCTAGCTCTTTTCTGCGGGCCGCTTTTTCTACGAGGACACTCCATCCGCACAGGAAACAGCCAGATCCGACGCAGATACTCCCGTCGATAGCCTGTCTGGACTGCGTGTCCTTCCCAATAATGTGCGGGCCGAGCCGCGTCCGCGCTAGACACACCCCATAATAGAAAAGGGTAATAAATGTGGCTAGGAATGTCGACGAGCGTATTGCGGATAGAAGCGCGGTCCGAAGCCCCTTCAGGTCCTTCTTCCGGGCTAGTAAATTCAGGGGCAGATACGTGATCATAGACCATTTGAAGGATCGGTAGAAACGGGATAGGGCGTGGTATTCGCAAGACGACCCGCAACCCATATGCACGATTTCGCACGGAAACGGGATGGACTTGGCAGGATCGCCCCACACCGACGGCCATTTATAGTCTACGCACATTGATTGGAGGAGCGGTTCTTGTCCCGTTTCCTTGCCGTATTGGAGCTCCCCGTTGTGGCAACGCCGAAGTGCTTCGATAAGGCGAGAGTCCACCGCTGCGGCCGAGCTGATCCATTTCTGGTATGCCTTAGGTAGCTGCGAAGGTGAGTAGAACCACGCCCACATTATAAAGGCAGAAGAAGTAGCAAAGATAGTTGGGTCAGCTAACTTCGATATCAAAGATTCGACCTAAGAATTATTAGCGATGCGTGCCTCTGTTAGCTTAGCAGCGGCTTTTTCGTACCCAAGTCCATTGGTTAGCAACAACCCTGCGTTGCCTTCTCCGGGACCATGCCTCACTGACTACCACATCGAGAGCTCTAGTAACTGCGAACAAGGTCAAGTCAAGAGTTCGTCCGGCATAGCGTACCGTTTCTTGCTTCGTGGTTTGTGGATCATCTGGATTGGTAGTGATCGTTTCTGAGAAGCCATCGCTCTTCTTTGACTGTAGTAGTCGGAGGCTGAGCCAGGCCGCAATGAACGTCGATAACCATCTTGAAAGTCTAGTTGAATGAAGGTTAGTTGAACGCCTCAAGTGATGATGGTTTGGGAGTTTGGGATATACGCTAAGGCAGCATACTGATGCCAAGCTTCCCCCAACGAAACATTCACAGCTGTCATAGAGCTCCGGACTTGCCTTTTTAGGGTCGGGGTAGGAAACTGGCTAAGACGTCTCAACGCTCTACTAAGCAAAACCTTTAACGAGCAAGTTAGCCTTGGTTTTTTCAAGGTAGCACTGTCTATAGACCTCACTCGAGCAGGTATAAGGTAGTTATGGGAAGTCTTGCCTCTAGTAACGTAGTCCCGCCTACGAGGGCCGCACAGAAGGTTGGAAATCTTTGAAATTCTAGTCCCCCACGCAGGATACGTTGCAAGGATGAGATGAAGTCGTGGGGCTGCGTGACAGTGGCAGCACCCTTGTCTTTCCCCCTTCTAGTTACATGCTGGAGAATCAACGTGAGGAGCCTTGGTGCAACAGAAGAAGTGTAGCCTAGGACATAGGCCCGAATAAGAGGTCTTAGGAGGGGTGGTATATATTCATCCAGTCTCTTTCGGTTTCTTGGTGGAAGTAGTGACGATGTCATCGTTATAACGCTCACGACTAACGCGTTGGATTATGCGACACCGCGACTTGCGGACGAGAGGTCCTAAAGTGTTGGTTTATACTTATGAATTACCCATGAAAAGAATAGGTTAAGATAGGTAGGTTTGTTATGTTCGTATAATTGTTTGAGATATGCCGCCGGCTCAGAATGAAACGCATCAAGATAGTTTGTTTTTGGTCTAGTTAATACCTGACAAGGGGCCGAGCAACCGGGTCTGTATTCGGAGGGATATGAGCTTCCGCGTCGGTGATTTAGAAATGCGGAAGCTATGCGCGCCGAAAAGAAATATCGATTCTAGAAAACCGACCATGAGGTAATTGGCTTAATTGATAGACCGTGTAGTGAGCTAGCTAATGAAGCAAAGCCGCCCTATACCGTTCTGACCGTACAGCGAACACTACTAAATGTAAGTTTGGCTCGCTAGTCTCTTTTGGCGATTCAGCCGAGGTGCCTTGGCGATGCTGCCCGAAGAAATAAAACTGGTAGATCTGCTTGTTGGAGACGTAGTTTTTGTACATAGGAAATAGGAATATCTTGACTGAGCCACATACAAATTATAAAACTGGAGTGAAGTTCATGCATGCATGCAACCTGTGCTGCGAGCTGTAGCAATCATATAAACAAACTGGCCTAAAGAAGCCCAAGTTAGTAACCAAACTGGTCACCGAATATTATTTCTTGTACTGAGCGAACCCCGGAATTTTGGGGTCAAGATCTGGGATCGTCCAACATTATCTCGGCCGAATATTCGTATTTAGAATTCAGTTTAAGGATGGAAAGACACATCTTGGGCGACGTGCTACCGGCTTGGATTGTGATGAGCGCGTTTGCTACCGCGACAATGGCCACCATAGACTTGATTATCCCGCGTATAGACGGATAGGGTGGTGGGATGATAGAAAGATAATACATACAATAATTATAGTTAGTTTAGTAGTTAATTAATCTGCAAACAAGATATGGTACGGAGGTAAACGACTGGACGCAGTCGGAGACAGCCCCGGTCTTTGCTCATGGGGAGCGCTACGAATATAGCGTGCAAGTCGACAACAATGTGTTAATTAGACGTTGGGCCAACTTGTAGCGGAATGTTTTTGCGTCGCTCTTTTTGAGATTTGAGACGAACGGCTTGACTCGGCGATGTCACCATAGACCGTAGACCATAATATTTCGACCCGTTCTGCAATATAGAAAGCGGTGTCTATGAAGAAGCCGGATGCTCAGAGAGGAAGAAATTGACATGTGATTGAGTTTCGGAGCGTTTCCCCTGCCAAGCTAAGAATAACTTTTTAGATGATGGAAGTCAAGAGACGTCCATGCAATGCAGGATCTCGAGTCAAGCACATTGAAGTATCTAGGTACCTAAGTAACTTTGTACATATGTACCTACATGTATGGAAGCTATCCTCCATGTACATAATGTACCTAACCTAAAATTTGCATTGAGAAGCAACAGCAAGGGAAATTATTGCTGTACCCAGACACCTCGGCTATGATGCTGTGTAAGAACATTGAAGGTCACCTTACCCCGTTCTTACATACTTACATACATGCCCAGGTAGGTAGGTAATCCGTACATTCGATGCTTTTTATACAATATAACCCCAGATCCTAAACAGGTTGTAAGACAAGGACGGAGCGTGGAGAAGAGCTCAGCACTAATAATTAAGGCTCAAGTAACATACCGTGACCTATTACCAATTAAGACAGTACCTACTATCAAAACGCTAAAATACCTAGCTAAAATAGTCTTTTTTTTATAAGGAAATACTTACGACTTCTAGTTTCCTACATAACTTACATGTATAAACTTACATGTATATACCTAAGTGACAATGGGCCGATGGAAGGGAGATCATCGATAGACTCATAGCTTCAAGTTCTCCTCTTCTACCCCTCACCTCATTTTACTACCGGTACTTAATTCCGTACTATTAATGTATTACCTACCTAGGTACCTATGCATGTAAGCATGGATGTCATGCCTTATAGGTATTAGTCTAGTGTGGAAGAAAAGAAAAAGGCAAGAGAAAAAAAAACATTAAAGAAAAAAAGGTGGCTTGTTAAACTCGTTCCTACTCGTTACTTGATGCTTGCTACATACACTAGTAGGTACTTCTTTGCGGAGTAAAGGATGGTGATGGTGGTTTCCCTAATCGATTAGTTACTCGGTTTTCTCCAGCGAATAGTGGCCAACTCCGAATACTTCCTGCTAGTCATTCTTTTCCCTTTCGTCCAATTATTGTCCAATTACTGCACGTCCAAGTACAAGGTAGGTATACTTTTTGAATTGTTACACCACCCTTTAAGCGGAACTAAGCGACCGGCCGAGCCATCGACTTGCTAGATTGTCATCAAAAGCCAATTGGCCGCATCAGCTACATCTAACATCCACAGCTACATCTACCAACTCTGCCACTCTCCACATACAATACCTACCTACCTTTTACCACCTTTAGGTATCCATGATCCATGGAGCATTGTCGATCATCCCAAAAGCTTGAACGACTCGACGGCTGGAGATACTATTCTTCTAGTTTAGTCGATGTCGACTTCATCCTCCGCCCTTACACTTGAGGACTAGGACTTGAGGGGCCACCATAAATAATTCCAGCCCGACCATGTACATGATTGATTGATTTCTTTGACGACTCCACTACTATTCGAATCTCTTTTGACCGTTGATCTGCCTTGCAGCCGAACAGCCTTGTCGCGACGTTGAACTACACTTTGTTATAACGACGATTAATTATACCCATAACTACTCCATATACCAAGCCGATCCTCCCCGCTCTGATACATATTGTATTCTACGAATTATACTTATCTTACAGACCCTCCCTCTCTCTATATATCACGTGTGCCTATGAAGTTACGACGTCCGCACCACGCCTACTTCGTAAACTTCTATGCGACCATCACGAATCCCTCACGAGTACACTACTACTAGAACATAGAACGAAACACGACTTCCGCCTTCCGCCTCCCGCCTCCCGCTTCAAGCTCCAAGCTCCAAACTCTGATTTGATCTGAACGTATTTGCATACCTATAATTTCACGGCCAAACCGACCAGAAGCACCCATGAGCGCCGCGTGTATACAACGTCCCAAAATGGGTTCTTCGCAACCGCCTGACGGCAATGCGCCATTTGGCTGTACGTCCCTCGCAGTTTTTACCTACGACCCGTTATCAGCAAACTAATTCCTCCATAGATCATGTTTCCGAAGACTTCCTATTTCTTAGAGCCCCTACGCCTCCCCCGGGAGATCCTTTGCTCAGCAACGACGACTCTAGACTATTGAATAATTTTTTCGAGGATATGACGTCCAACCAGTTTCCCACGTCGTACGGCGAAGGACTCAACTTCAGTGATCAGTGGATAAGCCAACTTCCACCAGCTTTCCTAGGTCATACGACGTCCTTCGGGCAGCAACCGCAGCAGCCGTCAGCTTCTTCCATGAACGGAATGCCCGCAACTACATATCAAGACGTGTTTACTTTTGGCCAAAATATCATGCAACCGCCAATACCACCTCCGCCACAACCGCCTCTACAACTTCAGCATCAACATCACAGCACGCCAGCTCCCCATACACCGATCGAGCAGAATACCCACGTCGATGTGGCCGCTGTCTTAACGTCCCTTCATCATGGCCACCAGAATGGGTATCCGTCCGGTGCCAATGGCATAAATCGCATACCTATTGTACCCTCCCAACATGGAACCGCCGTCGATCAAGTAAGACAATCGCTTCGAACCCACGTTGGCCCCGAACGGAACAGTTCCATTCGGTCTAGGCACGCTCCATCTGGCGAGGCCGATCTGCTATTTACGGATATGATGTTCGGAACCTCTCAGGGACTACCAAGCCAACGACCAATGGAGCCACCCGAGCTACAGTGGGGTTCCGACTCGAGCTTTGCTAGAGCCCAAGGCTACATTCCGCCCGAGCATGAATCCAGTGAGCTGCTTGAACAGAAGCGAATGGGTGTTTTGAAGATTCTCTCGATTAGTGAAAGTGCAGCGACGACTAGACCTCCAACTCCTGTAGGTAACGGGGAAAGTTCGTCCAATCCTTTGCGTGATGGTAATACGAATGGTCACGTTAAAGAAGAGCTTGACAGAGAAGGTCCACCCGCGAAGCGACGTAAGAGCAAGAGCAAGGCAAAGGAAGAAACTGAGGAAGAGGCCGAAGATTTATCGTCTATACCGCCGAGATCCGTGGCAAGGAAGCGTAAATCGAAAGCAGACCTAAGAGGAACTCCAGATGCATCTTTGACAGGCCAAGAGACGCCCGGCAAGCGGAGGAAGTCTACTATAAGCGCAGGGAAGGCGGCACGAGAAAATCTTACGGATGCTCAGAAGAGAGAAAACCATATCAAGAGTGAACAAAAAAGAAGAGGTGCAATAAAAGAAGGATTCGACGATCTGAGCGAGATTGTTCCAAATCTTCGGGGAGGCGGTTATAGCAAGAGTACTATGCTCTCTATAGCGGGAGAATGGCTCGAAGCTCTATTGAAAGGCAACGAGGAGTTGGAGCGATTATAATTCCGTCTGTGGCCGATTCCCCTGTCGTGTTTTCGTAAGTGCGCCAGAGGTCAAGCCGCCGGGGTAATTGCGAATTCAGTGAGCTCGCGATCTTTTTTATTGTGCCGGAGTTTAACTTGGCCGGGTCTTTTGTTTCGGGTCGTAGCAAGCCGGGCGATGAGAAAAGTCTTTCTAGGGGGGTTGACCGCGGTTCTGGTGGTATTTTGATTTTTGATTCGAACTTTGTTCAGGTGCATCCCTTCGATTGTTTTTATTGATACCTCCGGAGTTGTTACATAGGTGTGGACTACAGAGACTGTATCTTTTTTGCAGGCGGGTTTTTGCCTTGTTTCGTGAGAAAGGGCGTAGGAAAGACAATATGAAGCTATGAGGTTCACGGCCGATTTGCATATATATATATACCTCTTACTACTACTGCCTGGCAAATTTCAACACTAATTGCTACGTTCGATATGTTGTGGATGGATATATATGTATGTACGTTTATTATATTACTTTAGAGAGGGGGAGAACGAAGAATATAGGAGTAGGGGCGGCTTCGTGTGTTGGGGTATCTTGTTCAGTTCAAAAAGGGGTATCGATAACTATCTAATTAGTAGTAGATGAAATTAAGATCAAACGCTGATGATTAGCCTATATATATATCAGTCCCCGATGCTATGGAACCTCTCGTGCGCCGATATTGCAAATGTTGGAATGCTGTGGCCGCAGAGATGACATCTCTCGGACTCATCCCCGTCCGAGTCCTCCCATGCGTCTACGTCCGAGTCTAATAAGACCGCCGCCGGGTCGGATGCTTCTACTAATCCATCCATAGCGTCTAGGGTATCTTTCTCTTCACTCTGGGGGATGCTCTCGACAGTATGCACGATATCCTCGGAGGGAGACGCGGTATTGAGAACAGGCGCTACGGGTGTAGTATCGTAAACAGTCCACTCCCGCAGCTTATCCTCCTGCGTGCGGAACATGCGCCCGATATCTCGCGCCGTTCCTGCGCCCGCACCATTCCCCGTTTCGCCGGGTCCCGCTACCATCACCATGTTCGCCACGCACACGTTGATCAGGGCTAGATTCCACCCTTGTCGCTCCGGGTGCAGGCGTCGGAATAACGGGAGGAGGGCTTCGGAGGCCAAGCGCTCGGCTACGGCCTCGACGCTCGCGTCTTTGAGGTTCAGTGCGAAGCGCGGGAGAGGTTGACTGCGGGAGTTGCGGCTGAAGATCTCGGGCGTGGGGGTCGAGGTGCCGTTGGGTTTTGGACGCGCGCGTGTGGATAGGCGTAGGGTTTTGGGGTATGCGGCCCAGCGTAGATGTTGCTGGCTGTTTTGTTGCGATGCGGGATCTGAGGGGTTAGGATCATCTGCTACGACGAGATCGACGCGCATTCGTCGGACGAGAGACGTAGCTAAGGCACTTAGCTCCCTCATTAGCTCGGAGGGAGTGTTTAGTGGCCGCGCCATGTATGTGTCTTCAATGCTGATCTGTGTGGGCACATCGCTTGCTTCCTTGACTTCGGAGCTGTCCACGCCGTGGAGGAAGTTCCATACTTTCTCCCCGCTACCACGCTCGGCGCCGGGACGGTCGAGGATTCGCTCTAGGAGGTCTGCAGACATGGATGGGAACAGTCGAACTTCGCGGACTGTTACCTTGGCTCCTATTTCTAAGTCGTGCGAGTCTGGAGTTGTTTTAATGGACAAAACATGGTCTTGGATCAACTGTGCAATACGAGAGCCGATGCCTGGGATCTGCCGCAGCTTGTGTCCGTCCATGAAGGCCTGGACGTCATCGTCACGGAGATTGAGGAGCGTGGTTTGGTTCTGCGGCTTGTTTACGCTGCCGGCGAGCTTGGCAAGGGTCTTGTTGGTTGAGATGCCACCGCTGGAGGTATACCCGAAATCTTCCTCCAGCTTAAGGCGTAAGTAGCCGGCTAAGTGAGATGCGAGCAATAGGCGAACGCATGATGGATTATCTAGAATCAACACCAAATCCTTCGGGTCGAACGACGGCTGCACGCACCCGAAGAATTGCGTAGCGTCAAAACTGAACCCCTTTTCAGGGTCGTGCCGAGAAAGCTGGAAGAACGAGTCTTGCAAGGCATTGCGGTTCAGCAGCTCCTGGTTATACGCAATGACATCAGTGACGTCGAGGAAGACCTCATCGAGCCCTAGACGCTCGGCACGATCACTCCAAGAGTGGCTCCTCAGGAAGGACCAAAGCCTCTTAGAGGCGTCACGGAACGGCGTTAAGTCCTCACCGCTAAGGACAACAAGGCCCGGGCAGATCTTGTGGGCCTCAGAGATGGACATCAGCTTCTTGACGCCATGGGCACGTGCGGCGTAGTTACACGTCGCCAGGATGCTCTTCTGCTTGACGCCTAGCGGCTGACCCTTCAGGCCCGGGTTTGCGTTCTCGAGAACGCTGGCGTAGAAGCAGTCGTAGTCCTGCGCGTCTTAGTTAGCGGATTGTTTCTGAAATGAGACTCAATGAGAATGAGCTCTTGGAAGGAACATAAGATCTAAAAATTGAGATTGGCCTACGAAGTGTAGAATGACGCGGTCGTTGTTCCTCTTAGGGGCTTTGACGGCGATCGTCTTGGCTCGTCCCGACGTCAGCGCTGCTGTCTTCATCTTGTTCCATTTTTAGACACCGGCCACGCAATCGGGGAATGTCAATTAGTGATACTAGTCTGTTCGTAGTATGTCTCGGCTTAATGGAGAGTGTGTTGCATGGAGTTGTTTGAATGTCGAATTATACAATCAGGAAACAAGCCACTTTAGGTAAGACACCTTGTTGCCTAAAGGGGGTGTTCCTATTGGCGAATCTTAGGTCGGTAACACCCATCAGCCACGAGTTACTTAATAATGTGGCTCGAAAAAGAAAGTCGAGCTTGCGACGCAAAGTTTTAATTCTATACCCAAACTTCCCCACAACATCCACAACATCCACAATTCCCCATGGCCGATGAATGATTAAACGTCATATTCTAGAACATAATTGACTATTTTGTTTCTATTTTCTCCCTCATCCTTGGGGATTTTCATCTGGGCCCATTTTAAATCGGCTTCCCCGTCGCTTTTTCGAGACCTAGTATAGGAAGTTCCTACGTCGCCATGTTTTTTATCCAGTCCTAATAATATGGCTAGGTACCTAGGTAGCCACAAGCCGAAGGGGTGCTGGTCTAATTGTGGTAAGTCTGCAAAAACATAGTGGTACTGCAACCGAATCTAGACAGGCAAAACAATGTTTCTGCGACTTGAGAAGTAAAGAACTTCCCAAGAGAGATTATACATGTTTTAAAACAACTTGGTTTCTTAATATAGGTACCTAGGATTTGAGATCTCCTGGGGATCTCCTTCTAGGTTGGTTAGCGGAACGGCACAGACCACCCGCTCCAGCGTTACAACCAGATTGTTCCGAGATGGAAAAGTGCCGAGAGCATGCCCATCATTCCCCGACCGAGTTCCATCTTTCTTTCTATTCTCCGGGGGAGTTTACTATTATTATTTCTACCCGCACCGATGGGTTCGTGGGAACGTGGCTTATGCAATCAGGAGATTGGCAAGGACCAACAAATTCTGCTGTAAAAGGGTAGGATCCTCTGAGCCCAATGTATAGTCACCTGCTCTTCTCAGAATATATGTGGACAAAGTCGGCTAGACTAAGTATCCAATATACTATTGGGTCTACTGGGTCTATCGGATCTCCCCAAGCTGCGTGTTTTACTTTCACCGCTTTAGCAGGTTCTAACTAATTCAACTATCTGCGAAACAACGTTTACTCCGAGATGCGGGGAAAAGCATCGCTGTCGACATACATAGACAGATAGAAAGGAATAGGCGCCAGAAGAAGCCAGAGGCGGCAATCGTATACGCGATGTGGCCCATTAGCCGACCTCGCCATCTTCACCATTGGCTATACTTAGCTAGGATCGCGCAGGAAGCAGGGATACGTCGGCGCTTGCGTCTTCAGTCATCCCTCCCTTCTTAAGTCCTCGTCACTTTTTATAGCCAACCAAAGATCCAGACGTAGAGGTGACTGCATTTTACTGTCGCAGTCGACCTGCGAGTGGTTAACTCCATGTTCCGTTTACCGTCTAGTTTCACTGATCACACTGCCCTGAGATCCTATAGTTGTCTATACCGCTTCCGCAATTTCTTCTTTCACCCCCTTCTCGCTTCCGGGGTATTGTTGCTTCACACTGCATTTTGCATTAGTTCTATTCCTGAGCGGTTTACTGGCTAAACCGACCCTCCATTCCCACGTTGTTGGACCCATCAGTCTCTTGAAGCCAAGGGGTATTTTATAGCCGCCGTACCCCCTCTACCGGCGTTTATCTTACGTTGAGTTTACACTTATTGCTTTCAATACACCCCGGTTGGTAGGAGGTTGCTTGGAAGCCCTCGTCTGCTAGCAGCCCAGACAAAGTGGTATACTCAACGGCCTTTCCATATATTCCCGTATCGTCGTTCGTGGATTTTACAGAGGTTAAATCTGGACGAACTTAGTTCGTAAAACCATCATCGCCATGGCAGGTACCGAGTCATCCAAGAGACCCAGATTATCTCTTCAAACCAAACCATCTCCAGGACCCAGCAGGTCGAAAGCCACCTTACCTAATATTAACCCTAAATCACCGACGGCTTTCAATACTCTCACCAACTTATACGTTACTGCTATTGAAAGGTCAACACCGACCCAGTCGACTCCTTTAACAGCTATCAATCTTCTTCAACCATTAAAGCTTCAAACCGACCCCGAATCTCTTAGGGCTCACAAGCCGAGTGCAGAGACACCTTACACCGCAGCGTTGCCGGACACTCCTCTGTCTGCTAATCCTGTCTCACCCGCTCATCAGATGGACGTGGTCTTTCCAAGTACCATGACGTCAACCCCTCCGTTGTCTGCTGGAGCCGTCGAGTCATCTAATAATTACACATTCGCACCCACCGAGGCGAATAAACAGGAACTCCTATATTCTCCCGCCCAAACCCGGCGTCGAGTGATTTATGCACCCTTTGCATCTCCTGCAAAAGCGCCATATAGCCGCGATAAATCTCTTCATAGCATATTACGCAACTCACCTTTGCCGCCTCTAAGTGCCATATCACCTATATCCCAGCGGAGGCAGTCCCGTCGGCTGCAGGAAAAGGCGGCCAGGCACGTCGGATATGTATCTCCGCTGACACAGACTATTACGACCGAGAAGTACATTAAGTCCCATGTCGAACTCCTTGCGGACGATGCATCTCCTTATACGCCTTCGCCAGCTGCGGAGGACTCCGACATGATACTTGATCTTGCAATGGCATATACAGGGGATGAAACACGTGATGGCGGGGAGACACCTGGGCCTTTTGAGGAAATGCGAAGGCGTATGACGGGATTAGGCACGGAGACGCCGATTCACTCCCCAAGACCAGACGGAATCCGTAAGCGCAAGAGAAAGGAGAAGAGGCGAAAGTGGGTTTGGACTATTGGCCAGGATGACGAGGAGAATGAGAGCGGTGCTATAGCGGCTCTTAAGGCTGTCGCAGAAGCATCCGCCCCTAGGTCCTCGGCGCCACTATCTCTATCTGTACCTGAGGCTAGACATACGAAAGCAACTACGTCGGAACCAATAACAGCGGTTCAAATTAGCTTTGAGTCTACAGAATCAAGTTCAGACCTAGCAAGGGATGGGATGGATGTCGAGATGTCCGATGCGAGTAGTATATCGTCGAGCAGAGCTACTACGCCTCCCGATATCGAGTCGGAAACAAAGACGCCAACGGTGGCTATGCTCAATACGACCTTACCGAAAATAGAACACCTTGGGGCTGTAGACCTAGTCAATCCCGAGGCGGAAAATAGGAGGGATACGCCAATACCGCCTGATTTGGTGAGCAACGAGCAGTCATAATCCACGAGGACAAAAAAAAACATTAGGATAGTTTTTGAAGATTGGTTATAGGCAAGTCCTAACCAGAGGACCGGTATGGCTGGAACTACAATATAGGGGGATGGAGAGGATTAAACGCATACCGCAAGGAATACGAGCGCATCGGGTGGCCTGATTGAATCAGCATGGGCGTTTTTCGATACCATGGCATTGTGTATTTCACGGTTTGGCATAGCAAAATGGTTGGTGACATGAGAATACGAATATGAATATCTGAATATGAATATCTGAATATGAATATCTGAATATGAATATCTGAATATGAATATCTGAATATGAATATCTGAATATGAATATCTGAATATGATTTAACTTGAATTACATGACGCTTTATCTTGATGTGTTATGGATCGTTGGTAGACTGTTGAAGTGTAGATGTCATCATATCAAAAGTAATCCTTGGGAGCCGCATTTCCGAGTCTAGTGTAGGTCAATCCCTGGTTGGGAACAGCTTGCGAAGCCACGGCACTGAAAATCCGAAGCAGCAAGATATGATTTGGGAAGCATGTATCAAGCTTGATTGTGTTGTAGGCCTATGACGCAAGCCCTGTCTTAACCCTTGATGTAGATCTTGTCAGTGCTGCTCCCCACCCCGCCCACGTTGCAAAGGGCGCGCCATGGTTTTCGTTCGCTTATCTGTTTGTTTACCTTGGCTATTTTAATAGTGTTGTTATTTTAGCTGATCGGCTATGTACATATGTCATACGTAGAGGTGAGACAGAGGCAGTAATTATTAGATAAATGGCGTTTGTTTTTTGTACCGGGCTATGCCGGGAACTAGCAGGTAACTCGGGTCTTTTATATACTGTGTATAGTAACACAGGCTTGAAAAAGTAAGTCGTTTAGAACCCCCCGTTATTTATGTATAAGTGCATTATGATAGCTACCTAGATACCTAGGTACCTGCCATAAAAACAAGCTTGATGATAGAGTAGGTAGGTAACACGGGCCTTGACGATCAAGCAGGATATATAATAGAAACAAATAATCGAAACAAGTAACATGGACTCGTCCCAGTCCGGTGGTTCGCATCGCCAAGAAACCTTATGACATTCAGGCCAATACGGCTGCAACGGGCTAGACCGGAGTGGGGCATCCAAGCTTAACTGGGTAACTATACAAAGTACAAAGACTTTAGCTCCATCCACCGACGTCATACACTCCCGACTCCCGCACTGCGAGATTCAATCTTGCACATTTTACATACAGCTGAAAGAGGAGAGAAGAAAAGGCGTTTGGCAGAATGATGTAAACCCGTCAGTCTAAAGACAAGTCTGCTTTGGATTTTAGTAGCTGTAGCTACCTATGTAATTTAATAACATTAACATATCTAACCGAGATCTCTATCCCCATCTTCAACATTGACTCCTTGATATTTCTAGTTTTCCATTTTTCTTGCTGCTCTCTAGGTAGTAGTTTGATAAGCGACGGGTGGAGGGCATCTCCTTCCTATATTTCCTATAGTTATCTATATTGTTATTATTATTATTATTATTATACCAAGCTATCCCATGCATCATAGAACTTTCCCATTTCTATAATAGGTACCACATTATGGCTTCCGAACAGCAGCACCACATCCCAGGTGGCCACTACTCAGGGCTTAACAGAGTCCCTAACATAAAAGAATTCGTCGCTTCTCTCGACAAGGACAAGAAGGAACGGGATGCGAAGATCGACGCTCAACTTAAAAAAACGAACGGGAAAAATGGAGATATCCAGGAACATGAGAACGATCTTGAACAGTATAGGGGTAAGGGAAGAGTGGTTACGGATCCCGTTACGGGCAACAAAGTCACTATCGACGACGTCAATCCTCATTTCATGAAGGCCGTACAGGATCCTCGCGTAAGTCGTATAAGCTAGGAAGAAAACACTAACAACGTAACTAATATCATGTTAGCTGTCAGTACCAAATGCAAATCTGGGGAAGGATACCACGGTAAAGACAGACGCGGCACAGACAGGGGAGGAATACAGGAAAGCACAGGATATAACAGCACCACCAGACCCGGTAGCTACAGGGGCTACTTCAGATGTGCCGATCCATGGTGAGAAGACGAATATCCTCTTCCACCCGACGCCGTCGGTAAGCTATGAGCCAATGTTCGCCATTATCGAGCAACGGGCGACACTCTTATGCATCGGTGTCTTCCTCGGCATCATTTTCGTGGGCAAGTTCTTTGGAGGCAGACTACTGGGTCTGATACCCTTGGCCATCTGTGTGGCTTCTGGTGTTTTCCTATGGATGAAAGATTTGGTTAAGCGAGGCCGGGACATCGAATGGTCGAGCGAGCAGAAGCGCGGCGAGACGGCCGTTGCTAACCTGATTCCCGAGTCTGTCGAGTGGATGAACACCTTCCTCGGCATCGTCTGGGGTCTAATTAACCCTGATATGTTCTCCGCGGTGGCCGACACCCTCGAGGTAAGTCTTATTCATACATCTGAAACAAAAGGGGATATTAACAGAAGCAGGATGTCATGCAAGCTTCCGTCCCAGGAATCATTGAGAACGTCAAAGTGGCCGATATCAACCAGGGTAACAACCCCATCCGGATCCTCAGTCTGCGGGCTCTTCCCGACAGTCACATGAAGGAGATCAAGGACGAGATGCACAAGGAGAACGAAAAGACCAAGGATCCACAGGAACTCGCAGCTGATGAAGAGGGTGGCGACTATTACAATTTGGAAGCCTCCTTTGCTTACCATGCGAAGCCTACGAAAGGCGCTGTTTCGGTAAATGCTCAGAATATGGGCATGCAGTTGGTATTTTATCTTGGTATCAAGGGGTTATTCGGCATTCCTTTACCGATTTGTAAGTCGCCGTGTTATTCAAGTCTGATTCAATCGCTGACCGTGTTTAGGGGTTGAATTGACCGGATTGGTGGGAACCGTGCGACTAAGACTCCAGATGACCCCCGAGCCGCCATTCCTAAAAGCAGTTACTATGACGCTCATGGGAATTCCCAAGGTAGAAGCTAGTTGTACCCCGATGATCGAGCGAGGAGTCAACATCCTCAACCTACCGGTGATCTCTAACTTCGTCAACTGGGCCATCAAAGCTGCCGCTAGCATGTATGTCGCGCCGAAGTCCCTGACGCTCGACCTTGGCAAGATGCTATCGGGAGACGACATCCAGAAGGAAACTCAGGCTTTGGGCATACTCTTCATACGCATCCACAAGGCTGTTGGTCTATCGAAGCAAGACCGCCGAGGCTCCGAGGGCGGCGGCTCTGACCCCTATATCACTGTCAGCTTCTCCAAGTTCGGCAAGCCTATGTACTGCACTCGCGTTATTCAGGACGATCTCAATCCCGTATTCGAAGAGAGTTGCGCCCTTGCCGTAACCCCTGACCTCATCAAGGCGGATGAGCAGCTATCCATGGAGCTTTGGGACAGTGACCGCTCGAGCGCCGATGATGTTGTCGGCAAGGTCGAGCTTTCGCTGCAGAAGCTAATCCAGCACCCCGGCAAGATGTACCAGCAAGTCTCTAAGCTGCGCGGCGTCAAGGCCGAAAGCAGCATGCCGGGTGAGCTACACTGGGAAGTGGGCTACTTTGCCAAGACGCGATTCCGCGCCGGTCTGCGAACGGACGGCAAGGACATCACCTTACCGCAGGAGATCCGAGACAACAAGGAATTACAAGACGACAAGGGCGCCATCCAGAACGACGAGGAAGACGCTGTTGTGCATACGCCTCCGGATCCACTCTGGCCCTCTGGTATTCTCAGCGTTGTCGTCCACCAAATCGTTAACCTTGAGCTAGCCAACGTAAAGGGCTCGGAAGGCGGAAAGCGAAAGGGAGGGCGGGAGTACGAACCCGCTCGTGATGCCGGCGAGATTAAGGAGGAATCTAGCAAGAAGCTGCCGAGTGCTTATTGCACCATCTTGCTCAATGACGAACTGGTAGGTTTTCCAGTCGGCGCCAACTATGCTGCTGCTAATGTCGCGCAGGTCTACAAGACTCGCACGAAGGTGGTCTCCTCGAAGCCCATCTTCAACGCCGGTACCGAGCGTTTCGTTCGGGATTGGAGGTCTGCCATTCTCACGGTTACGGTTCGTGACTCGCGTAATAGGCAGCACGATCCTATCATTGGTGTCGTTCCTTTGAAGATCACTGACCTTATGCAGACTAGTAGCCAGGTAGGTCGAGCGCGTTTCCTATCATTCCCCTTTGGATTGAATGCTGATATTAAGAACCAGGTTACTCGATGGTACCCCTTGGACGGCGGAATTGGATACGGAAGAATTCGCATCTCCCTACTATTCCGATCTATCGAACTGAAGCTTCCACCTTCACAGCTAGGCTGGGATGTCGGCACATTCGAGTTCACTTCGGACAAGATCACTTCGACCTTTACGGGTTCGGGCAAGGGTAAGATAAAGCTGAAGCTCAGGACAGGAGGCAGTTCTGCAACCGTCAAGCGCGAGCAATGCTCTGCCGAAGGCGATATTGTAGACTGGAATATCAGCGGCGTGGACAATAACACACGCCCTCGTCTTCCCGTCCGATACCGCTACCGATCACCTGTGTTTTTCGAATTCCACTTACTTGGAAAGCGGAGCGTGGAATATTTCGCAGCGGTATGGCTACCAGAGCTCGTCGACAACGACGATACGGACTTCGATCTTCCCGTCTGGAGGTGCAACAACGCAACGCGGCTATCGCAAAACTACATCACGCAGGAGAACTTCCACTCAATCCCCGACATCATGATCGAAGAGGTCGGACGGCTGCGATTCCGCGGGCGCTTCAAGGCCGGCACGGACCGCGACCATCTCCGTTTCATCAGCGACAACGACTCCCGCGAAACCATCGAGACCTGGGAAGCCTGCTTCGCGGAGGGCGTGCGCCAGGAGGAAGTCACCAAAGAACTACCCCCCGCCGTCCAGAAACTGCACGAGGACTCCCTAACCAAAGACCGTGATGTCCTCGCCACGGTCTCTGAAGAAGACAGAAGGAAGTGGCTCGCGAGAGACGGCACAGATTGGACAGGTGCTTTCGGCCAGGATCCCGCGGCCATAATGACCGGTGGCGAGGGCCGCGAGGAGACGGAATACGAAACCGACGCGACCTCGGAGGACATAGCAGACACGCCAGACAAGCTCGACATCCCCGACACGACCGACGAACCAACCCCCATGCCCCTCTCCACCAACACCAACCCCATCGCCTCCGCCGATCTCCGCCGCGGCGAAACCGACCTAGGCGTACAAGACGCCACCACCGCGCCCCCCCGCGCAAGCGACGACATACCCGGCCGACCCAGCACCAGCACCAGCACCAGCAACAGCACGGCAAGCCAGAGCACGACGGAATCAGGGCGCAGCCGCAGCAGTCAGAACCCGATTACCCAGTACAAGGAGTACCGGGACCGGAGCCGGGATCTGCATCGGCAGCACCGGGGGCTGATGCAGTGGCGGCCGTTGCGCAATGCGCAGTTTGCCAAGGACGAGGCTAAGTTTGCGGTTAGGAGGGTTACGAGGATGGGGGCGTTGAGTGGGCGGCAGCCGGATGTTGAGACGGAGGTGTAGAGGGTTTGGTTGGTTGGTTGGTTGGTTGGATGGTTTATTTTCTTTTGTTATTGGGAGAGGGTGTGGGTGTGTATGAGGATGGATGGATGGTGGAGTTGGGGGTGGTAGTTTGAGTTATGAAGGACCTTGAAAGGAGATGGGTTTCGAGGGTGTTTTAATATTGTATACTGTACTTAACCCAGATTAGATTTATAGCATGAGACACGAAATCGTACATGTAGTAATTAAGATATACTCTTACATCATTCGATGCTATGAATGGTGTTTTCTACGAGGGGTTTGATGGCCATTAATATCATTAAGACATGATTTAACCAAGTCAATTCTGATACGAGCATCATGTTACATATCCCAAGACGGTAAGAAATATAGTTGCGCAGATCTAAAGGATAATCGAAGACATAATCACAAATTATTTCGAAGACTAAACTGGTAACTAGGTACCTATGCTTTCAAGCAATTCCAGGTTTCTAGTAAAAGTGTAGGCCAACAAGATAAACCATGTACCTTTAGTGCAAAGGAGGTCACGGGGAATAGGATGTGGTCATAATCGATCTTCCTTGACGCAAAATTGAGATAAGCCATGGGGATCAGGGCAGATATCTCAGAGTGTATGCAAGGAGTTTGTAATGGTGGAAACTGAGGTATAGAAAGAGAAGCAGAAGAAAGAGAGAGAGAGAGAGAGAGAGAGAGAAAAGACTACGCATTTCTTCTGATTGGTATTTTTATTCATTCAGTCAGTACCTGATAGGTAAGGTAGGCAGGCGTCCCTTCATGAACGCCCGCCTTCTTGCAGAGGCGCGGTATATACTTCCTTTTCTCGATATACATATATATCCCCTGAGGTTTAATGCGCCTAGCATCATTGCGTATGATACACATCTTGGTACAGGTAGAGCGACGAGTCGAACGTAAGAAGAGGTTCTCTCGAAAGGTTTGTTGTTGTTGTTGTTGTTGTAGTAGCTGCTCTCGGCCAGCTTTATAAATCGACCATCTCTTTTTATTGGGGCAGAAAATTTTTTCTCCGGCCTAAAATAGAGAGGTACATAAAGAAGACAGGGGGGGAGAGAGAAATTAGTGGTCCCCGTTATCTTAATCGTTGGCCATCTTGATAGCATCGGCTTCTTGGCGAGCTATAGCCAGTATGCGCTCCTCGCGCTTCACATCGTCGATGTATTTCTTCATGATTGCCCTGTCGACGGCAGCTTTCTCCTGAAGTTCCTCAAGTTGCCGCATCTCGACTTGCTCGTCGGGTGTCGGGTGGACGAGAGTAGCGCCCGTCTTAGTCAAGAATTCGTTGAGGATGTCGTCCGAGTGCACGTTTTTCATGTCTATCGTCACGACACGCTCGCCTTCTTCGGGCTCGGGTGCTGGGTGCTCGTTCGACGTGCTCGAGTGCGGTTGCCGTGCTAAGGGCAGCTCACTAAGCTTGGTGGTTAGAGCGGAAGGGGTATCGGAGCCCAGCGCGGCTTGTCGGAAGTAGATAGACATCTTGGCCGGAGCCGATTGATCTGACGTTCGGTTTACGAGCATAGGTACTGCAGGATTCCAGAATTTCAGACGTGGGAGGCACATCTTCCAGAATTTCCTATAATCGGGGGAAAAGTAAATTGCTAGTTAGCAAGCAGTCGGTCACGGTAGCGAAGTAGAGGTTAGCAATGCAATGCAAAGCAGCATACCTCGGTCCAAGGTGTCCATCATTCCACTTCAATGCGAAGTCCATATGTATCCGCGTAATCTCGGGTGGTAATATTGCTGCTCCCGGGCCATGCCGTAATGCCAGTAGCTAGAAAGGATTCGCATCAGAACGTGAGGACTTGTAGTTTAATTGGTTATGCGTTTTACCTTCTAAATCAATGTGTTAGCAGCAGACAATTTCGAGGAGGATGCAGAAATAATCGAGGGTATGTGCTTACGGCTTGCAGTATGTGCATCCGCTTTCCCGGGTTCACCATCTTGATTAACCGTCCTGCGAGCTTTTCTCAGCTCGCTATCAAGTTTTCAATTCGGCTGGCGCAAGGTCAAAATGGTATAACTTTTGGTAAGTGGGCGCATTGAAATTTTGGGGATCCCGCAGTGTCGGTGATCCTGGTTCAATCATCAATGCGGGCCGCTAAATACTCCGATTTCCTTTTTCGGGGGTATCCTTAAATCAGATATAAGCCCCATATAAACTTTAACCTCCCCCCTTTAATCCCGAACAAAGGGGAATAGGGGGGAATAGGACTTAAACTGTGATATTATATTGGACGGTTTAGATGTATAACATTCTGAAACAAATTCGATACACACTTCAAGACATAACACGCCACGTTACAATGGCATATGCATTCACTTTGCTAATCTGACATAATACACGACCTCTTTTATATTGTCTCACTTACCCCCATAGCTTACTCCCGCATCGCGGCTATGATTATTTACTGTTTTATATAAATTCTGATAGTAACTTACGGTTTGTCTTAGGTAGTTTGGTTTAACGTACACATCATAAATACGTAGTAGCCATATCATCACATCACCTCATTCGCTGTAATACTCATCTAGAATCTTCGTGGTCATTTAAGTAGAGGCTCTTTCGAACGACGGTCGAAATGTTGACCTGTTACTGCTATGCGTTGTCATCACGAAACGCCAGCAAATGTATCACTTTGATACCTCCGATTCGACTCATCTCGTGAGATGGCTAGAGGCAATCCATACAAGCATTAGGTAGGTTATCTAAGTTGAGCGACCCTGTAGGTGTATAAGAAGGCCGTGATAGACAAGTATATAAACCGCATCCATCTTACTGGTACTATTGTGTAATCTGGGTACTCACTTCGACGAATCATCAAAGTGCATATCAAAATATCGATACAAATAAAGCCTAAATCATGCCAAGTGACAGCAATCCAATATTCGGTAGAGCTGGTGTTTCTGTAGAAGAATTCTATGCCAATGCTTTCGTACTCAACTATCAACAATTACAACAGCGTGAATCTCAAAGGCGCTGTGAAGTATTTCAAGACTGGGAGGATCCTAGGCCCATCGAAGACTTGATAAGGGGCGAGGTAGAGAATGATAAAAAGGAGCGCCTTGGGAAGAATCTCCTTGACTCCTTTGCTTTAATATTCGCTCAGCTAGGTGGTGAAGGCGTCGTAGCGGCAGCAATGGAGAGCAATGAAGACCATACTATTCACACTCTCCACATCTCTAAGAATCGTCACTCGATTGATACACTTACTCCCCCCGCCGAAGAAATCAAAGCATGGTTTATGGATAGAGTTACAGACGCCGCAAATACTGTCACACTTAGCCGCCAGAGCAGTTTATGGAGGTGTATTCTTCGTAACTGTTATCGAAGTATCACAAGATCCATATTTGAAGCATGTATCGGGGACACAGAAGGAGAAAAGAAGGATGAATTATCATGCGCTTTAAGATGTATTGGAAGAAAAGTATTCGATACCCTTCCGTCGGGGCTATCTAAGGCTAAAAAGGGGATATTGAACGTCTTGGAATCATTGGAAACGTTCTTTATTGGCTCTCCCAGCATCTATTACAAACTTTGGTATCTTCTGGGGACTAATGATGTATTGAACGAGGAACCTATAGAATTCCTTCATGATTTCGCGCAACTATGTTTCAACTTGGCAGAAACCCGTGCACAGTATATGGGAGATATTTTTGATATACTGGATGAAAGATTTCGGCGGGAATCTGGCGACAAACCTGTGAAACGTAGAAGGGCTTTATGGAAGATTCGACAGCTAATTTACACTATATCAAACTACCCCCGTGCATGGTATGATATCGTATATTTCAAAGTCAGGAATGGCTCAGCTACTTTACAGATAAACCTTCAACTCGGCGAAGGCTCCATAACATCAGAGGCCTGTAAGTTGATTTGGGACAGAATCTCTAAAATAGTTATCGAAACGAGAATGCTCGGCGAAGAAGCAGCTGCCAAAATGAAAGGCTGTTACAACGTACGTGATGGCTTAGTTAACATCTGGCAACACTGCGAGATGCGAATGCTAAGGTTTCTACTATCACGTAGCACATTGAATGATTTCAATTATATTGGATGTAGCAGAGGTCCCTGTTGGCTCTGCTATCACGTTCTAGTTAACATAAGATCTAAATTCAATATGAGACAGTCCCACCTAAAGCTATATCCTAAATGGGATCCTCCAGATTTCCTACTCAAGGAACAGCTTCAATTTCTAAAACAGGAGATGGGAAGACTGGCAGACCCAACAAACACGGAAGTTTTTATACCCGAAAGGATTAATTCGGATTCTCCTGATAAAGAAGAGACTTTCTTGTCGCCGAGAAATGTGCCTGGATACGCAATCGAATCAGTTGAGTAGTAGCTGACCATAATAATATGTTCCGTGTTTAGCTACATGTGGCGTCAACATATAATATGTAACATTTTAGGATCGGCTGCACGTATCTTTCCGTAGTATCTGTAGTAATGTTGATTTGAATTGATGTTATTATGTTTGGGCAATGTGAAAAATTAAATAGCTTAGTTAATACAATTGTGCTTCTTCTAAATATTCTTAATATATCCCCATGGCATGTTTAATTGATCACAATAATAATTCATGGTAGAGGGTAGACTATGCTGAATGGTAAATTCGATGGGTCGTAAAAGAGCCCTCTCTAACAGTTAGTATCACTATTGCAGGTAGCTTTGACCATTCGATATTGGCTCTGGCAATTTGGGGATAACCGTCTATATCTAGTATAATAATAAGATCACAACATGCATTATTTATCTCAGAAACCCTTATACCATACTACTATATACGGCATTAACTAGGCAGAGGCAGGTAAAACTTGGACTATCTACTAGCTTCGTTAAGATAAAGCAACCATCCAAAAAAGAAAGGAAGTAAGGAGTAAATAGGCCAATAGATATATAACTCCAAATTAAGTTTGAAAGTAAGGACGAAGCTTGTAATCCCTGATCTTTGTTATCTTTGAATAACTTTAAACGGGATATAATGATCCGATATTCCTCGCAATATGCTGCTGATTCTCTAATTTACTAGAGTTAGTCTAGGCTGCTTGGTCTAATATACTCGACGACGTGTGCTATGGAGCTAGTAAAGGATAGTTCCTTATATTATTAATGAGTTCCGTGTGTGTGTTTGGGGGGAGGGGGGTCGCAAATGCATGATAGCAATGTACTAGTCGCGAGTAAATGCTTCACCTCTCACCGTTAGACAAGCCTAACTGCTTGTCTTGAGAAACGACGTCGGCTTGGGAGAGTCTATACTCACTCTCACCCCCTTAGCCATTGAATATAATTTATTTCGCCGGGCGGCAGTTCCATAAACCTTTGAGGCCTGCGCTCCTTTATATGATGGCCTTAAACATCTTCTTGGCGTTAAGGCGTACAACTATACCTAACCTATGCTCAAAGGGCCAGTATGGTTCCATAGTACGTACTCGTCGTGAGGTATCTCCTTAATTTGCGCCCCAAAGACTCCTAATGCCCCAAAGAAGAGTTCCGCTTGTTCTTTGTCCTGCTTTACATAGTGAGCTAGCAGCATTCACCAGCTCTGAAGAAGGGCAAATCAAGCCTATGGGATCCGAAAAAGTACCTAGGTACCTACTTAATGGTGTACTTGCGTTTTATATAACGACGGTCACTGTAGAGAGTGTTGGTAGTATGGTCGCGTAATAATTTGAAGTCGCATTCGTCTAGCGTTCTAGAATATACACCCCAATGTAAATTACTTATGAAGACATCTCGATCAAAATTGAGATATGATATTCCTGCCGGTATTTCTAAATGCTGGTTTTGACGGGTCCTGTTGCCCTATATCGTAAATGCGATAGAATTTGACGGTATATGAGTAGAAGGCTTTGGCGACTTGATGGCTTTCACGGTTGGGGACCAAGAGGGGTGAGATATGTCGTCTCACCATGATAATATCTGCCTATGTTTTATGACGTACCTAGGTACCCGTATTATACATAAAGGAGTCATGCCTGAGATTATACTCTTGGCTTTCCTGCCTATGGTGAGAATTAAGGCTGGTAATATTTGCTAACTAGTCATATAAACATAGGCATGAGAAACGAGAGGTTCGGAGCGAGTCCTTAGTTGCTGGCTGGCTTAAAGTCTTAACTAGGTAGGTAATATACTACATCGAAGAAGGCCAACTTTGCTGATTCGACGGGTGCTTATAAAAACCCGTAGCGTTGCACTTAAGCATCCAACTTGGCGGGGAAGTTTCCAGCCTCTGTACTATATTAGCATTGGTACCTTAGGCTTGACGACAGATTACTGACCTCGCTGATCATCCCATCGTTGGTACCATGAGCTCGGGCATAGAGATCGGTATGCGAGTTTGAACTGGGCTCATCAGTATATATGTTCCGATATGTAGGACGACAGATTTATAAATGGTCGCATTACCTGACGGCACGGGGCAAAGTCCTCGCCCTTGGCGTTGATGCACTTGTGGTAATCGACGTAGTTTTGCCAGCAGTGCTTGGACTGGTTCTGGTTGGGGAATCGAGCGTCGACACCTAGGCGCAAGTTAGATCGGAAGGGTTAAGCAATAATCCATCATCTCAATCGCATCATATCGCATCGTCTCGTCTCGTCGTCTTTGGCGGATCTAGGAAAGATGGGGTTCTTACCGGCTGTCGGAAGTCAATTAGTTAGTTACTGTCAGAATTCGGCACAACGGATGTTAAAAGTCTGAGGGAATTCGAGGGGAGTCGACTTACCAGTGACGAACTTGAAGGGCATGGTTACGCGTTCGTCGTCGGACATCTTGGCGGTTGAAGTGATTTATTTATTTTGGGAGGAAAAAGATGTTGGTTGGCGGGCTCAATGGCGACGGGCTCGTAGTAAAAAGTGGTGATGTTGGATGTTATGTTAAGGAAGATGGCAGCTTGGAAAGAGCTCTTGGACCATTGGTTTCTTGCCGAACCGAATCATGGAGCGTTAATTTTAGTTGCCTCAGGCTTTGGTGGCATGATACAAGGGACGCTTGGGGGAATGGGACCCCACTATGATTCTTTTCTCCATTTTTACTGGTTGTGGCTCACTGGCTCCTACCCAAGTTACCGAAGCTACTCCTCCAAAACCTTCCATCAACTACGAAAGATCAATTCCACCCATTGACTTTTGACTTTGACACATCCTAGTTTCGGTTACGGCTTTAAGTGATTTACACTCATTTTCCATTATAGCTACAAACCAATCTCCCCTCAAACCGCCGATATGTATGCTACACGAGCTATGAGAATGATGCCCACTAGGCGCATGATGTTTCCTCTTCCCGTACGAACCTCTTTAACTTTTTTTTTACTTTCGCATAACCTATGACGTTTACTAATGACCCATAACAGAAGGAGGATCAGAGCGGTACGTTCTCGCCCGTCGCGAACCATTGATGCCTCAAACCTATCATGACATCTCCGAAGAGCTTTACATCGGAATACCATCAATTAAGATATGAATATTAACGCATATACCAGCACATACCGTCTCTCAGCGCCTCCGAAAGTTGCGACAAATTCCGGCAGAATTGATCCCTCTCGGTTAGTCTACCTACACGACCCAGGGTTTTATACGAGGACGAGCCGGATCATGTGTGCTAATTATACAATTAGGAGTTGTCGTTGGCTTCGCTGTCTTTGCTGCTACCTATTCCAGCCTTCGCAAGTTCAGTGTGGACAAGAACCTCAGACTCAGCCGTCAAAACCGTAAGGAGGACCCCTCGGAGCACGCCGAGGAACATTAAGCGAAGTCTATATGGCATGAGCATGAGATTGAACTACGGTCAGTCGAAAGGAGCTTACTGGGGAAGGGCGCATTCTGGATTTTGGAGAAGCAAAACACTGTATATTTTACATGTAGCCATGGTGGTGGAAATGTCAAATACGGGAGATTAAGCATGGTATAGACTTCAGCCGCAAGCTCCTATTCTAAAGACTTCCCTCTGTGTCCTAGAATCCTTTTTTTTTTAACGCCAACGCTATGCGAGAAAGTTCACGTAGATACTATTTAGTCCCGGCTTATTCCGGTTTTGGTCCAGCAACGTCAAGTCCCTCGAGTCCTTGCATCGGGTCTTCTGGCCTGTCATCCTCGCTAGCTCTGGCTCCCGTAGCTGCAGCTCGATCTTCCTCGCTGACGGCATTCTCAGCAAGCCACCCTTCCTATTGTGCTTGTTAGTAAACCCGTTATAGTGCCGTATAACTAGTTAAGAATATAAACATACCTGTTCCCAAATTGCCGTCTTACTACCTAGTCCTTCTTCTGCACTCTTAGGAGGTTTAGCAGCCGATACTCTCAAAACCCTGCCGAACAATTCTGATTGATCCATGTTGTCGATTGCTTCTTTGGCATCTTCGGCGTCCTCAAATTCTACGTAGGCAAATCCCCTATGGGGCTCGGTGGAGTTTGGCGCATCGTTTTTAGGCAGAGTTACATCCGCGATTTCACCAAACGGTATGAAAGCATCGTGAAGATTCACGGTGGTGACAACAGATGCTAGCCCCCCGACGTATACGGTGGCCTTCCAACGGGCCGCGTCCGTCATATTGAGTGTCCGTTTGGGTTATAAGCAGACTTTGGCGAATTTGACCTTGTATAATAGGTGAGTTTTGGCGTGAGGCTCAGGTTCTAATAAATAAGAGGCACCTGATGCCTTAGAGAACCGAGAGTGTGGCTCACTGAAATTAAGTACTTATGTACTTCGTATGTACATTCAAGATGCGACCTAAATGGATGGAACAATGAAATTGCAGCTTCAAAAGGTTCCATATCTGCATGTATTACATAAGAGCTAGGCATCTTCCGTCATTGAGCCCCGGTATTTATATGTACCTAATATATCACGTGAACTAAAATGTGGCTGATGGCATCTTCTACTTGTCTCCACAACAGCCAAGGAAAGGAACAGATTGTGTCCAGGATCTTGATTCGGCTTGGCCTGTGAGCTCATGCGCCCACACCTCTACGCTCTAGGGACCGTTGGACTGCCAGAACTGCATTATCTGGCAACATAATGAATTACTAGTACGTCTCTACCGCTCTCTAGTCTAGGGAAAATATAGGGAAACTCAGACAACCAATCTCTCTTTCTATAATTCGACCAGTTGCCAACATTCCTAGCTGGCCTAGAGAGCTCAATGCCACCTGGCATTTAAGCCAATCTCACTTAGAATCCCCCTTTCTTCTACGGAATATTCTTCGACAAGATCGACCTTAAACTCAGGCCAGACTACCCTTCTGAGTAGTCACCACAAGACAATATGGTCAGGTTGCGCGAGATCTCGCGTACTGCGGCCTTCGCTTGGTCGCCAGGCACTACGAAGCCATTGATAGTTACTGGAACCCGAGCTGGAGCTGTTGACGCCGACTTCTCCGACGAGACGCAGTTGGAGTTGTGGGATTTGAACCTTGACAACCAAGAACAAGGACTTGAGCTTCAGCCTATTGCAAGCATCGCTGCTGACTCCAGGTGAATAAACGTCCCTGCAGTCTTGATAAGCCTACGAGGTTTACTAACAAGTCGATTCCTTAGGTTCTACGATATTGCTTGGGGTCAACCCTCCGAAGACTACCCGCAGGGCATTATCGCTGGTGCTCTCGAAAACGGTTCACTCGATCTTTGGGATGCCGCAAAACTCATCGCAGGAGAATCCGACGCGTTAATATCACGAACAACGAAGCATACAGGGCCTATTAAGTCGTTACAATTCAACCCTTTGAGACCCCAGATCCTAGCCACTGCCGGCGCGAAGGGAGAACTATTCATTTATGACGTCTACGACCCCGAAAATGCTTTCCGCTTGGGCACTGCTGCGGCTCGTTCGGACGACTTAGAATGTGTAGCATGGAACACGAAAGTAGCCCATATTCTTGCTACGGGAGGAACTGGTGGTTTTGTCACTGTTTGGGATTTAAAGACGAAGAAGGCCTCCTTAACACTTAACAACAACCGAAAGCCCGTTAGTTCCATTGCGTGGGATCCAAATAACTCTACCAAGTTATTGACCGCTACTCCCGACGATACTACTCCCGTCATTTTGCTATGGGATTTGCGAAACTCTAATGCACCGGAGAGGACACTCCAAGGTCATGAGCAAGGTGTTCTTTCGGTATCTTGGTGCGAGCAAGACGGCGACATTTTGATTTCGTCTGGCAAGGATAACAGAACATTAGTTTGGAACCCTCAGACGGGCGAGCGTTATGGAGAATTCCCCGAAGTCACCAACTGGACGTTCCTTACCCGATTCCACCCTCACAACCCTAGTATCTCAGCGACCGCGTCCTTCGATGGAAAGATTACTATTCAGACGCTCCAAAACACGAACCCCTCGGCTGTACAGAACACATCTCAAAATAGCCTGGATGGCGAAGACTTTTTTACTCAGGCCCAGAGACAACCTCAAGGCGCTGCTTTCTCCTTAGGGAAAGCTCCGAGGTGGCTCGAGAGGCCCGTTGGAGTTTCGTTTGGATTCGGTGGAAAACTCGTTATCTTCAAGCAGAACCCTCATCAGCCTGGCCACAAGCGCTCTTCTAAGATCGAAATTTCTCAGTTTTCTGTAGATTCGGATATTGGTAGCGCGACTGAGAAGTTTGAGGAGTCGCTCAAATCCGGTGATGTTACGGCTATATGTGAATCGCATATAGAGCAAGCCCAGACAGAAGAAGAGAAAGCTGACTGGCGTGTCTTGGAGACTCTGCTCACTGACAACCCACGAAAACAAATTGTCGAATACCTGGGATTCAGCGAGGAAGAAGCAAACGACGAACCAACTAATGGTGTGGCCGAAGAAGCTTCAGAGACCAAGGAACCCGAGCCAGAGAAATCCAAAATAGGAGTAAAGGCCCATAAGAAACGTATCTCGACTTTCTTCTCCGATGGAGGCGAAGGTGAAAGCGAGGACTTCCTAGCAAGTCTGTCTGCTACAAAGGGTGCTAAAACGGATAACCCCTTCCATCTATTTGGTGAGGGTGATACTGGTGTTGAGAAGCAGATTACGAAGGCTTTGATGTTGGGTCAGTTTGAGAAAGCAAGTGAAATTTCCCTGAAGGATGGTCGTATTGCGGATGCCTTTATCATTGCCAACTGTGGTGGAAAGGAGCTCGTCGACAAGGTCCAATCCACTTATTTATCACAAAAGACAGGCATCCCAAGCTACTTACGGCTCTTGGGCTCTGTTATTGTCAAGAATCTGTGGGATGTTGTTTACAATGCTGATCTAGCTGACTGGAAGCAGACCATGGTGACGCTCTGCACGTATGCGGACCCGACCGAATTCCCTGATCTGTGCGAAGCCTTGGGAGACCGTATCCTTGAATCTGAATCTGGATCTAGGAAGGATGCCTCCTTCTGTTATCTGGTTGGCTCCAAGCTCGAGAAGGTTATCGACATATGGGTTGCTGAGCTGGAGGAAGCTGAGAAGGCTGGATTGGCCGAGGCTAATGATTCTACTTTCTCTATCCACGCAAGGTCTCTCCAGCAATTTATTGAGAAGGTCACAGTTTTCCGCCACGTAACAAAATTCCAAGACACCGAGACGGGTCTAACCTCAGGCTGGAAATTATCTTCTCTTTATGACAAATACATAGAGTATGCGAACATTGTCGCAGCCCACGGCCAATTAGAGATCGCGCACAAGTATCTGAGCCTTCTACCATCGAAGTACGACGCTGCCGATATGGCACGCGAGCGTGTGCAATTAGCAACGCAAAAACCGGCTCCCCAGCCTGCTGTTAGACAGCCAATTCGGGGGCCCGCAGCGACTTCCCGTGTACCTTCTCGGGCACCATCCGTAGCTGGAGGATATCAACCACCTCAACCGGCTACTGGCATTAATCCTGTCAACCCTTACGCGCCCCCGGCTGTCCAGACTCCCGCAGCTAATCCCTATGCGCCGCCGATTGCTAGTAACCCCTACGCCCCGCAAGGATACCAGCCGTCGCAGCCGCAACCCGTTCAACTATCTCAACATCAAGGCTATGGTCCACCACCAACATCTTTTGGGGCTCCCCCAAGAACATCAACCCCATCGACAAAACCTCCTCCAAGGGCTTCGGATGCAGGAAACTGGAATGATGTACCTATAGTGACGAAAGCGCCTCCCCGAAGAAACACGCCGAGCGCTGCCGCTATCACCTCACCATTCCCTAACCAAGCAAACCAGGCAATGCCTCCACCACAGAGTCCCTACGGTTCTCAGCACGGAACAGCAACACCGCCACCTCCCCCTCCTAAAGGCCCGGCGGCTGGAAGGATAATGTCTCCCCTTGGTGGCCCTCCCCAGGCTGGTCAATTACCGCCTCCTCCTCGACCCGGATCAACTGCGGCACAAACTTACGCTCCGCCTCCTCCTGCCCAGACACAGGGAGGCCCCGGTATGCCTCCACCTCCAATGGGCCACGTCGTCCCCAGGATGTCTTCACCTTACAACCCGCCACCGGCAGGAGCTGCGCCTACAAGCCGATACGCCCCAGCACCGGTGCCTCAATCACTCGGCACCCCTTCCCAGCAGGCTCCCCCGCCCCATGCCGGCCGAGCGCCGCCGCCAAACCCCTATGCGCCGCCTCCCCAGGCAGCACCCTCTCATAATCAATATGGCCAATCCCCGTATGGTGCTCCACCGGTACAACAAGGGCCACCTTCTACGGGTCCCCCGTCGAGCATCGGCGGTCCCCCACCGGCAACAACTTCACCTGCACCTCCTCCACCACGAGCCGCGGCACCGCCGAAGCCCCGACACCCTGCGGGTGATCGTTCTCACATTCCCCCTAACGCTCAACAGTTAGTTGATATCCTGAGCCGGGACATGCAACGAGTAGCTTCCAAAGCACCAGCCTCCTTTGCTCCTCAGGTGAAAGATACGCAAAAACGGTTAGGTCTGCTATTTGATCATCTCAACAATGAGGAACTCGTGAAGCCGGACACCATCGAACAATTAACCCAGCTAGCTCATGCGTTAGAGTCTAAGGACTACCCGGAGGCACAGCGCTTGCAGGTAGAGATCCAACGAGACAAGACCGAGGAATGCGGTAACTGGATGGTATGTCGAAACCCCTTATATACATGGATGTCCTTGCTAACAAACCCATAGGTTGGAGTTAAACGGTTAGTCCAGATGAGCAAAGTTACGGCCTAGGACATGAACCGAGGTACGAACTACGTTACGGGCTCACGGATAGATGAGAATCAGTTATCATGTTGACGAAGTAACAGACCTGTTGACGAGTATATGTAGAGTTGTTACATAGATGGGTTAGCCGCCGAAAGCTAAAAAAGTAGGGATCGTCTTAATGTATTGTTGATGCCTTGTAGGCTATTTGTCCTTTAGTCTTAAGTTCTATGTGCATGTGATGTGTAGTGTGATTTTTGTAATAAGGTCGCCAAGAGATAATTGGTTTAATAATGTATCTCACCTTACATCTAAATTAATACCGTAGCCTACTAATACTGGAAGTTGGATACTATGTAGATAAGAGGCACAGGGTTGTATCTTTATATGCGTATTAAAGAAATTGCCAACATTTCTATGGCTAAGCTCCGAAAATGATTCGACATGTGTGAAGCAGAATCTCCATTTCGGGATAAAGGCAGGAGTTATAGCGGAGCTAGGACGGACTCTATGCATAGAAAGGGGTTAAGCCTACCCGATTTGCATAAATTAGGTCTCGTAAAGTGAATAATTATGTTGTATGGAATGAATGCTGTATCTAGATACGATGTGAAGCTGTCTGTGATCACCGACTGGTGGCTATGCTTGATTTGTTAAGTGAAATTATTTGAGAGTCATGCGTATATACCTCCTCTTCTCTGCGGCGGATGCCGCGGCACTCGGCTTACGATAGGTCGGAGGGGGCGACGACGGGGATGCTAGCGTTTATGTATGGAAAATACATACTGATTTGCACGCGGGGTTTGCGGGGCCGGAGGTGGCGGAGAATATTTACGCGGTGATGGGGATGGGAAGGGGGGGACAATTGGGAGATGGTTATGGCGGAGACCGAGAGGGTGAGGGGGGAGTTGGAGGAGTGGAGGGAGTTTAGTTGTGAGATGGGAAATGCGGACGTGGAAGATATAGCGAAGCTTGTGAAGTAGGGGTGTGGTGGGTGTTCGTTATAATCATTGAGATATAGTTGATCAGCAATAGCTTCGTGTTTAGAGGCCGGCAGAGTTTGAGAGGAATCACTGCATTGAGTCTTTGGGTAGTGTATGTATATATATTTGATTGTAATTTGATTAACTCTTCTCTATAAGCTAGATATCTCGTAAAGATAGTTTGACGAAGCCAACGCCCTCGGCATCGTCATAAGTTTCCGTAAAATCACTATGCTCCATGGTACTTTAGTCATTTTCGTGATCGCGGCGTTGCTTTGAACCTTAGTACCTCTTATATATAAGTGAGGTTACAAGCATATGAAGTGCAAATCCAGGTAAGTGTGAACGATTAACGACTAAAAAGCGCGCTGTTTAAACTCAACTACATACACATACCTGATTGATACTAATGATTGCTGGTGTAAAGAATCAGGATAGAGTATAGGGGCCTAGAAAGTTGACCCGGGAATAAGTCTTGATTATTTCATCTTTTGGGGGTATCATTAGTAACATGCTCTCCTTTCCTCATTTCTTCTCCTCGTCCTCATCTGAAGAACTCATAAACTCGTCATCTTCGTCAAATCCGGCGAACGCTCTCGTCACGGGCTTCTTTGACGTCGTATTCTTTGACTTCGTATTCGTCGGCGGAGTTGGAGCCTTCGAGCCGCTTGACTCTTCAGAATCTTCTCCTTCGCTTGAGTCTTCGTCCATATCCTCCGTGGAGGCGGAGCCATGCGATGTGCCGAGCAGGTTGTCTTTGTAGTTTCCTGCCTTTATAGCAGCGAGAACTGCCTCGCGCGTTCGCTCGCTAGCCTCTTCCTTGTCCTCAACCCACTTGCCATCTAAGCGGCCCTTGGTGCTGTTCTTAATCTCGTGTTCTCTCTCATCAGCGGCATCGACGACCTGCTGCCAGCGCGCGCGTCGCTTTTCCTTTTCCTTCTGCTCCATCTCAGGCTTAATGGCCAGGTATTCGGCCAACGCCTTAGCCTCATTGACTGTTCTTATTCGGCGACCGTCTAGGTTCCTGCTAGATGCATTTTCGTCGCCGCGGTTCCTCTTCTTTTTCGAAGACATTCGGCCACCGGCTGCTCGGAGCTGAGAGCCGAAACCACCCTTGCCACCACATAGCGGGATTGATAATCGTAGAGACAAGAATACATCATCAGAGTCGCACAGAGTAGAGACTAGATCTCTAGAAGTAGAGAGGATTTGTTTGTTTGATACGGTGGTCAGGATAAGTCGCGAATCTATTTGCGGTAATCGGTCCTCGATGCGATGGTGAAGGTCTGAAAGAGTTGCGGTTGGAGGAATAGGAAGGGATAGAGTAGGAGGTAGGCCTAAGCCTGAGAAGGTTGTTACAAAGACGTTGATGTTCCCGGACGCCATCTTGTAGGATTTGTATGTATTGTGATGTGGAAAGACTCGCTGGGTTATCTGCCTTATGGTTTAAGGCGTCGCTCTTAAAGATGTTGAAAGGTAGGAGGAGGCTCCCGGATTGGACTTGATGGAATGGATTGATGATTCTAGATGGCGAGCGAGAGTGGATCTTATCGCCTTTTTGCCAAGTCCCTTATCTAAATGGGCTACTTATGTAATCTACCTCAGCCACAAGGTACTGAGCAACTTTCCACTGTTGGTCTGTGCATAAAACAGCCCTGGCTGTCAGGTCATTACATAAGCGACAGGTTTCCCACACCCCACTCAAATTCATAGTGTCGCTTCCGTCTCCACCATAGGGTTTTTGCGCACAACCAAAAATTCCCTGAACCTTCAATCCATCGCAAAGTATCCATCAGCCTGTCGACTTCACATCAATCACGTCCACCCACCCAGTTCAACATCTTGTCACCGTAAACAACCGCCAAGATGCTGATGCCGAAGGCTGACCGCAAGAAGATCCACGAGGTTAGACGAGCAGCTCAATTAAATTAATTTTCTACAAATTCGAGAATTGTCGAGCTAACATTTTTTGTTCGCCATGTAGTACCTCTTCCGAGAGGGCGTGCTGGTCGCGAAGAAGGACTTCAACCTTCCTAAGCACGCCGATATCGACACCAAGAACCTCTTCGTCATCAAGGCTCTTCAGTCGCTCGACTCCCGCGGCTACGTCAAGACTCAATTCTCCTGGCAATACTACTACTACACCCTCACCCCCGAGGGTCTCGACTACCTCCGAGAATGGCTTCACCTTCCCGCCGAGATCGTCCCCGCTACACACATTAAGCAGCAGCGATCGCACGCTCCTCCCCGAGGAATGATGGGTGAGGGCGAGCGTGAACGCCGACCGTTCGGCCGTGGCCGTGGTGGTGACCGTGGTGACCGTGGCGACCGTGAGGGTGGCTACCGAAGACGGGATGCTGGTGAGGGTAAGGAGAGCGGTGGTGCTCCTGGCGAATTCAAGCCTGAGTTGTAAGTTTTTACGGGAATGACCGTCCTATTTTAATGATCTTATGCTTACACAAATCAACAGCCGTGGTGGATTCGGTCGTGGCCGTGGCGCCCCCCCTTCGTAAGAAGCTTCTATCACTACTCTTAGAAATCCCTTCGACGCACATGGTGGCCGGGTATGGACATGTACTCTAGGGAATGGAGCATCTGCATAGTCTCACTTCTCTGCACGTGATAGAAAACTCGTGAGAGGAACCTCGGATGCACGGTTGGGAGTTATTAGGAGGCTAAATCCTCGGAAATCATCAATGAATTATGGACATGCTTTTGCTGTGAAGAGACCAAAATTCCCAATTAAAGATGCTTGGATCGGTGAAAGTTAATGGAGCGCGAGGAAATATAACCAAGCCGATATGAGCCCTACGATTAGCATGCAAAATGGCTACAACTTGTTAAGGAAGTATATGTTTTATTCAAGTTCCGGAAGGGAGAAGTTTGTGATAAGGTGTTCTCGGAGTATTCCCATTGCTAGTTTCCCGTCAACTTTGAACGTAGAAAAAGGGAGGTTTTGCATCGGGTATAATTGTCGCCAGGTGAGTGGCATGACTTAGACGACATCGATAGAAAGGCACTATGCATAGAAGTTACCCATGTAAGTTACCGGGGCCGTAGTACTTTATCCGCCTCGATTTACAAATCGGAGACTTCCGCTCGGCTCCGGCGCTACTGATTTGATCCTCACGGCGGTTTCCTCAATTGTCAGGTACATTAGTAACAGAACTCTCGTAATTCTTAGTTAATAGGTCCTATTCAAAACTCGGTGAGGCTCCGCAGCATTCTCATCTTTAAACAATAAACTGGACTATAATAGCGCACCGAGCTCCGGAACATCTCTAGATTGGTCAAGTTCTTCAAATGTGAAACCTTGGGCATAGATCTCTCTAATCATTTTCGATCGGACGAATCTATGAGTACATTGATATTCATTCGAGCATCGCCGGGGACCCTCTATAATACGGATAGAAGATCCATGCACATTAAACCGTACCTGTTAGTTCTGTGCCGCTTCGACAGAATCTTAACTGGCACACGACCACTATGAGTTTTATCCCGAAGCTATGCCACCAAGCAAATTTGTAAAGCTCCGACAGATGTAGTAATGCCTTTATTTATGATGCCGAAGCGGCGCTCGACGTTAACGCTGTGTTACCTGATAGATCGCGGGGGTCAAGTCAAAGTGACATCCGGGCGCCTCCAATCTCAAAAAAAGTTTGACCGAACCATCCGGTGGAAAGTCAGAATTGAAACAAACACGGCATTGACCAGGACATTTGCAGGTGATGCTCATGCCATTTACCTATTAATTGGTATGTCGAATATGAATACATACCTAATTCATGTCGACCCAGATCTATGGGATATTGGCAGACCACATTCGACACGCTTCCTTTTTTTCGCAGAGAGCGCGATGATACTGTGTATAGTATAGGACCACGCAGGATGACGTCTGGGTTCCATCGGGGGGCACTTCTCCAACCAAACATTTTTATCAGGTCATTCTACCAGTACTGTCTTACCATAATACATACTAACCTAGTCAGCTTCTGCAAGGTAGAATATTGCTCGAGTGGAGTCACTTACACGCGGAACACTAGCGAGACCAACTTCAAAGTTCAACGTACCTGTTTACGAGTCTTGGTTCTGATCGAACTATACCTTCAGTGGACCTATTTCCGGTTAGTTAACCCAATCAGCTGGGGTCTAGCTTGTCGGGTTATCTGCGAGGTGAACGCATGCCGCTCCTATGGCGGGGTGTAGCAACATAGATCTGAACTATTGCCCCTCCTTTCCCCTTTGTTTCTTGGTGGCATGGATAGCTTTGCAGGCAAACTCATGATTGGAACCAATCCCATTAGAAAGTGTGAATAATGCGGAGGGGCTTGCGCCTCTTCTCTCTCCCCCGCGGGACGTTATTAATAAGAAGACAGCATTCCCAAACGTCTTCGTTTTCCTTTTACTTCCTTCCTTCTTGACTAGATTTAGTACATCGCGACCATCTACCTCAGTCCTAATATACAAACAGCTTCCTCTGTTTGTCTCTTCATCTACAACTCTTCCATTAGCGTTATTGTACAGATCTTATTTCTATAATACCCCTCATCCTACGATAGACTTTTGAGTTTAGAAATTAGAAAACAAACAAAATGGCCTCCCTTCCAAAGACCATGAAGGCTCTCCGGTAAGTCTTATCCTCCATATAAAGTTATATTGTACCAATCAAGGACCGCCTCTCAATGCCCATATAAAGCCCCTTTAGCCTACTGTTTGCACGTGGCTACTAACAACCATACCCCTCGTAGATATGAGAAGCCAGAAGTATGGGGTATCGTCGAGGTTCCTCTACCCACATTACGTCCCGGTGACGTCCTAATCAAGGTCAAGGCAAGTCAATTTCGCTTGCCACCTATAACTTCGCAGCAATAATAACACGAAATTACCCTAGGCCTGCGGTGTTTGCGGTACTGATTTGCACATCCACGAGGGAGAATTCATTGCCAAGTTCCCTCTAATTCCCGGCCACGAGACAGTCGGCGAGGTTGTCGGTAAGAAGATATAGAGGATAAAATGCGTCGCAATACCAACTAATAATCACAATTAGCAATTGCCGACGATGTTAAGGAATTCAAGGTCGGAGACCGTGTTGCTGCGGATAACTCGGAGCTCTGCGGTCACTGGTAAGAGAAATCCTATTAGATTATAATTTCTTAACGTAGCTAACTCACCTCTAAAGCTTCTACTGCCGAAGAGGCCAAGATCTTCTCTGTGAGGACTTCAAGTCCCACGGTGTCCTGGGATTAGACGGTGGTTTCGCCGAATACGTGCGTACTTCCCTGCCCGTTTGTCGTGTAGTCTTTTATCAGCTAACTCGTATGCTCTTAAATGTAGACCTCTTACCCCCAAGGTAAACTCTTCAAAATCCACAACCTCAGCGACGTCGATGCCACCTTAATCGAACCCGCCTCCTGCGCCATGCACGGTCTGGAGAAGATTGCCCCGAAGCCTGGATCCCATGCCTTGTTGATCGGAGCTGGTCCTACCGGTCTCATGATGGCTCAATTCTTGTACGAAAGGCAGATCCCGGTTGCCATTAGAAACCGATGCTAATATTCTTCCACAGACGACAGAATGGTGTTTCGCAATTAACTATTGCTGCCCCCGAAGGTTCCAAGATGGAATTAGCCAAGAGTCTCGATGCTGCCGATTTCTATGTTCCTCTATCCAGATCAAACTCCGCGCCCCAATGGGAACAAATCAAGAAGGACAACCCATATGGCTTCGACATTGGTAGGCAAACCGCATATAATAAGAGTGCTCGACGATGCTAATAGGGGATATAGTTGTGGAAGCCAGCGGTAGCTCCAAGGTTCTCGAGGATGCTATCCACTATGTTCGCCGAGGAGGCAAGCTTGTCTGCTACGGCGTCTACCCCAGCGCCGCTCGCGTCTCTTGGCCCCCATCCAAGATCTTCGGTGATGGTGAGTTATAAATATGATACTGTTGATAGGGAGGTATCAAGCTAACCGGAATTACCTAGAAATCACCATCATCGGCTCCTTCTCCGAGACCTACATGTTCCCAGCCACTGTTGACTACTTAGATAGCGGCAAGGTCAAGACCAAGGGTATCGTCAACAAGACCTTCAAGCTTGAGCAGTGGGGCGAAGCTCTGGAGAGCATCCGAAACAAGTCTGCCATTAAGGCTGCCATCGTTTTCGACTAATTTGGGGAGTTGGGTAGGATAGAAGCGAAAGGAAAAGATCCATCTATTACATGATTAATGCTACCAATTACCTAGACAGCCGAGTTAGTTAAAAACCGTAGTTAAAATAACCTTTTATTCTGAATGAACAAAATCTCCGATTCGTTACACCCCTTTAGATCTGTGCCTCCAGGGTTGTTATACATACATAACACGATGCTTCACGTTGCAGTTGACACGAGCCAATAAGGGACCATGTGTTTTCCTAAATAGGGATGGGGATCACAGCCGGCGTGGGTTGTTGGTATGCAGAGGAAATGCCATTTGTCAGCTAGGTGGTCCACGTCGTCAATATAAGAATCGAGATCCCCACGACCTTGATGGCCAGCTAGCACGCCTTCGTGGGTAACCACTTTATGTTAGGTCCGTACCTAATGCACCTACGGTATTAATAATCCCACCATCATCCCGTCTCCGCTCTTGTCCGGTCTCCTCACAGCCAATATGCCGACCGCCGTTGTGACGGGGGCCAACTCTGGTATTGGCCATGCGTTTGCCCAGGTGCTTATTCGAGAGGTAGATATTGTCTAACTATTGTCTATCATGTTCACTTTTACTTTTCCTATCATAACCAACCAACCGCCAGCTAACAATCACGATATATATACATAGGGCTACGATGTCATAGCCGCCGACATCAACGTAACCGAAAAACTCACGTCGCTCCAGTGCGACGCATCACAGCTAGACGTCACATCCCCGTCGTCCATCGCCTCGTTCGCGTCGCACATCGGCGACCGACCAATCGATCTCCTGCTCAACATCGCGGGCATCATGCTGCCCAAGGACGAGGACGCCCTGTCCACGGTGTCGCTCGCCGCCCTGACACAGACCTTCGCCGTCAACACCTTCGGCCCGCTGCTGCTGACGCAGGCGCTGCTGCCCAACCTGCTCAGGGCGGACCGCGCCAAGGTAGGCGTCATGTCGAGCCGCGTGGGCAGCATCATGGATAACACCTCGGGCGGGTCGTACGCGTACCGCGCGAGCAAGAGCGCGGCCAACAGCGTGTTTAAGAACTTGGCGGTGGACTTGAGGGGGAAAGGGGTTGCGGTTGTTATTATGCACCCGGGTATTGTGAAGACGCAGATGACGGATATGGGTAGGGGTATCCCAGAGGCGGTGGCCCCGGAGGAGGCGGCGGAGAAGCTGTGGGGTGTTGTTAAGGGGAAGGGGGTGCAGGATACGGGGAGGTTTTGGCATAGGGAGGGGTTTGAGTTGCCGTGGTAAGGTTGGGGTTGGGGGTGGGATTAAGGGGTTGAAGATTAAAATTGGGGGATAAGTTAGGTAGGTAGGGTTATGATCACGAGTATTTATCAGATTGTTCTAGGGACATTATTATGAGGTTCGAATAGAATTCAATGTTATCAGAGTTTATCTATTTAGGCCGCCAGCATAGCAGTTCCTTCCGGCTGGCTCGTCACTGGGCGGCTATGTGTCCTGCCGCCTTATTATTCTAGGTTAAAAGTTTTACTAATAGTGTTTAAATATAACATCCTTTATTCTATTCCATAGCTTCCCTCGCCAGAAACATAAATTGGTGCGGTCCTCGCACTCCTAGTATCAATCGCGCTCTGGACCTGATGCCTGGAACAGTCTCCGCACATCATTGGTTATGTCGATTCCGGAGTCGCCTCGGCACATCCGCCTGCTCTTGCTCTTCCTCTTGCTCTTGCTCATCTGACTTAAGAGCTAGACCACGTAGTGTGTCCGCCTCATCTCGGAGGTAGCTGCGGAGTACTATTAGTTATTACCCGGCCAGCCTTCCCTCTAACTTAGGGTCAGTGCTGTTCCCAATATTAATTAGCCTTTTGTGGCTTGGGTTTCCGATGTAGAGTATAATGAGCGTTACTCCTGGTTGGTTGTAATGATATGATGTAGGTAAGGGTCCAGACTTGTCCGCTTAGCCTATGAGCTAGGGGGGTTGCTCGCTGCTCCTTAAAGTTTTCGGCCGAAGAAATTCGTATTTCACGAAAGGGTATCCGTGATTCGAATAACAGGTACCTATGATAAAGGCCTAATCTAATCCTTGCTAACTCATCCACGCGAACGCGTCTACCGACCAGTTCCACAGTAATACTGTTCAGGGCCAGATACAATGATTGCCTACGTGCAGGTGGTAGACGTCGGGTCATCCGGCTTAGAAGTAGTGGTTATATGACCCGGTGGTGATTCCATGGGTTCATTCTCAGACTCGAAATTAAGGGGGGTCAGGTTCTTAATATAGATTATTACTGTGATGCTCGTCTGGTTGCAAGGACATGACAGATCTCTTTCCGTAAAGCAGATCTCCGTTGCTGACACCCTCTGGGCTGGGGTGCGCATCTTCTACCCGACAGGTTTAGGCCAAATTCGGATTGGCAATAAATATAGAAGCATCCCCTTATTAAGCCCAAGTATGACGCTGGTTGTATGAATCATAGCCTGAAGGAGAATCTGTCCAGTAGCCCCATTCGTTATCTGGGTGAGTTGGTGATCCATGACAGCCAGTGCCTCGACGGGCGCGGCGACCGGCCCTGGGGGCGTTATTTTTGCGCAAGACCTCGTCGTCTCGTTTCAGGAGGTCGTGACGGGTGATAGAGCAGCAGTAATTAGAGAAGTTCCCGGGAAGTAGCATTGAAGACCGGATTTTCGGCAACGGTTTATTAAGGTTAGATTATAGGTGAGGGAGACTGGAGGGCGTATTGAGGGTGTGGGTGGTTGAGTGGTGGGATGAACCAGTCACAGGAAAAGTGAAAGTACCGATATAACTAGGCGAAAAAATTAGCCTTTATCCTTCACTAGGTATTGGAGTAAAGTAAGAAATATGAAACACTTACGAGATATGGGTATATCACAGGCTCTCCATGGATCTGATCCACGATGTCCGGAGAATGGCATAACCCTTTATTTAGGACAGTTCGTGCCTTGGGAGAAAGCGGCCATGGGTGTAGAATAGATTAATTATGGTTGTTCCCCTGCGTCTTCTGCGGCCAGTTTTATGTTGAGAGGCTCGGGATGGGCAGATGATAGAATAATTAAGTATGAAGGAGCTTCACGAAGAAGTTTTTAGGCTAGGGTTGCAATTATTCTGTGAAGTAGGAGGCATAAAGACCATACTTCTAGGTAGAGAAGAAATATTAGCCCCTATCCTTATCACTACTGAGGAAAAAATCAGGAAGATGAAATACTTACGAGATGCATCATGTCCTTCCATCATCATATCCCTCCATGGCCTTCTTGATATTTCTTAGAATAGCGCTCTCTGTAAGACGATCCGTGTTGAAGAGATTGCAGGATAAACATGGCCGTGGTCTTCCATTGCCTGTTTAATGTCTTTAGGAAGAGAGTCATTCACTCTTGTAGTTATTAAGAATGTATGATATAGGCGCTTAAGTAATGGAGGTGGAATGGCCCTTAGCTGGTCTAGGTTACCCGGCTGTGATGCCAAGGACGGCGACAGGAGCGTCTGTGGTCAAGGCAATACCAGCCGAGACCACCTGGGCGAGAATGTTTGGTGGCGGCAGGAGCATCCCGGGGAAAAAGCAATGAAGGCCGAGACCACCTGGGCTAGGATACCCGCTGGCGGCGGGAGCATCGAAGGGGATCTCTACGCCGTCCGAGACCACCTGGCCAGCGGCCGCCACAGGAGCGACTGGGGCCATAGGGGCCATAGGTGCTACCGGAGCTACAGGCACTAGAGAAAAATGTTAGCCCCAATTCTCATCCCTATTGATGGAAGGATAAGAAGATAAAATACCTACAAGACGCAATGGTACTCCATCACTCTTCCAGTATGTCCCGGAAGATAGTCCTCCACCTTAGAGACAATTCGCCGTGGTTGAGGAGGCTGAGGACCAGGAATAGGGGTAGGAAGTAGGCGATATATAGGTGTGCCCTTAGTCTTCCATGGCCTGCTTTATATCCTCTGGTAGAGAGCCGTTATCCTTTATGATAGGTGAATAGAGTAAGACCAAACGGTGAGCGCCTAAGTAAGGAGTAATGTTAGTCTCGACCCTCATGATTGCCGAGAGAAAGGTAAAGAGATAGAATACTTACAGCTGTGTCCTGGTGATAGCCCAGCCAGCACCGACGTCGCCTGCTTGTTGCGCCACTTACACCTTTGTGTGAAGGTTCCTTGAGGAAGACGCTGAGAGGCGTGGCCCGTCTCGTTGCTCACAGCAGACCAGTCAACGGTCTGCAGGAGGTCCCTGCTGGCATTTTTGAAGATTGCCGCCATCATAGTGACCTTGCTTTACAGTGCCACCTTCCAGCCACTAAACCAAATTGTCAGTAAATATTGTACATTCTCATAGATACCTACATAGGGAATTACATACTCCTTTGACTTTGCACCTCTTAGTGAAGGTGTCTCGAGCAACTTCGCAGAAGGGCATGTCGAGCAACTTCCAATCGCAAAAAGGCATGTCGAGCAACTCGCAGAAAGGCGTGGCCCGTCTCACTACTCACTGCAGACCGATTAACGTGTCTGCAGGAGGTCTCTGCTGGCATTTCGAAAGATGGCTACCATTATGGTAATTTAGTTTAGAGTTACACCACCTTCCAACCACTAAAACAAATTAAGTTAGTAAATGTCATACATTCTCACAAATATATAGGGAATCACATACTCCTTTCACCTTTTAGTGAAGGTGGCACGGGCCACACGCCGTGAGGCGTGTCCCGTCTCGACACTCACTGCAGACCAGTCGACAGTCTGCAGGAGGTCCCTGCTCGCGTTCTTGAATATTGCCACCATCATGGCGACCTGCTTCACAGTCACAGAAACCCCGTTTCCCAAATCAATGTTGGTGTTTGACATCTTGCTTAGTTAATACTGCAGACCAGTCCACGGTCTGCAGGAGGTCCCTGCTGGCATTGCGGAAAATGGCTGCTATTATAGTGGCCTGCTTTACTGTGCCGCCTTCTAGCCACTAAGATATATTAAGTCAGTAAATGTCGTACATTCTCATAGATATATAAGGAACTACATACCCCTTTAGCTTTACACCTCTTCGTGAAGGTGTCTCTTGCAACACGCCGAGAAGCGTGTCCAGTTTCTGCACTCACTGCAGACCAGTCAACGGTCTGCAAGAGGTCCCTGCTCGCATTGCGGAAGATTGCTACCATCATAGCAACCTGTTTCGTGGTAACGGAGACTCCGTTTCCTAGATCGATGTTGGTGTTGGACATCTTGCTTAATATTAGAGATGGATTCGACAAAGATATCTAGTTTTGAGAACAATCAAGATTTAGTTGACGAAACAAGACAAAAGGCAAGACAGGGTATTAACCAGGGATTACTTACGTTGAATGGATAGATTAGAAGGGGTGTCAGGTGAGGTGTGCAAGGATGTGCAAAAGAGGGAGGATTATGGTTGAAGAGCATTCCCATTTCCTGGTGAGTTTGATGTATGTCCACAAATTGGGCAAATAAGTCCATTTCGTATAGTTTAAAGGGTCAGTTGTAAATATGACAATAGCAGGCAAGTTGTAGGCCCAGTAGTCCCCCAGACAGTGAACCATTCACTTTGATGGCGATCCGCAAGGAGGTAGGAGAGGGTGAGAGGGTAAGGAGGAAATCTTGCTTAATATTAGAATTGGATTCGACAAAGATATCTAGTTTTGAGGACAATCGAGATTTGGTTGACAAATCAAGGCAAAAGGCAAGACTGAAAGTAACAGGGTATTAACTAGGGATTACTTACTTTGGATGGTTCGAAGGGAGATGTGATGAAGTCCTTGTTGTTGTGGTTGATGTTGTTGTTGTTGGAAAAGGGAGAAGGGAGTGAGGAGTAGGGAAGGGGGAAGAAGGTCTTTTAAGGGCGAGTGGTCCTGATGGCCATTGCCACCAAAGCTGGGACCCACGAGGACCCGCGTGCCCGCCTGGATAGTAGTTTGCTCGAGGAAGGGAGGTTAGCTGTTTAGGGTTGGTTACTGTTCCGCGATGTTTCGCAAGGTTTTGCGAGGATTAGATTACTTATGGTCCTCCTGTGAATGGACAATAGTTGACACTGTATTTGCGCTGTGAACATCCATCCAGGTGGACAACTAGCCAGGACGAGGGTTGACTAGAACCCCAGTTGTCGTTGCTAATGATAGTTAGTAACTTATGGTTATGTCACTTGGAATGAGATAACAAAACCTACCTCCAGATCATGGCTGATCCTCGTCCCTCAAGTTTAGGTTGAGAAGACTAGGATGTCTTAAGATATGTAACTGCTCCGGCGACCAACTTGGCGACGCTGGAGATCATTCAAAGTCAATCGCGTGCTGTTCTGAGTCAACTGCGTGCTGTTCTGAGTCAACTGCGTGCTGTTCTGAGTCAACTGCGTGCTGTTCTGAGTCAACTGCGCAGTGACCTGAGTCAACTGTGCAGTGACCTGAGTCAACTGCGCAATGACCTGAGTCAACTGCGCGATGATTTGGTTGCCTCCCTGAGCGACCTGGTTAGTCAAGACCGTAATCCCTTGAGCGACCTGGTTAGACAAGTTCGTAACCGCCTGAGGTGCTTGGGGCTGGTTATTAGTGTTGTTGATTAAATCTATTGTTCAATTAGCATTCTAGCGTCGCCAACAAGTCGTGGAGATAGGGGATATAACAGTTGTGAACTTACTTTTTGAAGACTAATTATTGGAATAAGTCTTTTATATTAGTTAGTCGGCGACGTTATTGTTATGTTGCATTGGTGGAGAGAAGGATTATTGATTAATTAAGTAAAAATTATTGTTATGGCGCCTTGTTGTTGGCGGATGGCGTGTTGATTAATTAAGTAAAAATTATTTGTTGGTTAGGTTGGATTGTTGGTTGGGCTATTTTTGTGATGAGAAGAATGAGAAGAGAGGGAAGAAATTCTTAGCTGTGCGCGGATGTGCGCAGGCTTTTATGGTTGCCTGAGGGCCGTGCTTAAAGATATTGCCGGATTCACAGTTGTCGTAACTACGAAATGTCGCAGGTGCCGAACATATGTAGCAACTGTAAGCCCGCTGGCATACAAGTTAACTTAAGTGACTCATGCAACTTCGGTATGCACAGTATGCCGTCCCTAAGGGTTCTCTACAGTTAATACGGAAGTCGCGATGTTATCTAGTAGTCTGCAGAACAAATCCGTGACTCAGTACCTCAGTTAGATACCTTAGAACCGTAGTTAGGTAGATACCTTAGAACCGTAGTTACCTTAGAACCGTAGTTAGATACCTCGGAACCTCAGTTAGATACCTTAGGTATGTACTTTCGTTCAGGTAGGTACACATCTAGACAAGGCCTTGCGGCATGTCGTAATGGATGACACCTTTTAATATCAGCCTCGTACCTCTAGACGTCTAAAGCGCCAAAGATGCGCCGCTGTATCTACGTAGGTAGCATATAGCAGACCAATAGACGTAAACGTTATCATCATCATCATTGTGATAAGTACGATATTTTCTCTTAAGATAAGTCACCCGAGTATTTTCCCAATTACTAACTAAATGCACGTACATTCCAATTTGGCTGGCAGGTTCAGAGTCAATAAACGCTCAATATACATTTATTAAACTGTACAAGAAATTCCGCTGTTCAAATTCAAGTGATAAAAGCACTGTCTCTTGTTAATACGTCAAGATATAATCAAATCTGTTTACTTAGGTAGGTAGTTACGCCTATAGTTGCTTGGTTTGATAGAGTAAGGAGCAGCTTGAGGGGCATCTAGTTAAGTTGAAAAGATAGAGGATCTGTCTACATGAGTGTAGCTGGTAAAGGTTCATGTTATTGTTTCCCATCGTGCATTTATGTAAGCTGTTTGTGACGTCCTTCGATCTGGATGAAACAAGTATTCATGACTGGCGTCATTATCAACATATAGTCGAACCGTACTCTCTCGTCTGACAAGCAAGGTAGCAGATGGATCGAGTAATACAACCCTCAAGGAATAAATATCAAAATAGATGATTACATATTAGTACAAGACTTTAAATATAGGAATGTAATGTTCAAGGCGGATAGTGTAAACGTAACAAGGGAAGTCCTACGGTCATTGGATGATAATATGTTTGCTTGATCTCTATATGGTTGCCACTAATGTAGATATTATACGCCAACGTTAAATATTATACGCCAACATTAAATATTACCTATACGCCAACATTAAATACTATACGCCAGCATTAAATATTATACGCCAACGTTAAATGGTATACGCCAACGTTAAAAGCACTATCCTTATAATATTGTCTAATACGTAACAACCCACGCTTTCTAGCTCCTCGACTTGTATCAAGCAGTGCCATTACATAAAACATTTACTTGCCTCAAAGTTTTTAATATATTATATTATCATTATCTCTATCGACGTCTTGAATTCATAAGCTTTGCGACGCCAATGCTTAAAAGATATCCAGTACTAGATAACTGAAGTTGCCGTAGATGGAAGTGCAATTGGTCACGGGATAACCCCCCTTTAAGACATTAAAAACCTGATTGGCTTATACGATTAAGGATCGTCCTTAGAGAGGTACATGTATGTACCTAATATCAATTCAAGAAGTACTTTGTAATTGGGTTTTTTTTCGGGAGACTTATTTCGAATTCATTCAATATACGGTAGGGTTGGGCCTAAACTTAAACCGACTATTATCTTAATATTCCTCTAGAGCTTGTTATCATTGGAGGTAACACAAGATAACATCCAGGGATAGTAAACTGGTGGTCTTACCAAAATGCTGCCAAACCAACACTGATATGATCATTTCTTGCATGTCGTGAGACTTGTGTTGAGAGTCTTCCGCAAAATCAGATGAAGGTGCAATTATGATATGTACCTAGGTAAATTATGATATGCTTGCATCATTTTGTGTTTGGCATGTGCTGTAGAAAAAGGCTATTATGTTATGGCGGCAAGTTAAAACGATTAACATCCTAGATTAGGTTGCGTCAGCGGGAAATCAACTTGTCAGAACTGTCAATTTGCCGTGCTTCATCCCTGCCCAAACTTGAATGAGGATCAGGTACGAATTACACCAGCGTAGCACCTACCGTCAGAAAGGTACAATACCTCGCTATGTCGTGCAACGCAAGATGGTGGATCTTGTACATAGTATGGGATGCTTGCGGAGACTGGGGCAGGTTGGGGGGAGGGCAAGCAGCACGCTAACAGGCTAGAACTGTTAGGTACCTGTTAGGCCTAATTCCAAGGGGGGTTTTCGGAAAGCGGCAAGCGCTATGGTTGGTTCATTTTGTTTCATAAGCTCCTCCAATTTCCAAACTGGCACAAGCCTTTGGGCCAAATCTGGGCCAAATTCAAATTGTTAACGAATTCCTAATCTTTCCCACACGAGACGATACGATACGATCTACCCTATGATACACTGCTGCTTTTTGCAGTGATCCCCAAGATCTATGTCTCCTCTAAATCTTTCATGCGAGATATTGTCACCGACGGATCTTGTTGTTATACAGAATAAGTGTTGCGTCAGTGTTTGTTCCTGTCGAGATCTACCCGGGTAGAGATTGCCATCGCCGTCAAACCATCTAGTACCTGTCTATGAGCTTGTCACCTGCCACGATTCTCTCTCGAGCTAGACTCTACTTACCTTGTCTAGGTATATCTTGGTAGAAACTAGGTAGATGCAGAGATAACCCCCTGTTCTTGCTGCTGGGTTCACCCAATTTCCGCAATTGCGAGCTATATACCTGAGCAACTTTAAGCAACCTAAGCAAGCAATATGTCTCGTTCTAATCGGCCTTTGGGCCATTATGACTTCCCACCTCGTGATCCCTCTGCGAACGAACAAATTCGCCGCCCTAGAGGCAATTCGAGACGTCCCGAGTTTGAACCGTTGAGGAACATTCAAGTACAAGTCGATTCGAGTTCTGACGACGACGATATACCCGTCACGAAGCCGAATCGTCCTGCCCAGCACTCACGCTCAATGAGTCACCCGTTTCCCTCGCTTTTCTCTAGCAAGAAGAGGAAGAATGCCCGACCCGAAGACGAGTCCGGAAGCGGAGACTTCGCCGCTGACATCGGTCCTAAACCCATACCGCAACAGAACATAGCTTCTAGAATGATACCGCGCGGGCCAGCAGATTTCGCAACGGGGAATTGTATGACGTGTGCTAGCTTGGTCCGATGGCCTAAAGAGCTTCATATCTTCAGGTGCACTATTTGCTTAACCATAAATGATCTCAAACCATATGATCCTACCGCTGGTCACACGGGTACGCAACTTGGAGTTAGCGGTACTTCGCCTCCAAACGAGACTGAGTTCGGCCCCCCACGACGACCTTCGCAATGTCGTATGTTCTGCTACCATATCCAAGGATCGTGACCTTTACTTACTCTCATAGCAAATTCTATATCGCTCGACCGCACCAAGCATATCATCAAGCAATGTTTACGTTCATCTTTAGAAGCCTGTATATCGGCACAATCACGCCCAGAGCGTAACGGAATATGGCCAGGCCGACTCTTATCGCGTCCGCCCAACGAGCATTCTGCAAAGATGCAACTCCCAAGTAAGCAAGGTAGTTCGCCCACTTCAAGTACAAGCCCGCCTAGCCATGTCTATAATGCCGTGTTCGATGACTTCGCCGATCTCAATCTTGAACCAAATCCATTGAACCGTAATGTATCTATGGCGAGGTCGTACTCGACGTCGTATCCTGACGTCAGGAGCTCGACTTTCCCTGTGACTGATCCCGCCGATAAATATCCAGACGCCACAGTTTCAGATTTAGAGCCCAAGATAGTTTTTAAAAAGCTGGAGGAATACTTAGTGTCGTGCTTTAGTTCTCATCTATGTATCAACAATTCATTCGCCACGCGGCACATGAGCGCCAGCTCTAAACTTCCTCCCGAAGCTGTTAAGCAGCAGGCCCCTGAACGCAAGAAGGAGCCAGTTCGCGACGATACACCAATTTCAGAACTCGACCCTAAACTGTTACTCTTGGGCGACGTCGCGGAGAATGGCACATGGTGGACCGGGGGTCAAAAAGAGGCTATACCTTCAAAGACTCCATCCCGGCGGAAAGACGATGCACCTTCCATTGTATCTTCCAGATCCCCCCGAATCGACTGGGGAGCAGCTAGTGAATGGTATCATTTGGTAGTCAATGCAGCCCAGCTCTGGCCAGAAGTATACGCAGAGGTACTTCTACTTGACCCATCTCGGGTGCTGACAGATGCAAAGCTATTGCAATTCGAAGCACTTGCTATTTCGGCTCAAGAGCACATACAGCAGGTCCTATTGAAGTGTACAGAAACACTCCTCAAACGACCATGTCGGTTAATGAAAGAGCCTCGGGATATTCGCTTCTTGCTCTTGATGCTAGCGAATCCTCTTCTTGTTTCGGGGTTCAAATCATACAGTGGCCAGTATCAGCATCTAAGCAAGGGGAAGAGAGTGGTTGCAGGACAGAGTGCAGTAGAGTCTCAAACCAAGACTTCCGGAAGGCACTCCGGAATTATCAAGCGAATTCTTGGTTTATTAGCAAACTCCTCTGAACCATGCCATCATCACCTGGTTACCTGGTTCTCTAGGTTCCCCGAACATCTCCTCCTTCAAACGAAGGACCTAATCAGCGGGTTCATCGCCTATAGGTTGAACCGGCAAAGCCAGAAGATGGTTGAGCCCCGAATTGACGTAACGGGTGGTCTAATTCCACAGATGTCTAATTCTCGCTCTAGTAACACAGCGGCATCACTTCACGCCGCCCTAGAATCCTCCAAGTCAAAAAAGCAGAAGCTACCTGTCGAACCGCAACGCGCGGCATATACGGACGATTGGCAAATTAAAGCCGCCGCAAGGGTCATGGCTCTTGTATATTCAGCTAATACTTTGACGTACGTCCGGCGTACTGATAAATCTGGTGGCCGTAGCCATGGCCATTTAATACCGAAAAGCGATTTTTACAACTCGTTAGTTGACGGCTTAGACTTCAAAGCCGATTTTGAGCTGTGGGAATCAAGGAGAGGCCGCTTCACCTTCTGCCAATATCCATTCTTTCTCAGCATCTGGGCGAAGATACAGATATTAGAGTTCGATGCCAAACGGCAAATGGCCGGAAAAGCGAGAGAAGCTTTCTTCGATAGTATTCTGACACACAGGAACTATGAGCAATACCTTAACCTAAATATCCGTCGAGAATGTCTCGTAGAAGATAGTCTGAAACAAGTAAGTGAAGTCGTCGGTAGCGGTAGTGAGGAAATCAAAAAAGGACTACGTATCGAATTCAGAGGGGAGGAGGGTATTGATGGTGGGGGACTTCGGAAGGAATGGTTTCTGCTTCTCGTGAGAGAGGTATTCAATCCAGACCATGGTCAGTGTCTCGCCCGTTTCATCTCAAGAGTTACGTCTAATCTTTTGATACTAGGACTCTTTGTTTACGACGAGGACTCTAATTTCTGCTACTTCAATCCGAATACTTTCGAGACATCAGATCAATACTTTCTTGTCGGAGTAGTACTTGGATTGGCCATATATAACTCAACCATATTGGATGTCGCATTCCCACCCTTCGCTTTTAGAAAGCTGCTCGCCTCCGCTCCTCCCCCTACCCTCGGGGCACCGGCGCACTCACGTCCCACAATGAACTACACTTTAGACGATTTAGCCGAGTTTCGCCCAGTCCTTGCAAGGGGGCTACGGCAATTGCTAGACTACGAGGGAGATGTCCAGTCTACATTTTGTCTCGATTTCGTGATTGAGTTGGAGAAATATGGTACCAGAGTTAGAGTGCCTCTTTGCCCAGGGGGCGAGTCGAAGATGGTGACGAACGCAAATCGGCGGGAGTACGTCGACCTTTATGTCAGATATCTGCTTGATACTTCGGTCAGCCGGCAATTTGAACCTTTCAAGCGAGGCTTCTTCACCGTGTGTGCTGGCAATGCACTGACGCTTTTCAAACCGGAGGAAATTGAACTCCTTATTCGCGGTTCAGATGAATCGTTAGATATTACTGCCTTGCAAGGAGCCGCGGCATATACGAACTGGCCAGCGCACATGCCACCCGACCAACAGCCCACGATACAGTGGTTCTGGGATACATTCGAGAGAGCTTCTATTACGGATCAACGACGGTTGCTATCTTTCATAACGGGTAGTGACCGCATCCCTGCTATGGGTGCGGCATCTCTCGTAATCAAGATCAATTGTTTAGGCATCGACGAAGGGCGATTCCCTTCTGCGAGAACGTGCTTTAATGTCTTAGGCTTATACCGCTACGCCTCACGCCAAAGACTGGAAGAATTTCTGTGGCGAGCGGTTAACGAGAGCGAGGGATTTGGGCTCAAGTAATAGTGTAGGGCAGGTTTACGAGCTCATGACAGCATTTCAGAGGCGTTCACGGATCCGGGGCGCCCTTCGAAAAACGGTGTACTGAAATACCTATGAACGGATACTTGAGCAAAATCATATGCTACCAATATTGTACTTGGACGACAGGACTTCTCAGGACAAGAGGAGACCTGTAATTAAAGTGGCGTTCGCACTGACTATACCCAGCTAGCTGTATCTTTGCTGTACATTGGCCACCATAGCGAATGGTGAATTTAACCTTTACTTCTTGAATCGAGTATTAGTAGATAGTGCTGATGTAGAGGATCTAATTTATCGCCGCAAATATCCAAGTACTAGGAGTCTGCTTATAAAGCCATATTATGAAGAGGCTTTACCAAAGCCCCATCATATTTGGGACCGATTAGTGACACTGAGGGACATGCTTCGCTATAAGATTTCTCATATGGTATCTATGAGTACTGGTTAGCAATGGCTTTGGTCAATAATATGACTAACTGTCGAGCTTATTCCTGATTATAGATCCACCAACGTCACTAGGACTTTTAGGGGAGAGGACTAATATCAGATGGCAACGCAGAACATGATCTAAAATATATCCCATATTTAGCATCTACTAAAACGGTTACTTATGGCTTTACCAGATACCGACGGCATCATTACCAAAACCACATCCCGAACAATCTCTCGTGACTGCTCTAATACAAGGTGTTGCTGACGGAGACCCATATATAGGTAGGTACGTATAAGAGCGAGGTGAAACAGCATTGCCATGCTTATTACCTAAGACGGCCAGCATCGTGGGATTGGGTTGGGTCTTTCGCGCGCGCCGCCCCCCCGGCGGGCGTGAACAGGCGGTCAGCCACTTCGGATTAGCAACGCCCAATCGTAGGGGCTCTGGTGTACGAAAAGGGCAAATATGGACTCATGGCTGACAAATAAATCCCGGGATAGGAGGGATGGCTTAATTGGATGCTGGGTAAGTTGTACAAGGATTTTTCAAGATTCCCGCGAGATGACAATTGAGTGTCGGCTTTGTTCTGAGTGGGTGAGCGCTAGTTGCGTGGGAATAGACGCCTTGTTTTGAGGTGGTTTGTAATTGCGTCGGTGATATTATATAGTATTGTACATAGGTAGGTAGGTAGTTACGATAGACATATCTTAGTATTGTATATATTGGTTGATGCTGCTAAATGGCTAGGGTCACTGTTGAAAAGCGACTATAGTGTATAGGTAGCTATGATCACCAATTCGTAAACAAGGATATTGATATACTACGATTGTAATCATTCTCGTGCGAATCTTTTCTCAAATACTACGGTGTTGATTGCGGCATGAGCACCATTCAAATGTGTATAAGATTGGAATGTCATGTGCTTCGACGATGTGTATACTTTTTCCTTTTATTGGCTAACATGGAAAATATAGTAGAACCTCACAACTAACCGTGCAACTTTATACTCTACATAGGTGATAATATTGGGTTTGCCGGGTCTATACGGCCGTAACTGGCATTGAAAACAAAGCTCGCGTAGGATAAAATTACGAGGAATCCAAGTAAATGCCGCACCGGCTTTGTCGTGGCTTTTATTCAAACCTCTCGCGGGATAAGCCAGGGAGTATAATCAACAAACAGCTATTCGTCATTGAATCATGTAAAGAGCATGCGGGCCGCATATATACGTGTAGAGCTCGTAATAAGAAAAAAAAGCTCATGTTTTTAGCGCAATTGGCTCCGGCTGCCGGAGCCGGGATCCACGAAATTACCGAAGTCAGAAGTTCTGGATGGAGTCAAATTTCCACGGGAGATGGACGTGGCCTAGGCAATGGAGCTATGTAATGTATAGCGCGGCTACATCGGCGCGGCGCGAGTCTTACTATGACTTGTATAGACTAGTAGGTAGCCTTTGGATGCTTCTCAGGTGCTCCCTTGGGTTCTGTGTTTGCCGCGGGGAGCATGAAGCCAATGATCGGGCCTATTTTATCCAGCCTTGTGTGGCGTTGCCATCGGCCAGTCATGATTTCACTGGAATAAGCTTGATTAGCGGGAGGAGGGAGGATGCTGGTAAGATTTGCTTCTGCTTACTGCTATGTATCTGCTATCTATGGCTTGCGTATGCTTTATTGGCACGTTTGGCCCTTGCCCATCCACATTGGTTGGATCAGGAATCAGGAGGTTGGCCAGCCAGGTGGAAGGGTTTTTTTGTCATTTTTGTCACACACATGCGATGTCGGATACAACGCATAATATTCAACAAGTTGAGATGTTGTCCGTTGTTTTTTTGCCTCACGGGCCTCACGGGTCACACGATAAGGCGTGACGATCAGTACGAGCTGATGGCGAGCATTGATAGCTATTTATCAGCAGTCAAATATGATACACACTAGTACCGTTGGTCTCGAGAGGTCATACGGAGCAGCTGCGGAGTAGCGTTGCTTCGAAACTCCGGTGCCTGGCGGACCTCAGATGCATGCTGGCATGTTAATGGGGGACCCTGAAGGCAACATTGAACTAAAAGTTGAGAGAGATCTATGTATGCCCTGTATGCCCGCATGTGGAATGTGTAAGCTGAGCCGCCGAACACCGTATGTAGCAAGGACAGCATTGGAAAGTTCGCTATCCCATTCTCATTCTCACAGGCTTCGGACCAACGCAATAATTTGTCTTGATTTTGCTTAGTATTGGAATCGCGACGAAGCAATTCTGACTTTCTTGCCTTGGCCAATTCGGCTATGCTTTTGCAAGAGCCGAGCTATATCGGATGTAATCGTACAAATGCGTCCCGTACAATGACCGAGAACCCGTTAGACATTCGTGCTATTTTCGTTTGACACAGTGACAAGAATGTTTCTCGGCTATGGAAGAGTGACTTTGGATATACATGGATGTCGAAGCTTGGGTTTGAAACTCTTGGGAGCTTTCAAGACCCTCTCTAAGACCTCAGTTTGAGAAATATGGTAGTCTTTTTTTTCTTCATGGGTTTTGAGTTATTTTTTCATGAGACGCATTTATTGATTTGGGGGTCGTCACTGATGGTCCTCGAGTAAGGATCTGTGTGATGTCAACGGAACTAAAGTACACTGTTCTAGGAGCTCTCCGGAGTTACAAGCGCTATACATCTTACCCGGTTGTATGGGTTTGTCCGTCGTACTCGTTTCGTATAGATCCCCTATACCTGTAGGTAACTAGAAGAACAACGAAGAACAGAGAACATAGAAGGACGGAAAAGGGGTTTGATATCTAACTTAATATTGACTTATTAATTGATATATGATGGAAGATTTTTTATCTTGTGATTGCACGATACTTCTCGTTTGATTTTTATTAATAAGTCAGCTCATGTCTCTCGCCATATAAGTCAACGCATCATATTCTGTAGAAACATGTGATGTTAGACGTGATTATGTTACCTAGCCTGCTAGCGTAGGTGTAACATCCATGTGTGTAGAGAGAGAAAAAGAGGTGCGGCGGGGTGATACGGATGTAACTGACAAGTACAGTTTATCAGGGAGTACAGTAGGAATTCCCCGAATGAGCTTGCTTTTTTACCCCTCTAAAAATAAGAGCTCAAAAATAATAGGCCCTGGGTAATCGCATGTGGGCAAGTGTTGTAAGGTGTAGGTAAGGCCAAGCCTATGGAAAAGCCATAGGAAGCTGCCATGGGCTGCTATAGCTGCTATGGGAGGGATTAAGCACCCCACCTACCCACCTTGCTGCATCATGTATTTTTCTTGGTAAGGTCTCGTCCCTCAACCAATTCCAATTTTATTTTATGTCGCTCATATGCCATCATAAAGCTAGTTAGTAACCCCTCCATATCCCTCTTTTCACTCAACAACAACATATTTAATCTGGTCTGTCTACCATCTACCTCTTTCAATTATCTTCTCTTGTTATTCTTTTCTAATCAAACTTCTTCTAGTCTACGCCAGAGCCCAGCAAAACAGAACAACAACAACCTTTCCAATTTAAATAATAATAGGTAAGAGCTAGCTTCCCCTCTCCCTCCAAACAGCTCCCCTTCGTTACCCCGCTATTGATTCTCGCATGGATGTTGTAACATTGACGAGAGCTTTTGTTTCTTGCCCCGCCTACCTGGATCACTTGGCTTTGTTTGGAATCTCGGAAGCTCTTTCTGCAACGTTGGGATGCGAGATGAGACGAGTAAAAAAAATGGGAATGGCTGTGCTACACAGTAGCAATTCTAATTCTATCGATTTCGGACGGCCGTAATCCATTGAGCTGAATGAATTGAAATACCTCGTCTTACGACTCATCTTTCGAACCCAGATTCTTCCATCTTCTATATCATACTATCTGTTTCTCCTGTTAATAACCCAAAAACCTCAGCTAACATCACCCCCTTGCAGACTCAGTCGAAAATGGTTGTCAAGGTTGGCATCAACGGATTTGGCCGTATCGGCCGTATCGTCTTCCGAAATGCTGTCGAGCACGAGGACATTGAGATCGTTGCCGTGAACGATCCCTTCATCGAGACTCACTACGCTGAATACATGCTGAAGTACGACTCGACTCACGGCATCTTCAAGGGAACCGTCTCCCACGAGAGCGACGGCCTCATTGTCAACGGCAAGAAGGTCAAGTTCTACCAGGAGCGTGACCCCGCCAACATCCCCTGGAAGGAGACTGGTGCTGAGTACATCGTCGAGTCGACTGGTGTCTTCACCACCACTGAGAAGGCCAAGGCTCACTTGAAGGGTGGTGCCAAGAAGGTCGTCATCTCTGCCCCTTCTGCCGATGCCCCCATGTACGTCATTGGTGTCAATGAGAAGACCTACGACGGCAAGGCCGATGTCATCTCCAACGCCTCTTGCACTACCAACTGCCTTGCTCCCCTTGCCAAGGTCATCCACGACAAGTTCACCATCATTGAGGGTCTCATGACCACCGTCCACTCCTACACTGCCACACAGAAGACCGTCGACGGTCCCTCCAACAAGGACTGGCGAGGTGGCCGTACCGCTGCTCAGAACATCATTCCCAGCAGCACCGGTGCCGCTAAGGCCGTCGGCAAGGTCATCCCCGACCTTAACGGCAAGCTCACTGGAATGTCCATGCGTGTCCCTACCTCCAACGTCTCTGTTGTCGACTTGACCATCCGTATCGAGAAGGGTGCCACCTACGACGAGATCAAGGCCGCTATCAAGGAGGCTGCTGACGGTCCTCTCAAGGGTAAGCTATATTTCTACCTAATAATAGTAAATGCAAACCAGAAACTAATATATTATCTTAGGCATTCTCGCTTACACCGAGGACGATGTCGTCTCTACCGACTTGAACGGTAACACCAACTCCTCCATCTTCGATGCCAAGGCCGGTATCTCTCTGAACAAGAACTTCGTCAAGCTCGTCAGCTGGTATGACAACGAGTGGGGCTACAGCCGACGTGTCCTTGATCTCCTGTCCTACATCGCCAAGGTTGACGCTGGCAAATAATTTCCTACAATTTAATGAAAAGAAAGCTCTGACGGCGTAATCAAAACGTGCGGGTGGGTTTTCGTCCAAATAATGACTGCCAGGGAATATGGCTGGGCTCGGTTGAGCAGTACGACATTATTATGAATCATCATAGATAAATGAAATAAACAAAAAAAATCATCTTGATATTGACATCCTCGCCGTATTGCGGCTGTGAAATTGGTTACACTGCGTGACGAGAATGTAAAATTACACCTTGTAATGTCACTCGTAGTTACTTCAAGGTATATTTCATTCGCATCCATAATTGATCAATTCAAATTAATACGAAAGGTAGTAATCGTAACTTCAAAAAAGTTTCAATATTGCAATCCGCTTACGCCGGTGTACCTATGATACACTCTTACATCGTAAATTACTCATCCGGTAGTAGTAGGTAAATAGTAGTAGTAGTAGTAGTAGCTTGCTTGGCCTGTCTCTCTTATTCTCGCCTAAGCTACCAGCTTTTGGTATCCCACGTAACGCCACTGAAAAGGGGAAGAAACAAAACACCCAAAAATTACGCTTAGCTGATCTCCATAGCGTCACCACCGGCGTGCCCATTGGCTACTGTCAAGTCGACGGCACCGGTCTCGCCGATTAACCGCTTCTCGGACTGGTTTACGAACCCGACGCTGCGGGCGGGATCGTAAAAGAGCTTGAAGCTGCGCTGGACGTCCTCGACGGATACTTGCTTGGCCTTGCGCTTGGCGCAGACGAGTTGGGAGGTGGTGATTAGATTGCTCGCGTATCGGAGACCGGCTTCCTGGCCGATCTTGGTTAGTAAGGCTAGAGCATCGGGTGATACGTCGACTTCTTCCTCGGTGGCGCGGAGGCCGAGGATCTGGCGGATCTCGTCGGGCGAGTAGGTCTGGGTCTGGATGATGACTACGCGGTCGAGGAAGTCGAGGGGTAGGCCGTGGGGGCTGCGGTAGTCGGTGCCGCGGATCTTGGAGTGGCCGCGGTTGCTGGCCATGATGACGATGGGGGCGAGATCGACCTCGAGCGCGCGGTTGATGTAGCTGAAGCACTCGATGTCGAGCATGTGCACCTCGTCGATGAAGAGCACGCCCGGCACGATCTCGGCTTTGCCTTCTTCCTTCCACTCGCCGACCTTGGTGTCGATCTGATCGCGGATCTCGCTGCGGATCTCGCCCGTGTCGCCGCTGAAGAGGGCGAGGAAGCCCTGGGTGCGCGAGTTGATCACGTCGATCTCGTGCAGGGTGACGGTATGCACGACCTCCTTGCGCTTCTGCAGCTCGCCGTCCGGGCACTGCAGGAACTTGGTGTCGACGCCCATGGCGTCGTAATCACGGCTACGAGCGTAGCTGCGGCCCAACTTGGTGATCTTGCCGGAGCCCTTGTCGATGGAGATGATGTCGCCGGCCATGACGCGCTCCTTGGTCATGGCGTCGATCATCTTGGCGCCCATGTCGTAGACGGCCTCCATGTCGGTCGTCTTGATGGTGAGCTTGCCCTGCTTGGCGCCGCCCGTCACGCTGCGGTCGATCTGGATCTCGACGACCTCGCCCTCCATGATCTCGGACTCTTCCTTGATGCGCACGCCGATCGACTTGCGGAAGGCTTGGGTGAGGGCTTCCGTCTTGGACATCTCCAGCGAGAAGATCTCGGACGAGGCGAGCGATGTGAAGGGCACGTCGGGGCCGAGCGATTGCGCCATGCCCATTGCGATGGCTGTCTTACCCGTGCTGCGGAGCGGAGTTGTGGTCAGTCAATGGCAGGTCTATATATATAATTAATAGATAATATGAATTGTAAGCTTGGCTTACCTTGGAGGCCCGGCGATGAGAACCGCCCTTCCGGCAATCTTCCCTACCTTGATCATTTCTAATATGACGGCGGCCGCCTTTCGCGCCTTCTCCTGGCCGACGAGGCCTTGCGACGCCGAGCGAGGTTCTAAGGTGTCGGCATCTACGCCTAGGCCTCTGATATGCGAATGCGCCGCGATGAGGTTCAGGCCTCGCAGCTCTTTGGTCTCGCCGACGGTCATGACGGGCTGTATGTTTCCACAGTATTGGTTAGCTTTCGAAGCTCCATTTTCTCGTTTATTATCGCTAAAGGTTTTTTATTTTTTTAATTCGTAAAGCGGTTACTTACAGCAGCCATTTTTGGAGAGAACTCGGATTCAATTCAATTCCTCGGGTTGAGTGTTTTTTGTAGCTCTGGAGTTTCCTGTTTTGGCGTTGTCTCTTCGCTGGTTGGCCTTGTTAGTTAAATCTCCAAAGCTTCCTAGGAAGTTCGAATCGCAGCTCTGGAAAATTGAACGCGTTACATGGGTACACGGCTTATTGTACGTTATCAATAGTTATCGGTATCTTATCAGCTCATCTTAGTAATTTTGCGATGCAATGGCCGTTATTAAGGCGAAGTGATTACGGCGTTGTGGCGTTGTGGCTTTACTGGAAGCAATCTTCCGGTAAGACTTTTTCTGTCGGCTTCCAACCTTCGCAGTGTAACTTTACAAGGCAACTAAAGGGGTACGCAGAGTTATATATATCTGAACCTTTTGATTGGTCAACATTAATTAACTCCTCATAATAGTAGATGCAGTGGAACATAAACCGCTTGACAACAGATGCCCTACCCCACTCACTTATTTCGATCGTTGTGTTACCTGGGTAGCCACCACTGATATTTTGTTAAAAATAATCCAATATGATCAGGTACAATACTTGGTGTACCTTAGGTAGCGTTTAACCTAAAATCTTACAGCTTTTAACCCAACCGGATGGAAAAAGCAATTAAATCATGGACCAAGCTTAATCTTTGATTGTCTCTTTGCCACTTATTTCGGTTTGCATATCGCGTTTCATCGCGTCGATCTTAGTGTATAAGGAGTTGCAACATTAAGCAGCTTTATATGTGAGAGCGAGTTGGCTTTCTTTTCTTTTTTTTTCTGTTGGTAACAACAGTCAAATGCACATCGTATTTTATTATTAATTCATGCCCCCCTCCCGCCTCTATAATGTGTACCTAGGTAGGTACAGGCATCTGCTGGTTGTACATACTAACCTACCTACATATGTACTGCCCGTTGGCTTACATCTTTTCGTGATCCTTACCTCCTATAGGACGTACCTCAGGTATCTACCTAGGTACTTCAAAAAGTACTCTATTTACTTGGCTCCCGTCGTCTGATAACTCAAGAACCGAACTTACAACGCATATACCTCTTGTTGGCCCACCCACCGCTCTTTCCTTCTTTTATATTCGTTAAGTAGGTGCCCACAGAGCGAGATCTATCAGTTGGATTAGCTGTGTGCACCTACCAAGCGCTAACAGCGCTAAGGGGTCTAAACTCTTACCAGACTACCAGACTGCAACTTCTACCGAAGCAATATATTTTGCGAGCACAACCCACCCGACTCACTTCCTTCTTCAGGGTTCCAACTCTTTCTTGCTTGCATCCTATCCTACCTTACTTGATTCAGCTCGATCCACGTCTTGATCCTGACAGCGGCCAACTGTTTTCCATTGGCGCAGGATTAAATACTTATATTGAGACCGGATTCGAGAGCAGATTCGAGAGCGGATCTTCAAGTATTGTGATTAACTTGCGTTTGCCCAGCCAGTTACGCTCTTCTTATCAACCCTTTCTCATACAGTACCTACCTACACGCCGCGACTCTAAAGTAAACCTCAAAAAAACATTAGGTTAGAAGGTGTTATAGTATCTACTTAGGTAGGTGCCTATTGTGCCTCGCCGTGTTTTTGATTGAGTTGAGGACTGCTAGTTCCTGTTGCACTTGGTTCATAGTTGCCTACTATCTAAGTTTTTCAAAGACTTGGAGAGAGACAACCCAACCTAGGTAACTTGGAGTAGTTAGTTATCTTTCAAGGCAATGACAGCGTCGTACGTAACTGGGTTATCAGGAAGTTGCAGTGTAAATTTCAAGAACTGGGGAAGCCATTGGCTGATTTTATTTCCCTGGTTAGCAAGATAACCTCGGATTACCTCTGATAACCTCAAGCCCAATTATTCTTTTTTTCTTACTTTACTATGTCATACTCTCGATCTAGAGTAAGTGGTTTTGAAGACGAGCGACGTCGCCCATACGGCGGCACTGACTCGTATAAACCATTTGAGGATCGACACACTTCTAGTGAATATTCTCGTGATCGCGGCAGAGAGGTTGAGCGTGATCGAGATCGCAATATGGTCCTGGGTCGGCGCGACTCTGGAGACGCGGAAGGTACGCGAAGTCCGCACGGCCGTGGAAGAGATATGGGCGGTCCAAAAGACCTCCACCGGCTTTCTATTGATACCAGGATTCCTACCGGTCCTAGGCGGACTGTGTCAGGTACCTATTCCCCCGCTAGTGCTATGAATAGCGTTCCAACCCGCCCAACCTCGACTGAACCGGGTGAGTTTTAACTTCCCCGATAATCTATTAAGCCACCAATTAGTCTAACATGGACAATAGCTACCGATGGTATTTCAAAGACGACTAGAATATCTAGTCCGGGTCCTATAGCCCCGCCAAGCATTCCCAAAGCCAAGGATCCTAGGTTACAAGAAGTTTTCGAAGTCATATATAAATGTAACGAGACTTCACAAGAGCGCATGCTCTTGAAATTACGGAAGAGCAAACTACTGCGCGAGGACCATCAACGTCGGCGTGAGCTCGATAAAATCGCCAGCAAAGTTAATGATTATGCTCCATACTCGGAATTCCAGAGACGATTTGACGAATGTGGGAAGTTAGAACGGGACGAGATCTCAACAAGTCTCGCTAAACTCGATCAGCAATTCGCGGAAACCTTGGAAAGAGCCGTATCTTCTATAACATCTTCTCAATCGCAGGCAACTGATAACAACTCTCTCCGAGCGTTAGAGGCCAAATTTGCCGAATTTCAGAAACAAAGTTCTGAGCAGCAAAAACAAATATCTGATGCCCATGCCCAAATTCAGATACTACGTAGTGAGCGAGAACAGTCAGTCCAGGCTTTCAATAACCTGGATAAGGATTTTAAGGTGTTGAGATCCGATTATAATACTCTTCAATCTGAAAACTCGCAGCTCAAGACGCAAATCGCGGATCTTGATGCTCTTAGAAAAACTCAGGATGACTTAAACCGGCTGACCCAGGATCTCGGGTCCTTTACCACTAGAGTGGATGAAGTGGAAAGGAAGGCGACTGCGTTTATGGATAAGGTCAAAGAGCTTGACATGGAGACCTATAACGAAATCCTAGAGACCTGGATCGACCATGATTTTAAATCCAAGGTGTTTTCAAATGAAAAAACAATTGCGTCTTTACGCCAAGACTTCCGTTCTCTGCAGGAGTCAGCTACGTCTCATTTCGACAAGAACGATTCTTTCATCCAAGAAACCCGGAAGTTCATAGAGAATGCTGGAAATTCCCGACCCGTTGTGTCACAACTAAGTAACGCGACGTCAGTAAACCAGCCTGCACAGGAAGGTTGGGTTCAAGAAAAGCTAGATACGTTACGAAAAGTTATGCAGAAGACAGTTGCCGATTCTGGCGAGAGTTGCGCCGAGATGGTTGACGAATTGGCAGTTCGCGTTGACAAAATCTCAGCAGATGTAAAAGCTCTTGAAAAGCTATCTGCGCAAATTAATATGCTAAAGCAGACCGGAGATGGGCAGCACAATGCGCTGCAACACTTACAGGATTGTATAAAGTCCTTAGAGGCCGAAGGAGTTGGTCCTAAGCTTGACAACGTCATCATCAAATTGGCCGATATGGAGGGTAGAGTAACCTATCTTCAGCAGAGCAACGCTACCGGAGGAACAGTTGGCCTTAATTCCATCATGAGCGCTATCAAATCGGACGTCGAGGACGGCAAAAAAAGATTCGATTCACTTGAGCTTGCTATCAGGACGTTAGACAGCCAGTGGGCAAACCTCAACTCGAAGCAAATGGCAGTTCATATTCTTCAACACCTCGACTCTTATAGGCAGCAAACTGAAGGACGGATCATTAGCGTCGAAGCAGGGGTTGGGGAATTAAAAAATAAACTTGCTCTCATCGAGGACAATCTCGCTTTGTTAAGAGACCCGAAATATCTTGCAGCTATCATAAAAGCCTCTCCGCCGTTGGGAAAACGGCCAGCTTCTCCCGGATCGGCTGCCGAGGACCCGATGAAAAAAAGAAAGCTGGATACAAAGAGCCAGCAGACACAATCAAACACTACCCAGGCAGCCAAAAGCTGATGGTCATTGGTATAAGTCAACGTTACTTTGATTACCACAACGCTACCAAAGCACGTTTCTTAAGGGCTCGCATGATGGCGCTGCGGTCAAGAACCAACCATACAAAATAGTATCGTAACTTGAGTCCTTGTTTTCTTTGTGTGCCGCAATGCCATTTGCGTCACGCGAAACCGACATACCTCTACCGTTCGGGTACAATCAGAAGACCTGCAATCCTCTTGTTTGTCTAACTTATTGCGTTAGATGGAACGCATGGTTGCAATACCCACACCCCTCTATATTAATGCTTCCAAGGTGGGGGACTTCGAGAAGAAAAGTCGGCTAGAGGTTGGAAGTTACACGAAGATGGAACGTCTGCAAAGACTTGGCAATATGGCGGCCTATGTGCATATGTCTACCGTGTAGAGCTTTACTTCGCAGATTAAGTGAGTTTCGTACCTAATTATTAGGGGAATAATAAAACAGTGAACAATCAAAAATTACCCTTGACTTCTTTTTTAATAACTCCATAACTACCTATACATGCACTTTATAAGCAATCCACAGGTGTTTACCTATGGATATATTTTGCGTCCCGGAGTACTTCGTAATGCCCATATCTATATGCCCACCTATCTACCGATGTATGCACCCATTATATACCAACCACGTTCCAATTACGGTAGGCGAAGTCTATGAGAAACCCTATCATAACAGCTTGAGGCCACCAGTGACCTTGTCAACAAGACTCTTGGGAGCGGGTCCAACACCTAGGACTGTTAGGCTCCCCGGGTCGATCTGGGTGCGGCCAGCGTCCTGGATGACCTCGGCTGTTATGCCTAGGCTGCGCGCCTTGCCCATTAGCTCCAGCAGCTCGGCTTCTGACTTCACTTGCACGGCGATCTTGGCTTGTCCCCGGCGTTCCCAGCGCTGTAGGAGTCGTGCTTCGGCTGACGAGGGGTTTCGTTGGGCGGCGCGGGTGAGGGTCTTGTAGCATGCTAAGGTTGCGTGGGAGCATTGTGCTGCTATTTTGCCTGTGAGGTGCGGATACGTGTTAGTATTGGGTTTGTGGCTGGAGGAATAGCAGGAATAGGTAGAGGTAACGAACCTTTTGTCATGCCTAAATCTGTTCGCACAACTAAGACTAGCTTGCACTCTTCATTTGCAGACCCTTCGGCTACTGTTTGTTGAGGCTGAGCACTGTCCGCCTTGTTTTCTGCCTTGTCCTTGGGAGACTTCTTTGGCTTCGGCTTAGAGGCCTTAAGCCCGTCCCTTCGATCGGCTTCCTCGCCGTTGGCCCAGTTAGGCGCATGGTCGAGGATTGTGTCGTTTTCATCGATGTCGGACTCGTCGCTCTCGACGGGGTCGTAAAGGTTGCTTTGGCGCTGGGAGGCTAGGGACGGAGAGATCAATAGGTACCCTCGCACCGAGTACATGCCTAGCAGGAAGCCGGATAGGAAGACCACGATGCTCGTGGAGACGAGCATTATGGTGGTGGCTTTGTCTGCCATCTTGGAGGATGGACAGGGGGTAAATGGTTAAGTATCGTTGCTGGGTATTTTCACAATAGGAAAATAGGCAGGCTGGAAGATATATATTGTGTCGTTATTATCGCCGCTCCATAGGTGGAGACTATGTAGTCGTAGATTGACAAATAGGTAGTTAAAAGAAACGAGTGTACGTTAAATTGCTGAGGATCGTCAAAGTAAATAGATTTATAATATGAGGCTGAGAAAATGCAAGGCCTGCAGAAGCTAAGATCTCGAACAAGACAAAAAAGGTTTAAGATCTTACGGCAAGATGTAATATGAAGCAACCCCACATCAGCCTTGCGTTCCCATGTGAACTTGCTAATTCCTGCCTTACCTACTACCTCATGTACGTACCTAACCTACCTAATGTACAATAGTGTAGGGCAAGTAAGTTGCAACCCATGCCGCCCCTGCTTGCCGGCGGCTCTGATTTGCTATAGCCACACCCTTTTACAATTTGTCTCGGTTTCGTACGTAACAAGAGAACATTTCAAAGTTGGAATCGTCAACACACGTGTAACTATCTGCAAAGTATAAACCGAAGCGATCCTACCACGATTTTTGCACCCAGAAGAAATTATACTTTGTGCCGCCTATCAAAAGAGTTAAATCTCTCGCTAATAAAAACTTGTCTTGTGCATATCGGAGATATACATATGCATATAGTAGAGCTCGGCAGAAAGATAAAGGCGTCAGGCTTCTCTGATTAGGTCTCCTTGCCGTATAACCCGTAACCGGTTAGGTACACGTAGATATGGCAGATAGGGTAGTAGTCGGGTGCATGTGTGAATGATGCGATGCTAGTGGCAGGAATAGACTATTTTGGTGCCCTATCAAATCATTCCGATGCGTATTGGTGGGGTTCCTCAGCCGGTACCGAAGAAGGTACCTACCTAAGGAGGGTTCTATCTATGACCGGATAAGCCACACAAGCCACATGAAATCCTACCTATGTCCCGTCTAACCTTAGGTGTTAGGTAGGCTGGTAGGGCAGGCAAGTACCTAACGCAAAAGAAGTACGTAAGGTTAGTGGTCTTTCCCCGATGTCGTGAATGTCGAGCAGAAAACGGGTAGCCGCAACACAACAAGGGAAACTTGGAGGGTTAGATCAAACTGGGGGTTCCATCTTTGCCCGCGTCTACTGCCCCGTTAGAGCCACCTCTGTCACTATCCGGTCCTTCACCATCGCTGAAGGCGCGAGTTACCTAAACTGACTAAACTGACTAACTGACCCAAGCAACCCCCGTACTGGAAACATCCCTGCATTTTATTGTGTAGCGTACACTCCGTCCCCTACCTACGACTGCTACCGCCTGCTACTACGACGGGTTCGGTGTTCACCCACTTCAACCAACTTCTTCCCGCTGCCGATCATCACGCATCATCTGCAACAACAATACCTGGTGTCATCAGTACGCAGACTTTACTTTTGACCTCCCCGACACTCTTTGTTACCTTTCCTTTCTTTCCTCCGACGAGCCTCATCACCAGCCCCTTTCCTTACCATAATAACATTTATTTTCCGCTTACGTCCCCGGTATATTATTATTATTTTTTCCCTTCTTGTAATCCTTCGCCGACGCGAACCACATTTTGACGAGCGATGCGCCGGGCCGAATGTCACGAGGATTTATTGGAGGCTGGATAAAACAGCAAATGATGTCTACGCGACAACAGTAACTTGTGTCTATTTACTGTGTATTGCATTGTACTTTACGGGCTTGAGGGTGTGCAAAAGGTGAAAAAAAGGGTAGAGCGAGCGTCACCATCGCACCCAACTTTGAGGTCAGTCAAATAAAACTCCATTAGAGAAATACTTTGGATGGTGCTTTTTTTTTTTATTGTGCCCATCCCCATAATTTCCAATTCAGCCAATGCCTGTCGAATTGGCTTGTCGTCGCCATTGCTTCGAGGAATACACGTCAAATCATTGTCCGATCCCCGTATCATACGTTCTTCTATTCACCCATTTTACAAAGTCTAGCACAGACCGGAAATACTAAACTCTAACCTTCACAGAAATAGCTCCGTCTTATCGCAACGCCCCTAGAACCTAATGATACCTTCCACATCATATTGACTCATACCGACCCTACATAATTGGCATCTGTCACCCCAACCGCGCTTCCTTTCATGATTCCTAGCACCAGGTTCGCGTGCAACGTTTCCAAGTTGCATGAACAAAGAAAACCATGGAGGAAGTAACCAAACATATTGAAACACTAGTTAAAGACGTCCTCCCGTTCAAAGCACACTACTTGTCACTGGACACGACGCGCCGATACCGACCACACGCGGATGACAAGAGATTAGAAGAGCAGGACATCAGACCCCTTCAATACACGACCTTCGTTAGTGACGCAGAGCGTGGTGTTCTCCTGACAAGGGCCTACTTTGACGTGCGGGAAGAACCTTTAAATCCAGTCAGCGCGACCGATACCCCAACACCTCGAAGGACCGATCCGAGTAAACCAAAAACGAAACTCTCCCTGAAAGACTACAAGAACAGGAAAAAGTCACCCGACGGCGAAGAAACGCCCAAATCAGTAGCGCAACCTCCAAAGACGAATGCGCCTCCAAAGAAAAAGCTCGATTCGACTACGAAAGAGACGGAGGATCACCGTGCTATTAAGAAGGAAATTCCCGACGCAAAATCTAGCATGAGGCCTGAGGCGCGTCGCCCTCGTAGTCCCTCGCCGGATAGGAAAAGACGGGTCACAGAGGCTGAGCAGGAGTCCAAGCCAGTTAAGCGGAGCAAGATTGGGAGCTCTACGCCTAACTCTATAAGTTCACGTCCCCTTAAGGATAGCGCTGCTCAGAAGCCCGAACGACAGGCAGCCTCTGAAAGGAAGCTTCTCAGAGATTCGAAAGGCACACCGTCCACCAACGGAAAACCGTCACTCAACAGCACAGGGACTCCCAGGCCTCCCGGTCAAGTAAATGGTGCTCAAAAAACTATTAAGAACAAAGACGGACCAGATAAGAAAGTAGAAAACAACTCGACCTCCAAGGTGCCTTACGTACCCCCCTTATTATCTCCGATTGATATATTAGACTACATGGACGATTCTAAGCCGTCGCGGCCTAGCCCTAAGAAGAAGCCGGCGGATTCGAATAACCTAAAACCGCCGTCGAAGAAAAGTAGAGGAGATCGTGAGCCGTCTCCTAGTCCTAAGAAGCGAAAGGTTCCTCCCCTTCTTTCTCCGACACTCCCACCCATTGTGCTCGAGGAATTAGCGAGAACAAAGTCAGCTTCAAAGGACTCGAGTCAAAGAAGCAGCCAGGTCGCCTCCGACTCCCCTAATGGTCAGAAAAAGGCGGCGAAATCTTCGAGGCGCGAAGATACCATACATGTGGATAGCGGCAAAGGGCAACGAGAGTCGCTCATGGTCACATTAAAGTATAAGAAGCGCAATGTAAAGACGATAGAACGACTATTAGCCTTACCTCCCGGCGGAAGGAAGAAGAGCAATTTATTAGGGGAGGGTGGCCACGTTGCTCGCGATCGTTCCGATAGCTTGGAACCCGGGACTGCACGTAAGCGACCCGTGGCGGATCCCCCTAGCGAACCGATCAAACGGCCAAAAGTCGTAGAGAACCCACGACCTTCTACACCGCCGGGACCGTCATCGCAAATGACGCGAGGCGCATCTAGTAGTTCCCAAGTTGGTACCCCAGGAGTGGCGAATGGTCTCACACCAGCCGCGCAGCCACCCGATCGACGCCGTCCACCTGTCGACCCAGAGAAGCTACAGAGGCTGCAGACGAGAGCCTTGAATTTCATCAAGCTTGGCACCCAGCTGAAGCACGAACGAGATGCAGTTTTGAAGAACCCAGGGGATGGAGTTTCGGAACGCGACCGTCAAGTTGCTATTGCTGCTGGTATTCAGTGTGTAGTGTCGTTTCTCCTTGGTTTCAAACTCCAATGTGACGCCTCCGACCTCGAGCGTAAACGAACCTCAACCCGGCCAATGCGAGAATTATTATTATTATTCCGGGTAGCCAGATCCGACTGTGCAAGACACAATGCGTTGACCGCGTTAATACTACGACTCCAGGGCATCTGTCTCGTGTACATCGGTCGCATAATGTGGTCGTACCCTAACGATTCTGAACTTGCAAGCCATATCATCGCAAACTGCAAGGAGCAGCAAGATATCTGGCACCAGGCTGACGGCGCACGCAGAAGTATGGGTGTATACGATGGAAGTTCCAAGTCGGACGACGGGGGTTCGATAGGAAAGCTTATAGACCGACTTGGACCGTGGACGATACCTGAGGAAGCTATACCGATCACTCTCGATGTCTTACGCAAAGTCATGCAGGCTAACGGCCCGTGGAAGCCAGCCGAGTCCCTAACCAAATTGGGAAATTCCACAATAAATGGGATTTCCACCTGAAGCTAGAACCAATATTGAAGTTACCAGAGAGATACACTATTCCTACGGCGCACCGATTTTCATCCTAATGTATATTACGAACCATGATTTCTACGACATGATACCAAAATTCTTGTCTTCCTCCCACCTCCGCAGCAACAATCCTTCCAAAGTTTGGGTAATTAGGTTGTGAGGGCATTGGTCGAGGGCGACCCGGAGTGTCATGCGGCGTCTCGCAGGAACGAACGGAATAAGGGGTTGGTTTTGTGAACATCGTATACAGGTACCGCGACTAAGGGAACATAACCTGGTTTGATTTTTTGCGCGCGTGATTCTATCTGTCTATCTATCCGTCATACGAGGGGAGTCGAGAAGAGGAAAAAACAAAAGCTAGATGAACTGGCGTTCCATAGGAGAAAGCAAACGGAGGGAAAACAAGATGGGATTGCTTGGCCCCCCCCCCCCTTTTTTTGAGCGTTGGCCGTTTGTGCCTTCTTTTTTTTTTTATCCGGCAGTCCGTACTTACTTCGATGATATCCCGCCGGCACGGCCGAGCAAAATGGTATTTTGAATGACTACCTACCTACTTAATTCATTTGGCTATGTTTTTGATGTGTTGTGTGCCATGCCATGTCATGCTGTGAGTTGTGTTCGTGTGCTTTGATATTGGCACCCTCGGTGATGTAATGTAATTCATGCTTACGGTTTTGCGTAGCCTGAGCGGAGAAATAGGGGTTTCACCGAAGAGAAGGGGGGAAAGGGGGAGTCTTCTACGATTAGTAACTTAGGTAGTTAGTGTAATCAAAGTGACATGCGGACATTTGCGCAGGTTTAACGTATGAGGCGAAGGTTTATAATGTCTTGGCTGTCGAAGTATACGCGACACGCAATCCTAGTGTAAGAAGCTTAAAGATTACTTTATGACTCATACTTGGACTCTAGAAGGAATAAACTTTAATATTTAATATGTCATTGTGATAGCTCTCTACGATGACGATTTAAATTCGAGTAGGCTTTTAGTGTGCTCAAGTACCCGTCTCACGATAAACTTCACTCACTTAGATGGTGTAGTAATATCAGCCATTGGGTTATATTAGCATCATATCCTCATCCAACACTAAAATATAGTAATAATATCTGATTCAAAGGCGCATTGAATTCTTCCTTCGAAGGTAGTCCTTTTATTTCCAAAATAGGTAGCTAATCATACACATCGTGCCCAAATCGTTACTTAGAACGCCGTGGTATCATTCCTTTTCGTCTGCGGTCCAGCACCAAGACCAGTCAGTAATCATACAAAGTCAGCCAGGCGAGTCCAGCCCTCCTCGCCGGCCTCCCTGAATTCAACTCCTTCCCCGAAGTAGCCTGCGTCCTGCCAGGCTTTCATCGTGGGCCCGTCAAAGGGGCCTTGTTTATCGGCGTTGTCTCTGCCGTCGATCCAGCGGAACTCCCACATCTTGGTTGTAGGCGCTGTTTTTGGCTCTTTTTGCGGCTCGACCCAGGGCTCGTCGGCTTCGCGCGTGTATTCTCGGATTAAGCGCTCTCGCTCCCTGTCGTAGATATCTGGTCGGTCTCGCCCGAGTAACCTGTCTGACGCTTCGGTGATCGCGTTGATAGCTTCCTTGATGCGGGTCTGCTCGGGGTCTTCTGGCGCCTTTTCAGCGTCTACCTCCATGGCATCTGGCTTCTGCTTCTTCTGTTTCCATTTGGGGACTTTCTTGGTTTTCGTCTGACCCCGACCTAATCTGGCAAGAGCTTCTATTGGAGTCTCCCCGCGCTCTAGGTGTAGAATTAGAGACTTGAGTAGATCTGACGTTAATGCGCTGTCCTCTTCCTTGCGCTTCTGTCGCTGCTCGGCTTCGCGCTTTTCGTGGGCTTCGGCGGCTTTCTTCATGTCCTTCTTACTGACACCTTCGAGCCACCGGTCGTGTACGGCGTCGGGGTCGACAGCCTTGCGCACAAAGTTCCCTGCCTCGTCGAATCGCCCTTCCTCATTTTCAGCTTTCAGGTTGAAAGCCTCGACTTTGGGGGCGTGTTTCTTGAGCCCGCCAGCGCCGACTTCTTCATCCAGGCCTTCTTCTTGTATCGCGAGCTCTATTGCCTCTTCGTCGTCATCGTCGGATGATTCCCCTTCCAGGCGTATGGTTCCACCAGATTTCGATTCTGCTTCCTGGCCTTCGATCTTTTCGGTATCTACAAACTTGACTTCCTTGCTCTTCTTTCTTGTCGAGTAATCCACGGTGTCATCTTTCTCGTCACCATACTCTTCAGCCGCGAACATGTCATCCATATCCTCGTCATCTTTCTTCGGCTTGGACTTCGACGCGTGTAACGTGCCAAGCTCTTCCTGGTCAGAATCTGAATCATACCCATCGATGTTCACAGCTCCGCGCTTAGTCGCGGCGCTCCCGCGGATGATTTCTGCGTCGACTTCCAGGTAATTGTCAGGCTCTTCGTCTTCGTCTTCTACGTCGGGGGCGAGCGCGGAGGGATTCCGCATGTCGAACTTGACTTTCTTCGAGTTGGGCTCGGCATGATGCGTTCGCGCATAATTCTCGCCGGCGCGCTTTGGACGCGCGGCACTGAATCTGGAGGACATGATGATTGTGATGATGAGTGATGAGGCTGTCGTAGATTATGTATAAGTACAAGTATGAATTGAGGCAGAGCCTCCAATAGCAGTCGAGTTCGATATGACGTTGAAAATGAAAATTGCCCCTGTCTGGTAGCTGCAGCTCATCAGTGGGGAAAGAACATTAAGCTACTGTGTACCGAGCTACCAAGCTACCAAGCTGTCTAACCTAGTGGCTTGTCTGGCTTGTCTAATTCTTAGCAGCAATCGCGGTTACCTAAGGCGCGAAGTAACCCCCTGACGGATTAATACACACGCCGATGTTTCGTCATAAGCAGTTGCCTTCGGATACATGACCTACATAGAGCTCTGAGGAAGGTCCAGTAGCTTCTGTGAATGTACCTAAATTCAAGAAACTTGAAACTAAACAAAAAGTCCACTTCTTGTTCTTTTTTTGAAATATTCACCGTCTCTGATTTTATCCCCTCAACTGTCTATATCTATCTTCGGTCTCCCATTCTTCTTATCTTTTCAGCGAAGTAAGCCAAGTTTCCTAAAGTGACCCCACCTCGTTATGGTTAGTTACACACCCGGCCCTTTGTTCCGATTTCTGGATCTCTGCTGACCACAACTCTTTTCGTAGTACCGTGGATTCAACTCTTTTGACGTCGACGATCCGACTGCCATGTCGTACATGGCCCGATCCGGAATGATGCGCGGCCCGGCCATGCGCCGTTTCGACGAGTACTTCCGCTGTTACCCGATTATCATGGCCCCCGGAACCGAGAGACCGGAGCTCAACTACGGTTCCAAGATCTTCTTACCGCCCTCTGCCCTCCAGAAAATCTCCCAGTTACACGTTCAGTGGCCCTTGATGATGGAGCTGGTGAATGGCGAGAAGGAGCGCCAAACACACGCGGGTGTGCTAGAGTTCGTGGCGGAGGAAGGCAGAGCATACATACCGCAATGGGTTGGTTTTGGTGCCGGCATCACAGAGGAGTAACTATAACTGACGGGTTTAGATGATGCAAACGCTACAACTGGACGTCGGCGACATGATCCAGATAAAATCGACATCACTGGAGCTGGCTAAGATGGTTAAGCTGCAACCCCAGTCGACCAACTTCCTTGACATTAGTGACCCCAAGGCGGTTTTAGAGAAGGCATTCCGGAACTTCGCTACGTTAACCAAGGGCGACGTGTTCAACTTCGAGTATAACGACGAGGTTTACGATGTAGCGGTCTTGGAGGTGAAGCCGGAGACGGAGAAGATGGGTGTCTGTATGATAGAGACCGATGTCTCGGTCGAGTTCGCACCGCCAGTAGGATATGTTGAGCCGCAGAAGGGCAGCGGTACTAGTACACCGAGAAGCACAAGGGGCGGCCTACCCGCTGGCGGAGTTATGCACCCCCAAGGCACGATGGCCCAGTCTATCAACTACGACGCGATCGCCCCCAATGCTACAACAGCTGCGACCGGAGCCCGAGCGGTTTCATCTCATTTCCTAAATGAGGGTCACAAACTGAGCGCTAAGAAAGGCTCCAAAGCTCCAACGCCAAAACCCACAACACCCGTTGCCGGCACTTCTACAAATGCCGTACCCGTCCCGCGAAGACGGACGAACGGCCCCATGCCTCTTCGCCTACCACCTAACAAGCTCTTCTTTGGTTACGAGGTCAAACCGGTTAAGACAGACGCGGACAAGGAGGCAGAAAAAGAGAATGCGACTAGGCCGCACTTTGCAGGACAGGGCCAAACTCTCAGAGGGGCAGTTAAGCGGAAGGGCGAGGGGGAAGACAAGGGCAAAGCGCCCGAGAAGAAACCTGACGATAGACGAAAGGCATGATGGCATTGGACTAGGGGTGTACCAGGCGTTTACGGAGTTTCTCAATAATCCTACGGGCCTAGTAGATTAATGCGATGACTACGACATTCTCATACATCATTAACATTTATCGGGTTGCATCTCTCGATGGGGTTGCGGGCTGGGCTTGTAAGCATAATGGTCTAGTGTGTAACGGAAAGTATGTGTTCGCGCAGACTCGCTACGAGAACAAATCTTAGCCTGAAGAATAAAAATTTACATCAATGGATTGAACCAAAAGGCCATTATTCTTAACTTGCTAATATGGCCTAGGGACGTATTAACTAGAACTTGAATATCGATATTCCCAGATATTCATGGCTCAATCCGTAAAACCGTATATCCGTCTATCCTTGCAATGTCTCATTCATGTTCATATTCCCAAGCCTTTCTCTTCTTGCCTATCCCTAAACAATAACAATATCCTTCAGACTACTCAAATTAACCGGCCAAGCTTCACCTTGCATAATGCCACAAATGTAGACAGGAGATATAATCCGGTACTGGCCTCCGTGTACGTGTCTGATCACCATTGGAACACACCCGCCAGCCATAATAGCAACCTTATCCCCGGCTGCGATAGCATGCGCACCTGCTCCAAATGCTCCTGAGTCCGTTCTGAAGAAGGTCCAATAATACGAAGACGCGGTGAATAGCTCGTGTAGCTCGGAGACGTTGTCGTTTGCTGAGATTCGGTTGTATACTTCCATCTCAGGGGCTTCGTCGATACTTGATAGCTCATAGGCTGGTAGAGGCTTGGCTGGTAGGGTGGTGAGGAGTTCAAGCCATTGATGGAAGGACTCATTTAGGTCTAATTTTGCGTCTACTAATGCCTGGTTAGAGACTATTTCATACAGGTCGTTTTTCCACTCGTCTAGGCTGTTAGAAGCTTTCTTCATGTACTCGAGAGCTTGTCGTAAGACGCGGATATTATAAACCGCGAGAAAATTTTCAATGCCATCGCCTTTCTGTAATCGCTTGTATTTCCAGTCTGGGGCTATTTCTTCTTCGATCCGTAGTAATATATCGTCGTTTTTCAAAGCCTCCGCGGTGCGATAACGGCCTAGTAGACATGTCCCAAGGGATGAAGAGACGTCTCCGGTGATTATGGCAGAAACTTGCAGTGCTTGGGAGCCACCGGGGAGATTGACAAAGCTGAAGCTGGCGGTTGAATGTCCAGCGGCATGATAATCTCCCTTCGGTGTTGAACATGGTACCGAGGTTGCCCAGTTTGGGACCCAGGATGGCCAACTGTCCGATACGTAATAGCAACTTTCTAGATTTAGAGAGCCTGTAAAATCCATTAAAGCTTTGACGGTCTCCATGTATATGATTTCCAAAGGCTTCTGGTAGTCCGCTGCTGGGAGCGAGATGCCGTAACTGACCAGCAATCCGCGAAGCCCATATACTTTATCTCGAGGCTCGGTAGCTAGAAGCCTGCTTGCTTGGCGGAAGAGCTCTTCTATGCTGTCGTATTCTTCAGTGATGGCAACTGCTCGCCTCGGACCCTGTAGAGAGACGATGTGCGTGCCGAAGCCGTTATAAAGGGTCTGGTGTAGGTTTTGTACAAGACCAACGTTTTTGTGCGTGCTGTATAAGTCTGACCAGGACTTTATCAGGTTGAAGTAAACTAGTAAAGCTTGGCCATATATGAAGGTTGCTTTCCGGCTCAGAGCAACTTCTTGGACTACCCAGACGCGACTAAACCATGTCACTCCCCAGAACATATCGTTGAGGGCTGGTTATGGTTAGTATGTGTACTTTGGCTACCTTGTTATGAGAGAGCGTTGCGAATCAGCTTACTCCTGGTATCTATCTTGCTAGCTAATACAAGGAGTTTATCCGAGTATTTTTCGCTCCTGGAACCAAGACATGCATCGGCGAACCTGGAAAGGTCCTTAAATGTACTCTCCCAGGACGGCTTTATCGTAGACCCGAGCCACACGACGACCTCATCAGCGGCGGTATAGATGTCTCCCATTATGCTCACTTGTTGGTTGCGTTCGATTACCGCCGCTGGGGACTGGTTGATACAGATGGCATCGATCCATACTAACGAAGGCTTGCTATTAGTTGTAGCTAAGTATCGAAGTATATTGTTGCAATTTAGAGTGACGAGAATGGACTCTCCTAGGCAAAATGCTTTTTCCGTAGGTCGCTGTCCGTCCCAAGAATAGGATATGGCCTTAAAAGGGGGGCATTGATCAAGCGTAGCTTCTAGTAATTCAAAATTCACGGGTGCCTTGATCGAAGACGCAGGAAATAATTTCAAGAGCCTGATGCTATTAGGAGAACTGAGTGGAACTTGACGATAAATGCTAGCCATAGCCACAAGAAAATAAAGAAAAAGGGGGGTTAACCAGCTCAAATGCCATTTCAACTACTTCGCCCATTCTACGGGAACTGACCTCTTAATGAGCGATTTCAACCTGGTTTAAATCTTGATTTCGGTGTATTCGGTATAGTTAGCTGGACGCGTGGTTCGACAAGGATTACCATCACATGGTGACTATTTTTGGTCTCCTTTCCTATTTAGTGCTTAATAAGAGTATAATGGTCTGGTTGGAATCCTTCAACCACACCCCAAAAGTTATTGGGGGCCGCGACAGACTAATGTGGAAAGCTGAGTTAGCTATTATTCGCCTAATCCCATAATCGAACGGTTCTAGAATCTAATCACTGCCTTAATAGAATATGTTAACATGAAGAACATACGTCACACCTATAATAAAGCACAGGTAGTAATATGAGATATAAACATGTCTTAAGCTTGGCTAGACTTTATAAATAACTATCTATATGAATATGAATAGAAATATATATCGCGGGTACGGATATATACACGAAATTTGACCCGGCAGAATAGCGTTAAAATAACCGGAGCAGTCTACCAACAATCATGCTGGTGGGTGCGCCACCTTTTTCGACGTTAATTCTGCCTGGCTACCAAAAATATTTAGCAAGACGCTCCCGAAGGAACGTTGGAGCACTTAGAGCTGGTCTTGCCCCCGGTAATGCTCACACCAGACCACGTCCAGTTGCTGCAAGACCCCTTGCCGCACAGGATATACACATCAGTAGCGGAACTGGCAACGGAGCCCGTGACCTTGCTGACGGTGAGGTCGGTGATGGGGACGCCGGTGGTCGGGGTGCCGGTGGGGCTGCCGTTCTCGTAGTCCTGCTCGATGACGATGCCGTACTTGGTGATGTTGCTGAGCGTGATGCCCGAGTACGTGACGTTGTTGACGGAGCCGGTGGCGCCGTACACCGTCTTGATGCGCACGCCGTTCTGCGAGTTGCTGATGGTCGAGCTGGAGATGACCACGTTGCTCACGTCGTTGTCGGTGCGGCCGCCGACGGATCCGATGCTCAGGCCGTGGCCGCCGGAGCAGGTGCCGCCTGTGAACTCGATGTTGGTGCCCGAGTTGACGGCTAGGCAGTCGTCCTGGTTCTTGACGATTGCGTCGATGATCTTTACACCGTCGGAGGACCCGACGTCGAAGGCATCGGTGTTGTGGCCGCCGGCGGAGTCTCCGGCAGAGTTGTCGATGTGGATATTTTTTAGTGTGAGATCCTCGGCACCGTTGATGGAGAAGCCCTGGACTGGGGTGTTCTTGACGCTCAGCCCGTTGATCGACGAAGACTTCAGGTTGTGGGCGTAGAAGAACTTGGGCTTGGTCTTGCCTCCGTTGCTACCCTTTCCGTCCCACCACTTCGCGCCCTGGCCGTCGATGATATGGCCGCTGGCGCCGTTGACGGTGATCTTGGTTCCCGAGACGCTGATTAGGGGGCCCGACCATTCCTTGTACCCGAACGAGGTAGTGCCTTGGAAGGTGACGGTAGTGCCAGAAGTGAGGCTGGTCAAGTCGAGTGTCTCTCCAGCTGGAACAGTGATTCCGTTGAGTATGATATTCGTACAAGACTTCTTCTTGGACGCCAAAGTGTCGATCGAAGTGAAGGTACAAGTAGTAGCCCTCTCGTTGAGAGCGCTCGGGGCCGCGAGGGCCAGAGAGGCGAGACCAAGAACGGCAAGGTTATGCATTGTGCTGGATTGCGTTGTAAAGAACGAGATGTCGACTATGCGAAAAGAACGAATATATTCTCAGGTTATAAGTAAGGTAGAAACGAGGGACTAGCCTAGAGAAAGAAGCAAAGGACAGCTCAAGTTGCTATACTTACTAGCAAAATGTTATTGGTGGGAAAGCTGGACGACATCGACATCTTATACTACCTACTTGCCCCCTTTTGCCAGGTGGTATGACGATCCCCGAGTTGCATGCACGGCATGTTCCGTGATTCGCGCGGAAAACTGGTGGTGAGACACGGGCGTGCAAGGAATACGTTACCCTGTTTGGTGGATCTCCGCTTGGATCCATGTGCCCACCGGAAGTGTCCTGACCACTTACTGTGAGTAAGATTCTAGAAAGCAGCTAGAGTTTTGGAAGATATGGGTATACTGAGTTCTCATGACATACTCATGCAATACGTGTCTTGTGGAGGATAGTATAATTTCAGGGACTATACAAGGTCAAGGGCTTCGCTGTTCCGGCAGACACACGCGGCTCACCGTTCGATCGTGGGACCCGAACGGGCTCTAGCCGTATTGCGGTAGCATACCGATGCGCCGGAAACGCTAAGACAGGGGACAGGGGAGTTCAGGCTGCGTCCCCACATTATGATACGAGAAAGCTTAGCTTCAACATCCTTCAAGACGATTACGACCACTTGCAGCTGAGTTTCAGATCTAGAACATCAGACGAAATGCAACGTCAAAGCATAGAGGCAACAATAGACGCTGTGGGGATTTGTTAAATTAAGGCATAACACTGCTCATTCCGCACCTTTTTGAGGATAGTTAGCTGTCTGGGTTAGCTGACGTGGTGATTATACTAGTTAGAAGACCTATGACGAAGAGTATTGGAGGAATTTTATTGATAATTCCGTGGAGAAAAGTCACACCGCAAAGTCAAACTAGGCAACTAATAAATTTCAGTATCATTCGAGACCACGATCACTAAGTTCATCTCCGAGGCAGCATGCAGGAAAATCACCGACTCATAACGCCCCGGTGGGCTCAAGTTAACCCCTATGAACGCAAAGCCTAAGCTAACTCGAAGTAGATGGCAATATGAACGCAACGCAAATACCAGATGAAATAAATATCTTGCTCATCAGAGAACTTGTGTCCCTGGCATCCTCTTCGAAGTGAGGGGTGTGTTGCGAGATGTCGCAAACGAAGGCGATTTCTCTGCTCCTGGCTGGCAGAGAAATACTTAAGCCTCGCCACTGTCATCCTCTTCTAGTCGAGGTGGTTGTTCAGCATCGTCATCTTCATTGGCAGTGGGGACCGGAAAGGGGCCAAAGAGAGTCATGGGTTGGTGTTGTTCAAGCTGAGCTGCAGACTCACCCCAGTCCTTGTCATCCTGGGAAGCAACGGGCTCATCATCCTCCTCCAACTTCAAAGAAGTTTTTCTAAGGCGACAAATCAGTCTCATATTCTATCATATAGTCTAACTCTTAAGACTGATCAGTAGTATGAGCTTACCCTTTCTTGGTACGCTTCTTGACGGGCTTCTTCTCGTCGTTCTCCTCGTCGTCGGAGACCGGTGCCTTAGTCTTGCGTTTAGTGCCAGCGCGGGTACCACGGGCAGGACGAAGTTTGGCTGCTGCCTTGCCCTTGGTAGCAGGTTGATTAGCCTCGGGAGAGGAGCCGGAAGCACCATTCTGCTGAGATTCGGCCTTCTCGTCGCGGATCATCTTCTGGAAGTGCTGTCTATGAATATAAGTTAGCTTGATGTATAAAGAAGCTGAAACCCAAAGATAGGCACGGTCAAGAAGAACGCGAGGCACATAGGGAGTTAGTGAAGTTATGAGGTAGCTGCTCTGGGATGATCAATGCAAGGCATCCTCTGGTGGATATGGTGAAACTGAGAAAAAATGTCATAACACAGTTCATGAGATGGCCCAGGTAGGACGTTGATTTTCGATAGTAGATAGTCGATAATGATCCCATGATATACATTCACGATGCTGCAGTTTTGGGGAAAGAGCTCAACTCAAATCATGATATAGCAGAAGCTTTCGGGCTAACCCGTGAGCTTTTAACTCGGAAGATGGGATATAGATAGAAAAGTTGTTGATATGATGGCACTCTTGATTGATGAGAGCAAAGGGAGTCATGGAGGCAGTATGCTTCAGGCATGTTGGGAGACGTCGTGACTGGGAATACACTTCTAACATGAAAAGCACGATGATCAAATAGCAATAGATGGTGTTCACTTTGTAGTTTCGAGAGGGAGAAAAGTAATGAAAGATAATATATCATACCTCATAGCTTCTCCAGTGAATCCATAACCCACAGAATTCAGTTTGTGTAGGATCTGTTCCTTCTGCTCCGCCGTCAACTTAGCAACATCCCAGGCGATTCGTGAGAAGTCGCGGTAGGCTTCGAGAGACCAAGTCGAGCCCTTCGGCATGGTGGCGATGTGTGTTGAAGTTGGGTTCGAACCAACTGAGATCGGGATAGAGAGGTTGGTGGAAGATGGTGAGGAGGTTGTGGTTGATGTATTAGAGGATGGTTAAAAGATGGTGAAGAGTTTGGTTTGGTTGATAGTAGAGTAGGTAAGTAGGTATAAATGTTCAAGAATCAAATGACGTTAACAGGTAGCAGTAGAAGAGACGAGTTGTTCGGCTGGGAAGGTACGAAAGAGACTACGGGATGTAGTGCATGCCAAATAGTAAGGTAAAAAGGAAGGATGGGCTTACGTGGGATGAACCAAATACCTGAGTATTAGGAAAGCAGGGGATTTAGGTATGGGATAGTGCTTGCTTCTTGTGTGTGATGTGAACAAACTGGAGAATCCTAAATAGTTTGGAAGTACCTACGTGATAAATTCACTTACATAGATGATCCTTCCGCCAACGTTGCTACCCTTCTAGGTTAGGTAGTTATCTGCATTCACATCTTTCTTATATCTAAGGACTAGAAGTCTCAAGAGACCTTCGTGTAGAATAGCTGGAATTATTGGCTATCAATAAAATTTATCCCGATAATAACTAGCCCGCTTATAACTCCAAACTACCGATCAACGCGATGCCGCAGTGTTGTACAGAAATTGCCCGGATATATTCCTCTGATTTCCCCATTCGTAAGAGAAGCAAACGCGAGTCTTTGTGATCTATTGACTTCAGATTAAAAATAACGTAGCTTGAATAAACAACCATATAATGTAGACTGTTGACTACCGAACTGTTGTTGGCTGGCCATGGTCTAACAACTACGCCTTGCAATAGGAGCCTCGACCAGCTATTTTATGGTAGATTATGCCAGAACGTTCCCTCAGGGGCGGAGATGATTGCTGGGCGGAAATGATTATAACCACTAGGCTTCTCCATAGAACCTGCGAATTCGTTAATGTCTACATAGGGATAATAGACAGCCACGGGGGCATACTCAGGTGGGCCATAATGATCTTCGGGTCCAGTCAACCCATCTGCTGCTAACGACAGGACGGCTGCATCATCAGTCTGTTGCTGATCGTCCTCATCGAGCCGCTGACGTTTTGACGGTTGCTCGTCAAGACCCGAGTCGTCCTGCACTAGGCCTAAAGAGTCTGCCTCCTCGCTAGGGATTTGAACGGATATGCCACGATGGGGAGCTGTAGCATCTTCCTCGTCGTCGTGAACTTGACCTGGTACTCCGGGGGAAGATACTTGACTGAGACCAGCAATGGGTGCTGGGGGTTGTTTCCTAGGCCGCCCACGACCTGGACCGGGACGCCGTGTGATGGGGTTTTGAGTAGGGTCAGATCTGCGCTGAGCATCTATACCATTGGTCTCAACCTTATGCTGGGCTCTGCGGAGGCCTTGGAAGTGTTGACTAGTACGAGTTGGTTAGTTAGTTCCTACGTGCTGTATCATACGTTGTATATCATATATTATAAATATGCAGTGAAGTAATGCAGTGAAGTAAATCTGGCGCTTATCTCGACTTCTATCTTGGGTTGCGACAGCCTCAAGTACCCCGGTTGTACAGCTACTAAGCGACTTGGGAGTTATGGAAGTTAAGTAGAACCCTGTAGTTAATTGTGCGACTTGACACATCTTTTGCTTTTGATAGATGATGTATCTCTATCATATTGGAGTAGTAGACTAGGTAATGCGCTACTTGGTACATTTGCCGGGCACACACTAGGGGAAGAGGACAATACATAGGTAAGGCTACGTAAATTTGGACCGGGTACGTGGGAACCGGGTTGCAGAAAGAAGAAATGGAAAAGAAATGGAATTTACTTACCGGCATCCCTCATTTGTGAAGCCATATCCTAGGGATCGCATGTGATTACCAATGGTAGTCCATTCTCCGCCGCTTATTACGCCGATGTTTTTGACGGAGAGGATGGTGAAAAAGAGGTCCTTGTCAGCTCTGTCATTCCAATTTTTGTTCATTTTGGCTCTTTGGTAGCTCCGAGCCTTCGAGGCTAGAGCTTGGAGAGACGGGTACTAAGGTAGCGATGTGGGAACAGCTATAACAATAAGCTACTCTTCACGTGCGAATTAAGAAAATTGATAGAGATGAGAGCTTTTAAGAGGTTGAGAAGAATGGGTAAGGAGCTTTGAATTGGAGCTACCTGAATTACGCGGTCCGGAGTGGTAGTGGTAGAGTGGGTCGAGTCCCTTGGCAGTGTTGCCACTAAGAACAAAATAGGATAGCGTGCTGTTGTTTTTGTTCGTGCACGGATGTATGTAATAATCCGAGGCCTCGATGCGTTGCAGGTCTGCCAGTTTCAGTCTTGGCATCTTGTCCCAAATTCAACACCACGGTTTATATTCAAAATCAATCTGAAACAAGGTCATAGAAAATGGGAAAAATATAGACTAATTCTTCGGTCTTTATTCTTATCAAAGAAAATCTTTATATCTTTATGCCCTTTGAAATAATGGAATTGTGAGCAGGGAAATATTGTATATTGAAATGCCAAGACCCGGCCGTTAATTTTCTCTCCTGACTGCGAGTTGGGGTTGGGTGGCAGCAGAGAGAATCACGTGAGTTCGCAATTCGAAATACCTACCTGTGTTTTCACGGTTGGTATCACCTACATACATTGGGTACATGCATGTATGTCGCGCGAGATCAATACCTCCCGCCGTATCTGATCTCGAGTGTGTGTATAATAATGCTGTCGTTATAGGGGTGTCCAGGTAGCTAAGCACTTATCCATCCTTAGGTAGACTACCTAACTTACCTCATATGGCCTAACAGCTTAACCGGAATATTTCGGATCAGCCGGGAATTTGCCGTTCTTCTTAAGGTATCATTACAATTCTCGATTCTCGAATTTACTTTTTCCATGGCGCCTTCTTTTCCTTCCGTATATACTTCCAAAAGACGCTCCATGCATGCACTTAAATCTTAAAATGGAAAGGTGTACTGATTATGAAACATCACGTGGAAAGGCGACTGGAACGTGAGGAGACCGTGCACACAGTGCCACAAACTCCAACTCCAACGCGTCCTAATCCTGGTTTTTCCCCTTTTACTTTTTTATTACTTCCCCTCCAAGTTTGCATCTGGTTTGTATCTGCTAGATCAGTCATTTTTTTTGTCATACCTTAGCGAACTCGGCACTATGTCATTATTCGGTGACAGGAAGAATAATACAAACATAGGAACTAATTTCAGGCAAAAAATACTCCGTCGCTCGCAACCAATTTCTCTAAGAACTAGAAGCAAACACCAACAGCCTCAATACCTACCTAACGTATTAACCAAGTCCCTTAGTTCCAATGGAAAAACGCGGTGGTCCTCTCATCTAACTATATATTAAAACCTATCGAGTTAACAAATAGCTGGCCGCGAAGCTAGTTAAGTACTATGTATTCAGAATTAAGCAGGCCGTTCCTGGATCGAGGATGCATATCCTTGAATGACAACCGACGATCTCTACAAAACTACTGCAAAACTATTGCAAACTGGTAAATCCAAAGCATCCCGCTATCCGCTTAGAGACAGGCGGGGGATGGGTGTTACAGGTACACCAATCATTGATCTCAATAATCGCCCAATCGAGTCCAAGTCTCCTATACAGTAAATTCTTTCGTGACTCACACTTACCCACCCTACTTCGGTATGTTCCCCTTCTCGGGGATCGGTTCCTAAAGTTAGCCTCGTGCTTTTCATCTCGTCTGATTGGTGTGTGAATTCCTCTCAACACCGCGCCGTGAAAGGACTACATACATTATGCAGAGTCCGAGCAGTCAATGTTAACTAAAGAAGTTCTACCGTTACAGCGCATCTCAGCCAGCCGCAGCTCTATAATGCGCCTGTATTCTGCGTCTTAGAGAACTCTGTCGAAACAGAAGTTTCTAGGATTCTTTGAATAGGTATAGGTATCCCGGTCGAAAGGGACGATGGTACTGCAGGGATTGCAAACCACTTTACGCGGTACGCCGCGTACCATCCCACTTTCGCGCAACAAACCCCACCAACCCTTTTCTCTTCTGACCCCTTGATCTCCTTGGCCAAGACAAAGTTGCTCATAGTGTTCGCCTCGTTGGTTGCTAGAGTTGGATTTGGAGTTGCTGGGCAACCGTGCCTTTCATACTGTTCGTCATATAGACCCATTACCTATGATAATCCCGGTGCAAGTAAGCTTGCTTTTCATGCAAGCACTTAAAGCAGCCCTGTCGACATATATTGTTACCCTTCTCATTGAAGAAGAAAAATAAGCCAGCAGCACGAAATAAGTTGCATTCCTCTCCCTCTTTCGTCTTAGGCTTCACTCTTTTATCATAGAAATAACACTCTTTTAATCCATTATCTCGGCATCAAACGGCCTCTTAATCTTGCCACGGACCATCCTGCTTGTCCCCACCTTTCGTCATACTTTCACTTCACAATATTTGATCGACAGCTTGGTGTGATTCCTTCTCAACGACCTCCCAAGCCTAGGAGCTTTATCTAAGGAGTCCTAACATATATTCCATCAGTCCTCCCTCACTGTGTTTCACGTCTACTCTGTTCGTGACTCACTCATTTCATTTCACCTCCGCATGTTCAGACCATCATTGAAACCGAGGGCTCTATCCAAATTACTTTACACTTAGCTGTGCAATTCTTATTGAGAAGGCTCGCCTCCTCTAAATCATACACACTCTACATTTCCCGGGCTATCGCACTGGTGGCCAATCGTCACCATGTCTTCCAACAATGACAGTATGATGACCAGATTCCTATTTGCGATTTTGAAGCAGAAGAACCTCAAGGATGTAAGTTGAGCCCCGGCCATAACGCGTGTCCTAGACTTCTGGTTTTGAAGTCCACTGACATATAATCTAGATTAATTGGGACGCGGTTGCTAAGGACGAAATCTTACCCCAACCAATTTCCAATGGCCATGCCGCTCGGATGAGGTACTCACGTTTCCGATCCGCTATGCTAGGCAACGAGCCCACCAGACGAAATCGAACAGGGCAGGGGAAAAATCGAGTCACCAAGGCGAAGAAGGATCCGAAAGGGAAGAAGGACGAGATTGTTAAGCTAGAATCTGCTCTAGAATCACTCCCGGAATCTTCAGTCACTCCGGAGCCATCTGAGATGCCCGCTCCCAAGATCAAACAAGAGAGCACCCCCTACAGCTTTGCCGACCGGTTCACTCCTTGTCTCACTCCAGGACCGCCTAGCCAAATCCCGGCAGCTTCAGTTTCGAGCAACCATGGCGTGATTCAGCCTCGATTTCTTACACCGGGCAGTGATAGCGACTTTTTCTCTCCATCTCCAGCCCTCATACCCAGCCCTGCTAGTGAGATGGTCACTTCCCAGAACTCATTCAGCTTCCGCGATTCGCCGTGCCCCGACCACCCCGATCCGATGTGGCCCAGTGTTCCACACTATTCTACCTTCGGAGCAGGTTCCTCGTTTGATGAATTCAGGGCCAGTCCTTGCGAGCCATCCCATGTGCATTCTCATCCACAGATGCTTCCGTTTCGGACGGTTGAATGTGATGATGATTACGTCCATGTGAAGCACGAATGGGACGAGTACTCTTGATGCACATGTCAGGAACTCCGATAGGCTGGTTTGGGGGCTATGGTTTCAGCGCAGATAGCTACTATATGCTGCGGGGGTTACGAGCTCGTTTCTACTAGGAATTTGGTCAAGAAAACACGTGGATTGCTATTCGGTCATGGGCTATTTTCTATGCGGTTGGTAATAATGAAACCTGGGCGTTTAGGGACGAATAATCTGGCTTCTTGAGGGTTTTTGATGCTGGTGATTTCACTCGTTTGGGCTTTGTAAGACTACTGCTTAGTGATGTGGTTTTGGCATCTGGCATTGAGACATGTCTGAGCTTGGTTGATGAGTACCTAGAGACGCTATACTGTTTCTATGAATGGAGGCTAAAGTCATTCTTTGAGTATGTTGTATGAGCACGTGATACCTTAATCCAATAATTTTTAATGCATTGTGACTTTGGACTAGCCCTAGGAGCTAAATTGAACTACATCATCTTTTCGCGAAAATAAATTATTGAACTACACGATAGTTCTTAGCTAGGTATCATGTAACTAAGAATGTGCTGAGAGATTTAACCAATCAATTACTTCCAGGGTTCCTCAGGGGTGTCAGGTGTGAAGATCACCAGATTCTGTTATCTATTTGCCTGACGCAACTTCTACTAGGGATCTTGCAGCACCACCCGCTGTATGTGACATACAACCTTAACCCCTTCTTATTCCATATTACATAGAGATCCCGCACAATCCGGTGGTTATCGTCATTATTGCCTAACCGTCTGACGGTGTCGTAAGGCTCGAGGGGGGGCACTTATACGAGTATTCACGCATCGTCTCGGAGTGCCCCAGCAATAGGGCTAGCGTCCCATCGATGACCCAAGATCTGGACACGGGGCTGAAGCGGATGTAACATACATGGGTTGTCAGCCTTGAAGTAATTTTGCAGCTGAGAGTCAGGGTCCATGCACGGGTATCAACGTCGGTGGCGTGTGGGGAAGGGTCTTTGACCCCGGTATTTCACGATGGTTTTTTACCTAATGCGGTACTTAAGGTCTCAGAATGGGTTGTGATAACGCACAAAAATATGTCAGGTACTTTACAGATACCCAACGGGCATACGGAAAACTGTTGAGGGAGCTGCATCTTCTCAAACTACGCTTCCCACCACTATCTCTTAGGAATACACCCGTATCCCGCGGCCTAGCAATCAAATATGCATTGTGACTTGTGGTAACACCTCAAGTGGCGATGACAGACATAAGACTCAAGTATAGGCTACTCTAGAATTTCACATATTATCTGTAGACTGTCTGTTACGTACCTATCTATCGTACGAGGGTGTTCTCGGAAACCCGGGCAAGCTTATCGTCAAGCCACCCGCGCTTGGACTCTTCTTCCACTGCAATCAACCCGATTGGGACACCATTCGAGACATCTTCTCCAACGTTCCCGACGATCGCTTTAGGATCTAACATCCTTGTTGACATCCTTGTCTGCTAGAACCCGAGGCCCTTCGCCATACCTACTGGTATGCGTCGTGCTCACTTTGTGATTCGCGGCCATCCTCGGTTTAGATGATAAGGGTAGTTGACAGGGCTGTCAACTACTTTTTCAAGGCTCACAACGTCAGGTCTGTATCTTACCGTCCATATAAGGCTAGCTAGAATCTGTCCTCTTAAATCAACTATTATTGTAACATCGCTTACTGCTACCTATTCACATCCTAAACCCGGGTTAACTGCTTACACTTACACCAGCGGCGTGTTGCGGTTCTATCACCAGGTACCTACTAGCGAGGCCTCCGTTACACGCCTGATAAATATTCTGCAAGCCATAACGCTGGAGTCTTAAGTCACGTTCTAATTAGGTATAGTATACTGTCAAAATGTGATATGTCAACCATGGTCAGATTCGGTACCTTGGCTGCCGCGTTTGCTTTCACAAATCCGTGGCCAGTACCAAGGAAATCTCGCATGGAATTCTCCACCAAGCCGCCAAACCCGTGTTCTAGCTCATCGAAGTGAATAGTTACATCTGGCATCTCCAATGGATACCCACGTGGGGTAGGGCGTGATTCTGGCTTAACCGAAGATATAATCAAACGGCCGGATCCCACTCCGAGAACACGGGGGGCACGTTATCGTGATCTATATACATTAGGTACATACCTCACTACGAAGTGGGAGCCCATTCTAGCAGTTTGCCCTATCGGTTATTAAATACTTAAGTACCTAGTTACGTGAATAACTAAATAACTAATGCTACCTCTTATCAAATTTGCAATCGTAATATCCACGGGCTCCCACGCTCTATGCGGACGCCTGCTTCCCCGAGGGCACTTACAGATATTTCATGTTTCAGGCCTGCTCAAGTGATCATATAATCCTTGGCAGCAGCATGACTATTGCGATAACTTCACTCTTACCGAGGCCTGGAGAGTTCCAGCCCAAGAACGTACTTGTCACGAGGTGGAACCAAACAGCATGGAATATATACATGTTCTTTGTCCTAGATGTTCCATCTAGAATCCTGACAGTACTGTAGTTAAACTCGCTTTTTTCGCGGTTAGACATTTGCTCCATCGGGGCTCTTAACTTCTAAAAGTTCTACGGCCGGAATATACAAGACTGGGTTAAAATTCCAGTCCACAACCCTTAAAGATATACGAAATAAAGGTGTTGTAGTTGCTTTAAATCATATCTTAAATGATCTTTTATCTATCGCCACTGACATGATGTATATCTTCAACTTACCTGGGCCCTTTTTAAACAGGCTTCTATAAATAGTCAAATCAATTGTCCTTAGCTTTTCAACGCCTTAGATTAGCTCACGACTAAGAGGATAAGTTGCCCGTATTACGTTAGGACGGGATGAACAGTAGTCAATGAAAATTTTGCATGGAACGTCATTAAGCAATAATATATTCTGGCTTGATCAAATGAGTGCTTCTAGAATGCTAGCTAATTATGTGAGCTATCTTTACTTAGAATATTAAGACCGCCCATTTTGGCGATTTGTTATTCTTTCTCAGACATTCTTGGTTAGAAGAATGTCGGTACTCAATTGACACTAATTTAGCCGCTGGAGACTTATGTATTCTAATCCATAACGGTCGCTACTTAGTCAGCTTGGAAGTGTCTAAAACTACCTAAAATTGGACTACCTCCGCTTCTTGGCTCGGCTTGTTGGAGCTCTGACATAAACCTAATAGTTTAAAAAAAATAACGATTGATATGTTTCGCATAGGAACGTATTAAGTTTCTTTTCGTAGTCATAAAAATAAATAAAATCCTAGTCCATTCCGTATATTTGAAGTTTCTGCTATGTGTAAAATCTTTGCGGGCTCGGTATGTTGCTGATTCGGATTGATGTTCTGCTTGAGATAGTGGGGCTCGTCGGGTCCGGCCCACTCGGGAGGAGCCGAGAACATCCCGAACGTCCGGACGACTAGTAGTTTCAACCAAGCCGTGGACCCAGCCGTCTAAGCCGAAAACGAAGAAAACAGCGAACGATATGGGACGTTAGCGGGTTTAAAAGGCCCGTAAAGGAAAGACTTTAGATGGGTAAATGAGTCTAGATCGAGAAGCGTAGCATGAGCCACATCGTTAGTAAATACGGTGTCGGTGAAGAAGATCATGACGCCGATTATGAGACGAATCTGATCGTTCTTATCTGCGTTAAGGATTTATAAATTTTTCTAGAAGATCTGGTGAAAACTCGGAAAGTCATCCACAGCGAGTAGAAACTCGGCGCGCTAACACGAATCAGGTAATCTTATGTACCTACATTTTCGGTATTGCGCCGCGGGCACGAGGACGCGAAGGTAGCGTCAATGTCAAGAGCAAAATGACGACATTTGGGCGTGTTACAAAATGGGTTGGTTTCCTTTTACGGCAATCTTGGGGACTGTATTAAACGATTACTGGCCAGGAAGCCATCCTTACCTAATTTTTGAACGTCTCTTCATCAGAGCGCAGCGCCCGGGAGATGCGAAATGCGAGTCTGGCCCTAGTAATTGATATTAATAAACTGATAAGCCGTTGCAATATTACTCCGAGCCTCGCGATTGAATTTAGATACATCAACTGAATGCTCTTCGGCGACATCTCGACTGCATGAATAAAAGCTGAAGAGTTTAGCGGCTGAGCATGGCGGTGTGAGCTCGTCCTAGTATTCCGATACTACCTACAAGCGGCAATCTTTGTGAGAATTGAGCGGACGGGATAGATAGGTCGTTCCAGATTGAATGTAGATACTTATCAAATGGAGTTTTCGGAAGTACATATGTCATACATATGTAGGCTTTTCTATCGTCGTAAATTCTTACCTACATACATCTCAAGGTACATATACCCCTGACTAAAATCTCACCGTCGAAGACATGTTCTTCCGTCTCATGATAACAAGAAACTTATGAAATCCCCGAATGCGAATAGGAAAAGAGTCAAAATGTAAGATTATAAAGCGATGGAGAAGATCCACCTGCGGAACTTTTCTATCGCATGGAGATAAATTCACTATCACCGTTATTCCCATTCTTTACTAGGAGAAAAGCATCCGAAGAGTTATCGTCGTTAACGAGCTTACTTCCACGTGTTATGGTTGTTTTCGGGTTTCTTAGTGCTGTTTAGCGGGACGTTACATGCCACATATTCGTCGCTGGAGATAGCCTCACTGCTACGTCAGGTTCCCCCCTTGAAAAAATTCTTGAGTGATGGATACCGAGGTATTCTCCACTGCTCCCGCACTTCTGCCACTTTACTAATAAGAGTGCATTAGACTTGCAGGTGTAGCTATTTCCACCCAATTACCGATGACGTCTTGATATTTAACCTTAATCCATGTAGCCTGTAAATATATCTATTAGCCTTTTTTTTCTTGGAACTTCCGCCCGGAAGCTCATTCATTCTTGACGGTAATATTTAGTATGGACTTGCCTACTTGTTAGTCTTGGCATTAAGTCCGATACAGTAAGCCCGATCTATGGTAAGTCCGACACTTATCTGTGTGGGTAGTAGCAGGTTAGGTAGTGTATATGTGCGTCTATTAAATTTTCACGGTGTCTGGCACCATCACGGCCAACGATGCTAGTCCACCACTAGCCACAATGTAACGGTGGGACCCCCTACACCTTGCTCTATTAGTATACGTAAATTTATTACACCGTTGGTTTGCTTACACAATATCAATTCTTCTCTATGAGGCCCATAGAAGAGACTACATACCTAGGTTAGGTACCTAGATTCCAATTATTTCCAGCTGTCTATACGTATATACCTACGTAGGTATAATGTATGTATATATGTACAAGGCTGCATCGTAACTCCTATCCACCGCTACCTCCACTTAGCTAGTGTCATGGATTAGAAATCCGCAATCGGGTTTTTTGACCATAGAGAGATTGAAGTTCGAATGTTAATGGAATGAGCCAGAAGCGACGTGGCCGTGATTTCCCTATTTAAGTGTAAGCGACCTGCATTGTAGCTTGATTCATGATTAAACCCGGGGATATAATTTAACAATAAACCTCAACATTGAAACAACACAAGAATCTTCATCTCAAACCTCATAGTCAACTATCGAATCACTACATTTCAACATGGCAGCACAGGCAAGCCCCAAGTTCGAAGGCTGGTTGGGCAAGTCCCCAGATGCCGTCAATGGAAAGATGTGAGTACCTAATATTAAGAGATTTTTTTTATCGTCTCAATCATCCCTGGGTATCCGAAATACCTCGACTTTTTATCAAGTTACGTAATCACTGACACCTATTGTTAATTAGGGAGTGGGGCGAATTTGAGCCCAAGAAATGGTCCGAGGATGATGTTGACATCGAAATATCCCACTGCGGTATTTGCGGTAGTGACTTACACACGTTGAAGTCTGGCTGGGGCCCGACTCCCTACCGTATGTACTATGCCCCCTTTTCAGTTTCCGACTAGTTCGTATTTTTTTTTCTAACATTATCGCAGCTTGTGTCGTGGGTCACGAGATCGTCGGCAAGGCAGTACGCGTGGGAGCGAACGTCAAGCATATCAAAGTTGGCGACCGCGTTGGGGTTGGTGCGCAAGCAAGGACTTGCCAGAAGGATACCTGCCCGGAATGCGCGAACGGCTTGGAGTCCTATTGCCGAGAAGGCTTGATCAACACCTATGGCTCCATTTACCCGGATGGATCAGGTAAAACCTATGGCGGCTATGCGGACTACAACCGTACAAATGGTCATTGGGTTTTCAAGATTCCAGATGGACTTGACTCAGCCATCGTCGCTCCGATGCTTTGTGGTGGCATCACTATGTATTCGCCCCTAAAGCAAAATGGTTGTGGACCAGGCAAGACAGTGGGAATTGTTGGCGTTGGCGGTTTGGGTCACTTCGGTATTCTTTTCGCTAAGGCCCTGGGAGCCGATAAGGTCGTCGGTATCTCGAGAAAGGAAGATAAGAGGGAGGACGTACTGAAACTCGGTGCCGATGAGTACATTGCTACGGATGAGGAGAAAGACTGGTCAACGAAGCACCGACGAACGCTGGACCTCATCATCAGCACAGTGTCTCATGCAAAGATGCCTTTGAATGAATACCTTGATCTCCTGAAAGTAAGGGGCACTTTGATCCAAGTTGGGTAAGTTTGTCTCGATTTCATCTTGCTAATGTGGTTATCGAACTTCGTTCAAAACTAATTCGTCTTGTAGCGCCCCTGATGGAGGCGAGCTCCCCCCTATCAACGCATTCCAGTTGATCTTAAATGGACACAAAATCGGCGGTAGCGCTACTGGAGCTCCTTGGGAAATAAGAGAAATGCTACAGCTAGCAGCAGATAAGAAGATCAAATCTTGGGTTCAGGAACGACCTATGAAGGACGCGAACCAGGCGATCATCGATATGGAGAATGGTAAGGCTCGTTATCGATACGTACTCGTGAATGAGAACTTTGGCAAGCATTAGATGAAGAACTGATTTAGATGAGCGTTTGATTTTCGGAGGCGCAGAACAGATGATGGAGATATCAAACCGGTTAGAGTAAAATGATCGATTTCCAAAAATAAATATATAATTCCACTATTATAATCGTCCCAAAGTTCAAGTTCATCGCTATCAGCTAAATATGTTTAGTTCTCCAACTTAAATAAAAAAGCCATTCGGCTAGTTTCACCTTCTCTCGAACTATTATGACTAATATCGAGTAGTGGTATAGATATAAAGCCGGACGATTTTTCTTTCAAAATGTCTTATTTCATTGTTATATGCCACAACCCATTCTGTTCTATTATATCGAACTTGCAAGCCATCAGATAAAAATCAAATAGTAACTGGCGCTCAAGATTCTAGACAATATAACTTTATCGGGTTACGGAGATGTTTTTGCTCCGACTTCTTCCGTCTAAAGTTCTGGTCAATTCTAATCCTGTCATTTCAGATGTCCGTTCTCTAATTCACGTAAGCAGGTAAGTAAATTAGCCTTACTATGTGAATTTCACATTAAACACTGCCTAGGAGAGTATGTGCTCGTGAACGTAAAAGAGTCCAGCGTGAATATCAGTCTAGTTTCTGAACACGCCTTTTTAGCTATGTCTATAGGTAAAGACCTGCCCTTATTGATTGTATTTTAAACTATCGAAAGTGTCCAATCCACTTGAGACAAGTAGAACTTTGTTGGTTAGATAGTTGCTATCGCATCTTACAGCATATTTCTACATAACAATACCAGCCAATATCGAAGACGATATCTCTTTAAGATAAACGGTTAAGTTCGTAAGTTACTTTTTCGCTTTAGACGGAGCACTTATACTCGAGTGTTTAATAAACTAGCAGGTTAATACGAATTACTACTGCAAAAAGACTAACTTTCCTTTCCTGCTAGAAACCTAGGTAAGACGCCAAAGCTATTACGTTTGTTATTCCTCTGTTCTTAACGACTATACGCCAAACACTACATCATCGAACTTGCTCCTAGGGTAAACTGTAGTTTATTATAGTTAAGTTGTTGTGGGAGCTGTCGAAGTCGTCAACTCCTCCGCTTACATGTCGATCTGGCCTACGTACCTGAGTAGTAGTTTGCATAGCCGCAACTCTATAGCAGCGCCGCAACTCTATAGCAGCGCCGCAACTCTATAGCAGCGCCGCAACTCTATAGCAGCGCCGCAACTCTATAGCAGCAACTTAGACGTACCTCTGGCGAACTAGACGACAAACTCGACAACAAACATGACGACCTAATTTGGGTAGTACCCGCCTTATTAGGTCTGAGATGTATGCACCTGGAAACCATTGTTTCTTAGTTTCACGATCCTTGCGTCCTCCTTCCCACTGGAGTCCCAATCCCCTCTCATCTGATTCTTCCAACACACCACCCTTAAAGTCAACCTCTTTACCATCTTCAACTTCTCATACCTGGGTACCACTACAACGAAACAAGTTTCATATCAAATTCTAAAAGCTTGTCGATATTATTTAGCACCACCGAGAAGTCTACCCCAGCAATACCATCTTCGCTCAAAGTAAGTTTTATACCATTTTAGCATCACTTCCCCTCTGCTTCATCACCTTGCATCTTGGCATCTGCTCTGCGTCTATATGAGAGCCTTCTCGCGACTTTTCCACTGTTGCTTGCACCTTAGCCCTGTGACTGTTCCCCTGACCCTACGACATTTCTCCTCAATCTAAGACGTCGCTGCATCATCTACCTCCCTATCACTACCTCCCCCATCCGAGTACAACCACTTTCGCAGCCTTCAACCTATGCTCATATTAGGTTATTGATCTAATATACAGCTAGGTCGCGGTACCTATCGCTCGAAGGTAAGTGAAATTCCCTATGTGCCTATTGTGTCCTTGAACCCCCATCCTACCACGCGTGACATATGCTTGTCTGTTGTCTTAGCCCTCCGCGCCGCTTCAACCCTATTCTACCCCTCCTACTGCTGTGACATGACACCGGGCATATTACTCTCTATTACCATACGTCGAGGCTCTACCTTCCCTCTTCCCCTCTCGATCACCATCTACGAAGCAGTCAAAATATCGAAGTGATAAGCTATCCTCGATCAACTATAGGCTACATTGCCGTAATCACTCTTTCTCCCAATATTTCTTGTTCAGCATCGACTTACTATCGGATCTAATACAGCATCTAATATCCACCAAATTTCTCCCGTCAAACCAACTGCGCCAAGCAGCAAATATGCCTCCTAAGGACACAAGCGCCCTGACGGCTGGTGACCAGAAGTTCTTCACTGCCATCTTCAAGTATCTTCCCACTAGCATGGAAATTGACTGGGACGGGCTTTCCCAGGAGCTCGGTCTGAAGGACGCAAAAATTGCAAAGGTATAGTTCCCGCTGCTAAATACACATGGCTTAGTACTAACCATTTAAAGATGCGATTCTCACAGATCCGACGCAAGTTTAATAAGGAAGAAGCGGCGGGAGATTCCCCTCAGAAAACTAAGGCTGCTAGAGTCACCAAGCCTACCAAGGGCAAGAAGGCTAAGGTTGCTGGCAAGGGCCGAGACGAGTACGATACCTACGATGACGACGAGGATGTTAAGCCCGCTACTAAGAAGGAGCCTGAAGATGATGACGAGGGTGCGATCAAGATCGAGGATGGCGATGATGAGGCCATTGATACCCAAAAGTGAATAGTTGCATTGATATTTACTTTTCTACCAACCTCAATGGCGGGTATCTTGGGGGAAGGACACGATATTTGATGGCCCACTGGCTCTGGTGATGATATTATGACAAAGTAAACGAAGCTTCATAACGCAAGTCGCAGGGAAGATCTCGGGTTTATTTCGCGATGCGGGTAGTTTTATAGTCTATATTCTACATCAAGAACGGTTGTTTTCATTATGATTACCTTGCTCCTCTCACCATTACTGAACCAAGTGATACTAAACTCCAGAACCATGCCTTGAGCAGGTACTGATAAGCCAGACCTAGTAGTAGAACTATCCTATTTCTCAAGTACTGGATCTGTAGATAAGCAAAAGCTGATTTTAATATGATTCTTAGGAGTTTCCTATCTCGTCTATCTTGTTCAAATTAGGCTAGGTTGCGTCCATATCTTCAAGGCGCGTATACCTTCCTGAAGTTTTATCTCGTGTATTTCTTTTTCTTTCCTTCCCAACTCCTCAAGCAGCTGCCATTGTACATGTTCCACGATATTTCACCTGTCCACCTGGCATCTAGTGGTGGGGTGTTTTGGGAAAGAGCACGACTAAGCGGATACCTGAGAGTCCCTAAGACCACTAAGACCCGCGCGAAGTCTAGGGCATGAAGCCACTGTCTTTTGGAAGATCAAAAAAGTGAGCAACTTCCCTTAGGCAGAAAATTCAAGAACCATTTCTTATTTCTTCCATCTAGGTCTGAAGAAATAATTTTTGTTTCCCTTTTCCAACAACAACACCATCAACCAGAACAACAAAAACTTCGCCACAACTCCCTTGCAACCATCCAAAGTAAGTAATCCCTAGTTAATACCCTGTTATTTTCAGTCTTGCCTTTTGTCTTGATTTGTCAACCAAATCTCGATTGTTCTCAAACCTAAATATCTTTGTCGAGTCCATTTCTAATATTGAGCCAAGATGTCCAACAACATCGATCTAGGAAACGGAGTCTCCGTGACCACCAAACAGGTTGCTATGATGGTAGCAATATTTAAAAATGCCAGCAGAGACCTCTTACAAACTGTGGACTGGGCTGCTGTCAGTGCCGAGACGGGGCACGCCTCACGGCGTGTGGCCCGTGATACCTTCACTAAGAGGTGCAAGGTGAAAGGGGTATGTAATTCCCTATATATTTGTGAGAATGTATGACATTTACTAACTTAATTTGTTTTAGTGGCTAGAAGGTGGTGTGACCGTAAGTCGAATTACCATTATTATGGCTACCATTATTGCCCAGCCCAAACATCAACTAACAAGTTGGGTCTCCTAGATTCTTCCCGCTGCTGGTGCTTCCGGTTCCGCTGGTGCTTCCGGTGCCGCTGGTGCTTCTGGCGCTGCTATTGCCGCCCCGGCTGTTGTGGCCGCTCCGGCTGTTGTGCCGGCTCCGGCTGTTGTTGCTGCTGCCTCCGCCGTTGTGCCGGCTCCGGTTGTCCCCGCCACACCCGCTTCCGGACCTCCGACCCAGACCCCGGCTCCGGCTACTCTCCCTGCTGCCGCCCCCACCCCCACCCCCACCTCTGCCTCTCGTCGTTTTCGCCTCCGCCGTTTCAGGGGAATTCTCCATAGGGCTCGTCAGGGCCGCGTTTCGAAGAGTCATCTTTTTAAGCCCAAAAGAAAGGCTTAGAAGTTATCTTGTGTACTTTGATTCGCCCAACGGCTATTAGCCTCGTTTTTTGGGCTTTCACTAATTGCAAGAAGAAGTTTGAATTGGTGGCTTGAATCAGCCCTGAAGGGCCTCTGTATGTACCTACTAGGTAGTATCAAAGACATCTCTACCATCGAAAGTCCATTATGAGTCTTTATAATAAATGAGGTGGTTCTCGTAATAATATGCCTTAGAATCCGGAGAAAACTAGTACCGAGTCCTGAGCACTGACCAGCTATATTAAGCCTCTGTAATTCAGCTGACAGGCCTCCTCCTGATCATACTCAATACACATACTAATTCCTTGATCTTTATTAGGGTCGAAAAATTCTAGTACCGATAACAAAGGTGTTCCTGATATGAAATATCTAGGTAGTTCTACCTTTGACGGCAACATCTAAAAGGTTAAAGCTCATCTTAAGTCTCATCTTTGTGGTTACTCTTGAGGTCTGATCTAAGATAATTCACGACACTCAAAGATTAGTTTCTGACGGTTCACCATAGTATAGTAAAAGAATTTTCATATTTTAGCTGGTGGTCCCGACACCAACTGTCTTACTGGAACCCCAGGTGTGTCCATCATCACGACATATGCCCAGTAATACTAACTTCCGCATACACAAGTAGCCCCAGGACTGAGGACCTTCCAAGTTGACCCTCAGTTACCTCAGTATTGGGTGAAGCTTAGGCCATTGCCTGGTACATCAAGTCTAGCTATACTTTAAGCGGACCTGCTACACTGTGGCAACAACCCTTCAGCAACCATCTACTAAAAACAAAGTGCACTTCTTCAAGTGTAGGTTGGGTACGGGGCCTACTTCCTTACGGGTAGTATTTGCGGATCAAAAAATCCAAAGCTTCCACTATTTCATCAAATTTCTCGACTTGCCCATCAATCTCAAAAACCTATCCTCCTATCCACCAACTTCAATAGTATCAACTACTACTACTACTACACCCGCCTCTTTTCATACCACCGGTTCTCGTACTTTATCTTCACAATTTTCTACTTGATCCCTCTAGCCTGACAACCTCACGTCAGCCGCCGACAATATGCCTGCTTTGGACGTGGATTCTCAGTTCAAATTCCTCATCGTGTGCATCAAGCACTCGACTGCTGGAAAGGTGAGGATTATGCTTTTGATGATCTACCAAACGTACTCAGCTAAAATTTACTGATCTGAATAGGTTGATTTCGCTGAGGTCGCCAAAGAATGCGAGATCGTGAGTAAGGGAGCAGCGTGAGTACCCCCCCAATAACTACCATCACATTTCTCTATCTAATCCTACTTCTTGTCCATCTAAACCATTTCCCCTTAACTAACCGCGTTCCTATCTCCCAGTGCTAAGCGATATGAGCGTCTCATGAAGGCCCACGGCATCGGCACCGCCGGTGGCGTGGGAGGCGTCAAGAAGGAGTCCAAGGACACTAAGGACGGCATCAAGACTCGCACCCCCAACAAGAAACGCAAGCTCGCTGCCGTTGACGAGGATGCCGGCGATGCCGACGAGCCCGTCAAGGCCGAGATCAAAGGTGAAGTTAAAACTGAAGATTCGATCGCCGTGAAAGCGGAGCAGGAGAACGGTTGTGGCGCGACTGCTGCTGTACCCGGTGTCAACGAGGCAGCGCCGACGAGTCAGGCTGACACATCGCCTTCTACCAATGCCCAGAATGATGACGACGACGATGAAGTCTTAGTCATCAGTGCTACGGAGAGGCGCGATGACGGCGGTGGCGTCTCGGTTTACGGCAGTGGTGGTCACCATCACTCGTATTCGCATCCGCACTCGCCTGCTCCAATCATTCCGGGGATCCATTCCTTTGATTACGCTGCTAACATGACTTTCCCTCAACAGACGACGACTATGAGGACGACGACGATACCATCGTCGCATAATTCCCTTCCCTACGGGTTTCCCCCTGGCACATGGATGTTCCCTCATGACACACATGGATATCTATAGCAAGCACTAGTCCTTCGTTATCGCCCCAAGATACCTACACCATCAAGATCTTTCATTCTCTTTTATCGTGGTATGTATTCAACATAATACTCGATTATATCTTCACTCGCTAATAAGATACAGGCAGGAATGGATCTATGATACACAAATCGGGGTCAAGGATGGATACTGGGTGGATTTCGGCTGGTTTCGCAATCGTATGGGGGCTCTTGGGCAATATCGTCTTTCGTAGCTTAGTTTCCGGTGTTTCCTGACATTAGGTCAGAAGATAGACTCCGGTCAATAACAGGGTCTGATTACCATCATATCCAGTACTGTTTTGTGACTGTTGTGACCCTTTTAGACCCTGGCTATCCCTGGTGCTCAAGTAATCTACACGGCCCAAAGGTAGAGTTACGCATAAAACCAAGTACGTTAAATAATTATTCCTAGAAGAACACAATCAAGTCAGAACTACCTGGCTTCGACCGGAGGCCTCTGTAGGTAAGAGCCATATATCTTATGAGCAGCTATTCTCAGCAGGATGGAATTGGGGACGTCTTGGCTCTATTCTGGATAGACAGGGTCGTTTAAGGGGCATGAACCGAGGATTTCTCTAGACTATATGTCGCTCATATTGTCGTTTTGGGCGGTCTACTTCACCGAGGATATGGGTTCTAATACCCTCCTGTCATTGTAATGATTTTATATTATACCTTTCAGCTTTCTTGAGGACATGCTTCCTATCGGCCACTTGAAGCTGCCATGAAATGTCATATTTATTAGCACTAGCTTGGAAATACCATGCCCGGGGGATGAAGGCATATTTATTATTTGTTAAAGATTTCTATGCTTCTGGATTGTTCCACTGATAGAACCAAACTTGAAGTATCGATAACAAGACTATTCTAGAGCAAACGTATTGCTAGGCTAAGTAATGACCAGAATCATCGACGGTATATTACTTTCCCGACCGTCCCCATCGTCTGAAGTAGTAAAAACGCATACATATTTCTAGATCTGAATAACCCTAGGAACTATACCTAACGGCTTTCAAGTATTATATATGTCGTCATTGCCTCTAATTGCCTTTGGAATGGACTTCAGATAGCTTGCTATGATATTATCGCCTAACATCTATCAATAGAGACATTCGCTCAACTATGATGTCTTTGGAATGTTCAAGAATCTGTGATGAAGAGCATCGAGCATTCGCGCTACAAAATCGAGACATGGCGGAAGGACTATCAGGTCATGAATATCAGCAGCTTTACATTAACAGGCGTATATCAAATTTCCCTTGAATTTCTCTATTTTTTGATCGCATAATGTACCCAAGTACATGCGGATTCTATCTGCGTCAAGATCACAAGAGGCTCTAATGGTATCTGCCTACGCATGTACCTTTGTACCACCAAATAACCCGATCACAACTTACTTCCCGAGATCTCATTTTGTGGGACCCACATTTGTTTACTGTACAACCGGATGTGGGTCTCCCCGCAATCTACGTATTTGATCGTACCTAGGTACCTACCCTGTCTGACAGGGAAGTTGCAAACCCTAGAGTGGGGCCGTGCGCCAATTCCAACGTCAACTCACCGAGCCGCAATATTTTCAGTGATCCTGAGTTTCAAATCAAGAGGTACTTAGGTACGAACAGCCAACGTACAATCGAAATATGCCTATATGTATGCCGCACATACCTGATCCTGATCCTGATTATTAGCCTACGATGATTTTGATTTTTTTTTATGGTGCCTCCCCGTCAATACTTTTACAGTCTACAGTAATGCTTCCTCGAATAAAACTACTGATCTTAAATATCCCCGTTAATTACAGGCACCAACAACCTTATATAAACTACCAACTTTTATTTCGATCCGGGATGAAATATTCCCTGCTTTCTCTTTGTCTGGATAATTAAATACGAGAGCTTCTGTAATATTGGAGTCGATTTTAAATCTATTGTAGCTGTAGAGTAATGTCGACTCATCCTCGTAATTGGATTTTTAGGCCACAAGAAGAAATAGATACTTCATACATGCATATCACTTTACTTCTAATAGTAATTCATATCCCCTAGTACCTAAGATCATGTTCAGGGAAAATATCATGATTGAGCGCTCGGCCTCAGTCAGTGTTTTGGCATTACATTACTTGGCTCAAATGGATGCTACAAGTACCTAAATATTTTACATTGATGCCAGTGATCTGGTAAATTGGTTAGCTGTAAGTAATGCACCTTGGATAAGGATGATAAGCTATGCTGTAGAGGCATATCAGGAACCGGAGGTAGTTTCCTGTGCACGTACCCTAGTTCAAACATTTGATTTTCTATTACAGCTCAAGGATCAAATTATCGTATGCACCTTGATGGGCAAAATATTCCTAATCACCCAGGTACATAGGTACGGTTGCGAGTGCAAGATCAGGTTGCCGGTTGGGTTGAGGTCAAAGCTTCTTCTTGATTCAGTGGTTGATAGGGCAAACAGGTTGAAAATACAGACTGATGCAGCTGCCATAAATGATTTTTCTAATAACCTAGGTGATTGATTTGATTTCCAAATCACAACACCCCTCACCGCTCTGGATCTGCCGTCTCCTTGGTAATATATTTTTGCCTCTCCCAACCTTCTCCACCATTTTCTTCTTCCGCACCACAACAACTTGACAACTCTTCCAGTTACCACCTGACAAATTGTGATAGCAACCTCCTGTATCAACTGATTCCCTCCTGACAAGTGGGTCTGTACTGGTACATTTGTCAGATCTTTTTCAACCTTAGTATCAACCTTCCCAACCTCTTCGTACACTTGACTGTACACCCTTACCCACCCCACATTTCTATTCTATCAGCCTGGTCTGGAAACAGATAAAAGACTGAGCAGTTCCTCCATCATTCCCAACTTCTTTCTTCACTCTTCACACTTCAAACCATACTCTGAAGCCTGCACTACCAACCTTCACTACCAAACTTGATCATCAACCCTTGGCCTCCAAGCCTTTATCATCTTCACCACCTTGACAAGTCTTTTAAGATTGTCAAGTCTAGTCACTGGTTCGTCTCTCGGACAACGGTAAGTCAAAGTTGCCTCCTCTCTCTCCAGTCGCCCATCAATTTCTTCCACACAACCCAACCCGACCCCCATCATACCTACTCTCCTCACCATTTTTTTTTCTACAACCTTTCTCAATTTCAATTCACACAACCTCACCAACCTTTCCCACATCCAGCCTCTGGTAAGTGCACAACCCTCCCACCTTTACTCTTCACCTACCTTCCTACCTTTCCCACCTCTACAACCTCTCCACTACCCTCTACCTTCTACCCTTTCCATCTACTCATTTCCATTTGCAAATTACCTTGCATCATCAACCTTCACCTCTGGCAAAATTATTCACCGCCCATATTTTCCAATCACCCAACCAACCCCACCCCACCTTCCTTTCTTACATTCATCACACACATACACAACACATAAACACATACACTTGGTCATCATCCTCCATCATTTCGCATACACTAACCCATCTTTCCAGACCATTCTATCAGTCTTCCCTCAGGTCTACCACTTGTTCATTTACCAGAACAGTCACTATGTCGTAAGTTTATTTTCCACTTCTTGTTCTACTCTATCTTTTTCTCATTGTCATTTAACTAACTTCAATCTTTAGGCCCCAGGGAGATCACAACTGCAACCAGGAGGTTCCCCGAACCCCCGACTCTGGAATTGATATGGCCAACGGCCAGGATCTCGGCGCTATGGCCAATGGTAAGTAATGCTTTGCAATCCCCTTCATATTTATATTATAACATCTCTGCTTACACCTGAACTTTAGCGGCCAACAATCCTCAGAATGCTCTGGTGTCGATCGAGCGCTATGGTGTCACTGTCAGCTACACCCTCGGCCAGATCACTGAGATGGGTGCTGCACTCGCCCGTGCTCGTGCTGAGGGCCTCTTCCCGCCCACCACCGCTGCCAGTCATGATGTCCAGGCTATCACCAGCGACTACTTTCGCCTTGTTCAGCTCACTGCTGCCCGCGGTAACGCCCCTCGCGAGGAGTGGAACCAGATGCGCCATGTGGTCCAGCTTCTGGTTGAGATCACTCAAGAAATTCGGGTTCGTGATAAGGTCGCAGCCGAGAAGACTGAGGAGGAGCGTGTCCAGGCTCATGTTACCAACATGATGAGCGGTGTTAGTGCTGAGAACAAGCTCTACGACATTGTCAAGCATGCCGTAGTCCACGCTGTCCAAAATGGAACAGCTGCGGAAGCTACTGCTGGCCAGAACATGGCAAATCTTCTGAATGGCATCCGGGGTGTCATCAAAGAGATGGCTGGTCAGGGCACACACAACGTCGATGGTGTCAATATTGAGGCTGTATTGGAGGACGTCTTTGGAATGATTGACTTTGCTCTTGGCAATGTTGTTGATCCTCTTGGTAGGAATGTCCAGCAGATGCAGGGTCAGCTTAACCATGTTGACGGCCAGATCAGTCAGCTGGATAGCATCACTAACGGACAAGTTGATGCCATTGGCCATCACGTCAACGCCATTTCCGGTCATGTTCGCTCTCTTGGCAACAACATTAATGCGTTCGGCACCCTCTTGAACTCGACTAATGGCAATGTTGTATCCCTAAACACTCAGATTGCGCTACTTCAGACTATCATCAACATGCTTCCTCGCATGATCTCTGAGGCCCTTCAGCAGATGCTGCCTGAAGCTATGCAGTCTTCTATTGGCCCAGTCATGCAGGCTCTTGAGGCTCAGCTCGGCACCGCCTTGCCTATTGGTGCTGCTCGCGGCACCCAGCAGCAGCCTCGGGGACTGAAGAAGCTCTTCAAGTCCGTCAAGAAGATGTTCCGTAAGCACTAAGGAGCTTACTAGCCTCACCTAGCGAGATTGTCATCAGGGATGTTTTAGTCACATGTTTTCGGATTACCTTAATACTCTCCTTCCTCACTTTCTATCCGATCAATGACAGGTAAGTTCTCTTCACTATTTCCAGTGTCCCTCAACAGGTTACTAACTTGCCACAGATGCTTTTATGGGGGCCAGCCACCTGTCTGTATATGTACAGACTAGCAGTGGATTTGTGGTAATTGGCGCTGGAGTGGGAGGATTGGATCTATCAGACAGAACTGGTAGATATGAATTTTGGGGCAAAGGAAGGAATTTGGAGTAATCATGACTCCTTGTATATATGATGCTGCACTTTGGCAGTAGACATACATTTCCCCTCCCATTAAACACCTACTCCACGCCACCCCCCATGTACCTAAATTCAGTGTCTAGTGAAGTGACTTCATACCGATGTCGTGGGGTGTTTTGACACTATTCCCACATCTTAGTTCTAGGTTAATAGTACACTCTGATGATAATAGATTCACTCTGAGTACATATAGTGTCGCGACCCATACCCCAAGTATTGCATGGTGAGACTAGAAATGTTTATAATTCACGTCTATCTGTTGTTTCAATCCTAGACTAATGAAATTGTGTCCCTGTCACATCATAAGCCCTGTCGCAGCATGAGACGAGGCCAAGCTAAAGAATATTTCAGTATGTAGTGTTCTCCTATCTACAGTTAGGCAAGATTATTATGGTGAGTGTGAGTACTCGAAACGCTTCGCGAAGCCCAGTAGGTAGACATACTAAATATTCCAGAGCCAGGCGATGCTTGGTGAAATTAATGCTTCTTTGAATAAGTTTTTCATTTGGTCTATTTTACCTCTCGTATCTAGGTACCTATGAGTACCACTCCTGGCCCGTCTGGAATGAGTAACAAGAGGTTAGGGCAACTTTACCTACCTCTAGGAACATCATAGACGCGAACTGGGGTCTCCTACGAACACTGCAAAAATTGCTTTCTTTTTGCGCGGGTAACATCATAACCTCTATGCTGTCGTGAATGATCGCGCCAATCTCGATTAATTTAGAAAGGCATAAATGCTATCCAGTTCAGTATAGGAATAACGCGTACGATTTCACTGCCTTGCCCAAGAAGATTTGAAGAAATACGTATCTGTTACGGTAAAACATGCATCTGGCTTCTTCTTCCACGAAAGATATGGTGCTAACGAGGTATATAGGGGCTGTTCCAGGCTTCCTCCGTAAAGTAGCGCAGTCGTCTCTTAACACAGCTAGCTTCCTTCATATCCGCTTTGGTTCCTCCTCTAATGGGGCAAGTTACACTGATAGCTGACACGCGCCGTTCTCTATGCTTGAAGATAACATCGCTTCTCAAAAAGAATATTTAAGAGATAAGGACGAGATGGGTTGGGCATTCAAGAGGGCAAGAGCCAGCGCCAGCGTCTAGGAAGCGGGAATAGCATGCTATGTGGATACTTTTATGATCGGGCCTCTGTGCCCTTCTAGATATACGAGAAACAATGGAGAATCTGGTAAAAAGACTGACGTCTAGTTTCAAAATGCCTTGGAAAGGCCAACAGTCCATTCATCTCGCGTATTTGGTGTAAGCTTTTCTATTCTAAATTACCTCGTCTATTAGCATGCTAAGGTACACTACGGGATGTTATAACGTTCGGGGGTATCTATGCTAATGAGTCCTCATAGAGAGGGTACATGATCATGCGCATGGGCAAAGCCTTCGCCGAAGTTACTGCTCACGATGCCAATCCTATTCCTTCGAAGATCCCTTCCACTCTAAGGACTTCTATACACGTCTTCTCTACCCCTGAAAAGCTCGACACTCGCGATCTACCAAACCTTTAAAATCCCAGAAGACAAAACGGATTCGACAAAAAAAGGGAGGTTCTAAACTCGAATTTTCCCCCATAGAAACATAGAAAGGCATATGCTGCACGCAAGATCTAGAAACAAAGACACAACTCAGGTACACACCATAATATACAGTCCATCGTCGATTTCCAGAAATACAGCTTGTAAAATTGCAAATATATACGCGAATATTGTCCCAGGCGCAGCCAAGGGTGCTATTACTCCATACAACTCAGTAGCCCACGCAACTTCTCTAATATAACGGCCTGCTTCTCAGCTGGTGCGGTCGTCTTATCCTTCGAGTCTCCCACACTGACGGAAATTAGACAGCCATCAGCACCGACCACGCTCGACTCCGTTGGTAATCTGGTGATACCGCAGGTCTTGACATCGGGCTCCGAGAATGTGCCGGGGTTGATACGGCTCAAAACCCACTTAAACTTGGTCGGGTCGGTGCACTCTTCCGTGACCTTGGGGAAGTTCACGTTCAGGAACACGTCCTCGGGAAGGTACGGCACACCAGAGTCGATGACCGCATTCGTGAACTGCGTTGCCAGTTGCGCATATACAATGCTTCGCGTTTCCACAGGCGCGTCAAACGCAAGTCTGCCGTCCGAAGCGCCGGAGAAGGCGATGGCCGGGATGCCGACATCGTGAGTCGCGTAGACGGCTATACCAACGGTTCCGGAGAACTGTACTTCGAGGTACAGGTTGCTTCCCACATTCGGCCCAGAGACCACGAGCTCTGGGGCTTGTCCGTCCCACAGCTGAGGACCAAACGTTTCGACTCCAAAGCGAGCGGAAGTAACTGGGAATGAATTTACCCAGCTTAATCGTAGGTTCGTCGCATTGTTACCCGTGGCGGCGCTGCCCGCAGGGCAGCTATCGTATTCACAAGCTGAGGTGCGCGGTGATGGCCCCACGTCAAGAGACCCTAGTTCATCTATTTAGCTATGCCCTAATCAGATAAAGTTCTTGGACGGGAGCTTACCTGTACCAGACTTATTTTCAGCTGGTGCTGACAAAATGACATCGTGGCCAGCGTTGTTCAGCTTGTCATGCAGGACCCGAATATATTGCTCTGCCCAACCGTCGTCGTTTGACTGGAGGATGCGTATGCCGTGGGCGCCCAGGGCGAGCAATACGGATGTCAGGAGTTGGGCACGCATTTTTGGAATGAGGATTTAATCAACGAACGACTGGAGATCTCCATTTGATTAACAACATGGGGCCGTGTGCTCATTTAAATATCTATCTTGTTTGTCGCATTGACGCAAGCCGCATTAAGAAAGTCATACCCGTTCGCAATCGACCCCTGACATCCCCGGGACTTTCATTGAATTATAACAGCCAATCACAAACCTTGACAAGAGTCTATACCGAGCAATGAAACTCTAAAACAGGGACCGAGCTGGGATGCCGAGCCTCTAGTCCCCGCCGTCCCTGTGATATCAGCCACAATTCACAGCCAATCTTGTGGGGCACGTGGGATCCGCAACGCGCCATAGATCTCCTGTGAGGGAGAGGAGGCCGTAGAAAAGCCACCAGTCATCCCTAGCAAGGCAGGTCGAGAAAAATGCCAAGGTGTCGCTGTCGCCCTCGGCGAAACCCGTATTCACCAGACTTATGAAACTCGTCTGTTTAGAAGGAATAGGAGCTCTGCATGCTATGCAAATAATACTGCTACAAGTGACGCTAACTATGCAGAACTATTGGGAAAGTCTATCATTAATAAACTTGGCGATAAGATCCTGGTAGTAAGGTTGACTCTAGGGGTACGTACTCGCGAACTCTACGCTAGCTGTGTGAGTCACCTTCTGAATACGGTAAGTGACACGGGAGCGGCATCTCGGGCACCCGGGAGGAAAGAGTGGGTGTTCTCGGAGGTAAGTGGAGTCATCCACTCGGTTTGTGCCGCCATGGAACGTGCTTTATGATTATCATCTCCATCGCTTTTACGAGTTGTTCACGCGGATACCCAGAAGCCCAATTTACAACAAAGATAACCCGATGATCAATTAGGTATCACTTTGCACTCCAATAATTCACTAGATCTACAGAGTAAGGCAAAATAGCTAGAAGAACTGGGCAGTAAAAAAGGAAGCAATGGACTTGGAACGACAGGTGGAAAGCCCGTAAAAGAAAACGGTATATCAAATTAGAACTGGCCTCCAGAAGAGCTCAAAGTGTGGATCCTGTAGCTACAGTGTCCCAGGCACTCATACAATGAGGCAGTTGCTGCCTGCATCTGGACGCATATGTAAACATTAGCTGGATCCTAATCCTCTAATCCTAATCTCATCTGGATCTACTTTTTCAACGAGGTAGGGACCTTCAAGGGGTTCGTCGTCACCCAGCATGGTCACTCTATCCCCGGTAACAAAACGCGGAGGCTGGGCGCGGGCTCAGTCAATGTTAGATAGCGCCTTTCCCAGGACACCAAATTTTTTTAGACTGTGCGACATAAGGGCGGTCTCCTTCAATAGAGAAGGCATTATGTTTTTTGTTCCTGGGTTACATATTAGTATTGGATGGATCGGGTTGTGATAGTGTGGCGTACTCTTCGGGGGACATAGGTATCATAACTACGGTTTGACATGAATATACCATGATCTGGTTAGCACAGCCAAAACATGGTGGTAAAGTATTCCAAGGAGAGTATCTGGAACATGCGCTCCAAAACAATTTTCAACTCTTAGGACTGACTCAAGTAAGATCTTAACTTAAATTGTGTGACAACTAGCTGTATAAAGTTTAATTATTTCCCCCGCCACCACCTTTAGACACACGGACTCCTCGATCGCTGTCAGATGACAAGGATTACGATAGGTATATGACGTGATAAGGGGACCTTGGTTCCCTCTTAGATTCAGGGGAGGGCAGGCGTTAGTATTATTCCGAAATATATACCATATGAGCTAGTCACCAGCTAGTCACCTGTCACTCCGTAGTGGTGATATACCAAGGGCAGCCTCTGACAATCGCCCCTTAATTATCACAATAGAAATCACCAGCTGTAGCGTTTGAACTCGTGCCCCTATAGTGTGCCTTCTGAGGATAAGGACACAAAATACTCTCACGAACAGGGCCCTTATCCACAGAAGTTGCTGCAATGATACTGTCAGGGGCAACATCGGATTCAACCCATGAGACCAGGGCCTTAAAAAGTCCAGCAGGGTAATATCCCCCAGAGCCCGCCCAACAGTGAGCAAGCCCCGGCGCTTCGAAAAGACGATAATAATCATGTATTTGCTCATCGTGGGCTGTAACACTTTCGTAGAAGTGCGACGAAGAGTCTGGAGGGAGGATAGCATCGGCCAGACCGTGGTAGGATAGTAGCTTCCCCCCTGCTTCTCGGAAGGCGTCCAAGTTAGGCTTCACGTTGAAAATTGGACCGTACTCATCTAGCGATTGTTGAAATAAATCCTGAAGGTCCTCGATTGTTACTGTCGTGACGTCGAAAGTAGGGTCTTTCTTGATAAGAAGCCGTATCCATGCGTCAACAACATCCATTGTGTGTCCTGTGCAGGTGCCATTCCCCGAGCACACAGTTGTCGCAAGTCCCGCATTGACCCCAAGGCCGATGTCCTCGTCTACTAGGCTTGCCCCCCTTTTAAGTCCCCACCAAAGAAATGAGCCATCTAATTTTCGAGCGCCAGTCCACGTCGCGATCGAAATATTGGCCGCAGCTTCCGATATTTTCACAGTTCCAGCGTCGGTATCCTGGCAATCAACAGACTTGCCCACCACAGAATACGGATCGAAGTCGCAGGAATCCGGGTCAGTGACGATCCCATCAAGTAGTCCATCGTTACCGTCGCAATGCTTGATGAAGGCTTCCGTGATCGCAACAAACTCACAGTTCTTCGGGTACTGGCCTAGCGCCTTCATAACAACCTGGGGCCAATGATCAGCCACACCCAACCCGGCAAAGTCGACTGCCGGGGCCGAAGCTGCTATCCCGTCGAACGCGGTAGGGTATTTCTCAGCAATCTTGAAACCTTGCCGTCCGCCTTGTGAACACCCGTTCCAATAGGAGTATGCTGGTGGCTTGCCGTAGTAGCTCTCCGTAATTGCCTTACCAATGATAGACAATTCGTTCAGCGAGTTGGAGCCAAATTCTTCGAGAAGATGAAGGTCAACGTGTCCGGGACTCTTCAATATCCAGTCATCAGGGTTTATTGAATCATGGCCAGCGTTAGTAGTCACAGCAGAGTACCCCTCCGACACGGCGCCTAGCATAGAGTAATGGAGGAGTGGAAAGTTAACGCCTCCAGCGGAAAACCCCCCTCCGCCAACACCTTGCATCCTGCCATTCCACTCTGTGGGGAGGTACACAGAAATAGTGACAGTATCGGACTCGCCAGGGTGCGTGTAAGTAGTCGTGAGATTGCAAAAGTTGACACCTTCAGCGTAGACAGCCCCATTGTTCGTATACGTGCTCTCGGGGACTTGGATTGTCAAGTTAGATACCAGCGAGGCGCTAAGTGAAGTGAATTGTACGCCGGGCAAATCCGGATAGGGGATCTGAGCGGGACTACACATGGTGAAGGAGGATATGACCTTATTATCCTGGCCGTGATTATCTACCTCTTACCGTTTCGCGACATTGGGGATAAAAGGCCTTTTATATATCGAAAAATCCGTGAATTATTGGTTCCTGCTGCTATGTCGCCTAGTTGTGGATGCCTACCCTCGTTGTCGTGTCAGGGGTATAGCTTATAACCCCTTATTACATAATAACCTTCTCTTATTTTCTCGGGTCCAGCTCATAATCCTTTAAGATCTGAGAGGTCTGTGTATTTTCTATACGTGACGTGCATGTCGATGTCTTTACAACTATATGAGAGAGTTTCCATTGGTTGATGCTTTCGCGTAGTATTGTATACTCCTTATTATAAAGTTGTTGAGAGCTAGCTTTAGAAGTATATTCCTATATATCTTTGTATGTAGCAATACTTGAAAAATCCTTAGTCGATAACAGTTCTAGGGGTTATACACTTTAACCTTTTTAATCCTTTAGGATTGTATTCTATGGCACATCCCGCCAATAATTGCATGGGACTGATATTACCGGCCCACTCCGGGAATCTTTAGCCCGGATACTATCGGAGTTACAAAAGGTTATCATACGGGACCCCTTTTCTCAAATATTCTCTTATTGGAGTTTAGGAGGTCTATTAGGAGCCCCGCCCCGAAAGCATTCCGAGACACCACGGAGAAACAGGGTTACATGTATGCACATTCACGGTCCTGGGCATACAAGCTTCATAGCTCTTTGCGCAGCAGCGCCGTTGCTTCCGTCTCGGATGGTCCGAGTCTTGACAATCCCGGTTACATTCAGATACGAATACGTTGACACGACCATATAGGTAACCCACGAAATATCATGATGCGAAACCTTTTAAACGAGATATCGCCAATAGAGCGCTTTTGCGCAGTAAGTCAACGCCTCAACGACAATTGCTTAGAATAACTTGAATGGGTGCATGGAAGCCCAAGCATCAGTAGGCTATAAATAGATTAGGCACCCTAAATTATTATGCATGCAAAGAAGTCCTAATGTGGCGCAGCCGTTGAAGTGTACGAAACAAGCATCAGCTCGTAAATATGAGAATTTCTTATCCATAACAATACCGGCTTTCATTCCCATCGCATCAAGGGCCCCGAGACTCGCGATAGGAAGTTCTAGTTCAAAATGCAAGGAGTACAAGCCGCCGTCCCCCGTCTTCCGATCCGTAGATCCGCTTGTGATCGGTGTAAGGGACATAAACTAAGATGCCTGCGAGACCCGGGACAAGAGCGCTGCTACCGATGTACGCGAGCAGATGCACAATGCGCTACTACCCCGAACGTGCCTATACGGTCCCGCCGTCGGATAGGGGGTGTCAGTTCTAGAACACAGAAACGACCGCGACAAGATGACCGACAACAAAATATCCCGCCTACTGATGTTAACCAGGCAATTAATACGCCATTGCCCATTTTCTTCGAGGGTTCCAGCAATGTGCAAGATATGACTTATCCTCCCGAGATTATGGAGTCTTGGGACCCTACTATCTACGGATCCCTGTTTGGCGATGGCTTCGATGGAAATTTCGCATGTTTCGATTTTACCGCCAATAAGGCTCATCTGCCTACCTTGGATTATCAACCAGAGATGATGAATTTGTCTACTTTCCAGACAGATGCTTTACCGGCTGGGGCATTGTATTTGCAGGGCCAGGAGACTAGCATAGCCAATAATACGTCGACTTCTCCGGAATGTGTCGACGCTACTCAGGATTCGGTTATCGAAGTTGGCCGTGGAATCTCCGAGAGCGAAACACAACGACTGGCGAAAATAAACCTCGACTTGGTTAAGCTCCTGGACCAGATTGGACGAGGGTCTCCCGAGATAAGTCTCGATACACTCGTTGCGCCCATTGATCAATTAGACGATTTTTCCGGGACCCAAATCCATAGTGTACTGTTCAGCAGCCGCGAGTTCGTAGATGTCATATCTACGCTTTCGGATGCCAATCGGACACCAGCAGCAATAACGTCGCACGGTTCTTCTCCGAGGACGCCGGAATCCGGACCCGTTAGTAACATAAGCGGCTCAACTAGAGGTCGCAATTCTCCACACTCGTCCGAATATGGTCGGACCCTAGCCAGCCCATCACTTGTGTCTACGATAGGAAATCGGCCTAAACGCCGCCTCGATTCAGCAACACTCATGCATATTCTCATATCCTATATCCACATTACGCAGCTCTACCTGATAATTTTCACCCATTGCTACGAGGCCCTCCTAGAGATATCTAAAAGCGATGTCCCTTCGCTACGTGAACTACCCGGGTTGGACTTTGGTAGCTTCCCGCTTCGTATGTAGTTTCTTTCTAGTACCTATGCATAACACTGTATATGATGAGAGTACTGACTTTCCTGCAGAATCCGGCAACCTGCAAGTCACGATGTTTATTCAGGTCATCATTAACCTATTCGGCAAGATGGAGAACCTGCTTGGTATACCGCAAGAATTTCGAATTGGCGGACATGGAACCCATCACGGCGGCCTATTGAATGAACCGGAATTCTTCAGGGTCTTGAGGGCGGTATTGTCCAAGGAGGAACTTGTATGTAAGCCAGATCTCGGGAAAGGGGGTGTTAATGCGTTGCGAAAATACCTTGAGCAGACAAGACAGCTACTGCGGGATAGTATAGAGCCGTAGATACCCACCAGTTCTAATATTAGATTTGATTTTCTGACTCGTATTCCCATATCTCATAGGATTATCTACTAGAGTATAGAATCTTAGAGGCCTACGATTAAGTTAATCTAAGCGGTTAAACCCTCTTCCTTCTCAATTTCCTCTTTACTAGGAGACCATTTGTCCTGGAGATCTTTGTCGAGAGTAAGTCCGTAGAGGTCCTTAGACCACCATTCGCCTAAGCTCGACAAGTAGATCTGGTCGGGGTCTTCCGGAAAGTCGTCCCTTATAAATGCACGATAGATACTCTGGGCGCCTGACAGCAGTGTAAGTTATGTGTGATACCTATATTCCGCGAGTTATGGATGTAACATACCTTCTGGGACGGTCTTTGCATCTGGATGGTTTACAAGCATACTGTAATGTTCGCTGCTTCTTAGGAGGTTAGTATTAGGGACTAAACCCGGCGACGCGGCGACGACGTGGCATTTTCCCTGAAGTTGACGACGCCACCAGTGGGCTCCGAGTAGCTGAACGAATTTCGTGGCGCTGTATACATTGCGATCCGTCTTTGAACCGCCCTTGAGATCATCTTCAAGAAGTGCTACGTGTAATTGTGAGATTATTATCCCGGATTAGGATGGTAACGAGCTTAACATACTAGGGTCCTTTACATAGCACACGGCGCCAGAGGAGACGACTACTATGCGCGACCTCGATGCTTCTAACTTCTCTCGAAGTAGATGAACGAGGTAGTGTTGGGCTGGAGTCCTCATTAACACACATTGTCGACTAGCAAAAGTAATGCCAACAAACGTCAATTCTTACACAGATGGTTCACAATATAGGGCTCACTCCATTTAGAACCATGCGGACCAGGTTGCTCAGAATTATTACTAATTGCTGCACTGAGCAACAAGTAGTCAATCTTGTCTTGTCCAAGTTTATCTAAGACTTGCTGTGAGAAAGTCTTGACGGTCTTGAGGTTCGACAGCTCTAACGGGAAGATAGTTAAGCTGTGCTTGCTGTTGTCATACTCGAGTCCATCGAAGTTGGCTTGAGCCGTTTTCGTGTCTCTAGCTCCGAGAATGAAATTGTAGGGCTGCGTTTGGGCAAGAAGTTGCCTGACTAACTCGAACCCCTATATAGCATTAGATGTTAACTAGAATGAATTGTTAGATGTAATGATGAATTACTGCCTACCAAGCCTGAAGTGGCGCCTGTAGCTACAATTGTCTTCGCGATAGTTGCCATGATGAGGAGTTGGAGTTTAGGCAGTTTAGGAGTAGCGGATGAGAGATTGAATCTTTTTATACTCAGATTACAGACAGGAATGGCTCCTAACACCGAAATGATTCTTCTCTCTCACATTTCAATTGCAAAATCCTTTCAAACGAAGCTGGTGCTTACAAATATAGTTGTATTCTGAACGGCGTGTATAATGGAACTCATATTGAATCTATGTACCTTGTAGGTTCCCCTCACTTATAACCCCTCCTTCAACAAACGGTCGTAGCTATAATTGATTTGCTACCCATTAATTTGCAATAACCTCTACAACAACATGTAAAATATGAAAATAGGTCAAGTCAATTCTTCGTACAAATTAAATTCAGTAATACCACAGCCGGTCACAACATTCAATTCTAGAATGGCAACAAATCATGTTCTATGAATTTCCATGAAGTCGCTGATAGAACGGGCTTGTGGTACAACTATACTTATTCGGGTTAGCGCAAAACAGCTTCGGCTTCTGGCCGGTTCCTCCGTCATTGCATTGGATTAAATTTTTTGAAGCTTTTCTTCCCCGGAATCTCAAAACTCAATCCTCCAACGCCTACATTTCAACAACGCCGGCGAGAATTTCTTCTCCTTCCCTCTCTTACGCCGTGATCTTTGTGGTGGCATTTAATTATTGCCTTTCCCCTACTTAATATCTGTATCCCACAGTCACAATGCAGCGTGCTCTTTCGTCCCGAGCCCGGGCTTCGGTCCTATCTTCGGCTGCCACTAAGTACCGAGCTGGTGCAGGCCTTTCACAGCAGCTTCGATTCGCCCACAAGGTTGGTGATACTCTTTCATGAGCTTCAAAAGCAAACAAACTTAGTTCTACTATATCATGTATTGTACGTATGACTAACATATATTGTCTAGGAGCTCAAGTTTGGCGTTGAGGGCCGAGCTTCCCTTCTTGCCGGTGTCGAGACCCTCGCCAAAGCTGTCGCCACTACACTCGGCCCTAAGGGTCGAAATGTTTTAATCGAGTCGAGCTATGGCTCTCCCAAGATCACAAAGGGTATGCATGGAACCTAATTTCACCTCAATTCGACCAGGTTACTAATCAGAGACTATAGATGGTGTTACTGTCGCAAGAGCTATCAGCTTACAAGACAAGTTCGAGAACCTCGGCGCTAAGTTATTACAAGATGTCGCATCCAAGACAAACGAATCTGCCGGTGACGGAACCACAAGCGCTACTGTTCTAGCTCGCGCTATCTTCTCGGAAACTGTTAAGAATGTCGCTGCTGGCTGCAACCCTATGGATCTGCGGCGGGGTACCCAAGCTGCTGTCGACGCTGTTGTTGAATACCTCCAGAAGAACAAGAGGGATATCACGACCAGCGAAGAAGTCGCTCAAGTCGCCACAATTAGCGCCAACGGAGATACCCACATTGGCAAGTTGATTGCCAATGCCATGGAGAAGGTTGGTAAGGAGGGTGTTATCACCGTCAAGGAGGGAAAGACGATGAATGATGAGTTGGAAGTTACCGAGGGTATGCGATTCGACCGTGGTTACGTTTCGCCTTACTTCATCACAGATGCCAAGGCACAGAAGGTCGAGTTCGAGAAGCCCCTCATTCTCCTTTCTGAGAAGAAGATCTCTGCCGTACAAGATATTATCCCCGCTCTCGAGGCCTCTACCCAGTTGCGACGACCTCTTGTCATCATTGCCGAGGACATTGATGGTGAAGCCCTAGCCGTCTGCATCTTGAACAAGCTCCGTGGTCAGCTCCAGGTTGCCGCCGTCAAGGCCCCCGGCTTCGGTGACAACCGAAAGTCGATCCTCGGTGATATCGCTGTCCTCACCAACGGTACCGTTTTCACTGATGAGCTCGATATCAAGCTGGAGAAGGCTACTCCTGACATGCTTGGTTCTACCGGCTCCATCACCATCACTAAGGAGGATACTATTATCCTCAACGGAGAGGGCAGCAAGGACGCGATTGCTCAGCGATGTGAACAGATCCGTGGTGTCATGAGCGATCCCACCACCTCCGAGTACGAGAAGGAGAAGCTCCAGGAGCGACTTGCTAAGCTCTCGGGTGGCGTTGCCGTCATCAAGGTCGGTGGCTCTTCCGAGGTCGAGGTCGGCGAGAAGAAGGACCGCTTCGTCGATGCCCTTAACGCTACCCGAGCTGCCGTCGAGGAAGGTATTCTGCCCGGTGGTGGTACCGCTCTCCTCAAGGCTGCCAGCAACGCCCTGAAGGATATTAAGACTGCAAACTTCGATCAGCAACTTGGTGTTAGCATCGTCAAGAATGCGATTACCCGACCAGCCAAGACGATCGTGGAGAACGCTGGTCTGGAAGGCTCTGTAGTTGTTGGTAAGCTCATGGACGAATTCGGTAACGACTTCAACAAGGGCTTCGACAGTGCCAAGGGAGAGTACGTGGACATGATCCAGGCAGGTATCCTTGACCCGCTCAAGGTCGTCCGAACTGGTCTAGTTGATGCCAGCGGTGTTGCGTCGTTACTAGGCACCACCGAAGTTGCCATCGTTGAGGCACCCGAGGATAAGTCTGCTGGTGGTGGCATGGGCGGCATGGGCGGCATGGGCGGAATGGGTGGCATGGGAGGAATGATGTAATGAGTTCATGTTTTGGATGAAACTCTATCCTGTCATGTATCAAAAGTTTGGGTTGGGAGCATTGACCTCGGTGTTATGCGGACGGGTTAATATTGGCTCTTGTCATGTCTTCCTCTATCTCCCCTCTACCTCTGCCACTCTCCCCCCCTGTGCATTATTCATATCTTGATATCCCGAGCGGCGTTATGAGAGTTGTATATTAGAGCTACGAACTAGGAAACGCTAACCTACATCTAGTGTAGGTGATCATAATTGATCTGATGATAAATATTTGCCCCCTTTTTTGGTTTATTATTTAGGCACCAAAATTTGTAATTATCTCAAGTTTTGCCTGGAAATTGAGATGACATATATGGTGATACGCAATGACGAATCCCATGTGGCTCGGCTCGTTCCTATTAGAGGCAGCGAGATAGTGACAATAGCAGAATAGGTATCTACATGGTACCGATGTATTATTGGATGTAGTGGTAACCCCTGAAATAGGTAGCCCAATTCCATGAAATTAAAGGAGTCACGTGTGCTAGGTAGTTTATTATGAAATTTCGTAACCCGACAAAGTCCAACGGTCGACCCAGTTACCGCCAAGAACAAGTGTAACCTAGGTTTTTTTTTAATGTGTACCTAGGTACTAAAGCGTTATCGAGTCTCAGCGTTATGTATATATTGTACCTAGGTAGTCACCTATGATGTATTTATCTCATTACCAACTGCCCACCCTCCTCCACTGAAGACCCCTGTTCCACTGCCCCCCTAATCCCCTCCCAAACAACATTTGACCCCACCAAGGCTCTATTGTTGATTTCTCTGCTCATCGTGCGTGCCTCTTTTCATCAGCCCGACCTTCCCCTCCATTGCGATAGGGCCCACACTAAAAACACTACTTACATCTCTCCCGACTCTTTCTTTCTATTGTTGTCTTCCTAAACATCCATCGCATTTATCTGCAAACCTGAACCACGAGACCCTCCTAGGTGGATAGCCACATTCAGCGATTTATGTTAGTTGCAGATTTGACCCAGCATCACATTTTTTCACTCCAAATTCACTTGCATCTACTCCTGGTCTTTGTAGGACCTTTCTTTGAACCCCGCTAACAACCCACATTCGTAGCTTGTCTTCGGAATCTCATTTGGTACCGGTGTAGCTCAAGCATATCGCCAAAATGGTGAGTCTTGAACCCAATCAACCCTTGAAAGCCTGCTAATAGTGAATTTTGGTAGTCTCAATCAGGGTTCGTGACTCCTTTCAGTTAACCGTCGTCTTATTCCTGTCTCTGTCGGCAACAACCCCCTATCCGCGCGTCATTATGCGCTTTCACGGTGCACCGCTCTTTCCGGCGCGTCTAAAGAACAGAACAGAAGAGAATAGGAGCTAATATGGATGGCCATCTAGAGCGACAGTCTCGCAGGAGTGCATTACTGCGTACAACGACCTTAAGCTTGCGAAGAAGCACAAGTACGTCATCTTCAAGCTGTCGGACAACAACCGAGAAATCGTCGTCGAGGAGGCTTCTTCCGATAAGGACTGGGAGAACTTCCGCGAGAAGCTCATCAACGCCACCACCAAGACCAAGAGCGTAAGCATCATCTTTAGGCTTGTGGCGTTTCGTTTCTGGGTTATGTTCTAATATTATATTTCTAGGGCGCTGTTAGCAAGGGACCCCGATACGCTGTCTACGATTTCGAGTACAACCTCGCTAGTGGAGAAGGATCGCGGTTAGTAGCCTCGGCCAATATAATAATAAACTCATTATACTAATAATATATAGAAACAAGATCACCTTCATCGCATGGTCGCCCGATGATGCCAACGTCATGGTCAGTATACACAATGACCTTTAACTTGGACCCGGTAATATAATGCTAACCCCCCTTAAAGGCTAAGATGGTGTACGCCTCCTCGAAGGAGGCCCTGAAGCGCTCTCTCACCGGTATTGCCCACGAACTACAGGCCAACGACCAGGACGACATCGAATACGACACAGTACTGAAGGTGGTCAGCAAGGGTCTAGCCGGTTAAGCACCTCCGACCCCTGAAGCCCGAGAGCAACTTGGGGCAAGGTTGCTGAGGATCATTACTTGAGGAGGGGCACTCGCGTGCCAAGGATCCACGACGTCTACGAAGCTGCAGGATGGACATAAACTCTCTCCCTGCCATTACGATGGAGCAGGGCCGCTTTGGTCGCTATTTATTTTTCCTTAGAGGGCGGACATGAATTGTCAAGCTGTGATGTTAGCCATCGGTCTACACCGCACAACACAAAAGTTCATATTTGAATGTAGATCGTTCCTAGTGTGCTCTTTGGTCAGATGTCTACGCCATTAATAATTATCATTTTCGCAGCCTCTTAATACCCTTGCACTCTGGTTTGGCCTGCTGAGCTTGTTTATTATACGGGGTGGCTAGCTTTCTACCTGCATCTTCTAAATCTATGCCTTCGCCTTCCACGCGCTTTGGAAAGTGTTTGTTAGTTCTGTCGCTGTCTTTTCGTCCCGTATTCGTTGTAACAGGAATCCCTTGAGATCATCCCAAAATTCCTTGGTATCTAATACATCGTTACCGCTCTGACCCTGTGCAACTTCAGCTTGCGCTGGTGTTGCCTTGATAGCTGCGGCTCCTCCCATAACCATGACAGAGAACTCGACGCTCGTCTCGCCCTCGCCCGCAAGGTCCTTCAACACTTTGCTATCAGCGATCGGCTTCTTTTTGTGTAGGAGCTTCATCTTCTCGATGGGTATTCCAGTGTCCTGTGATACGGTGGTCTTGATATCTAAGACGGAGGTGTTGGGCGTCTGGGACGAGAGCTTTATGTCTAACGGTGGATTGCGGAGGGACTTGACGAGGACGGTGAGGCTGCGCTCTTGGCCCGGTGCTACGGTACTGGCCTTGCGCTTGCTCATAGGCTTCGGCATCTTGGGGAGTATATACTACGTTTATCGTTAGCTAGGAAGAGTAAGATAGTCGCAGGGTATAACATACAGCGCCGCGCGCAGCGTAGCTCTTAGGATCCTCGACATGATCGGCTGATAGCTTGATCGGACGAGTTTCCAGTACTGCGAGGAAAGACCTTGCAAATGATACTTCCGTCATCTTTGTTTGTAAGGGTTACACGAGGTGTCGAGGTATGAGAAGTTATGTCATAAATGATTCAGGCCGCCTTGAACTCTTGACGATCACGATGTCCCGCCTTTAAGACGCCACGAAAGTATCCCACTTTGTGGCTGAAGCTTGGTTGTACCTGCGTATCTATGTACTGAGGTACCGCTGCTTAAGTCCATCGCGCTAATTTAGACCATCCAATCACGTGTCTTAATAAAAGTGGTTCATATTGATTATCAGCTTATCGTAAGAAAAAAAGTTCGAGGTCAAACTACGAGAGGAATTGGAAATTTTGGAGCGCCCAGCTTAACGATATAGCGATACATCTAACAATTTTCTTTTAATACCGCCAGCAAAATGGGTGTCGGCCGTCGCATGAAGAAGCAGGGCCCTCCTGAGCCACTGTCAGAAGAACACTTTGCGAAATTAAAGCGAAAGGCTGGTCTACCTGTAGACGATGTTCCAACCGAAGCACCGAACAAGAAGAAACGGAAAACCGCAACCGAATCAGCTTCTAAGTCCAATGGCGCTGGTGCAAAGAAGGCTCCTAAATCCAACGGAAAGTCCAATGGTGTGAAAGCCGCCCCGGCGCCTAAGCAGAATGGAAAGAACAACAGGTCGAAAGCAAAGAAGCCTGCGCCCGTGCCAGAATCCGATGAAGAGCTTAGCGACGGCCTTGGTGAAGGGCTTAGTGGTTCTGAGCCGGACGGCGACGAATTCTCCGATCTAGAGGATGAAGAGATGGGCGGCCTAGGAGATGACTTTATAGGCTCAGACGACTCCGTCTTTGACTCCGATGCAGAGGACCAGAGGGAGCGAAAGGCTATGTTCTCAGAGGATGAAGATGATTCGGACGCTGAAGAGAAATTGACGGCGGCCAACATTGTCGGTCTATCAAATAAGCTGGACAGGCAAAGGGCGCAAGAGGAAGCGGAGGCGCAAGCAGAATTGGAAGAAGCAGCACTCCAGACTAATATTGAGCGACCACACGTCATCGACGACGAGGAAGAGGATGATTTAGCACTTAAGACGAAGGCGCTCTTGGCTCCGGATCTGCAGTTACTAAGGACAAGGATCACGGATACGATACGTGTTTTAGATGACTTCGCGAACGCAGCGGAGGAGGGCAGGTCCAGAGCTGAATACACATCACAATTGCTGAAGGATATCTGCGCCTACTACGGTTACTCAGAGTACCTTGCCGAGAAACTTATGAACCTATTCCCGCCAAGAGAAGCTTTCGCGTTCTTCGAGGCTAACGAAACGGCGCGACCTGTCGTCATCCGAACCAATACTCTACGAACGCACCGCCGAGATTTGGCCCAAGCTCTCATAAATCGTGGCGTCACTCTAGAGCCTGTAGGCAAGTGGTCCAAAGTTGGATTACAAATCTTCGAGAGCAACGTTCCGCTTGGTGCTACGCCCGAATATCTTGCTGGACACTACATTCTCCAGGCTGCGTCCTCATTTTTACCCGTTATGGCTTTAAGCCCACAAGAAGGCGAGCGAGTGCTGGATATGGCCTCTGCTCCTGGAGGTAAAACTACGCATATGGCTGCTATGATGAAGAACACCGGTTGTATATTTGCCAACGATCCGAGCAAGTCGCGTTCAAAGGGTCTAATTGGTAACATTCACCGTCTCGGTTGTCGCAACATCATCGTCTGCAACTATGATGCGCGAGAGTTCCCGAGGGTAATTGGTGGCTTCGACAGGGTGCTTCTTGATGCTCCTTGCTCAGGTACAGGTGTTATCGCCAAGGATCCTTCGGTCAAGACAAACAAGGACGAGAAGGATTTCATGGTTTTACCCCACACCCAGAAGCAGCTATTGCTAGCTGCGATTGACTCGGTCAACCACGCAAGCAAGACTGGTGGTTATCTAGTCTACTCTACATGTTCAGTTACCGTCGAGGAGAACGAGCAAGTCGTCCAGTATGCGCTCAACAAGAGGCCTAACGTCAAGTTGGTCTCCACCGAGCTCCCCTTCGGTAAAGAAGGCTTCACTAGCTACATGGGCAAGAAGTTCGACTCGAGTCTACGTCTAACGAGAAGATATTACCCGCACACATACAACGTAGACGGTTTCTTCGTCGCAAAATTCCAAAAGGTCGGCCCGACACCTGCCAACCTCGTCAAGGACAAGCCTGCTCAAGGAGCCTCGGCGCCGCGTGCAGAAGAAGAGGTCATCGACAAGACACCCATCACAGACGACAAGGTGTCTGGTCAAGATGACGACTTTGGTGGTTTCGACGACGAGGAAGATGAGAAGTATATGGAGAGGGCGAAGCGCAATGCCATGAGGAAACGTGGTCTTGATCCCAAGGCGTTGAACAAGCCAAGCGCGAACGGTAATGCGGAGGAAAAGAGCGAGGCTAAGAGTGATACCAAGAGCGAGGAGAAGAGCAAGACTAAGAGTGACGAGAAGAGCGAGAAAAGTGAGAAGAATAAGGAGAAGAGCAAGGGTAAAACTGCGGCTAAGAGCGAAGGCAAGACGAAGAGCAAAAAGAAGACGTAACTCGAAGCTTAAAGGCGTAATGTTATTCTCGTTTAGGATCCAGGAAAAATGTAACACTAATGGAAGTGTTATTAAGTGACCCATGCCGGCAGTTATCATATTATTTGGATGCCATTTTCATAGTCCAGTGGTCATTTATAATTGTGTCTCTATTCTGTGTAAGTCCCTAATCTATACCTACATACCAACTCAATTCGCCTTAGCGTTGACTATGTTTCCGCATGACTTCTCAGCCGCAGCTGAGCCTCTATACCCTCTTCACTATGTTGGAGAATTCTCACCTCATGGTAAATCGTGGGCTTTGTTTTTGAATAAATACGACTAGGAATCTGATTATATATTGCTCAAAAGATAGTATTTGGTTGGGACTCCTTAGCCATAATGACCGAATTACAACTAGATAGCGATGTCAACCTATGCGACTTCTGCCGCTCAGTCGACTGGGCACAAGTCACAACCGGTCTCTTCAACCCCTACAAAGCCGCTCTAGAAAACGTACAGCTTAAAAGCGGCGAGCACAACCTCGGCGCAATCCATACAGCAGCAGCAGCCTGTGAGCTATGCAACCTGATCTCAGACGGGTCCCGCAACTTAAAGCCGTGGTGGCCCGTCGCGGAATTCCTAGATCGCCCAGAGCACCTTACCTGCGCGTTCTGGAGCAGCCGGAACCGCCTCGGGTCCTCTGTGCTAACGGCCAAGCTGTCGCAGGCAGATGCGCTCCTCGACACGCTGTTTGCGGGTATGAAGCCGGGGTACTCGTCTACGAATTTAGTTATACAGGAGTTTTTTGACTCGCTTGAGCGGCGGGGTGTCTTTCTTGATGGGGATAAGGGGGGTGGGGATGGGAGGAGGAGGAATAATAGTTTGAATAAGTTGATGGTGGTGGTGGGGATTAGCCCGGTTAGTTGTACGTCGCAGACGTTCTTGCAGTTGCATCCGTGTTTGTATCCGGTGCCGAACGTGGATGATTATGTGATGGGGGAGGAGCCGTTTTCGGTGTTTCCGTCGGGGAGGGTTGTGAAGTCGGAGGTTAACGTTGGGTTGCTTAGGAGGTGGTATGAGACATGCCTTGAGACGCACGGGACGAAGTGTAGTCAGCCTCCTTGGCTCGCGCCGGATACCTCATGGCCTGCTAGGCTTCGGCTAATCGATGTACGTCGGCAATGTCTTGTTGAGATGTCAGATCCGTGCCCTTATTTCGCGCTTAGTTATGTATGGGGTGACGAAATGGGCCCTTTCCAGACAACCCTTTCGAATATCGAGGAAATGAAAACACCAGATTTTCTCCGAAGTCAACCGCTACCGAAGACCATCGTGGATGCAATAGAATTGACTAATCAGATGGGGGTAGAGTTCCTTTGGGTTGATCGGCTGTGTGTTATCCAGGATTCTGAAGTCGATAAAGCCATTCAGATTCCTCAGATGGACCTAGTCTACTCGAGGGCAGAATTAACAGTTGTCGCAGCATGCGGCACAGCAACTGATGGACTTCTGGGGATCAACGGCACAATCCGTACCATCAACCAGCGCATAGCACGTGTGTCTAAAGATCTAAGCCTAACAGATGTCCTTCGTCTCGACCAAGAGTACCAGGATAGTAGGTGGAAAACACGAGGATGGACATTCCAAGAGGGCCTCTGCTCCCGTCGGACTCTCATCATCGCTTCCGACCAAGTATTTTGGAGTTGTGAAACTTCCAAATGCTGCGAGACCATCGCCTTCGAGGCCTTTCCCACTGCCGTCGCCCCCAACGACATCACTTACTCGGTGCTATCCGGTCACAATGTTTTCGGAGAATTTGGGGGTGGTAACAATTTCGCGTACAGCGAGTTAAACTCGATGATCAAGGGGTACTGTAATAGAAAGCTTACCGTGCAAGCAGATGTTTTGGACGCGTTCTCAGGGGTATTAAGGAGGGTTGGAGTTAATACGGGACACGAATTTCACTGGGGTCATTCCGTCTCGACAAGATTTGACGAGAGCTTAGCTTGGAACAATATCGTCTGGTTTCCGGATCGCAAGTGGGAGTCACACCAGCTTCCAGAGCGGCGACGGGAACTACATCGTGTGATATCGAGTGATGGGACGGTTAATAGGGTACAGTTCCCTAGTTGGTCTTGGCTCGGGTGGAATCACATATTAGGGGTGAACCGCGCCGCGCCACGGCAGGTTGTGCTGGAGCCGGAGTTGAATATTATGAAGCTCAGTATGGATGGAAAAGCTGCCCCATTACGTTCATTCCCAAAAGAGAAGCAATTTGAGTCCGCATCGAAGATCGACATGTGCGGTATTGACAACACGACTTCAGCGGGCTGGAAGGAGAACACGACGATCGACCCTAGCTTACTATACCAGAACAACGAAGACGGAGATTTCAAGGACTCGGGCCGCCTTCTCTTTTGGACGAGCCACGCGGTGCTAATCTTGGAAGACAACAAGATATATAACGATAAGAAAGAGGAGGTTGGCGAACTAAACCCATTTCTACCATCCCAAGCACCCAAGCTATCCGGGAAACATTCGTTCCTTGTAGTATCGCGGAAGCACAACGATAACAGCCTCAAGGTTCTCAAGGCGGAGAGGAAACTTAACGTCTTGGTCGTAGAGTGGGATGACCCTTTTAGGCGTGTTGCTTCGCGGATTTGTGCGGGCGAAGTTGATGAAGAGGCTTGGGTTGGGCTTGGGGAGGTACGAGAGTGGATATTGGTGACGCTGGCATAATCTAGGATATAATTTGCAACTTGTTCAACTTGAAGCCTAGTATTTTTATCCAGTGTCAGCGTTCCTATGGACCGTTCCAGAGCTAGAGTAGCAATATCGTGATGTCTGATAATTAGGCAGTCTAGACATAAAGATACTGCTTTCGTAGCAGACAACTAACGAATGCTAGCAGTAATTTCCGTCGTATCATAACATACCTAGGTAGGTATATTCAGAGAAGAAAAAGAGAAAGAAAAAAAAAACTCATGAGAAGGTAAACAACCCAAGTATAAAAAGTAAAATGAAAATAAAATAAATAAAAATAAAAAGGATAAGAAAAAAAAAGGATAAAAAAATGCAGCCTCCGGTGGGAGTGGTTTCAGCGCCCGGAGAAACGCAGTGACCCAGCAGGTTGTTACTACGGGAGTAATCATACCCGGAGAAACGCAGTGACCCAGCAGGCGTCTTTACCATCTGACCACTTGGGCTGCGAGGTACCTCAATGTTACTTAGATGCGTTGCAATTCTAATATTTAAGGCAACTGTGCATCATGGACCGTCACGCAGGTGGTCTATGCATTGACAGGAGGTACCTAGGTAACCAGGTAGGTAGGTAGATATGTATTTCCCTCTAGCGAAAGTACATGATAAATTATTTAGTATTATTTATTACTGCATACGGATGATGACGATGATAACGTTGACGTCTATTGGTCTGCTCTATGCTACCTAAGTAGTTACAGCGGCGCATCTTTGGCGCTTTAGACGTCTAGAGTACTCCTCTATTACTGCATACAGAAGAGAATGACAAGATCAGAAAGCCTCCTAAGAATAGCTCGTCAAATATTCTCCCTGTGTTAAGCCTCGACGCTGTTAGAAGAAATACACGATGCCACGCTCGACTACCCCCCTCGCCGTTGATACATTTTACGATGTGAAGTTCACTCCAGCTCATCCCCTACATCAACCCACCCATCAGAATCTTCGTCTTCAGAACTCGAATAAGGCGATATTCTCCCTTGGTTTTCATACAGCTCGGTGTACGCATCCACTCGCTTGATGGCAATTTCCTTAGGATCGCGCACGGGGGCACCATCTGTCTGCTGGTTTGAAATAAACGCTTGTCGCCGCACAATGCTCTCGGTCGTCTCGATCAGCACTGGGTCGACATGGTCAGGCGCAAGGATGTTCTGGATCTGGTACGACCGGAACTCCGTGCTGCGCCAGCCTGAGTTGCTAGCTTCGGTTACGCCTTGGAAATCGTCCGTGAGCCAATGCGCGAACTCGCCGTGGGTTATAACCACGATGTGCGCATCGTCTTTCCCAGCCTCGATAGCCTGTCTTGCTAGCGTTCGTAGGTGTTGACGTGCGGATCGCGCCCGTGCCTCGACTTTGGGCACCTGCGGCGCGTAAGGACTATTGTGACTTTTGAGGTGCCACTTCTCGTCGAGCTCGTCCACTTCTACGAGACCCTTCTCATCGTATCGCCGGGAGAGAGAACTCTTTGGGAGTCCCGTGCTGCTTGGTGAGGGGCTGATCTCCTGCAGATCAGCAAGCAGTTTGATCTTAATGATTTCATCTACTATTGGGGTAATTCCAATTACCCCGGTGTCGATGGCGCGTCGTAAGGGGGACGACACGATATGGGTGACCTTGGGTCCGAACGGATACGCGTCTCTTAACAGAATGCATTGCCCGGCGCCGTAGTTGGTTAGTTTTGCGTCCCTCTTGCGGCTGCCTGCGATATTGTGGGTGGCCTCTGCATGGCGGATAATGTCGATAGTAGGCGCCATCCCAGTAATTAGATGTTCGTACTCCCAGAAGGTCGACCGAGAATACCAAGTAGGGGTTTTATAATATAAGCCTAGCCTCTGAATCGATGACCAGTTGCTCTCTCGGTGGGCATCCTACCGTCTTTAAATATTTTTTCCCTATGCAAAATATTTGCCACAACGCGTAACGCCATGGCCGCTGAGCGAAATAAGATTGCCAGGCGTTTAAAGCTCAACAAGAAACTCCTCGCACGAACGCCCCTTATCATAGTTGAAGCTTCTTTGTAAGTCATAGCAATAAACTCGGTCGACGTAGTTCATTTAGTCACGACTCACATTCGCTGAATTACATATGTGGGGTAACTAAGAAGATTTAGTAAACAGGTTATTCATAGGGAGCAGGGGGTAAGGTAACCTAGATATCTTATAAAGGAGGGCTATGAAAGTATACGGTTTATAGTACCAAAGTGTGTTTCACGAAAACATGTGACGGTTGCATTGCTAAGTCCTAAGTTAACTCAAATAAGGTCAATGAGCCTCTTATTCATTCATCCTTGACCGGTTCATGGCGAAATACCGGAATATTACCCCAAATGACCAAACGAAATAATAACTATCTTTACCGAGAATACCTAGACTAAAACGCCCAAAATCTGCCCGGGTCGAAGCCCAGAGTATACGTGGACAGTCAACTAGTTTGGCACTTGGTCGCGTCCTCTTTTTTATAGACATCCATGAACTCTAAAGTAACAGTAATAACATTTGCTTACTACCACAATCTTGTCGTCATATGACAGTTTATGAAGAATAAATCGTATATAATATACTAATCTGATGCTACTCCTATAGTTATTAGTCCTTGTGCTCCTCATATCTTGTCATCTGGGACCTAACCCTGTACCATATCGGCGCCACGGTCTCGGTCTCTAGAGAGACGGGGAGTGTTTTGAGGTTCCCTAGTAGCTTGGCTTGCCGTACTATCGGGGGGCCTCTCAGAACGTACGCTAGGATGGCTACCCATAACTCCACTTCCTGTGACAGGGCCTGGTAATGTCTCCTTCTCATCATTTGAGTGCCCCCTTCCCCAACCAGCCCTATTCGTGAACACCAGGTCTGAGCTTTCCAAACTATCTTTCAAAGGTATGAACGCAGCCCCTCGATTCAGGGGTATGTGGTTGATGCGCCAATCCCAGACGCTTGCATATACCGTGCGATACGACGAGACCGCTATGACGGTGCCTATGGTGGCACCTGCGAGAATGTCGTACCAATTATGTGACCCGTCAACTGTCAAGGACCCGCAAATGAGGGCGGCCCCCAGGATCGGACAGTAGACTAAAACAAGCTTCCACATAGCGGGATGATAGTTTGCAAAGACCTTGAGTTTCGCATTGATGTATAAGGAAACGTATACTCCAGCCGCACAGGAGGTTGTTGAATGACCGCTCGGAAAACTTTGCATCGCGTTCCAAAGAGCCCTGCCCTGACCAATGGTGCAAATTTCTGAGGTATACATGTATTGTCTATAACCAACAGCATTTAGGCCCGTCACATCAACGTCTGGGTTGTAGGCAAGACTAGGATCTGGCTGGCAGATGTCATAAAAATGTGGTCTCAGGCCGCCGACAAGCCACTTGATCATGACTTGGAACGCGGCTGATGTTTCGAGCGCATATACGCAGCCGATAATAGCGTTATTGAGGTCCCAAAAATTCCGAATGCGAATTTGAATAAGCAAGAAAGTGAAGAGGGGGAACACGATTGCGAGAATTGTATCTACCTCAGAGGAAATAAACTGACGGCGGTACGGATACGCGAATTCGGGATAAACGACCTCGCCGGTGTCTTCGCCGGTACGTGCGTCGATGACCGTCAAGGGGAAAGTTCGTACTCCAATAGGGCGAAGAAGATAGACCTGTGCGATGTTGGTGCGTTATACTAGATACATCAGGGGAGTTTGATGCACTTACACCAAAGGCTACTACGCCAAGAAGAAGCATGGTTACGATGTCCGGCCACGTAACTCTCAACCACAAGCTAAATGAAGGTCGTTTCTCAATAGAATATGGTTCAGGCGGCGATTTCAACCATCTATAGAGTTTCTCTGCTCTTGATGGGTTCCGAGCGGGATGACTGCGAGAGACTCTTCTACCTCCCACGTACGGATCCATTGAAAGGAGGCCCAGACATACGTAGGTCGAATAGCAAAGCTAAGTTAATAGTTTACTAAAGAACCAAGTGGAAAGGTTAGGTTGGGTAAGACATTTTACCAATTGTTTGAGCCGAGTGAGAGGTAGCTAAATATTCAAGAATGAATGCAAGGCCTAGCGGAGAGTAGCTTTACAGAATTGATATCTACCTATGAATTAGCATCGCGACTGACTGAAGTCTTTCGCTTTGCGATAACCAACTCCATTACTCTTTCTATAAGAGGAAAAGTTGAGCGCGATATAACTTCCTTAATAACGGACTGCTTGGCCTACGTACTTAGTGTATAGAAGGTTAAGTTCCCCTATTGATCTCAGTATGATTTTACTCTGATAAGCTCTCTTTAATGCATATTTGCCTCTCGTATAATTACATATTAGTTAGATGGTAGCTCTCTCTTCAACGTTATAATAGACAATATTTATCTCAATTCAGAAACGAGTTTACTTAAAACTACTATTAGATCTCACTAGGGATTTCCATTTTCCATAACTTATGTCTGGAGAGTTTTGTATCTTCCTTCATTACGAGTAGAGTTGTGGTGAACCAAGTGTCTATACTTATTAAATCCGAGTGGATCGTAATTTATACACATTCAATCCGCGCGATACCCTATGTAGTTCAAATTACTTCAGATCCTATCTGAACCCCGCGCATAATCACGATATCGCAATCTTCAGAAAACATATAGCATTATTCAGCTCTTATCTTAGCAACTTGCTTCTTAGGGGCACCTAGCTGTGACGGGGTAACGATTCACCGCGAACATGGTAAGATCCCAGCCACTCCTATTCAAACCAATAAATAATATCACTCACTTGTTATATCGCTAATTAAGATCAAATTCTTAACTGATATCTAAAGACTTGAACATATTTGCCAAGAGGGACGTACTTGTATCCGCTAAATTATTATTGTCAAGTTATAGAAATGTGGCTTTATAGCATATCTTGTATACTTGCTCTTAGTAGCTTAGGATGCGCTGTTCCGGTGAGTCTAATGATCTTAATTACGGGACCGTCCTCGTTTGCTCTGACCGCAACGCATAGTATTCCAATAAGCTACATAAGAAAACGGCCCTCGTCATCATTGATGTACAGAACGACTTCATCAACGGCTCTTTAGCCAATCCGCGAGCTCCTGTTATCCTACCTAAAATCTACCAACTCTTGGATAATCATGAGTGGCCTTTCGTTGTCGCTTCTCAGGGTAATGCTCACTGTCGAACCGATAGTTACACCTAGTCTAACAATTACATAGACTGGCATCCCAAAGGGCATGTTTCGTTCTTCTCAAGTCATCCTGGGAAAGTCTCTGGAGACACTGTGAACGATAGCTTCGTGGATACCCCTACGAAAACCGAAACGCAGACGCTGTACGCGGACCACTGCATTCCAGAGACGTGGGGCGCTGAAATAGAACGTGGCGTTCAGACGCGATTGCACTCACTCGAAGGCTACCGCGCCCCCGTCAATTACATCAAGAAAGCACAGGACCACTCAGTCGACTCATACTCGGCATTCGCTGATAACCAGTACCACCGCTTCACCACTCTGCACTCCGAGTTGACCTTGCATAGCATCGAGACTCTAATCGTAACGGGGCTGTTGACGAGCGCATGCGTCCGTGGAACGAGTATCGATGGAATCAAGCTAGGGTACGAAGTCGTGCTCATAGAGGACGCCACCGAATCAATTAGTGCTGAGGACAAGGCCGCGGCTATCAAGGAGCTGCAGGGTTGGGGGGTGCAGGTTTTAAATCTGTCAGATTGGGAGGGCGCAAATCCTACTCCGGTAAAATCCAGGACGAGGGAATTGTAATCACGAGATTATCGTATTACGCGTGTGGCTTGTCTCGGCCCATGGGGTCCGAAGTGCACATGATAATAGGCGTGTCAGAACGAAATAGAGAATATTTTATGGGAAATTCAGACAGGGGCGCATTTAACCCGTATGTACGCGTGTTAATAATTTCAGTAATTAGGAATGGGCGAGTGAAACAAAAGTGGTCGGGAAGTTGAGGGCTTAGGAAACTACACTTGGCTGGTTGGAAAACAGATCTTGAAATCGGATGATGAGCTAGTGGAAGTTATCTGTATATTGAAAACGGTATATTAAAGGAATATATACCTCCAGATACGTATAACCCAACTTCCTACCAACGTGAACTGCATGCTAACTTTTCGACCCGAATTCCAATACCTCAAAATAGTCCTATTCCTACAGGCCGTAAACATCCGAGTCAAACCTCTACCTACGTTACTCAGGTCATAGGATTGTGACTCATCACAACTATCCGCCTCTAAGCTACATGAAATTTGCGGGCGATGATGGCTCCCACATACCCAACAGCCCCCCAAAGAATAAACACTAGTAAGGAAAGCCCAAAGTACTTGACATGTAACATATACAGTCTTTTCCACGTGGCGCGTGACAAGGACTGGTAGGCCTCCCGCGTAGAGATATACTCCTTGCCCTCGGCTTTCTGCTGATCGAACACCGCGTCTAGCGAGATAATCGGCCGGTCTTCCTCGGGGAGGAGGGAAGCCTGCACGCGAGCTAGGACGGCCTCGGCCGGGACGATAGCGATGAATGTATATACTGCGTGAAAAATCAGGAGTAGCAAGGGGCCGATCGGTGTAAGTCCAATTCCGCTAAGTATTATCGATCTAATTACCACCTGCTCGAATCCCGTAATACTACCGAGAATCACAGTGGGAATAGCAGTAGCGCGAAGCACAAGATCGAACCGCGGTAGACGACGCCAGAATGGTTCCGCGCTGGGCTCCGAAATAACGATGTGCGTCCATGCCGTGTGGAGCTGCATAGTGATTAGGGATGCAATGCCCGCGGAGACTATCCCGGGCACGAATGGGATCAGACCGAGAAGAAATCCAATCGGATAGCTAGCAAGACCGTAGGCTACGAAGCAGGAAAGCCCTCGAAAAAGGGACTTCTTGCCACCGATGGAGAGTAGACGGCGATAGGTAGAACGAAGACTACCAGTGACTGGTCGCGTTGACATGTCATGCTCTTCATCGGCTGGGTCTTTGGGACCCTCAGCTTCATCAATCACCCCGCCGGGTACTTGAGTATAAGATGCAGGGGCATCAGTTTCGACGGAAGCCAAGATTAGGAATACATGTCCCAGAACATACGAAAACTGCGGCAATTAGTAACCAAGATATTTAGGTGTATATAACATTATCGGAATTACGTACTGCAAGGAAACATAGGACGGATATGGCAAGCTGGATACCTTCAATACCTATGTTGAAGCCATTCAATATTCCCCCGCCATGTTTCTCGGTGCGAGATACTAAGGCCTCAATAGACCGTTTAGGAAAAGATATGTCAAGCCCATCTCCTTGAACAATACGCCGAACTATAGTAGGCCATAAGTCGTGAAAAGCGTTCATGATGCTGGTCGTTTAAGTACCTAAAGTAATCTCGAGGGAAAAAATGAGCCAGCGAATGATGGTTAGATCAGGATGATCGACTGTAGAGGCTCTAAGGCGGGGTTGCTACCTTTTATTATTTTTGTCATTGGGTACAAAGGAGCGTTGAAAGCTGACGCCTAGTCTAGGACCATACCGTAAATAAATCCTGTCCGACACGAAAATGTAAGCGCGCGAGATGTGTCATGCTCAGTGGTCCGATCGGAGGCGTTAGACCGCGAGAGCCTCCTAGATCAATGATATTATAATTGGTGTGACTGATGTGATGTGGCTTTTTTTTTTCATCAATACGATATCAGTAACAATGGCTGCGTTTAAAGCCAAGATAAATAAGCCCGAGTGAGTAAAAGGATTCACCATTTCTGACAGAACTTCGTAGGGCGTAGGTTTTGGCTTGACATTCCGCTGTATCAAAACTACGAGCTGCAGCTACACTGCATAGCCCGGCCTAGTCTTGGGACATCACTTGTCCATCGCGTCTCTTCATCTATATCGCCCTTATATTCCTTGCCGTCGATTGTGCGACCGGCCCAGCTCTCCTCAAACGGGTGTAGAGCCATATGCATGATTCTATCCAGAACGTCTCTTTCGTTGTTCTTCTCTACTCGCTTAATAACTTCATCGAGGATCCAGCCTCGCGGAACGAAATTTGGATTGACTTTCTTCATAGCTTGCATTCGCTCCTTATCTTGTTCGTCCGAGACAGTTTGACCATCCCCCCAGTCTTCGAGAATACGTTGCCGCCACTTGTTCAGCCATTCGCCGACTAGTTTACGGCCCTCGGCTTCTCCACCAGCGCCTGTGACACCGTCACTGTAGAAGAAAACGCTGGCTTTATCCTGCCGAGCTTCCTCCGTCTCGAGCTCGTCAACTTTGACTCGACTTAAACGGCGGAAGAAAAGGTTAAAGTCTAGCTCTAGCGATTCCATGGAGTCTAGAATGCTACTGAATAGATCATCGAAGTCACTATCCTTGTAGGTCTTCAATCCAAATCGGGCTGTCATGAGCCTCTTGTACTCGTCCAGGAAAACAGCTTTGTACTCCTCACCAATTTGCATGATGATTTTTTCAGCTCTCTCGATAATACCGTTCGCCTGCTCTTCTTTCACGCCGTCTTCGACGAATTTTGGGTCGTCTACTTGTGATCCAGCACCAATCAACTCGCCCAGCGCTTCACCTAAGCGTACCAGGTTCCACCATATGATACTTGGTTGATTGCGGTAGCTATACCGCAACATAAAGTCATCGTGGTTAGGAGTGTAATTAGGATTGAAGTTGTCCATAAATGCAAAAGGGCCAAAGTCAATACTCAACCCGAAGAGAGACGTATTGTCCGTATTCAGTACGCCGTTCATAAACCCGTAAGCTTGCCACTTAGCAACGGTAAGTGCGTTGCGCCGCACAATTTCTCGGTACAAGCGCGTGAACCGGTTCTCTGCAGATTCAGATGGCCCCTCGATCGCGTCCGCTGAAATATTGCGCTTAGGAGGGGCCGACTCCTTTGGCTTATCAGGGTCTTCGAGGCGGCCGGGTAATGTCTCCCAGCCGCCGAATACGTCCTCAGCGACATATGTCGCAAGCTTACGAATGAGATCTCTGTCACCCCGTGCCCTCAGGATATCAAAGTTACCGATTCGCAGCCAGGATTGCGCAAACCGCGCCACGATAGCGCCGGGTTCAATCGTTTCTCGCCGTACCTTAACTTCCGGGAGTAGCGTCAAACTGAGGGCCCTCGTAGTCGGGATACCAAGCGCATTCAGCGCCTCGCTAACAACGAACTCACGTATGCTACTCCGAAGAACAGCCTTTCCGTCTGCGAAGCGGCTGTACGGTGTCATCCCCGCGCCTTTCAATTGCAATTCGTAGCGCTCACCCGTACTCGGATTTGTTGTCTCGAATAGCGATATAGCGCGTCCGTCACCAAGCTGGCTAGCCCATTGTCCAAATTGAAAACCACCGTAACATTGCGCCCACGGGTAGCCCCCCTCAAGTTTCTCTTCATCCCATCCTTGCAATTTATTACCCGCAACCGTTTGCACGAAATCCTCGGTCTTCTCGTCGCCTTCTTTGATACCAAGATCGCGCATGGCCGCCGGACTAACCGCTAGAAGCTCAGGTCTCTCAACAGTCTGGGGGCGTACCCATGTGAACAGGGCATCTCGGACCTGCCGGGGAACGATCTGATCGCGTGGTGTCTTGTGCGAATCGGCCGGTGTCGGGAAGAGGGAATCAGGGGGAAGCTTCGATGTAAAGGTCCACGACTTTGGTATCTCGTTTATAGAAGATGCCGTGGCATTTGCCGCATGAGTTGTAGCGCCATTAGTTGAGAATTGGGACGCCATCTGCGTCAATCGTAAGTGTGGTAGGCTTCGATGAATAATGCGATGGAAAAGCATATAGACGGCTTCTCCAGGCCGAAATGAATTATTATTTAGGAAGTACGTAGAAAGACAAAATGGCGATTACGTATTCGAGGAGAAATGTAATTGTCATTTAAAATTGCGTAGAAGGAGTTAATTCACATTTCGATGATGCTTGGTCTATGAACGAACGGATGTGGCGATTTGAGGCATTACGTCAATCTCTGTAGCCGAATTAAGCATCGTTATGTACATCCAAGAACCTAATTATAAACGGTATATGCAGCTACCATGTAACCTCTCTCCACATTCGGCGGTAGTTCATTCTTTGGGGTCGCGTTAGGGTACAGTTCCCGTATGCGAAATAAGAATCTACCCGTCCTTATCACTATATCCATGATACGCGGGTTTGCTGGGAGAGTAGCTACAACGGAGGGGCGAAGAAGGTAGCTAATACTCTTTAGTCACCATAGTCACCATATCAAACCAATCATTAAGTCCGCCATACTAAGATGTTAGAATGGATTTACAGCAATACTGCCACATACCTCTGCGACTCGCTGTCATGGCGGCTCATGTTTCCTGTGTAACTGTCAGCCGTGGTGAAGTGAAGATTTCAGACGAGATAGCTTGGGGAGACCCTAAAAGCAATATGAGAGGGATGACATAAGGGGTTTTAAACGTTAACAATGTTGAATATAACGAGCAAATACAGAGGAAGGATATAAACATTTAAATTTTAAATTTAGTACGCGGGATTTGAAGCTTAGCCAATATCGACGTACGATTTTCGAGTAAACGTCTTTCAAGCCTCCTTGCTTAAACGATTATAACGTTACACGACTACGAGAATATAAGGACTCAAAGCTGAAGAAGTGATGATAAATCCAGATTTACAGCCTGTAGTGTGACCCTAAGACGTCAAATCTTATTGACGCGTATTCTACACATGAGATCCAAATTATGTCATTTCAACTTGTTTGTTTACATACGCAGCTATTGTAAGGACGCAAAATCATTCGAGCGTGTTACTCGTGAAGTAGTTCGATCCAGCTGGTTGTTAGCAAACTGGGCCAAGGATTTTGACAGAAATTCGAGACTGATCCCCCCCTTAGGTTCTGTATTCCTTTATTTAGTCCGAGTCTCCCTTGCATCTTGATAACTATCCCTAGGCACGCGCGGCGACACTTGTTTCAGTTGGCATATACTACAGTATAGATACTAGGAGATATGGTTGAGGGAGATAGCAATGGAATGTGGCCCTAACCACAATGGTAAAGCTGGTACTGATCAAAGATTATACTTTAACATTTTCATTTCGAAGACCGCCCTCAACATGGTCTATAAGAGAGTTTTGGCAATGGAACGCAAGTAACGAGAATTCTATCAAAGTTTACTGATAGTATTGAAATTATTTATAACCAGAATAGATTTCTCGCAAAATATATTCCGATAGATAAAGGCAATATAGTTGTCTCCTCGAAATCAAAAATGACGTTAAAGGCTAAGACTGGGATAGGTAGCAACAGGATTTGCATTGAGCACCTTGCATAGCCCCCGACGAGGATAACATTAAACTACAGGAGGTCAAATAATATATCTCCTTCTCTATTATTAATATTTACACTTGTAGGTACCGTCAAACAAAGTAGATAGTGTCATAAGGCGGACTAGGAAGCAAGGAAACAACTTTGTTGCTCCGCGGGGGATTCTAAGCTAGCTACGGGAGCCTACGTCTATATATATTGAAAGTGTCCTTCGTTTTAGATCTCTCATCTAGAATCCTGACAGGTAGCAACCTGACTATGCTATGCGTTGGGGGCCATATGTTTGCGAGCAAGTACTACGTATAGTCTGCTTCGAACGTTGATTTGCAATATTTGCTGATAGTGTTAAAGGGGTTCATTGTTTACATTATATTGGTAAAGTTATGGCTTAGAGACGTCCGAGAGATTAGGTGTAAAGATATGGGCGAGAGGTGAGAGTCCAACTCTTGTCTCTAAGGTAAGGATACTTTGCTAAGACGTAGATAGGTTGCACTTATTGGAGAGATTTCTACAGCAGTTACTAATGGTATTCACGTTTGCCATCAAAGCGGCCGGTCTGGACTTACCATGGTGTTTCTTCCGGGTACTTGCTATTGATACCCCTAATGTGATCACCATTCAAGTAACACCAAGAAGATTCGCAGGCGAGTGACTGACTATCCTGTGGCAAATTACCTAAGGGATAAACGTCGATGAATGCTTAGACTTATCAAGTCTAATCTATTATGTAGGTCATGTAGATTATGCATCCTCCAGTCTTTTACTAGTGCTGATACATACTTTATGAAACCCAGTAGCGTATCCAAACAACATGATAGTCTGCATGTCAATATATGTTGATGCAAATATCAAGTTATCTCCATAGAAATCAAGCGCTACCAAATTTCGTAATGCATACACGTATGTATTCCAATTGCCAATGAGTCTCGTTTAGGGCTCCTGCGCTTTGTTGGCAACTAATAGAACTTGCAGTAGCGTGTACAACAAGTCTTGTTGGAGGGAACTGAATAGTCTAGCCCTAGACTAAACAGCGTTGAGGTGCATCATTGGCGAGTTTCAATCTCTAGTTCCGGTTGACTTTTCCATGGTTCTGAGGGGATAGGCTAACATTGGTTGGCCAATAGATGGTGTAGATTATATACGCAGACGTTGTGTTAGCCTTATTATTTTTACGACGTTCCCAGAGTGGAATTAGCTACAGCCTTAGATGCCCAATAACTGGCATTTAGGCATACAATTCGCTGGCAGCATCTAACAATGGTACAATCAGAACTCACTCTCACACTTACGTGTCTGGCCCCTACCATCGTTCAAATAGGATGCAACTGTTAATTCCGCTGCAGGGTCCGCTCCACTCACTACGACCCTGTGATGGAGACTCATCCCATTATGTTCATACACAACAGCCGATCCGACTTAGCCACCCATTGACTATACGAACATCAATAATTTTATCAGCACTGTAGGTGTAGCTAACGAAGATCCATTGTCTATAAATGGCTTCACGACCGCCCGCCAAAATGTCGAATCATCATTCCAACTTTACACTTTGTCTGGTATTGTAGGATCACATCATGTATACACAAATCGATTCCAACGACGCAAGATTCCGATCCGATGCCTCTGGCGTCGGATCGAAGCAAGCCGCCCCCTCTTCCGATTCGGCTATCCCGACCCTGAAATTGAATGATGGGAATGAGATGCCTATGGTAAGTTTCGAATTCAGAGCCCCGGATGCATAACACTAGACTCATACTTCGGGTGTAGGTTGCATATGGCCTCGGCATGGCCTTCAGCCAAGGCGACACGGAGCACATTGTGAGCTCCGCACTCAGGGGAATCAGGAGCGGTTTCAACCATTTAGATGCCGCAGAAGGTGAGGCAACATACATGAACTACCCCTATTATGACTAGTTTTCTAATAAAAGTTGTAGCCTACGGCAATGAGAAGGGTCTCGGCATAGCCATCAGGAATTCCGGAGTCCCGCGCTCGCAACTCTTCATTACCACAAAGGTGTGGACGGTAGCGACGAACGTAAAAGCAGCTTTCGAGGCTTCGCTTGAGCGACTCGGCGTCGATTATGTAGACTTATACCTAGTTGGTTGGCCGCAGATCGCCGATACTCCCGATCGTCTGCAGCAGATCTGGGCCGAAGTCGAGGCCATCCGGGAGAGCGGCAAGGCACGGTCCATTGGCGTCTCCAACTTCCTGCAAGACCACTTGCAGACGATCCTCAAGACGGCCAAGGTTAAGCCTGCCGTCAACCAGATTGAGTACCACCCGTACCTACAGCACGGAAACCTCATCGACTTCCATCGCCAGAACAACATCGCGACTGCGGCGTACTCTCCGCTTACAGCGCTTACGAAGGCGCGCCCCGGTCCCGTTGACGGCATTTACGCCTCGCTTGCCAGGAAGTACGGCGTCTCAGAGGCAGAGATTGCGCTTCGGTGGGCCATAGATCAGGGCATTGCGGTCGTCACGACCAGCAGCAGCGAAGAGCGTCTATATAGCTTAAGAAGGAAGCTACCCACATTCAAGCTCACGGCTAGCGAGACCGCTGAGATCACGGAACTTGGGAAGAGGAAACACTTCCGAGGGTTCTTCAACGATATCTTTGCCCCCGAAGACAGGCGTTAAGTCTTGGGGCATATCTGGTCAGGGGTTTTTGATTTCGATAACTAAAAATGTGCCTCCGTAGCACGACATAAGGCGTCTAGTAAATTTGAGGTTAGGATTGGGGGTTTTGATATTATCAAATAAAGTCGTGTTAAATCTCGATGGGAACATTAGCTTAGCAATATAGGCACTCTTGCCACTACACCAAAATGGATGTAGTTACCTACCTACCTATGCTATATCCAACTCTACAAATGCACTGTTCTGTCTATTCCGTGTTACCATTGGGCAGCATAGAAGTAACGAGATGTACACAATAGAGGTCCTTAAAAAAACCATTAAAATCGCTCGTGAATGCGTGGTCTCATTATCCTAATTGTCGTACGGTCACAATTCATCGTCAGATTCCGTTTCTTGGTCGTCAGCCGGTTTCTGTGCTGGAGCTACAGGCTTCTTGTTTTTCATAAACGGTAAACTTCGCGGTGGGGGAAGTGGCTTACTCTCCTCCTGTGAAGCCTCAGATTGAGAGTTTTCTTCCGATGTTGATGCACGAGTGTTGCGTGTCGATTTAGTAGCCCCCTTCCTCTGGGATTTGACTGGTGGGGGTACTGGCTCTTCGTCTGTGTCTGCTCCACTTGCCGTCTCGCCTGCTGTAGTATCTCCATGGTCCTCCTCAACGTCTGCTTGTGCATTCTCATTATCACCCTCTTCGACATCCATCTTCTCGAATCCGTCATCGCTGCTTTCCTCTTCCTCTTTCGCTTTTCGCTTGGAAGCACGGGATGATTCGGGTACGTGCTTCCGTGTGATCTGGAAACCATTGACATTTGCGAGCTTTTCGGGATCAATACTCGCAGATGCTAGTAGACGCTGTTGCTGCCGGATCTTAACTTTCTTCTCATTTATGAGGTCTCGGAACTTCTCAAGCAGCTGCGTCTCATCCTCATCCTTTGCCTTGATAAGTTCATCCAATTGATCTTTAAGCTCGGCAAGGGAATCCTCGAGGGACTTGATCTTGAGGTTAGCAGCGGCCAGATCCTCTCCGACTTTCTCTCGGGCTCCAAGGGCTGAAATACACCAATCGAAAGGGGAAATCTCGGTCTTCTCATCTTCTTCTAGCTTAATAGATCCAAGGCGTTGCTGTAAATTATAATTAGCGATAAATCCTGGGTAGTGTCCCCAGAGTACCCATACCGTAATACCCTGGATATTCTTTCGAAAAGATATAGAGACCGAGGTGCCATCCGAATCAACATCAGCTCTGATCTCGATGTCGGGTACCGGCTGCTGATTGACCAACGTTGAAACTAGGATCTCTTCCCACTCTTCATGGGAGCAAGGGCCACTAGACGCTTTGTAGTCGCCGACCCTTTTATGGCGTACTATGAAAACATTTCAGCTTCCGATTCTTTGGAGATTTGATGATGTATGGATTCGCGAATATATCTGGTGAAGTAAATAAGACTTACGTTTCATTGTGAACACAGCTGTGCTTTCTGACCCAACCAATTTGAGATCTAGCACCCGCGATCCATTGGAGGACACCGCTAGGAGGAAGTACTTGTCACTTTCTTTGCCCGAGATGGGAAAGCGTAATATCGATGCTTCTGCCATTTTGGGAGGTTTGAGATAAGCTAAGGTAATTGGTATGTAGTCGTAGAAATCAAATGATACTTTGATGATGTTTCCGATGTCTTTGCTGTGGTTGGGCTTAATAAAAAGGCACTGGTGCACCTTAAATGGGTATATCTTAGGTTAGGTACTTAAGTTCCTTGTTCGTATGAATTAGAGATGGAGCTATTACCATCTCACAAGGTACCTAACCTGAGAAAAAGGATAATGCGATTAAGGCAAGTTTAAATGACAGGTTCTTAAAGCAGGTGTTTTCTTATGAAGATGGAGATCTTGACTTGTAAGTTATAAAAAACGCTCGATTTGTTCCATATGAGGCTTGATAGCAAATGAATTAGTTAAGTGGCCCAGTAATTAGGCAGTTGCCTAGATGCCTACAACACTTCAAGTTGTGATGAAATTCCAGTATTACATACATGGGTACGACGAAATGACGTTGGTGCCACTGAGGGGGTGGGGAAGAATAGATGCATGTATCTTGTGCTGGGTATGTTACCGAGTATTTGCATTGAATAGGACTAAATTTGAAAGATACTACCTAGAGACAATAGAAAAAATTATACGCACCTACATGTTATCCTCCGTCTATTTGAATCGATTTTAAATTCTTGCTTTAGTGATCTTGTAGGCATATCGCAAATGTTTTCGGAGGGAAAATTCCATAGGTACCTCATACAGATATTTAGGTACCCCTACGAGGGGTCAAAATCGCGTTTTTACAGAAGGCGCGTCACTGTCGCGCCTAGAAAAGGGAACTTTGACTGGCTGAGCGAGTTGTTGATACCCTGTAGCCCTAAATATGGTCTGTGCATTTATCCCAGCCACCAAAAATCTAAGAGGTACCTGAATTGTACCTGAACAACCTGAAAGGAACCCAGAAGCACAAGCCAGCCATTCAAGATTTTCCAGGCTTAATTTAGGCGCACTGACCCTACCCCATTTCAACATCTCATCCACTTTCTCTCATCTCTCTTCCAACGCAAGTGAATCCACACCTGCATCCACACCTTGTTTTTGTATGTGAATTCAACCAAGTCAATCTTTCTCGCGCCCTATCCGGATACCTTAGATAACTTCAGTCTCTCACTCAAATCCTCTCATATCTATATTTCGTCATAAAAAACTTGCAGGTCTGGTAATATTCAATTTACCTTTAATCCTGCACGTAGGAAAGCTTTACTGTGCAGTTGTTAAGGTAACAGCTAGTCAACCTAACTAACAAACCTCAACGTAAATTTGATACATTACACCTGCACCAAACTTGCGACAACTTCCCCCAACCTCCCTCGACTTTCGCTTCTACTTCGTATTATTGCGCCTATACCAATTCAATTGGTCTCACTTATCCACACTCAACTTTTCGCGCTTGGCGTCGCAGTCGCGGAAATTCCACATTCATTCAGTTGGCGCTCTTATTCCGTACGCGAATTCGGAATACGTAATAATCGATCAATGAGAACATCGAAATGATGCGACTAACCGCAGAGTACCACTAACCGAGAGCATTGTTTTCGGACATTAGCCTCTATCTGTGGCCACTCTAGCCTGGCCATACCGACTATCACATTACTTTTGGACGTGCATCGTAAATTCGCCTAACCTACCAGACTGTTATTTACGATGGCGTATCCTCCGGATTGGGAGAAGATGGATCTTCTAGATAGACTCCACGCGGTCGAGAAAGCCGAGGAAGAACGAACTGGAGAACCACAACCTCGCGAAAGAAAGAGCTGGATCGAGCATTGGGATGATGATAATGATTTCGTTATTGATAATGAGGATCTCACTTTCCGGAGTAATTCCACTACAAACACGCAATCTCACCACCGTGATAGTCTCTCTTCCTTCCGATCCGATCGAGAGTCTCTACCTGGAAACGACGAAAGACAGTTGCACTTACCCGGCAATGACGAGAAGTCGACTATGGATGCGATTGCTGCTGCTACTCATGCGGGAATTCCGATACCTACGAACGTGCCGCCGTCTGCTTTGATGGGAGGCACCATAAAGCGACTTGGAGGAAAGAAAATGAAGAAGATTTTCCAAGAGGATTATGGTGACGATTTAGAGCTTCCTATTACTGGTCCACTTCGTTTAAAGCCCCAGGACGGCAAAGCGTACCCCGAGTCCCTAAGACAAATGAGCATGTCGAGCCCCACGAAACAGCAAGCTCCGATTACTACCCGGGAGCCACATGGGCAGATCTCGCCAAAGACCTTAGGAACACCTATCAATTTGGACAACTTTCGAGATGACGACGACGACGATGATGTCTTCGGCGACGGAGCCGCAACTATCAAAGCCCCAAAGCTTCGTCCCGAATCTAGACCTATATCATTGATAACCCCACCTACACCTTCACCTCAGAAAAAGCGAGGCGATGATGATATCGAAGGAGATCTAGAGCTGCCGTCAGATGGATTATTGAAGCTTTCTAGAAAGATGGATATCCCCAAGACGCCAGCATTGAATACGAGCGATGACTTCGACTGGGGAGAAGGTAGCCTAGGAACTCGATTTGGCGGTACAAAGCGAGATGCTTTTTCGACTCGCAGCTCGTCAGTGTCAGCCCTTAGCCCAAGTCTCGCTAGTTCTATCACAGCTGAAAGTGAGGACGAAATTTTCGATGGTCTACTCCTGCCGAATGGTCCTTTGGACCTAAGCGAACGGCTGAAACGACGCAAGCAAGATCGATCCCCAGAGGGAAGGCCCGAGCACTCTGTGTTGGGAAAGCGAGTTTCTTTACCAAACAATACAATTAAACCTGCAGCAGATAATGAAGACCCTTTGGATGGTCTTGACTTTGGTGATGGGGATGTGCTCCGTCCCGATAAGTCTACGTTACATCGCAATGTCAAGGTCAAAGAAACTCGACTAGTTAGTCCTACGCGGCCAAGGACATCGATCTCTGTAACCTTCACCAACAAACCAGTTACATCAACACCAGTCTCCCGCCTTCCCCGACCTATGGGTAGCCATGAACGTGCGCAGACTCAGCCTTCGCTTGAGCCGGTATCTGAAAGCGGCGGTCCTATTCTCCCACGACCTTCTCGAAGATCTCAATCACGCCTTGGCCACTCCTCACAATCTTCCATCTCAAGCATCCACACACCTACTACACCATCCTCGGCACAATCGGCCCAATTTTCTACGCCACGAAGAAGAGAACTGAGCCAAAAGGCTTCTATTGGAGCCTTGCGTAATGAGCCCACTACGACAAGCGCACAATTACTTAGACTAAAGCGCTCTCTACCGGCTTTGCGTCATGCTACTGCGCCAGCGAAGCCTGCATCTTCGCGGTTTGATCGACCACCCTCGCGCACCGATTCACGTGTCGAGTCTGGCAGACCCCAATCTGTCCTACGACCGAAGACTCCAGTTGATCGAGCTCGTCCCATTTACGAAAGTAGTGCAGCACAGGCAAGAAGAAACCCCTTCTTACCCGCCGGTGCATCTCAATCCCAGTCGCAGCACGTGAGCGCCAAGAGTACGCAGGGTACACGACCATTTCGACGTCACGATTCCGATCATGGCCCAGAACTTCGACCCCTATCTCGCGCATTCTCTCGAACCGCGGTGAGATCGCCAAGCCCAAGAAGGGCACGTAATGAGAAGATGTCAGCCGAGCCTATATGGCAGCAGATCAGCAAGCCGCGACGAGTGCGCCGCTTTGGTGATGGTCACGAACTCGACTCGTTTGATGATCTTCCGACATCAGCGCAGGCCGAATCTAAGTTTGTTAAGCAGCCGGTTGCATACGGAAATAAAACGAATATCCGAAATAAAATTTACCAGAACGTTTTGCCAGAGCGAACTACGCCAAGTCCTGTATCTCCTTTCTCACCGGCGAGACTCGACTCTTTACCGCACTTTGCCCGAGATACGGCTGCCAGCCGCATTGCCAGAGAGACGATTTTAGCCCAGCGAGCATCTCCCTCGGGACCATTTGCTCCCGTCACTAATCAGAGGGTTGCGCAGCTATCTGCCAGGGGAAGTTTTGGGCTACACAGTTATAATATACCCAGGGCTAAGAGGTCCCAAAAGACCCCTCAGCTCAAGCCGCATTTAATTTCTAACCTGAACTCCGCAAAGGAAACCAAAGGTAGGCCTATTTTACCCCAGAATTCACAACAGCAACCCAAGACACGTGAGCAGCGTCAGAAAGTTCGAGTACATGAAACGTCCCAAATCCCTCAACCCCCCAAGCGTCTTCAAAAGCTGCACAAGCCAGAGATACAGAAGCGTCCAATATCTCGCATCCCCCAGTCCCCTGAGAGGCTCCAAAAACTCCGTGACTCCAATGCATCTAAGAAATTACCAGTGGCTGGGAAGTCCCCCACACCTAAAAAGCCAGCAATACCTCATCAGACTCAGGCACTTCTTAAGGCTCAAGCTCATAAGTTCGGAATATATCAGGAGGCATCACCAGCTAAGATCATCCTAACACCTCGGAAGCCCCCAGCATCTGTGAAGTCTCAGAAGCCCCAAACATCCTCTACCCCGCAGAAATCTAAATGTTCTCAGAAAAGCAACGCTAACTCACAGATATCAGTTGTTAACGGCATGACATACAACCCAACAACGTTCCGTTGGGAGGGGAACGATAATGCCCTTAGTGCATTCGATGTCCCAGTCCCGTCCCCCACAACAACTCTCCCCCCTCACGTAACGCGCGATAGGGAGGGCTCTACTTCGAGGCCAGTACTCATTACTAACATGACTGCTACTAAGGGTGTTAAGCGGGTTGGTGACATGGTTTTCGACCCGCAGAATATGTGCTGGCTGAAAGCAGAAGCGACCCCTTCTACGTCTGATGACCCCATGGAAGGTTTTAATGCGATGGACGACGAGGATCCTTTCAAAGATATTCCTGACCTTGATGACAAGGATAAAGACTCCGTTGGTCATGGTCGAGGAAGCGACCTTAGGGATGACTGGCTAGTAGGTGAAGAGTTCGATGTCGGCCCGGAATTTATTAGGCGTCAACACGAAGAGGAGTCACGATGGCGCCGAAAGTGCGGTCCTTGGAGCAATACTGGTAATCGGAACCATGTTGACTTGCGATGGGCACTAAGAAAGATGATCATGGAATAGAGGTTATGAACGTCACGTCACCGACCAACCAGACATGGCCGATGACCATCCCGTCGGCTCCTTATGTGCATCGTCCCGGTGTTCGATGAGGTAAACACCTTTTAATCCAGGAAACAGCTGCCACCCCGTTCACTTCTCTTATGTTATTTTTACGGCTTTCCTACGTATCAAAGGGAAATGTACAACATTGATGAGGCAGAAGCGGATTAGCTCGCATGACGAAATGAGACCACGGCAAACACCGACGCATCTACATTAATAATGACCCCGAAGGTCTGGCGTATCTCTCCGACTTGGAGACGGAGCCGAGTTCTGCTTTAGAAAGAAAAAGGCATTGGCCATTGGTTTTATGACGGATAGGACACGATATCAAGACTTTAATGACTCGCTACGTTTTATGATTTTGAGATGTAAAGATAGACGATCAACCGGCAGGGAGGATAGTTCTGCTCGGGCAGGCCGCACCTCCATAGCAAATAGAGGAAACGGGATTAATATCTAAAGCCATGTTTACAAATTATTATTCATACCTATTACACAACATGTCACTAACTACCAGCCTTGTAGATCAATTCGTTATCTGTTTTCGGTACATAAGGTGCTTTGGGTTTAACAAGCTACCTAGGTACCTAGGTAAGAATGTGCGAAGGAGTGTTCTACAAGACATATATTTATTACATTAACGACAGCCTAGCCTACATATTTCACGGAAAGTAAACTCGCACAAAGTGGTTGTTATGCGGTATTTATTAAATCCCTAGACCACCAAGCCATGTAGGATAAGGAGCTCCTGGCTATAACAGTAGTCCAGCCCCAACAGAGTTACACTATCACTCTTTACTCGCACCTGTATAGTGTTAGCGAAGAGCGCAACATAGATGGGCGGTTATACTACGCCTTGAACATCACATTCAATACTATCGACTTCGCATGTACCGATAATCCTTAATTCTCTAGACCACGATCGAAACTCGACCAAAGATGGACCCAATCTCCCCTGACACGCTCGCCTACACAGGCTCGGCGTTAGATGCGTTCGAAGAACTGGCTAAAACACAGACATATGTCGAGCTACTCCACGTGGCACATTCTTTATGGTGTGGCCCTTCGTGTTCTCGCAGCATCGCGTGCAAATTTCTTCATTATAAGATGCCGGAGTCTCGGGCCCCCGAGGAAGCAAGATTGGTCCCAAGCCATCGTTACAACAAATGCACGGCTAATTATTTCACTCTCATGGGTGGGGAGGGTTACGAGTCGGGATTTTCACAGGAGCATCAAGGCAACTTTTGGCCTCCCCTCGAAGCCAGTTTACGTCGAATCGACCGAGCCCGCGAGAAAGGCGGCTTCTTGTTTTGTGACTATACAGATTGGACAAAGAAGCAAGATACCTCAGCTAAGCAAACGGCCCAAAGCCTTTGCCGGGATGTCATCCAATGGATGGCCGTTTGGACTGGTATTGATCTCAAGACTTCACCTCTCAGCGTGTGGCTTGTCGCTATGCTTACCTCTCCAGACGACATCTGTATGCCTCCGCTAGATGTTGTGCACCAGAAATTCCGATTATACGGTCGTTCCCTCCGTAACCTCGTACAGGCAATGGTGAACGACAATTGGGGTCGGGATGCAACCCATGTGCTGCTTTGTTCTATCCGCCAGCTCATTTTTCAGTATGTCGAAAAGGTCGAGTTTGAGGGTGGCGCTAAGAGCAACGTGGGTATTCACGCTCAGATGGGTGGTCGACATGCCGAGGGCATATGGGATAGTATCGTACTACGAACCCACACCGCTGGCACATACGCCTGCATGATCATAGTCTCCCGGATAGCAGGCTTAGGCTTGCTAAAAGAAAACTGGGTTCTTGGTAGCTCTTCCAGTGCTTGTATTTCCATGGACCTGGCCAAATCAGCTGCGCGCATTTACCATGTGGATAACCACCAGCCGACTGTCAGTTTTGGGGAGCAGAATATGCAACCGACTCTTGAGAGAAGACGAAAGATTGGATACCATTCAGTGTATCTTGACATGATGGATGACTTAGTCAACACCGGTTGTCCAGAACCCCTATTACACGTTTCCGGTACTTTTGTCGCCGTCCAGCTAGTCCATCGATATGTGGAACGTAGCTTGGGTTGTCGGATCCCGATTCACCCAGCCATGGCCGATGCCCTACGTAGCATTTACGGGGATGAGCCAACAGACGCGCGATTAGATGGTCTCTTCCACTTGCGTTGGCTGGTGAGCGGCCATGATACGAAGCAGAAGACCAGAGCCAAATCTACGCTCTGTCCAGATCTACTAGCTGCGTGCTTGAAACGCCAGCAACAGCGGGAGTCCGTATGGAAGCCTGACCATGCCAATAGCCTTCCAGACTCTATACTCCCAATTCACAGTCCAGACAACGACAGCCCAGACGCCAACGAGTGGATCACAGGCGTTCACCAGTTGTCGCAGCGGGCTAACAACCCCAAAGCATTGCAGAAGCTGTTGACTTCTCATGTAATGCTAAACTCGAGACGGTTGTCTATTGACCAGCTCAATGCTGTTGGCTCACAGGATGACATTTGGGCTCTGTGTATGGCCTGCAAGGTTGATTGCAGTAAAGACTGCGAATGGCTGGCGTTCGCCAAGTATATCCAGAAACAGTTCTGTTCTGCTTCTTAGGTACCTTTCTCAAGCAATCTAAAGGGGTACAATCAAATGGCTCAGTAACAAGACCTAAGGGCTTGAATGTTAAAACCCATAACAGAATCAACCGCGCATTTTCATGAACTGGGTTTCTCAATAAAATGGGGCTAAGGATATATCATGTTTATGAATGAACGAAGATTTCCTTGATCTATAGCGGGGTGGACGGCTTTGGATCGCGAATCTTAAGCTAAACTTAGAGAATAATAGGGGCCAATAGTGTGTTTGAATTGAAATATAACTTTGATGAAGATAATTACCAAGCGTGCGCTGTTTCTGCAATAAGTCATACACCTTGAACGAATCGTAAACAGTGTTCTACTCTCAAGTTACAATTTCATATTCAGAGGTATAAGTGATATGTAGTATAAGTTATTACGTACGTGTAGTTATTAATTTCATACCATGTACATTAGGTACACTAATGCGAAGATCCCGCAGGGTTTCAGCGGAAGCGGATCTTACGTACGGATTACATTTACATACATCGGCGTCTACCCCGAGATCCGCCAGCATTGCCGGATTTCCCAAGACCAAAATGGGGAGTTTCTCATCCAGAAGAATGACAGGGGCAATGGCGTGCTCGATGCCATCAACCTTTGTGGCATACTATATGTATGTTCGTCTTCCCATTCCATCTTGAAGTTGATATCTGCTTCTTTTTAAACTTTCAAGATACTACTCAACCACACGAATTCACCCGGCTTTCGCAGCGTTTTTCCTCGGATTTTCGCGCTACTTTTCGACGAGTAACAATGTACTTAAGATAACGTAACGCAAAGCCGCCCCCTGTCTTCCCAGCGAGGAATCTCTACATACGTAGAGCCCGCGCTGTCGCGAGACAGGGGACGTGGGAATCTTACGAAGACTTTACGGAGTGCATTCGGGCACTCACTTACAAACTTGCTCATGTGTGGGACCATTCTTGAGTCATCGACGGGATCCATAAGGATGTCGGCCTTTGATTTTGACGTTCGCTCAAAATTGGTGCGAGAGCAAGGATTAAACGGCGATGTGCAATACATGCAAATGTAATCGGCGACTTCATGGCCAGGTGGAAATCCGCCGCTCGAAAAAATTACATGCAGTTAGTGCGGGGCACCAGTTCGGCGCTTGTCGTCGCTCACGATAGTCTTACTTCATAATGTCGTTGCGGGACTTATCATGGCCTGTTTTCAGAGTTGAGGAGGTTACATTTTTTCCCCAGTAGTCTTGCGCTCGTGAGCAAGGTCCATATGAAAGATCAAGAAGTAAACAAGGATGAAGGGGTAATGGAACGCGGCGATACGAGATACCAAAGTGACGAGTTCATGGAGAACCTCTGACCTCCGCTCGGCGATGTCAACACACTCGAGCAGACGATGCCAAGGGCGCTTTCTCCTCCTTATCCCCGGCGAGGAGTAATGCGCCTCTAGCTGTTAATATTCGCGGCGATGCGTTAATTATCTGGCGGTTTATTATATAAGGACGATTCTCGCCGTCGTTTCTAGATATCAGTCGTGCTCGAATCGCCAGGTCACCAGTTTTAAGATCCTTCAAATATTATAAATCCTCAATTACCTGCAGCCATGCATTGTCAGCAGCTCGTCCCCGCACTCACCGCAGCGCTCGCTTTTTTGCCCCTAGGCATGCCAGCTTCACTACCTTTCGGTCATTATGGCCCTGAAGGCACCGTGCTATTCCTGAATGGCTTCCACTTCGTCTCGGGACACAGTGACTGGGAGATTTCCGCCAACCACTATTGTGTGATTATTCGCGACGATATGTTGCAGTGCGCTGTCTACAATACTGCGACGGCACCTGCACGCCTGGCGGGTATCGAATACATCATTACTTCCGACGCTTTTGAGACGTTGGACTACGAAGGTGAGGCGCCTAGACTGATCAAGTAAAAGATAGACAGATAGCTAATGGCCTCCAAGAACGTCAACTATGGCACAGCCATGTGTATGAAGTGACTAGTGGTTTTTTGACCCAACCAGGGTTGCCTGCGTCCGTAGATTACACCATTATGAAGGATGTCTGTATGTACTCCCCGAGCTCGGCCTTCCTTTTCCTCTTTACCGCTTATCTTATTTACATTTCGTGTCTTCTAATTACTAACCATCGATCTTGCAGTGGTTGGAACCTATGGCAAGACGTTCCACACCTGGAGATATGACCAGCAGAATTCTACATACCCTATCGGTATCCCTGAACTTGTGATGGGTTATACTGGAGATGACCAAATTACCCCTGACTTCGTCACCAAGCGAGATGAGCTCTTCGGTCTGAACACTACTGAGGTTAGGGAGTCGCGTAGTGATATCCCGCACCCTCCAGTTGTGCCTGGGGCGGATAGCTGGAAGTATGGCTATGTCTTGTCGTTGGGAATAGTCAACGAGACGACGAACACCTCGTTTCCCAACGATGGGAAGCAGGTTGTTCTCTCATCGTAGACCCTTTAAACTATACCTTGGTTTGGGGTAGTCTTCCTCGGGGTCTGTTTAACGCGAGGACCGATATGTTCGTAAAAGACAAGCAGATAATAAGCCTTCATAGAAATAGAAACTCACCTCCTCCTTAAATTAGATACTACATAAACATATATGGAGTTAAATTTCAGTATAGTGAAACTCGAGTTACTACGGAATAAACACCGAAAGCATTGAAGCCATTCGCCGAACGCAAACCCGCCGTCTCCACATAAATATAGATGGCGACTACAGCCTGTGTCAGTAACTCTAGAGTGTCTGACGCCAGCAGATTCTAACAGCGTTTTCTATATGTGAACAAGACTGACTCTACGGCTTACGTTTTCCTAACCTATCCGTAAGCATTTACCCAGGTCTTCATTCCTTGCGACTCCTTGCGACTTCTTGGCTAATCGGCGAACATGATGCCCCACGATTAATACTCAAATAAACCAGTAGTAACCTTAGTCTCGAATATATATAAGAACCTGCTTCTCGATGATAATCACAGAAGTTTTTCAAAACGATATAAGCAACCGAAAATAACAAGTCAATCGCTCCCCTCAATATGGTTGCATCTACGATCCCAAAACTCGCTGAGGTAGATAGCTTGACTATCCAGGCCATAATCAACGATGAAATCGACCAGATCTCTCCGTCACCGCACCCGGCCGTCAAACACCCCCAATCATTCCTAGGAGCTCCATTGCGGCCCCTCCCAACGGACGTGCAGCGAGGTGGTGCTAAGTTGCAAATGAGAATGGACACCCTCTGCTGTGGCGCTCACGGATTGTCACTTTTAATAACAGTGACCAAGGACGGCAAGTCTCATAGTCTCCTATTCGACACCGGGCCGGAGGAGGCCGTGTGGGAGAGCAATATGACAAGACTAGGCCTAGACCCAAGCACAATCGAACGAATCGTACTGTCGCATTGGCATCGCGACCACTCAGGCGGAATGGCCGCTGCGGTCCGGATGATCGAAGCAGCTAAGACGGGCTCGGATCATACTGAAAAGGTCGTAGTGGATCTACATCCCGACCGACCCGAATTCCGAGGCGTCATGGCCCACGAGCCGATCTCTCTCGAGCCCGATCCAAGCTTTGCCGTGATCGAAGAGGCGGGCGCCACGGTGTTTAAGAGCGACGAGGTACATACGGCGCTAGACGACACGTTCTTAATATCTGGGTCTATTCCGAGACTCACCTCTTATGAAGGTGGCATTCCTAACGGCATCCGCTTCAACTCGGCGGGCCAATGGGAGAAAGACGAACTTATCATGGACGAGCGACTGGTAATGTGTAACTTGAAGGGCCGAGGGCTAGTCGTCTTCACCGGATGCAGCCACGCCGGCGTAGTCAATGTCTCGCGCCACGCGATCGAACTTGGAGGCGGCGTCCCTCTGTACACCGTCGTCGGTGGCTATCACTTAGCTGACGGCAGCCCCGAAAAGCTGCAGAAGTCGCTCGAGGACCTAAAGGCTCTAGAGCCGAAGGTGTTGATGCCTGGCCATTGCACGGGTTGGAGATTCAAAGTTGCAATCGAAAAGGAGATGCCGGGATGCATGGCCCCTATTTTCGGCGGCACGAGATATGAACTTGTTTGAGAGAGGAGAGCATAAATGTTGTTGATGAAACCACTCCATCATTTTCATAGCACTGTGTACGGATTAGGCGGGAAAGGGGTTTTTGTATGTACATATGAGGACCAGAACTGGATAAATCTATTTGTGTATTATTGCGCCACCAACATGCTTCTTCCCCATGGACGGAGAAACGATGATAACAACCTACCTTCGTTATTAAGGCACCCTAAGAGATGTAAAATGCTCTAGTATTTTTGAAGAAACAACCAAAGCTTGCCAGGTTAAAAAGTAAGTAGATAGATAATTATTTTGATAACAAAACATGGAGTTGAACACGGTCCGACTTCAAATTTCAGAACTCTCAAAATAAGAAGGTTGGTTTAACTAACCCTGGTTTTACCTCCTTGAAGACGATCCCCCACATTTGCATTCGATCACATACGAGGTTTTTCAATTGAAGCTTCTCGATCAAGATCTATCAGGACATGCCAAGGTAAGAGAAACAAGCCATGACAGAACCGCTCGTTGTTCTTTTACGGCTCGCCTTCTAGTTCCCGCATCGTACCTACTTTAGTCGGCGATATGTCAGAGATTATCAACTGCTTTCTACCAGGGTTTATAATCAAGAACCTAGATTAATAATTTGTGTGCAGATTGTAATATTGGAGTTGTTCATGCTCTCGTAAAGATATCCAATTATTTGCTATTTAGGATTATTCCTTCAAGAAAAAAAATGTTTTGGAACTGAAAATAAAGAAGTAGGGGAATCTGATTACGTTTATATTGCTTGCCGGTCCAAGTTTAAGACACTGTCTACTGTCTTATAGGTATACCTACCTCAGCCAGTGTGACAGTTATTACTCAAAACTAAGTTAATTCTTCGTTATCGAAATATGTTTCATTTGCTCGCACATTACCGTTTATGTAGCTGTAACTCTCGAGTTCCTGGTTTATTATTTAGATATCTCTTAGCTGCTGCTTTCGAAAGAGCTACACTCCATCTTGGAGATGTACGGATGTTGGTAACCTATATAGATCTTCCCCTGTATTTTCCGGGGGTGCTGACATCTGATAGCTATGTCTTTTAACTTCCCCTGTTTACTCTACCTAGTAATACCCGGCCCACAAGACTTCTCACTTTAGAAGTTGCATATTCACCGAACAAGACGCGAAAAAGTGGCAGGTGGTAGTTGTAGCGGTATCCTCCCGAAATTCCTTTTATATGGTTTACCTAGCACTGATTTGGATTGCCATGAGGATAAGGAGAAGAGCTTAAATAGAGATGAAGCAACTCTAAATCTCTTCCCAGATTACTATCCCCAGACCACAGTCGTCTTGTCCTCTCTATACTTTATCTTAACAATAGCATCACCATGCCTTCTTTCAAAATCCTCGCCGCCTCGCTTTTCCTAGCTGCAGGAACCATCGCCAGCCCTGTCCAGTCTAGCGATATCAGCCTTGTTCCTCGGCAACAATGCAGCGGCATCGTAGGAACCATATACACTGGCACCGCGTGCTTTAACTTTTCCGGGGAGGAGGTTGGAGTATGTGCCAACAGCATTACGTGTCAAAACACGGACGATCAGACCGGCACAGGTGGTATCGGATCGATCGAGCTTTCAAGTAACGCCTGCGAGATTAAGATTTTCAGCGAGCCTGACTGCGGAAACCCGGACGCACCATTTACCATCTCACGGTATGTCAAAATTTATACGCTTCGTACTATTCCAGGCTAACTATAGTAATAGTGGCAACAGTCCGGGCAACTGTTACCCAACCCCTTTCCGAGGACACTCGTTTTCTGTGGAGTGTTAGAGCATGGAAACTTGGAATTCTAGGATATAGCTCTTTGTATATATACCTAGGTTGCTACCTTGCGTCATCCCTCTAGTTGTGCGTTTAAGTACACTAGCAAATGAGAGGTACATAGTATTATATTAGCAACCGTTATCTAGGTAGTCGAAGTTCATATGATACTACCAAACCCCTAAATTGCAAGAAAACAAAATGAAGCTTATTAACTGTTTAAAATAACGTCACTGGACACTGTTACCATATCTTATGAATTGTGGTTCTATGTGGTATGGTATTGCAGAAAACCCCTTACCCAGCGGATAAAGCCTATAGGGGCTGAATATGCCATGTGGTACTTGGGTATACTCTACAGTCTGCAACAAATAATCGCCACGTCCTCTGCCGAACATTCATCAAAGCCTAAATATATCGAGTATAATTATCATTGGTCGAGTAAATGAAATTTGCCTCATTGCAGCAAAGCTGCAAGTGCCGTGCGGAGGTGCAAGGTTCACCCCCAGGTTCTTCGATTGAGCCGCCGGGGGAAATGTGGGCTATATACCTAATATAACTCTTAAGAAGGGTCCCAGTTCCAGGTTTATTGCAGTTGGTTTCTGATATCCAACTCTATCTCGGAATAGGTCGCTGTGTTAACATGCGGACTATCTGGAGTACTCTTCTACTACCCTCCCTCCTTAGCGGAGTTCAAGGAGCGGCAGTAAAGGCGCCTCGCAGTGAATATTCGTCGAAGATAGAAGTGTAAGTTCCGACCCTATGCATCAGCCTCTTGCATTGATTAAGCTAACATAGGGGATTATTCTAGTATTCGCAATCCTGCCTACCCTCTTGATGTCGTCGATAAGTTAGAAGAGGCTACCATGCCCAAGGTTGAAGCATGGCTAGCCAAGAAGATTGCTGCGGAGACGAACAACAACTGTACGCTAGAAAACGCGATCGTACGGAGAGAATGGTCCGTCTTCTATTTTAAACGCCCGCGAAAACCGTATGCAATACTAATATGGTTAATAGGAGCGACCTTCCCGAGGAATCAAGACAGGAATATGTCGCCGCCGTCAAGTGCTTGATGAAGTTGCCCCCTACGGTGGATAAGGAGAGGTTCCCCGGAGCCTTAAGTCGATACGATGATTTCGTCGCGTATCATATGACACACGCCATGCAGCTTCACGACAACCTGCACCTATTTGGCGCACACAAGTACTATGTCTGGCTCTTTGAGAAAGCGCTTCGTGAGGAATGTAACTATACCGGTTACCAGCCTGTAAGTCAGCCCCAACACATCAAGTCTTCGAAGTATCATTGCTGATTATATTAGTACATGAACTATGACCGCTACTCGGAAGACCCGCTCAACTCCCCCCTGCTTAATGGTAACGCATCTAGTTTAGGAGGCAACGGTGTCCTAGAACCTACGTACAAGGGCGTTTCGCAGCCCGGACGTACTCCTAACATCATCAAGTCGGGAGGTGGCGGAGGCTGTGTCACTGAAGGACCTTTCTCAGAGTTCGTTCCTTATTTCCCTTTTCAATCGCCCCATTCCATACTATTTTCATCCAGAACACATAGATTACTAACATGACAACAGCATGGTCGTCAGCCTTGGCCCCACCTCGATGACAACGGCCACCGGTATTGCCAAGAACCCAAGAGCCGACGGCACCGGCTCGAACCCGCGCTGCCTGCGCCGGGATGTCAATCGCAATGCGGCCATGGGGGCCAAAGCCGATCGTGCTTTCCATCTCATCAACGAAAACAAGGAAATGGATGGCTTCTATAACGAGCTTCTGGGGACCCCACCACCGAAGAACGACCCCTATCCCTGGGGTGTAAGTTTTCCACCTTTAGACAATCACGGGTAACTAGTGAAAGATCAGAACTAACTTGTGAGAATAGATTCACACGGCTGGCCATTACATCGCTGCCGTAGACCCGGGTGGTGACCCATTCACCTCCCCCGGCGACCCGCTCTTCTACTTCCACCACACCGCGCTCGACCGTCTATGGTGGATCTGGCAGATGCAGGACCCGGAGAATCGCCTCTACGCTGTCCCGTCTGGCAATATGTCCATGCCGATGCGCAAGGACCGACGAGCGGACGACCCTATGGACCCAATGGAGATGATGGTTGATATGGAGTGGCTTGGGCCCCCGATCAAGCTTGGAGAGACGCATGACCAACTCGGCGGATACGATGGTAACTTCTGCTATGTCTATGTTTAGTTCTGGTGGTAGTAAATGTGGATCTGTTGTGTGTCCAGGGGCAACTTGACGTTTTGCTTTGGTTGTTTAAATAGTTGCAAATAGGTCCTGTCGTTAAATGGCACCGATACGGATATGTTGAAACCCGCTTCATTATATGATGTTAGCCACGATATCCTATATGAACTATTACCCTATTAATCACCTTGTTAGCTTACTCTCTCCTCGTCCTCTTTCACATGCAGGCCCAAACGTGGTAACATATTGGACTTATCCATTTCGATCATTCGTGCTGCACAGTCCTCCGCCACTCGCCTAGTTTCTTCTCTCAATTCTGACGTTTTCGGGATTGCTGGAACCCTTCTCCGCCAGAAATTCCACCGCTCTTTACTCTAGCCTTTATTGATGCCCTGATTAGCGCCAGTATGCGGGTACTCCCGGGCTCTACTTCGGCCTAGTGGCGCCTTTCGTTACATGCCATCTACGCAGTGGATGAGCTATGGTGCGGCGACAGCGCATAAATATCGAGAGTTGTAGTCTTATTCCCTTTAAGATCAAGATAATTGGTGGATGGTTTCTTATCCTATAGTGCAGATGAATTTAGCGTACTTACACTAGAATTGAACCCACTCAGTCCAGTAATTGTTAAATAGGGGTAGGTCAGTGGACCACGGATCTGGACCCGAAATCCCCTTTCCAACAGATAGGCGTAGTAACTCCAGGGCAAAGCCAGCAAACTTACCATTATGATCAGTAAACTCATTAATAGCATCCACAGGCGCTCGTAAGAGCTATCGCCAAGCTTCCGCTTCACTATCGGTAAGGGAGTATGGGATTTCTTCTTTCGAGCTTCAATCTAGGCATTGAGTTTCTCAGACGACATCCTAAGCCATATTAAAGAATAACTACCTCTTAGGATACACTTTTGACTACCTAATGTATGTAAGCTGAGTGGGTAAGCATTGGCGCATATCAGATCTCTATTAGCCTACGCCACACACCTACACACCTACATCGGCATATGTGGTACAGATTATGAAGATCAATCAATTGCCTACTTTTCAGCTCGTATATATTACATCCCCTCTCATAACTACGAGTTAAAAATTGAAGAGGTCAATACATCAACTTTGGTCTTTCAAGAACCCTCTTGTCATAGAGTAAAGCTTGGCAATTGTGCTCGGACTTGTGTTTCTTCTTAGTCTTAGATCCTACCTCAACTAATAAATGAATTTAACCTCAAAGTATACTTGCATGTCTAAGTGATGTTAAGGTAATAATAAAGTAACTAGTACCAATTGTTTCAATTATTGATTAGACTACTAGTCTAGATTCTTAAGTGAGGCGTAATGTCTCTAGCGTCGCATTTGGTTCCTCTCAGAGATCCTCCATACTGCACCTTTGTGGTCTATCAATTAGAACCCAATGCAAGACACAAAGATTCACAGTCAATATAATTCATAGTCAAGTTCTACGAAGAGAAGGACCTTCTTATCCAGGTAATCACCGATTCACCCCGGCATTTTCATGCCGGAGAGAGCAATGACCTTGTTCCCGGAGGTTCCCGAAGCCACCATGGTGCCCATACCCAAAGAGCTAAGCTTACGTATGTCCTCGACCAATCGTCCGCCCCACGGGTTGCGGACGCAACCCCCTTCTACGGCCTATGCCGAGATGAAGCTGCTACTGCAGGCGGCCCCATAACGGTCAACCATATAGAGCGAACGTATTATAAATACCTCTTTTGGTATATTTAGGTTGTCAGATTCCCAGGTCAAGGTGTAGGCCTCAGTTTTGCTTGGACTTTGTTGCTGTTCCAAGAGCTTCACACAATGGTCAACTTACTGGCACTCGCACAGGGGCTCCCTCTCTTGGCCCCCTGTGTTATTGCTGCAGCCAGCTTCCCAGTGATACCTTCTGACTTGACAACTCCGTTCCAGCAACGTCTTGCCATCAACGGCCCTAATGGTGAGTCCGCGACAGTATAAGCTGCGCGCTACTCTTGGGAACCCCATTCGTGTCCTATTAATTAATACTATATCCTCTAGCCATCTCTGTGGGCTGGAACACATACCAGAAGATAGACAAGCCCTGTGTCCAATATGGCACGTCTAGCAACACACTCACTTCTGAGGCTTGCTCGAATAACTCGGTCACGTATCCAAGCTCACGCACATACGCCAACGTGGTCGTACTTACAGGACTGTCGCCTGCCACTACATACTATTACAAGATAGTCTCGACGAACTCTAGTGTTGAGCACTTCTTTAGCCCGCGGATAGCCGGCGACACAACCCCTTTTGCTATAAACGCCGTAATAGATCTAGGTGTCTATGGTGCTGATGGATACACCATTCAAATGGATGAGGCCAAGCGGGATACAATTCCGCATATTGACCCATCATTGAATCACACAACTATTAACCAGCTGGCTAATACGATCGATGACTATGAATTCGTCGTACATCCGGGAGACTTCGCATACGCTGATGACTGGTTATTAAAACCTAAGAATATCTTCGATGGCGAAGACGCCTATCAGGCTATCCTAGAACAGTTTTACGATCAACTATCCCCGATATCCGGCCGTAAAGCCTACATGGCTAGTCCCGGAAATCACGAGGCCGTCTGTCAAGAAATCCCCTATACCTCGGGATTATGCCCTGCAGGGCAGAAGAACTTCACCGACTTCATGAACCGATTCGGAGATACAATGGCAACTGCATTCCCGTCAACCTCCGCTACCGAAGCTGCTAAGATCAACGCCAACAAGGCACAGCTGCTGGCGAATCCGCCTTTCTGGTATTCATTCGAGTACGGCATGCTCCACTTTGTCATGCTCGACACAGAGACGGACTTTGACGACGCGCCAGACGGAAAAGGGGGTTCTGCAGGCTTTAATAGCGGCCCCTTCGGCGCCCCTGGCCAACAGCTTCAGTTTCTCGAGGCAGACCTCGCCTCTGTAGATCGCACCGTAACACCTTGGCTTGTTATCGGAGGTCATCGGCCATGGTATACTACCGGCGGTGACGGCTGCACGCCGTGCCAAAACTCATTTGAGCCGCTACTCTATAAGTATGGTGTTGACTTGGCTATATTCGGCCATGTTCACAACTCTCAGCGTTTCCAGCCCGCCTACAACAATACCGTAGACCCCAAGGGCATGGACGATCCTGCAGCACCGATGTACATCGTAGCGGGCGGCGCGGGAAATATCGAGGGTCTCAGCGCGGTGGGAAGCAATGTCTCGTTCAACTCTTTCGCGTATGCTGATGATTTCAGCTATGCTAAGATAAGCTTCTTGGATGCTAATAACCTACAAGTCGACTTCATCAAGTCTACCAATGGTGAGGTGCTGGATACTTCTGTTTTGCATAAGTCGCACACACAGCAATTTGTTGTCCAATGAGTGACGGAATTTATACAATACGACATTCTCATCCACTCAATGGCCAAATGTGCCTGCCTGTCTGTGAGTATCATCTACCAAGTGATTAGCACGGTTTATACAAGAGAGTATCACAGTTATAAGTACTTCGGGAATTATATATTCATCAAGCCAACTATTTCGTCCCTTTCCAACCACACCTTGCCTACGAAATAAGTCGGCCGGGGAATAGTTTTAAAATATAATACCCCCATAAGGATTATTAGTTATCTTCAGGTCTACACTAAGCCATCATACGCCTTCTAAGTGTAGGCGGACTCTGAGAGCCTTGGGCGATGAAGCCTGTCTAGCCTGCATAGCGTTATTAAGTCCACCACCAATCGTTCCCAGCCAGCGTATCAATGCGACCATGTGAACGCTATGTGGTCAACCCGGATCGAGGCTGTACTCGAATCTGCCTAGACGCCTACCTAGGTAGGCATAATAGCAAAAATATATTGATAAATATGAAAAGTAAGTACGTACGTCTGAGAACACCATCTCCTCAATCCCAACGTGGGATATTTTCTCATTTGAATGACACAAACAACGTGCCGCATCTTTTATCAACTAGCATATTTAAATTTAACCTATTTCTCCATTGAGGTACGATGTCTTCAAGACCATCGCAAACACTACCATTTAATTACGATCTGCTACCCCTTGATCGATCCAAAAAGGAAATCCGACTTCTCAAGCTGAAGATCGAAAACACCATTCCCGATGTTATTAACAGACTATATGGCGCTAGCATTGATGAGTTCGAGAGTCAGTTTAAAAATACCCTGGAGTTAGAACGGCCCATCGAGTGTGAAATAATGAAAGCCAGCCTAGAAGCACCCCCAGAATTCTACGCTTGTTCATACGTATGGGGCCCTTCTACAATGTCGAGGCGATTGATTCTTCGAATGAGCAAGGACTGCCCAGATGCGCTACCGAACACAACTGATCCCTCAGAAAGGTTCGAGGTCGAAATCACAGATAATTTACATCTTGCTCTAGCCCACTATAGAGGGCTTTATAGAGGGCTTTATCACGATAGTCCTTCGATACTTCTCTGGGCGGACGCTGTCTGCATAAACCAAAACGATAAAGACGAAAAGTCATGGCAAGTTCAGATGATGCGAGAAATATACGAGTCAGCAAAATCGACGTGGGCATGGCTCGGACCTGTGCCTGAAAGGCAACACTCACAAGTAGCGGATCTGATAGTTACACTGTTGAGGCTCGGGGTAGAAGCATTACAGCGCTTTGGGTGGGAACAGTGCTCATTCCCTTTGGAATATAAGGTTAGTTGGCCGGGTGGGTCAAGGGAGTACTTGAACCAGGAGCTTGTGGAATGGATAGAGAACAATGTTCATTTTCACAACAATTCAGACTCGGAGGCCCGTGATAACGAAACCTTTGAACCCACCGGGGACAATTTAAAAGGAGTTGCAGGAATTCTGAGGCTACCATTCTGGAGAAGGGTTTGGATCCTGCAAGAAGTTGTGCTTTCTAAAACCTTGTGGTTCTACTATGGGCCCTACAGCATCGACTCCGAGACTCTTCATGGCGGCCTCAAGCTTGTAGCAAAAGCTAGGCACCTTCGTGGCATGGATCCCTCTAATTATGAATGCAGTCCTATGTCGAGCGGCTCAAATTTGCATAACCCCCGTTACTGGAACATTGCCCACACGGATATCAACGAACCTAGCTTTTGTCCCATGCTTGATAGACGTTTTCCAGATGAGTCTATAGAGGAGCCAAGGTTCGCTTATCGGATATCCTTAGCTGGAATTACGAGATCGGCTGCCTTCAGGCAACTATGGAAAGTGATTTCATCTTTGGTGTCCTGGGATTGGTAAATGAACATGATACCGCGGAGCTAATTCCCGATTATACGAAATCTCATGAAGAAGTCCACGTAGAAGCCACGACTAAGTGGATCCACGAGATGGGTTTGAAGGTTCTGAGCTATTGTCAGAACGATCCGATGCCGTCTAAGTTGCCTTCCTGGGTTCCTAATTTCAAAATACCTGGAAATTCACGATGGGTCAGAATCTTAGACATGCAACCTGATTTTACTCGTACTGGTTTAGAAAATCCTGGCCCGCCTCGAAATTTCAGATTCTTGGACATTCCCTCTAGTCCGACGCTACTATCCATGGGACGCGAAATCACTGTCATTAAAAGACCTTTGATCGCGATGCCGGTGTGGGAGGGTAATACGCCTCTTCTAAGACGCATCTGGGACCTCCAAGGACGGCTAGTTTTCATGAAAGATATCATAGAGGAATGTGCAACGGCTTATAGGACCAAAGAGAACCGACATCTAGCTTTTGTAAGCACACTTACCGGAGGCGGAGTAGACCATGGTCGTTTACTCAACCCTGAGGATAAATGGTCTTTGGATCAGATCATTCGCGGGTATAAAGCTCTCATTGAGCCATCTTCTGTCTCGGCGTCGTTTAGTGGGTTCTGCTCTCGGCCCATGCCGTCGCGATTCTTCACAGATGTGACTCTGACGGCGTGTATTCAGGCCGCGATATCGTGCGACGAGAAATTCCGAGAGTCCGCACCAACGCTAGCTCAGAGGTTCGAAATGGACCATCCCAGTGTATTCTTCATTCCTTTCTTCAACGACTTAATCGATATATTGAATAATTTCAAGTTTGAGGATTGTTCGCAGATGTTTGAAGATATTACATCATTTATAGACTTACTTCAAGTCCGGACCAAGGGGAGAAAAGTTCTGATTTCTGAGGAAGGTTATCTTGTCCTCGGCCCTCGACTCACAGAGCCTGGGGATATCGTGGCTTTTCTAGACGGCGGCCGTGTTCCTTTCATCTTACGCCCTAGCCCGGATGGTTCATTTCGCCTAGTCGGCGAAGCTTATATGTTTGGAGTGATGGATCGGGAAGTTGGTGGTAGACTGACGTTGCTTGGTGCTAAAACTTCGCCGGAGGCAAAAGCAACCATCAATCAGCGGGGTCGTGATATTCGGCGGGAATTTTCAATCAAATAAAAGTGCACAAGGGAGCGTGGATTAGGAAGGCCGTTGTTTTTTTTCTATCTGTGTTAATTCATCAACGAGCGTTCGGTTATTCGTGGCTAATCTCATCGACCCCTATTCCCTCGTCCGAAACTTGAACTCGGCTTTCTTTAGTGTTAGGTTAAGAGTTTCTCTACTATCTATAAGATAATTATGAAAGAAGATACTTTAGCCTTCAAGTCACTTCCGCAACCTACATTTTCTCGTAAATCAAGTCAGAGTACTAACAATAATACTAATCAGCAAAGGAGGGGCGGGTATCATGCAAGGGGAATGTTACGGCTATGCATATCGAAGTACGAACAACATTTAGTGCTTATTGAGTACATAAGACAAACAAAACAGATTTATATATTTCTAGTGTAGATACCTTCATATTTGTATAATTTATAATTTGAAATTGAGCGGCTTTGTTGGGATGGGGCAACACAACATAAGGGTTCAGCAACATCGAATTATAAACTGATCTTTTGAACTCCTGGCCTAGATTACCAACTCCATCATATCTCCTTATCTAACCTTTAACCATGAGGCAAAATAATACAACGGATCCTCCGCCGATCCTGATCATCGGCGCCGGCATTGCGGGGCTCGCGCTAGCCCAAGGTTTACGTCTCCGTTCAATTCCATTCCGCCTCTTCGAGCGATATCCCCAGTCACGCAGTTCGCAAGGCCACCGTTTTCGCATCTCAAAAGATGGCCAAGCCGCTCTTGACAGCGTTTTATCTCATGAACTTCAGGACCTGCTTCGACGCACTGAGGCCGAAAGGTATCGCTTCGAGCCGCGATATGTAGATGTCAGGAAGCTCGAGTTCGCGAAACAGACACCGATAGACCCGGTCTCCATGCCCGTGGACAGGGCGTGGATCCGTCTATTACTTGCGCTGAACATTAATGACGCCATAGAGTACGAAAAAGAGTTCGCATCTTACAGGGTTATCGGGGATCAAGTTCAAGTTAGATTTGTGGACGGATCGACGGCGCTCGGACGGCTACTTGTGGGTGCAGATGGCATTAGGAGCCGCGTGCGCACACAACTTCAGCCCGATCGCAAGCTGCTTGATCTAGAACGCTGGCTCATGTGGGGTAGAACTCCACTGACTGACGATCTCAAGAAAGATGTACCAAAAGATCTGCTCAGTTGGTGTATGTACCAGGATCAGGAATCGAACGTCCAGATCATCGTCGATCCTATGATGTGGTCGAAAAGCGTCCGTCAAGAATCAAACGCAAGGCTACCCGACTTTCCCGGCTACGTCTACTGGGTCGTTTGTACGGCGCCTTTCCAGTATTCGAAGGTTTTACCTAAGACGACGGGCGAGAAAAGGCAGTTTCTAGACCGAATAACTGAGACATGGCACCCTGCTCTGAAGCTCTTGCTAAGCTCAGCTAATCATGACCTAACCTCCTGCATACCCGTTTTATCGAGCAAACCGGACATTGGAATAGGATCGGCTAGTCAGACCGGGCTAGTTACACTCATCGGTGACGCAGCACATCCCATGAGCCCCATGGGTGGATCCGGTGGCGATACTGCTGTTCGAAGTGCAGCAGATCTGGCGTTGACTATTGCTGAAAGAGGAGTAACGAAGAGCAGCATTGCAGACTTCGAAGCAAGAATGGAGGCCAGAGCAAAAGAGAGGATTGAGCATTCTTTCAAAGGTGGACAGAAATTTTGGCGGGGGAAAGACTGGACTGAGTATAACGAAGTTGACATTTAAAGACCCGTTGCCTTTAATAAGAGCGTTTGAATAGTAATAGAAGTCTGCACAGACCGAATGGATATCAGACAACTTAAGGCGACAGCAAGCATATAACATAAACACACAACCAGACGCTTCAGATATACTATTATATTGGTTCTACGATAGCCTATTGAGCTCATACCTCTAACGGGCTTGGCAGCTAGGAACTATACGCTTTATATATGAAGTAGATAGGGGGTATGAGGGTGAACTGCAACCAAAAGCGCTAAACCGGAAACGCAAAACATAGGTATCTAGAGAAATAAAATCCTACGGGGCGAGACGCTAAATTTTTGTCATGTTAATTTCTACAGTATGGGTAACTGAGAGCCTTATAAGGCCACAGCAGCACCGATGAAACCGGCAGCTAGGGCAGCCGCAGCGAACATTCCGGTCTCCCTCGGGCCGGCGTTACCAGAGGGTATCGCCGATGCAGCCGAGCTGCTTGCCGCGGCTGCTGCTGAGAATTCGGCGCTACCAGTAGTGGATGCGGTAGTCGTCGCGGAACCGCTAGCATTTGTGGTGGTAGCAGAGCTGTCGGAGGAAGAAGCAGCTGTTCCGCTAGAGGAGTCCGCCGTAGTCGTCGCGGAGACCGCTTTGCATCCGCCTGCTGAGAACTGGGAGTATACGCTGAGGAGTTCGTCAAGCTGGCTGGTGATAACCTCCGGGGGCGCGCCCATATCGCCGGAGCAGCTAGTGGCCAGAGCCAGGAGGTTGGAGGACTGCGAAGACAGATACGAGTACATGTCGAGGCAGTAGGAAGTGTACGCAGAGCCTTGGTTCTTGCCAAGAGCGGTGCCATACTGGCACAAGCCCGACAAGCCCGACTCAGCCCCACCGCCGTCTACCGTGACGCTGTCCATCGCGCTTCCTAAAGCCGGGGCTGGGGTGGGAAACCCGCCGGACCACGACTGGACGCGAGAAATACATTCCGGCGAGGATTCGGTCTCTTCCGGGTCGGCGCTCCCGAAGGTCTGGCGCGGCATGAGGTTCGGGATTTGCGCGGAGGCGCAAGCGGCAAGGGCCGCGAGGACGATTGCGTTATTAGTATACATATTGTATATATGTAATTATCGGTCTTCTCAAAAGCAAAAAAAGAGTGTGAGCTGTTAGTTGGGAATAGCTTAATCGACCTTATAAAACGAGCGGATCGGAAGTAATGAACGAATGACTCGCGTATCTATTGATCGTCGTCTTTTGACTCGCGTGTGTATATAGATCAAGAAGATCGGCGCATCGCGAAGGGGGGCACATGCTTCCTTTTTATAAGTCAGAATGATACAAGAAGAGCCCCCTGAATACAGCTATCGACGGTACGCGCTACGATGTATCGGGATATAGCACTGATGGCATTAAGTATTCAGGGGTGCCGGGATTGAAAACATTGTTAGCGTCAGATTGTTAGGAACTAGCCCGGCCATTTTAGCCTCGGCTGGGAATTCTTATTCATCTTATTCAATTACCTGACGGCTGCCTGGACGGCTTTTAGGTACCTAATGGAGATAATGATATATATGCTGTGTTAGGGTGATATAATTTGCGAGATATTGGTATAGACATTGCACTAGTTATACTATTACATGTACATGTATATAAAGTATACCAGGTACATGTATCTTATCTATTTAGCTGCAGATGTCATGATCGATTATCACTTCCTTCTCTACAGATAATAAACCTGTTTACCCCAGCTTCTTGCTTTTTATATAAGCACCAACAACGGTCTTTTGCATTGTTCCGAGTGAGCCGAACCCCAGTCATCTTAAGCTCAAGAGATCCACTTGGAGTACCATGCAACGATCAATACCGAAATGAGAATGTCACTATGGTCGGTAAACCCTTGCAATAATTTTTTTCTTTTCATGTTAGGCAGCCTATGCGAAATTCATATACTATTACCTAGGCTGTGTGGCCTTGTACACGCATGCATGTATGGTTAGATTTATTATTCGAGAAATATCAATTGGGTGAGATACAACATCAATAAATTGACTTGGGATAGATAGATGTTTGATGAGATGTAAGTGAAGCAAACCATCTTCGGTTATCGTTAACCTCGATAAAGAAAAAACAATATCCTGCCAAGACATTGCGCCTACATCGTAAGGTCCAGCCCAACCAAGACTTATAAAAACATACCTGGTAATTTCCGTAGGGCAACGGGTCTCGGGTTTAGAAATACTCTTTTAGTTGCAAACGCCGACTCGTTTATATGAAAGAATGCTATTAGCTCGCACAATGCCATTATCTTAATAAACAGCAAGCGACCTTGGCTAACAGAGCGTTACGGCATCTAACCGAACAAAAATGAAAAGTTAAAATCCGACAATCGAACGAGGATATACGCGGGGTTGAAAAAAAAAAAAAAAAAAAAAAAAAAAGCTGAGATCAGACTGACAATTGGCAAAAGTTTAAGGGTTTGGCCGGGGATTGAACCCGGGACCTCTCGCATGCTGTTGCAAAGGGTGTACCCTAAGCGAGAATCATACCACTAGACCACCAAACCAGGTTGCCTTGTGATGAACACAAGATTTTGCCAGATCAATTTCTGGGCGGTGAAAAATTGACTTCTTATCAGGCTTTATATCTACTTTCAAGCCAAGCAAGAAAGGTTTAGTGGGGAGTGTGAACCTCGTTCTTAAAGGTTTACAAGAAACACAAATAACTCGAGTCGATTTTTATTTAAGTGATTAAGCTCTTAAATAGCAAGGCAAACACGATCATTCTTGGTGTTTGCTGCTTGTACTTCTTGCATACCTTTTTTTTTTCTTTTCAAACGGAATTAACTGGTTGGAAGTTTTCAGTTCCAAATACCCGATGACGTGGGGGCCATTGAAAAAAGGCGTAAGAAATGTCTATCAACACAAGCCGAATCAAAGAAATGTTAAAAATATCATATATAGGTACCTACCGTCTAGATACAACCCGCCCGTCTAAGTGATAATCTGCTAATATATCGGCTTGCTTGCGAAAATACTATGTTTAAATAGCACTAACACCGAACATCTTATGGCTCAGTCGTTTTCCAAAGATTGGCTGTTACTAACCCAAAACCATATGATAGTTATTCCAGTCTCATATCACGACGATTAAGGGGTCTCAAGATGTCAACTTGGGTTTGTAGGAGTTTTCTCTTTCTCCAGTTAAGTTGATCAAATATATATTTAGCGAGTGAGCGTAGCCCTGCGATGTTGCTCGAATCGATTCCTATCGATGTGCTACAAACCTAAACGTATGGTAAGGCATGCGAAGTACAATGAGATATCGTCACATCTGGATATTGGCGGAATCAGAAACCATCCTCACCAACTGCCTCTTGTTCGATCAATTTCACGCGCTGGAATACGGGGACACTCTCCGACGTTGGCACTGCCCGAGCCTCTGATAGCCTAGGTATTTGTTTGCCGGACTTATTGGCTTGTTGAGTATCATGATGTCCATCACCTGATGAATACCAGGATTTGGCAAGAATCCACTCCCTACGTAAGTGGTCCAAGAAGTGAGGCCACTTCAACTTACGGACACTATTGGTACTGTGAAGGTCGCTCCATAACTCCCCTGTGTCATCTTCTAACCAGCTTACTAACTGGTTGGTTTCTATTGAAGAGTGATCCTTTGTGATTCGATAGATCAACCCCTTTTTAGCGGCCTCGTCATCAACGTCAACGGAAATAGAGTTCCGGCGATCTAGGCTAAATAGTCGGATTTCGACAATGTGATCGCGAAGCTCCCGATACACATAGGTATCCGATATAAAGCCAACGACTTTCAAGTGCGGAAAGTAATGCGGGTCAGAAAGGTAAGAAAGGAGCCGATAGCAAAGTGTATTGTCTGAGCCACCGCCACTTATGACAGACTGGGTACACTCCGTAATTTCCAATATGGTGGCATTTGGCGAGCCTACTAGAGAGCCGATACATAGACGGAGGGAATCCCGGCTCGGATCATACCAGGACCATGCGGGTCTGGGCATACCTTGTTGGTCCTCCCAATAGTTCCTAATGCTCACAAGTCTACCGCTACGGCAAGCGATTGATCGAGCCTCCTTACAGACATGAGCAACTGAGGGAGGAGATAATCCTGGTTTGAAATGATACACACCAGCAATATCGAGATCCTCATCAAGACCGAGTATTCGGTTAGGAATAGCTAAGTCCCATATCATGGCTCGAATTTCTAGTGGGAGCCTCCTAAATTGGGGGAATCCAGAAATTTCCGTGGACTCATGTAATGTTTGAACATCTGCGTGTATCATACGAAGGACATCGCGAAGGTCATGTTGGTTGCTCCTGACCTCTGCGATTTTATATTTAAGATCTTTAAATCCGGGCCCAAATCCATCGTGGTCGGTATACATAGTTTGAATTTGAGTTTGGAGAAGATCAAGACAGTCAATCATCTTGTTCTTGGTTTGCTGAGCTTGACTGGTATGGTTGACATTCCCCCGAAGGGACTGAATAGTAGTGCTGACTTTCTCCAAGGCATTTTTCGAGTCTGACGATCGCTTTTCGAGCTCGCGATCTATATATTCTTCTAAGAGGTCAACCTTGTCGAGTGATTTGCTGTGTAGGGTATCAGCTACACGTGCAAGTTGATAGATCGCATCGTTGGTGCTGCCTCTAGCAGCATAGTTCAGTTTAGGCATGTTGGTTAGTTGATACGTTGGTGATGGCATACTTGTTTAGAAAGTTGATATCGGAAGAGGGGAGAGTTTCGGAAACATGCTGGATTTAAATTACATATATCGGATAGGTGCCTAGAATTCACATAGGACATCTTAACAAATAAAGATTATTAACTAGTGGAAAGATACTATTGCTTTTTCTTCTAGTCTGGTTTGAAAATGATAGAAAGTTCGGGATCTAACATGCAAATGTGACGACCGGCGGTAAGAGGCAACAATCTTCGAGATTTAATACCTCTCAAGTGCTTCCATAATCGGCGTACAATATTGCTCTAGAACACAAGATAGAGGAAGACTCGACTACAGCAAGTAACCTGGAAGACCAAGAACTTGCTCAAGCTCACCTACAATAAAGTGTGCACATGTACAATTAATGAAGAAAAGAAAGGAAAGTTTCCAATGACTTGCAGAAATTTCGAATTAAAAACGATAGCGACACTACCTAAGGGCTTGGCGTTACTTACGTAACTAAGTTTACCTACCAGGTATGGGTAGGTACCTAGGTACGTAAATACGTAATATGTGCTTTTTGGTGCCTTAAAATTCAGGCATTAAGTTTTGTTAGCTACGGCCAATCAAAGCAAGTGCGAAATAATCGCAATGAGCATTAGCGCCACTTCGAAGAAGCGTCCAATAATTCCCGACCAGCAATTCTCAAGAGACGTCAACCTCATTTTGAAGGGACTTTCTTCCAATTGACCACCACGCACCACCTCGTCCTATCCTTCTCCTCTCCTCTGTCCCTTGATTCCGTCGAGACGACACGATGCTCCGACAATCTCTAGCTCGTTCGGCTTGGCGGACTGGCAGCCATGTCGCCAAATCCTCGAGAGCTTTTTCAGCAACGCCTCGGCGGCCGGCAGAGGTGGAGCTTACCGTTGGTGAGCATATATCTTATATCTACGATCGAATCGCTTAAGATGGTTGCTGATGCTGTTATAGATGGAAAGAAGGTGTCTATCGAAGGTATAAATCTATGATTTACAATCCCGAGGTTGTTAAGCCTCTTACTAATTAAGCCCGCAGCCGGATCAGCTTTAATTCAGGCCTGCGAGAAAGCCGGCGTTACTGTCCCTAGGTCAGCCTACGAGATATCTGAATAATACAAGAACTTTGCCGCTAACAATTCACAGATATTGTTACCACGAGTACGATGGCTACCCTGTCGACGCTCCCCACCACGACCCGTGTTACTAATAACATAAATTAGGAAATTAATGATCGCTGGAAACTGTCGTATGTGCTTAGTAGAAGTCGAACGTGCGCCGAAGCCTGTTGCCTCTTGCGCCTGGCCAGTACAACCAGGAATGGTGGTAAAGACGAACTCGCCTCTCACACATAAAGCCCGCGAGGGCGTCATGGAATTCCTCCTAGCGAACCACCCGTTAGACTGCCCCATCTGCGATCAGGGTGGTGAATGTGATCTCCAGGACCAATCCATGCGATACGGAGCCGACAGGGGCCGGTTCCACGAAATCGATGGCAAGCGAGCGGTGGAAGATAAGAATATAGGACCCCTAATCAAGACCTCGATGAACCGATGTATCCATTGTACGAGATGTATTCGATTTGCGAACGATATAGCTGGTGCCCCTGAGATGGGCTCCTTCGGACGAGGAAACGACATTCAAATTGGCACGTACTTGGAACAGAACCTCGATTCTGAGATGTCGGGTAACGTCATCGACCTTTGCCCCGTCGGCGCTCTCACATCCAAGCCCTATGCCTTCCGAGCCCGCCCCTGGGAATTAAAGAAGACGGAATCAGTCGATGTGCACGATGCCTTAGGATCTGCTATCCGTGTAGACTCGCGAGGTCTCGAGGTCATGCGAATTCTCCCTCGACTTAACGATGATATCAATGAAGAATGGATCAACGACAAGACCCGGTTCGCGTGTGATGGTCTGAAAACACAGCGTCTAACTATGCCGCTGGTACGACGAGAAGGTAAATTTGAGCCTGCTTCTTGGGAACAGGCCTTGACAGAGATTGCGGCGGCACACCGACAACTCGCACCAAAGGGTAATGAGTTCAAGGCGATCGCCGGTGAGCTCACTGAGGTTGAGTCGTTGGTTGCCATGAAGGACCTAGCCAATAAGCTCGGATCTGAGAACCTCGCCCTCGATATGCCCTCGGGGAGCCAACCCCTGGCTCACGGAATTGACGTCAGATCTAACTACCTCTTCAACTCCAAGATCGCTGCTGTCGAAGACGTCGACTACTTACTACTCGTCGGCACTAACCCGAGACACGAAGCTGCCGGCTTGAACGCTCGTATCCGAAAGCAGTGGCTAAGGTCAGATCTAGAAATCGGTGTCGTAGGTGAACCGTGGGAGTCAACTTTCGAGTTTGAACACCTCGGTACGGACCTTGCGGCCTTAAAGAAAGCTCTGACCGGTCCTTTCGGCAAGAAACTTCAGTCTGCCAAGAAGCCAATGATTGTTGTTGGCTCTGGTGTGACAGATCACCCTGATGCCAAGGCTTTCTACGAGCTTATTGGTTCTTTCGTCGAGAAGAACGCCGCAAACTTCCTGACCGAGGAGCATAACGGATTCAATATTCTACAAAGGGCAGCTTCAAGAGCAGGTGCCTTTGAGGTCGGCTTCACAACACCCTCCCCCGAGGTCGCCGAAACGAAACCCAAGTTCGTCTGGCTCCTGGGTGCTGACGAATTTGCTGATGCCGATATTCCCAAGGACGCTTTCGTCGTCTACCAAGGCCACCACGGTGATCGCGGCGCCCAGATCGCCGACGTCGTTCTACCCGGCGCTGCCTATACCGAAAAAGCCGGCACTTATGTTAACACTGAGGGTCGCGCACAGATGACTCGTGCCGCCACCTCATTACCTGGTGCCGCCCGAACAGACTGGAAGATCATCCGAGCAATCAGCGAGTTCCTCGGAGCACCTCTACCATACGATGATGTCGCCCAACTACGTGACAGGTTATTCGAGATCAGCCCTGCGCTCGCTTCGTACGATGTCGTCGAGCCCACATCCGTGAAGCATCTAAGCAAGGTGCAATTAGTAGACCAGAACAAGGGCGCCAAATTCACTAATGAACCCCTAAAGAAGGTTATCCAAGACTTCTACTTCACAGACGTTATCTCGAGAAGGTGAGCACACTTTACAACCCTCCTTCTCTAACATGAGCGCTAACAATCAATACAGTTCCCCGACGATGGCACGATGTTCAGTTGCCAAGGCAACGGGCAATCCCAACAACAACCTGATGGCCCCCGGCATGACGGATGACAGGCCGATGGGCCAGGTCGCCTACGGTGCGTGAGAGGGCGTATACGCTACCCGAGTGTAACGAGATTAATAGAAACGTGAACCTAAAAAGGGGGGAGGGTAGGTTTTCGAGTCTATCACTGCCGCTGCTACTTATCCGCGCTGGGAATTGGTCTTCCTTGATTGTTTTCTTTGTCACTGGGCGCATCCATCGGCATCGCAATGTACATACTATTAGTACAGGTTCACGGAGTAGAAGAAAGTACATAAAGTGCCCAGAATACCCACGCTTCCGTGTTTCTTGTGCAGATCCCATCATCGTCTAGAACCCCTTAGCATACTAGGGTCGAGTAGAAGAGGCTCGATATCGAGTTCGATTTCCCTATTGGACTTAGTTTATCAAGCTCATTTATTAAAAAGGTTTCGATGCTGCTGTGGTTCCCGTCGTTCGACGGTATTGAGATTCGGATATCGAGTATATAGAGAAAGGATAAAGTAGCTCGAAGCCATCCCCCAGTTTCATATATTGACAACATGTTTTAGTACCTAGGATACATCACAGCCGCGCATAGCTGAACCATCTACTACTATGTAAGCCAAGCAGGTATGGTATAACTCAATCAACGGGGATTTTTTAGGGGCAATGCTCCGAAACTGGGAATTAGTTAGTTGAGAAAAGGTTTGCATTAGAATTACAGTTGGCAGGTAACATAGCAATCACGCCGAAACATCACCAGATATCATCATATCCCATCCATTTTACATAAGACTTGCACAGGAATAAACTCGTAAAAACATCGAATTTGGTAAGAATCGAGCGAACGATTGTAAATAAGTAAACTTTTCGTAATACAAGGAGCATATGTAAGACTTTGTCGATAGCACAAAAACAGAACTAACATTGTTGATTTTCGTCCCCATCCGATTAAACCTCCGCCGCCTACCGGTTTTGAGTCAGTCTTAAAAGCCCTACAAAACCTGAATACTCGATTCCCAACACAAAGTATCTATCCTCTGCAGAATGTCCACCTTAGCTGAGATCAGGAATAACAATCCATGCAACTATATTAGAAGGTAAGGTGAGACACTATGTGGTTCTTTTGATCGGTAGAAGGTTTGTCCTCCATCCAATTTAATTAAGGTGGTGAGTGAGTAACCGAGTTGGAATAAGAAAAGAATGGACGAATGGAGTGGATGCTTTGATTTCATATCGCAAAATCCCATAACGATGATGTGTCCAAGACACCCAAGCGGGGCAGTAGCCTGCTGGGTGTAGGATGTCGTAGACGTATGATTCCGTAAATTTTCTGCTTGAGATGATGCTTTCTGTGAGACTTGCCATATGCGAATCGATTCGTCCGAGAACCGAATTAAAATCAATTAATAGCCTCGGATTTGTCCGAAAGCAAGACATAGGAAAAGAAGGAAGATAATGGACGCAAAAGCAATCGCCGAAGTCGAGACCGGGGACGAAGATGCGACATCGAAAAACACTTTTTGAGGCGAAAGATACGAGGCCATTCATCAATTGAATCAAACGCAAATCCGTCATGAAACCAGTCGAGCAAGTACCATGCCATTATTGGTAAGCACGGCCATTGTATCGAGGACCCGTGGGCATGCGTCCTAAGCCAGTACTAACACCAGGTCCCGGTCGAGTGGCCACAGCCGGGTTAGTGCAGAGCATTCCGACACGAGATCCAAATTTGGATCCACGGAGAGACACCATATGCTTTCTAATATGCGCGGCAACAATCTCGCGGTGTTGAGGGGAAGCATGGGTCAATATCCACTGAATGAGATAGTTGCCATACTGGTCGCTAGCAATATCAATCAAAGGGATTCGGGGACGGTCTACACGGCCTTCGCAGACTCGGTCAAGGTATCGTGCCAGGAACTCAGCTCCGCCGATCTTCAGGCACTTCTCAACTACTTTGGAAGCATACTGGTCCATGCTGTACTCTGCTGCGTAGCGAATGACGTGGTCGATTGCTCTGCTTCGGTCAGCTGGCGCGCCATGCTCACAGATGTGCTGGATGCACCAGTTTCCAAACTGGCCATGAGCAACGATATCGATGTTGGCAAGGACCTCCTCAATACAAGGACGCTAGAGTCTCATTAGCATCGCAATTAAATGTTATACAGACTTCTATTAGACATACCTTGTCCTCTTCGAGGCAATTCTCGAAGATATTCTGGACAACCAAGCTTCCCGTCTCTCCAAGAGCAACCTCGTGCCACATGCCGTGGAGCGCATCGTTCACGTACTTCATGATTTGAGGCGGGGACTCGGTCCATCTCAACTCGAAGAGCTTCTGCCAGACGTGGCATGCATATCGATGGATAACGGTCTCCGGGATGCGTCGGAGTAATTCGTGGACCATGATAGCTTTGTAATCTTCCGGGACGGAATCAAACGCTTTCTGGACTACATGGCAGCCGAATGGGTCCATTGAGAGGTTGAGTGTGCATCCTCTAATGGCCTCGGCGATCTTGACCACCTGCTCTGGGGTTCCATGCTCGAAGCATCGTTGTACCAAGAAGTTGCCAAAGCGATTAACCATCAGTGGGTAAGCCTGGGCAACAATTGCTTCTACTATCTCATATTTCTGGTCTGGCGTTCCGACCTTGAGTTTCTGCTGCAAGAAAATCGACGCTTGCTGGTCATTGTTGCAGACAATCTTGTCAACGATGTACTTCCAATTGCAGTTGACATTGCGATCAAGTAAGCGGCGGTAGTTCAGAGGTTCCGTGGTAGGTAAATAGGTCTGGCCTTCAGAAGTTCCGGGCTGTGATACGGTCTACATTAGTGACGGCCCGAAATCAAAGAGCGGATCGATACTTACCTCCGACTTCCAAGGTGCACTACCCGTAACTGACGTGAACTCACTCGCCAGAGGCGAAAGCGGTGTACCGACAGCGGTAGGCTGATAAGTAGGGTAAATTCCCGAACCAGTCGGAGCCGGGGTCGGTCCAGATATGCCATGATCAGATCCGTACTGACCATTACCGTAGTTGTAACCACCTCCAAATCCTGGCTGTGCACTAAAAGCAGGCATTGTAAGGCGATTATCAACTCGATTGTTCCGTCGGTTGCCAACGGGACGAATCGTCATGTCATAATCCGGCGTCAGGCGATCTCCACGATAACCACCAGGAGCCACGGGCTCATAAGTCAGGCTTTGATCCATGTACCCCTGACTGGCACCACGTCCACTCCATTGGCTGCTCTGGCGTAAATCAGGACCTGGGAAACCGCCCTGGAAAGAGCCTTGAGCACTCTTGCTTGGCCCCCAGATGTTACGAGAGCGGTTAAAGCCTGTAGCTGATAAGGCATCACTGGTGTCCGACCGAGAGTCATCAAAAGTGGACCAGGAATTACCACCTTCCCTGCCAATTACCTGCTGAGTGCCAACACCAAGGGTCGTAGGACCCGGGACTCGCGATGGGTTAGGAGGAACCTGAAATCCAGAAGGGAAATCTACATCTAGCGGAGAGCCACCCATGGCGTGTTCTGCCAGTCCGGGTCGAGTGTGGCGACTCTGAGCAAGCTCATGGTCGAGTCGAGTGATTTTGTTTTGAGCCTGGGTAAGTTGCAGCTTCAAGCGAAGGACCTCTTCGTTGCTGGGGCTCCCATCATTCAAAGCCGCACTGGCCGGTCGAGTGGTCGGGCCTGCGCTGCCGAAGTTCTCGTTCGCTGGTGTAATTGGTACCGAATTGCTTGAGGGCGTATGGTCCAAGGCAGGAGGGTACACATAGTTCCCTTCAGAGGTCTTCAAAGCATCTCCCTGTTTGTGGAGTGCAGTTTGCTGTTGGGAGAGTTTCTCCAGTAGGTGGTCCATTGGGTTTGGATCAGGAGAGCTAGAAGGACCTGATGATGAGTCGTGACTAAGCTTCATCTTCTATTATAGTCAGTAAATACGATACAGACGAAGGTGGCCATAGGGTGGATACTAACCTTAGGATAGCTCTGGTTGGCTAAGGAAGAGGTCGAGAGAGCAGAAACTGACTTCTTCTGAGACATAGGGACATCCGGTTCCTGTTGTAGACAACCATTAGTTTCGGCTGCGTCATCCGAACAATACCGAGCCAGAGATAAGAAGAGTAACCTATCCGATAAGCAAGGTATAATATGGACAAGACCGATGGATGAACACAATTACAAAGGATAGGTATGTTAACCAAACCATAATAATCACTCACATATCGAAGGAGACGTGTAAGGACATCACTTACATTGGCAGTAGAGGTATCCTCTTTGCCAACCTTGATGTTTTCCTCCTTCAAAGGCTTGTTGGAAGCAGGTGTGCGACGAGGGTTCGGAGACCCAGTCGAAAGAACCGGAATAGCAGACATAGCTTCTGTCCTAATCAGTACAGAAGCAAAGAATGTCGCCGGCAGAAAGAGAATCTGTTTTAAATTGAACCACTAAGTGCCCAAAATAGAAGTTGACAAATGGCATAGATGCCTCGATTGCAACAAAAGAATTAGATGGTATAGTGAGAGTGAAATGGAAGAAAAGTAGTGGATGGGTTTGGGAGTTAGAGGAGTTGGATGGTGGAAGATGTTGAAGGTGGGAAGGATGGATAAATTCTGGCTGAAGGGGAGAAGAAGTTGCGTTAATATGCAACTGATGGGTACGGTATGATAGAAGTAGGTGACGACCTTGACGTATTAAAATTACGGCAAGTGCGAGGTAGCTAATACTACCTACCTCTGGTCGAAGCGTAGAAATAAGCACATGTATGGTGAGGAAGTTGCGCCCCTTGAGGAAACAGCGAGGTAACTTACTAAAGTACACTACATATATGTAGTTGACAAAAGAGGCAGTTACCGAAGCTAAGCCTTTTTGCAAAGCGACGCGATTGCAGTGCGGAACGGTCAAGAGGGGTCAAATATCTAGATAATATTGGTATTTTAGAAACAGTTGCCAGGTGTGACCATGGATGTGCTCATATGTGTGAAGACGTAACAGACGCGAAATTTATGACAACCGCTAATATAGGGGGTGGAGGGATAGCGTGGCACGCAACGTATGAATTCAACGATAAGGATTGAAAAGAGGAAGGAGTAATCCTTCTTCTGGCCGGCTTGAGTCTGGATAGAACGGGATCTGTACCTATCACGCCTTTCCTGGACAAGGTGGAAGTTGCGCCCCGTTGCGTTGCTAAGAGACAATTAGTCTCAACTGCCTGCCTGCCTACCTGCCTACCTGCCTTCCTGCTTCCCCTGGGTGCTGAGTGACAGATCTTCACATGGAAGTAACGTCCTTATTTCTCCCCTCTAGGTACCATTAAATATACATTAATACGCAGTTCAATGCTTGAGTGTGCTTAGAAATGCCGCTTACAAGCCCATGGGTGTGGTGAAAGCCTTCAAGGATAATCGGTTATCAGGCTCATATATACACCGGTACTCGCATCAGACCCTTACCTTTTGCACATAGGCGTACGTCTATATAAACATATAGCTTTCCTAATAGCATTCATATCGATTGGCTACCTTAGGTAGGTAGGGAGTAGACATTATCGTGCATTCATATTATGAACGCATGCCAGATGGCGCTAACTTAAGGTCATGTATAGGAATACTAAACGACAGGCAGATATTAGCAACCAACGTGCCTAACCGTTTATAAGAGTGGCTGCAGAGGGGTATCCCTTTAAGTTCAATAAACAAACCTCTGGCGCCCTAATAGACGACTAACTATCGTGAGTCCACGCTCATAGACTAATCGAAGGTCACGAGACTATGGAAGAGATGTTGAGATATTAAGAGTCATAAAGAGCATTGGCGCATTATTAGGGTGTGGTTAGTTCCTCTATATTCCGAATATCTGGTCTCGTAATAATAAATTGATGATTTACATCCATAAACGCCGTTACTTTTGTGTATATATGTACAAGGGTAGACAAGACTAATCTCGTCTCTACCTGTGCTTCGCTATATTGGAAGTTAGTGCCATTCCGAGCAAAACGGGAGGAATGGATCTTACCAGCAGGCGGGCCAGTCTTCTTCTTCGGTGCACCTTTTCCGCGCGACCTCACTCTATGTCTTGATCAGATTCTGATATGTGTGTAATGCTTGTAAAGTAGATATAGCTTACCCTGCCAAGTGTTCCAGCCTATCCTCTTCTTCCTCGTTGATAGTCTCCAGATTCCAACGCTTAAACGTTTTCGCTAACGTGTTGATTGTCGGTCCTCTTGGGGGGTAGTACTTGGCAAGCGTTGGTCCTCTTAATCGCTGTCGCAAGATATTATTGCCCATTCGTATCCCATCGGGATTGTATGTTGTGGAGAAGACTTCGCATTGAGCCTGGAACATCAGTTGGTTTTGTTCGTCACGAAACTAATCAAGGAAACAAACATACCTTCATGAGGTTCAGCAACCTCGCACGAGGGACAGCCGCCATTTTGACCTTTTATGCAGCAACTTTTGCTTGTCGCACAATTAAAGATGAAGTATGTCGCAGTTAGTTTGACTGTTCAATTGAACGTGGGGCGCGTCTGCCGGGTAAAATTCGGTTAATTGTTCCCTTTCAGGTAGCGCATAGCTTCAGTCAAGACATACACGTACCTAACCTGTTATTTACATACCTTAGGTACCTGACCTAGGTACCACGGATAACATTTAACCTCTTCAAAAACTACAAAATAGTTGCGCTGTTGTTAATATGGCTTAATTTTTATCAGCAATTCTTAACTCTTCCACATATAAATCTCTCGAGTGCCGATAAATGTACTCGCAAAATTTATAGGCGCCATGTCGAAGCGTTCGTTCGCGGAGGTTGGCTCCATTAGCAGCCCCCAAAACCCTACATCAGTTTCTCAAATCCTAAAGCATGCTGAAAATCTACTAAAAACAGTCAAGGCTCTAAATGAGGAGCTCCAAAATTTTCGTGATACTTCCGACATAAATGACGAAATAATCTCGGTATTAAAACGCCACAACAAAGAGATATTACCCACCGCGCAATTACTCGCACAAGACGAGGTAAGCATTCAACCACTCGGTGTCGTTCTCACTGCTAATATACGCTTTAATAGACGAGTGCTCTTAGTCAGGATAATCCCAGACCACAAAAAGCCCAAAAGCTTGAAGATGGGAGAGATTCCAGAAGTTCACTTGGGGCTGGAGCACTTCCCATCCCAAATCACATATCTCTGACTCGATGGACGCCTGATGATATACCGAGTTCTGGCCTGCCACCTTTACCCCCTGTCCTGGACCCGGACCTCGAGCAAGCAGCACTTACTCACTCGGGTATGGTATCAGACCCGACGAAAATGAGTTATGAACGGCTCGAGTGGATTGGCGACGCCTATATCTATCTCATATCTACATCTTTCATCTTCCAGACCTTCCCCAATCTACCTGTTGGGCGATGCTCTCAGCTACGGGAGAGGCTTATTAGGAACGAGAATTTATTGAACTATACCATACAATACGGTATCGACAAACGTACAAATTTCCCCGTGGAGTTTGGCCCCCTCGAAAAGCCTAGAGCGACTAGGGCATCTGAGGTAGTAAGGAAAAAGGCCCTCGGCGACATCTTTGAATCTTACGTCGCAGCTACGATTTTAGCAGATCCGGAAAGCTTACCGCGTGTGTCGTCCTGGCTAAAGGCGCTCTGGAGCACAGAACTCGCAGATGAGATCCGAGCAGAATTCAGAGGCAAGTCAAGTTCTAAACATGATTGCTCAAACGAGAAGCAAGATACGGACAGCGATAAGAAATCTACAAAACAGAACCTACCCTATAAGGTTATATTGAGCAACACTATCGTTGTGAAGGGAATCAGACTCTCGTACAATGACGTGGGTGAATCAAAGAAGGATAAACACTTGGGTCTTCCATTATACACTGTAGGCGTATTCCTCAGCGGATGGGGAGAAAGTAACCTCCAGCTAGGTGTCGGAAGTGCATTATCGAAGAAAGAGGCAGGAAATAATGCGGCACGCGCAGCGCTGGAGAACAAGAAGCTCATCAAGCGTCTACAGCAGAAGAAGGAAGAGTTTTTGAAATCTAGAAGTTTAGCCGAGTCAAACCAGCAAGAGTATGACAACTGGTCGTAACTGGTATAGCTGAGAACAAAATCAAATTTGTTGCCGTAATAACAGTCAGGGTGTTGAAACAATTCTACTGTGGTCCTTTACGATGTGAAACCCGAAAGTAATAATAAACCAAGCGAGGCCCGAAGACATACCTGATAAGATATATTACATAATACAAGTAAAGGTTAGGTTAGGTTAGGTACCTAAGGTACATACCTATTTCCATCCTGCCATCTGATCTGGAGTTGTCTTCTTCACGTGCAATCGTCGGAACACGGAAAAGGAATAGGCTTAGCACTAATTTAACTAGCACGCGAGCGACCAACGCCGAAATTGTATTGATGTAGGTACAATTAGGTGCGTACACACTGCATACAAGGTACCTGACCCCGGTAAAGAATGGATCCAATTCTACGCCGAGGCAATTACATTCCCCTAACACCCGAATATGTAGATTATCGAAAGTTTCCCCATTATGGAGAGAATTGCTGCAGCTCCAACTCTACCTAATCTACCTAATCTACCCAATGATCGACATCTATTTAAAGCTAATAATTGTACAATAAATACATACCTACCTACTTACCTACATACCTGCCTACCACTTTACTTCCAATAATCCTACCTAACCAGTGGTTTAACGTAATCGTGCCATATCAAACCAGCTCAGAGCTATATACAATACCTATACTATCCTTAATATTTTATCCATCTGCTTGCATTTTTCCACCTGTATAGATGACGTGTTCCTAACCTCGGGTTCCCATTGGTAGCCGAGGGACCAACGCAGGAACCAACGCATTGGGCGGTGATCCCTCATCTGCTTCGGCGCCGCGTCGACGTGCTCCCTGGGAGAGCAATAACCGGGTTCGCTACGCATACCTACGGTCTTCTACTTGCCACGCCTCTAACGTACCACATTTATCGAGTGCGTACTAGTAAATGTAGGGATTAGGGGTATATAGATAGAACGAGAAAAAAAACTAGGGGCCCGAAGTTCTTGACAATACAGATGAGCGGTTCAAGATGGCCGACTCAGTTGGTATGTCCCCCGAGAACCAAGGCCCACCATCACCGGGCCAGCCAACCAATTCAATGAAGCGCTCCGTTCCTCTCTCTGCATTGCTTTCAACTTCTCAAACCATTATCCCGTCGCTAATCGAGTCCCCACTTGAAATAGACCGCGTGTTTGTCCACGCGCTGAATACGGTCAAGAAGATCCCGAAGACGGGAGCGTCACGCCCCCCGCCGAGCGACCGGCTACGGCTATATGGCCTGTATAAGCAAGCAATGGAAGGTGACGTAGACGGTGTGATGGAGCGGCCTGAGCACCGGCCAGGCGTTGATGTAGACGAGCTGCAACGCGAGCAGGACAAATGGGACGCGTGGAACGCACAGAATGGTCTCAGCCGGACAGAAGCTAAACGCCGATACATCGAAGCACTGATCGAGACTATGCATCACTATGCCAACACACCGTAAGTTTCTCTTCGACTATCCCCGAAATAACCATATAGTGGGCCATAGTCTCTTGGTAGTGGGGATGGTGGTGGTCGGTGGAAGGTGAGCTAATATAAAACATTTGTAGAGACGGCAAAGGACTGGTTGCAGAACTCGAATTCGTCTGGGATCAGATTAAGAATAACAGCCCGTCATCATCTAATGCATCACCGAAGGAGGCCACATTCGCCGAGCCCCGACATTTCCAAGAACCATTAAGTGGGACGGAGGGACCTATGAAGGTGCTCAGCCCAATGAGCGAGGACGATGCTGCGGAACAGGAGTATCGCCAGAGGCAGGACGACGAGGACGATGGGGAATACGTGAAGAAAGGCGATAGGTGGTCGCGAAAAGTAGAGCGCGCCGTAGTAAGGTTATCCGCCGAAGTCGCGGCTCTACGAGAACAAATCACGGCCGGGCGCGAATGGAGGTCTAAGAAGGAAAAGAGCCTCAAAGCATGGACTAGTTGGATATTATGGATCGTCTCAAAGCATCTTGCAGTGGATATGGTGGTTTTGGGTATCGTATTACTCTGGATGCGAAGGCGCAAGGATAGGCGGCTCGAAGATCACGTCAGAGCGATACTAAAGTTAGGCCGCGAATACGCAAGGAAGATATTGCCGTCAAGGTGAATATCTGCGACAGTGTGTCATGCATTATGAATATTTGCTATCTTGCCTATTCGTATCGCTATCACATCATCTATTGCATTCCTCGCAGGTATGCGACCAAACCGAACGATAAAGCCGATGCGAAGCCAGTCCTACCTACATGAAGATAAAAGCAAGGGGCTACGAAGAGAAGATTTTTACACTGTTAACGTATACGTCACTCGACCAAGACGTGTCGTTTAGGTCCGCGACTCAGAGTTACGAGATCTCCGATTAACTTAATATTCGTCCAGAGACACCATTTCGGTATCCTTCTATTCCAACTTGGGTTGCGGCCCGGGGCATGGAGCTGAGGGTGGAGCTATACGCGGCAACCAAGCGCATCTGTCACCCGTAAAAGTCTCGGAATCGGGCTTGTGGTCATCCAGCCACGTGGGGTCAGCGAGACAGCCGACGAAGAACAGCATTATGTTGGAATTTGGGTTGCCTTGACCGATGAAAATGGGAGTAAAACAAGTGGGGCAGCGGAAGACATTCTTGACGTTGTTCTCTGTTTCTTCCTCTCCGACATAGTAAGAGAAAGCCTTCAATTCTGCTAAACAGATATGAGTATGGGTTCTCTTATCTCGACGTGGCGTAAGAAGCAGATATGGAAGGCCACGGGGGATATGGGGAGCTTACCAGTGTTGCACCTCCAAGTGAGCATGCTGTTGTTCCGGATAAGCAAGAAGTCACCGTGGGTTCCACCGGTAATTTTCTTGCATTCGCGGCAATGGCAGATGCGCTAATTCCAAGTCAGTTCCGAAGTCGCCGGCGCAATGGAGCCATAACGGTGATAGCTTACCTGCAGGGGAACATGACCGTGAATAGTAGCGGAAATCTACCAAAGCGTGTTGTCAGTATATATCCCCTGTGGTGGGATTATTTAGTGGTATACGGACCTTACCACACAAACACTCGATTTCCAGGGAAATCTCACGTTCGAACGGACCGATACCAGGCATGACGGGAGGAGGCCATTGGATGCCCATGATCTGAACCATGCTACCAGGTACAGCAGGTTGGAAACTCAACCCCGACATAGCGTTCTTAGGACCAGAAACCTTCCTCTAGGATAGAATCCTCTTGATGCCGAGTTTGGACAGGTAGCGGGAAGGAAAGAAAGGAGTGTATCAGCCCTAAGGAGGTAGAGACGGGAAGAAATGTAATAGACTTGTCTACTAGGTACCTACGCCTAAAAACACAGTTACGTGGAACTTTCTGTTGCGTAGCAACAATCATTTAGGGCATACGGAAATCTCAACGAATTGATAGGGGAACGGGCTATCTACTTTGAAGTTTCGACTGGTCACAGTGCATCAAGGCTTACCAGTCCGACGATAGAAGGAGCTAGGTGCCGGTTGTGAAGCTGTCATTAATGCGCTGGTTCCTAGTAGAGGTGCTACAAGGCGACGGATATTACACCTGTTTCCAGTCGGCCAACATGGAATTCGGACGGAAACCCTTTCCGTGACCATTGTCGTTCCAATCTCATTCAGGTCAAGCTCATGACCTCTACAAGCAGCTCAAGTCCATTAGTTAGTCAACGCTATCATTCATTGGCATAGCTTAATCGTAATTTAATATGTTAAATAATCGTTACGTCTTCAGTCGAGTAAACCTCATTTCGAGATATCCGTAGTCTTGTGTGAAGATGGTCGCCCGGATACTCATTTTTTAGATTGGACGAAGTAGCGTTGCTTGGATAAGACGCTATCCTCAGAGAAGGATAAGTAGAGAAAGTAAAAGTAAAAGTAATAAATATTAGTAACATAGTACATCACTTATCAAGTGTATTCACTTCTAGCTACATGTACTTCATATCATTATTCGCATTAAACATTTTGTGCCATCTCTCATATTAACTCAGGTCTTAACCTATACATATCCATCTCTTAATTAGCAAATCTGCTCTTCTTTCGGATTTGCTTTCCATATCGGAAGAACAGATACGGGAAAGGCATCATCGCTACCGTAAGGAATGCTAACAAGCTGGATCCCCATTGGTAGCCAAGTTTATTATACATCTGTATTCCGAAAAGGGGAAACGCGGCTATTGAAAGGTTAGGTTAGTGGACGATACGCATCAAGGAGTGCTCGTTTCCGAGTCTCAACTTACCAGCAAAAGTACACCTAGCAAAGCTGTTGGCAGCAAGAGCCGAAGCAGCGTAGTGTGGGTATGCATCCACTGTTACAGTCGCCCGTTAGTCCCGAAATCTAGAAACTTGAAGCTCGCGAGTTTTTTCAACTTACCTAGGAAGGTAAATACTCCGGTAAACACCAAAAGTGTGCCAGAGCCAAATATAGCAGACCCAATGATAGGTCCTATCCAATGAACCCAAGCATATGCGGTCCAAGCAAATATGAAAAGCCCAATAGGAACCAGGACGGCACCTGCAATTGCTGATGGCAGTCGGAATTCAGGTTCGGGAATACCGTCATTTTGGTCCAAAAGCCGCTGATTAATGCGCCGCCATATGGGGTCAGTTGCAGCGGCAATGATCATTCCCACAAAGATTCCGAGGAAACTCAGACCGGTTTGCCAAAGGTTGAAACCGTAGGTATTACCAAAGACTAGGGGAAACGCCCCGAAGAACAGGTATAAGACTCCTAACAAGATGGCAGAGAATAGGCAGAGCAATAGACACATTGGCTCGAATATCAGCAACTCAAATGGTCGCAGGAGGGAATATCCAATAGTCACTACTACAGACTTGGTCGATTTCTCCATCGGTGACTTCCATCGGTCATCGCCGGTCTCTTTTCTTAGTTTTCTAGCTTTCTCGCGGAGCCTGATGGGATCTAGGTCGTTGTTAGCAAATGTCTTCCTAGCAATATACATACAGCCACGTACGGTATGTCTCTGGTGCGAAAATGACAATCATGACTAACTCAAGGAAAGCCCAGATGATCAGCGCCTATTGAGATTCACGAATTAGCAATGTAGGCCTCATTAAATAAGACTCGAGATTAGATGCAAAAACATACGTAGTACGTCCACCTCCAATTTGTGTAGTAGTTGATAAATCCACCGAGTAGAGGACCCAAGCTAGGACCTGTAATCCGTTAGAACTGGGCTATATGAATACTTATACACCGATGATCACTAACCGATAAAGGGGCTTAAAGATACTATAACCATTGGCGCCTGGATCTGGTCTCGCCTGAATATATCGCTGACTGTACCACCAGCGACGCTGAGGAATGAACTTCCGGCGAAACCGTCGATAAATCGCGCCTAAGCAACGTTAGTCTACCGCTATAATAAAGCCAGGGGTAATTCGCTTTTTCTGGATGAACATACCACTAGCATGGTCGCGATGTTACGCGCCACGGCACTTGGTATTAACCATATCAGAAACATGGCCCACGAGGCAATATAGATCGGCCGCCTTCCGATGAACTCACTCATTGGGCTCATGAGAAGGGGCCCAAGGGCAACTAGAATTGAAAATTTAGCAAAGACAACTTAAGGGCTTCTATGATTAACATACTACCGAGGACGAAAAGCGATAGCCCAAGAGTGCCAACAATACTCGACACGTGGAACTCTGGATTCATCTGACTATACGTTGACGCGTAAATAGAACTCGTACATGTGCTATACGTCGTTAGAATGTATTTGGGGTTTAGTTGGCGGTAGGTAAAGGACACTTACACGCAAAGACTTCCCATGCCAACAGTTATTACAGCAAGCCATTTTCGAGCAGTAGGCATGCTTCGAGGACACAAGGGATCATCGTCGCCGTCCCAGGATACCTCGAAGGGATCCTTTTCAATCTGACGCTGGGCAGGTGTGATTGTGCCATCAGTCGCGTCGCCTTCTTCTAAATCGGCACACCCATGTCCGTTATTTGATCGTACACGGACGACAGATGAGCGTACACGAGATATGTCAGGCTCCGCGATAGACTCTTCTCTGCTGACCGATCCGGTGCCCGGTTGGGAATCGGTCTCCTCGGGCTTCTCCGAGTCGATCGGAAGTTTGTCCATGCCGGAAAGCTATACTACTACTTATTACACCAACTACGGGACGAGCCGGCGCCGGGGATGCGTTTCCCGGCTTCACGTTAATTAATAGCGATTTCGGATCAGCGGAGCAATAGTAAAGCAACCTCGGGTTGATGATCTTTATTGGCGTTCGCTACGTTATCAACTAACAAAAGGGCAATATCGTACACGACAATAAAGGAATAAAGAGCTGGACTCGTCATTCCTAAAATAGGTAACCAAAATATCTCCGACGAGTCCTCCAACCTCATCATTTAGTCATTAAACAGACCCACTGTAACCCATTAAAAGAGTTTCCATATGAAAAGGCGCGAAACGGCGAGGCCTTCCGGGATCCATTCGTTGCGGACTTGCCAATCTAGGCGGAAAGATTACCCTTGACGTCTACAAAGGAGGTTAGGCTCAGTTGCATTTATTATTAATATTATATACCCCCGTCGTGGTTGAACTCGTAAGCTCCTAAACTGCTATACGCTTATGTAAATACTGCTGGGTATGAATTCGACTCCTTTTATTTCTAGGTACCTTGACCGACTTTAGATATTTGTCAGGGGAAGTGAGCACAGGAAAAACATACAAACGCCTGAGGTACGTTGATGTTGGTAAGCTTTGCAAGGAGCAACCTCCGTTATGTTCCGAGTGAGTGAGTGAGTGAGTAAGCAGCAATCCCAGGTTCGGATTAAAATTTATGTATAGGGATTCACGGCGCGTAGCCAGGGTTTGGTATATCAAATGTTCAAATCGATGGCCCTAGCACGCCATGTTCGGACCTATTATCACCGACTACGACGCGTTTCCTCCGATCGGTATTATAAATGTTAGGATTATATATAATACGCGACTAAAGAAATATAAATGAGACGTACCGCCCATTGAACGTTGAATTCCCGTAGGGTTTCTTTTATTTCATCAAAAAACTTCCGGTGAATGGAATGTCTCCTGGTATATCTAAGGTCAGGACTGAGGATCATCAAATAAATACCCAACAGGAGATCTAGGTAAGAATAAGGATAAAGTTTAGAGTTAAGTCGTCGCTTATCGTGAAAGCAATGTTTATCAATTTTCTATTAGTTACCTGTTATGATGTTTAGTTGAGTATACCCGTCTATAACACTATTAATGATTAAACGCACTTAATCAATTATCAAGCTCCTGAACCCCTCTACCCTTGCCCCGCATATCGGAGTCGCGCCTTCATTGCCACGAGCATTTACAAGTTACATAGCTGGAATTCTATTGGCCAATTTCCATTTTAACCACAAAGATTCTACGAGGAACAAACCAAAATTTTATGCTTCAGGGACCGCTTCGGACCCTAGCTCAAAGCGTCGACTCACACCATAGCAAACTTCATTGTTCAAACTGAAGCATCTATCTAGTTGAGTTGATTTAGAGGTGCTAGTTTATTCATTTCTATGTTTCCCATGTTTCCATAGATTCAAAAAGGAAACACGCCTCTTATTAGGTGGTATTTTCATGGTGTAAATGACCAATTCTATCTAGAATTCCCTCCAATTCCTCCAGATCAAGTGGACTGGCTCCTTTCGGGACCCCTTGTCCTTATCCTTGCTACCCGTATGGTATAAACGCTTCTTTTCAGCCTTACACCTAACGAGGCTTGTTAGTCACAGACGACGCTCTGATTCGGATTACACTGATCGTCATTTAGTGTTACAGCAACACAATGACTGATCAGACCAGCACTGCGTCGGGTCCAACCCGAATCTCTATTCTTGGATCCGACTCTATCATTATCGACCACGACATCTGGCGATCGTTCGTTTCTGATGACCTTCTCGAGAATATCAAATCATCTACCTATATTCTTATTACCGATACTAATCTTCATGATCGTTATGTTCCTCCTTTCGTGGACATCTTCAATAAGGCCGTCGAGACCCGAGGCCTACAGTCTCGACTTCTTACCTATACAATTCCCCCGGGCGAGACTTCTAAAAGTCGTGAGACTAAGGCTGAAATAGAGGATTGGATGCTCTCCGAACAATGCACGAGGGATACGGTCATCATTGCTCTAGGTGGTGGTGTTATTGGTGACATGATCGGTTACGTTGCCGCCACTTTCATGCGCGGTGTTCGCTTTGTCCAGGTTCCTACTACTCTGCTTGCAATGGTCGACTCGTCTATTGGTGGCAAGACTGCTATCGACACCCCTATGGGCAAAAACCTTATTGGATCGTTCTGGCAGCCTCAGCGCATCTACATTGATCTCGCATTCCTCGAAACCCTCCCGGTGCGCGAGTTCATCAACGGCATGGCCGAGGTGATTAAGACAGCCGCTATATGGAACGAGTCTGAATTTACGGCCTTGGAAGAAAATGCTGCCTTAATATTGAGCACTATTCGATCTAAGACCGCCGACCCTAGTGATAGGTTACTTCCGATTCGAGCCATACTTAAGCGCATCGTTCTCGCCTCTGCTCGCGTCAAGGCCGAAGTTGTCTCCAAGGATGAAAAGGAGGGCGGCCTACGAAACCTCCTCAATTTTGGTCACTCCATTGGTCATGCGTACGAAGCAATTCTCACACCCCAGGTCTTACATGGCGAAGCTGTAGCTATCGGAATGGTTAAGGAGGCTGAATTAGCTCGTTACCTTGGCGTTTTACGACCTGGAGCAGTAGCTCGACTTGTCAAGTGTATTGCAAGCTACGACTTACCAACCTCTCTCCATGACAAGCGCATTGTGAAGTTGACAGCTGGTAAGAAATGTCCCGTTGACGTGCTACTTGAGAAGATGGCCGTAGATAAGAAGAACGAAGGGAAGAAGAAGAAAATTGTACTTCTATCTGCCGTAGGTCAAACACATGAACCCCGAGCTAGCGTAGTCGACGATAGCGCCATAAGAGTTGTCCTCTCCCCTGCTATTCGCGTCAAGCCGGGAGTCCCTAAAGGACTCAACGTGCAGGTAACCCCTCCCGGATCCAAGAGTATCTCTAACCGGGCTCTGGTACTTGCTGCACTTGGCCAGGGAACTTGCCGAGTCAAGAATCTCCTTCACTCGGATGATACCGAGTACATGCTCTCGGCAATCGCCAAACTTAATGGGGCGTCCTACTCGTGGGAGGACGCTGGCGAAGTCCTCGTGGTTACAGGACAGGGCGGCCAGCTCCAAGCAAGCGATGAACCTCTCTATTTAGGGAATGCGGGCACGGCTTCTCGTTTCTTGACAACAGTAGTCGCTTTGTGCTCACCTTCAACTGCGACTTCAACTGTCCTAACCGGAAATGCTAGGATGAAGGTCAGACCTATAGGCCCCCTCGTCGATGCCCTACGATCAAACGGTATCAATATCAAATATCTTGGGCAGGAACACAGTCTCCCAGTACAGGTTGATGCTGCGGCTGGACTAGATGGAGGTGTCATCGAACTAGCTGCTACGATTTCATCCCAATACGTTTCGTCTCTCCTAATGTGCGCACCATATGCCAAGAAGCCCGTGACTCTTCGCTTGGTGGGCGGCAAGCCAATCTCACAGCTTTATATCGATATGACTATCGCCATGATGAAGTCGTTTGGTGTTACCGTTATAAAATCAGCCGACGAACCGCACACGTACCACATCCCTCAAGGCGTATACAAAAACCCGGATGAATATGTCGTAGAAAGTGACGCGAGCTCAGCAACGTACCCCCTCGCGGTTGCAGCTATAACCGGGACTACCTGTACGATCCCAAATATCGGCGCAAGTTCACTGCAGGGCGACGCCCGTTTCGCAACCGATGTGCTACGTCCTATGGGATGCACTGTGGAACAGACTGCTACGTCAACGACAGTGACTGGGCCGAGCCCAGGAAGTTTGAAGGGTATTGAAGTCGATATGGAGCCTATGACTGATGCTTTCTTGACAGCATCCGTTCTTGCAGCGGTAGCATCAGGCGAGACGCGGATCACTGGAATTGCCAACCAACGCGTCAAAGAATGTAATCGCATCGCAGCAATGAGGGAACAACTCGCGAAATTCGGTGTACATTGCAGTGAGCTTGAGGACGGTATTGTCATCGCCGGTAAGAAGCTGACGGAACTTTCAAAGCCGAGCGAGGGTATTTACTGTTATGATGATCACCGCGTGGCAATGAGCTTTAGCGTCATTTCCATAATAGCACCGGGACCTGTCCTAATATTGGAACGCGAATGCACCGGAAAGACGTGGCCCGGCTGGTGGGATGTGTTAGCCCAGTCATTTGGGGCCGGCCTAGAAGGCGAAGACGTTGTGCCTACATCTCACAAGAAGGCAAAGCAAGCTGAGACTGGGTCTTCTATCTTCATTATCGGTATGCGAGGAGCTGGAAAGACTACAACAGGTGGTTGGGTCGCCAGCATACTCGGGCGCCCTTTTATTGATCTTGATCATGAATTGGAACGACGAGCTGGCATGACAATCCCTCAGATTATACAGGAAAGCGGTCGGGGCTGGGAAGGTTTCAGGAGTGACGAGCTCGAGCTTCTAAAGGATGTTATCAAGAACCAAGGCCGGGGCCACGTCTTTTCTTGTGGCGGTGGCATCGTTGAGACTCCCGAAGCTCGGGAGTTACTCACTTCTTACCATCGCAACGGCGGTGTGGTTCTCCTTGTTAATCGTGACGTCGAGCAAATGGTAGAATATTTGACGCGGGATAAGACACGTCCTGCTTACACCGAAGAGATACGAGGCGTATACGAGCGACGCAAACCCTTCTTCCAGGAATGCAGTAACTACGAATACCACAGTCCTTACCTTGATTCCCCCGGAGGTCTCCAAGACATCCCTGCCGACTTTTCCCGATTCGTATTGGCAATTACTGGGAGAGGTAATCATCTTGAGGACGCCAAGAAGAAGCGACAGTCCTTTTTTGTGTCCCTAACTGTGCCCAGCGTATCGTCAGCGCTGGACGTGATCCCGCGAGTTGTAGTTGGTGCAGATGCTGTGGAATTGCGAGTTGACCTACTTGACGACATCTCCCCAGAATCGGTAGGAAAACAGATCTCACTTCTACGCTCTGCCGCGAAAATACCGATCATATTCACGGTCCGATCTAATTCCCAAGGTGGTCGTTTTAGCTATACATCCGAAAAGGAGTTGCTTCCCCTATACCAAACGGCAGCACGCACGGGAGTAGAATATGTCGACCTCGAGATGACGCTTTCGGACGAAACTCTGGATACAATTATCCAGTCTCTGGGTAAATCTACACGGATCATCGCGTCACACCATGACCCAGAAGGTAAGTTGTCCTGGAAGAATGGCGGCTGGCAAACGTGGTACAACCGAGCCTTGCAATACGGTGACATCATCAAGCTTGTAGGTGTCGCGAAGAAATTGGAAGACAACTTCTCGTTAGCTACCTTTAAGGATAGGATGTTTGCTGCGCACGGGAAGCCGATCATAGCTCTCAACATGGGCACCGTTGGGAAGCTCTCCCGGATATTGAATGGCTTCTTAACGCCCGTCTCACATCCTGACCTACCATTCAAAGCAGCTCCTGGCCAACTATCAGCGGCTGAGATCCGCAACGGTTTAGCTTTGATCGGAGAGATTGAGCCTAAGCAATTCTACCTTATTGGAAACCCGATTTCTGCGTCGCGATCACCGGCTTTGCACAACAGCTTATTCCGCCAATCTGGGTTGCCTCATAACTACTCTCTGTTCGAAACTTCCTCTGCCACAGACGTGATAAAAATAATCAAATCACCTGATTTTGGGGGAGCGTCAGTCACGATTCCGTTAAAGCTTGACATTATGTCGCTACTTGATGAGATCTCGGAGTCGGCCACTGCCATTGGTGCTGTGAACACAGTGGTACCTATACCTTCGCAGGACGGATCGGAACCACGCTTATTCGGCGATAACACAGACTGGCGTGGCATGGTCTATTCACTGCGGTCAGCTGGACTGGTGACAGCAACGGAATCAACGGCAGGCGGCGCAATGGTAGTAGGGTCTGGTGGTACTAGTCGAGCAGCTATATACGCCCTGCACTCCCTCGGATACAGCCCTATATACGTGGTCGCACGAAACCCCAAAGCCGCAGACTATCTTCGTTCATCTTCGTCATTCCGTGACAACATCAAGATCGAGCAGGTAGCCGAAGCTAGTCAGGTACACAAGCTACCAAACGTCATCATTAGCACGGTGCCCGCGGACAAGCCGATCGATAATTCGATGTGGGAATTGTTAACTACCCTATTGCAACAGACTAAGAATATCGAAGGCCCACGAGTCTTATTAGAGATGGCTTACAAGCCTCGTCGTACGCCATTGATGGAGCTGGCCGAGAACTCGGGATGGACTACGATTCCCGGTCTGGAGGTGCTTGCCTCCCAAGGCTATTACCAGGTACGTGAGATTCAACCACAGTTCCAGCTATGATTCCATATCCACGTTGCTAACGAAGTTTGCCTACAGTTCCAACTCTGGACGGGTATTGTACCCTTGTTCTCGGATGTACGCGCGGCTGTGCTAGGCGATGGTGAGAACCAGCCCGCCACTTCCAGCTGAACGATATTACTGCCATGCATATAAGTTTCTAAAAGTAGACCACATGAGCAGCTTGCTTCATATAGCCCCACAAATACATAAAATTTCTGAGCCTCATGATAACATCTGATATCTTTATTAATTCACATGATAGAAACTGTGTCTGCATCAAAGCTCCGCCGAGTTCGTCATGCCTATAATAGGGGCGAAATACTGCCTAGAGCACCAGGATAATAGGAGTACCCAGTGGTAAGTCATAGGCTGCCTCAGATTGACTATAGAATTTTCGTTTTCGTTTTCGGTTCCTTTTCCTCAAATCGGATAGTAGTCTACTGACTAGGCGGAGGCGAGATCTACCCGAGAGGATGGTTGGAGATCTATGACTGACCGTTGTATAACATGGATTTGCGTAGTCTTGCGGCGAAGCACATATTTGCAGCACATGGCGAGAGGCGGATAGCCGCGTATGCCTCTCACATGTAAGTTAAAACGTGGAGGTAAAAGATATAGGCAGCAGTATTTGAATTGTTGAGGCGACGCCGTTGTTGATGCTACGTGTTGATTCGTGTGTTATAGAAAACACCGCCACAATGTCCTGGTCAAGCCACATAGCCCCTGTAATTTTCACATGTGGCTAAATTGATAGATGCCCGTCCACTCACAGGTAGCTTCCATCTAAGCGAGGCGGATCTTCAATGCCGGTCTACTCGGGTGGCTTCGGCTAATGCCGAGTAGATTCTAGAATAAACGAGCTAATGGGAGTAAGGGATAGCTTGACAAAAGTACAGTTACACTACAGCAGCTGACTCAACACAAACAAGACTTTAGTACTTTACTTGTCATAGCTAAGGTACATACCTACCTAGTACCTAAGTAGGTATACTGGCTATACCGAAGGGAACCGCAGGCCGAAACCGCGCTCCGATGAACGCTTTCACGTGCCTATTCCGCCTATTTTGCAGCATGCCTTAGGTACCTACCTACCTAATTATTTCATTTTATTTACATACATACATACATACATACGAGCGCAGCAGTTAATATACGAGCCACAGGGCAAGAGGGAAGAGGTGGGGGGAGGGAAAACGCACAGCGACGACATTTCTAAGTTTGGACCCCTGCGGTCATGCCCGGTGACGTCGTTGGGTGCCTCGGGGTTATGCAACGAAGATGCATGTCGTGCAGTAGCCTTGATGAGATATGTACATATGTATGTATATGTATGTATATGTATGTATACGAACGCAACGCAACGCAACGCAGCATTAAACTGACTGCCTGTCTTGTAGCTTCCAAGGTAGAGTGGACTTGTATGTATGTATGTATGGTACAGGTCGTATCTCAGATAGACCACGCAGTAATGGATAGAAAATAATAATGATAATAATAAAAAAAACTTGCTTACGCGCGCATGAAGCAGTATGTATGTTACTAATCATTTCTAAGCAACTGTTTTTTTTTTCTGCATTTTTATTTATTTATTTTTATCTTTGTTCTTTTTTCCTTTTACCCCGATATGCCGCTGGAGGTATGGTAAGATGATACCTAACGGCGGGCTATTATCATTTGCGCCATGCATGTAGGTACCTACCTAGGTACATACAGCATACAACATACAACATGCACATACATGGTATCCATGCCTTAAGCTTACATAGCTCTACTCTATTTTGCTGCTTGCTTCCCAGCAACTCAAGTCCGACGCAATCGCATCGCCAATAACCCAACCTCGGCAGCATCCATTCGACGCGCCTTGACATATACATACGTGGAGATGCCTGCTGCCAGTCCCCCAGCGTAGGATAAGATACCCCGAATCCCGCTGCATCTACGGCAATTATTGTTGATAGCTAAACGAGGACGTAAATACCTTACATACCTATATTATAGTCTATAAACGTACATATATATACCTATATGCGTACTTATATATACCTATATGCGTACTTATATGATGCGCACCTGGGTAACATACATATAGCAGCAGCAGGTTAGGCTAGGTACCTAACCTACCTGATGTATGTACCTATGCAGTGTAAACAGATCAATAAATGACAGATACATAGCCTTTGGGCACAGCGCATATGTAAGTCTAAGTACCTTAGGTACCTAGGTACTCAACACAACAACATCAGACATATCACCACAAGCACGCAAGGATCATAAAAAAAAGAAAAAAGAAAAATCAGAACCATAAAGCAACAACAGCAAACCTATCAATGTAACAAAGCAAACAAACAAAGCCAACCCGTTTCACCGGCCGAAGAATCCACCTCTAGACCGAGGTTCCAATGCCAAGGAACACAAACTACGGTTGATTCCATCCGTTATCCGTTAGGTCCGCGCGCCCTAAAAATATAAGCTTAATCTCGCAAAAACCAACTTCTAGCATCCAGCATCAAACACGTATCGTAACCATATCTATCGTATGCATACACGCGAGAGCACGGCACCGTATCATTCATCCTAAAAACATAAACTTAAAACTTAAAATACTAAATTATATTCTTGTAATTCGTTATTATACGTCAGGCAAATAAGTATACATTAGGTAGTCATGTATAGTTATATATTCCTAATAAATACAAAAGATACCCAAACATGCTACACAAGACCAAGGTCGGTAGTATTAATATGTAAAGTACCTTCGCAGGGTCATTAATTCTATAACAGAGCTCCCGTCGGCTCTCAACTTTTTTTAGCCATGCCGTCATCTCCCTATCATATTCATAATACAATCTTTTTCTGTCTGCCGACATGTCGTGAAGCCCTTTTTTATGATCCTGCGTACCACCCAGCGCTATGTATAAGCTGCTGCAAAAGGACAAAGAAATGAACAAAGAAAAAATACATCCGCTGATCATACATTCGTAATTTAAGATATTCGTCTCAATCATATGCTTCCTCTTCCCAATCATTGGTAACGAAGCCTATGCAAATACTCTCCTCTCGCTTTTGTTTCCCGGCCAGAATCGTACAGCACCCAGCAAATGCAACAGGTGTAAGATAATAAATACAGCCCCTTTGGCGGCATAGACGAAAATTATACAGACGAAGGGACCATTAAAAAATAAGTGTAGGTAAGGCTGAGTTGAATGCAAAAAAAAAGAAAAAATCATTGCTGATCCGATTCCGGCAATTTTCTTTCCTTCCCAAGTCTATAAGGTACCCGGACCTGTAGCCCCGTAAACCCCGTGACAAATACATGGAATGACGAAATAAGGAAATATAAGGAGAAATAGATAAGGAACCTGAATTTCTCCCGTTATCAGTTCAGTTCCGCTCCCGAGTAATAGTGACGCCTAGTTTACCTGCGGACTGCTCAAATAGCCCGGAGCCGAATGCATGGTGATGACAGATGCGAAACAGAATCATGCATGTCCCACAGGAGCCGAACCGATCTGACGACAGTAATCATGGTTGCATGCGAGTTCGTCAGGAAGCGGAAACGGAATCGAGGGTAAAGCGTTCCGGTAGAATGTACCAGAAAATTATGTCAATGATGCAAAACCACGATAAGCGAAATGGAATATGATGTAGGTGGTGATGCTGTAGCACTCGGCGGCCCACGCCCAAAAGCCCAGAAGTTCCCAAGTGATACGTCATAGGGAGACGTCATACCACCGCCAGCCAGTCGCTAGCCAGTCGCTAGCCAGTCATGAGCGCTGCGGGGACGGCCGTCGGGTCCCAACCCAAGGGTCCTGATTGATCAGCGCGCTTTGTGGCCCAAGTTGGAAGTCGGACCACCGCTAGGCGCGATCCATGCCGGAAATAGCCAGGTGCATTCATTAGCCCGCAGGTCCCTGCAGATTGACGTTGGACCCTTGATATCGAACCTATCTTCCAACGTCAACGGAACCCCACTCGATACACCCTCGGCTTTGCATGGCCATTGGGCATTGCGTTGGGTCCGCCCTGCTTCCAGACCATTCGAGCACCATTCGAACGGCATTCGAACATATCCTCCAACCAAGGAACCTTCTAGCCCGCAAATCGCACTTCGCACTGCCTTGGACTGGGTATCTTGGCAGTACATACGGCATACGTTGCAGAGAGTGAGTTTAGGCTTCGTTATGCGCCAGCTCATACGCCAACACCACCTCGCCTCCGATGCTTGCCAGGAAATTCCACGTCCGGGTGACAGACGCGATAATGCCTTGTAAGCGCATCTGCCCGACTAAATGTCTTCTCTTCCGTACAAAGGTCGCAGCGGACTTTTTGCTTGCGTGCATTGTGAATCGTATCTTCGTGTCGCGTAAGATCGTAGGGCCTAGAGAAGATTGTATTGCATGGCTTTCCCGTGCTAGGGTTTATCCTCTCACACTTGTGCGGCCCAGCCTGACTGTTGAGCATGCTGCCAGACATTCCACTCGTTGTTGTCGGGGATGACCTGACGTGGCTTAAGGCATTGGCTTGTCGATGCCCCTCGCGCTTGTGCTTTTGTAGTAATGCTGGCGTCTCGAACCGTAGCGTACAGCCATGATATGTGCAAGTGTACGTCCCTCCGTCCGCACTGGCTCCAGCTGGTTTCTGGCTTGGGATATCGCCACCCTCTGAGTTGCTGGCTTCGGTTGAGCTCACCCTTGAATATGTAGAGGTTGTAGGGGTCGAGCGCTGTTGCTGCTGCCGGTGCGCAATGAAAGGATATTGTTGCGGCATCTGTACATTACTCGGCATAGAGAAGTTGAATGCGGCCTGTATTGGTGTCGATGCCATTGACTGGAAAGACGGGCTTGAGTGTTGTGAAATGGTCCTAGATGCTCCATTTGTGGCCCCGTTGTTCGTGTGCTCCATGTTGTAACTGCTAGTCTCATGCGGCTGAAATAGCGGCATATTAGAAGCGTCATCCGACTCGTTGAAGTCAAGCATCGCATCCTTCGGCGAAATCGTGTTTGGTGTTCCTTGCTGCTGTGTAGAGTTGCGCGCCAACTGTTGCTGTAGTTCCTTGTCGTCTCGTTCAGCCTTCAACCGCTGGTTCATCTGTCGAGCCGATCCGATGTGCATCTGGTCCACGCCCACCT